TTGCAAACTAAAATATAAATAAATAAGTAGTTACAAATTATAAAATTAATGCGTTGAATATAATTAATTTGTAATTATTTAAGATTATCTTGGGAATTGCTTTGATGTATATGCAGCGGATTATCTTGCGGAGATCCATGCACCACCATGTGATAGACGTGCCTCCATTTATTGCATATTAAGTATTAATTATTATAGAGATAATAAAATAAAAAATAAAATATTGTATTATTAATAACAGAGAGAATAAAATAAATAAAAATGTTTAATTAATTATACACAGAATAAAGTATAAGTATTTTTCGACACGTGTAGGTTCCCTTTGCTTATAGGTGTGTAATTTAATTTTTCTTTAAAATATATTATTAAATATTTATTTTATTTTATTTAGTATTAAAATTAATTTTCAAGACAAATAAATTTATTTTTTAAAACCAAAAACTCAACTATCAAACTGTCAACCTACTTGCATTATTATTTTCCTGTTTGTATTTTCATATTTATTTCTCAAAAAACAAAAGTTAAATACTTTCTCAAATCTTATTACACTAATAGTGTTTTGTCATTTTTTTTTAATTTATAATATATTTTGATATAATAATCAATATTCAAATATCAACATGTAAAAAATAAATGAATACTTAATTATGGGACGAATGAAATATAATATTTTAAATAATATTTAAAATAACATTTTAATATTATTTGAAGCAAAGATAAAAGATTTAAAAAATAAAAAATACGAGTAAACAAATCTTCAATTTCAACGCTAAGTTATCAATGCGTTAACTGGCAATCATATATATGTTTGTTTACTTGTAGTATTATTTAATTTCTTTTAATTACTATATTATTTTTTTATGTTATCAACAAGATTTTCTATATTAATATAAAAATATATGTATAAAAAATTCAAAGTGAACAAAAAGTTGTCAACTTAGCAATTGTTTTTAATATTTTCGCTATAAAACCAACAATTATTTATAAAAAAAAAAAAAAAAATGTATTATTTTATCCTATAAAATATTACTACATCTTAATTTTTTATTTGAAATAATAATAATATAACCAACTAAATAGACCTTACCTTTGTATTATTCATACTTCATATAATAATGGATATCCCAGCTGTTTGTTTTTGTCAGTAAATTCATATGAAACATTAATTATATAATTATAAATAAATCTTTTGAGCAAGTTTCAGATATGCTGATGATAATTGTTCGGCGGTTTGGATTTTGAGTTGGAATTTGAAATAGTAAAAATTTTGAATTTGAACAATTGTATGATGGATATAAATAGGTGTTTGATGTGATATTTTGAATGTAAAATTAATTTTTAATATAATATAAAAAATAAAAAAATAAATATTTAATTTTATATTTTTTGGAGAAAAAATAAAATGAACAGTGAATTTAAAATCTAATTTCCCAAACAAACACACCATAGTGTATAAATATCTTTAAATAAATAAAATGTTGAGCTGCTCAATGAAATGTGCTGACCACGAATGAATGAATTTGCTGAGCAATACTCCTGTTATTATTTTATTCCAATCATCTGGACCATTAAATTTAAAATTAATCGCACGGTGTGTATTCGTTACTTACTAAAGAGCCGATATTTGAGTTTTGAAACATGTGGATTTCCTTTATATAATTAACTTTTACTCAATGGTACTATATATTATTATTTATTTTTTTATAAAACATCGAACTAAATATTTATTTTTTATTTTTTGTTCAAATTTTCAAAATATAAAAATTTCAAAAAAATTCCATATAAATGGGGCCCTGCCCATTGGTCGTTTGTGATTTTTTTTTAATCAATATTTATTTTGTTAATATATATATAACAATAAATTTTATATATGATCCATTTTTTGAAATACATAATATATTATTATTATTATTATCAATTAATGGAATTTAAGTTATGTCGGGTTGAATTACACCACTCATTAATATGTCATAATTATTCCAGATACGTAAAATTTAAAGTTTCTACACTTCAATGATTTGTAATAAAAGATTTCAACACTTAAATTATCACTTTCAATAAATATTTGACTAAGTGTTGTTGTTATTATTATTATTGTTTGTATTTATAAATGGAATGAATAAAGTATCAAGATTTTCAATCCATAAGATTAATATTTGGATATAATGCAGATTTTTTTATTATTTTAAAAAAAAAAAAAAAAAAGAAAGAAAAGAAGAAGAGAAGAAGAAGAAAGAATCAATAAAATGGGAATACATTTGGAAAAAAAGAAAGAAGGTAAAAGCACTTCATTATAAGTTTGAGAGGTCTGATTGGAAGTTAGATTTTATTGTTGAGTAATAAAATGTTGTTTTAGTTGTATATTAGTTATTGTATAACATATTTGATTAAAATAATTGTAATGTTTTTAAATATTGTAAAATTAATATTGGATTGAAAATTATTTAATATGATTGTGAAAAATTAATGGTGTGTTCTTTTGTGAAAAAAAAAAAAAACAAACAAATATGCTTTTTCTCAAAAAATTAATATTTATTATTTTTATATTACCTACGTAATTTTTACGCAATATATACATAAAAAAATAAAAATAAAATATCCCCTCAAACTATTTTACAAAACAAACACATCCAAAATTTGATATAATATAAAAAATATACACATAATTAATTGATTTATACATAGTAGGCGATTTAAACTATATAAATATATATATTTTTTATTTATAAAAAAATGTTACTATTAATGGAATAAACTCTATTTTCATTAATTAACAATTAGAGTACAATATTATATTTATACAAGAGATATATTATGTAGGATATATATATAAATATATACAATATATATATCAACACCCCCTTAAACTCAAGTTGGAACGGTGGAACCCAACTTGAGTTTGCTCAAAAATGACTGAAAACGGCCGGGAAGGTGAGGTTTGGTGAATCCATCGGCCGTCTGATCAGCAGAGAAAATGGGAGACAAGGAGATGCTTCCATGAGCAACGTGATGACGTACAAGGTGACAGTCGATCTCAATGTGCTTCGTACACTCGTGGAAGACATCATTCGTCGAAATCTTCATGGCGCTCTGACTGTCGCAATGGATAATAGTGGCAGAGGGCTGAGGCACTCCAAGATCAGCCAGCAGCCAGCGAAGCCATAGAAGCTCGGCAGCGGTATCGGCAATGGCTCTATATTCGGACTCTACGCTGGACCGAGAGACAACCGTCTGTTTTTTGCTGCGCCACGAAATAAGCGAGTCGCCAAGGAAGAAGCAAAACCCGGTGGTCGAGCGGCGATCAAAGGGATCTCCCGCCCAATCAGCGTCAGAATACCCGGTCAAAACTAAGGAAGAACGAGCGGAATATGGTATCAGAGCTTAGGTTAGGTCTCGAGTTCGAGTCCCACCGTCCCCATTTGTGCACATATGCATGTGCAAGTTTCGCATACCTCCACTTGCATCCGAGAGGGCGTGTTGGGGACTCCCGTTTGCGAATATATAACTAATGGCTTGGTTTCCCTAACAGTTCGAGCTTTTAGGTGAGACAGTCATTAGTATCCAACAAGAGATATAAGTATGACTTGTGTTAAAAATTTGGAGAAATGATCGACATAAAATTAAATAAATTAAGAATATGATTTCAACTTAAGTGTACTCCAACCACATAATAATAATAATAATAATAATAATAAATTGTATGAATTTGAAAACATGTTTGAGTAAGACATGTCTATTTTTTGGATGACAGTCCCTATCCGAAATTGCGTACTGGGTAAATTTTAGGCCGAACTTAATACCCTGCAAATCAGAGCTGACGATAAAGTTAGACGAATTATGTGTGGCAAGTGACCTGAGGCGTCGGGGCATGTACATTCAATTTAATGGGAAATAAATTTATTTTTAAAGATTTTACTAGATCGTTTATAAATTCTAATGTGGCATAAATTTATCTACTTTTTCTTCTTTAGTCAATAATAAAATCATAATTATTCTTGAAAACAATTTGAAATAAAATTCTCTTTTTCACCATTTTGTCTTCATCCTCACGAACAAAACATTTACCAAAGAATTCTTGTTGGGATTCTTATTCAAGTAAGCCAATATTGAATTCCAAACATTTAGGGGTGTGTTTGCTTTTGAATCTTAATTTAAATGATATTTTAAATTTAATATTTTATGAGGAGAAATACTAATGTTTTTACAAGAAATTTTAATATTATATTTTTTTAAAAAAATAAATATTTGTTTTTTAGTACTTATGAAAACAAAAATATCAATATTATATTACACATTTATATTACTTAATAAAATATTTTATTTTTAAATTTACTATAAAAAAATGTATACATTTTAATCGAAAAAAAAAATATTTTTCTGTTGAAACACGAATCAAACACTTGTTTTTATGAAAAATAATATAAAATACATATTTAAAAACAAATAAAAACTCAAAATCTTAATATTAAAAATTAAATTTCTCTCTCATTTCAAAAAAAAATTATTTAACTTTCTTTGGATATTAAATCAAATAAATAATTATACTCTCTCCATCTTATAGTATATGATCTATATTTTTGTAGTCCTTAAAAATAGATAATTTGTTTATATTTTAAGTAAATTTATCAATTTTAAAGTATTTAATAAATATCAATTAATAAATATTTTAAAAATATTATTTCTTCCGTTTCATTTAATTTATTATTTTTTTAAATATAATTATACTTTTTAATTACATTTTAAAATTTATAATTTATAATTTTTTTTATTTTAATTAAATTATTTAATTATTTTAATTTTAATTTATATTTATAATTTTTTTACTAATATATTTTTTAATTATTTACTAATTAAAGCTAAAAATGAAAATTTTAAGTGGACACCGAGGAATTATAAAATATGTGCACAAATAAAAATAAAAAATATTATCGAATACGTGGATTTGGGAAGGAAGTACATTTTAAAGTCTGTATCTATATATATATATATGTGTGTGCTGGTAACTGACTGGCCTAGAATTGCCTTCTTCCTGATTTCACAATTTCCACACAAGTGCAAATCTCACTCAACATTTTTGCCCTAATCGCTTTCGGTTAACAAATCGGAGCAATTGAGAGGCAGAGGAAGCAATTATGGAGGCAGAGTACAAGGAATCTGGAATGGAGAGCGGCAGTGGGAAGGCGGTGGCGGTGGCGAACAAGCGGAAGATGAGGGGATGGGACGTCATACTGAGATTCTTCGCGCTGGCTCTCAGCCTCGCCGCCGCCGTCGTCCTCGCCGTCGATAAGGAAACCGTCGTGGTTCAGGTCCCCGTCGCCGCCGCACTGCCGCCGCTCAGCGTTCCCGTCGCCGCTAAGACTAGCTACCTCTCCGCCTTCGTGTAAGTAAAAACACGCACACGCACACGCACGTTAATTTACGTAACTTCTATACGTGCAGAAATCATCTATCGTTTTTTTTTTTTTTTTTACATTTTTTTTTTCCTGAAACGAAATCAAATAATTAATTGGTGCTTTTTCTGTTTGGATGTTTGTTTATTATTATTATTATATTATTATTTTTTATATAATTAATAAATATTAATAATTTTAAAATAAATTTAATATATAACAATAAAAAATAATTGTAATATGTAATATTTATTTATAATTAGCATAATTTAATTTTATAAATATGTGGAGTTTTAGTGTAGATAAAAATATTTTTTAAGAATAGAGATAAAAATAAATGAATTTTTTTGAGTGAGTTTTAGATGATTACACAATTTTATAAGTTATAATTAATTAAATTAATTTATATATGTTAAATATATTTTTGATTTAGTATATTTTATTTCAAATAAAAAGGTGTACGGAGTATTACATTAAACATATAATGTTATTTTTTTTTATCTCTAAAATACGTAAATATATATAGTTTTGGAACGTGGATTATCAGCGGATAATATTAAATATTGTGGAAATTCAGAGTGCAACTTGTTTGTCATTTCAGATTATTTTTAGGTTTTGGAAAAATGTCATGCGTATCTTTAAATACGGAGATAAATTTAATATTTTATTAAAATATTAATATTTTTTAATTTAGTTTAAAAATTATAAGTATAAATTGGATTGAAACAGGAGGAGTATTATCATAGATTCATAGTTATTAAATTCTTAATATTTTACTATTTCTAAAACCACATTGAAATCTATTTTCTTTTTAGGCTGTGTTGGTTTGGGGATTGGATTTTAAATCTACTATTCATTCAAATTTTTCTTTTCAAATATATCAAATCAAACATCTATTTTTTATTTTTTATATTATATTAAAACTTAATTTTACATTCAAAACATCACATCAACACCTATTTATATTACATCAAATAATTATTCAAATTCAAAATTTTTACTATTCAAGTTCCAACTCAAAATTCAAACAGTTCACAAACACACCCTTACTATAAAAAAGTTTAATTTAATATATTATTTAAGAAAATATTTTATTAAGAATATTACAAATTGAAGATTTTGGTTAATTGTAATTTAAAATTAATTTAAAATAAATGATTGCTTTAAAATTTTATTTAAATAATTTTTTTTATAAATATTTTATAACGAAAATAATATTATATCATTAATTAAAAATTATATTAAATAAATAATATTGATTTTTTAAAAAAAAATTATATGATGTATCATGTGGATAATATAAATTTTATACTTGTTTGTCTCATATATTTTGAATCTATTGTTATATATATATATATATATATATGATAATTTAGCTAAAATATAATTAATAATTTTATTAGTAAAAATAATTATAAATTAAAATTAAAATTAAATAAATAATTTAATTAAAATTTTAAAAAATATAAAATTTAAAATATAATTAAAATAAATAATAATAAATAATAAAGCAGACAAAATAGAAAAAATAATAAAATATATATTAAAATTGTATAAAAAAATTAAAAAAAATTAACAAACAAACTGTCTATTATAAATTTAATTTGAATTACACAGCAAACAATAACAAATTGCACTATGAAATAATTTAGCAGGAAAGCAGTCAAATAATGTGGGGTATTGAATAAGATTGAGCGTGACAGCAGCGACTTGTCGTGTTCAGTAGACTAGTAGTACTAAATTATACTAAAATAACCATTTTCGATATGTATCGTGTCTGACTGACTGTCAGCCTTGTCTGCCATTAACATGCAGAGATATTTCGATTGTGTTTTACTGTTTAAATTCTCTATTTTTTTAAAAAAATTTATCATATCAAATAATTATTTTTTATATTATATTATAAATTTATTTTATATTAAAAAATCGCATCAATCACTACTCATAATTAATTAATTAAATAAATTAGATTAATTAAGGGCTTAGACTTTTGGAATTTTTTATTTTAAAGTAATCCTGTGTTTAGCTTCTTCTTTTCTAAAAAAAAATAAAAATTGTGTAATATTTTGTCCAGCAAATTTATACACACTTCTTTTGTAAATTAAGGATATTGGTATAAATTTCCCTGGGAACGAGCCTCCATCTTTTTTCTGTTATATTTCAATGTAAAAAGAATCTCAATATATTATGCGGATTTATGTCCAATTCAAATTCATTCTTACATTTTAGGGTGGTTTTTGTTAACATTTCAAATTCAAATCATATATATATATATAATCAAAATAGTGTTCACATACTTTTATATAGGACAATATAATATTGTTTTGTATAAAAAAAATTATTATGCTAAAATCAATAATCTATTGTATTATATAAATTTATATAATGTAATGAATTTTATTTTGTATTATATTCCATGTCTTGTTAGACATCTTTTCTTTTTATTATTAAATGCATTGATTTGAACCACGGAACTCAATTTACAATATACTCATTCCGTTCCAAAACTATAGGTAGGTTTGATTGTATTGGATACGGAATTTAAAGAATATTAATATTATATTGATAGTAGGTAAAATGTATGAGTAAAATATTTTTTGCCATTGTAAGTGTATTAGCGTAAAAAGTAGTGGCAATTGTGTAATAATAATGAAAAAGTAAGGATACTTTTATAGTAACATGATTATTTATGAAATAAAACTATTGTTTTGGGACGGACAAAAATACTAAATAGGACTATTGTATTGGGACGGAGGAAGTACTTTTTTTTTTTCTATATAATTTGTCTCTATTTTTTATTTTCGTCTGGTCCCATATAATTTGTTATTTTTTTTGAAATATGATTATATATTTAGTTACATTAATATTAATTAAACTATTTAGTTATATTAATCTTAAATTATAATTATTTTTATTAATATTCTTCGTAATTACTTACTAATTATACTCGTAATTTACATCGTATTATATTAAAATATTATATAATCCAGAATTCAAATTAAAACTTTAATCTCAAATTAAAACTAAACAAAACCTTAATATTTGTACATGATATATTTTATTATTATCCCAATTTAATTAAGTTAAAAAAAAACATAATTCTCCGAAAGTTCTCAAACAATCAAAATTATTATCATCATCATCATTAATTTTATATATATATATATATTTTTTCATAGATTTTTCGTCATCGCAAATTCTATTGCATGCGCTCACGCGGGGGTATCGTTAATCCTCGCCCTGGCATACCAGGGCGAGAACAAGGCCATTGCCCTAACGGTCTTAATAGCCGACTTGATGATGGTGGCGCTTCTTTTTTCGGGGATCGGCGCCGGAGTGGCAATTGGCGTATTGGGATACAACGGGAACTCGCACACGATGTGGGGCAAAGTATGCGATAAATTTGACAAGTTTTGCCACCAGGCGGCGGCGGCGTTCGGGATCTCCGGCGCGGCGGCGCTGCTGTTCTTGCTGCTGGTGGTTCTTGCAACTTTAAACCTCCACAAGAAACACTAGAATTAATTGGGGGTTGTGTGAGAAAATTATTCTAAGTGTTACCAAAGTGGTTCTTAATTCTTGCTATGTAATGATATTTTGTGGATTGGAATCTTTGTGCTTTGTGTGTCGGATTATGTTTTGTTTTAGTGTTGTAAGGACCAAATGCTTGATTGATGCATTATTAATACTACCTTCGATTGTTTTAAGGTCTCATTTATTTTTTAAGTATTGATTTTTTAATATTAATTATTATATTAAAATATAGTTTAAATTAAGAAAAAATTACAAAAATAGTTTAATTAATGTCTTATAATATTAATAGAAAGATAATTATATCAAACAAAAAAATTATACAAATATAAGAATATTTTTAATGTTAAGTATAACGAGGGAAAAGGTAAATGTCACCACCTTACAGTAAGGACAGAAAGATTATATTATTTTCAAAAAAGGCATTGTTAACATTTTTGTTAGTATTTGATGGTTTGGGATGTTTAGGATTTAATTTTGTTTTTCATTTTTGAATGAAATGTATATTTTGAATATGATACTTATTAGTTTTAATGGTTCAAGTCCATTTCTCTTTTAAACCTAGCCCGAAAACATTTCAATCTAAACCCTTTACTTCATTGTGTTTAGGTGGCCCATTATGTTTGAGTAATATAAAAATACTTCATATTTTGAGTTGATAAAATATATATTATATTTATTGTATTAAGTGTATATATCAAATTTTTACTAATATTTACTATGAATTATTCCACTTAAAAATGTCATGTGAACAAATCCTATGTATATTGGCCCTTCGGTTTAATTTTTTAATATAAATTATATTTAAAAAGTAAAAGAAAATAAATTGGATATAAAAAGAATTAAATCATTTTAAATATTCTAAATTAAAAAAATAAATAAATATATTGAAACAAGAACAAAAGCATATATGGTGGAAGGGCCCTTCAATTATATAAAGTCAAGGGGATGTACTCTGTCACAGCTGCTTTACTTGTCTGAATTCAATTATTGGTTATTACATTAATTATCTTGACTTTAAATTTGGAATGTATTGGTTTAATATTTATAATTTTAAATATTTTTGTCACACAATATGAAATAGTTGTAAAAATATTAAAAAGAATTACGTCGATTAGAGGTAATGAAATTATATCAATTGCAGCTTATATCAATTACTTATCAAAGATCCATTCTTACTTATCAATCTTTTTCTTTTGCTGAAATTATAAAAAAACATATCCAACGATTACTTTTATACTAAAATAAATAAATTTACATATATATATATATATATATATAACAATAATAAAAATATAAAAAAATTCTGGCAGAAAATATGACAACGAACTTATGAATACAGCAAATAATGTAGTAAACAGAAAGACACGGCTTCTGTAACAAATGTGTTCATAAATAGCAATAGGATGATGAATTTAGAGTTTCTTATGCTATACTTACTGCTTTTAATTGAACTTGTTTGCATGTAATAAAAACTATAAAGAAAACAACAAACCTCCTCGACGACAACATCGATGGAAGAACCTGAAGATCCCGTCTTGTTTAAGGCAGCGCCGACTTTGTGGCGCGCCAACGAAATAATTCATTCGAATCAATGTAAGAAATGTCATTGAGGAAGAACCGGAGGCGCAATTGTTCGAGTATTGTACGACTGGCAATGGCTGCACTTCTGCCCGAGTACGTGGAAGTAAACTTCCGTAGTATCGTTGCAGTCGTTGCAAAGGATCCAAACCTAGGAATCGAAGATGTAATAATAATCAATCAATCAGTCAATTGATTTTTTACATGTGCTACGAGAAATTGTGTTGGTAATATAAAAAATACTACCTCTGTCCGGCTATAAAAGTCTTATTTACCTTTTACGTCATTGTACTTAATATTAAAAATATCAGTATAATTTTTTTTTACAAATGTGCTTCTATTAGTATTAAAAGACACAAATGGAAGTATTTTGTAATTTTTTCTTAATTTGAACTATGTTTTGATGTAACAATTAATATTCAAATATCAACACGCAAAAAGTAAATTAAACCCTTAAGAGCCGGAAGAAGGCAGTAATATTTTGTATTAAATAATTGACCTTTTATTAGTGGATAATGTATATATTATATTAATGTGATTGTATATTTGTATTTATTAATAATATTTATAGAGAATTGTGAAAAAAGATCGACGATTACGACTGCTTATGTTGAAATCGAGCGTACCTTCTTGTATCTATACTCGTCTGGCATGATAGTGTCTTCGATCTGAATGTACGAGCGAATAATTCAAGTTAAGGAAAATTTCGATTCGATCAACAATGTGTAAATGAATGGACATGTTGTTGTGTTGTTATTACCTCCTCGTCGATTCGCTTCCAGTTTCTGGACATGTCCATGGTCGACTTGGAGCATATCGGGCAGCAGTACCTGCAGAAGCAATCGATCAATCATTTATAGAGGATGAAAAGTCGAGGAGGTAAGAATTAAGACGGATACTTACTTCTCGCGCCTTATCATCTCGTTGTAACATTCGCAATGCATCGTGTGCCCGCATTTCATTACAGCCGTGTCTTTAAGGGAATCGAACATGTACTGCATACACAACGGGCAGACACGTTGCTATACTTATTTGAAATAATCAAGAGAACTTATCAAAGGTTGGAATGAAACCTCGTAACATATAGGACAGTGATGCCTCATTGAATTCTCGACACACATGTGGTTGTTGCGTAAGCCAACCGAATAACAACTTCCTGCAAGATTAACCGAATTAATATTACGGTAGATGCAAGAAAATTCGAGAATCGTTCGATGAACTAATAACAAAATTCGAGCTATGTTCCAGGTGTTCAATCACGAGTAACAAAAGCGTTCGAGAAGACATGAATATTACAACAGTTGTAAGCAAATTCAGGAATCGTCGAGGAACTAATAACAACGCACGCCATTTCTTACACGAATACCATCAACACATAACCAAAAGTTCGAGTTAATTTCCAAATCCAATCAAGAATAACAAAAACATTCGAGAACACTAATATCATGACAAGTGTAAGCTAATTCAGGAATCGTCGAGGAACTAATAACAATTGACGTTTTTCTACAAATTGCAGAATCTGAGTTATTTTCCAAGTCGCCGAGGAACTAACAACAAGGCATGTAGTTTTTTTACATGAGCATCAACGTACAACAAAAATTCGAGTTATTTTTCATACCACATTTTTTGCAGTGGAAGAAGTTCTCGCGGCCACCGGTCCTGAACGAAAAATAAAAGAAGAGTAAAGCATTAAATCGAATCCCGGGAAATTTCTATAACCCGTGTTTATTTGTATTTGACAACCTGCAAATCCCACAATCGTCACAATGAAAATGCCCTTTGCTGGTCTGCATTCAGTACAAATCACACAATTAGATTAGCCGAAAGACTTCATGTTCAAGGTAACAAACTCGAAATCTTTCACAAGCGTTCTTACATCGTCGTCATAAAACTTGCAGATATCACAGAAGTATTCTCCCATATTGACGCCGCAATTTGTGCACCTTCGTGCAACCTAAACAACAGTATGAAGACATGAAGAACATAGACTCACATAATTCTTGGGGACTAAAGCAACAAAATCAACATACAGGCTGTTCGGTGTCGCAAACAGAGCAGATAACCTGTGTCAATGTAAAATCGAAAACTTTTTCAATCGTAAGGAAATTCGAAACTGAACTAAGATCATAACATTTCTGCAAGAGACATACTTGTTTCACATCGTACCGAACTAATTCATGGCGATCGTGAAAATTGGGCAGCAAATTCTGTTAATTCTATCAAAGTTAGACCCAAAATAAAGCAGATCAAGTTATTTTTCGATTAATCAATCCAAGTACCGTGAATTCGTTGTGACAGTGGCGACAATCGAAGACTTCATTACAGCATGGAGTTCGAATCCTGCATCTCCTTCTGTAATGCCTGCAACTACACGATTCAATGGATAAACATGAATTTGCTTATAGGAACTTGCAATGATTCATCAATTTTTTAGAAGAACACTGAATGAAGAGTCGAACTGAAACAAACTTGCAACTACACGATTCAATGGATAAACATGAATCCGCTTTGAGGAACTTGCAATGATTCATAAAAAAATTTCTAATAACACTGAATGAAGAGACGAAATCAAACGAACTTGCAACTACACGAATCAATGGATAAACATGAATCTGCTTATAGGAACTTGCAATGATTCATAAAAAATTTCGAAGAACACTGAATGAAGAGACGAGAAATCAAACAAAGTTGCAACTAGGAGCCTAGAAAAATACCCGTAACCCATCTTCCCGAAAGTAAGGCGATCGTTAGAGAGGTCCTCCATTAGCATTTCCAATAACATCACCTGAGAACTAAAAAGGTGAAAACAAAGCACTGAGAGAAACTGTGTTCGGAAGAAGATGAGGTCCAATTTGAGAGGACCATAGAGCAGAGTGGGCACACCCTACTGAATAAAAAAATCGCCATTTTTGGAAAGATGGAGAATCATTGTAACCCAACATGAATAAATATAATATAGTATTGTTTATGGAGTGAAGATAAGGCAGAGCGTGATGGAGACCTCAGAATGGGCTGACAGATCACCGCAGATCTTAGCCAATCGCCATGCGAGGACTGAAAGGCGATCGATCCCTTGGATTGGAATCAAAGTTAACTAACTAATTTCATCCATGGCAGTTAAATAAAGGAATTCCGATTCAGCTGCAATCGAAGCCAATAATAAAATCAGGACCTGCGCTTTCTTGATTGCTGTCCCATTCCAGAGCTCCCATTGGCTGGAAACCTGTACGTTCCTCGATAATCTAAATTTGATGAATTAAATAATCGACAAATTCATCGAACCAAGAGCAGCAACTAGCAACCGACCATGAATGAAGATCTGTATGAATTTGATAAAAATGACTGCGACGGAATGGGCTCAACGACGAAGCGTCAAGCAACAAAATTGGGGATATATAATTGGGCTTTCTATTGGGCCTAAACAATGTTTTTGGGCTTAGGGTTTCGGCTAGAGATAAGCAAAATTATTGAAAATTTAAACAAAACTAAGGCGGTGTGTGTTTGGTTCAACGATTTGATGGGATTCCATGGGATTTGGGTTTTAAAATCATATGAAATCCAAAAAGAAGATGGAATTTAAAATAATGAGATTTGAAAAGGGTCTAAAATTCTAGGATTTTTTTTGTATGGATACCTGTTACTTTTAAATCTCATTCTTGAAATTTTAATTTTTATATTTATATCCTCTTATAAAAAAATAATAGTATTATATTTATATAAAAAATTAAATAATTTTAACATTAATTATTATTTGAATTATATACTTAATTAAATTTATATTATATTTTTTATTGTACAATATTTTTAAAATAAATTAATAAATTCATTATTTAAATTATTATTTATTATAAATTTTATTTGAATTATAAAATTATAGGGACGACTATAAGTCGGGTTCAGTCGGAACTGATATTCATCCTAAATATATATTGTTAAATCCGATATTTAAATTGGATCCCGACCGAGATTATACCTGATAAGACTTGATGGATCCGAAAAATCCACTTTTTTTACAATTCTTAAATTTTAATTTAAAATTACACTTATACCGGATCCAATGTATATTAAAATTTATGTATTTTATTAGAAAAATATTATAATAAAATAATAAATACGTTAAACTCAAAAAATATTTTTAATATAATTATATTATTCGAAATTATTTTTTGATATGTATGCTTGATATATTATTATATTACCCTGATCATGATCCGGATACAGGCCTAATACTCAAATAATTGGACTCAACTTCAAATAAATAGGTTGGGTTCGGTCAGGTCTCGAGTTTACGCGAATTTATTGTCATCTTATAAAATTATTGATATCTTTTCAATTTATATTAATAATGAATTAGAGGTTTAATTTGTCAAAATAAATAAAATTCATAACAGGACAATTATGTCATTTAGAATATAAAAAATCTAAATTCACTAAATATAAATCCCACCACATTTTACCAACCAAATATAATATGGGATTCCAAATCCTAAATATAATAAATTCCATCACATATAAATCTTACTGTGAATCCCAATCCCACCAAAAATATCCATGAACCAAACAGCCCCTAAGGGTATATTTTTTTTAACAAAAAATATATACGCACTTTTTAAAAAATATTAATATATATTCTTTATGTTCTATATATCAAACACTCGTTATTTTTATATCACCTATAATTTTTTATATTTCACATAAAAAAAATTTTATATTCAAATAAGAATACAAAACAAACAAACCCTTAACGTTTAATATTTAAATTCTTAAAATCTGAATGCTCTCGGCCCAATAAATTATATTACTGGGCTTTAGGCCCAATTTATTGGCGGGAAACCCAAATGTTCTCTGAGAGTTATGGCGGGAACTATCCACTACGTTTCCGGGTTGTGTACTTGCGGGTCGGGCGGGTATATAACGCGGATGTCCCTCGAAGTCGGTCACTTTTTGAGTCTTTTTTGGATTTTTGGCGACTGACGGTTTGTGAATTTTTTTCCTCTCTCGGGCGAAAAAAAACCCTTGAATGGCGAGGCCGGCGCTGGGGGAAAATTCGTCGTCGGACGATTCGTTGGCAAGTTCCTCGGAGGAGGAGGAAGTGAAGGAAGAGGTTATTGAGGAGGAGGATGAGGAGGAACTCGAAGCCGTTGCTCGGACTGCCGATGCTTCTGAAGACGACGATGATGGTGAAGCTGCTCCGCAGGAGGATGAAGAAAATGAGGTGTGGTTTGTGGATTTTACGGCGGTGTGTGGGGTTTTGCTTTTTTGCTTACTGTAGTTTCGATTGGTAGATCTGTGTTAGTTGTTTGCTCTTATGTGGAAATTGTTAGGGAATTTTTGTGTTAGTTGTGTGTGCGTTGCGATTCTGTAGCTGTTTTTTGTTAATTTTTGTGCAATCACTCTTAATTAGGTTGGATCCTTTGTTAATGCATTGATGTTTGTCGTAAGTGTTTCTACTCGATTGAGAGTGGTTGTACTGTTGCTTTTTTTTTTTCTTGGGAATTTGAGCGTTTGAGCTAGGAAACACTTGGGTATTAAAAAATTGAGTTGAGCAGAATTTTTGGTAGTGCAGCTAATTTTGTTAAGTATTGTGCTGACTGTTCAATTTCTGTAATTTCATTGGTTTAGCCATATTTGGATTTTAAGCTGCCTTGCAAGCCTGATGTGTTGTATGTTAATCAAACTTTTTTTGATATGATTTTTCAGGAATATGATGCTATTCCGAGCGAAATTTCAAAGCGTGAGAAGGCCCGGCTCAAAGAAATGCAGACGAAGAAGAAGATGAAAATACAAGAAATATTAGATGCCCAGAATGCTGCCATTGATGCTGACATGGTATGTTGTCAAAGCATGTATATTTACCCTACGCAATAGCTATGGTTTCTGGTACGGTACTCTGGTATAAATTATCATTTGATCTTGTTTGTATTGTAACAGAATAACAAGGGAAAGGGCCGTTTAAACTATCTCTTGCAGCAAACAGAGTTGTTTGCTCATTTTGCCAAGGGTGATCAATCTGTATCGCAGAAAGCAAAAGGAAGGTAAGTGATGACTGTTTCTTGTGGGTACTTTCCAGTATTGCTGCAATACTGCACAGGGTGGAAACCTTCACTTTTTCACTTGTAATATATGCTTAGGAACACTGCATAATTTTGGAATAGTTTGATACGTTTGCTCTCAAATAAGCATCTTAGGTGCATTATTTGTTTAATTAGCAGGGGTCGCCATGCATCTAAGATTACCGAAGAGGAAGAAGATGAAGAATGCCTCAAAGAGGAAGAAGATGGTCTTTCTGGCACTGGAAATACAAGACTTGTGGCGCAGCCATCCTGTAAGACTATTTCCTTGTAATTTTCTGTTACTAAATTTGTAGTGTAATATTAATTGACAATTTCTACCTATCAAGCTCCTTACAGAGCTATGTATCATTCTGAATTCATTTGGATCATGGCAAGATATTTTTTGTGACCAATTTATTGTTCGACAGTAGTATAGAATTTTGCATATTGGGTTTTATAGCATATTTACTGACATGGATAGAGCAAATAACTATTTTAATTTTCTGCATCATAATAGGTATTCAAGGAAAGATGAGAGATTATCAGCTTGCTGGTTTAAATTGGCTCATACGGTTGTATGAGAATGGCATAAATGGAATACTTGCTGATGAAATGGTATTGAAATTGACTTGTTTATTGCTAATGTTTTTGTGTTATGTTTGTGCATTGCTAATGGATTTTGGCACTTCAACTTAGGGCCTTGGTAAAACTTTGCAAACCATCTCCTTGTTGGGCTACTTGCATGAGTTCAGAGGGATTACAGGCCCTCACATGGTGGTTGCTCCAAAATCTACACTTGGCAATTGGATGAATGAAATCAAAAGGTTTTGTCCGGTCTTGCGTGCTGTAAAATTTCTTGGGAACCCTGAGGATAGAGTAAGCTTGCTGTGTTAATTTATATCTCTTGCTTCCAAGTTCATTTGTAACTTCCTTTCATTATATTCTTTCTTTATCTTTCAGAGATACATACGGGAGGAATTACTTGTTGCGGGCAAGTTTGATGTTTGTGTCACGAGTTTTGAAATGGCCATTAAAGAGAAAACTGCCTTGCGCCGATTTAGCTGGCGCTATATTATTATTGATGAAGCTCATCGGATCAAGAATGAGAATTCTCTTCTTGCAAAGACAATGAGGCTTTATAACACAAATTACCGACTTCTTATTACCGGAACGCCACTTCAGGTAGTGATTTTGAATTTTCTGTTATCCAAACTGATTGTTAGAAATTCTAATATTTCTATGAACTGAAATGTGAAGTCTTAGAATGCGGCTATCTGATAAGTATTTCATTCATTAAGCCTTGTTCTTGGATTGTAATTAGCTTGTGCGGATGGTACCCATTTGTGACATGAAAGGATGAACACAAATAAACAAACTTCTACTTAGCTTTTTGTTTTTTTTTTTTTTTTACATATTCTCTGGAGATTGTGTACCCCATTTGAACTGTATTGATTTATTTATCTGGATTTTCCATCTTTCGGGTTTTAGCTTGGGCTAGAACTTGGGATATGTAGGAGTTTCTATTTGTGAGTTTCTTATGTGCCATTTATATTATGACATACAATGCAATACCTTGACGGTAGGCCCTTCTAATGTTATGGTTTTGGGTTTTACTGCGCATTTGGTTTTGTAAATATTTTTCAGCTGACACTCTTGACAATTTCATTTGCAGAATAATCTTCATGAACTCTGGGCTCTCCTTAACTTTTTGCTACCGGAAATATTTAGCTCTGCTGAGACTTTTGATGAATGGTTTCAAATTTCTGGTGAAAATGATCAGCAGGAAGTTGTCCAACAACTTCACAAGGTATGCATGTATTTGTGGTGAACTTTCCCCTGGTAAATGACTGGTATTGGTGAAAATAATCAGCAGGTGGAATCATTGCTTTTACTTGGAGTGATTCTTCTCTGATCAAATGTTGTTTCTTTATTGTTGATCTGTAGGTTCTTCGGCCTTTCCTTCTTAGAAGGTTGAAATCTGATGTTGAGAAGGGTTTACCTCCTAAGAAGGAGACAATACTGAAAGTTGGGATGTCCCAGATGCAAAAACAATATTACAGAGCATTGCTGCAGAAAGATCTTGAAGTTGTAAATGCTGGTGGAGAGCGCAAACGCCTCCTTAATATAGCTATGCAGTTGCGGAAATGCTGTAATCATCCATATTTATTTCAAGGTGCTGAACCTGGTCCGCCTTATACCACTGGAGAGCATCTTATAGAAAATGCTGGTATGTTTCATTTTCAACATGAATGGCAAGAAAGATGAATGTTTTTTCTTTCTGATCCTTTTTCCACCTTTGTCTTATTTCATGAATTGTCATCAATTGTGCAGGCAAGATGGTTCTTCTGGACAAATTGCTTCCAAAATTGAAGGAGCGTGATTCAAGGGTCTTGATATTTTCACAGGTTCCTTATTTCAGGATTCCTTTAAATTGATATTGAATTATTTTTTTTCAGCCCTAATCTTTATGCAATTGTTTTAAATTTGAAGCAATGCATACTTAGAAATTCTATTTGAATTCGTTGTGTAGATGACCAGATTGCTGGATATTCTTGAAGACTACTTGATGTTCCGTGGATACCATTATTGTCGGATTGATGGAAATACAGGTGGGGAGGATCGAGATGCTTCGATTGATGCTTTCAACTCACCAGGAAGTGAGAAATTTGTCTTTCTACTATCAACAAGAGCTGGAGGTCTTGGTATCAACTTAGCCACGGCTGATGTTGTCATTCTCTACGACAGTGATTGGTGAGCCTTACTGCCTTGACTTTTGTTAGTGCAGAAAAGGTTGTGATGTCTGAAAATTTACAAGGTTCGCTCTCATTGTACTGCAGGAACCCACAGGTTGATCTACAGGCGCAGGACCGTGCTCACAGAATTGGACAGAAGAAGGAAGTTCAAGTATTCCGGTTCTGTACTGAGGTTTGTCTTGTAAATGCTGTTGATTCTAGCTTTGATTTACTGAAGTCCTAATTAAGCTTGATTATTTTCCAGTACACAATTGAGGAAAAAGTAATTGAGAGGGCCTATAAAAAACTTGCTCTTGATGCCTTGGTTATCCAACAAGGGCGACTGGCAGAGCAAAAGAGTGAGTTGCTGTGACTGAATATATTGATTATTCTCCTTGAATTGCATCAAGTTGTTCCAAAAATAAAATAAAATGTACTTATGTTTTGTATACTCTGTTTTACAGCTGTCAATAAGGATGAACTGCTGCAAATGGTGAGGTTTGGTGCTGAAATGGTTTTCAGTTCCAAAGACAGCACAATTACAGATGAAGATATCGATAGAATCATTGCCAAGGGAGAGGAGGCAACAGCTGAGCTTGATGCCAAGATGAAGAAGTTCACCGAAGATGCCATCAAATTCAAAATGGATGATAGTATGATTCTAGTTTCTTACCTTTCAAATATAATTCACTGAGCTTTGAGATTGTTTGGCTAATGTATGCTTGTGTATTATTTGGGTTCCTCCAGCCGCTGACCTGTATGATTTTGATGACGAGAAGGTATGCTTGCATTATGTCGAGTGTTTTTGAGTTTTATGTCATCATTTCTTCTAAACTTATTATTATGTTTTTGTTGGTAAAGGATGAAAGCAAGTTTGATTTCAAGAAAATTGTCAGCGAAAATTGGATTGAACCGCCCAAAAGAGAGAGGAAGCGCAAGTATGTATCTTCATTGTTTAAAACCATATATTCACACATCAGATTCAATCTATTTGGGATCATCTTTTTATTCTTTGCTCTTTTCTTCAGCTACTCTGAATCGGAATACTTCAAGCAAACAATGCGCCAAAGTGGTCCTGCAAAACCAAAAGAGCCGCGGATTCCTCGCATGCCACAGCTGTAAGAATTTTGTTTTATTTGATATGTTTACTCTGATTACCAAATGATTTTGTGTATTTACCCGCCGTTGAATCTTTGTCAGGCATGATTTCCAGTTCTTCAACACACAGCGCCTTAGTGAGATCTATGAAAAAGAAGTGCGATATCTTATGGTGGGTGCCTGATCTATTCATGACACACTTCTCTCGTCAACACGCTTGTTTTAACGTTGTTTTCAAATTATGCTTTCAGCTGATACAACAAAGAAATCAGGTGAAAGATACTATAGAGGTTGATGAACCAGAAGGTTTGTTCTTATGTCAAATTGTATTTATTTTTATTCAAATCAGATAGAAAACGACATTCACATTATTCTGTACTCAGATGTGGGAGACCCATTGACAGCTGAGGAGCAGGAAGAGAAGGAGCAATTACTCGAAGAAGTATTTTTATTTAATTTACAGCTTGTTTCAAATGTGTTTTTATCATTGTCTCACATCATGACTGACCCGGTTATTGTTGTGTAGGGATTTTCGACATGGAGCAGAAAGGACTTCAACACTTACATCAGGGCCTGTGAGAAGTATGGCCGTACCGACATCAAGAGTATTGCTTTGGAGATGGAAGGCAAGACTGAAGAAGAAGTCGCAAGATATTCTAAAGTTTTCAAGGAAAGATACAAAGAATTGAATGGTAAGTGGACGACGACAAGTTTCTCATTTCTAATTTTCTCGATGGTATGATTAAAATATGTTTTGCTGAAGTGAAAACACAATGAATTCAACAGATTATGATAGGATCATTAAGAATATTGAGAGGGGTGAGGCTCGAATTTCAAGGAAAGATGAGATCATGAAAGCTATCGGGAAGAAATTGGATCGGTACAAGAACCCTTGGCTGGAGCTGAAGATCCAGTATGGGCAGAACAAGGGGAAGTTATACAATGAAGAATGCGATAGGTTCATGGTCAGACTCCGATTTCTTATTTAATAAATAAATACTTATTCTAACAGTAAACATTTGATTATATGCTGCTCTGCTTGCTGCACAGATATGTATGGTTCATAAGCTTGGGTATGGGAATTGGGATGAGCTGAAGGCAGCCTTCCGGACTTCACCACTGTTCCGTTTCGACTGGTTTGTAAAGTCACGTACGACTCAAGAACTCGCAAGGAGATGCGATACACTTATCCGGCTGGTGGAGAGGGAAAACCAGGAGTATGACGAGAGGGAGAGGCAAGCAAGGAAAGAGAAGAAACATGCAAAGGTACGATGACGTTGTTGTTGTTGTTTTTGATGTTGTTGGAAGATGATGGATGAGTAGTAGTAATAATGTTGGATGCAGAATGCAACCCCGTCGTCCAAGAGAGGTAGGTTGGCGACAGAGAGTCCTCCTACTACCAAGAGACGGAAGCAGTTATCCATGGATGACTATCTGAGTTCGGTATGTATGTATGTATGTATAGTCTTTGTTTTTGCATTATAAAAGAGTATCTTGTCTCGGTTGTTGTTACGTTATTATATGATATGATATTATATTTGTCTGTGTATCTGTGTCTCAGGGGAAGAAGAAGAAGTGAGTGACAAAGAGGAGGTAGATAGATAGATAGATAGATATCCATGGATGGAATTAAGTAGGAAGGAGGCTGGGCTCATACTTGATATGATATGATATGATGCTGTCGATCAAATAGTATATCAATCAGTATTATTATTATTATTATGGTAAAGTTGTAAGAGACTAGTGTGGGAGCAAGCTCATTCCAAGTAGCAATGTACTATTAAAATGGTAAGCTTTTCATCTCATCTCATCTCATCATATCATATGTACTACTGGCTTACTAAATGGCTGTTGCTACCATTCATTTTGTCAACTTTAAATCCATAACAACCATACATGTGACAATGAATCTGTGCTTTAGAACCCAGCCCATCCTCCCTTTGCCCCTTCCTCCCCAAAAACACCATTTTCATTTAAGCCAAAAAGGATTCCATTGATTGACTTACTAGTGACAGACATATAATACTTTCTCCATTCATTCATTTGGCCCATCTCATAATAACAACTCTGTTTTTTATCCTTCCTTTTGAATTCAAGGTTAGGTAGGGTAGGTATCTATCTAGCCCTGGTACCCACCACCCAATTCTTCCATTCCATCATCAGATCAGATGAGCATGTAGTATTAGTACTAGTAGTAGTAGTAGTAGTATCCTCCTCGGCTTCTCTCTATGCCAAGTTGGCATTTGGATCGTAAGTTTGCGAGGCCAAATAGGTGAGAGCAGTGACGACATCCCCAATTAGAGGCCTTGTGGAAGCTTGCTCTTGCAGGCACATGGCCGCCACCGCCAGCGCCTGATACAGTCCCCGCATCGGGTACTGTCCTACTAACCCGGGATCCGCCATCTTCGGGAACTTCCTCCGATCCTTGAACAGCGGCCTTGCCTGAATAACACCATCACCATCAAAATCACAATCGCCACTTATGCATGCATGCATGCATGCATTGCATTTATCGGCGTATTAATACAAAATCATCATACCCATGCTACAAGATTATGCTCCCCGGGACCCTTTGTGTTGTCAATCGCCTTTCGACCCGTGATGATTTCAAGGAACACCACTCCAAAGCTGTACACATCCGATTTCAGAGTCAGTTGCCCCGTCATCGCATACTCGGGAGCACAATAACCGTATGTTCCCATCACCCTTGTCGATACATGTGTTTTATCGCCAACAGGACCAATCTTTGCCAGTCCAAAGTCTGATAACTTGGGAAAATATCCGTGGTCGAGAAGAATATTGGACGATTTCAGATCTCTGTATATCACAGGTGGATCCGCTTTGTCGTGAAGATATTCGAGCCCCTTTGCGGCGCCGGCAGCAATCTTCATCCTCATGTTCCAGTCTAATGGTTCTTTTTCTGGTGGAAGATCTGCATTAGACAAGTCATGACTCATGTCGATTAAAACTCCAAGCTCGGAATAAGAATAATTCCTGTTCAATATGTGCAAAAACTTGCCACCATTAAAACCTATCTAGAAAGCAGTTTAGTGTGCTTGTACATACACCGCTTCTGCAAGATATTACGACTACAATTCGGCTGAGAATATAATAAGGTTCGACAGCTTCACTAAAGCAACAAAATAAACCACAAGTTGCCAAGAATCATGAGATAGATGATGTTGAACTGATGTAATAATGAGTAAAACGAGACCACAATCTATGAATAAAATGACAGGTCCGAATGGAAAATGGTTCGTAATTGTCAGATTGTTACAATAAGTTAAAATTCAAATGCCACCATGTGCAATTTCTATCTTTGAAGCTTTCGAAATAATTTATAGAATCTATTCCAGAAGTTTCCAGGTAAATTTGTTATGTGACTCAAAATAAACAGAATCATCAAGTCTCAAATAAACGCTGCCGTATATAATGGCAATCAAAGGTAACTAGCTAGAGGAAACTCACGCACACATGCACTGCATATATTCCTTGAAGATCAGCAAAGTTTTCCCGAAACTACATATTACTTACCAAAAAAGTTAGGTTTCATCAGGACCACGACAGACTCAAACTTCTCTCACATTCAATAAATATATATATATATATATCAATAAAAGATGCTAATATAAAACAGCATCTAATTTCTTTAAATTCTGTGTTAATAAGATTGCAATAGAGCCATGCCATCACTTTAGAAAAATCATATAAGAAATCATTACAGCATACAAGGAAGAGAAGTATCTTGTCCAGAACTCACCGTGTAAATGATCTTCTAGAGATCCCAATGGCATATACTCATATACAAGAAGTCGTTGATCACCATCAGCACAGTAACCTATCAAGTTGACCAAGTTTGAATGATGTAAGAGGCTTAGCATGAGAACCTCCACCAAGAACTCTCGATTTCCTTGAAGACCATTCCGATCAAGCTGTTTAACTGCAACCACCTGCAAATTCAATTTTTGAAACCGGGAATTTAAAACCATCCACCAAAATTCAGTGTAGATACAAAATAGCACCAGTTGTTCTAATTCAGGTACTGAGCAAACATACACCATGAAAGACATCAATACAAGAACCTGATTTTAATATGACAACGAGAACGAACCTGCCCTGTGCTCTCCAATTGACCTTTGTAAACACGTCCAAATCCACCTTCACCAAGCATACACTCATGCTTAAAGTTTTTTGTTGCAGCGGCTAGCTCACGAAATGTGAATGTTTGTGCGGCAATTTTTGGCTCTCTCAGAGCTGCCATTTCCTTCTTAGAATCATTAGTGTTTGGAGATTTTGATTTATCTGGGCAATACGAGGAAAATGATTAATATATAGGTGAAAATAGAAAGTAAGGTCTGATCATGCCTGTGTCAATAATGGTTTATTTCACCATACACAGAAGAATCATTTATTTTCCCACCAATTTCTTTCTGAAGGTATTCATGCATTGAACTGCTGAAATATGGAAAAACACTCTTTTACTATTAGCTTATAGTCATAAAGGAAAGCCCTCTTGAGAATCTTACTTACACAAAAAGCTCAAACATTGAAACTGAATTGTGCCCATTGCAAAAACCCAACTTGTTGGAAATTTAGGAGAAATCCATGGACGCACAGCATAAAACTCAAGTGCAATTTTGATGGATGACTCTAAAGTGATCAAAATCAAGACTAAAAGCAATACTAAGCAATAGAACATTTACAAGCATACCAAATCTGTCATATAGACACTAGAGGTGCTTGGTTGAGTCTTCTTTAAAACTTCTACTATTCATTAATTATTTTTCCCTAAAAATCATAACATCAAATTCATATTTATCATTTTTTTTTATAGTAGACTAAAAATTAAGTTTACATTCAAAACAACAACAAAACATATTTATACCAGATTGGGCCAATCCATACCCAAAGAAAGTGGCATAAACATTCGGGACGGAGGAAGTATCAATAATTCCTATTTTCCATGCAAAAAACCTTTTAAGACATCACAAACATCACCTATTTTCCACGTCCCAAAACATTCAAAACACACCCTTGTCAACACCGTATGAACTCTCAAGGTCAATCCCGTATAAAACCGATCTAGCAGCAGTCTCTCCATTAGCCTATCAAACTCATCTCAATAACATTCATAAAGTAGAATGAGAATATATACATACACCTTTCATCTTCTTCATTTTTTATTTTTATTTTTTCAAATCAACAAATTAATCGATTCATCCAGATCAAGGCAAGAAGAAGTTGCTAAAAGTCCTTCTACAGCACTATCACAAATATATATACATATATGTGATGTATGTATGATCCTTCTCGAACGAATCGATGATATGCATAACCACATGCACATATTATCTCCGAAATTAAAGGTCAATAAAATATAGCAATGAGAAATTTAGGTTACCTGAAATCACTCTATTCAATCGGATGTTAGACTGAGCCGCCGTGTAACCGTCCTTCGTTACCTCTTCGACTCCATTGCTGCTGTTCACTTCCTTCTCCGATGATCCAAAGCAGGCAAAGCACCCCATATCCACTCCAACGAACCGAATCCGCCTCGAACGCCAAAATTGTCACTCAAAAGCGTCATACACTCACAATCTGACCAGCAAAACCATCTCCTCAGTTTCTCGCAGCCTCCTTCCCGAACAAATCCGACCTCCGCTGCTCATTCCGCCATAAATCCAGCCACAGGCAACTCATCGAACGCAGCAATCCGCACGGGATTCGAGATCGCCGAACCGCGCGTTTATTGCGAAAGCAGATCAACGAATCGAAGAAAATTTCGATTGCTCAGCTGAAAAGGTAAACGAAAAGAAGAAAAAATTAATTGGAGTATATAATTAAGCAAATGTAGGCTTTTCTTTGGGTTTTTGACTTTTGAAATTGTACTCCATTTTTTATTTGAATTTTGATATTTTATAAATAAAAAATAAAAATTAATACTCTTATATATATCTTTTATTTAAAATAATAATAGTAATTTAAATACCACAAAATTGTCTTGCTAAATACTCCATATAAATATAATGAAATTAAATCAATAAATATAAAATTTAAAGTATTAATACAATTTTAATGAATAAAAAATAACTATTGTAAGTAAATAAAGATGGATATGTTATTTGTAAATATATATACTTATCTGGTATTCGAATAGAATTGCATAAATATTTAATAATAAAAATATTTATAAATAATTTAATCAAATTTAAGATTAATGAAAAATATTTGTAAATATTTAAGCAGTTAATTTTTTTTATTTTCTACATAAATAATTAAAAAAAAAAATACTAGTATTATTTATTTTTATTAAAATTTATGTCCAAATATTTTAATACACAATTGAGCGATTGAAGGAAGGATTAAAAAATTAGGTAACGGCTGCCCAACTATCTTCCCCAATTGTTGTATGTTCTACCCGTATGTAGAAGTAGTCAATTTTTATTTCTTAAATCATTTTTTAAAATTTTTGTTTTTTAATATATGTATAATATATTTTTAATTAATACTATTATTTAATATTTTATGCCATTTAAAATTATGTTTTTTTTTAATAAATGAAATATTAAAAAAAAATTATTTTACTTGTACTTTTTTTAAAACTTGATTAAATGAACATGAATATCAAGACTAGGTAGTATCTTTCTTATTAACTATCCCCTCCGTACGGGTCATGCAATTTGGTCAGATTTTTTTGCCTGATGACCCAAATTATTAGTTTGGGCCGAGATGGATGAGGACCCGAATACCCAGAATTATCAATAATTTTCTAAAAAAACTTATCAATAAAAAAAATGTATGAGTAAACAAAAACCTAAATTACATTGTATTTTCATAATACTCAGTCTAAGATTTAAAAAAATAAAATAAAAAATTACTAGTGTTCATCCATATTTTTGGCAATAAATAACAGATATTTTTCAATAAAATTTATATTACCGTAGATACGAGAATTTATGATAAATATATTTAGTAAAGAAATAAAAAAATATATTAGTAAAAATAATTGTTTTATAATACAAATAATTATATATTAAGATTAAAATAACTAAATAATTTAATTAAAATTTAAAAATTATAAACATACAGTAAAATTTAAAATATAATAAAAGTGTATAATAACTTTTTAAAAAATATATATATAAGACAAACGAAAATTATAGTGTAAAACATTTTGAATATTTTATATAAAATGAATATAAAATGAAAGGAAATATAAATCATACTCTATTCGTCTCATCTTTTTTTTGTCTGTTATTTCTATTTATATACTCCCTCCGTCCCATGTAATATGGGAGTATTACCGTAGACACGAGAATTTAGATAAAGTATAATTAGTAAGTAATTAAGAAGTGTATTAGTAAAAATAATTATAGATTAAGATTAAGATAAGTAAATAATTTAATTAAAATTAAAAAAATTATAAAATTTAAAATGCGATTAAAGTGCATAATTATATTTCCAAAAATAGAAAAGACAAGTTATATGGGACGAACGAAAATAGAAAATAGGGACAAATGATGTGGGACGGAGGGAGAGAGTATCTCTTACCTTATAACTTATTTGTCTATTTTTTTAAAAAAAATATATATAATTATATACTTTAATTACTTTTAAAAAATTATAATTTATAATTTTTTAATTTTAATTATACTATTTAATTATTAATTGATTTTATTATATATTTTTTAATTACTTATTAATTATATTTTATATTCTCTCCGTCCCAAACACCCTGCAATATTTTTTTTTGGTATGTTCCAAACACTCTGCACCATTTCTAAAATAGGAAATAATTAATTATACTTAATATCTACATCACACTTTATCCTCTCACATCATTCAAATAAAAACATAAAAGATACATTTATCTCTCTATCATATCATCTAATTTTTAAATTATCCTATTTAATACTATTTATCTCAAAACCCGTGTACAAAGCAAATATTACACCTTATTTGGAACGGAGAAGTATTATTTAAGTAAATCGAATACAAAGATGAAGTGTAGGAGTACAATTTTATTGTAAAATATTTATTGATGGCTAGAATATAAAAATAGTGTAAAATTATTCCATTTGCATAAGAAATAATAAAAATAAAAAATAATAATAATAATAATAATAATAATAATAATAATAATAAAAATGAAAACTTTGTGGAGGTCCCAGTATTGGATAAATCCAACATCCGTCTCCAAATCACGTCACGTGACCTGATGCCCTCACCGAAAGCAACCTACATAGCTGACTCTTTTTACTAATAATTTTGTACTCCATTTTTAGGATTTGTTTGTGTCTTATTTGAATTTCAAGTCATATACAATTTTCACCTCAAAATAATAGAAACATTTAGGATAAACATAAAAATAAAAAAAGTAATATTAATAGGTATAAAAATATTTTTAAAAAATCATAAATACCCCTAATTTAAATAATTATTATAAAAAAATAATGATAATTTTGTAAAAAAAATTGTAAACTAATATAAAAATAATAAATGCATGTAATATAAGAATTTTTTTTTTCAGGAAAATGTAAAATTTGTTTGTTTTGTGAAATTTTTGAAAAATAATTCTTTTATGTAAAATATAAAAAAATGTATATAAAATATAAAAATAATAAATGTGTAATATATAAAATTTTTTAAAGAAACTATGTGAAAATAAATATAAAAATAATAAAATCGTAATTTCCAAAAAAGAACGCACCTTTAGTTGTTCAGTTTTTTTATAAATGCAAAAATCTAAGCAAATGTATAATTAAAAAATTTACTTGTAAAAACAAATATTGTAAACAAATAATTACATATTAAAATTAATATAATTAATTTAATTTATACGTTAAAAAATTTAAAATAATACTTCCTCCATCTCACGTATCATGTCTGCTACAATATAGACGCGCTGTTTTAGGAGAAATGTAATTAGTAGATAATTAAAAATATATTAGTAAAAATAATTATTCTATAATATAAATAATTATAAATTAATATTAAGATAATTAATTAGTTTAATTAAAATAAAAAAAATAAATTAAAAAGTTTAAAATAAAATTAAAGTGTATAATTATTTTTAAAAAAATGAAAGTAACATGGAATATGTAACGGACAAAAACAGCAACGTGGACATGATATGTAAAACAAAGAAAGTATTAGAATATATATAATTTTTTAAAAACGAATATTAACAAATTATATAAGACAGATAAAAAAAATGGATAAATTATAAAAAAAATCAAAAAATATAAATAAATTGATTATGGACGAATAGATGTTTTTATAAAAAAAATAAAAATAAAAATCCAAACCCAAGTAATGAATGAATCTATACAGTACATGCATTGCATGAATGATGAATTCTAAGAAGGCGGGAGTTTTCATCATATATGACACGTGTCGGCATCCTATTGAATTGGATTCTTAGATTCTTCAATGTGCGGCTGATCTTTTTACATTTTTTTTTACTAAGTATTATACTCTCAATCCCATATAATTTATTCATAAATCCCACATAATTTATTCATATTTTTTATTTTCGTCCGTTTCACATAACTTATCCTTTTTATTTTTTAAAATATAATTATTCACTTTAATTACACTTTAGATTCTATAATTTTCTCGATTTTAATTAAATTATTTGTTTATCTTAAACTTAATATATAATTATTTTTACTAAATAATAATTACTTTTACTAATACATTTCTTAATTACCTACTAATTACACTTTACCTAAATTTTGGTATTTACAGTAATAAACCCAAAATATCTGGGACAGAGGGAGTGCAATTTTGATCTAAGTTGAATTTGATTTTATACCGAAACTATTAATTTATTATTGAAATTTTATTTTATAAACTAAATAATACTATTTCCATCCTAAAATAATAAAGAGTAATTAAGAAATAATAGTATTATATTGATGGTAGGTATAAAAGTATCTTTAAAAAATTTCAATGTCTATACTTTATATAATTATTGTGAAAAAGTGGAAATAATTTTGTAAAAATATGAAAAACTTGTTACTGAAAATGAAAATAAGACTATTGTTCTATAACGGACGAAAATGACAAAATGAACTATTATTTGGGAACGAAGGAAGTATGTAGTTTCTTTGAGCTGCATTTTTTCTAAATTTTTTATTATTTAGTTGATTCATTTTTTAATAAAAATATATTACTTTATCTCTCATTTAATTATGTATTTTTTTGACTCGATAAGAATTTTTAAAAAATATTTAAAAATAAGTATATATTTTTATTTTTTGTTTGTAAAGCAAAAGTAGAAAAAATGATATAATTTTTACTTAAAAAATAAGAATAAATCTATAACAAAAAATACAGAGATAATACTATGATTAAAATTTTAATAAAATAAATAAAATAAAACAAATTCAATGGTACTCAAATAATTAAATTAAATATTGTATATATATTTAGTATTGAATACAAATATTCAATTTTCTAATTACAACACGCCTAATATATACCTATAACACATATATTATAATTAACAAAATATGATCTATAGAAATATAATACAAACGTAATAAATGAAATAATAACATATGTCAATAGTCCATATAAGGGCGCAGCTAAGTACTGGATTTTTTCATATACTCTCATTGTTCCTTAACAATATATCAATTTTTTTAATTTATGTTTATCCCATAACAAAGTATTCATTTTTTTTTAGTAACTTTAGTATTTACCTAACATTACAAATACCCTTTCAATTTACAATATATTACACAAATGTCATTATCTTTATATCATACAATACTAATAAAGACAATTTAGTATTTTTATCTTTATTTCTACTATATTCTAATATAATAGTAATATTCCTAAAACTCCGTGCAAAAATTAAATGAATATATAAATATGGGAATGAGGAAATAGTATCGTTCAAGTTTTCAAAAAATATTGTTCATTTGTTCAGATAGTACCGATCTAAGAGACAACATGCAGTATATTCAAAATGATATTTGATTTTTACAAAAATTATAAAAATAAATGATTAATCAATTATTTATTTATTGTATTCAAAAAAATTATTTAGCATATTTTACGTTTTTTATTTGTATAAAATTTACATAACTTACGTCTTTATTTATAACAAAACATCAATTTTGGACAAATGAAGTGTTCATACAAACTTTACATTAACACAAAGGAGTTTCACACAGTAAATAAAGCACACAGTATTTTGTGCATTTTTACTAAAATATAATGGAATGTTATATCATTTAAGCTATAATATATAGTATCATTAATTTGATTAGATATGTTAATACAACACAACTATAATATTACAGTTATAAATTCGTCCATCACTACCAAATATTATCATATATTGATGTTATCAATACCTAATATATATATATACACATTCAGGGACAGAACTACACTAGGGTTTGGGGGTTAATTGACCCTCCAAGCCAAATATTTTATAAATTTTTGGCTAAATTTTACAAAATTCACATGTGATTTCACGAAATTACGCCAAAATTTTCGTACTTTTGAAATTGCATCAAACTCTTTTATAGTTTCATAAACTCTGCGTCTAACCCCTCGGCGGTCCTTATTTAACAACATTTGACCTAAATGTACTCAAATTGTGAATAAATTTTAAAATCTTAATTTCTAAAACGCTAAAATTACAAATATATATATATTTCTTATATTTAGCCTAAAAAAAGAGTGAAAATAAACTTTTAAAACCTGATAAAAATAATTATTTTTTAGTATATTTATTATTTTTTTGAGATTAAATACAAGAAAAATGAATATATTTATAATTTTAGAAGTTTAGATATTGAGATTTTAAAATTTATTTGCAATTTGGGCGCATTTAGGTCAAATACCGTTAAATAAGAACCGCCGAGGGAGTTAGATGCAGAGTTTATGAAACTACGAGGGAGTTTGATACAATTTTAGAAGTATACAGAATTTGGCATAGTTTCATGAAATTATGGGTAAATTTTGTGTAATTTAGCATAATTTTTTTAGTATTAAAAAAATTAATTTTTATGCATTTACATACAATTTACCCCAAAAATTATTTAAATTCATATATAATTCTGACATTATTATTTATTTAAATTTATTAATTAAATATTAAATAAATTATAATATTTTGTCCCCCAAAATTTAATTTAAATACTAGTTTCGTCACACTCTATATATATATATATAATATATGCGACGCTGGAATCGTGGACGTACCATTAATGTCCTTACATTTTTCCAAAGCAGAGAGTACAAAAGTTGATATTCTACTTGCATGTATTGTTGACAAGTATTATACGTATACGTATCCGTATACGTATAACCCTAGGGCATTGTCTTTTGAGATTTTAAAGGGCCAATAGAAAGTGGACACTTGGCATCCCACAAGTGATCGATGTTTGTGGAAACTTATAAAAGAATAATACTATCTCTATTTTTTAAAATTGTGTTTATTTTTTATTTTATTTTTTATCTTTTAAAAATATTCTTATATATATTTTTTCTTACAAAAAATAATAAAATATTTCATTAAAATCCTACGCATTATAACTCATTCCAAAAAAATTGATTACAAATTTGATAGATGGAGGGAGTATAATATTTGATGTAGTTGATTTTTATATGAAATTAAAATCACTACTATCGAGTGGGTGTGATTTTTATTAAAAAAAAAATTATTTCATAAAATATTATATCAAAATACTATTTAAATTAAAATTTAAATCAAAATTAAACAAACTCATTATCTTTGTCATATGTAGAAATCCTCTCCAATTTTAGGGTATGTTTGTTTGTGTTTTGATGCATCCAAATGTTTGTTCTTATGGAAACTCTTTTAATTTTTTTTAATTTTATATAAAAATATATTATTATTTTTCACAAAATATCATGCTTAATAAACTCTTATTGGCAGTTTTATAATATATATTTTATTTTTTTTCTTTTAATTTTATATAGTTATATAATGTAATTCGAGGGTATTAATGACTAGTGTGTAATGGATTATATAGCTAATAAAAAAAAAGTACATATTTTGTGTTTGGATTAGCAAAAATAACAAAATAAATAGCTTTCAAGTGAATGAGTAATAAAAACATTGTTTTAATGCAACATTTTATTAATTTGATTGTGTTAAATGTAATATTCTAAATAAAAATTCATATATAAGATTCTTCAAAAAAAAAAAATATTAAAATTCATATAATAAGATTGAAAAAAATAAACACCGCGTATATATTCATGTGCCCACAAATATATATATAATTTTTATAAGTCATATATATTCTAAGGATAAATATTCCTTTAAACATATATATATATACACACCTATATTATATTTATATATGTATATAGAGAGAGACACTATTTTTTTAAAAAAATAAAAATAAAATGTGATTTAAGTATAATATTTTTTGAAACAAAATATATTTTTTATATGTAAGCATGAGAATTGAATAATAAAAAAATAATAATAAATCATTAAATGAACATACTTTTTATGATTTAGTTTTTATTTTACTTTTTATTATACAATGCTTATGCTATAAATAAAAGAACTTTGAAAATTTAAATAATTTTGAAAATGGGAAAGACTTTACAATTTTAATTTTATAAAATTAAATGATGTCACATAAAATTACAAAGAATAAAAGGGGAAGAAAAAATGGACCAATGATCGGGACCTCATTGTTTTACATATAGTCGAACTATATTAAATACATATTTTAATTATATATAAATAATTGAAGACATATATATATATATTGAATAAACTAACAAAATATAATAAATTACATTATAGAAACTATGCAATGAGTATTTAATAAAAGAGAAGATAAAAATAAAAAATAAAAAAAATCATGTAAATATATGTAGACTCAATTCTTTTGAAGTTTAGTTTAACTTTTTTTTTTTTAATAATTATTATTTTTATTGTTCAATCTTATAATGATCCTATAAAAATACATTATTTCTCAAGCTATTGTTAAAAAAAGAAAGTGAAAAATAAAAATAAAACTATGTGTATATATATATATATATATTTGTATGAATTGGATAAATTCAACTTCAATTCCAACTTCTCGACCCAACTCGCGTGAGATGCTTGTGCAAAAGATATAAAATTATTTGGACCACAATTTATCTATATATATATACACAATATATTCCCAAAATCAATAATCACATTTATTTTTATAATTAATCACAACAAAATATTTAGTGATAATGACCATACAAAAATAACATGTTCTAATATTCTAATTCTAGAAATCAAGAAATTATAACATAGATTAAAAGTTTCTAACACCTGACACGTCTCATAATATTCGTATATGTATACATTTATATGCATATTTTATCTTATATATATATATATTTGTATGCTAAGATTCGTGGGTGCGTGCTTCTTTTTTCTTTTCTACATCAATCACAATCATACTACGTAAAGTACATTTAAATTAAAAAAATTATGCCTTACTATTATTTTATATATTTTACATAAAAAAATAAGTATAAAACAACAATTATACATTTATTTTTCCAAGATTCGTCGTTCTATATAAAGCTCGCATGCATTTCCTATTCTCCTCACTTAAAATCAGATAAATTCTTGATCAGTATCATCGTACGTGTTGCTCATTCTGATCGATCGTTGATCGTAAGCCATGGAAATTGCAACGAAATTAGTGTCGGAAAAACCTCTGGTGATCTTCAGCAAAACGACGTGTTGCATAAGCCATACCATCACGTCTCTTTTCTATGATTTTGGTGTCAATCCCACGATTTACGAGCTCGACGAGATGCCCAGTGGCTGGGAAATCGAGAAAGCTATACAACGGCTCGGCTGTGACCCGGCAGTTCCCGCCGTGTTTATCGGCGGCGAGCTTGTGGGCGGAGCTAATGAAATTATGAGCCTCCATCTCAAAAGGGCTTTAAAGCCGATGCTTAAGAGAGCCGGAGCTATGTGGGTGTGATAATTACAAATGTATACTGATGAGATCGTTTACGTACTTTTAGACGGATAATGCGATTTTGTTGCTTATAGTTATAAAATTTACGAATTTAAGGTATGTTTGTTCTTAATTTTTTACGATTCTCAATCCGCAGTTCTGTTATTAGTATAAATATTATTATTATTTTATAATGAAATATTAAAAAATAATAATACTAAAAAATTTGAATAATACTTTTACAATTTCTACTAAATGAAGACAAAATAAATCAATAAAAAAACCATAAATACTGAAATAGCATAACATTGATGTTACTTTATTTATTTATTTGTATTTTGAGGGACTTATGTTGAAACGTGACTTGAATTTAGCGGTCTACCGACCCTAAACCAAAGCGAAAGGGTTGTTTCAATTGACCGGGTTCCTATTGGGCTTATCCTAATTAATAACAAATGGGCTTAGGGTTTAGGGTGTTTTTGGGTGCTTATAAATAGACAACTATGGTTCTTAGTCGGATGACATATTGTAAATCTCTGAATCAGTATAATAAAATCTCTCCGGTTCTTGCCCGTGGATGTAGGTTGTAGGTTGACATACCGTCACCGAACCATGTAGTTCTTTATTTGCTTTCTTTTTCGTTTTCTCATAACAAGTGGTATCAAAGCCATATCTCATTGATTGAGGATGTCCTCGTATAAGTTTGATCTGGAGAAGTTTAATGGGTCGAATGACTTCATGCTCTGGAAGGTCAAGATGAGGGCACTTCTGGTTCAACAAGGATGTGTGGCTGCGTTGAAGGGAGAAGACAAGTTTCCTAAAGACACGAAGGAGGAGGTAAATGAGGAGATTTTGGCAAAGGCTCATTCCGCGATCTTGCTGTCAGTTACTGATGAGGTGTTACGGGAGGTTGTAGATCAGAACAGCTTTTGGGTTATGAAATAAACTGTGTGAGAAGTACCAAAACATGGCAATGACTGAAGGTATTAAGAAGGGTATCTGGTTACATGGTCTGGTGCAGAGTTTGGGCCTGAAGGTGAAGAAACCGGTGTTATTCTGTGATAGTCAAAGTGCTTTGAGTTTGGCTAAAAACCCAGTGTATCATGAGAGAACCAAACATATTGATGTAAGGTTGAATTTTATCCGTGATGTTCTGGAGGAAGACAAGTTTTCTATTCAGAAAATAGCTACATAACACAATCCAACTGATATGTTGACAAATGCGCTACCGACGGAGAAGTTTGAGCGTTGCTTGAACTTGGTGAATATTCGCAGGAGGTAAAGCCCTCTCGGGGCATCTGGCAGGAATGAGACGACTGAGAGATACTGACGAACCTTTGGCGGTTGGAGAAACTCCAAGTCAAGGTGGAGATTGTTGAAAAGTGACTTGGATTTAGCCAGAGTTCCTTTTGGGCTTATTCTAATTAATAACAAATGGACTTAAGGTTTAGGGTGTTTTTGGGTGCTTATAAATAGACAACTATGGTTGGGCTTATCCTAATTAATAACAAATGGGCTTAGGGTTTAGGGTGTTTTGGGGTGCTTCTAAATAGACAACTATGGTTATTAGTCGGATGACATATTGTAAATCTCTGAATCAGTAACATACGTTGTTCTTTATTTGCTTTCTTTCTCGTTTTCTCATAACAGTTTAGTTGAATTAAAATAATTTGATATAAATATATATACACACGTATAATTATTGACAATATTATTACAAGCAATTCACATTGTAAAATGAGATTTCTTATTTTATTTGTGTACTATGCATAATATTTACTTTTCCGTTTCTATAAAATTATATTGGTTGTTTGGTTAAGTAAATAAATTAAAAAATAATAATATTTTAATATTAAAATACATCAGGGCTGTGTTTGTTTGGGGTAGAAAAAATAATAAATAAGAAATAATATAGAAAATTTATTAAAAAAATGATAAAAATAGTAACAATTTAATTATAATTTATTAATGTAAAAATAATAAAATTATGAATGAATATAGTTGTTTATTATAAATAAATTATGCGTAAGTAAGCGAGACGAAAATATGAATGATGATGTAATTTTGGTTGATGGAATATAAATTAATTAAAAGAACATAAGTATTTATATAAATTCATTTATACGTTCACCCTTGTGTAAAAAATCTAAAATTATTACTACAAATGCTAATTTATTAAGATATTTTTGGTTATTTAAATTAAAAAATAATTTTAATATAAATATTTTATGCACACCAATTTATTATTATTATTATTATTATTATTTTTTTTTCTTTACCAATTTATTATTACTTCACGAGGAACAGTTTAGCAGCAAGTAACTTGCATTGCTAAAATGAGCCAAGGCAGAGAAAATAGGGACTCCCAAGACTCCAAAAACCCTCCTGAAACCATTCAAATGAAATGAACTTATAAGGGCCTTGGGATCCCGGGACCTCCAAACAAAATCCCGCAACTAAGCCTTGGGATCCCGGGACCTCCAAACAAAATCCCGCAACTAAGGGCTGGTATTCAGAAGGCTCAGCGTAAACTTGTCTAGTCCTTTTCAATTGGGCCCGGCCCAATGTGCGTAATTTGGACTTTTCTCGTTGTTTGATGTTGACACGTAATGCGAGGTATCGGGCCTCAACAAGCCCAATCACAATTTCCAAGACGTTAAATGGGCCCCCTCTGGCCCGCCAACTTTCCCCTCGCATTAAATGCTTCCGTCTGTCTTGTCTCAGACAGGCTTGCAGACAACGGTCATATCCTTCTCTCCGGTTCCTCTCCTACAGCTTCTACAGTTTTAACTCTCCTCGCAATACTACAAATAAAATTCAAATATAATTGAACTGTGATTTAAAATTACGGTAAAATTGCATCATAGGTGTATATATTTTATTATAAATACATAAAATATAATTTATTATATAAAAGTCTCTTGTACTAAATTAAATTAAATTATATAAAAAATATTCTTATCATCAACATGCTTGGCGTAAGTATACATTTTCTAAAAAGGTTAACTGTTATGTTCGTTAAGAAATAATTTGGTTGTGTGAATGAACTTATAATTATGAAATTATATTAAAATAAAAATACTTTAATTGTTATTATATTGATAAAAATAAAAAAAAATATCAATTAAAATGATATGAAAAAAATATATAAGCTTTATTTTTTATATTATTTTATAATATTTTTTTTAAAAAATTAATACACTATATATTTATTATTTTAATATTTTTTATACAATTTTTTATATTTTAAATAATAATTTTTTTTCTAACAACATCACAAAACAAACATACTCATAATATTTTAAAAAATATATATATATTCATAATAATAAACCAAAATCAGAAAACAATTAACAAACTGCATACAACTGTACGCAATGGAACCGCACGTGAACAAAGTCATACTACCAGCCTGCTTCCGGCCGGTCCACTAACGGCGTATTTTATCAAACAGCAAGCCGAGTTAAGACTCACGTGATCCACGTCACGCAAGCGGACAGCCTGCTAACTTGCGCACCTTCACTGTCAGTCAGTCTGTCTGTCTGTCTTTCATAGAAATATTTACTGCATGAATAATAATACGCCATTGCCTATACTTACAGTTTTTTCCGTATCTACGCCTCTCACAACGCGACGCCGTACATCGAACATGTGAACTTCGATTGTGCAGTATAGAAGATTGGGGAATCCCCGGAATCAAGCGCTTTCTGCATTTTGTTTGAGCCCTAGCTAGCTCTCGGTGGATTGAATAGTTTGGTCTCGTCTGCTAAGGTGCCTCCCGACGTCTGTTTGTTTGATGGAATTGATTGCGATTGTTGAATGTGTGGTGTTTGGTTTGTTTTTGCTGTGATTTGATGTGATTTAGTTTGGTTTATTGTTTGCGAAGGTCTGATTTGCTTGTAGAGTTGGGGGATTTCGGGAAGATGTTTGGGTTTTCGAGAAGGCGGATGAAACTAGGAAGGTAATGTGTGGGCATTTGTTTTCTGCTACAACTGTGCTTGCGCTTGTACGTGGCCGTAACTGCTATTTGTGTGCTTTGTGTGAAGATAGTTGGCTGATTCTGTCGACGCCTATGAATGCTGTTTTTTTGGGACTAATTTTGGAATGCATAAGTTTTCATGATGTGATTTGGTGATATTTCCTTTTGTATTGTTGTGGCGTCTATAAATTATCGTAATCCATTATCTTCACCGGTGATTTCGTTTTTTGAGTGTTGGATATAGTTTTTAAGGATTGTTCAGTTGCTAGATGATGCCAGATATATGAACAATATCAATATAGTTGGGTAAAGAAAGAGAGGATCCGGATAAACATTTATATGGTAAATATTGGGAATACATTGTCTTTAGCATAGTCCTTGATCATTGATTGTTGATTAGAGCATCTGAAAGTCTATGAGTTTTAAGTTGCCTCAATGTAGTAATGACTGGATAGTTAAGCATCTTATTATGCAATTGGAAGGGGATGTGGTTCAGAACATCATCAGCCTTCTGAATATCTTACAATAGTTGAATCTGACATCAAAGTGCAACATATCACATTCCTTTTTTATTATCTTTGTCGTGGATCAATAATGCTGTAGTTTTTCTTCTTAACTTGATTCATGGTTACCCAACTTGTCTACGCCACGTAGATAATGCATGTTTAGCATATTTTTCTTAGATTTTGTTGTTTTTTTCTGTCAGATTAAAAGTTCAACTCTCAGACACAGCTCAGGGAACTAGAAGTCCAATTAGGCACAATAAACGTTTCGGCAATTCAAATGTAAGGATTCAATTTAACTTAGCAAAATACCTTCTTGGTATGGCTGCTTGATGGAGTCGTCGTTTTGGCAGGGGGATGGTGTTGCAGCAACAAGTGGTGAAGCAGATGAACTTAACTTCCAATCATCATCCAATGCACCAGGGCTTAACAACTGCACCTCTGGCAGCTCAGAAAATTGGATGGTGCTTTCAATCAGTGGAGAGAAGCCTACACCTCGCTTCAATGTAAAATATTTTGGTCCTACCTTCTGAATTTAACATTGAAATAAGAACTATGCCAAATTATTCCTGATAAGCATAAAAACTTTTGAATATATTATACTCTATAATAGCATGCAACAGCAGTCATAGGGGACAAGATGGTGGTGGTTGGAGGCGAATCATCGAATGGTTTGTTAGATGATGTCCAGGTATCCCTTTGTCCCACAAAATAAAAAGTCCTTACTCTGTGTTCCCGTACATTTTGTCTTAGCTATTCAATTATTTATTATTTTTGCTGAGTTATCATTTCCTTATTACTGGTATGGTCAGATATCTTTCTAATGTCTATAAAATACTGTATTACAGTCAGTCTGTTGACCTTATAATCTTTGCAGCAAAATGTGTTTATAGTCATATAAAGTTCTGGTTTTTAGTCATATAAAGTTCTTTATCTACTTATTTCCAGGTGCTGAGTTTTGATGAATTTTCCTGGACAACTGCTTCATCAAAGCTTTACCTTTCACCGACTAGTCTTCCGCTAAAAATTCCAGCATGCAAAGGCCACACTTTGGTATAGCATCTTATCCAGAAGACTTATAACATAATTGCATCTTTGTAAGATTCAGTTGTCAGCATGAACTAAAAGCTATAGAGAATACGAAGTTTAAAACTTATTCTTCTTATTAACTCGTTATGCAGCTGTAGTCTAATCTTTCTGTTTCATCCCACTGAGTTTCTTAGGTCCCTTGGGGGAAAAAGGTGCTTCTTATTGGAGGGAAAACTGAGCCTGTGAGTGACAGAATATCAGGTTGTCCTTTTCTTAAGTGATTACGGTTGATTGGCTTTTATGACATATGGAGTCACCATGATATGTAGCATGCCTAATACATTTTATTCCCCATCCATACAGTCTGGGCATTTGACATGGAATCAGAATGTTGGTCGCACATTGAAGCAAAGGGTGACATCCCGGTAATTGTTCTTAATAATGAAAATTTTAACAATGATAAAGTCTACACTTGTATTTGGTGTGCATAAGTAATTTGGTGATATATATACAAACAAACAAAAAAAAAAAATAGTTATAATCTACACATGCAATGGTAGCTTACTCGACAATCATGGCTGCATTCTTCCAGCAAACAAACGAACCAGTTTGCGCTATCCATGATTGAAAAATGGATTTTATTTCATACATTTCTATTTGGACTGACTTCTGTAAGCTCAGTACAATATGTTAGTGAGATATTTGTTGATTGATTTATAATGATAATTTCATTCTCTATACCATTCGGTAATGTTATGTTTGTAGCAACATTTGAATTTCCTTTCACATCTATTCTACCATCCCTCAATGAACTCATTATTAGTGAATGGTATTGATCGAAATATATGGTGCTGAGTTTATCCTAATGCAAATTGCAGACTGCACGTAGTGGTCATACAGTTGTTCGGGCCAATTCGGTTCTAATCTTATTTGGAGGTGAAGATGCTAGGCGAAGAAAACTTAATGATCTCCATATGTTTGATTTAAAGTCTCTAACCTGGCTTCCTCTTCACTGCACGTAAGGCATTTTATGAACTATTTTATATATTTCATAGCATTTCTCCATCGACCAGACAAAAGCTATTTCCTGAATAGAGACAAATTTATCTTTGTTATCCTGTCTTCTTCCCAATTCCTTTACTAAAAAATTTAATCGCACATTGGGTAAATATATATGTGCATGTGTGTGCACGCAGGGGACCAAGACCATCCCCAAGAGCAAATCATATTGCCGCGCTTTATAATGACCAAATGCTGTTTGTGTTTGGTGGAGCATCAAAGTCTAGAACACTGAATGACTTGTATTCACTTGACTTTGAGGCGGTTTGTGAATGCTTTTCTCTATCTCACTATTTTATTTATGTTGTTAGATAATTATAGGCACAACATCATCATAAGCATTCTTAATTTTTATAACTCATGCATACAAGCTTACTTTTGTAGATGGTATGGACTAGAATTAAAACTCGAGGTTTTCATCCTTCTCCTAGAGCTGGTTGTTGTGGAGCACTTCATGGAACAAAATGGTATATTACTGGAGGCGGCAGCAAGAAAAAAAGTATATGCATCTCACAAACTATTTATTGCTTTACATAGTTTGATATATTATGGTTGTTCATGGTTTTAGGATAAAAACATTTTCTCAAGAACTTATTGCTACAGTAGTTATCGATGTACAATATATTTTGATTCACTTCCTGTTGCTTAAAAGTAAGTGATAATTTCGGTGCACGTCTAGAATTTGACATCGTCCTAATTCTCCTAATTACAGGGCCCGCTGAGACCTTGATTTTTGATATTCTGAAGTATGAATGGTCCGTTGCAGTTTCGTCACCCCCATCTTCTATAACCACGTACAAGGTTTGGCTCAGAACTTGTTCAATATATGAGTTATATACTGACAAACAAGAAGATTAGTGATGTTTTTGAGTTTGGATAAATTTCCAATTAGCTCAGAGCACTTTTTATGATATGAAACATCCTGATATTTTTGGTGATTTGTGATTGTTCTGTTTGTTCATATATTTCAAAGAGGTTGCCTTTCTGGCAGGTAATTTGGTCTTTTTTCTCGCTGGTAGAACTCTTACAATATATCAATATTGGAAAGCCTAATTTGGTGATTGAAGTTGCATTCTTGTTGAGTGAATACTTATAGCCAACTGTGAATGAAGACTCACCTTAAGTTGCAGTTACAGAACTCCCACAAAATTGATTACTTCGGCTATTGTATTGTGATGTCTGAATAAATTGGCGTTACATTTTCTCAATCATGTACCATAAGATTTCTTTTGTTCTCCATTTTCTTAAATGTGATATTCATCCCTTCTGCTCATCATCTCCTATTTCCAAGAAATTGTTTTGGGAAGCATATCCTTACAATTTTATTCCGGCCGCAGGGTTTTAGCCTGGCTCTTGTTCAGCAGCACAAAGAAAGGGATTTTCTGGTGGCATTCGGGGGCACCAAGAAAGATGCATCAAACCAGGTGCCGAAGATGACAACATCTACTACTTCTTAGTTTAAAAAACCAGCTGATTCTTGGTTGACTCATATCTAACTTTATACCAGGTTGAAGTACTTGTCATGGATAAAGTAGAATCATCGAGTCGAAGGTCGACTTTGAGTAAAGTTGCTGGAACCTTTAACAGCTCAGCTTCTTTAGGGTTGCCCTCTCAACCAGGCAACACTTCTTCCCATAGTGTCTCAAGACTTAATTTAGCATCTGCAATAGAACAGCATGGATCTGGTCGAAAATCATTGTCGGAGTCTTTACTCGTTGATCCAGGCTCTGTTTCTGGTAATGTCTCCCTCCGAAAACAGTTCTATAACGAGGAGGAGACCGCTGATGTGACCACAACAAAGAGCTCGGAAGACAAGCATTCATTCCGCGTAAGCTCATTAGACAGACGTTTTATCTTTTTCTCGATAATTTCTGGTTGACGATAATATCGTTAGATTTTCGTCGCCAGGTTATGGAGCAAAGCAACACCAAGGATCGAGCGGTGGAAGAACCTCCATGTATGCCGGAATCCGATAGCTTGAACCTTGACAAAAATGGAAGCGGGAATATACCAATCGAAAGCGAAGATGCTTCTTTTCATGAAGGTGATGGTAAATCGAGAACGGCGGTTCCATTGAGCGCCTATCAGATGTACGAAGCGAAGGTAGCTAGTCTTTTGAGAAAGAACGGCATTCTGGAAGGACAGTTAGCCGCTGCTATTTCTGGTCGCGAAACTGCCGAAAGAAATCTGGCGATTACTGTAAAGAGCAAACAAGAAATGGAGAAAAAATTTGGCGAGAAGATGAAGGAAGACGAGCTGCTTAAAGAGAAGCTAGCGAGTTTGGAATTAGCTCAGGAGGAGGCCAACAGCCTCTCGAATATCGTCCACTCTGACAATGTAAGACTCGAACATGACGTCGCTTTCCTTAAAGCTGTCCTCGACGATACACAGAAGGTATGTATCGAACCCCGTCTGTAAAAATAAATAGATTAAGAATCTATGTATGTATTATTACGAATCGGTTAAATCTGATGGCAGGAACTTCATTCGACTAGAGGAGTTCTTGCAAGCGAGCGAGCAAGAGCTTTTCAACTACAGGTTATAATTGCTTAGAATCTTCATTCATTACATCCTTTTCAAAACTTTATGAAACGATTTGTTCTATTACATGGATTTTGGCGGCAGGTCGAGGTTTTTCATCTGAAACAGAGGCTGCAATCGTTGGAGACGCGCGCCCCGACGCCTAGGAAGCCTTTCCATGTCTAGCGTGCGCCTGGAAGGATTGACTCAGCTAACGTGCAGCTCGACATAGGACCGTTTCGATCGATCGTTTCTTCCGGGAATACAAGGTCATGTTTTTCTCACCTGTAGAATGCTTTGTGTGTATATATGTATGTTTATATTTGGAGCTTTTGGAATAGTAGTTTATGTGCAAACTGTGTTGTTTGTTTATTGCAAAGTTTTGGTTCGTTTTCAAACAGTTAGCAAAATATAAAAGAGAGGGTTGTGGGTAGAAGATGCTAAAAGTTATTCATTCTATTCCCAAAGTATCCGTTAATTTGAATTGTAGTTTGTGGTAATTTTGGTATTTTCAACATGTAAGATTATGCGATTACAACATGCTAAAAATAATAATATTAATTTTCCTCTATTCAATTTTTATTGTCCTAAAGTATATTTGCACAATTTTTTTAGGTGATTTTTTTTTTTTTTATTTATGAATTAACAAATTTGCCTTAATTGTATGGTAGAGATAAAAAATAATAAATAAATGAAGGTAAAAATATAAAATTTGTGTTTAAAAAAAAAAAAATAGAACAATAGTTGATGGATATTCCAAATGGGAAAATAAGACATTAGTTTATGAAGTTTATGGACTGATGAAGTAATATAACAATGAGTAGGTAAACATTATACAATTATGGATAAATAAAATTTATTATTGTAATAAACTATGTATGAATTTGTTTGTCTAACATAAAAATTTTCTCCGTCATTTTTAATATATAATATATATTTAATTTTCTTATAAAAATTAACATTCAAAAAATATATATTTTTTATTATAAATATTATTTTGAAATTAAAACATCAAACAAACAAATTTAAAATAAAAATAAAATGCTTAGTTTTAGCTAATGAAAAAAGTGCCGTATTATCTTATGAAATGCTTAGTTTTAAAATAAAAACATTTTCTTTTCCCATCTTATTAACTAATTTATATACTTACTAAAATTAATTAATACTATAATATAATATTCACCTTAACTCAAATGATCATAATTCATAAGTTTTCTCTTATAAAAATGAAGGAAAAGAAAAACACCATAGTCTGTAATTTTTGAGGTTCACAGTGTATCTACATCGCCTCTTCGTCGGCTATTCGCAATCTCTCTCAAAAACTCTCATCACTTTGTCTCCCTCTCGCACCATAACACTGAAAATTTCTCCAGTCTTCTATGGCGTTTTCGTCTCTGTTTTCTGCATCCACTTTACATTTGAAGCCGATTCTCTCCTCTGGGCCCAACCACGATTCGAAGAAGCAGCGTAACGCCAAGTCACGCAAGTTAAAGCCGCGTCGGAATTACCCGCCGCCGTCTCTCTTCACCGCCGTGGAAGGCGGAGACGCCACCACATTCACCCGCCTGCCTCCCAAAGATGACTTTGGATTCGAAAATTCAGGTTCGCAGTCTCTCGTTCAAGTTGTCAAGCTTTCTGATTCCAAACCGGCGGTTACCAAATCGAAGAAAATTAACGAAAACATTGGGGAAAAATATGGCTTCGATTCTAGCAATAGTGTTGCTGAAGATTACCGTCTAGGTTATAATGATTCTGAGGCGAGTGATGATTCTGATAATTATGGAAGATTTGAGGTTTTTGAAGTAGGTTCAGATGATGAGGATGTAGCTGATAATGATGATGATGATGATGATTTGAATGAAAGCACTGACCTAATTTTTTCTGAAGAAGAAGAAGAAGTAACGTTTAAGGAGAAAGGTATTCCTGCAGTGATGAGATGTTTCGACAAGGCGAAGATATACGTGAAGGCAGGGGATGGTGGGAATGGAGTGGTGGCGTTTAGGAGGGAGAAATTTGTGCCGTTGGGGGGGCCGTCGGGCGGCGACGGTGGCCGCGGCGGTAATGTGTATGTCGAGGCAGATGCGGCGATGAATTCATTATTGCCATTTAGGAAGAGCATTCATTTCCGGGCCGGGAGGGGAAGCCATGGACAAGGGCAGCTCAAGCACGGCGCAAAGGGGGAGAATGTAGTCGTTAAGGTGCCGCCGGGCACTGTCGTGAGGGAGAGTGGAGGAGATGTGTTGTTTGAGCTGTTGCATCCCGGGCAGAGGGCGTTGCTCTTGCCGGGAGGGAGGGGCGGGAGGGGAAATGGCTCGTTTAAGTCGGGAACGAATAAGGTGCCGCGGATTGCAGAGAATGGAGAAGAAGGGCTTGATTTGTAAGAGCTTTTCTTCTTTACATTGGCGCTTGTGTTTTTTCTTACCGATGTTTTATGTGCATTTGAGTTTTCTTGCGATACTGTGGTTTTGATAACGTTTTGTAGTGTTCGAAATTCGTTGGTTGTTTTGTTTTCTATTGTGGTTAGGAAGCAATGTGGTTTTGATATTATAATTTGTATTTTTCGCTTAGATCAGATTTGAGTTTATTGTTAGTGTATTTCGAACATGGTTTTGTAGCCTTCGTCTTGTTTAATGTTTTCGTCCATCTCTAATCAGTTTTTATAATCGTAGAAATGTTTTCACCGGGGAGTCATTGTTACAGTTATGATATATATATATATATTACTATCGTCGTTATAATAACTGATTAGTCGTGTGTGAATCAGGTGGCTCGATTTGGAACTGAAATTGGTGGCCGATGTTGGGATAGTCGGAGCTCCAAATGCCGGGAAAAGCACTTTTCTCAGCGTCATCAGCGCAGCTCAGCCCAACATTGCGAATTATCCCTTCACAACATTGCTTCCAAATCTCGGTGTCGTTTCCTTCGACTATGATGCCACAATTGTAGTCGCCGATTTGCCGGGGCTTCTAGAAGGCGCCCACCGAGGTTTTGGGTTAGGACATGAGTTCCTTCGGCACACTGAGAGATGCACGGTTCTGGTACGCCCCCATTCCACCCTACACGTTCCTACATCCTTAAAAATCGTCGTTTTCTTAGAAATCGATTCTTTGTTCATATAGATTCGACTTAACGAAACTAATCTAGAAGCATCTCGTCTCGGGAGCCTAGGTGCATATCGTCGACGGTTTGTCAGAGCAGCCTGAATACGAGTTCGACGCTGTTCGTCTCGAGCTGGAGATGTTCAGCCCCGAACTTGCGGAAAAGCCTTACATTGTAGCATTTAACAAAGTCGATCTTCCGGAAGCTTCCGAAAAATGGCCGTCGTTCAAGGATGCTCTACTCTCCCGTGGCATCGAACCTTTCTGCATGAGCGCCATCACTAGAAACGGCACGCAGAAGGTTATAAACTTCGCCAACGAACTCGTCCAAAAAAGTTCTTCGGATAAAAACGAAGGTCGGAAGCAATTTAGTCGCCATAGAAGTTGTCTCGAGATTTTAATCTTTCGTTACTGATCTTAATGTCTCTGTATTTTTACTTCTCGCCAGGTTATGAGGCTCCGAGAAATTTGAATTATGTCGCGGATATGATGCAGAAGCAACGAGCAGCTCCTATCAGTGAGTTTGAGATCTCGCACGATGGCAGCACCAATACATGGCGTGTCGACGGAGCGGGGTTGCAGCGGTTCGTCCAGATGACGAATTGGAGGTCTGAAACTAAACACTTATATTGACATGAATGTTGTTTTTGTGTGGAAAAATAATATCGAAATATCGAAATGCTGAAATACCATTTATACCGTACCGAAAATACCCCAAATATCGAGATTTCGGTACAATATGTTACCGTATCGGACTTTTTCAGTACGGTAACGGTATATAATTTTGGTATTTGTGATATTTCGGTATATACCGACAATACCAAATACTATTGACATTTTAGTATTCGGTATATATTAATAATTTTATATATTGATATCAGCCAATTCAATATACCGAATTATCCGTAAGATACGGTATATAGTATACGAAGTACCAAATTTTCGTTATATCAATTTTTTGGAATCGCTTACGGTATATACACTCTAAACTTCGATATACCATACCGAACCACTCCTTAACGTTGTTAATTCGCTGTTTGTTTATCGTACATCATCGATTTCTTCTTTCGTTTTTTCTTGTTACCGAACCAAACAGATACAAAGATTCGGAGCGAAGATTTCAGCATGTTCTGGAGGTGTGCGGCGTCAACAAATCTCTCATGAGGCTCGGAGTCAAAGAGGGTGACACCGTTTTTGTCGGAGAGGTACGATACTGTTTGCTCGAAGCATTGCCACATCGTATGCTTCCTCGAATTCTTTACATATATGTGTCGGTTTTTGTCGTGTCCCGTAGATGGAGCTCGTGTGGCATGATGCTCCGGATGGCTCAGGCCCGACTAGTCGGAGGAAATGGGCGGCCGAATCGGTGGAATGACTTCTTTCGTGGCGGCTGTCCAGTGGCGTTGGGTAAGACTTGTTTCACCGGCCGCCGAGCCGCGGCGGCGCTGTGGCTGTTCTAACATCTTCGATGTTTGATCATTTTGATCTGATGCAGAGTTCGACGGCTGCTGAAGTTCGATGTGCCCGGCGGCGTTCTTGGTGCACGCTGGAATTCTTGTGTGAGGAAATGGTACAATGCGACGGCGGCGGCGCCTGTAAGCTTTGTTTCCTTAAATAGATGATTTTGGATGTGTTTTTGTGTGAACTTTATTTATTTAGTAGCGATTATATATAGTCTACAAGTTTTTACATTACTTGTTCGGGCCGGGCCGGGCCGGGTTTACTTTATGCTAACAATTAATAGAAATATATCTTGATTCACACGCAACAATAGTACATATCTCATATGCTATAATTAAATTTTAATATAAGTTTAATTCATTCAAGTTCACAAATTAAAAAAAAAAAAAAAAAAAGAACTTAATTCAAATATACCAGCAAGCTGTAGCTAAAAGATGCTATCCAAAATAACTAATAGTGAGTATAATGCAGCGAGAAGCCCACAAAACTCCCAAAAATATTACCAAAACTCTGTATAAAACATTACTTCTAATCATTATTTTAAAAAAATAAAATAAAAAAAAAATCTCCAATTACAATTAATGTCACAAATATAATATAGTTAACATTACTATTGAATACCTGAACCAAGAATTTCATGAACCAACAACACAAAAGATTCTATGGAGTATCAAAAGAACACAAAACAAGTAATATAATACTTAAAAGCAAATGTAACAAGAAGAAACATCGTGTCAAACTAATCTAAAACATATGTAAGAAAATCATGAGCACCTTTCCTGCAGATTGATAAAGCAACCCTATAATCATTCATAGAGAGTCCTATGTATTATATATATATATACACACACATATGTATGAAGAATAAATTATTTTTGGGTAAAGTCTCCATGTCTTTCTGATCATTTATGCAAAAATAAAAAGAGTAGCAAACACATTTAACCATAAATACACAGACAGTATAACTACATTTACAAACAACAGATAATCTTAAATAGAGCCATGTAGTTTCTTCTTTAAGTTTCGACAATGTCTCCATGGTCATCGAATATCCCCCAGACAAAAAAGGGGAATCAGATATATCGCAGACGCTCACCACTGTAAACCATTCCTTAATAAATATGGAAAACGTATAGTTTCCCATTCTTAAGGAACGAAAGAAAGAGGTGCGGCATAAACAGTTAAAATCCAGGGGGAGGATTATCTATCTTTTTCGTTTCGAAAAAGATATATCATAAATAAACACAAAGAAGCTCCAAAAATTTTGGGCAGTGAATTTGACGACACAAAACTACCTATAAGGGGTCGAGCTTTGGTTTGGATTTCTCGTTATTCAGAGTCTACCTGAAAGGCTAAGAGTGCATATATATATATATATATATATGTATGGCTTATTCGAAATGGGAAGTTTGCCAGTTTCCCAATCTGATCATTTATGAACACAGATTGGCTACTAGCCTAAGAATGAAGATTGGCTTCGGGTTTTGGCCAGGTATCCCATCCCACAAAGGGATAATTTATACCAAAAAGGTTTAGTATGCTTTTGAGCAATTTGCTCGACTCTACAGAGAGAGAGAGAGAGAAAGAGAGAGAGAGAGAGGAGAGAGGTGGGGGTATATACCTCACTATTTTTACTCGGCTGATGTATGAACCTCCCCTCCATGACTGGCGCTGCTGCCGCCACTCGAAGAGTTAGAGCCCTGCCCGGACGACTGCTGAAAACTTGATTGAGGGACAGTACCACCTGTTGAGAATATTGAACCAACCGAAGCACTTGAGAATGCATCTCGGTTGAACCCAGAATGAAGCTCCGGCCTCAAGTCCGAGGACGAGGAAGATGGAGCTAAAGTTGCGTGTGTGGATCCAACGGGGTAAGGAGCAACGGGCATATCAGTTAGAGAAGAAGCAGAAGGACTGTAACTCAAGCTTCTCATAGGATGATCGAATTTGCACGAGGGCCCGTATCTGCAGACCCCAGTCTGTGCAAAGTGAGAACAAATTGGGGCGCCCTGAGAAAAAAAATTGAGAGTGAAAAAAGTGAGCAGCATAAGGCGAAATGAATTTCGAACATACAGTCTATAATGGAGATCACGAAAAAAAGATTTATAGTAGGTATAAAATCGCAACCAATCAGATATGGTGAAATCAGACCTAGGAGATTTTTTGCTTGTGCCCAAGGAGGCCGGGAGAGGGAGAAGCCAATGGTTAAATACTGAACTGCAAATTCGTTATTTAAGAATGCTCTAATACAGTCAACATGGTGGTGGCTATGAACATCAAGGAACTGTAAAATGACTCCTTATGACAAAGCAAAGTGACGGACATGGATAAAACTCGATGGGAGTACGTACTATTGTATCACAACAAACACCCCGATGCAACTATTAGTCATGACCAACAGGAGGTATATTTCTAACAAGGAAAATCTAGAGACCAGAAGTAGATGAAGAAATAAAAAGGTGAAATTATTTTACCGTATTTGTAAACATATTCAAAAATCAACGATGGACTTGAAAACACACTAGGACAATTAAATTATGAGTGCTACAGGCTTAAACCTCAGGATATTCCCAGTATAAAAACTCAACTATGAAAATGGATGTGGGAGGAGAAGGTTTGGGGCTATGATAAAAACGAGGAAGAAAAAAAACGCGTTCATTTGATCATCGGAACATCATCACAGCGGGTATAAGTGTATATTCAATCCTGTACACACAAGAAAAATCATTAGGATTACATATCTTGGTGTCAATGCACTGAGGAATTACTACATCAATCAGCTTTGGCCTTAGTTATAAATACTATGCTAATGCATTTGAGTTATTTCGGTAGGGACATATAACTATAATTTTAGGCCCACTCTTGGCAAGTCTTATTTGCCATTCGAAAGCATCCTTGGATATACATTAATGACTCGCAAACAGTTAATCAACTTATGTTTCAAAGAAAATAATTCAAAATGCTAAGTAAGAGATTAAAAACAGGACGAAATGCTTACTGGGCGTAACGGCAGACCCACAGGACTAATCATATAATTGGATCTTGGTGCAAGCAACTCCAGTGGGTGATGATATTTACACGTAGCTCCAAATTTACAGCCGCCAGTCCTTAAATAATACTGACATTCTGGTTGACCGGGTCTTTGTGGAAACAGGTGTTCCTTCGGACTACCTGAGGGGCCAGCAGAAGACACAATGGATTGGTATGGTCCTGTGTATGCACTTGCTGATGGAGACAACTGTGCTAGTCCGAAATATGGGCCTGCACTGACTGGCGTTTGAGTACTTGGGGAGGCCACATGACTACCAGGTGCTTGTACACCTACCTGATATGGTGTCCAACCGGGAAATGGAACAACTCCTGGGGGAAGGAGCATCGGGCTATAGCTTCCAGGCATGTACGAACCTGGAAGCATGGCAGGCCTGGGAAGTGGCCAATTGCCTTGAACAATCCCATACTGTTGAGAAGATTGAACAGGAGGCTGCACTGCTTGATAAAGTGCCGGTGAGGGTAAAGCTGGAGGAACAGCCAGATTCCCGGGACCTGGGGCGGGGGTTGGTGCTGGTATCCCTGCCGGCTGTGGATGATGAAATTTACAGGTGATTCCAAACTTGCATTGCCCTGTTTTTATATAATATGAACACTCCTTTTCTCCCTGCAACAAAGAATCTATCAGACAGCTGTATGTCTTAAGAAAATATATGATTCTATAAAATTTTGAGAGGCAGACCGGTCGCATGGGATATCCATAATAATTTAGTGTTAACTGAGATGAAGACCCAGCTCCTTGCTTCGGATGGTGATATTTGCATGAGGCGCCAAATCTACACATTCCTGTCCGCATGTAGTACTACAAATCCAAAGGAAGGGGAAAGGGTTTGTACGGAATGTAAAGTATTCATCAACAAAAATATCAATAAAATAGAACTCAAGAAGATATATATTGGCACCCTACAAATATAGCCTATGATAATTTGATGCCAAAATTACTTGAGTAGAGAATAGTTTTAAAACATGATTGCATTCGGTTTATTGAAGTTTAAAAACTTCGTGTTGATGATGGCATAGCACGTAGCAAAGATAAGAATGATAAATGCCAAACCCTGTCATTCTGCTCAGCAAATATGAATGAAAAGCAACACAAAACATACAAGTAAAAAACATGCTTATTTTTCTTCTCACAGGCATCCAATTGATGTCACAACAATTAATGCAAATGATGTACTTTCCATAATCTGAGTAATATGCCACTCACAAATTACAATCAACAAGGATCTAGAGAATACATGATAAATTCAAGAAGATTGCCTTATGTTGTACTTGAACAGAATGAAACTGTATTCAATAAGTTTAGCATCTTTCATCTAGCATGGCAACATATAAATATATATATATATATAAACACTTAATTGTTTTTCAATATTTAACTTCATGGTGTGCGGTGTGCTCCCTATGATCTTTTCCATAATGATTATGCAACTAACTTAAATAAATTCACACAATGAGACCGATATCTTGGGTTGTAAAGAGGAACTCCTTAAAAAGGAACTGAATTCCAAATGCAACATGCTGCCAAAAGCAAAACATGAAACATGGACCATCCATGGTCAAATAACGTACAGGCTGGTAATTTTACAAACAGAGAACATCTGAATCTTGTAGATATATCCAAGAAGGAAAACCAATAAATTTTACAGCCCATCAAGAACACATTTTCAAGATTTACGGTATCCACATGCTCATATTCTAAAAAAAAAAAGAACACTTGATTGGAAAAAAGGACAACAATGTCAAACAACTTTTAGGCTAACACCATGGATAAAGAAACAAATTTTTGTTCCCACGAAACCAAGACTTGTAATGGATGACTTCTTTTTGTGCAAATATTAAGCTGATGTAAATTTCTCAAAATAAAAATGATAAGCTTCATACAATTAGACACCTATTAAAGGCCATGGTAATCTTGGGATTCAAACATCAGCATCATTTAAAAAGACAGCAGGGGAGGATGCAAATCGGACGTGCACTATATTCTCTCTATGTTTCAAAAGCAAATAATAAACACTTTGATTTCAGTGGCTGTATAATTTACAAATGTACACCCCTGTGACCATAAACTTTTGCATCAACATTGCTGCCTATTATTTGCTGAAAATTTTCTGCATTGCATACATACACAAACTAATTTCCTGGCCAAAAAACCACATCGAATGAGATACCTGGCAGACAGGCTGGCCAATACGCTCGGGGTACTCACCTCCGCCGCCTCTCATAGCTCCCATTGCCTATGCCATGAGAACAACAGTCACATTTGGCAGCATATGTTTATGCAAATGTGATTATGGTTCAAAATGCATAAATATTTCACAAAATCACTAAGTCCATTTCACCAAAAAACTCTTACTAACACCATAATATAGGCTATATTTCTACTGGTGCTCCATCAACACCATAATATAGGCTATATTTCTACTGGTGCTCCATCAACACCATAATATAGGCTATATTTCTACTGGTGCTCTTAGTATATGCATGTTAAGATTCAAAATTTCTCTTCCAAACAGCAATATCTCAAATAAACATGTCCTTTTCTATATCTGTTCCATATGATTCTGAGTTACTGAATCAATGTAAGCTTGGCCAGCCATGGAGCTGGCAGATCTTCAAATCCACATCGCCTTAATATCATTGAAACACCGTAGATCAACAATTCACCTCTAATTTCTTCCAATTTAGCATTAAATCTACACAAAACCCCAACGAATCTCACTCTTGAACAATGATCGAACAATCATGCATCAAAAGATCAACAGTTATTCCAGAACCCTAAATTCCAGAGACTTTACCATACTACGATCACGTGGATGATTAAACCGGCACCGATTGCCATATCCACAGAATCCAGTCCTCAAATAATAGATGCAATCGGGCTCATCGGGCCTCTCCGGGTACGATTCGGACCCAGCACCAAGGCCTAATTGCCACATAGGCTCTGCATTCACAGAATCAATCTTCGAATCAATCGACAATGACAGAAGACGATGCGCAGACAGTCCAGTAAAATTCAAACTCAAATTCAAGTGAAATTCAGATGAAATTCAAATGCAACTCGCCTTCTAGCCCTGTTTGCCCTCCCGGCGTCGCCCATTCCGCGACCGGATCCACCGGAACACCCTCCATTGCCTGCGTCCCGCCGTACCTCTCCATACTGCAACCACTCCTTACCCCCCCCCCCCCCCAAACACAATACCACACCACCAAACGCACACAAAACACAAATACTTGATTCCAAACACGATTTATTGCCGAAATCCAAAAGGCGCCTCTTATGGCGGTGTGTACAAGACACGAAGACAGGAGTTGCTTCGCGACCGTGGGAACGAAAGAGAGAGAGAGAATGAGAGAGAAAACAGAGGTTGTTTGATCGAGAAGGGGGTTTGGTAGTTTTAGAGAGAGAGAGAGAGTGCAGGTAGAGAGAGAGAGTGAGGTTTTCTACTTTCCACTGGTCTTTTTTCACACAGTGCCTTTTATATATTTCACACACACACCCGGTGGGGTGTGTGCGTGTGCGATTTTTTTAATTTTTAATTTTTTCTTTTCCCTTTTTCTTCCCCGACAATTTTGCTCGTGTTTTTTTATAAACATTTATTTTATTTATTTTGTCTTTTGGTGGGCACTGTTGATTCTGTGGTGGAGAATTGATTTTTTTGAGGGTTTTTAGTGTTTTTTTTATTCTTGAAAAATTTCTATTACACGCTTTTTTTTCTTTTCTTTTTTTTTTTTTCTGTTTTGACAGTTTTGTTTGTGCTGAAAAGTGTTAGGGATGCTCTGATTTTAAAAGACTATCTTGCCCTAGCATTACAACAGATTTTAGAGTTTTTTTTTTTTTTTCCTAAATAATAGTTCCTTCGGTCCACGTATAAATTAAATATGAAATAATAAATTAAATATGAAATAATAGTATTTTAATTACAGTAGTGGATAGTTAAAGTAGTATAATGACAGTTTTTTTTTTTTTTTTAAAGTGATGATGTAATGTACCGTAAATGTATTTGTGGAAAAAAGTAAGATATTTAATAAAATATTTACATTATAATTGAATGTCCTAAAATATAAATATGTATACTTTTTAACTGAACTGATAAAATATATATATTTTTAAAAATATATATTATACATATTCATTATTTTTATATTATTTATACAATTTTTTAAATTTTATATAAAAAATATATTTTCAAATTATTTCATAGAATAAATCTTTATTTACTCAAATTAATTTATATTGATATTATTCTCAATTAATATGAAATATATATATATAATATGTATACACATTCACACACAATATATAATATATTATTTTTATCAAAATTAATAATTTAACATAAAATATTATATATTATTATATTACTGATACAACATTTTGTATTTTACATAAAGTAACACTTCAAACTAAAAAAAAAGTAACCACACACACCCCAATCTTAATAAAAAATAAAAAAAAAACAAAACAAAACAAAAATAGTAATGTACCTTATTACTATCTAATATATTTCTATTTTTCTTAAAAATATCTCTTGAGTAAATTATTTTTTTATTATTTAATGCACCGCTACTCGCAAATCATATGTGGTAGGTGACCTAAGACGTCAAGGGTTTGAACCCATGACCTTATGGTCACATGTCTAACCTCTGCACCACCAAGTCATCCCTTACGGACAACTCTCCCAATTGTTCAGATGACAAAATTTGATCAATCAATCTTCAAATCGATCAATTTCTAAATCGACTCTCTTTGGTCCTCCTCGAATGCAATTTAATATTATAGAATTCAGACAAGTCAACCGTTCATTCCTTAATAGATTGGATTGTCCGAGTTTTCTCATTACACACTATCTGATTGTATAATGTACAAATGAAAATATTGTGTTTGAATTTTGAGTTGGGATTTGAATAGTAGAAATTTTGAATTTGAATAGTTGTATGACGTGATATAAATAAGTGTTGATGTGATGTTTTGAATGTAAAATTGATTTTTAGTATAATATAAAAAATAAAAAATAAGTGTTTGGTTCGATGTTTTTAGGGAGAAAAATTAGATGAATAGTGTAAATCAAATCCAATCCTCCAAACAAACACACCCTAATTGGATTTATAATTAAAATTGTGAATACTAAAAGGTGTGTTTATTTGTAAGATTTTAATTTTGGGTTTGGTTTTGAATAGTAAAATTTTAAATTGAAATAGTTATTTGATATGATATAAATATGTATTGATGTAATGTTTTGAATGTAAAATAAAATTTTAGAGTAATATAATAAATAAATAATAGATATTTGATTTAATATTTTTGTGAAGGAAAAAAAAAATTATAACATTAAAATTTTGTATTGAAATTATTATTTGATTGATATTAAGAGTTAGGTATTTAGTCCAACATTTTTTATTTTTTATCAATTGTTATGAATTTGAAAAAAAAAAAAAATAGTTTGAGTTTGATATTTAAATAATGTATAATAAGATGTTATTTTTTTTCAAAAAACGCAGAATCCAAATAATTAAAATTTGAATTTAATTTAGAGGAAAAAGAAATAAATGATATATATGTATGTAAATATATAGATAAAATAAATATAAATATAAATATAATGGTATATATGATAATAAATATAATGTATACTTACATATAGATCTAAATATAAGAATATATATATTTATTTATTTTTTATGATGTGGGAATCCGTCGCCGCTGTCCGAAATATATATATATATATACATATGTGGTGTCGTTAACGTGTTAACTTGGTCAAATGAAAAGTTGTTATGATTTGATCAAATTAGAACGTTAATATGGAGCAATTAGTATTTTTTCATAATACAAATAACATATATTGTATTATATAGTAGTATATGTTGTATGACTTATATATAGTACTCCCTCTGTCCCATTGAAAAATTGTCATTTTTTATTTTCGTCCGTCATAAAACAAGGTTGTCATTTTCTAATTTAATAATTGTACTACTTACCTAACACAATAAATATCATTCCAACTTACACTATATTACACAAATATCATTACTTTTATATTATACAATACTAATAGGGGCATTTTCGTTTTTTTCAATTCAACTCATTATAATACTAATATTAAAAAATTTACGTGTAAAAAAGTAAACGACAACCTTGCACTGAAACGGAAAAAATATTAATATTTGTTCATTTTTTATACAGATACTCGTTAATTGAATTAAATTAGCATCATATTGATTTGACTAAATTAGTATTAATATTCGAAACAATGTTGTTACAGAAATTAGAACCCATATTTATAGATGGAATATAATGTGATTATGGCGGCGATTTCAATGCTGATTGGGTCAAACTACCATTGTATTAATCCGACTCAATCGATTTATATTGTTAAGATATACATTGCATATTTAATATAGCACAATATAATATTATGTTATATGAAAGTATATGATGTGAAATTATATATTTGTGATATACTGAATAAAAATGTTTATTATACTATATAAAATTATATTGTATATTGTCGAAATATATGCTATATAAATTTGTATTATGCACTATCATATATATGTTGCATGTCTTAATAATATGTGCAGATTTGATTAAATTAGCGCAATACTGACTATAGTTAACATCTAAACCAAAGGGATGGTCTGGTGGTGGTGTAGGGGTTGGACTTGTGACCCTCAATGTTTTAGGTCATCTGCTACACATTGTTCGCCTAGTGGGTCTGGTTGTCGTTTATGTCCGTCCCAAAAAATACAACCCCATTGTTTTAAGTTGTTTATTTTTTAAAAATAAAAAAATAAAAAAATTAATGTTATATTAAAAATATATTTTCTTCATTTTAATTTCAGGTATCATTTTGATTATTTTTGTTTGCTTCACTTCAGTATATTTTTTTTTTCATATTATAGTATATATATAATAATATATTAATAACAGAATATCATTAATTTTTATATAAATTATAAATATATTATTATATAGGCATAAAGTACTAATAACAAAAATATTAAAATAATTTTATATATTTCAATTAATTAATAAAATATTATTATTTTTTAATTTATTTTAAATTTTTAAAAAGATATTTTAATCCGGGGAAAAGAGTTTTTTTTTTTTTTTTTAGAAAAAGAGTATTTTTTTTGTTTGTTAAATCTAACATATATATATATATATGTGTGTGATTTGTGTATATTTTAGTATTATTTTATAGTATTAATTTAAAAAATTAGTTCATTTTGATATTAGTTGAGCACGCCTTATATTATTATGGTGGTGTTATCATTTATGGAAAATGAATGTACAGTAAAAACAATAAATCGGAGAAATATTAATACAAAAGGAAGATGCGGACAGCAGAGACGTACAAGTCTTCTCACCACCGAATAGAAATTTGACACGTGTACATTCATGCCCATAATGGCAACAGACCCCGGCCCACGACGCAATGTTGGCGCGTGCAGAGTACGCAGCATGGGAAGCAACATTCTACATTAATTTACGTTTGTTTGTTTATGGGATATTTCTCAAATTTTACTATTTATTTAAAAAAATTTTAAAAATAATATCAAATTAAATAGTATAACTATTTTTTTATTTTTATATTATATTAAAAATTAATTTTATATTAAAAATATTATATCAATGCTTATTTAAATCAATTCAAAATTAATACTGTTAAAATTTTAATTCAAAATTCAACAACCGTCATCCGAAAGTGCATATTGGGTAAACCTTCGATCAAACCTAATACCTTACAAACTATGTCCGATATGCAAGTCACACTAGTATTATATAATTATTTTTATATTATTTACATTAAAAAAAAACATCCCTTCAAATTAGTATTTTACAAAACAAACACACTCCCAACTTACTCAGTAATTTTTTATGTTAATATTATTTTAATTTTAAAAAAAAGTCACATTATATATTTATTTCTTAACAAATAAATATTATATAAGTGCTGATTTTTTTATTATTTTAAAATTTTCAAAACTTAAAAAATCACTCGAAATCTATTGAAACCAAGATGTTTGACATTTATATGGAAAAATGTACAAGTTTATTTTGTTGTAATTTTAAATTAAAATAATACTATTCCTTTTGAATAAAAATATACTCTCTATGTCCCATTGGAATGTGATATTTGTTTTTTACACGTAAATTTTTGAATATTAGTATTATATTAGATTGTAATAGAAAAAAGACAAAAATACCTTTATTAATATAATGTAATATAAAAGTAATGACATTTGTGTAATATATTGTAAATTGAAACGATATTTATTATGTTAAGTATATAGTACAATTACTAAATTAGGATATTGTAACCTCGTTTTGGGACGGACGAAAATAAAAAATGAAAACCTTTCAATAGGACGGTTGGAGTATTATTTTTCTTACAAAATATCACATTCAAATACTCTCTCCATCATCCAAATTTATTCTCACTTTCCCTTTTTGGTTGTTATCCAAATTTGTTTTTTTTTTTTAAGTAAAAAATTACCACTTTTCTTTACCAAAAAAAATAAAATTCCTATTTTTACATATTTTTCTTAAAATTTGTATCCGGTCAAATGAGCATACAATTGAATAATGAATGGAGGATTATTTAAACTAAAATTTAATTTAATATCCTAATTTTAAATCAATTTCAAACTATAACAAAATAAACTCTATGTTTTTTTCTTTTTAATTGAGTTAAATTATACTTCTACAGAGCACAAGACAAACAACATTCTACGGTAATTTTTGTTAAGTCCTTGGAACATTCTAGAGAAAAAGTAAACAAATTATAGCTATGTTTATTTAGGGTGTTCTTACTTCCAGTTTTTTCACACAAAGTTTTCACTATTTTAATCTCTTAAGTTAATAAAGTTATTGAGGGTTTACTAATCTAATTTATTTTTTTAATATAATTCTTCATAAATAGTGCAAAAATAAATAAATAAATAAATAAAAATTTGTACATATTCAAAATAAAATATATATTTTTTATATTATGATTATTTATATTTAACGTAAAAAATATATTCATTTAAAATTAAAAAATAAATATACTTGTTAATAATATTTTAATGTGATATTTTTTTTATTGATAATTGTGCACACCAGTTGAATAATAATGTAATTTATATTTGAAATATTAAACAAAAAAAATCCAAATTAACAAAAAAAAAAAAAAAAAAAAAACACAATATCTTTACATCAACCACGGATTTGTTTGTTTTGTCAAAATAAAATATACTATGTATATATATATATTTAAAAAAATATATTACACATATTTATTATTTTTTTATTATGTATGCAATTATAAAAAAATATCTCAAACAAACCCCAAATATTTACATAAATAATAAAACAAATGTAAGTTTACAAGGTTCTCTAACATTTTTGTATTTTCATTAATATTTTTATTAGTAAAATCCATCATTTTTCTATAATAATATACTTTCTTGTGCAAAGTTGCCATTTACTTTTTGCACATAAATTTTTGAATATTATTAGTATTATAATAAGTTGTAGTGAAAAAGACGAAAATGCCCCTATGAATATTGTGTAATATAAAAGTAATGATATTTGTGAAATATAATGTAAATTAAAAAAGTATTTATTATTTTAGGTATGGAACGGAGGGAGTATTATTCTATTTCATAAAATATCATTTACTAATTTTTTTATTGAATTTATATAATTTTTTTAAAAATATTCTATTATTTCATTATAAATAATATCGTATCAAAATATTATTTAAATAAAATTTAATAAAAAAATTCAAATTCAAACCCAAAACTAACAAATCAGATATAAATAAAAAATAAAAGTAAAAAAAAAATGGTCAGAAATATCTTAGAATGATTTATGTTGCCGCATTGGATCATAGCTCTTGTCGGTGATTTCTTTTACATTATTGATGCTCTTCTAACATAATCCAATGAGCCACTTCTTTTAAATATAATACAAATTCATCATTTCAATCAATTTTGATTCAAAATTTATTATTTACTATTTATAAAATAGTTTATATTTTATTTTTGTTTTGTCTTTTTTTTTTTATAATATTTATTATTATTATTACACAAATTAATTAAGAATTTCTAACAATTTTAACGTTGGAAAAAAGAAAAAATGCACATAACAACATTTTAGGCCAAGCAAAAACCCGTTCCCACCGCGCTCACGGCCCGGCTACCCTGCCAGCAAGAAATCTACTTCAACCGATATGTCCTTAAAATTCCAATTATTTTATATATCTAATGAATTCTCTATTCTTCTTTTTTTTTTTTTTTTTTTTTTTTTTTTTTTTTTTTTTTACATTACAGGGCCTTAAAAGCCCAACTTAAAGTCGGGCCATTTACAAAATTTAAAAAGTAATTTTGAAATTTAAAATTGTTATCGAAAATAATGAAAATTTAAATATTTGACACAAAATAGCATAAAAATTAAAAATTAAAAATAAAAAATTTAATAATTGATTTTAATATTTATTAAAAAATAATAAAATTGAGAAGCCAATATCATAGTTAAATACACTTTCTTATAATGTACTTTTAAAAAAAACTATAAAGTTTTATAATATTTTAAAAACATATATACTTTTCAAAAAATATAAAATATAAATAATAAAAAAATTATGTCATGAACAAAATATATAAAAAAAATTGATATGGAATATTTATATTTGGACGGATTATTAGTGATTTCAAAAATAAAGAGGCGAAAATTTAAAATACAAATTTTACAAGGACACATGTGCAATTAAAGTATAGGATTTGTCTTATTTGCAGTAATAAAAAGAGAATTTTCACGGAAAATAAATAGCAAATTGGAGTTTCGCGGTTATACCCTCTGCGGAAATAAATAAATAAATAAATAAAATTAAAAAACTTACCTCATTCTTCTTCCCACCTCTCGCTCTCTCCCCTTCTCTCTCTAAAATCTCAGTTTGCCGCAGAGAAATCTTTTCTCATCCGTTTTCACAAGCGATTGTTCGCTTGTTTCAAATCTGCTGCGGCCTACCCAATGCTGTGATTTTGGGTATTTTGGACAGGTAAAGATGGGGAAGATGGGTTCGTGTTTATTTCGTTTAATTTTCTACGTTGTATTTCGCGGGTTTGTTGTTTCGAAGAAAAATCAGCTGATCCTTTTCCGTTTCTATTTGGGTTTTTGAATTTGGGTTTTTGAATTTGAGTTTTTGTGTTGCCTGGGGTTTGAGGGACGAGTTTTGATTCGTTTTCTTTTCATCGTTTTTGCTGGCCGCCATTGATCAAAATTTATTTCTTAGATTTTTATGTTCCGCCGCTGATTTGCGTCTGCTTTCGAATTCGGGGTGCTTTCTAGTGATGTGGCGGAAATCTGCGGAGGCTATCGATTTGGGTTTTCAAACTGGGTTTGAATTTGAATTTCTTTAGTTTTGTAGCTGCTTCGTTTTGAATGAACTGTGTGCCCGCCCGTTGGTTAAAATTTGAGCTAGGATATACTTCGAATTTTGGAATCGTGTTCTGTTTGTTTGTCGATTAAGTTATTCAGATTTCGATTTCAATTCTTTTGTGTTCTGATTTAGTTGGGTTATTGATGTGTAGGAATTTCCACCTGCGACTTTACTCCAGATTTGTGTTACGGTTAATTTGATTTGGAAAATGAATGTTAGATTAGGTTTTCAGAAGTTTCTTGTGCTCTGTTGGTGAATCTGTTTCTGCTTTCTGATGAATATTTAGTTTCTCTAATCAGATAATTTGGTACTTGTTTACATGTTTCTTTTTATTGAATGATGAAACGATCATATATGAGGAAGATAATGGTCTTTTATTTGGGATTGTATGTTAATGTTTCTGAGTTTCTGTGTTTTTTGGATTTGTGCTTTAAGGTAGCTTGCAATGGGGCCCGCAAGAAAGTCTAGAAGCGTGAACAAGCGCCCGCCTGGAAGTGAAGCATCTCCTAGTAAAGATGCAGATAGTTCGAAAAGGAGCAACAGTCGTGTGAGTTTCTGGTGGCTATTTTGTTTCCTGTTATGAATTGTTCTGATTATTGAAACCTTGCTAGAGCTACACGTGTTTTGTACAATTAATAATTGTTATCTTGATTTACATGCATCTCTCATTCACAGTATGAATAGTTAACCAAGGTATAAGATCATAACACCATCTAAAAATCTTCCATTGTATCTAATGAAGTGTGGATAACATCATGCCATTGTCTTTTAGAATTTATTTTGTCTGTAATGGATGGATTGTGTTTTCAACCTTTTTCCGATATGTGAGGCTAACTTTATATATCTATGTATATATAGTAGGGGTATTTCTTTTTCGAGATTCTTGGCAGGTTTTTAGTGTTTTCTCAACTTTTATTTTCATCTCCTTAATTATGCATACAGTGCTGATCTGTGACTTGTTTTCCAGCTTCCTTGTGAATGGGATTAATTCCTTTGTTTTGTTTGATGCAGAAAAGAAAGTTGACTGAAATGCTTGGGCCTAGATGGACTACAGAGGAGCTAACTCGCTTTTATGATTCCTACCGCAAGAATGGAAAAGACTGGAAAAAGGTTCGATCAAATTTATATTAGATTTGATGGCCAAATCTAGTTAATGTTGTTGGCTAAAGTTGTCTCACTTGATTTTGATTTGTTCTGTACAAAATTAATGAAATTGGGACCACCACGGCTCGGGTAACCGTTAAATCAGAAACCGGTATTTGGCGTATGTGCTGATTTCTAACAAGATTCTCCTTGTCCTTTCTGTGGTGAGCAGGTGGCCAGTTCAGTGAGAAATCGGTCTTTAGAAATGGTGGAGGCCATTTACACAATGAACAAGGTAATTGTTTTATTTTATGGCCATTGCACTTGGTTCATTTTCATCTTTTTCTACAATTAATCCATTTTTAAAGTTTCCATACATTGTTCCTCTAAGAGTATGAGCTATTTTAGGGTGGTCAGCCTCCAGAGTACCTCTAAGTTACCGGTAACTAATTAGTCTTAGTTAAACTATTTTTTTCCTCTTGAAGATCACCCGTACTTGTAGAGCTTGAGATTTGATGTTACTGTATTAGATGATCTATTTATTTCCTGAATAAACAAATTGCAAAGGCTGAAGGTTGTATGCAGTTTTCACCTGAAAAATTCAAACATGCTTATATCCTAGTTGAAGATAAATGAATGAAAAGTTAAATGTAGCATGTTTAGTGGAGTTGATTGGATAGTTGCAATTTCAGTCACTGCTCTGGTTCTGTAGATCATGGTAGTGTTACACACCTTTGTGTGTGGGTGGATGAGATTGTTAACCTGAATGAAATTTGTATTTTGTACTTGTTGTTTGAAGGTTTTTTTTTTTAGTTAGGTATAACTTCAACTCCACCATATGTTTTAACATATAATGTTGTTTAGTGAAATTGAGACCCTTGAGATACATAAAAAGTTGAAAATTTGTAGAAGTCAAGACTGTCCACGTCAAAGCATATCTGGAATAGGAATGGATGCTGCCATGCCTCCACTACAAGTATTTAGTTTCACTTATGTCTGCTCTTTGATTTCAGGCATACTTATCTCTTCCGCATGGAACTGCTTCAGCGGCTGGGCTTATTGCTATGATGACTGATCACTACAGCAATTTGGTAAAACAAAGTTGAACTAAATTGTTACAAGTTATATACTAATTTCTGCGTTATGTCCTGAAACATTGAAGATGCACTAAATACAAGTTTGTATATGCATAAAAGTAGTTAGGCAATGTTACGAATGCTCTCATTATTGCTTCAACTAACTCTTACGCCTTTTGTTGTTCACAATGAGAGTTGCAAGCAACATTTTGCTGTATATAAATATATTAGATAAAAATACAAAGTCTTTTGCAAATAATTTTGGGATTAATTTAATCATGAGCTTTAATACATTAAAGCCAACATGTTATTAGAATGAATACAATAATCTTTTCACCCTAAATACACAAAGGAAGTTTGACCTAAATGGATGAACACTGTAATTGCCTTGTGATATTGAGTAGTCTGAAAACCTTTTTCTTTTTCTTTTTCCTATTTGACAGGCAGGATCTGACAGTGAAGAAGATAGCATAGATGGGGCAGGGTCATCTCGGAAGACTCAGAAGCGAGCTCGGGGCAAAGCCCAACCTACACCTACTGCCTCTAAAGCATTGGATGAGCAACCTGATTCACATACCCCATCCATTATTCAAAATTATGGTTGCTTGCCACTGTTAAAGAAGAAACGCTCTGGTGGTATGTACAAACAAACTTTTCTTGTGATTTGGTAGTTATGTCATTAGACTTTACTTATCTATTCAGTGTAGTATGAGTCTTTGTTTTTGCCCTCACATCTCACTTTGTTACTTTTCTGTTGTCTGTTTTTAGACACCCTGACAAAGGGTGTATTGTCTTTTAACATGTTTGCAGTCAACCATGGATCATACGTTTGTACTGCAATATACTCATACTCAATAGTATTTCTAGATATTACTGATAGTTTTTAACTGCCAATTCTCTGATTACCTGTTCATCCACAAAATCATTCCAACATTGATTTAATTCTAATAGCAATGTACATAAAAATTCTCTGTTGTTGCACCACTTAAAATTTCATCAATGTGCTCTTTTACGCCACTTCTCTCCTGCTGCTGTACTTGCTCCTGACAACTTGTTGATGATTGTTGTGTGGAATATTTCTCTCAGGAGGCCGACCTTGTCCAGTTGGGAAAAGGACACCTAGGTTCCCTGTCTCGTTTTCTTATGATAAGAGCCTTTCAGAGAAATATTTTTCTCCAACCAAACAAGGCTTGGGACACAAGGCTGATGTCAATGAGGATGAAGTTCATGAAATAGCTGTAGCTTTAGCTGAGGCATCACAAAGAGGTGGTTCCCCCCAGATTTCTGGAACACCAAGTAAAAGAGGTGAAAGTGCCATGTCATCACCTTTTAGGCATACACAGATAAAGGTAATGGCTTTCTGATTTCACCAAAACAGTACCCTTTTCATCAAATTATATAACATCTGTTGGCTCCAGGACACTGGATCAGGGATGGACAATGCCAAGCTCTTACGTCCCAACACTGACGATGAAGATTTAGAAGGAAGCACAGAAGCAGACACTGGGGAATTGGCTATGCATAAGAGTTATATGATGGGATCTGTTACTCACTCTGTGAAAAGAATGAAGGGAAAATATCCTGAAGGGAAGAAGATTGAAGTTGATAGCAACAATGACGATCATCTGGATGATGTCAAGGAAGAGTGCAGTGGAACAGATGAAGGGCAGAGATTAGGGGTAGGTAAGGCCAATGACACCAGATTTTCTAAGTCACCTATTCAGAGCCAGAGAAAGAAGAGCAAAAAGGTTCTCTTTATGAGAGGTAGGCATCATTTCTGTGTACAGTTTCAAATCCTGTTTTGATTCTGTCAATTATTTTGTATATGGGATTGTTGAAAATTTTCTCTTGTTCTTGCATTATCCCTCTAAGTTGTACAATTGATGCATTGTTTGACATTGTATAACCAATATGCTTGTCAACACAGATGAAAGCTCTGCCTTTGATGCCCTGCAAACTCTGGCTGATTTATCTTTGATGATGCCCTCAGGAAATGAAGAAGGTACAAAATTTACATGTAGTTTTTGATTAAAGTACTTCATGAAGATTGGTATTAACATTGTCGTTGTGGTTCTGTTCATTTGGTTGCTTTCACATGAAATTTCTTTCATGTGTAATTGTACCTTCTTTTAAAGATTCTGATCTGTCAGTGCTTTGTAAGGGATTGTATCTGTTATTATCCAGACTGTTTACCTGCCTGTACCCATTCTGTGCTTGATTTCCTCCAACTTTGGGGCTTTTAGGGTTTGTTTGGATGGAGTTTGGGAGTGGATTTGGGGTTTGGGAAACACATATTTGAATTAAAATAGGTTTTGATTTAAGTTTTTAAAATGAAAAATACATGTTTGGTGTGAGAGCACACGACGGAACCACCCAACAAACAAAACTTAAATTATGTTGTTAAGTGTATAATGATTAAATCCTGGGTTTACAATTCCCTTCGGTTTCCTTCTTGGTATGTTACTTATGCTCTTATAAGTCATGCTTTTAATAATTTCTTATTTTTTATTTCTCACTCATCAGATTCATGTGTTAGTTATATATTATTCTTAATTGGTTCAACACATTCTGTATTTTTCAGAGTCACGAATGCAGTTTAAAGAGGAACACAATGATAATATTGAGGAGTCTTCTCCAGCAAACAATCGAAAAGAAAAGCGTAAATCCTCTGGGGTAAGAACAAAAGGGCATCTAAAACTAAGCTCGGAAAAAACATCGAAATCTGGAAAGGGTTCAGTTTTTGAGGGCAGTTCCATTCCGGAAGAAAACCAGGGCCCTGATTTGCCTATAACCAAAGGAACAAGAAGGAAACAAAAGATGCCGGTGGCCAGGGTGAGTAATGCATTTGTGCTTCTTCCTCTTTCTTTAACATCCTGTCAATTTGATTGTTGGCATATTTAGTTAACTTTACTATGCTTTTGCAGATTGAAAAAACTGAATCTGATCTTGATATGAACAGTGAATCTCCAGGGGTGGAGGTATGTGCTCTTCTATGTACTTTTATTGTTTCTCATAGAGTTGTGGGCGGAGCTTTGATGCTATCTTTTATAACACGCATGACATGTGAAGTTTTTTATTGTAAAACTGAGAGATTCAATAGCTATTTGCTGTTTGTTGATGATGCAGGATTTCACTTATCTTAATGATTAAACTCTACTTTACTGATATGATATAGTCATCTATTTCTTCTGTAGTCGAGAGTTCACTTATCTATGGATGCTTCTTTCCCTTAGGTTGGAGATGTAGGGAAGAAGTTAGCGTCTAAGAGTAAGAAATCATCCCAAAGCAGCTCCCCAAATTTGACTAGAATATCAGAAAATTCTTCTAGTGCTGATCTGCGGAAGGAAGGGAGCGACTCAACCCTATCAGGCATGCAAGTTCCTTCTACTAACCAGGCCACTTTACCTACAAAAACCAGGAGCAGGCGCAAGGGGGACCTGAAAAAACCACAGGTTCAGAAAGATTTAAAATTTCCTGAAACAATCTCAAATGACCAGGGCAATATGTCTTTTGCTTTACTCCATGGCACAGCATTTAATTTCAAGGTTTGGTCTTTCCCAATGCCTCTTCCCTGTACTTTCACGACTTAAGTGGCATGTTTTATGTACATATATTGCAATGCAGGAAAAACTGTCGAATTGTTTGTCAAATCAGTGGTTAAGAAGATGGTGTACATATGAGTGGTTCTACAGTGCTATTGACTATCCTTGGTTTGCTAAAAGGGAGTTTGTTGAATATCTGTATCATGTTGGATTGGGTCATGTGCCAAGATTAACTCGTGTGGAGTGGGGTGTAATAAGAAGGTACATATCTCTTCAGTTTATACATGTTGAAGTCTTGTGTTCATTGTCTTAACATTGGTGGATGAAAAGTTTGGCGTAATTTGATTTTTAATTTTAAAACAGCTCTCTTGGCAAACCACGGCGGTTTTCTGAGCAGTTCCTAAAGGAAGAGAAGGAGAAACTTAATCAGTATCGGGAATCTGTTCGAAAACATTACACTGAGCTTCGTGAAGGTGTTAGAGAAGGATTACCTACTGACCTAGCTAAACCATTGTCTGTCGGACAGAGAGTCATAGCCATTCACCCCAAAACTAGGGAAATTCATGATGGAAGTGTGCTCACTGTTGATCACTCTAAATGTCATGTTCAATTTGACCACCCTGATCTTGGGGTTGAAATCGTCAAGGTAATCTTATTTCTACGCTATGACTTATCACATTTAATGTGGAATGCTAGCACTTGAGATGTGCGACATTTACATGCTTGATGAATAATCTTTAAAGTTTTGACAAGTCTAACTTGCATGACAAGACTAATTTTCATAACAAGAACACAAGTATGAATATCTTATAGGAGTACAATTTTTCCGTATTATTTTTGTAGGTACATGAAATGCAGTATTAAACTTATTACAATAAAGACTAATGTACTTTTAAGAACTTGTCTACATCAAACTGTTCTGCATCCTGCCTCATTTCTAGACAAGCATTCATTACTAACATGCTACTTCTAATGAAATATTCCACCCGGAAGAATAGGTATGCAATTTCTAGGTGCAGCCATTTTCTTGTTAAAGTTGAATGGGTTTGCATTGTTTAAAAATGGAGGCAGCTGAGTATACAAAATGATTTAATCATATTAGTGATCATCATCAGCGCATGGTTATTTTGGCTTCTAAGCCTCGTGCCCGTTTCTGGACAATTGGAAATTTGAAGCTAAGATAATTTATTGTGTTTGCAAACCGTTCTGTTAGTTTTTGAAGGTGATTCATACATTTTCTAGTATCTGGTCCGATCACATTATATGAATGATTATCTACAATTGATTTGAGATGATATTTTGCCAACTGCTGTAGCCTTGTGATTAATGTTGGTTCTTAGTTTTCTATTCCTTTTGATTTTATTCAATTTTTAATATGATTCATGCAATTACTCTTATCTTGTAGGATATTGACTGTATGCCCTTAAACCCTCTTGAAAACATGCCGGCAAATCTTGGGAGGCACACAATGGCAGTTGATAAGGTTTTTGAAACTTTCAATGATCTAAAATTAAATGGGCAAGCAAAGGACTTTGTTAAGCTTTCTCTCGGTGAAAACATGGAGAACATCAACAGCACCCCTCAAATGTCTCAATTAACTAATTCTGTTGGCTTCTTGAAGCAGACAAAGGCAAGACTTCTCTCTCCAACTTAGCATTTGATGACTTACATTAAACAAATCACCTCTACCAGATATTGATTACTATTTTCTCCCTTATCATTAGATGCCTTGCAAAGCCTTGGTAATTAGTTTGTACATCTGTAACATCGATCACACTTGTGTTGTATGTGAACAAAATTTCTTGCTGGGCAAAATATATGATGTTGTGAATGAAGAGTGACCTTGTTTGTTCAATCCAGCTTGTCTGTATGAATTTGTCTGGCACTAGTAATGCTCCGTTTGGTTGCTTGGCATGATTTTGTCTTCAGTAGTGTCCTCTAAAAATTTTAGGTGGTACATTCTTCTGTGGTGGTTATCTAGGGATGAAACATTTCATTTTGAACAGTGTACTGAAGTAAATCATGCTCACCAGGTTGCTTCTGCAAATGCTCATGTTCCAACAAACCTTGCGCCTGTTGATGCGACAACTTACCAGAGCATAGCATTTTCTCAGCCTGGTGTGCTAACTTCAATATCCAAGGAAGCTGATGTTCAAGCTCTTGCGGAACTTACTCATGCTCTTGATAAGAAGGTAATCACCCTTACCCTGGAATTTCATTCAATCATTGTTTTATACATTTGGCACAATTTTCAGTATTAGTCTAATAGTCAATATGATAGTTTATGATCAAAATGACAATCCAAGTCTGATGAACAGGAATAACCGGTTCTATAAGCTGCTCCAAAAAAAAAAATAAAAAAAAATCTCCTTCTCTTTCTTAATCTAATCTCTATCTGTACTAGTTTCCTACGAAATGGGTTCCCAGGCCTAATAAATTATTAGTATATCATAATTAATAGTTTGATAATCAGCCCATTGCCACCACCAACCCAAAAATGAGTATTCCCTTTCTTCCCTCACCGTCTCTAGAGTATGAACATGGCATTAGAGCCATGGTCATATCGTCTCGAGGGAGAAGTGTTGAGTATTCCACATTGGATGTAATGTTGGGACTCTCCTACTCTATAAGGAGTGAAAAACTATTCTACTTACAACCAATTGGTTTTAAGTTGGAACCTTGGACCCCCTTTTAACAGTTTGATAATCAGTTGCAAACACCAACCCAAAATGATTATTTCCTAACACGACCTGCCGCTGGCTGCAGTGTCTCTGCATTTCAGTACTTTAGATTTGTAATATGTGATTCTCATTGGCTGCTTAACTGTTTTTTAAAACCAACCTCGGTGCGAGTAGCCTTAATGGTAAGCATTATGCATACAGAAAGCAATTGTTCATGAGCTCAGGCTCATGAATGATGATGTGTCACAAAACCCGAAGGTCGGCGACATTTTGTTGAAAGACTCCGAACAATTCCAAAAGCAATACGCCGCTGTACTTGTACAATTGCACAAAGCTAATGAACAGGTATGGTTTTTACATACAAAATTTTCATATTAGAAAACCCTCTAATGGATGATTTGTTCATTTTTGCGGCAGGTTTCTTCTGCTTTACATTGCCTGCGAGAAAGGAATACGTATCAAAGGAAGTTTCTGGATGCAGTGCCAAGACCTGTAAGCAGTCTTTCAGACTCTGGTGGAATCGTGAATCATTTAGATGGTTCCACATTTCAAATCCTCGAATCTGGATCGAATGTGAATGAAATCATGGATAGCTCTAGGACAAAAGCCCGGGTGATGGTAGAGGCAGCTATGCAGGTAAGAAAATTTTCATCTGTGTCTTTTCATTTCTTATACATATATATGAGGTTGGTTATGACAAATAGAAAATAGGTAACATTATGACTGTGTTAGTTGTGAGTTTGTTAAGGTTTTTTACTATTCATAAAATATTTTTCTAAAAAACATCAAATCAAATATCTAATTTCATATTTTTTATATTATACTAAAAGTTAATTTTACGTTTAAAACATCACATTAAACAACTATTTCAATTCAGTAGTAGCGTGTGCTATGTGAACTGTCAAGTAGTGTCAGTCCACGTGTTATATTTGTATTGTGTGATATAAATCGTGTGTTGTATTTCATTATATTATATGATTATTGTATATTATACATGGTGATGTCAGCACCGGTCGGTGCTATATGATAATATGGTTAATGTTAGTTAATCTCTAAATCGCCCATTGAACTTCTAAACTATAAAGACTTCAATCTTTTGTCGCATATACGTCTTCTGAAATTGCAGCAGGGCAACAAAAATATCGAAAACTTGCTTGTAATATGTCTAGTCCGGTTCTTATGACCCGTTTACATATATTCTTTTAGGCAATATCATCGCTTAAAACTAGGGAGGATACCATTGAGAAAATCGAAGAAGCTATTGATTATGTTAATGATCAGCTTCCCTCAGACAATGCCTGCGTGCCATTAGTAAGTCCTTGCTCCTCTTAACTATTCCGCCCCATGGTTCCCTATTTTGTTACAATTCATTAATCAAATGTAAAAATTTTTGCAGGCAACCGATCAAAAATCTGACATCGAGGCTCAAATTCCTTCCGAGCTGATCACAAAATGTGTAGCAACTTTGCTTATGATTCAGGTTCGTCGAGATAGTAGATCCTCTTTAACTACTGAAGAAAATAAGTGGCCTACGAGCACATTTATCAATTTTCCACCAATCTGATGCAGAATTTTGTTGTGTAAATGCAGAAATGTACTGAGCGGCAATTTCCTCCATCCGATGTGGCGCAGATTCTAGATTCTGCTGTGACTAGCTTACACCCGCGTATTTCGCAAAACCTTCCTGTCTACACCGAGATACAGAAGTGTGTTGGTATCATCAAGAACCAGATTTTGGCCCTCATACCTACCTAAAGTGGACATAAATACAACCAGGTTGTTTCTCAATGTTTGCCTTGTTATGAGAGGATCTAGATCTAAATGGGGAGTGTATTACTAGTAATGTGACTATGCCTATGACTGTTTTTCTCACTAGTAACTATTATATTATCATAGGGCCTTTTTTAATTTTTCCAAATTGTGGCGAATGATTGAAGAAGAATGGTGATGAACATTGATGCAACTATTTGCTGCTTGTCAATTGCACAAGCTGTGTGCTGTTCTGTACAATGTTATGTTGGGAGATTTTAATGACCAAAACTGCATACTGTCTGCTAAAGGCGTAAAATAAAATATTACATATAAATTTGACAGTGTATTATACTACTTCTTTTGCAAAAATGTCAATTTTTTTTTTTGCAATTAATAAAATATTATTATTTTTTAATACTATATTTTATCATTTGTTTCAACACAGCAAATTTAGTAAAACAATACTCCTTGCACTCAAACATTTAGTAATATATATTTTTTTGGTTTAACATGCAATATATATATTTTAAAAAATTTTATATCTTACTACATTATTCAAATAAAAAAAATAAATATACATATTTTTCGTCACATTATCTAATTATTAAATTATTTTACTTAATACCATTCATTTAAATTTTGTCGAAAATAAATGTTGCAATCGCGGGCACAAGTAATTGCCAAAACACATTACATTTTAAAACTATACTAACCTAATATAATTTTTAAAACACATTAACATTTTAATACAACACAAAATATAGTATAATAGTAAATTATGTTGATTAATCCCAATCAGTTAAAAGTAAAAAGAAAGGAATGTAAAGGGGCATGGCATGGCATAGCATAAATGAGACGTTAGGTAGTTATGATTTTCTTTCTTTCTTTTTTTTTTTTTTTTTTTTTTTTGCAATTTTAACTTAAACCAAAAAGTAGTCACAAGAATAGAGTGACATATATATTGGCTGGGACTGGACAAGACTACAAAGCATAAATGCTCAGGAAAAAGATATCAAAACCCATTTAAGAGCAAGAAAAGACTAAATTGGTTTTGACAGCAGAAGGTGATGACAGTTATCCTGTTCTCTCTCCCGGGCTCTCGGCTCAATTCGCTACAGATTGAACAGAGAGGCCTGGGGATCGCCACGATCTGATGAACATAAATTTCTAACCATTGTACCTATTAACTTGAGCCCGACCACAAATGAGCAGCAGATAATGTAATTGTACAGACCAACCACTGATTCATTACCTTTGTTTTTAACTATCCATGAGAAACTGAAAAATGTCTCTCAGGGAAACGATACCTTCAACTCGCTTGCTTCCAGCTTCAACAACAACGAGTCGTCTCACACCTGCATACAGGGCAGATTTACATTATATCTGGTAGTGGCACGTGCCACCAGTGATTTTTATATCACCAAAAGAAATTTTTATAATTTAATAATTATGCAACTACAAAAAAATTGGAGTGCCATCATTTAAAATTTGAAGTTTTAGATGAACTGTTTAAATTTTAATATTTAAAATGTCATCAATATCCAAATAATTAAAATTCAATCCAAATAAAATAATTAATTTATACTCCCTCCGTCCCTTATCTATCTATCCGTTTGTTTTTTGCATAAAATTTTAAAAATATTAGTATTATATTGAAATGTGGTATGAATAAAGTAGAAAAGACTAAAATAATCTTATTAATATTAGTATTGTGTGCTACAAAGGTAATAACATTTGTGTAATATATTGTAAGTTGTAAGGATATTTTGAATGTTAGTATAAAGTACAATTACTAAAAAAGAAAATGAATACTTTGTTATGGAACGGACCGAAATAGAAAAATTGATAGATTGTTAAGGAACGGAGGTAGTATTTTAAAATATAAATATACAAAAATAATTTTATATTATTATTATTTTAACTTTATATATTGTGACACTAGTGAAATTTTTTTGTGAATCTGCATATGCCTGCATATATGGGTTTCAAGAAACAAGTGTACAGCAATTAAATCGACTATTTTTGCAGTTGCATCAGCCTAGTAGTGTAGGAACACAATTATGGGTTTGCAAGTGCAATTCTTGGGGAATAATTACTTAAAAAAAACACGAGGGAGAGTGAAGAGGGAACCTGGCTGGGATAATTTTTCTAAGATCTTATGGAGTGGATCTGTGCGTAAGCACATGTGACATCGTTGATTGTTGTATCCATGCGCCAAAAAAGGATCGTCGCGGTATTGTATTGCCTATATTTACGTTTAGATCAAATTTCAACCATTTATGTATTGCGTATCAACCAATAAGCTAAGTTAGGGAACAATTTGTCAATCTGCACTGCAAAAAAATTACACTTACTTGATGAAGAGTTGTTTCTTCAAGATTAATGTGTGCATAAACTTTGTCCTTTGCCAATAAAGTTATGTCACTGCAAAAGGAAATTGATTGAAACGCATAATACGTGTTCAATAAATAATTCACATAACACGAGCATGATAACAGACACAATACTAACCTTCGAGAATACACATCCAATAAAGTGTTATTCTCATCAACAATTGGGATTGAACTAACTTGTGCTGCAATGTAGTACAAAACAAATAAGATAATTATCTACAACAATTTGCATTTGTGAATAGGCAGTGACAATTAAGTGTGTGTGTGTGTGTGTATAATCTACTAAAATCTCAAGATTGACTTGAAGTTCTTTGTCCAAATTAATACTAATATCCTCTCACAGCACTCATCGAATGTTGAATTGTCCTAGGATGGATTTTTTGGTGAAAAAATCCATAGTGAAAACCAGGAACGCTAACCTCCCTGAAAAACATATAGAGAAGAGAAGTACTACATGATCTAGCCAAGGAGCAAGTGAATAATGTCAGCAATATAGGTGATTCTAGGCCAGACGATCAGATGAAGACGTTGAAGATGAACAAGAGCAGATTGTTGCTATGATAATAGAATTAAAGCTAAGCCCATTAGGTTATTAATGTCTAGGTTAAGTGTTTTAGATCATTGAAGATAGAATTTATGTATATGCCATTGGGGCAGGTAGAAAATCCCAAAAAGATGGGAGAAATTCATATATTTCATTCGTGTATTTAATTTCTCTTGAATAAGATTTAATTTACATTGCAATGTTGAGTAGTGGATACCTTGAATCAATAAATTCAATGCTGCACTAAGGGAAGAATTTGGTCTCAACATTGCCAATGGCTGCTGACTTGGCCCTCCGATTTTAGGCACCCAAGTGCCTATAGGTAGTGAGCAAAGTGGGAACTGAAGTACTGGTAGTGAGCTCGGTGAATGCTTAAAAAAACGGAAAATACCTGTAATGCAATAGATCTTATCAAAATATATAAAAGCATGAACAATTGTTTGTTTCGAGTAAGTACTCCACAAAATAAATAGTCATAAAGGAAAGTGACTTGTTAGTTTCCTCACATTTTAGAATTCCAGAGAGAGAAGCAACATGCAATAGATGTGGGAGTGGCACATCCAATGATGAAGAATGAATAATGGGAACTGTGGAAACACCATTTTGCAAAATCTTCAAAGCAACTTCGTTCAAACTGTCGTCAGGTCCAGCCTGAAATCCATTGCTTCATTAGCATGAAATAATAGCAAAAGCATAGTTCTAAAATATATAGAAAAAAAAATAAAAATGGTTGGAAATGAACCATATAAAAAATTTTCAACATAGCATATAGCATGGATGGGTTCCTAAAGCAGCATTTCCTACAGATATTTAGAACAGCATGTCTGTCATAGAAAAACTTCATTTGGTTAGCAATAAAATAACATGAACGCTCAGAAATCACACCAATACAAACAAGAAGCCAAAAATGCTCCAAAGCATGTGAATTATTTCAATGTGAGGAAAAGCCAAGTCGGCTTTGCTTATTATTATATCAGGATTAATTGCATGGAAGATGGACATCAAATTATTTAATAACAGAACAAGTAATCCTATTGTCCAACCATTCATATTTGCGCAGCAAACTGACAGAATACACCATATCAGTTGCAGGCTTACTTGCACAAGTTTTCTCGAAACAGCACTTGACGGCCCATTAACTTGATTATTCAGATGTAACTTTGCCTCTTTCCAAGCAGATATCGTGTGGGTCTCTAGCTCTTCTTCAGTCAAATTGGATCCATGAGTTCCAAGCTGTCATAAGTTGGACACTATCAGGGGCACATTTTATTTTAGGAGCTCATTATTTACAAGCCCGCAAATAGTAATCATATGAGAATGAATTATCTCATTCTCCGCACCCCTAAGAAGAAATAACCAGTCATTGTTTTCTATAAGATCTAAGGTTGCGTAACTAGCATGGCCAATCACCTTTGCAAAGCACTTCACATCAGTTTACAATCCAACCCAGCCATAATATTCAATTTTCACAAAAACTAGAAACATTACTAAAACTGGCAGCCAACATATGTATAGTAGAGAAAAACAAAAAAATAAATAACAAATTACAGAGGTTTACAAAATACTCTCATTTAAATAAATCCGGTATCCGGAAGCTCTAAGATCTAAGAAACCATATTCTCAAAACCAGAGTACAAACTTTGTCTTGTTAAACATCCTTGTCACCGAATCATATACTTTGGCAACTTTATTGCATCATCCAATGATACACAGACAAAATTACAGCAATATTATAACAAGCCTATTGCCAAAATTAGAGAACTACTCATAATCAATATACTTAATAATAGTTTGGATACCCAAACATAGGTGAATGAGACACTAAACTAGAGAGTGCGGAACTGCCATGTCAATGAGCTTCAAACATAATATTTTTGAGAAATTTTATGTGTCAAGTTCTTTGGCAGTAATAATGGCTATGTTCCTCCTTTCAGGAATTTAAGAACCACACTAATTAGTACAAGCCACAGAAACACATCCAAGGAAGAACTCTTCGTCTTAGCTCCACTACATTAGAATATAAGCAAAAAAATAAAAAGCGTACAGGAGAAATAGACCAGGAAAAGTACAAACCCAGTAAAAGAGGGAAATATGCTCAATCAATATTAACTTCATTCCAAAGATCATTTTAAAAAATTGTCCATACCTCTCTCATAATCAAAATAAAATCCATTGCACTGAGAACTCCAACAAATCTGCTCTTTGAGAAGTCCCATAGTGGTGCCACAGGAGTTCCCTGGAAAGAATTTAGTTTATTCAAACCAGTGGTGCAGAAAAGAAAGAATGCATGCAGCAACAAATCTAAAACAGCATGCTTGGGAAAAGAAAGTTACATTCCCATTGACCAGAGGATAATGCAAACAACGAACACAGTATTAATTCTCTGAATATCCTTAATCAATACTGAAGACAACAATATAAATTTTCAATTACCTAATACAAGAAATATCACTTGGTGGAATTGAATAACAATTAGTGGGTAGTGTATGTGTCCCCTCTCCTTTTTTAAAATATAAACAGCTTACATCAGGAAAATACATGATGTGCAGGTCAACATCATCAAACTATTTGAAATGGGACATGCTGTTCTCACTTCTCGAAATAAAAAAGTAACACAATTCTACAGTTAAGACAGTAGAAAAAGTATCAGACAACACTCATGTATCGAAAGACGGCCTTGCAGAAACTTCATCCCACAAATATCTAACATAGTACCTGCTCATGCAGAATATGAAATGCTTGCTTTACAGGCAGGTCTACATCCAACGCAATAACCTGCATATAACTCAATAATAAGTCAACAAATGGAAAGAGAGAAAATCAATGTGGAAATAAGCACTAGTAGAGGTAAGATCATCCTGACCTTCCCTGATTCAGGAAGCAACTCATAGGCCATGTGTGTTGACAAAAATACGACTATTCGATGCCGGGAAATTTTTAAATCTGCATCTGATATCCTTGGATAGGACTCTGGTGATGTACCATCGGACACTTGAACCTGAAACAAGACAAACAGTAGAAATCTATCTTCACTATCAAAGCCTGCAACGATTCACATATGGTTATTGTAGTTATCTATTCGACTCTCAACTGGAATACATTCTGTAGGTTCCATTTTGAGCTTCTGTATGGAATTTTATGATTCTTTTCTGGACATCAACTCATATCCATTCAATTAATTAGTGATGAAAATTTGCAAAAACCAATAAAGAAACTAAAAGGCACACTACTATAAGTGCCGAACTAGCAGAAATCATATAATTAAAACCAACATAGCTAAGCATTTATTCTATATTCTATTACACAACCAATAAATGGAGCACGTGTTATATAAAGCCTATTACATTTGGAAAGAGAAATTCATTTTTCCAAGGTATTTCAGACGTCAGGTGCTATTAATGAAATGAAGATTAATGAGGTTATGTCATACCACACGCTGAAAGGCCTCACTATCTACGTCCATACTGGAAACAGGGCCCGGGGGAGGCACTTGGGGGCTTGGTGTTGAAGGACGAGAATGTGAGTCCCGAGTTAAAAGGATAGTGTTGACTGTCCCAATGTTACTACTAATATAAGGTTGATGCTCATCATGTCTCCATTCGCCATCAACCACAAATTTATACTACAAACAGAATGTCAATTAAAACATTTAGTGCGAGCACATGCATATATGTTAACCAAACATTGCAGAGCAGTACTGTCATTTTATCTCTTCAAGATATATATTTGCGCTAAAGCTTCAGAAATTTTATCCTTACCTGACATCGAGACCTGATTCGCATATTAACTTGTATTGCAGCACCTTTATCTACTAACTAACATTGACATTTTCATTAAATTACAAGGCATTCTCCTTTAGAAACAAACACCATCCCAATAATATTCATCCAAACCATCAAAAGTCAATATTGCCTACCAGCAGCTTAATTAATAATATTAAATCATTCATTTTCACCATTCACACTGCAAAGTCCAGACTTAGAAACATAAAATTAGTGGAATAGAAACTCCATTCATAACAATCTAATATTGCTGCTTAGGATCAAATTGAGGCGAAAAGTGAAAGGAGATAATTAAAAACAAGGTTAAATTATTTTCTTAGCAGAGTATTGCTGTACATAACTAAAATGCTCAGGTTAAGTTATTCATGTAAAAAACTACACCAATCACCCGCATCAATGTATGGAACAACATGTAAAATGGCACTGCTGGAAAAGGCAGATCTAGCTGCAAAAGAATAGTTGTGACTATAATCATTTGAACTTCCAGCAAAATTCAGACCTTATCAAACAACTAAAATATGTCCTTTCAGTTGATTAAGATAATTGTTTGCAAGCATGTGTTCATGGAAACAAGCTCAAATCATGAACTGAAAAGTATGACACGAACCTGATGATAACCACATGGTAGGCTGCAGATGGTCTGAAACACAGTAGGGCAACCCTCAACAGGTGTCATTGGCCATTGCGTCCACCTTTTTTAATTTTGAAATTTTTATAATCATTACATTAAAAATCAACATTTGCACAAACTAGTGATATCACAAGTCATGGAACAAAACTTAAAAACGATAAAATTAAATCAGAAAAAACAGTGATAATTATTGAAGTGTGATGAATAATGAGCTTCAAGTTATAGTTAAGCTCGCACCCCGTAAATGAGCCACTGATGCACACAACACTGCCACCATGGGGCCACACAAAGCGGGTGGGAACCAACACCATGCCACCTTCGCGCGAAAAATCCATCCCCACAGAATTCATTCAATCCTTAGAGATTTTAACTCTCCGGAATCACAATTCCTACTACAGATACCTAGCATCGGAATATTGCAACATTTCAACGGGAGCCATGAATTCAAACATCATCATGACAAAACACAAAAAAACCATTGAACTGAAGCTAAAAATTTCAACCAAATGAAAAAAGGAATTACAAATTACTTCTCAGACTGCAATTTGATGGAGAGATGCAACCCTGTCTGAATCTGCACACAACAATCAATATCATATTCATAATCATTGAAGTAGGCAACATTAAAGAGTAAAAAGCAGAAAATTATAGTACCGCATGCAAAGCAGGTTGCATCAAAATGGTAAATTTTCATTATCCGGCAGAATTGAATTGATGCTCCGGAAAATCGAATGGAACATATTTTAAGCCCTAACCCTAAATATTATTCGATTTTGGGGGAAATGAAATGAGATGAAATCCTGTGCAGGGCAGGGAAGGGAAGAAATAATAATTAGATGGGTCCCACACCACCTTAAGATTCCCTCCCCGTTGCCACCTCAGCCTTCTCTGACCTTTTTTTACATTTTTTATTTCTACATTTATTTCGTCATTGACATCTGCAATTAAGTTTTTTTTTATTATTATATATATTATTTAAAAAATTTGATATTATTTTATAATTAAGAATTTTTTTATAAAATATTATAATAATATTTAAAATTTTATTATTTTTATATTTCAAATCTTCATTTTCTAGACTTAAACAGAATCTAATGTGAGTTTGTAAACTTTTATTTTTATTTTAAAATTATTATATTCAATTTATATTTATTTTTTATTTTTAAGTAAGTAAACAAACTTTAACTACACTGAGAAGTTACCGCGTTGATTAGCAATCAATATGGTTATGATTAAATATAAATATTTTATTTGTATTTAATTTAAAACTTACTAATATATAATTAAGGTTAAAAATGTAATTTTCTTCATCTCACACGCAAGATGCTGCTATAGTATGTTTTTTTTTTTTTTTTTTATTTACTTAGGATTTTTTTTTTTAATTTAGCACTAAAATAATATATAATAAGATATCGAGAGATTTTTATTTTTTTTTCAAAAAATATAAAATTCAAAAAATAAAATTTAAAAAATTTGAAATTAAAAGACAAACCAATATATGCAAGAAAATTTCGGAGAAGGCCAAGGGCTTATGGGCATTGAAAGAGCTCACAGCCCGTCCTAATTTTCGATTGACTGAGACTAAACGAAAAAAAAAAAAAAAATCTCTTATAGTAAACTGGTGACACTTTGATAGAAATTCAAAAGTAAAGACCGAAGAACAATTTAAAAGAAAAAATGAGAATATTATATGTTTTTGTGAATTTGAAATACTATTAAATTTTAGAATTGAAATAAAAAATTTCAAGTAAATTCGATAGAGGAAACAAATTAATTGTGTTTGAAAATAGTGTCTGAAAAAAAAAAAAATTAAAAGGAGAAACTATTATTTATTTATTTATTTTTTCTTTATCATAATTAATCTTAAAATTTTATGATTTCAAAAGGAGAAGCTATTATTCATTATTAAATTTTTCTTTATCATATCAATATTTATTTAATTATTATAGTATAAATTATAACATGAGATTCTTCTATAAATTTAAAACGATCATATTTTAAAAAATTTCATATCAATACACATATGTTACTGAAAAATATGTAAAAATGAGCCTATTTACGTTGTGGGCGTTCCTCTCACTCAGCTTTCGTTACGAAATTCTGTCGGAGGACGGACGACAGTATATATAATTATATAAAAAGAAATAGACAATTAATATTCATTCAGTATTACTGGTAAAATAAATTAGAATTATTATATTATTATTATTATTATTATTTTAATGATGTGAAATCCGCAGGAGCCGGTATCCAAAAAATGTACAAGATAAACCCGATATAATTTAAATAATAAAAATAAAAAATAAAATAGCGAGTTCGGGTAGCTATACTAAGTACAACTACATGTGTTATATAGCGGATTGGTAGTGATATTTTGTAAGAAAATAAGGGTTAGATAGTGATATTTTTTAAAATTAATAAATAAAATAAAATAAAAATAATAAACTGACCGATTGATGGCTAATCAACGGTCAATAAAAAATTAAATTTTACCATGTCTACAAAGTTGGGGGAGTTGATATATTTCATCAGTATTTAAATATTATACATTCTGCAATAGTGCAATACAAGTATATATTTAAATATATATTTTTTTTTTCAACAATTAATTTTACACACAAAATAAAAACACCAATACCATCCCAAAACTCATAATAATAATTCGAAACAAAAACGGTACAATCTCATAATATCATCTATTTCTTTCAGATTCAGCCAGCCTTTTGTAACTGGTGTATAACATTTTTCTTTGAACAATATATTACTGTTTTATATTATGCAGAATTTCAAAAATTGCATATTAATAATAATAAGTTCAGAGGTTTATTTATAGATACAATAGCAACTTAATCTAAACTATAAATCAAATATATATATATATATACAATGTTGACTTTCAATGCCATTTGAGCTCAGAGTAAAAAACAACACTCTGAATGTCCTACCTCACGTAATTAGAATAAAAAGTAGAGCTCTTAACATCGTTAGAATCGAAAACTGGATTTTTATCGCTGTTAGAATCGAAAACTGGATTCTCAACGTAGTTAAAATCATAAACAACACTTTCAACGTCGAAAACTGAATTCTCAACATAGTTAAAGTCATAAACAACCGTTTCAACGCGTTATACTCGAAAACAAATCTCTCAACATGATTAAGAAACAAAAGCAACACTCTTAGCATTGCTAAAGTTAAAAATAAAGCTCTTAACGCCGTTAAAATCGAAAACAAAATTATCAATGTACTTGGAATAAGGAAAAAAAAGAATCAAGGGTATGCAAAACAATAAATGATTATAAGGCAATGTGTGTGTGAGAGAGAATTACAGAGAGAGAGAGAGGGATGGGGATGATGACAGCAGTCACTAAATGTGGTCTGGGGAAATATAGACAACATACAAGCAAATAGAGGCCGGCCCCTACCCTATGCTAAAACCACTACCACTACCACAAATGGAAATATATATATATATATATATACAGTCTTTCCTTAATGATCAAACCACAATTCTTCATGGTTTAGAGCTTGAGTTTCAACCTGATGCACTTTCAATTGGTAAAAAACATGATGTTTCTTGTACAAAAGCGGTTAAGAGTTTAAAAATAGCTCAAATTTGAGTTCAAAGAAAGTTCGAAAAATATAAATAGTATGCTACCTGGCGACATTGTGCATCTTTTTTTACTTATTTTAATCTTTTCGCATTTATATCTAAAAAGATTTTTTTATTGCTAATATATTCCTTAGACTAGTGGGAGATAAGACGGCACATTTAATTTTAGTGCGACTTTTGTTTACATCGAAAGTGCCTAACCATTGTTATAGAGTTCATAGCTTTGGGATCAAATTTTTTACCATGAAGTGGTGTCCGAACTATTCTCATTCCTAACATCGACAAGCCAAAAAATCACTTTGGAAGTGACACTAATGTATGTAGTGGTTCTTGTTGTTTGAGTTTTGTAAACTGGTATTTTCACTCTTATACTTTATCTCTTCAGATCACAAATATATATAGAGATATATACATACATATATCATAATAGGAATATTAGAGCCTTTATTCAATACTTTACAATTTTCTAAAATATCCTACATTTTCTAGGATAATAAGTATGATATGTTTTTCCATAAACCTACTATCATTATTATACTACATATTCCAATATAGTTAGCAATTTCGAGCCGAACTCAATCCAAGCATATAGGAACTAGTTGTTCACTAGTAAGTGTATTTGTTTATATTGTGTAAAATGAAAAGAAAGATACCGTTCAAACTTTTTAATTCATACTATTCAATATTACAATTATTTAAATATATGCAACAATTATTTACATATTCAATTTATCCAAAAATTTACTCCTATATTTTCTCAAGTACTCCTATTTTACGTCACAATAAATCAATACAATATTGTATTTAATCAAAACACGTATCCAACTTAAATAAGCATATATTTGATGGCATATTAGTAAAGGGAATACTAAGAAAGTGATCAAATCAAAGGTTTAGTGTTGAATCATTACAAGGTGGCTAGTGACTTTTTTTAATTAGTGATCTAATCACATGCTAAAATTTGATTATTTTTTAGCACAGAAAATTATCATACACTGCCAAAAATGCAATAAAGTGTTGCAATTAAACATCACTCATAAATATTAAAAAAAGGAGTAAATAAAGAAAAGATGCTTTTTCTTCCCCCTATAAATAGCCACACTGAACATCTCAAAAGAGAAGTAAAAGCAGAGCACCATTTTCTTAGAGTTTATTACGTTTCTGTATATCTCAAAACACTTCTCAGAATGTCTCCTGCCCCACTTTCGGTAGGCCACATTGATGATGTCCAAGAACTGAGAAAGAACAAATCATCACTGATTCCTGAAAGGTTCATTAGGGACAGTGTGGAGAGGCCATCTCTTGACAAGGCCATGCCATATTCATCATCTGATGGAATTCCCATCATCGATTTATCGAAACTTTCTGGAGGAACTGAAGATGAGTTCAGGTCTGAGACACTGAAGCTCATGGCTTCCTGCAAGGATTGGGGGTTTTTCCAGGTAATAACAACACCAGAAATTCTTGAATTCCGAAAAAGGAAGATGTTTTGGTTAACAATGGAAGTTATAATTGTTTATATCATGGCAGGTGATCAACCATGGAATTGAGTTAGAGCTGCTGGAGAAAATAGAGAAGGTAGCCATGGAATTCTTCATGATGCCATTAGAGGAGAAGCAGAAGTATCCGATGCTTCCAGGGACTGTCCAGGGATACGGACAAGCTTTCGTATTCTCGGAAGATCAGAAGTTAGATTGGTGCAACATGTTTGCACTTGCGCTGGAGCCGCAGTATATGAGGAACCTGAAACTATGGCCAACAAAACCGAATGATTTCAGGTCGAACATTAGTCCCTTGAGACAAAATTTTCATAGTTTTTTATAGCAGGTCTTGTTAACCTTTTGAGTACTGTTTCGACAGCCAAACTGTGGAGATGTACTCAAGAGAAGTGAGGAAACTGTGCAAGAATCTGCTTAAGTACATAGCCATCACTCTAAGCTTACATGAGGATGTTTTCGAGGACATGTTTGGTGTAGCTGTCCAGGCTGTAAGAATGAACTATTATCCTGCTTGTCCGAGACCAGACCTGGTTTTCGGGCTAAGTCCTCATTCTGATGGAAGTGCCCTAACAGTTCTACAGCAGGGAAAGGGGAATTCAGTTGGGCTTCAGATTCTAAAAGACAGGACATGGATACCAGTCCAGCCAATCCCTAATGCTCTTGTCATCAACATTGGAGACACCATAGAGGTATTCGACATTTTTCTTCATGCTTTTATTGTTTAGATTGGTGTTTTCTATGTTCATTGATCGTTGGCTACAAACAGGTTCTAACAAATGGAAGGTACAAGAGTGTGGAGCATAGAGCAGTCACTCACAAGGAAAAAGATAGGCTGTCAATTGTCACTTTCTATGCACCGAGTTATGAAATCGAACTCGGGCCAATGGAAGAATTTGTGAATGACAAGAATCCAAGCAAGTTTAGAAGATACAATCATGGAGAGTACAGCAAACACTATGTCACCAACAAGCTTCAGGGAAAGAAAACACTTGAATTTGCCAAAATCAAGAACTGAGATCCAAAAATGAAGTTATCTAGAGGGAGACTGTGTGAGTGACTGCCTAATCCCAAAATTAACAGTAAGAAAAAGACTTAAAAACCAAAAATCTGTAACAGAGTTTCAGAAATAAAGTGTGATAGTAAATCAAGTTTCTTGGGGGTTCAATAATTAATGGAAGCATGTGGGGACAGGCTAATGAGTTTTTTTCTTTCTCAAGTCAAGATTGTTCTTTTTATTCTATAAGGGTTCTTCATACAGACATGAGATTCCTACAGAAGATGTATTAACCTTCAACAGTTGCCCCTACAAGATTCCATTCCAGTGATGGGAAAGTGGTGTGTAATGATGAGAGAAAATCAGGGTGCATCACCAATTCAGGATCCATGTTTTGCAATGGAATATAAAAGAGTGATATGGAAAATAAAACAAAATAAAATAAACAACGGCTTCCATTGATTAAAAGGGGTGCTTTTTGGTGAGTGGAGGGGGGAAGAAGAGAGCCCACAACCATGTTTGTCTGCTTCCAACTTGTCACATAATTGGTGTCGAAAACAGCACTAATTCAGCAACTAGGCATGATCATGATCATGTTTCATGGTCCTAAGAATAGTGTGTAGATTTTGGCAAACGAACAAAGCATCTAAGTTTCAGTGTTCAAATCAAACTCATAGTTGTTGATGACGCAAAGACCTTAATGGAGCCACGGAAGCAAGTTTGGCACATAATTACATATGCTTTAGTTAAACTAAGATCGCTATTGTGCTACTAATATCATATGTTCGAACTCAATAAATTTGACTTAAACTTAAGATCAATGTTAAAGCTTCCCTTCTTAATTAAATGTGAAGAGTCATATATACAACTCAAGGTTGAATTAGCAACTTTGCAAACTCACACTTTTGACATGAGTTAAAATATGAATATGCAGAACAAGCGGTGTTAATGGTTAAAGTATAGTTGAAAATACAATTATTGAGAAAGATTTTTTAGTGATGCAAACAGTCAATGGTGGGTTCAAGAAGAAATAAACATCACCATAAACCAACAAAAAGCAACGATCTTTAGCGAAAGAAATAATTTCAAGAATACACAGTATAATCCCTCTTTTTGGAATGATAATTGAAGGACTGTGATTTTTCTATTACTTTTTCAATTAATTACCAAGAAACACAACATCAGATCATTTTAGAAAACTATATGACTAATATCACAATCATTTAGCATAGAAACACACATGTGTACGTAAATAATTTGGCATCCGTTTTTATGTTAGCATGCTGCCGACAACAGTTCAAATATAAATAAGCAACACATGAAGTATAAATCTATTAGTACAAAATTTGTTATAATATAATACAAATATAATATGAGAGCATCAATTACCAGTTACCATGACACGTGTATTAATTGAACTCACCGTAACCATTCCCGAACAATTTGTGTAAAAATTAATCAATAAAGCAATGGTTAAAACATTAAGCATATGTTTAAATATTTTTCAGAAGTGTTATAATATTTAAAAATGTTTTGAGAATAATAGAAATTATAATAAATAATTCTATACAAAATTTAAAACATCGGACCCTAATATCAGTATTGTCTTTCAACATAAATATACAAAATATCCTATATTGGTTCTATTGTATAATTTTAGGTTCTTTAGAGGATTTATACTGTTTCTCCAATTTTTTTTTTATCAAATCATTAAATCAAAAATTAAACTTTTTACACGTTAAAAATTAATTTTATATTACAAAAAACACCAATCATTTATTTCAATTCATAATATTATTATTCAAAACTTAAACTCGCAATCGAACACACTTATTTTGGGCAAGATAAAAGTGAATTATTTATGCTAAAACTATAGGTACTACAAACATATAATTAACCTAAAGTCCGTCCAAAGTACACTCATGATATTAGGCATTTCAAGCATTTTGACAAACAGGTTATAGGCATCAAAAGTCGAAATTATTTGCAGATGTGAAGCAAGATTGAGAGGGACAAAGCTTCAGGCCTAAAAAGGGTTGCAAGAAAAGATGATCAAAACTGGAAGAAAAGTAGAAAGAAATTGAAAGTAAGCTCCCCTTTTCCTTTTTTTTTTCTTTTCTTTTGGTGTTGTTGCGTATGGATTTGAACTAAAGTTGAGATTATGTGTTACTGAGAGAGAATATGTGCCTTACAAAGAGATGTTAATGCAGAAATTGACAGGCACTGATCAAGAACGCAGCCACAAGCACCCTACTTAGTTTTTTTTTCTTTTTTTTCCTTGAAGTCGACAGCAAGTTGGAAGTACGCCTGATTGTTAGTGTTAGATATCTGTTCCATCATTCCATCCCACTTCCCAGCACCTAATGGATTCTTAAAAGAGATTTCTTTTTTATCATTTTTTTTTTTTAATCAAATATTCTTCATTTTTATATGAATTATACTCCCTCCGTTCCAAAATAAAATTGTACACAAAAGAAAAATGTCTTATTGACAGTTGACACGAAATTGAAAGTGGGTATAAAATAGAATGTAAATGACTAAATGTCTTGCTTTTTTTTAAAGATTTTAAAGAAAGTAATAAATAGGAATAGTATGAAAAAATATGAATAATTTTGTTATAAAGTAGGGACCACAACTACTAAATAAAGAAACAAAACAATTATTTTGGAATGAAAAATAAAAAATAAGGCAAATCTTTTGGGATGGAGGGAGTAATATATTATTACATTACTTATTCTTCAATAAATATTATTTAAAATATAATATAGACAAATTAACATAAAAAAAATACTTTTATCTATACTTTTTATATTATTAATACAATTTTTCATTCTTAATATAAAATATACTATCTAAAAAAATTCAAATAAATTCTTTTTATGGATTTGATTAATAAAAAGCACACCCTACAATTCTTTTTACTGATATTTTTTGTTAAAAATACTTTTCAATTATATAATAAAATCAATATTAAATTAATAAAAACATAATATAATCTTTTAATAATAATATTTTTATTTGTTAGTAGAAATATATAAAAACAGTTGATATTTTTATCTTTATAATTTAATTAAAAAATTACAAATATTTTGATATTACTATATATATATATTTTAAAAAAATACTTTTAAAATATAATAATAATAATAATAAAAAAGTAATGATTCGAAATGAAAAAAATATTATTTAATTCAACCTCAAAAAAGATGCTAATAATCCTTAGTTATACATTATTATATTGAGTTTTATTTACTTCACACGTAACAATACATAAAATTTGTTAAATTGTATTAATAACGTAAAAAATATACATATCTTACTTTTTTTTAAGTACTAATAAAATACTCCCTTCGTCCCACATACCATCTCACTTTCATTTTTTAAAAATAATTACACATAAATATTTATATTATAGAATAATTATTTTTACTAATATATTCTTAACTATCTACTAATTACACCTCTCCTAAAACACCATTTCTACAGTATAACAGACATGACACAGAAGGAGTAAGTACTATTTACATTGAATCTTTACTTTTTAATTTATATTTTTTAATAATACTTATAAATATATATATATATATATATTCCAGCAAAAAATGTAGTGAACAAACCTATTAGTAAACATACAAAATTAAATTAAATAAAATATTAGTATTATTATTCATGGTAATAATCCAAAACCAACACATATCCTAACAAAAGAAATAAAGGACAAAGCCAGCAATATTAAATAAGGGTGTGAGTTGGTGAACAAGAGTTTCTTCACTCAGACTCTTTTTTTACACTTTGGTCAATGGAAAGCCAAATGTAGAGAATAGAAAAGTAAAGTAAACATATTTATGGGGTGATCCTTAAACTGGGAACTTATGGCCAAATGTACACAGAAATTCTCTTAAAACAAAAAGTCAAGAAACCACAAAAGAGACGAAGATATGATAGGGGGAAGACGACGACGACAATGAAATTTACAGGCATCGAATGCTGAGGGAGGGCACCTGTGTATTTTGCAGGCCGCGGTGGAACTAACATCCGATTACGCCAAGTACTTGAAAACATTGGGGTTCGATTTGTCTCGTTCCAAGTAGTCTCTAGTGATCAGGTCTTCTATCCTCTTTTTTATTACCTTGAAGTCGGGCTGCATAAACATAAACAAGAACAGCGCCACAAATTTTTAGGAATGATGGAATTTATTATAGAATGTTGGGTAAACTCATTTGACCATTTTATCATTTTAGTCCCGTAACTTCAAACTAATTCTATAAGTGAAATATTTTAGCACTTTTAGTCCTCCGGGGCCAGAGATGCCTACGTGGCACCCATGTAGCTCGCCGGATGACACATGTCTGCCAAGTGTCACTTTTAATTTTTTTAAAAAGATTAATTTATTTATGGTTTTTTTTTGCAAAAATTTAAAATCTTCAAAAATTCAATTTTATAAACATTTCAAAAATAAAAATCCACGTGTTTACTAGGGGTTGCTGACCTGGCGGACACATGTCCTCCGACGAGCCATATGAGTGCCACGTAGGCATCTCCGGCATTGAAGGACTAAAATTGCGAAAAATTTTCACTTACGGAACTAGTTTGGGACAAACTCCAGTTACAGAACTAAAATGATAAAGGATTTAATTATGGAACTAGAAAACCAATTTACCCTTAAAAGTTTGTGGAAAATGTTAGGAGTACTTTTGGGGATTACCTTGAACATGCGGCCCAACTGATCAGCACACTCGGAAACTAACTGTGTGTATGGCAAGACCTTCCTACTCTTCATGATTCGCACGAGTGAGGCATCAATGGCGTATCTTCGGTCCTTGTCGACATCCTCGATGACCTTCTTTTTCTCATCCACAGGTGGAAGAGGGATCTGAAAAAATTCATCATCATAATTTAATCTTATTCCTACTAGAGCTGCAAAATAATCAATCCACTGGTGTGCTGCTTCAGCTTGTTTAATTATGATGATCAGCTTGATTTTATATCTATATATGTAAATTGTTTTTATAAAACAAATCAAACACTTCAAAAAAGAAAAGAAAAGCTCCGACTACCTTGATTCTTCTCATCTTGTCGGTGAACTTTGAATTAAACTCGAAAACATCATTTGAAGTAATTGTTTTGCTGCTTGGCTCCTTGTTGAGAATCTTGTACTTTGCGCAAGAAAGCGAATGAAGCAGCCGGACAACATCATCGTCAGATAGGTTTAACTGAGTCATAATTTCCTGGTAACTTAGCCTATCTGCAGAATTGAACAGCAGTAGGGCAGCAGCCTGCAAAGAGGAATAAAAAGCTAAGATCAGTAGGTAGTTTACCCAAATATAGGAGTGAGTCGTGAATCGAATGATTTAATGTTCTTCTGAACAACCTGATAAGTGGTAACTATGAGCTCTATAGTTTTCGGTTCAAACTTCCCGTTGATGTTACAAGTGCCCAAAGAATATATCCATGTGAGTTTTCTGTGCTTTGTTTTTGTTTGGTAGAACTCTTTGAATACTTCTACACATTTGACCTGGAATAAAAATTTCAATGTAAAAATAATTCTGTTTCGAACAATAAATTAAAATATGGATCATAAAGTATTATACCATCTCTTCTGGAAGATTAAGATCGAACGACTTGTAGCTGGGCCAGAAACCAGTTGTGAGGACAGTCACCGTCAAGTCGATCCCTGGATTTTGAGTTTGATTACTGCTAAGATACTCCTCGAAGCTGGTTTGGTTTTCCCTGGCTAGTGTTAAATCCGTGACCTGCATCAATTTAAAATAACAGTGAATCGAAAACATTTGACCTGTCAATACTATTTCAAAATAGAAAATAGAAAGAAACTGACCATTCCCTCCATTTTGGATGTGAATTGGCCACCACACTGCTGCTTCAATTTTGTCAGGATACTCCGCTCATGCTCATCATTAGCACTTTTATCAAAAAGCAAGCGACGAGCAAGCTTTTTCCTGTGAACAATACCAGTGAAAGAGATAAGGTAAAAACAACTGGATACACACACCCCTTAAATTACGAAGGTAGGAATCACACCTATAGAATTCAGCAAATAAATCCTTATCGCTGATATAAGCAAGGAGTTTGACTACCTGTAGAATATACGGAACCACATTAGAACTTAGAACAGACTACAGTCGATTCACACAAGCTCAAAGTGAAATGATTGAGAGATTCACCTTTTCCAGAGTTTCTTCAATGGCTTCATCACTTAATTTTTCACTCCCACCTTTTTTAAGAATGTTATCACAAAATGTAGCAAGAAGTTCAGCACTAGAACTTCCGGAAACACCTTTGTTGCAAAATACTTCAAATGCCTCTTTCAGAGCCTACATAAATGGTGAGGTTATGTATTGCTGGAAAAAAGTGCAGGCTTAGAACGGAGATAAGCAGTTTCATAATGCAAACCTTGTGGAATAGCGTGTGGTTTTGAAAACAGTCATTCACATACGCCATGAATTTGTCGTGGAGTTCAATAACTTTTCTCACAAAGATCTGGAATGAAAGAGACAGAGTAATTTTCTTGTGAGACCATATAGAAAGTGATCAAAACTACTAAGTTACTTACTTGTTCCTGTAATCCCACGGCATCTTTCTTTTCCGCCTGCAAATTCCAGATATTAGATATATCCCACAAATAAGAAACTATGGACAGGAACCATTTCCAAAGAATAATGCACTCTTGGGGAAATATTAGTAATATGAAATTTTGCATTGGCATAAATTATATTTTTGTTTCAAAATAATATTTCTTTCCCTTTTTATCTTTTAGTTCAACCATTTCAAGAAAAACTTACCCAAAAGCCATCCTCATTACAGATAAATTCAGTTTATAAATTGGATGGAAATTTAAAACAGAAACAAAATGACTTTACATCATAATTTAATAACAGAATATGAGAAATGTAATTACTTTATCCTGTGAAAAATTAACTACCCTTCAGAAGAAAATATGCCAACATGTTGAGTTTAGAATGATTATCTCAAGATAAGAAATACAGTTAAATTTGTAGCATTGACAGATGGGCGTCGAATGCGTTTATGTTCAATATTAAACAGAATATCTCAACTCTCATTTTTGGTGTGCAGTTCTATCTTTCTCACTATGTTAGTAACTCAAGAATCTATGCACAACACCCAATAAGACAGTTTATTCGTCTAATTCAAAGCTGCAAAAAAAAAAAAAATAACCTCAACCGTCCAAGCCTGATAAAAGGTCATTCAATAAACTAAAAAGCCAAACACAAGCACAATTTCAAACGATATCATTAACAAAAGCTTCGCACATAATACAAGCAGTTTTGACCAATTACAGGTTACCCACAAAGGATTCATCTCAACAGTTTAAGGATAGTTTTCTAAAGCAAACTGACCTTTTTGTTGCTTGCAGCATCCTCTGCTTGTTTCACCAAAACAGTACCTTCACTGGTAACATGCTGTGGTTGGAAACAATTAAACTTTTTCAGCGAATTACTTAATAAAGTTGCAAAAAGTATGAGCAGAAAAAAATGATTAATTGGAGCCCCAACAAACCTGCTTAAATATATTTGCAACTGGCTCTAAACCACGAGGTATTTTGGAGAAGAGCCTATACATCCTGGACAAATCCTCTACCTAATGGAGAAAGTACCAGGATTTGTTAAAATGGTCTCAAATCAATAAGAACCTCCAATTTAATACGTAACAGTTCCAGTTTCAAGTACCTTATCATCCCTAAGTAGAGCGTGACAGCCTGAATGCTCCTTCTCTAGCAGTTGGGTAGCATATACGGACAACAATTCATTTTGCACTTTCTATACGAATCCAATGAAGAAAGTACAAGCCCATCCAAAATTAATAAATAGAGTAAATAATACTTAGGACAATCAGCTGCAAGGAACATCAAAAAGCAAATACTAACCTCAAGAAGCTTCGTCTCACTACTTGAATGAAGATAATGAGCAACCCTGCCTTTTTCTCGTTTTAAACACTCCTCTGCCTGTATGCCCAGAATTTAAAACCAATTAGGAAAGTGACATGTGATTCCATTTTCCTTAATGTGTTATCATGGATGAACACAGGAGCATTCTAAAGGTAGAGTATGAACTACAAAGAAATATTACTTTCAACATATAGTCTGGACATGAATCTTCCAAGATCCAGTTAGAAGCCTTCCGTGAATAGTAAGCAGCTGAGTCTATCAGCATTGCTGCTTCAAAGTCAGTCTCATAATAATCCATCTGTCCCATCCCAATTTCAACAAAAATATCTAATACATTCTTCAATAATGATCGATCGATTTGTTCTCCTTCCCGTTCTTGATCAATCTAGCAAAAACACACCTTATAATCTCAAAGCAGGGGAATGTAGAATATTATGAAGGCAATGAGAATTGAATCATACCAGAGATATAACAGCATCTTTTACTTTTCCACGTATCTCAAAATACACCTGAATTGAAATCGAGGTTATGAAATTACAGCTAAAGGAAGGATATGAAGAGATGGGGCACAGGCAAGAAGTGCTCTAATCTTCTCTAACTTTGAAATAGCTAATTCTTCAATGAAACAATACTGAGGTAAATTTGGGTCAAGCAAATAGAATAAGTAAAATAAGTAATTTACCAGTTCCCGGAAGCATGTTAGTCCAACTTCTCTAAGTGCTGGAAGTGTCCTTCTAGCGATGAAATATCGATCAAGATAATAAAAAAATCTGGACAGCCAACGAACCATGAGTTTATGATTTGACCATCTTTTAACAAGTTCCATCAACATGAATTCATCATGTTTCTCCCTTAAAGCTGGGAGTACCTAAAGGATGAACAAAAAAGTTAGGTGCAAGGCAGTAAACCAACACATATCAATTAGTAGAAACCAAACTGCCAAACAAGACATGATAATATGATATGTAAGGTTTAACCATTTCCCTATATATTCATTACAGGTGCTGAAATCATGATTTCAGCTTGCTTTTGTGTAGGAAAGAGGCAACAAACTTCATAAATCAGGTTGGACTCTTAAAATAAATGACAGTATAACCTAAGTACCAAAGCACAAGGAGTATGCACATAAAAGTATTCATATAACGGAACCAGCATATACAATATACACCACGATGCAAAAACAGCTAGAAGGGAGCTCAAGCAGGAGCTCTTCCTGGAAATCCATCCTTACCATAGATGTAATGTACTCTTCAAATGACTCACGATACTTGTCATACAACTGCTGAGAATAGTCATGTGGAGGCTTTTGAGTACACATGTTGTATATTGTCCTATAAATGGTATCAAGGAAGTCAGATAGAGTTGATAATGTTGGGCCCAAAAGAATCATGTGTTAATAAAAGATTGTTGGAATAATACGTGTAGAGCATTATGTAGTCCTCCGAGCAAAAGCTTGGCTCGGGTAACCCTTCTAGAATATTTTTTAGTTTAGTAATCCCTTTCTGCATAAAGTCCCACCCCTGCTCCAACTCAATAACATTTTTTCGCTGGTTCATGGTCATTAACTGCAACAGCCAAAAATCAACACAAGGCTACCGATGACTTCTGGTTCAAAACCTGCCATTGAGGCACAAACACTAGGCTAAGTTGATAGGAACAGACACCCTGAACACCAATATCTAATAACACATGCAATTTATCACAGAAATTGTGATGACATGGAATACAATAGAATCAAATAATAGTTTAGTTTGGGCTACACAAAAAAATCAATATTAGACATAAATTTTGGTTTCAACCACTAAGGGAAATATTCAAAATTACTCCAAGCACCGAGAACAACAGTCACTAAACAGCCAAAAGAAATTTTTTCACAGTAAGAACAAGAAAACCTAAAACAACATTCAGAGAGCAGGTACAAGATGCATGAAATTGAGAGCACCTAAACGGAAAATAGCCCTCTCTTCATCCTTATAACATTAAATTCAAATACAATTTCGGCACATGCCTGAAGTGGGTATCAAACTAATACCATAGCAAAGAGACATCAACATAGTAGATGTAGGTTACGTTCAATCATACTGCTGGGGAATCGTGACATAATCCACAAAGATAAAGACTCAAGCATCGAGACTTTCCAAATATTAAATGTTTACAAGCTAATAAGACTAATTAATGACTTTATGGTGTAATATTAATTATCTGCAGTCATCGCAAAGTTCCTCCTAGACAACCATAGGTTTGCCTGAAAATCGTTAACCTTAACTAATACACTCCCAATGCTCCAGGCGATGTTGATTGGAAACAAAAACTAAACATGAAACTACTGTAATAACCTAGTGCTAATCACTGCCATTAATAATTTATATGATAAAAAGACTGACGCAATCAATTTAACGCACATTCAAAGAAACCCCCAAACTTATAAGCTAAGAAACACGAAACCCTAATCAAGAAGTATAATCATCTGATATAAGCAGCTGCAAAAACCCTTAAAAAAAAAAACCCCAATAAATGCAACTCAAAATCAAACACAAACCGCGGAAACATGTTTTAATTCAGCATCAAGGCTCGCAACTATGCAACAGAGCAGAATCAAACACATCGCAGCAGCCTCGTATCTTAGCCCGACAGATAAACCCACCCAAACAAAATTGGCGGAAATCATAGGCAATTGAAACAACATCGATGCGGCTGATAAGCAGGAAGCAATACCTGAAGTAGAAGCTTACGGAGTATTGGTCAGATGCGAATCTCTCCACCCGCTTCAATATACCAGCTGCTTGCAGTCCATATAAAGGCCTTGTATGCGTTTATATATATATATATGGGGTATAAGGCATACGAGTAGACAAAATATCCGAAATTTAATACTGTTAAATCGAGATTTGTTTTTAAAAATAGAATTTTCTGATCTTCCGGATTATTATTATTAATAATTTAGTATCTTTGTATTGGTATACTAAAAATCAAATTTAATTGAAAATCTAAAATATATTGATATATCAAAGTGATTATGTAATCCTAATACATATTTTCAATCTATTATTATTCCCTCCGTCCATTTACAATTGTTATAAAATATATTTGTACGATTTTATTTTAGATAAATATCTTTTTGGTATATTAATTAAGATAGAAATTAAAAATAATAAATAAATGAAGAATAAAAAAATTAAATATGTGTTTAAAAAAAAATAGAACAATAATTAATTAATGTGGAAGAGTGTATTATTTATTTTAAAAGGTATCTTTTTTAGAAGGGTAATTACATAATCCTTTCACTGGGTTTTAGCTTAAATGGATAAAAAAATAAATAAAAATTATTTATTGTTGAAATTTTAAATTAAAATATGCACAAAATATTTAATTATACAAGTTTTAAAATAAATTGTCTTAAATATTTTTATTTAAATACCATAAAGAAATAGACAATTTAAACATCAAATAAATAAAAAAAGAATATTTTGTATCTATTTTAATTTTAACAATAAGTCCATCCTCACACCAATAGGTCATTCTTACAAGACATATATCATTGTCTTTTATTTTTAGTCATTGGACATAAAAAAATTATTCATTTATTATTTTTGGCCATTTCTTAACATGGAACAATCCTGATATATTTTGTGATACAATCATACAAATATAATGCTAATATATTTTTTTTAGAAAAAAAACAAAAAATTATATTTATATTTCAAAATCATAGAGCTAGATGTTACAAAAACATGTAAGACCTGTTGGATTGGATTTTATTTAAAAATTATTTATTAATTTTTTAAAAATATCAAATTAAATATTTATTTTACTTTTTATATATTATATTAAAATTAATTTTACAATCAAATATTAAATCAATATCTAATTATCTATATGATATAAAACAAATACTATACATAATTTTATTCTTCACAATTTTGTTTATGTATTTACAGTTCAATATTAAAAATAGTATTTATATATATTTTTTATACAAAGTATTTTAAGAGTTATTTTACTTTATATAAATTAAATCTGAATTATATAAATATTAAAAAATTACATAATAAAAATTATAGTATTATAATTCGTCTAGTATGACTTACCTTATAAATTTCGAATATATATATCCAAAATATATTAAAAAAAATCCAAAAAAACACTGAAATTATCATCAATATAACGAGTTTATTTCATTGTAGTTTAAAATCTATTTGAAACAGAATGTCAGATTTAAACTTGTTTAAATAGTATTTTGATATGATATTTTATGATAAAAAATAATATATTTTTATTGAAAATTATTTTTTTTTACTATTATTTGAAATGCTAAAAAACAAACAATCCCATTAATACAACATACACAAATTAAATTCAATTACATAAATCAAATATATATGATCATATATAAATACACACAAAAAAAACAAAACACATGCATATATATGGCTATGAACAATATCTACTTCACTACCAAAGAATAATTTGCTACTCCTACATTACTCTTTGCTAAAACAAATCAATCAAGAAGGGATGAAAGCTAAGTGTAAAAAACTCAGGTAAGAACAGATTCTAACCAGCTTGCTGCAATTTCGTAGGCGACGAATGTGACGGCGCCTGAAGGCGCAGCCTTGACAATGGACGGGACGATGCCTTTATACAGACCTGCCAAACCCTCTGCGCGCAAGATCCGGTTTATTGCATCGATAGTATTTCTATAGGCGCGATGCTCCACTCGAGCGCCATATCTTGGGTCCCTTTGCAGTCCTTCAACCTGTGAGTGTTAATTTATACCTATAGTTTTAAGTTTTATCATCATAGTTGTCAAATCTCAAATAGCGTTACATAACGATCCATGTTTGAAATGCTACAGTGGAATGAGGAATATACAGTTAAAAAAATAGTGCATACAAATTTACAATGAAAATGAATATGAAAAATTTAACGATTAACTTCGTAATTATCATTCAAACTAATAGAATTGTGAAAGTTATACTCCCTCCGTCCCAAATCACGGGGGGTTTTTTAGAATTTTTTTAATAGATTAAAAAATAATAATATTTTATTAGTTAATAGAAGTATTTAAGAGTATTTGACAATTTTGTAATGGTATAGTATGCTTGTAATTTAAGTAAAAGTTAAAAGGTATTTTGGTATTAGTGTATGATTATTTTTTTAAAATAGAAAATGAATACTCTAAAGTAGGATAAACAAAAATTGTAAAAAAAATACTTTGAATTGGAACAAAAGAGTATATAATCACAGGTCATAGATAAACAATTAGATCACAAATGATTCGATAGATAGATAATCAAAGTTAATCTTGTTCAAAATCTGAGAAATAATTTTCTTTCTCGTTTGACCATCTCACTACTACTCTTGTACGAATATTTTTAATTCTTTTTTTTTTTTTTTTCGTTTTCTTTATTTCCAAGTCACTATTAGCAGGCTATTGACAACTATGGTGGATATAATTAATTTTCGAATTCAGTTGAGGTGTTTGTGTACCTGAAACCTCTTCTTGACCACATCGAGTGGATGACAGACTGCTTTAGCGCATGTTCCCGCAGCGAATCCACATAGTAAACTCTGGATGGTTGAAGGGGCGTCGTCACCGTGGGGAGCATAAGGAGATCGGTAGTGATTCCAAGCCTAGAGGAATGAAAAACCACATCGATTTTTTTTTTTTGGTATGAAATAAATTTGCTATTCGATAATGATATTAGAACATCTAACAGATGAATTTATGCACACGCACAAGAGAGTACCATCATCCAGCGTTTGAATGTGTCGTAGGTTCCAATCTGCAATCCGGCGTAAGGGATTATTTCAACAAGTGTCGGAGTCAATCCAGCGTACAATCCTCGAATACCTCGGGTATTAAGGATACCCACAAATGCAGACCTCATGGTCAGATAAACCTTGTCATAAACACGTCACTTCATTTTCAGATATTTAATTCTCACATTATTGCAGATAAAATGGTGTTGAAAAGATCATTATCCTCAAGATTCAGATCGGCAGAGTTAAAGAACGAGCCAAACAAGTTCAATGCGCTAGCCTATTTGCTTAGTATGCGCGCCCGCACACATATATATATATTATAAGTTTAAATCGAAGCAGAGAATCATGATTCAACTTCTTGAGATTGGAAACATATAAGAACAAATTAAGGATCCTTAAAAGCATGGAATGCTCTTCAAATGCAACTGTCATGTCTAATACCTTTGGCTCTCCTTGAGAAGCTAATATAGTACGAAGAAGATCGAACGGATATGATCCAACAGTTGCAGCACATCCAGCTAATGAACCACTAACATACGAAAGATAAGGACTTACATGGACGTGCTCTTCTGCATAGAGAACAAAATACGACAGCAAACAACATAAAAAAGGGGTATGACGAAAGAGCGAAACAATAGGAACCAATCATTTGAAAACTTTTTTTTATAAGATAAATAATATAAGTTTCTGCATCGCACATTTTACAAAAGATGCATAAACAAAAGCACATTTGTTTGGGTAAAAAAGAAAAAAAATTAAAATAAAATTCTTCTGCTAAGGAACATAAAGTTCAAAACTAGTATAGCACTTCTCAACCTTTTTCACCAATACGATAAAATAAAGGATTTGTTACAACTTACAAGGTACCATAATTATCAAAATTTAATGAAAAAAAAAATGAAAAAGTGAATGGCAGAAAAACATCTCCGCATACCTGATTTGGAAGAACCTGCAGCTATTGTTTTTAGTTTGTGCAACACTGTAAATTGGATGGCTGTATACGGCATAACCATAAGTAGGGCAGGAACATTGCCCCTCCAAAATCCCTGTTTCGACAAACGAAATCCAAACAAAGTGACTGAACTTTTACATTCTTGGAATAAATTCTTTTTAGACAAACTTACTCTCTATCTCTATTTATGATACTAAGTAATTTTCCTACTGATATAGCATCTTCGAGCTAGTAAAAATAACATCCTAACCCTGTAAATTACTTTTTATTTCTTTTCAAAGTTTCCGATGACTCACACCCACCTAAATATCCAGGTGTCAACATGAATCTCTGTGGATGCAAGAAATTTGAGATCGGAGGGGATGTCCAATTTATGAGATTAGGATGTCCAATTTATGAGATTAATAAGAAAATGTAAGAGCAAAAAAATGCCTGCCTGTATGCACAATGAGAAATGTAAGAGACGAAAGGTCAATTATTGGCAATCAAGCAAATTTCAATTCCCTTCGTCATCAAATTATGCAGAAACAGAGTCAAGTAGACCTTCTGGATTGATAAGTAACAATACCGGTAAGCCTTCCTCTCTAAATATGTCCTTGGCTGCTTGCAGCATACCCGTATACTTCGATGAACTGTATGCATCCCTCCGGAGCATCACCCATCGTGTGGTCGGCTCCAATTGAACCTGCAACACAAAGCACTATCTGTTGTTCACTACTTTTTAACACATTGTCAGCTCATTGTAACCTATTTTCATCAAAAAAAAACAAAGATGAATTACATAATACTCATCTGTATATTTTGTTGTAAATGTAAAAATATCCAGCGTTAATTAAGTTAAATCCCTATGTGTTAAACGTTAAATTCCTATGTGTTAGATTAAAGTATACATAAAATTCTCTTTCTGTCGGCTTGTTCATTGTAAACAACAATTGACATGCAAATAAAGAGGATGAAATGTTTTAAATATCATTATGACCTTTTCAACTCAGAATATTTAAGACCTTTCACTCAGAATGTAATGAACCACCATATTCAAATATCAATTCAAGTTCAAAGATTAAGAGTGATGATCTTAACCTGAAATCTGATTTTAATCACATCGAGAGGAGAAGTAACTGTTCTCTGAACAGCACCAGAAATGGCACCAGCAGAGGCATCAATCAAAGCCCTTTTCAATTGCCCTGTTTCCTCCATTTCCTCCTCTCAACATCCACACTCAGAGATAATCTGCAACAAACAGACAATCATAAAAACCAAACCCTAATTCCTGCATATAATTCAGTCCCCAAAGTAATTAAAACGCCAGTAGTAATTCAAATCCATCCCAACTACGAATGAAACAGAGCTCATATCAGATAATCAATAATGAAATCGAAAGATTGGAATGTACAACCACACACACCTGCGGCGGATGAACGAGGAGACAATGGAGACATTGAAGGAGCTTCCCAACGAGTTCAAAACAATTTCTGCGCCTAATCTCAGATTTCCATTAGTGTAAGGCTCAGCCTTTCACGAACTTTCAGTCATCCGGTGATCAAACAGAATTGAATCATCCAAAAATGATCAAACATCGGCTGAAATCTAATCCTACGTAGGAATGTTCCAATCATTAATCAACTCATTTGTTGGATTCCCAATCACATCTTCTTCTCCAGATTCTGCGGTTGATATATAAAGCAGGTAGGGGGTGGCGTGGGCGTTCGGGGCGGGTAGTTCGAGACCCGATCCGACCCTATTGTTTTTACTTCGGATAGTTTGACTGAAATTTTGGGTAGTAAAAAGTGTTAAATATCGTTAGTTCGAGACCCGACCCGACCCGACCCAATATTTTACTCAAACTATCCGAAGTAGAAATACTGGACCAATCCCACCCCTAATATAAAGTATGCTCTTTAACTTTTACATAATATCTTATTGGGCCCATATATATTTTATCTAGGCCCATTGGGCCGAAAGCCTTATATATATAAAGCCTTTTAATTAAGAACTGCAACATAAACCCTAAAATCTAAAATCCCCAAATCGGAAAACCCTAAACCTCAAATCTGACAGCCATGAGACCTCTCGACGAAAAAGAAACTACCATCGTCTTCGAGAAGTTGCACAAATTCGTCGGAAACAACATCAAGAACATCGTCTTGGAATCGGAGTCGCACGAGGGACCAGATCCGAACCCCGGCCGGTACTGTTTCCGGCTCCAGAAGAACCGCGTCTACTACGTCTCCGAATCGCTAGTCAAAAGGGCCACCAACATCAAGCGCGAGAAGCTGGTTTCACTCGGCACTCAAATCGGAAAACTAACGAAATCGGGGAAGTTTCACCTGACAATCCAGTGCTTGAATTTGTTAGCTGCTAATGCTAAGCATAAGGTGTGGCTGAAGCCAACTTCGGAGATGAGTTTTCTGTACGGAAACAGTGTTCTGAAGGGAGGAGTGGGGAGAATCACCGAGAACATACAAGTGAATGACGGTGTGGTCGTTTACTCGATGACGGATGTCCCGTTGGGATTCGGTGTTGCTGCGAAGAGTACGGTGGACTGTAGGAAGATGGATCCGAATGGGATTGTGGTGCATCGCCATTCGGATATTGGGGAGTATTTGAGAATGGAGGATGATCTCTAGGATGGATTGATTCTACATAATTTTGGTATCCAAAACTGGTGCTTACTGGTAAAAATCCTTGTTACTGTCTTGAATTTTGAGCTATAGTTTATTTCATCAATGCTGATGATTTGCATGATATAGTTGCCATTGATGGATACTGTCATTTACACTGCCTGGGAGATTAAATTGGTTTGGTTTAATACATGTGTTGTGTTATGTATAATTAGCCATTAATGCTTTTGATTTTTTCGATATGGTAGTTTGCAAGTGTGATGATGATTTGCCCTTCTTTGGATCAACAATCACATTTGATACGTTTGAAAATGTCCTCCTTTTTAGATTTTAATATGAGGGCCTCGTTGTTTTAACTCTATTTTCTTCTCATGAATGGATGACACGACGAATAGAAATAGAATTATGTGTTTTTGGCGAAATTCTGTATTTTGGCGTAGGCAATGTTGATTTGAGATGCTATGGATTGTGTGTGATAATGAGTGGGCACAACCGAAAGTTTTATTCATGATGAGAGAGGAAGGAGGAAGTGCGCCTTGGAATAATAGTGTGTTGAGCAATTAGAGTTGGATGGATGACAGTAGATAGTATCGCTAAGGGTTCCAATCATTAGTAAATTATTTGTTGCTCAACTTATTGCTACAAGGCGCACTTGCTCTTCTTCCCCCTTAAGTGAGTAAATCTTTTGTTGTGCCCACTACTGGGTTATGAATTTAATTACGATACTAGTTTCATCAAAAATACAATTGATGGTGATGATTCTATCTGTTTGAATATGATTTGGAAACTATATGACTGTTTTACTGGTTGGATTCCATACAGGGCTTACCTGGCTTTTTTTTTTTTATATTCCCATAGAGTGTCCTAATTTTTGGCCTAATTTATATTTCATCTCTTCAACAAATTTAGTGACTAACATAACAGTCCTGCGTTATATATATGTGTAGAATTTATTTAGTATATGTATAACAGTCCGATTTAGGGTTATTTTGGTACTTTTATAATATTTTTGACTCGAATTGAAGAATTGCTAATTTTTATTTAAAAATGTTAGAAAATTCATTTTATTTAATTAATTAGATTTTATCAAAACAAAAATATTATATATATAATATTTAAGGGTTGCTGGTTTTGTTTTGTCTCGGACCTCGAAAATCAGGATCGGCCTGCTCAAATGCTATTGTATGTGATCGACTATGCGCTTCCGTTTTCACTTATGCGTTTCTTAATTGGTGATATTATTATTATTATTATTATTGTTGTTGTTGTTGTTATCTTTATTTGATGTAATAGTGTTAATAAAAATAAATGTCAGTCTATAATGTTTAACACATAGTGGAGTTTATATTTTGTGTTTGGACAAATAAAGATAGAAAAATGCATATCATTAAAGTGAACAAGAGAATACCAAATATAAACTTAATGTATGATATTTATTGGAGATTATTTTCTTTGTCTGTTAAATTAGGATATTTGTGTTCGATACGAATATGAAAAAAAAAAAAAGAATAATTTAATGAAAAAAATGATAAAAGTAAAATAAGTATTGATTTGTTTAACTTTACTAAAATTAGTAATGCCATCAATTTAGCGGATAAATTAAAAAGGAAAATGAATAAATTTGATGGATGAAATATTATTTATATAATCAATACAAATTTTCATTCTTAATATAAAATTTATAATAAAAATATTGAAATATAAATAGAGTGTATCTCTTTTAAAATCTTTCATATTAATATAGGAGTACTATTTATCTTACCATAAAATTATTTAATTCATAAAATTGTTTGTTTGTAGTTTGAGATTGATTTGAAATTAAGTATTTGATTTGAATTTTTGTTAAAGTAATATTTTGATATTATATTTTATTAAAAAATAATACTATTTTCTTCCCGAAAAAAGAACGATATTTGTTTGTAGATTTTTTAATATTAATATTATATTGAATTAGAGGAATAAAAATAGAAAATAATATTTTCTGTGGGACGGAGGAGTACGTATTTATACACAATAATTAATGTTATTATAATTTGAAATAATAATAAGGAAAGAAAGAAAAAGAACACACGCAAACTCCACATCAACACCCCAGAAAAAACCTAAATGAAATAAAATAAGAAAAATCGATGGATGGGGAATAAAGTAAAATTCATGGAATTGTTACCTATAATGAAAATACTATACTATGGTGCAATTAATGCAATAACGTCATTATCACCAAATCAATGGATAATTAATTTATTTAGCGAATCCTTCTTCATTTATGGGAATAAATCCCACATTCTTTTTTATTTTTTATTATATATATATATATATATATGTAATGTAAACTTTATTCCAACCATACACATACATACATATAGATACATATACGATTTTGAGAAGTAAAACCTAATCATAGAAATTTAATTCACCCCTTTTTGTCCTAATATTCCTTCAATGCCCAAACAAACATTTGCATCATTTCTTTAAACCTTTCAAGAATAAATTCACCCACCATACTTATTTCAATTAATAATGCTTAGAGTGCTTAATTATTAGTTTCAATTAATACATTAAAAATATAATAGTACTGTATGTGCTATCTGTTTTATTTTACATGTGTATTGTATTAATGTATACTGTGTTATGAAATTAATTGTAATATGTGTTACACATACTACGAATGATACTCCCTTCGTATCAGATAAACACATAAATTTAAGAACAATATAATTAGTAAATAATAAAAATTGTACTAGTAAAAGTAACGATACTAGAATATAAATAATTATAAATTAAAATTTAAAATAACTAACTGATATTATTAAAATTTAAAAAATTATAAATTTAAAATACAATTAAAATTAAATTTAGGGGTTTGAACCATGACCTTATGGTCACAAATCCAACCCTTACACTTCTTTCTTTCTTTTTTTTTTTAATAACTTATATATCAATGGATATTAGTATTGTAATTAACTAATTTATTATCAATATTTTAGTCATTTATGTGAATTTTTGACATAATATTGTCAAAATAGCATAACTTACTTGCTCATGTTATTTAATTTAAATTAAGAAATGATTAAATAAGAGATTATTATTATTATTATTATTATTATATAGTTTTGAAATTTAGATATGTATCTTGAATTATATTCTCAACTTTTCATATATTGTATTTACATTATTGTTTGTCTTTCCCACATCTCGTTTTTTTTTTCAAAAAAATAATTACATACCTTAATTTCATTTTAATTTTTTTAATTTTTTTTAATTTTAATTAGACTAATTAGTTATTTTAATCTTAATATATAATTATTTATATTATATAACAATTATTTTTACTAATAAATTCTTAATTATTTATTAATTATTTATATTATATGATAATTATTTTTATTAATAAATTCTTAAATATTTATTAATTATTATTAATTATACTTATCTTAATCCTAAATTATCGTATCTACGGTTACCCCAAACACGGTGGATGGGAGGAGAAGAATATAAAAACTGTCAAACTATGTTAACATTTTGAGTAAACTATTTTTTTAGTTTCGTAATTGGACCCTTTTATCATTTTAGTCCTGTAAGTGGAGCCTGTCGTAAATCAATCCCATGAGTGAAACATTTTCGCTATTTTAGTTCTCCGGCGCCCGAGACGCTCGCGTGGCTCGTTTATTTATTTATTTTTTTCATTTTTTTAATTGGACCAAATAAAAAAAATAAAAAAATACAAATAAAATTTAAAATAAATTAAAAATAAGTTTTTTAAAAAAATTTAAAAACTGAAAAAAAAATAAAAAATTCACGTGTCCGCTAGGTCAGCGACACCTGGCGGACACGTCACCTCCGGCAAGCCACGCGGGCATCTCCGGCGCCAGAGGACTAAAACAACGAAAATTTTTCACTTATGAGACTAGTTTGCGACAGGCTCCACTTATAGGACTAAAATATAAGGAGATTGACTAAAAAAATCAGTTTACACTAAATAATTTAAATGTAATAAGGGTTAAACTTAACTAGTAAAAATTTGATAAAATAATTATTTTATTTAAAAATATTTAATCCAGAAAGAAAGCTAGCAGAAGAATACACCCACGGTTTCACATTGTATTTTCAACTTATTATTTTTAGATTGACGAAAATAAAAAAAAATCACCAAGAAAATAAATTAAACAATAATTTTATACTAAAAATTAATTTAATATTTAAAATATCATACCAATATTTATTTATACTATATAAACAACTATTTAAATCAAAATCTCAAATGGAACTCCCAAACCTATAACCAAACAAATCCTTGCAATAACATTTTTTTCCCCTTAACAAATAGGAGTATTATACTTACTCTATATGAAATCAATTGATTTATATATATATATATATATATTTATTACACATAAAATGTTTTTTTAATATATAAATAATATTATATTATATGCCTTTATATCACAATATAATTAAAACATATGATTATTTTATAAAGAAAAGTTTGTTTGGTTTATAACTTAAACTATATATATACATATATATATATATGTATTAAAAATATGCACGATTATTCATTCCAAAAAAATAAAAAATAAAAAAAATACTATCATTAAACTAAAATTTAAAATTAAAAAAAATTAAAATTAACGGACGAAAGAAACAAAACCCATAGACCCAAATAAGCCTATCTAATTATTGCTCACATATTGATCGAAGGACAAGAAGAATTCTAATATTCGTTCGTACTCTACTTTTAATTTGAGACTTCTTTTTCATTTATTTTTATTTTTATTTTTAATTTTTGTATTTCAAGATTTTCATTCCGACAAAAAATGGCATCTTATTCCCATGCATGCACATATATATATATATATATATATATAAACACACACACAAATACGTCTTAACTAAGGTGGAAAGTGTTGAAAAAGAAAATAACCTTATGACATTTTTAAAATTTTTAGGGTTCGTTTGTTGTGATTTGAAATTAAATATATATATATATATGTAATATAAAAGAACCTTATTTAATACATGAAATAACCTTGGAATTTTTTTGTGTTCCCCTTGACTTTTTCTCTATTTTTTTTTTCATCATGCACAATTCTTCATAAAAATTTGCTCTCTCCATTTATTTAGTTAGTATAAATTTTGCCATATTTGATTGTTAAAATATAATATATATATATATATTTAGTATGTATCAACCTCATTATTACAAATATTCTTACATTTATATTTATTTACATCAATATTCTCATATTAACTTTACATATTATAGATGTAAAATAGTCTTTATATATCAAAATTATCATCAACTATCTATTAAAATATAATATTTATTAAATTCCGTACAAAAAGTAAATATAATATATATATTTTTTAAAATGTATTTTTGGGGAAATTTATAAGAATACACCCTACAAAAACAAACGATCTTAGGTTTTACATTTCAAAATTCTAGTGTAATATAGTCATTTGAAACACATATCCAACTTAATTAATTTATTAAATTAGTTTGTTAATGTATTTTTTAATTTCCAAATGAACAATACCATGATTCAATCAATACCATTACTTATATAAAAAAAAATATTATTTTTTTCTTACAAAATATCATATCAAAAATATTGTTTAAACAAAAACTAAAACCGAACAAACCCTTATTTTAGCAAAGTCTATCTCAATGCTAGACAAAAACATGTTATATTTATAAGTTAAATATTTTTGCAATTTTGTATTTAGTAAAGCGAAATATAATTAATTTTCGTCACCAATGTTTTTTTTTTTATAGGAAAATTAGGTGTACACATTTATGGTGGAAGTCGATATCATGCACCTTTCCATTGAAAATACTCATTGTTTAATTTGTCGAGTCATTGTTTTCTCTATAGTCTTGAATTTCCTCGAAAGATTCATCCTATCCAATTGCATCGACAGAGAATAAGATCGCCAAGTTATTAGATTCTTGAGTTCTCAAGTCGATCACGACATCAATTTTAATATATGTAGAGCTTCTAGATCAAGAGAATCTACACAATACCGTAACTAGTTGGTACATATACGTGTATTCTTACAAGCCAAATAACGAAACTAGGTACGTGTCTTAGGTTAATTATATATTAAGTTTTTATCAAAGATAGCCACCTTTGCTTCCCTAGCTCTCAAACCCTACTAAAGGTTAAGACAACCTTGTTGTCAAATTATGCATATTTACTGGCATCTATGAATACGACGTTTGTAAGAAAAATATTATATATTTATAAAAAATTTATGATGATTGCATAATTAAAAAAACAAAAAAAAAAAATGAAAGTAAAAATAGTCTTCGATAGATTAGGGTTTGTTTTATTTTTTGCTTGTCAGAGAAGACAATCAAGCAAAAGTTAAATCCATCGTGCCATTTAAAACGGGGGTTGAATTAAGTGTTACTTCGTGTTTTTTTTGGAGACAATATTTGTGTTTGTCCTTGTGCAAATAAAGACACAAAATCTTGTCATATATATGATACAGATAGATATAGTTATGGCCCTTTGAATTCAATTGTATTACATGGTCACCAAAATATCTTGTATGTATTAATTCGCACGATACATGCATGTATATTGAAAACTCGAGAAATATATATTGCATAGAAGATCTATCTTTTTTTTTTTTTTTTTTTTCAAGAAACCCTAATTAGGGTTCTTGTAAGAATGTAGTTTAAGCCATGAGAACACATACACACATATATAAACCCTAATTAGTACTCCTTCCGTCCCAAACATCGTGCAACATTTCATTTTTGGTATGTCTCAAACATCTTGCAATATTTCCAAAATAGGAAATAATTAATTATACTTAATTTCTATCTCACACTTTATCTTATCCCATCACACAAATAAAAAAAAATAAAATATGTATTTCTCTCTTTATCATATCACCTAATTACTAAATTATCCTAATTAATACTATCCACCTAAAAATCCGTGCCCAAAACAAATATTGCACCTTGTTTGAGACGGAGGGAGTATGTGTTATTTTGTTTTTGTATACAATTATGTTCTTTTGTTTTACAAAATATCATATTCAAACTATTATTATTCGAAACATAAATATGAATAAAAATTCAAAAAAAAAAAAAAAAAAACCCTTTAATATTAATATTTAGGGTTTGACTTGGGGAAGATATGGGGAGAGTTACAATTGAATATAAGAAATAGCACTTTCAATATATATAATAAATATAAATAAGCCCACTCCCTGCTTAGGACATTTCCCTCTCCTTAAAGGTTGTCACATACACACAATTATTAATGAATGTAAATACTTATACATATATATACATACATACATACATACATACACCATTCCCATTATGTCCTAGACTGTTAGGTGTGTTTTTTTATGATCGATCAGTTTACGAAAAATTGGTTTAAATTTGATATTAAAATAATATTTGATAAAATATTTTATAAGAGAAAAAAAATACTCCCTTCGTTCCGGTGAAAGAGTGGTGTTTGCTTTTTGCACGTAGATTTTTGAATATTAATATTATATTGGATTGTAGTAAAAAAAACAAAAATACCCCTATTAGTATAATGTAATATAAAAGTAATGACATTTGTGTAATATATTGTAAGTTGGAAGGGTATTTATTATGTTAGGTAAATAGTACAATTACTAAATTAGAAAATGATAACCTTATTTTGAGACGAATAAAAATGAAAAATGACAACCTGGATAAAAAAAAAATATATATATATTTTTTTTTCAGAAACACAAAATCCAATTTAGTTAAAAAGAAACAGACCTTTAATAGCAACCGTCACTATACTACACTAACTCCGTCGTATTTACAAAGCTATATATATATACATATTTTTTGAGAGAGAGGTATATATATATATATATTGATAGAGAGGAATGGTTAGAGTGTCTTAGGGGCTAATCATCACATAAAATATAAATTATTAGTATATAGTTTCAATTACTACAACATGTGCTATATAAATTATTATCATATACTGAAAATTTATGTTAGCAGTTATGAATATATATATATTATATGTTTTTTTTTAATGTATCATATAGATTATTGTCATATATTTTATTTATTGTATTTGTATTATATTAATACAAATTTTATATTATTGATTTATTATTCATGTGTTTGTTATCCTTCGATACATTCAAAGTATTGCTTTTAACACAATATATTGAATAATACTTCATCCCATTTATGTACTTTTACAAAAATGTAAAAATGTATTTTATTTTTACAAAAATGTTTATTTATTTATTTATTTTTAATTGTCATAGTAATACTATTATTTTTTAATTTATTAAAAAATTAAAAACAATACATTAAATTGGAACCAAAAAAATACAGAAAAAATTACTGTAAGTGCACGGTAGAGAAAGAGAACAGTTGAATGTATGTATGGATTGATGGATGAAGAAAAGTACTGCAGTAATGAGGAAGGAATCATCTCTCTCGCTCTCTCTCTCTCTCTCTATATATATATATATATACATGTATATATATATATATATGAAATTAATAGTAATACTGTAGTGATTTCGATCTGACTGACTTATCCAATTCTCTATCCCTAAAGTATGGGACAGACAACACACTACTACTACTACAACCTAACACTAATTAATTGTTCAGTTATTACTTCTCTTCACTAATTTTTTTTTTTTTTTTTTTTTGTTTTTTTGACTGCCTTAATTCACCTAGCTCATATATACATACATACATATATATATATATATATGTGTGTGTGTATATATCGAAAGCTCGAAATCTTTCATTGAATCCAGACTTTGTTGTATCTTAAGCTCCTGTATATATATATATATATATATATATGCATGGTGCAAAGCATGAGTGAGAAAGATGTGAGGATATTCTTTAATATTGTAATTAATTAATTAATTAATTAATATATAGTATAGTATAATGATAGAACCCAATTCGTCTTTTTATAAGCATAAGCTAAATATATATGTAGGAATGTTTGTGATGATGCGATGCAACTGCAAAGATAATAGTATTATATATATATATATATATTTATGTAAAAGATTATTTGTAATAAATTAGCCTAGCTAGCTAGTTTCTCCAAAATGTATATGCAATTAAAGGAAATCGAGCTATACAGCTTCTTACCCTAAATAACACAATAAAAATAAAAATAAAAAAAACCACATGATATTGGGATTCTCTCTTTAGGGCCATTCTTGTTTTTTCCTCGTGTCACAGGATGCAGTCTTTTGAGAGAGAGAGAGAGAGATGGGAATAGATTCATTCAAAAAGATGTGTCTATACTATATGTTTTAATGTATTAAATTATAGGGTTTCACATTATTATAATTTGATATGATATAAATATATATATATAAGAATATATATTATTAAGTGTATGGGGGCAATTAGGGTCTCATAAACCCTAATCAACATACAACTAAAATTAAATCAGCATGTATTGCATAAAATTATTGTTATTTATTGTCGATATCATATAATATAATACTCTATCTGTTTACGAACTAATGTCCTACTTTTTTATTTGGGGCGTCCAACAACTATTGTATTTTTTTTTTTTTTTAAATACAAATTTTAAATTTTTACCCTTCATTTATTTATTACTTTTAATCTCTACTATACAATCGAGGGCAAATTTGTCAATTAATAAGAAAAAGACAATCACCTAAAAAATCGTACAAATATACTTTAGGACAATACAAATTTGTAACATATGTTGTATAGACTATTGTCATGTATATATGTGTATATATATTATATGTATATGTATGTAGAATATGAGATGGAGAGAATTGAGAAGGTTCTTCAAGAACCCATTAAGACAAAAATCCCAACATTATTAAACAGAGGTGATGCTTGCAAATCTGATACAAAGCAAACTACCATCTATTATATATATATATATATATATATATCCCTTTTATTATAAAGGAAAGAACCTTGTTCTCATTTTCCAGTGTAACAAATTATTCAATGCCGTATTTGGCTTGTTTGCTTCTTTAATTTTAATTTAATTTAATTAAATACATCCACCATCAAACCCTCTTTCATTTTTACTTTTTAAAAAATTTATAAAAATAAAAAAAATAATACTAAAGGACAAATTCTTGAAGCACATGTCCACTATATATATCTCACATATTCACCCCTTCTTTACTTAACTTTCTCATTGTTTCTTTAAGCTTTTAGATCATATATACTTAACCAACATATATTCTTACATCCTTAATATTCCCACATATCCCTTTAATTTTTTGTGTGTTATTCTTTTATAACACATCGATCGATGTCCGGGGTTTGGGTCTTCAAGAACGGCGTGGTTCGCCTAGTGGAGAATGCCGGGGAGTGCCATGGCAAGAAGGTGTTGGTCCATCTACCTTCCAATGAGGTAATAACATCGTACTCGGTGTTGGAGAGTAAATTGTTGTCTTTAGGGTGGGAGAGGTATTACGACGACCCCGATCTTCTTCAGTTCCATAAGAGGTCAACTGTTCATCTCATTTCCCTTCCAAAGGATTTCAACAAGTTTAAGTCTATGCACATGTTTGACATCGTTGTCAAGAATCGCAACGAGTTTGAAGTGAGAGATACGTAAGGGTAAGGGTAAAGAAGATGATGATGATGATGATCATATATAAATGATTTCGTGAAAAAAAAATTAAAGCCCTTTTGGAGATGATGTGTTTTATGGTAGGTTTTTCGATCTCTCTTTTATTTTTTTTGGTTTATGTGTGTGAGATTGGGACAATGGGGTGTAGTGTGCATGTATGTATGTTTGTAATATATGAGGTTTGTGTTTAGTTCTTGCAAGAAAAAAAAAAAGAAAAAAGATGTGAGGTATGTAAGATGAGTGTTTTTTTTGGTACTTTGAGTTGGGATTTCGTCCAAGATTTGTTTGAGGTGATCATCAGTTGGTTGTATGTATGTATTTAATTTGGTTTGATTTGTATCTTATTTGTTTCACAATGTACGCGATTGTTTGTTCGATGTTGTTCAATCAAGAAATTATGCAAAAAGATCGTGTTTTTTGGTCTCATACATATAAGGAGAATGGTATACATATATATATATATATATATTCCCGACCATTTTACATTCTTATAATTGTCGCAATTTTAGACATGTGGTGCTTACATCAATTTACATAATTAGATTTATGAACCATTGCAACTTATAGAAGTAAATTACAAAAATTTAAAATAACATAATATAATTGATGAACAGAAAATAGAACTCTCATATATATATATATATATAACTAACATTGCATTAGTTGTTTTCATTTTAATTAAGTCATAAGAGACACAACTCATACATAATTATATACACATACGTAACTAAATAAATTCAAGTTTACATTTATATTATAAGTAATAATATGGTTATGTTCACACAAATATTACATCAAATATTTAATTTATTATTATTATTATTATTATAAAAATTTATATAAAACTCTCAAAACTCTTATCTAAATATGAAGGGAGATTCTTATTTCAATTGTCCATTCTTTTATAAAGATGCTTAAAAGGATTGTCTATTTCCCACCCCAAAACATTGCCATAATGATTAGAGAATATTTAGAAAGCAAACCTAATGTTTTGATTAAAATATTAAATAAAAGAAAACTTGTATACAAGCTACCATATATATATATACATTGTTACGGGCTGAATCGGAAAAAAAATAGCACTATTCAAATCAGCACTCGTAATATATACAAATAAAAATATGTATTATTTGTTCATAATTACAAATATGTTGTATAATAGTGTACCGAAAACAACATTAGTATATGATTTATGAATGATAATATGTATTGTTAGTTCATGTATTATTATATAAATGTATAGAATATATTGTTTATAATATTATTGTGTGTTATGTGTCAGCACGCGGTGTGCTTTCAATATATATATATATATATAACAAAAGGGCTTTTCTTCTTCAATCCCTAGTGTAGATTCTTATTCAATTAACTAAACAGCAGCTTTTTTGGAATTAAGATTCACTCGTTACCCAAAGTCCAAAGAGAAGTATAACTATCATAAAAATGTGTGTTATTATTTATTTTTTTTTACAAGTTAGGCAAATCAAGACTTTTCTTGCCAATGTTATTAGTAAATAATAACACACCAATTATTAGCAGCAACTAAAAGGATCATATAATTTGCTTCATCAACAGAAGTCCTCCCTAATCAAATTAAATATGAACATCATTATTGAAACTCAATAACTAATTTAATCAACCAAATTATAGACATCGTACTTTAAAAAAGACTCAAATAAACATTTATATGAGCCGATAGCTAGACTACGTATCAGATATTAAACTGATAAGAACAGATACTACACTCGATCTTAGCCAAAAGGCCGAGAAAGGTATGAGCCTAGTCTTGTATATGTTAGACATATGATTTTGAAAATAATTAGAGGGCTGTGGTGAAATTTAATTACCTGTGGGATACAAATCTACGCGAGAATGTCTAGTTGGAGCAGTTGAATCCACGGCAAATAGAGAGCCATGTAAGGATCGCGGGAATAAGAAGATACCGAGCAACACCAGCATTATTTTCATGTTCTGGAACCATATTTTTCGCGGGATGTTCTCTCCATTGTTCTTGAATTCCCGAGCCTACGTAGAGTTTGAGTGTTATATGTAATGTTGAGACACAGTGTGTGTATGTATAAATTATAAAAGAATTAATTAGCCTACTGATTCCGGGTGATCCTCTGCTTTGGTGTTCAGATTGACGAGGTTGTCGCCTCTTTCCATTGTCTGGAAATATTTATTTAGTTTCGAGATCGGATTAACAGTCTGTCTAATGCAATACAGCACAAGCAAACTAGGACAACGATGTAAAATAACTACGCCAATATGTTAATATAATATAACTGCAACGCTTATGATGTTAAGTCCATAAAAGACATTCTTTGATTTAGACAATATTCTGGATACCTTGTCTATGTTCTCAAGCATAATGCTTTTGACTTCAGAAGCTTGCGCCTTAACTTTTAGTAGTTTCTCGATTTCCTCGGCATGATCAATAATGTGTTGCATGTGTTCTTTCATCTGAGGCCTGCATTTCAAAGAAACCTCAAATTATCAACAATGATCATCAAATTTGGATGTAAATTGACAGACTCTGCTTTGGAAAATAATGTTATTACCCGAATTCTTTGTTGAGGCTCTTGGGGAGAGCTGTGTCTGCTTTGCCACCGTGGTATCGATTTTTGAAATCTGCCTTTACACGTTCCAGAAATGCTATTGAAATCTGCTTCCCCACAGGTTCTTTGGCTACAACGCAATAAGCTGTACGAAGATTTAGGCAAAACTGTTGAACACCAATTTATGATAGTGAAAGAAAACTCAAATCCACTTAAACAATTCCTTGTGTTGGATCTTGTAGAAGTTTCGGAATCACATACTATTAATAATGAAATCTGAGCCTATAAATGGAGGCAATATAGACTCTATAGAATCAAATAATAACAAACTAACCTATATAACATAAATCTAATATAAATCATAAATTAAATATTTAAAATATCTCAATATTCACCTAAATTTTTTGAGGTGCTAAAATTATCCACTGTGAAGTTTTAAAAACAATATTACAGTTGAAATGAAGAGGAGTCAGAATCGAAAATAAGACTCGCTTATAACAAAGTCGGAGTTAGAAATGTACTCAATCATATATATATTAGAGTCGAAAACGAAACTTCATACAGTAAAAAAAAAATATGACTATGAATGGAATATTAACAAACAATCAAAGACCGAACATAAACTTTATTAAAATTGAAAAGCAAATTTGACAAAAAAATAAATTTATAAAAAGGCCAAACATAAACTTTATTTACTGCTAGAAGCATATTTTCCTAAAAAAGATAAATTTGATAGACATTTCAAGTTGAGTGTATCCAATCAAACACTATTGCTTTATACAACTCTATAGACTTAAATAATAACGATCTAATATAATAAATATGCCGAAAAATTAAAATATCTCAATACCTTGTTTGATGACTACAAGTCTACAACATGAAACATGCTTCAGACCTCAATCCAATGCTTAAGAGAAAGGAAAACATCCATCAACAGCTACATTTTACACATAATTTTGCACACATCGTCGTGTAAACCATGAAATTCATAAACAAGTACATTCTACTACCACACTTTGCGTCCGCCAAATGAAAATATCAAAGCAGTAAATTCTGAAGGAAACATAAAAAATTGTTCATAAAAATCATAAGGAGTCGAGAAGACTTCTCAGCTCGGATCGTAGAATCAAATGATAGTTCAGGAAAAATAAAATAAAAAAAAATAATAATAATACATAAAATTAACCACCGTACCATATCCATCTTCAACTAAAAAATTGAAGGTGCGGTGATCACAGTTATAGGTGAACTTATTGTTGGAAGACGGTAGCCTTTGCAGACACCGCGCTGCAATCGCCGGAAAGTTGCCAGTGAACTTCGTGTACTCCGCCAATACCGCCGTGCCGCGCGCCACGAAGCTGTATATGAACGATTCCTGCACCATCGCATCGCCGACTCGATCATTGCACAAATATATATATATATATATTTTAAAAATTTTAATTTTATTTACAGTCTAATTTTTAAAAGATAATTTATTATTTTTTTCTTTGGAGCCAAGGCACTTCAAAATGTTTGATGATTCTGAGGGTCTGTTTGTTCGAGGAATTTGGAGGAGAGAGCCGAGGGAATTAGAAAAACTACAATTACCTAATATGTTTTAATTTTTTTTAAAATGGAGGAAAAGAAAGGTAGGTGAGGGAATATAAAATTACTAGTATTATATGTTTAATTGCACATAAATTATATTATATGTATTTTATAATTAAATTATAATATTTTTTAATTTTATAATGTAATTAAATTATAATATAAAATTTTATATAAATTAAAATAAATTAAATTAATTATTTAATTAAATTTTTAATAGTCAGGTTTTAATTAATAAAATAAATTTATATCTATTATATTTATTTAACACGATATTTATCTTGTAATTTATTTTAGATAGATAAAATTTATATTAAAATGATTATTTTGTTATTTAATTATTCAATTTTCTTGCATTATAATTTTATTTTTATTTATATGTTATTTACATGATTATATATAAATTTATTTTAAAATAAACTACGTTGAATTAACGTTTTATTAATAAATTAATAAAATTTTATTAAATTTATTTATTTATTTATACAATACAAAAATAAAATAATAAAATTATTATATTTTTATTTTTATTTAACCAAACACAAAAAAATATACTATTTTTCTCCATCTTCTCTTCCTTTATTACCTATGAATCAAACACACTGTTATAATTTTAATATTTTCTGGACTCTCCTCGCCTCCTCTCCCCCTACCCTCGTTTGAACCAAACATACCCTTTTAATAAGAGTGAAATGCGGGGAAAGAATCAAAAGTATAACACGCTTTTACTGTAATATAAATATACTATAGTCGCGTTTTATGTGTACCCTGCCGTTCATTAATATTTTTATTATTTGAAATAAATTTGTATTTTTTTAATTTTCGTCTTTATTATTATTATTATTATTATTATTATTATTATTATGTCGCCCCTTAAAATATAAACATTGAAGCGCCGTAGACGCGAAAGAGATTTGAAATTGACAGAGAATAGATAGCGTCGGTTGCCCTACTGGAAGCAGTAATCGGTCGGGTTTTTGTGCGAGTGGCAACAATTTTACGATGGAGGGTTCCGATTTGCCTCCGCCAGCTTCTCTTTCGGAGGTAAGTGTTTCGAAATGTTTGAATTTTTTTTTGGTTTGCTTGGTTATGTGATTTTTTTTGTTCTTTTCCTGTAGAAAAAGGAGAATGTGGCACCGATTAGCCCTAGGATTGCGGTAAGTTCGTTACTTTTTATTTTTGTTTTTTGAATTTTAAATATGACTGGAGTTCGAGTTCGAGTTTGTGTGCGGATGTGGATTTGCAGGAGTTGACGGAATCAAGGAGCGAGCTTCACAGCAGAATACAGAATTTGAAGCAGGTTACTTTTGTATATGCGCATTTTGTATAGATGAACTTTTAGTTTTTACTTGGAGAGTAGCATATTTGAAATTGTGTTCGTTGGTTTAGATCGATTCCGTTCGTGCAGTTTTAGGATATGATGTGGATGAAATGAACTGCTTAGAGTTGAAAATTGTTGAATATGTGGAGAATATGTGGTTACATAATAACAGTAACATTTTACTTTTTTGACACATAGATTTTGTTGTACAGCTTTAATTTAAAGAGTTTATGCCCTTTTGTTTATACCTTCATCCAAATGTATGCATTTCTGATTCTGTATGGTGACCTCATACCTCTTCGCAATTTTAGGACTTGCAAAAGTGGAGAACGAAGTTGGACTCTCAGGTTAAAGTCTATCATGATGTAAGTGCTAGATCATTTTTTCTTGTGAAAACGTTGTATTGTGATGATTATGACTAAGTCCTTATTTCAATTCAAGATGGCGCCTTTTAGTATTTGTTCAGTGTATCCTGCATGTATCTGTTCTACACTGCAATAGCAATTAAATCATGTATCTTACAATATAATGTGATCAGTGATATGCAAGCAGATCTCATAGCCGCAAGACTTCTTGCATTTGACCTGTATTTTCTGCCTTCATAGCTTATTCTATTGGTCATTTAATTTTATGATTGTATTTATTTATACCCCATTGTTACTTTGAGTGTGTTATACCATATCTCAGGTCTAATATTTAAAAAATGTCTTACAAAAGTCGAACACAAAATGGGCATATGGATGAAAGAAGAAATGGTCCTTATACATGATTAATGGACATCTGCTGGTTCATATATGCTTATGTTAATTCAAAGAAAAGTATTTTTGGAGAATGAGGAGAGATCATGGAAATTTGTGTATCACTCATATGCATACAGAAAGATGTTATTCATAGCAAACAATCGAATGATTAGATGACCAAATACCACTCCATTACCCTTCTAAAAGTGTGGAGCATGAAGTTTCAGAACCTCTTTTACGTTCTTAGAATATATGCTGTCAAATATCATATTGGCTACAACCTACATAGAAATTGCCTAAGCATGGTGTTTTCTAGAACAGAATTCTTGTTTATCAGATTCATGAAACTCAAAATGTCAAATGCCATCTCATTTAATATCGTCTTACTTTAGGAGCTTGCCGAACTAAAGAAGTCACTCAACACTGAAGTGGAGCAGCTCCGAACTGTGAGTGGACCTCTGCAATTTATATTCTAGCTTTTCTTATACTATATTCACTCGGAACATTCTTGTTTGCCCGACAAACAAAGGAATTTCAAGTTCTGAAGGTAACCCTCCAACAGCAGCAAGAAGATGTTTCATCCAGTCTAAAAAAACTGGGGGTCAGTTTCATAGATACATCCCGCCTTTTTTGAGTATTTTTACATTTAGTGAGGTTCATAATGTCATTCCCTGGATTATTTATAGCTGCAGGATGGTTTAGAAGTAAAACCTGAGGCTGCAGGTCCAGAAGACATGGAAAGCAAGGAGATGAGCTCTAAACAAAAACTGGATACTGAATTTCCAGAAGACATGGAAATCAAGGATGCTTTGAGATCTCCCAAAAATTGATGACAATGGTGAAACCTACAGAAATATTGTATTGTCCTGCAATCATCATTTTGGTATCAACCAAGGTAACTCATATTGGGGCTAATTAGCAGCAGTATTAATATTATTGTCTCAAATATTTGCCACTATGCCCATTTGGTGAGATATCTTAATTTTCACTATGTAGACTTCAATGGATTCTATTCAATCTGAGCATGCTTTAGTTATAAATCAATTTCTTGTGCTCCTGTTTTCTGTTGCTGTTTTGGTATATTATTAATTTGTTTTTATTTTTTGGTATATTATTAATTGACAAGTATGAAATATGAGGGTAGATGTAGCAGGTGAGTGATTTACCTTTTCCTGTAAGATTTTCCATGATTTCTGGTGTCAATAAATGGTGCCTTGAAAAGAATGAGCAAAGGGCAATCCCCATGAAGTTTGTATGGAGTAAATTGACATTTTTCTGTTGCCACTGACTGTAAATAAATAATAATGGGTATAGCCTTTTTAATTTCTTTCCTCCCTATGTTGGCTTTGCCTGTTTGGAATTCAATTTTTACATTGTTAACCGTAAACAAACAGTTTCATTTTTATTTTTTTAGCAACTCTAGGCCCTCTAGCCTCTTTTGGAAGCTGGTAGGATTGAATAAGTAGGGTTGTGCATTGTGATATAAATATATACCGGAGTTGTTTAAGTGCTGGTCAAATCAACATCATTCGTTGAATGTAATGTAATAGCGTGCAAACTGGGTCTGAAAAGACAAATCACACTAGGTGAACTATGTGTAACAAACAAGACCTGAAGATGCTGGGATTTAAATCCATAATCTCACAGTCACGAGTTCATTTCTATTTACCGGAATGAAATGGGAGTGGGAGGCCCCATGTGGGGTATTTTATTATTAATGCACGAATTTATTGAATATGGTCAATTGTAAGTATTGTACTCCAAAAATGAGTGGCGTATCGCAGAAAGACCCTGTGGGAAAACAAACAAGAATTGAATTGAATTGAACTGAGCGATATAAAAAAAAAACCTAATATAAACTCTATAATTATTATTATTATAGGGAATATATAATTACAAGCTTTCGTATTGGAATGGAATCTATTTAAAAAAGTTGCATGGACTTGTTGGGAAATGAGATGATGGATGATAAATATTTGAAAGCATTTGGCCTCTTGTTGACTTGTGGGTTGTGCCAAAATGATCCTTATATATAATTTACATCCTAATCACTACATGCCAAATAGGGTAAGTTTACATTATACCATAAGGTTGTGTCTTTGTAGGTATTTACCAAGAATTTTATTTTTCATCAAATTTTTTCTCAAAAAAATATCAAATCAAAATACATATTTTTTATTTTTTTTATACTACTATTATACTAAAAATTAGTTTTACATTCAAAAATATATTTTATGTATTGAGTTTAACGACAATTGTTTATTAGTTTAAATTTTATGTGTAGTATGATGTTCATCAATTTTAAATTTTTAAGGTAGGTATCTGCCATACCAAATAGTACTAATTTTATACAAATCCCCTCCTCATTAAAAACAATATGGAATGGAGGAGTGAGAAAAAGGAGAGAATTAGAGAGTGAAAGTGGAGCATCTATATGTAATTGTAATGTATTTATGTATGTATGTATGAATCTTTTTCTAAGTAGTGACAACAAAATCCTTTTTCCTTCTCTTACTCTTACCACTTCTTCTTCTTCCTCCTCTCTCTCTCTCTCTCTCTCCCCCCCATGGCGTCAGGACCAGCAGAAGATCAGCTCCCTCAACAACCACCTCTTCAATACCAGGTAGATATAAATACATACATGCATATATGTATCTATAACCTAAACAGCTTTAATTTTCTTGATCATCCTCCATTTGCAGACATGGGTTCTGAGAGTTTCAATTCATTGCCAAGGCTGCAAAAGAAAGGTCAAGAAAGTCCTCCAAAGCATCGAAGGTCTTCTCTTTATCAAATATATATATATATATATATGTAAATCAATATAGTTAGTTACATTCTTGAATCTTGAATTTCTTTCTTTCAGGTGTTTACACAACAAATATCGACACTCAGCTTCAGAAAGTTACAGTCACAGGCAACATTGACGCACAAACCCTCATCAAGAAACTCGTCAAGACCGGAAAACACGCCGAGCTCTGGCCGGAAAAGCCGCCCGCCGCCAGAGAGAGGAAGCCCGGCGGCGGAGAAAATAGCGACGCCGACGACGAAGACAATCCCGGCGACGACCGCAACCCTAATCACGCTAAGATCACTTCTCCCAGAATTCATGGCGGCGGAGCATCTGTCAAGTTCGTCGGACTCGATTCTGCCGACAACAAGCCGCCGCCGCCGCCGGAGACTCTCTCTGTTTCTATCCCCGCCTTGGAGAAACCTCCGGCGGGCCACGACCCCGGCGGCGGGGCAGGAGGGCAGAGTGGTAAGAAGAAGAAGAAGAAAAGGAAGGGGAAGAAGGGGAATGCGGGTAGTGGTGGCGGCGGCGGAGGGGTCACGGCGGCGGCGGAAGGTGGTCCGAAGGTGGGGTTTGCGGCGGCGGCGGCGGTTGAGCAGATGAATCCAGGCGGGCAGACGTGTGAGAGCGTGGTGTGCCATTATCCAGCGCAGCAGGGGTACGTGGTGAGCTACAGCGCGGCGAATCCGGCGGGCGGCGGTGCGGCGGCGGCGGCGGCGTCGTACTACAGGCCTCCATCGGCGTACACGTATGCGTCGGAGAGTTATGTGATGCGATCTACGCCGTTGGATTCGTTGGAGATTTTGAGCGATGAGAACCCTAATGGATGCTCTATTGTGTGAGTGACAGATGAATATTTACTGTAAAACCCAAATTTTGAAATATTGTCACCTATCACAATATCCTCCATCCTTAACGTTTTTATTTTTATTTTTATTTTTATATTATTATCTATTTATCCACCCTCATTTACAAAGATAAATTTTCAACTGAATTTACTACTTTTATTCACTAATAGTATTTTTTAAAAAAAAAAAAAAAGAAAAATGCTTTTTTTAATAAAATACATTACATTAATTTTACTTTTATTATTTGACAAAAATATTATATCAAATATTCAATTTCTTATCATTTTAAAAGATTTTAAGCTCTAGTTGCATACAATGTTTTGGGGTCTAAAATTTAAAGTTAACTATATAATGATTTGAAGATATATATATATATATATATGATGATAGTAAAAAATAAGTATGTATATACAAGTTGATGAGTAGTGAAATACATAAATAAACAAAGTTTTAGAATAATGGTATATTTATAGAATTCGGACAAATTCATTTGTGCTATCTATCATTCAAGATTTCGTTTCTTAGGACAATATAAGATTCTTTCATACTAAGAAGATTTAGCTAGAAGTTAGAATGTTGTTGAGTTAGCTAATCAATACATAATAGTATTTTTTAAAATTGAATTAATGTTTTGTGAATTGTTAAGTACTGTGATAGGACCAAGATTCAATAAAATGTAAGCTACTTTGAGATAATCATGACACATATTATATGAATTATTAATAAATATATACACTATAAATTTGTCAATTTATACTTCATGTCATATAGTAATTCTTAGAGCTATAGCATCGTAACCACCACCAATAAATAACGAGAGAACAAACACATATAGGCTATGGTAATAATTCGAACTTGTTACGAGGTTTCATGTCCTAACTCGGCAAGTTCTCTTAACAAACCCGAAAACATAATATAGAGACGTAAGAAAAGTGACATACAAGCCGGGCGAGGGTGAGGGCGAGGACGAGGAAAACAAAAATGTGCAAATGACGTCTTTTCAAAGAATAAAAGCTTTGGCGCGAAGACATTGAATAAAATACGCAACACATAAACTTAAACCCAAAAAACGCTACTCCTCGCTTACCTCTATCGAACATTATTTCGGACAAGAAGCATCAAAGATATGCACCACCAAAAGAGAATCTAAAGCATAATATCAAAAAGCATACCTTACAACTTTACTAAGCCAAACCACTTGTTTTTCGACCTCAAAAAGATTCCCGATAAAATAGTATTCCCCGAAATCGCTTTTATCCGATTCCACGAATTCAATCAGCTTCGCCGACAAGACTCTTGACCGAATCCGATAAAACAATCAAAGTTTGTTTGTTCGACACAATGAAAGCATTACGGACAATAGGTAACGAGATGAAACTCCGAATAAGATATACATGTATGATCCAAGACAATCGCGAACTTTAAGAATCGAACAAAAATAAGAAAGTAAAATAAAAGTTGCGCAAATTCAAGATAGTGTTGCGTTTGACTCAGCTTTTTAGTTTGATAGACATGTCGACGCCTTTGTGGTGCGCTTGTTCGTGCCCAAAACAATTACGATAACCGTAATGTCGTCATGGTATTTCCGCCTTCTTCCAGCCGGGACACTCATCAACTCTTCCTTACTAAAACCTGAAAATACGACACGGGTGATAAAGTATGAGGAATTTGCGTATATTCTTAACAAGTTTATAAAAATTTGGCAAAGTTTTCGATTCTTGCGAAGCTTTGTGTTTGATTTTTAATTGAAATCAAAATCACCACTATTCAGCTCGCATGATTCCCAATAAAAATGGATTACTTTTCTCATAAAACATCACATCAAAATAATATTTAAACCAAAGTTCTGCGGCAAATCCATACTCGATAACATGAGCGACAAAGATTGCTTCAAGACGAGAAAAATAAAACTAACGAATAGTCCCGATGAACATAGATAAAATTCAAGAGCGAAAATCGGTATAAATAATGGAATAAAGGGCAATGAGGCAAATAGTACCTGCCGAAGTAGCTGCTCTTGCGACGAGCTGTTGGACCAGAAATTTCGCCGGATCACCACACGGGTATTTCAAAATATACGAATGGACGAATTTCACAACTTCATCATTCGTGAAAAAGTCGAATAAGCCGTCGCTTGCAAGTACAACAAAGTGGTCAGAGCTCGAAACCTCGTGAACACTTAGCGAAGGTTCCAACGACACGTACGGAGGACTTACGAGATTTCGAACTCGAAGAATACCCATCAATGCATCATTCATTTCTTTCTGCAGAAGTATACAATCGAATCAGTCATAAATAATGCAAATCAGAAAGTATAAAATCGAGAAAAAACATGAAACTGTCGAACCTTTTTCAAGTAACCGACTCCGAAAGCCCTCGTCACTTTTAGCTTCCCTTTCACTTTTCCGGCGACAATCGTAGACGGGTCGTCGGGATGATTGTTTAAAAGTCGAGTTCTTTCGACTTCATCGTCGACGGTATGGATATCGGTAAGCTGCACGGCTCGAACCCCGGAGGCGTTGTTTCCATTAAATCCCTTCCCATACGTCGCTAACACAGCTCGACTGTCGCCGACGCAGAGCAAATACAAATTTTTTCCATGGAGCAGAACGAGCAAAACACAAGATCCAATCGATACCAAATCAGGACGGTCGTCCATTTCCTGCTCGACCATGTAAAGAAATTCGGATTCGGCTTCGTTGAGGGCCTGCTGAAGGCTGTTGAGAATGCTCTGCTTAAAAAAACCATCACCTTTTTCATTTTCGTCGATAGTATTCTTTCCGATGCTCAACATATTCGTATAATCCAACGCTTTAACCGATGACGCCTGATCGATTTCCCAGTCCAATAAGTTAAGACGACACGCGACTTTTTCGTACAAAATTCCGGCGAGAAAATCTGCCGCATCCCTTCCGTTGAAACCGTCGTAAATAGCGCAGAAAAGCCAACCATTTTCTTCAGAACAAACAGCTTGAACTCTGTCTTCCCCCGCGGCACCGCCGGCGATTTGTACTTCTAGAAGGCTCTCGCTTCCCGAAGGTGCGCTCATCGACTTCAGCGAAATCGAATCACGATCGAGCATTTCGCTCGGCGACGACGGGCTGAAACTCAAAGTAGACATGCTGCTCTGAAGAGAAGACGACAAAAATTCCAGCTTTGGAGAAGATGAAATTCGCCGGAACGAATTCGGCGAGTCGAGAGACGGCAGAATTTCCGAAACGAACAAGCCATTACAAATGTTCGTGTTTGCCAACGTGGCGTTGGCACTTAATGCCGCACCAGATAGGCAAGAGAAGGAACTGCTGGCTCGTCGGAGCTTCCCGACAGAAGGAATGTCGACATTATTCGATGATCGATCCGTCGAATCGTCGTTTTCGAAGCTGCAACGATAGCCGAAACTAACCTTGATCTCTCCTTCAGAACCATCCAAGGCTTCCCTACTCATCATCATAACAATTTCTAAAGTCTCTTCACCCAATTTACAAAAACCTACATAATTCCCGATCAATATTATAAAAAATACAATATATATATATACTCGCACTATATATATATATATATATTGTCCGCTAACAAAAAGTCAACAATTCAACGTAAAACGAACGAATATTGTATTCACTTTCCCATACATAACACCCAAACACCTAAAAGCTAAAAACACTATGATTATATCAAACAAACAAAATTAAGAACAGAGGAAAAGGTAACATCAGTAAGTATAGAAAATGTAAGAAAGTGAAATTACATTCAAGAGCACAGTAAGTTACCATAAATCAATTGAAATTCAGAGCAAATCATCAATTACCAAAGTAAATATGATTCAAAACTTCGAATCAGATTAAAATGGCATCAGATTTCACAAATTCAGGTAAAATTCTGGTTCAGTAAATGGCTAAGAACCCTAATATTTGAACCAGAGTAACTCAGAGCAGTAAAAAAAAAAAACAATCGAATCAATTCCATATTTCAGCAATTCAGAAGTAAATGGAGACAAAATGATGAAGGGAAATTAGGGAACAAGGACGAATCAATCAAAATCCCATTGTTGCATAGAACCTACCTACTCTGCGAAAAATTCCCCAAATCGTTTCGAAGGTTAACAACAACACATACTTGCAGAGATTATGAAATTAATAGAGCTGAAAACTCCATGGGTAACAACAGCATAGTGTATAAGACAAGTGCATGCCAACAATGTAAAGACAGCAGTATAAAATTGGGTAAAAACCTTTTCAAGAGAGAAGAGAGACGGGGATTGATAAATTGGAGGATTTTGCTAATAATAGGGGAATTTGGTGGGAGTGACGTCTATGGTGGTGAGGAGGTCAAAGCGGTTTTAAGATTCACCCATGGCGGCGACTTCGTCGAGAATTGAGTCTCTTTTTTCTTTTCTGTGGGCGCAGGAAGATGACGATGATGGTGGAATTTCTTGTTTTTTTGTTTGATTTGAATTTAGACTGAAATTAAACCCCTAAAAAAAAGTTTCTTTACTTTTCTAGATGCCAAACATTCTCCACTCTTTTCCATTTAATTTTCTTTATTGTTATTATTATTTTATTGGATTAATGATTTGATTTGAAATTTTATTTTGATATGGTATATAAATATTTTATTTAGGATTTAGGATTTAAAGAATTTTGTTTTAATATTTTATGTTAAATATTGATTTTATTAGAAAATAGAATATATATATTAGAAATGTATGGTAAGAAAAAGAAAAAAAAAATTGAATAACAAACTCTAAATTAAAAAATTAGACTTTGTTTCATTTCAATTAGAATTATTCATATCAAGTTTTTCTATATCGAGTGATAAGTTATTTTTATAATTATTTTTATTTAATATAATGTATTTATTAAAAATGTTATATCTAATTAATTTTTTTACTAAAAAAATAATGATTTTTAAATAAAATTTTATTTAGTTTGTAACTAGATTTTATACCCCTCCGTCTCTTATCTATTTATCCAATTATTTTTTATACAAAATTTTAGAAATATTTGTATTAAATTAAGACATAGTAGAAATAAAAGTAAAAGTAATATAAATGTAATGATATATTATAAATTTGAATAGTATTTATTATGGAAGGAATCAAAATATAAAAATTAATAGATTGTTAATGGTAGAAAAATGAACCGAGGGAGTATATGTTAATAAAATATATTTATTTTAATATTAATATAATTTTTTAAATATTTAAAAGGTTTTTACACTAAGAATATTAAAATATAAAATTAAAATAAAGTTATAAAAATAAATAATTTTCTTTATAATTTTTAAATTTGTAATATATTTATGATTTTATAATAATGGTAGTTTTTACAAATATATAATTGTTTTTCTACTTAAGGTAATATATATATATATATATATTACAATATTGCTTAAAAATGATTAAAAAATTATATTGTTTATCATAATATATTACGATATTGCTTATTGTAATATTACGATATTGCTTAAAAATGATTTTAAGGTCAGATCGTAATATCATTAGTATATATTATTATTATTATTATTATTTTAACTTTTTTTTATTTTTTTAAGTTATTTGATGGCAATTGCAATTTAACAATTCTAATTTACATAATTAAATAATATGATTATTATAAGTATATAAATTGTCTTTTAAGCATCAACATGGATCTTGAATTTAAAAAGTCTTAACACTTGATCCATGTTGTTCTAAGAAGTTTTGAAATTGAAATAATATACTCTTCTAGTCTCGAAACAACATATTTATTAATTTTTTACACAAATTTTTTAATATATTTATTATACTTGTATATAATGCAAATTGATAAAAAAAAAAAAAAAAAAAAAAAATCAAAATATTTCTATTAGTATTATATAATAGAAAGATAATGACAACTGTCTAATAAGTATATTCTATATTGTACAAGTATTTATAATATTACACAGTTAGTACAATTATTAAAAAAAATAGATATTTTATTTAGGGACGGGACAAAAATGAAAAATATGAATATCTCATCTTGGACGGATATAGTATATATATATATATATCTATAAATGTACGGGTTTGAAGTTATTATACTATGCATGAAGTTGAAATGCGTTCACTTTGTATATTTTTAAATATATACTATCTTCGTTCGACTTTAAGGATTATATTTACTTTTTGTGTATTGATTTTTTAATATTAATTATTATATTAAAGCATAGTACAAATAAAAAGAAAATGACAAAAATACTTCTATTAGTGTTTTATAATAGTAATATAATAATATTTGTACAAAAAATTATACAAATATAAAGATATTTTTAATGTTAAGTATAATGATGCAAAATAAAAATTGTAATTGTTCGAGGCGGACGGAAAGAGTATATATATATTTATGTTAGATACATATAATCGTATTAATAATACAAAAACAATATTGTATATTAAATATTAACTTTTTGTAAATAAAATATGTTATATATATTACTCCCTTCGTTTCACATACTGTGTATGCTACACTGTAGACATGGTATTTTAGAATGTGAGTAATTAATAGATAATTAAGAATGTATTAGTGAAAATAATTATCCTATAATATAAATAATTATAAATTAAAATTAAAATAACTAATTAGTTTAATTAAAATTTTAAAAAAATAAAATTAAAAAGTTTAAAATGAGATTAAAGTGTATAATCATTTTCAAAAAAAGAAAGTGACATGGTATGTGGGACGGACATAAACGGCAACGTGGACATGGTATGTAGGACGGAGGGAGTATATTTTTATAATATGTATATAGCATTAACCATGAAACTTATGAACAAATATAGAGGAGATAAGTCCCGTAAGAGATGACATGATGGTGTGGGGTTGGACGTATGATCGTGAGGTCATGGAGACCTCAGGTCTGACTCGTCTGTCGGACCTAGTTTGCAGGATAACCGACTTCAAAATAAAATAATACTATTTCATTGGTAAAATTTTTAATAAAAATGTATTTTCTTAATAATATATTACATGAATATATATTATTTTTTTTATAAAAAAAATCAATGCAAACCAAAGGGTGTGTTTAAAAATAAAAAAATCAAATGCAAACCAAAGGGTGTGTTTACAAAATATATATATATATATATATATAGAATAGATATAATATGTATAAGGGCTTGACATGAAAACACTATTCCATGGCTCCATGGACTTCCAAAGGCCACCAAGCAAGGAAATCAATTCCATATTGAACTCTTTATTTATTTATTGATGAAATCTAATAATAATAATAATCATAAAAAGGTATGGTCAGCAATTGATTAGTTCTAATAAGCAATAGTACATAATAAATATAATTAAAATTTAAAAGATATTAGTCCAGTAAAGATTTGATAACGTATGGGTTGAACTTGTTGCCTGAGATCATAGGTTTCAGACGGAGAGAGTAAATATTTTTAAATAAGCATGTAAGATGTTTTGTGTATACAATTAATATATTATATTTCTCAAATTTAACTTCTCCAACTCAATAAACAAAACAAATATTTCCATTTCTCTATTATATTAATTTTTTATACCAAGCAAACCTTATAATACCTTTGATTAATTGATCAAATGAGTAATGTGCATTTACTTTAATTATTAATTTCTCCGTCCCACATAATTTCTCTCTATTTTCTATTTTCGTCCGTCCCACATAATTTGTTCTTTTTTTCTTTTTGAAAATTGATTATACACTTTAATCATATTTTAAATTTTATATTTTTTTAATCTTAATTATATTATATAGTTATCTTAATCTTAATATATAATTATTTTTATTAAATCATAATAATTTTTACTAATATACTTTTTAATTAGTTATTAATTAAAAAATTTATATTTAATTATCATCTTTCATTCAACACTAATTTTATTACATTTTTTATTTATTTTTTAATTATTAACTAATTTTTTATAAATAACGGATGAAAAGAGTATTAGATCCGTAGTATATTATGGTAAGATCAATAGTAATAAGTATTATATGAAATATTGTAATATATACCATCAAATCTCATATATTAGTTACATTGTGTTGTATGAGATTAATCTCAATTACGACCATATAATTATAAACCCTAATAACACATATATATACTTCATTCTTTATTTATATTACAGTCACACTTTCACATATATTTTACATAAAAATTAACTCAAACTAAAAAAAAAAAAAAAAAAAGTATCAAACAATCACACTCAAAGTTTAAACACCCAAATGAAACCAAAATCAAAAGTCCAAATCTTGAACAAAATAATTAAATTACCAAATTTGTTCTTCTTCTTCATCAATAATTCACAACCCTACAGTTCTTCCTAATTTCTCCCCTCTTTCCACTCAGAATCTGAATCGATCCCATCTTCATCATAGCCCTCGCAAATTTCTCAGCCCAAATCTCTGGATAATCGCCATTCCTCTTCACCATCTCCTTCGTTTCACCACTGTCCCACAAAGTCTGATCCGATTCCAAAAGCCCTTTCTTCTTCATCAAATTCTTGTAATAATTCTCGTCCAGCCTCGCCGGCGTCGTCGGATCCATCGCCACCACCGGATCGCCGCCGCCGCCAGCCGCCGGACACCGCCGCTTCAGATACTCCGCGTAATCTGCATCCATCGTCGGATCCTGACCGTACGTCTTGTTGAACGAATAGAGACGTTTGTTGAAGGAAGAGCAGTGAGAATCGCCGATGGAATGGGCGCCGGAGAGCGCCACCATCTCAGCCGTCGAAAGCCCCTTTTTTGCGAAATTGAGCTTCAGTTGCCGGAGATGGAAGGATTCGCTCGGCAGATTGCCGGCGGCGGGGTCGCCGATCCGGGAAATTCGGCCGTCGCGGCGGCCGCCGTGGACGGAGTAGTGAAGGCCGCCGGAGAAGAAGACACTGTCTCTGGCGGCGAAGGCGACGATGTCAGCGCAGGAAACTGTCGCCGGACATTTGGATTCGATTAGGGTTTTGGCTTTGTCGATTATTTCGAAACCTTGTACGCCTTTGTTCATCGGACTGTCCTTTTCGGCTTTTCCGGCCGCCGTCGAGTCCAAGAGTATCGAACCATCGCAGCCCTATATATACATATATATATATATATATAAATTCATGTATACATCATTTGAACCAAAAATGGCAAACACTATGGAAAATACCTCAATTTCGATGTTATTATAAAATCATTTGTGTTTTTTCGGAAGGATTTTTCCGATACTATTCACTATATAAATTTTTAAAAAATATCAAATTAAAACAATGTAAATTTAATATGTGTGTGTTTTATAGGTTTTAAAAAATTCTAATTTAAATTTAATATTAAAATAATGTAGAATGAAATACCTGTAACAGCAAAATATATATATATATATGTATTTCAGAAAAACAAAGTCAAAATAGTAGTATAAAATTTGGGTTTGGGGGGCTTAAAGAAAACACACTCGTTTTTTCTTTTTTTTTTTATATTATACTAAAAAAATAATTGTAATATTATTAATACATATTTATATCATATCATAATTCAAAATTTTTACCATTCAAAATCAAATTTAAATTTCAAACCCTCCAAAGAAACACAATCAACTATCTATCGGATTCCGAAAATAGCTTAAATCCCAAACTAATTATGAAGTTAAAGAAATGTCTCGAAAATATTTTAAACTTTGAATCAATTCTCCGAAGCAAAATCACAAATTTTTGATCAAACTTGTTACTGAAAAAGTAGAATTATTACCCGAACAAAACAATCATGAAAATGTAGTCGGATGAGGGCAGGAGCAATGCCTGAATCTTGAGCATAAGCTTGATTCACGACATCTTTGACAATAGCCTCGGCGTATGGACAACTTTTATTGTAAAACCCAAATTTCAAAGATGAATTTGCTTTTGCAAAACAAAGGTAACAAAACACAAAAATGATCGATAAAAAGTTCACCATTGTAGATCTTGGTACAAGCTAGTAGAAGATGATGATGATAATGAAATATGTGTGTATATATATATATATGTATGTATATTTTGAGCAAAGGATAAATAGGGAAATGCAGTATATATATATATAGTGAGAGTTGGGTAAGAGGTTGAAGGTTACTTTAATGCAACTATACTATAAATTAAAGTGTTTGATTTTGCATTATTTAGTTGTTTGCTATAAAAAAATAAATAAAAAAATAAGAAATCTTTTTCTTTTTTTTCATAAACAATTCGATTTTTTTTTTGTTCAACTCATTTTTACTGACATAACTTTTACTATATATATTACCTTTTTATAGAAATTAATATTCAATACAATATAATTTTATCCGTCATATAAATTTGTGCTGAAATGGTTGATCATTAATTTTATAAAATGGATAATAATAATAATTTTTTTTTCTTTTAACAATAAAAAAAAGTACAAAAGAAATTGAATATTTCTTACTAAAAAATGAAATAATAATATCTCTTACGAAAAAGTAAATATAAATTTGAATAACATAAAAAAATATTTTTTATATTATCGATAAAAAAAAAATCAAACTAAAACACTAACTACAATTCAATATCTTTACAATAATACTATTTACTAACTTTTTTACAAAATTATACTTCCTCTGTCCGTATTTTTTCTATTTATTTGTTTGATTGTAATTTAAAATTAACTTGAAATGTATTATTAGTTTAAATTATTATTTAAATAAAATATTTTTATTGAAAATAATGTGAAATAAATAATACCATTTTGATTTGAAAATTTTGATTTGAAATCACAATTGTACTGAGTTAGGGTGTGTTTCTTTTACTCAAATCTCAATTTTTTATTACTTGAATTATGCATTTTTCGAAAAAAAAATACTTCATGCGTCATTCAAATTTATGTTCATTTTCTTTTTTAGGTTGTCATCGAAAAATATTCTCATTTCCTTTTTAAGTAAACAATTATTTCATTTTTGTACAATTTTTTACTATAAAAGAAAAAATTAACAATTATTATTTATTTTTATTAAAATTCGTGTCCGGTCAAATAAGCACAAATTTGCATGATAAATGAAGTATATTTTTTTCTGTCACAAAATATTTCATAATATATTATTTTAATACCAAACTTTTTCCAAAGCCAAATAAAAAAAAAAATACCTTAAATTTAAAACAAACAAACAAACTCAATACCCACATATTATATTTATAGTGACAATATTATGGGCATATGATATGATGAAATATGGCGTGTGGCGACCACAAGTTTCATTGGAATTCTCCGATTAAAATATATATATTATTCCCACCGTCCCACATACCATATTTACGTTGCCGTTTCTATCCGTCTCACATACTATGTCACTTTTCTTTTTTGGAAAATGATTACACATTTAATCTCATTTTAAATTTTTTAATTTTATTTTTTTAAAATTTTAATTAAACTAATTAGTTATCTTAATTTTAATTTATAATTATTTATATTATAAGATAATTATTTTCAGTAATACATTCTTAATTATTTACTAATTACACCCCTCCTAAAATACCGTGTCTACAGTGTAGCAGACACGATAGGTAGGACGGAGGTAGTAATATATTACAAGCTTTTCAAAATGTATATTACTCATTTCGTTCCACGTACCATGTCCACGTTGTCGTTTCTGTCCGTCTCACGTACTATGTCACTTTCATTTTTTAGAAAATTATTACACACTTTAATCTCATTTTAAACTTTTTAATTTTATTTTTTTAATTTTAATTAAACTAATTAGTTATCTTAATCTTAATTTATAATTATTTATATTATAAGATAATTATTTTTACTAATATATTCTTAATTATCTACTAATTACACCCCTTCTAAAATACTGTGTTTACAATATAGCACACACGATATGTGTGACAGAGGTAGTATTATTATATTATATGACATCAGACTTTTGTGACGTGAACACGGTTTTGAATCCAATGGTACTACACTTCGGAGTCCTAGAATAATATATTAAAAATAATAGAAAAGTTGAACAAAAAAATAAGATTCCGTTTATATTGTTAAATTTTGAAAAAATAATAAAAAATTAAATATTTAATTTGATATATTATAAAAAATTATATATAGAGTATAATAATACATATATTTAAAAAAATTACTTTACATAAACATGTTAAAAATTTTAAAAATACTTATGTAAATGTAGCATAAACATATATTATATTCGCAAATAAAAAATTAATAATTTAATATAAAATATTTTACTATTTTTTAGGTTAATGATAATATTTTTCATATTTAATGTAAAAAAAAAACCACATGCATAAAAAATACAAAGCAAACACACCGGAATTTGTTTCTTTTGTGTTATTTGAATGAATGCATTTTTTATATTAAAGTAAGTAAAAAAAATTTGTAATATAAAAATAATATTTTGTTTTATATGAATGGATAAAATATATATTATATGTTGTTAATAATTATATATATATTCTATTTTTTAATAAAATTAATCAAAAATTATCTCATGATAAAATAGTTGAAGGAATACTATTTTATTGTATTTTTTTTAAAAAAGAAAAAACTCATAAAATATATATTATATATAATATTATTTAAATACAAAATTTCTTAACAACTAGGAATTTATGTGGATGTGTTTGATGGTAATTTTAATTTTAAATCACAATTATTTGCTATTTGATCTTTAATAAAAATACATTATTTATTTTTTAAAAATATTATATCAAAATATTATTTAAATAAAAATCAAAATCTAACATCTTTTTTTAAATTAATTTCAAATTACAACCAAATAGACAAATATTCACAACCCAAAGAATGTATAAAAGTATAAGAATATTTTATTTCAATTATAAATATTTTCATTTCAAGGCATGTTTATATTGGAATTTATATAGAAAAAAATTCTCATATTTTATTAATTTTAGATTTTATTATATTTTATTATAAATAGACTTTTTACTCTTATTAAAAAATTTAAAAAATAAAAAATATCCCAGTTGATTTTTTGTGGGCACGTAGAAACTCTCGTCTCAGCACATTGAATTGAATGGAGAACACAGGTAAGGTAACAACGCCATATTTGAATGTCATTTTTCAAACAGCTTTCTTGACTTCAAACACATTTAACATGCATTTATTTGAAATATAATGTAGAGCACTATCCTATGTCATTTTGTAGATTTCATACAATATTTTTTTTTAATTTTTTTTTTTAAAATATCAAATTAAATAAAATTTTATTTTTTATATTATATTACGGATTAATATTATATCTAAAACTTTCTATGAATATATATTTATATCCTATCAAATGATTATTCAAATTTAAATTTTTATTATTAAAAAATTCAAATTTAAAAATCAAATTCACTATTGTGCTGATCAACCAGCATGTAATCTGAAACGTTTAAGACCATATTTAATAAAAAGGTAAGGGTGTTTTTTTGTTTATGGATTTGGATTTTAAGTTTCAATTTTTTAATAATAAAATTTTAAATTTGAATAATTTTTTTATATGATATAAATATGATACTCCGTATTTTGAATAAAATAGATATTTAATTTAATATTTTTTTAAATAAAATTTTGTATTAATAGTACAAAAATAATCTACAAAAGAACAAGGCCTAAATTGAAATAAAATATTTTGATACATTTATATTTTCTTTATCTTATATTTTCGTCCCAAATTATTTACTCTATTACCATAAATAACAAGAGCAAAAACATATTTAACCAGTCCCTGTTAGGTCCGCATGGATTTATGTGTCCGGTGCCTTCGAATTCTTATATTATTAAAAATAATAATAAAAAAAATATTTAAGTATTACTTTGTTCTCACTATTAATAGAATATCAATATCTTTTAAATGTCTTTCTAAAAAAAATATGTCAATAAATTTGAGAATGTAGTTACTTCAACTTATTAGTATAATGAATTAAAACTAGATATTAATTAAAGCCTGTTACATTAACATTCTAATTAAGGATAATTAATCTTTGTAACCATAGAAGACAACTCTAATCGAAATGAATGCATTTGTCTTATACCTCTTGATTTGAAATTACTGCTTATGTCCGGTATTGGCCATAACTACCAAGAACATTCTTTGGTCTTTGTAGGAGGGGGAATCAATAGAGTTGAAATGATCAAATTATGAGAAATTGGTATCAATTTATGCCAAATTGCCCGACATATAGTTCCTCGAACCAGATTTTCTAAACAAACCAAGTGAGTCTGAAGCAAAAAAGCAAAGCAAACAAAACATGTCCAAAAAAAGTAAACAAACGATTGAAAAGGAAACGAAATATGAAACATAAATCATGAATCGTACTAATTAATATCATAATTATATAATCTATTGAAATACTATTATAATACAATCCTTCCAAGTAAAAGTGGCCGTTCCTTCGATAGCACCTTTAACCAAAATAAAGAGCTTACACAATTCCAAGGCACATAATGGAAACTACATGAAATTCCAGCATTCAAATTTATACCATATCACCATCATATGCAATGAATTCTTGAATATTTCATGTTCTAACACAAACAAACAATAATAGATCATACATCCAAATGCACTAACCACACCAAGTATATTTCGCTTTCGAACAATAGTAAATGGCTGAGACTTTTGAAAATAGTATTGTTCAAGAATGATAATAATTATAACTGCAAATCAGATGTGAGACTGGTAAGGATAGAAACAACACACGAGCAAATGAGACAACGATAAAGCAGGGAAGTAGTAAGGTACTCTTGTTTCATAAATTATCTTTGCCCGAGTTGGGTTCTTCCCTAGTCGATGGAGAAGCTGAAGGAGATGCAGAATATTCTTGACCCATCTCAGTTCTGAGATCGTTGATGCTCTGCTCTAATTCATCAATTCGGTTTCCCATCTCATCAAGTACAATGAAGTCAAGGAACAAACTTTAGCAAATTTTTAGGGCTTAGAATAAACTTGTGCACATCATTTCAATACCATTTTAGATAATAATGACAAATAATGTGCATCTTGACTACAATTTTTGGGGCTTAGAATAAAATTGTGCACATCATTTCAATACCATTTTAGATAATAATGACAAATAATGTGCATCTTGATTACAAAATTTTGGGGCATAGAATAAACTTGTGCACATCATTTCAATACCATTTAAAACCAATAGAAACCAGCGCGACTAGCATGTATATTTTTTGTTGGCTTCATAACATATGTCAATTCTATGGTTGTGAAAATATTATATACTATAAGATATATCCATAACTAAAAGCAAGATGCATTAATCAAGGATATTCTTTGAAATGATGGATTCCGACATTGTTTGAAACCTGGATTGCTGAAAATAAGTGTACACAAAAGTGAGGGTGCATAGAGTCCAAACTCAATGAAGATAATGAAGGTAAGGCTCATTTCCATTACTTACCATTTGCTGAAGAAGGTTTTGCACCTAAAAGTCGAAAGAATAAAGTCAGCTTACATATATGATATATACAACGCTTTACAGCAAAACGAAGGTAAAGAAAGGGGGAAGATGCTAAAACCAACAAGAATCTTGCTGGAATTCTAAAATCAATATCATTAGTTCACATGCCCACGAGCTAATAAAGATGGAAGGAAACATTAATTTAACATGTGGAGTTCATAAAATAGAAACTCACAAATGCAGACATATCAGCGGTGCTCTGTTTAGCATTATCAGTCCCATCCTGCAAGTTAAAACATGAAGATACATCAAGAATGCATAACTGTAAATTTATGTCGATTAGATGCTTCAACAAGAACCAGACAATGAATCTCTCGTGCTACAAAAATACTTCGATTAATTTATCAACATTATGGACAAAGAAAATTTACACGTCCTAATTATAGAAACTCATAAATGATACATAAGCATAATGACAGATAGCACAAATTAGCAGTTAAACGACATTCTACATTGTTATTGCAAATCAAACTCATCTTCAGCACATTAACAGCGCTAATATACAAATCTTTTCAATATCTCTCAACTACAACAATATTGATCTCTCTGAATCTCCTAAACCAGCAAAATGAAAAGTTTTAAAAACTAAAAATCCATATAACGATAAACACGGGCAACCATTACCCAACATTCTCATACATCAGCAGCACCAAATCGCCATCCAAATGATAAAATTTAAACGCAGGGAAGATACAAAATGCAAAGGTCGAAAATGAAAATGCATGATCTATGACTTCAAACGGAAAAACAACCACAAATGCAATCCAATGATTTACCATTTCTCCGAGAGCTTTCCCGAAATCTGCAATCGAGAGAAATCGGAATTATCAGATTTGAAATTGTGAGTTCAAATTTCGAAATCTCGTTGGAATTTTGAAACGCCTGATCGAGAGAACGGATTTCAAAATTTTGGTGCGCATAAATTTTGAAACGTGAGTACTGGGCATAGACTATATTGGGCCAATCTGGGTCGGGCCAATCAAACTGGGCCTTGGACTACTAATCGGGTCTGGATCCAAGCCACTTATCCGTGCCCGAGCAATAATTATACTATAAAATAACTACTTTTTTTTTTTCTTTCCTCTCCAAATTTATTTGGACTTTATTTTTTATTTTGTCAGTCAAATTTATCTATTATTAATATATCAAAATTAAATTATTATTTTTGATTAAAAATTAATTACATTCTCTTTTCTTTTCTTAAATTGGGACGCCCAACAAGTACTATGATATTATCCGCTTTGAGCTTAGCTTGCACATATTTATTTTTTTTGGATATTCTTCAAGAGCCTCGTACTAGCTCACTTGAGATTTATAAAATATCAATTTTCTTCGAAACTTCCGATGTGAGACTTGAGTTTGCACCCCCAACAAAATTTAAAAAAATACCTCAAACTATTTATTTTACTTTTATTATTTTTAATAAAATATTTCTTTTTTAAAAATTTTTGATGCTAGACACAAATGCTATAATTTTATCGGTGAATTTTCAATTACAAATAATAGTTAAATAAAATTACTCCATAAAATAACATATTAATGTAGGTTTTGTTTTTTATATAGTGGTTTTTATGCACGATTTTTCAAAAAAAAATTAATAAATTATGTATATTTATTATTTTTATATTCTCAACCTAATTCTTTATATTTGACATGAAAAAAATTATTTTTAACAATTTTATAAAACAAGCACACCCGTAATTTATTTTGGGTTTGTTTGTTTGGGTAATTTGGATTTTAAGTTGAGATTTGAATAGTAAAAATTTTAAATTTGAATAATTGTATGATGTGATATAAATAGGTGTTTGATATGTTATTTTGAATGTAAAATTAATTTTAATATAATATAAAAATAAAAAATAAATATTTGATTTGATGTTTTTTAAAAAAAAATTAAATGAATAATAGAATTTTATTAAAATCCTTGAATGAACAAACCCTTTAAAAAACTTCAATTATGAAATAATTAAAAAATAGAGTTTAATTAAAAACAAAAATAAAATAAAAATGGATAGATGCCACCTCAGTCACATCTGTCACGCGCTGAATAAGACATAATGGCCGTCTCTAATTTTTGCCCGAACATTATAACAACATTTTGGACAATTTTGTCCCCAAATATTGAGAACAAAATGGGCCGACCTTTGGGCAAATCGGGTAATTCACTTATAATAACTAACATATAATTCATCCGACAATTAATACGCGCATAGTAAAATCAACAACAAATTGTCACGACTCCGTGGGCCCAGACACCAGATAGATCTAAACCGTTCATAACCATAAAGCGAACGGTTCAGATCAATTCGGCGCTGCAACGCCCGGACCTTGACATAAAAGAATCAATCAATCCTCTTGTGTTAATGTCTGATCCAACCCACCGTCTCCTCCATTTTGCATTTGATTTTGCAGTCTCCACCGACACCAATTCTCCGCCGTTCTATACGCCACCAGATTCGATTTTCGATTTCACTTTCACCAGATATTCTCGGTTGTACGACTCCCTAGTCTGGATTGAAGGTTAAATCTCAAAATCCTGAATAATTCTCCATTGATCGCTGGGTTGGAGGTTAAATCTCAAATTCCTGAATAAATCTCCGTTGATTGCTGGATAAATCTGTGAATCGGGTGTTTGGGGATTGAGATTCTCATTATCGATCGGAATCGGAGAGGTTAGGGTTTCGGGGAAGAAGGTACGACTTCCTAGTCTGGATTGAAGGTTAAATCTCAAAATCCTGGATAAATCTCGGTCAATTGCAGGATGAAGATGTGAATCTGGTGTTTGGGGATTAAGATTCTCATTATCGATCGGAATCGGAGGGGTTAGGGTTTCGGAGAAGAAAGCATTCGCGACGGAGATGCTGGATCGGATCCTCGGCCAGCGGCGTTTGAGGGAGATCCAGCGCCTCTTCCGGCGAGGTAAGCTGACTCTTCTCTGCCTTCTTCTCACTGTACTAGTCCTGCGCGCGCATCTCGGCGCCGGAAAATTCGGCACGCCGGAGAAGGACCTGGATGAGATCCGCGAAACCTTCTCGTACATTCGGAAGCGCGTGGAGACGCGGCGCGTGTTGGAAGAGACCTCAATCGAGCACCACAAATCGAGTGGAGCTGCGGAGAATGTGAACACTAACAGTTACGCAGAATTCGATATCGCGAAGATTCTGAAGGATGAAGACGATGGAGTGCCGGAATTCAAGCGCGATCCGTCGCAGCCGTACAGTCTCGGGCCGAAGATTTCCGATTGGGATCAGCAGCGAGGCGAGTGGCTGAAGAACCATCCGAATTTCCCCAATTTCGTGGCGGAGAAGAAGCCTAGGGTTTTGTTAGTCACTGGATCTTCGCCTAAACCATGTGAGAATCCGATCGGCGATCATTACCTCCTGAAATCGATCAAGAACAAGATCGATTACTGCAGGCTGCACGGGATCGAGATCTTCTACAACATGGCGTTGCTGGATGCTGAAATGGCTGGTTTCTGGGCGAAGCTGCCATTGATAAGGAAGCTTCTGATTTCGCATCCGGAGGTGGAGTATCTATGGTGGATGGACAGTGACGCCATGTTTACAGACATGGCATTCGAGCTGCCATGGGAGAGGTACAAGGACATTAACTTGGTGATGCACGGATGGAACGAAATGGTGTATGATCAAAAGAACTGGATTGGATTGAACACAGGGAGCTTCTTGTTGAGAAACTGTCAATGGTCGTTGGATCTTCTCGACACACTGGCGCCAATGGGGCCGAAGGGGAAAGTCAGGGAAGAAGCCGGGAAGCTCTTGACGAGGGAGCTGAAGGACAGGCCGGTGTTCGAGGCAGATGATCAGTCAGCAATGGTGTACATTCTTGCGACGCAGAGGGAGAAATGGGGGGAGAAGGTGTATCTAGAGAACCATTATTATCTGCACGGGTATTGGGGGATTTTGGTGGATAGATACGAGGAGATGATCGAGAATTATCACCCGGGGCTTGGGGATCATCGATGGCCGTTGGTGACTCACTTTGTGGGCTGCAAGCCTTGTGGGAAGTTTGGGGATTATCCGGTGGAGAGATGTTTGAAGCAGATGGATCGGGCATTTAACTTTGGGGATAATCAGATTTTGCAGATGTATGGATTTACGCACAAGACGCTTGCGAGCAGGAGAGTGAAGAGGACGAGGAACGAGACAGGGAATCCTCTTGAAGTGAGCGACGAGCTCGGGCTGCTTCACCCGGCGTTTAAGGCTGTCAAGGTATGACATTTTGCTCGATTCGGTTTTCTTGAATGTGTCTGAAAATGTTGGGGTGGGATCGAAAAAAGCTGAACTGAACTGAACTGAATTTATGGAGAAGTTTGAGCTATATATATATATAGTTTTAGCTATATAGCCTGCCCTATACTTGGTGCCTTTGTGAATTTATTTGTGCAATAATTTGAGCATTGTGTTGTGTAATACTGCCTACTTTTAAGGTTATGCCAATCTCCATGGATATGTAAACTGAGGTTGAGTTCTATGTTTTTATTTATTTATTTTTGTTACAGCTGATGAAAAAAGCATACGTGTTGTTGGAGTTTATTTAATTTGGTATTTATTTATTTGCCTAAATGGGATGATTGTTATTGCATATCTACACTACATTCTTTGTTTGCATTTAAAATAACGTTAAATATTTGTGTAGACTACAATTATTATTATTATTATTATTATTATTATTATTATTTAAATTTGGATGAATTTATATTAAACAGATCAAAATGGCAAAACAAATACTCCCTACTTAGATTGTAAGGGTTTCATTTACCTGTCTGATAGTATTTAAAATTAAAATATTATTATATTTGTATAATTTTTTACACAAATATCATTATAATAATACTATATAAGATACTAATAAAAATATTTTTGTTATTTTTTCTTGATTTGTATTATATTTTTATACAATAATTAATATTAATGATTAGCCTGCAAAATATAAATGAGACAAAAAAGTAAATGAGACACCAGAATGGAAATAGTATATAAATTTCAGATAGAAAGAGTGTATTATCTTGTTAGGGTTTATACAATTGTCAGCACTTAACAGTAAAGGGAAAAGATTGTCTTATTCATGTATAAATGAACATATAATTGAATAAATATGACACCAAAAAACATAAAAAGATTGACGAAGTTGAGAGAAAATCATACCTATGTTTGTGTCCCGATCAACTTGCCGCGGCAAGCGCCGGAATCGGGTGGCTTACAATGCTGTGACAACGGCCACAGAGCGTCGGATGGTCGTCGTAACTACCAACCTGAAGTGAGAAATTCCAGCATCGTTCGCATTTCAGCCCGTCTGCACGTGATACACCGATCCAAATCTTGTTCTTGCTCGGAGTAAGATACTCCCCGGTCAAAGGTACGTTGTTTTCGCTCACGCTTGCGTTGTCTTCCAAGAATGGTAGAATCTCCACCTGCAAGTTCAATGTTTCGACATAAACTATATAGTTCAGTAAAATTGCTCATAACTTTCCAATGGTTTTGAAATTCAGTATAAAATCTCTTCATACTTTAAAAATTGCGTGGCTGAGGGTTTTATACAATATTTTTAAAAGTATACGGGAGCGTTATAAATTCTTAAAGTAAAATGGGGATATTCGCTGAGTTTCGAAACCACTGAGAAGTTTCATGCAACATTTTTAAAGTATAAAGGGGCACCATGCAAGTTAAAATGGAGATTTATGTTGAGTTTCAAAACCACAGAGGATTTTATGTAACATTTTTAAAAATATAAGGGAGCGTCATGCAATTTTTAAAGTAAAAAGAAAGATTTAAGCTAATCTTCGAAACTAAAGAGGAGTTATGGACAATCTTGTCATATAGTTCAGACAAGCAGTTAGAAGTCGAAGTCCCGGGAAATTGAGTGTACCTGAGATGTAATGAAGATTCGATGCAATGCGTCGGCTTCACTTTCAGACGCGCACATATTGGTTAGCCTTGAGAGAAGATCGGCATCGGATGTGTGGAGGTACACTTTCGCCTCTAAGCTGGAACCAATCAATTTTGCGGCACGCGCAGCCTCGAGAACTTTGTTCACCTCGGTTCTCAGCTGGGATTTAGGGACGGGAGAAATAACGATGCCAAATTCAAAGAATGCAAGTGATTGAAGTTTTCGAGACAAGAAACTACCTCAAGAATCATCGCCCAAAAATCGACCTCTTTCTCCGGGAACGCTAGATGTCTTTCGTTCGATTTGGGCCATCCCGACTCGAAGACAAATTTTGCTGCATCTCCGTTTTCGTCGATGAATGGAAACGGAAGATTTTGCCACACATCTTCTGCTAGATGTGGCAAAATCGGAGCAATGATCCTAACAATGGAGAGTAGTTGAGTTGCGAGGACTGTTTGGCAACTTCTCCTTGTCGAACTTGTGGTTCCCCTTGTGGAATTTAAGAAATTGTCGAGGTAAGCCCGTTGAATGCAGGAGATGTAATGTGAAGAAATGCATACGTGATTAGTGCTTACCCCACATAGAGTCGATCTTTGGCTACGTCCAGGTAGAAGTTTGAGAGATCAACAACGACAAACCGCTGAATTGTCTGGAAGAATGAAAAAACATGGGAAGAACAGTACCAGAATGTCGAATCAGTACAAGAATGGCATACCTGAAAAATTTTGAAGAACTGGTAATCATCGTAGCTTTCTTTGATGTTCTTCACCACAGTTTCGAGTTGAAATAAGGCATGTTGATCGATCATTGGCAGCTCATCGTATGGAACAGCATACTCAGCCTGAAAGTATGTGAAAGCATTGAAGAGCATCGACAAAATGTAAGCAAATTTAATATACAAGTTATTATCTTCGAAGAAGCCTTACCTTCCAATCGTGCAGGTTTCCCAGAAGAAACCTCAAGGTTCCTCTCAATTTCCGGTACACGTCTGACATTTGACGGAGGACTGTCTGCCCGATCATCACATCACCTGTGTAATCTACGCTGGAAACCCAGAGCCGAAGTACATCTGCGCCAAAGGCATCCTGCAGAAGATCGACAAAAGATTCAGTATGTCAATAATTTTGTAGTTTTTTTTTTTTTTTTTTGCAAAATTCTGCGACACTTCACCTTCTTATCTTTTCCTCCTTCGATAATAGTTCTTGGATCAACGACGTTTCCCAAAGATTTGCTCATCTTGAAGCCCTTCTCGTCAAGTACAAATCCATGGGTTATGACACCGTGGTAAGGAGCCTTTCCTGCAAAAATAGTGTAAAATTGAGCAAAGATGAACAAAAAATGGTTTACTGAATCATTAAGCTAAAAATTATTAGTTCATGGTGTTAGTGCAATATATCGTACTCTATTATGTGGATCAATGAGAAATCTTACCAGATAATATATGTTCTATTAGCTATATAATTCATTTAGCATTTTATCGACTATTTATGCCCAGATGCTTATTGTGTCGAAGTTGAGATCAAGTAGAAATTCAAGTAGAAGGTCTCTATGAAATACAATCCTAGAAAAGGATAATTGTCTTTTTTCTTACCGTTTGTAGCAATACTTGTAAGCAATGAACTCTGGAACCAACCGCGATGCTGATCAGTACCCTCTAGATACAAATCTGCAGGATAACTAAGCCCACTTCTTTTCCCCAGAACGGCAGCCCACGAAGAACCTTGAATAACGAATAGAATTAAAATCACATTATCATAAATATATGCATTCAATGCATCATTCTTTTGAACTTATGTTTTGCAGAAAGAATGGTAACTAAACTTGCAATGATTCATGTATGCACAATTAGACAGTGCCCGGGAAAGATTTTATACCTGAGTCGAACCAAACATCCATTGTATCCGTTCCTTTTTCATAGTTTGATGCCTCATTGTGATACTTTTCTGGAAGTAATTCCTCTACCTTCAGGTACCACCATGCGTCACTTCCCTTCTGTGAAATTATAGCTGCAAAAAGAAATGACTCAGATAAGAAGATCCCAATGTGCCAAGGCTCAGATGCATCAAATATATAGCTTGATTGTCATTTCGAAATGCTTATTTCAGTCAACCTAACATATAGCATTTTTGAAATCTCAAATGTAATGATGAGGAGCAACTAGATACATCAATCTTACTCTCAATGTGATCAATAGTTTCCTCATTCATCAATGGCTCCTTTGTCTCAACATGATAGAAAACTGGGATGGGTACACCCCAAGTTCTTTGCCGGGAGATACACCAATCAGAGCGACTTGATGCCATTGAAGAAATTCGATTTTCTGCCTGTCAATATCACAACTAATTTTATATCTATTCAATGCCAGATATGTTACTTCTACTCAATTCTCAGGGAACAGAAGATAACCAGAAAACATTAGCTATGAATACTCATGTTTTTACAAGAAATGAATAGGATGACGAAAAAACCTGTGGAGGAAACCAGGTGACTTTGGTAATTGAATCTAGGGCAGCCTTACGGAATCCTTCAACCGATGCAAACCATTGTTCAGTTGCCCTGAAAATCGTTGGCTTTTTTGTTCGCCAATCATACGGGTACTTGTGTTCTGCATTTTGAAAGGTATAGATCCATATCACATACCTACAACTTTGTCCCATATGATAGGATGAAGGCACAAATTGAACTTACTGTACGGCTCAACCATGATCATCGATAGCTTCTCATCCAAGCAGTCGATAACTGCAGTATTACCATCACCTAGCACATTAAGACCCTTGAACTGGCCAGCTTCTTCAGTGAACCTTCCCTCATCGTCGACAGGGGAGAGAACAGGCAAACCATATTTAAGACCAGCCACATAATCTTCTTGACCATGGCCAGGAGCTGTGTGAACTAATCCAGTTCCTGACTCGGTCGTGATATAATCCCCGCCGATAATGACAGGGGATTCTCTGCCTTCTATGGGATGCACGTACCTGCGTCGATTGAAGTACAGATGTCAGGGGCATACAAGAGATGAGTTTCATCAAAAAAATAAAAATAAAAATCGAAGCTCTGTGTTATGGGTTCATAAGCACTACCTGCAATTTTCAAGTTCTGCGCCAGTAAGTGTTGCCTTCACCATAAGCTTCATACCCCATTTTGCCTCTAGAGCTGGAACAAGGTCGGATGCAACGACTAAATACATACTTTTATTTTCCTTAAACACATGGCCAAGCCTTTTCTCCTTGTTGGATGACAATGCAGTTATTTCCTCCGGACTAGAGTTTACTTCAACAACAGCATACTGAAGCTTCGGGTTGACGGCAACAGCTGAAGACAAAAAAGTGAGTTATTCCAGGCATGTAGAAAAACCGGTGTTCAGTGGCAAACAAAATTCAAAACAACAAACCTTAAAGTACTGAAAGAACATAACACATTAATACGTGAGATTAACATATTTCTCCCCAAATCACAATGTATAGATATACCACAGGCAGGATTTGAAAATGGAACACATCTAAAAAAAACTGTTAATGTTGATTCCTTAAGAAGTGACTCTTGAATGGTTCAACATTTCTTAATATGGTATGGGTTGTGCTGTTAGAATACTTTGTACATGATTTAGCAAAAAAATTGTCAGATTTAACATATTTATACTATAGTTAAGCAATTTTCCTGATTGGTTCACAATGGTTAACAATGTTTTGTCGATCGACATATTTTCCAACATAGAACATGGTTCAATATATTTATAATATGGTCCAACAATAGTACCATGGTGATTTTTTTTACAGTTTGGCATATTTTGTATGTGGTTTCAACATAATGTTAAAATAGACTCTTAACACATAATCCAAATCCTACTTAATATAGATCAAATACTCCAAATTGAGGTATTAGTAGTAGCCCCAAACATTCCACTAACAAAGTCATGATGCATAAAAACATTTTTGTGTGAGAAGTAGAAGACATGTTAGAAGGTACCAATGGACAATCCATACAACTATAGGCATGAGTTCATCAACAGGCAAGTACACAGAGAAACAGCCTTAGTGCATACCATTGCACTAACTGAAATAATGCATTCATTTGACGTTCTGTTAAATCAATTTTAGATCTCATGAAAGAATACACATCGCATTTTCCAAGTAGTGGCTGCGGATGAGAATAAAAGTTATAGCATCATATAGAGAAATTGTTTCGGTACATGATATTCACCAAAATCTCAAGTTGAAGCAACTGTCTGTTATCTAACTATTCATTTTTAATCAGCTTCATAAGAAACACAGTTCCAGAAGCAACACAATGCCATAAGTCAAGCACTGAATATGTCTAAACATCTACAGTCAAAGAAATAAATCAGTGGACAAAATGAGTTCAAACAGACAAATAATAATAATAATAATAATTACCAGCATTAGCAGGAATAGTCCATGGAGTTGTAGTCCAAATAGCCAAGCCCAGATTGGGAACAAAATCATCCAGCAACTTACATGAAGTAGTGGTACTGACTAATCTAAAGATCGCATACATGCTCTTCGAAACATGACCCTCGGGATACTGCAAATAAAGTTGCAAAAGACAGGATATATTTTACTTAGTTCACTCAACCCCTAACATTTTAAATTGCAGTAATGCATGGAGTATCTAAATGAGATTATAAAGGTTAAAAGATTGATTACCTCCAATTCGGCTTCTGCTAGAGCAGTTCGAGACGAGGGGCTCCAATGAACTGGTTTCCTGCCTCTATAAATATATCCTTTCAGGGCCATTTGGCCAAACACTTCAATCTAGAATAGTTGAATGTGGATGAAGTAGTCAAAATGATAAGATCACTCCAACAGCAATAAGATTATGAACTACATTACAAAAATAAGGAGCCATGAAAGGATAAGTAAGACTTACACTACTATTTGTACACTATTAATATAGGAAACCATATTATTCGTAATCTATCAAAATATACAAATTAAACAAAAAAAAATGATTATATTCACCTGTGCAGATTCATACTCTGGGTCAAGAGTGAGGTATGGATGATCCCAATCTCCCCATACGCCATAGCGCTGAAACCATTACAAAAAAATTTGAAACACTATTAGTATTTTCTCAATATCCAATTAGGTATCAAAATTTATTTATTTTTACTTTATATTATTTAGTTCTTTAATTTTTTTTTCATTAAATGACCGTGGATATGCCTAAAACTTTATAATTGGATAAATTTAGTTCTGCATTTCGACAAAAAAAAAAAAAAACAGAAAAACTTTCAACAGTAATAAAATCACCAGACAAAAGATCCATGCAAAGAGAACCATTGACATTCAATTTCAATAGAAGAGAATTCTGCTTTCCTGTGGACAAAGAGTGAAACAGAGCATTTCTATTCCTTGTTTTATCAAATAAAACCAAAGCATGACCTTAAATGCTGCCATCTGATTCTTGACAGTTGACTTTGCAAATTTGGCTGCTTTTGCTCTCAATTTTATTGGTGTCAGCTCCTTTCGAACTTCCTGATCCAGCGACTGCAAAACTGAAATAAATGAACAAATATATGATGTGGCCCTACAAATAAAGTCACTTAATTGCAATTAGAAATTAGTTCCCCTAGAAACTATTAAGACAACGAAAAGTGATGCCATGGAGAAAGAAGAAAGAAAGCCATTGGACTATGGCCAGAATTTTCTGAAACCACAACTAACGATGAGCATAACCACATCTCTTCTTCAGTTATATTAACAACAGATTCCTAGCTTCTAGCAGTAGAAAATGGTCAAATGGGCAGGACTGGAAGTAAGATTAACAGAAGGGGATTCTTAGCCTTCAAAGGGGAGAAAAATTATCAACAAAGGGTGTTAAACTTCAGAAAAGAGTAGTTGCATAGTGGAAATGAGAAAATAGAGGTTTGTTCTGCTTTTTTGGAATCTTTTGTAAACTGAATAAAAGTAATTCTACTTTAAGAATTACAGCAAGAAAATTCATGTCTTGAGAGAGAGGGTGAGAGTGAAAGTGAGAACTGATACTTGCCTTTCAATTCAATTGGTAAACCATGGCAATCCCAACCAGGAACATAATGAACTTGGAAATTCTGAAGAAGCTGAAAGTAAGAAGATAAATAACTTAGAACCAACTTTAGAGTGCATGTAAGGGTGGCATGGCATAAACATCATGTACAAAGCGGCATACACATGCTCGATAACACAGAAGATAGATTCACAGAAAACTCTTTCCTGATTGCAACATTCGACAATATGAAGAATAAACTCTAGGCACCATTAACTTCACAAGAAGTACACAAACCCAGAATTACCTTATATCGGTTGATAATATCCTTCAAAATCTTATTTAATGCATGACCCATATGTAAATCGCCATTTGCATAAGGAGGGCCATCGTGAAGCACAAACTTGCCCTGTCGGATGATTGGAAACAACCAAAACTCATTTATCATGTACAAAGAACTGACATCAGCATAATCGAGTCAACACAGAAGGCAGAAAACTTACACCAGTATTGCCACCAGAAACCCTCTTGTACACCTGATTTTCATCCCAAATCTTTTGTATTTCGGGCTCCCTTACAACTGAATTTGCCCTTAAGCCAAAGGCAGTCCGAGGGAGTTCAACTGTGTGCTTATACTTCCCATCATCTTGCCTTTCCCCTGGACAACATGAGCATTTACATCAATTAAATATATTTCTTCGGAAGATGGAGTTAAGCGCACTGCCATCTAACACATTTAACTGTCTGAAATATCTTATCACTAAAAAGGTCTTCAGAACCTTCAGATTTTTTCCTTGCTGCCATTACAGGTCCACGCGATCTTCGCTTTGAGGAAGAGCTATGTTCTGTGTCAGAGCCAGTTGAATAGCATGTTGCATGTAGGAGGGATAAGACTTTCACGGAAGAACTTTTTAAATTTAACAAGCCGAAAACGGTTGAATTCCTAAAAGATGAGCAATTTTTCAGCGACAGAGCCTGAGCAAATTAGACATACCATATTAGATGTTCCAACCTCAAGGACAACATACAAAAACGTAATACTTAAAAGTCTTATAGACGCCACACAAGTACTCAACATCGAAGAAAAGAAGAAAGTAAGGTTAAAATAAAGAATGCAACTTTGCTGCCATACAGCTGAAATGTTTGAAATAGAAAACTTAATTATTTTATCAACTAAAACTAATAAGAACAACCTTTGGCATAACAAAAATATGAAAGAAACCAAATTACATCTACTCTTGCCATCATTCGATATGCCAAAACCTTAAGACAATAATAATTAACATAAAACTTAACAATGCAATGGTAGAAAAACTCGAAAACTAGATAAGAAAGTGAAGAAGCAATACATCGAACACTTGATATGCATTCATTCATTCTTTAACCGTGGAAACACATATCAGACAATCCAATAAAACACCTCCAGGGACAAAAACCAGCAATAATTAGCCACAAATTTCATTCTGAAAGGCTCCCAAGATAATTCCATAGCTATATTTATAAAAGAATGAAACTTTCGTGTACCCAAGATTCGAAGTATCTAAGTTAATCCTCCATTAAAATCTCATTCAAGTAATAACTGTACCTTGCAAGAAGAATTCTGCATAGCCATTCTGGTGAGGGAATATATATTGGTTGGAGTAGAGAAGTTAATGAAGCGGCCGGATTCCATTTTCATTGCCTTCTATTCGTCAATTGCTCCTCGTCCAGTAATCATGGTAAAAAGGAGCTCTTGCATTGACTGCCTGGTTTGATCGATCGCTGCCGGTCTGTAGATAAAAGGAGGCAGTGGCACCTCAACTCTGGACGTGGACGAGAGAGATTATCCTTTCAATTCGAACCATTTACAAGAATCCGCTTTGATTCAAGGGAGCCCAGGAGATGCTAGGACACACTACAAGAGAGAAGAAAGCCCATTTCACTTTTTCTCTACTGTGCAGCTCTTTTCATAGTATTCATCCACCCCACATTATTTTTATTTTTATTTCTCTTTCAGACCAAAATTATTTCTATTTTACACCATTTTAAAAAGCATATATACTATTGTCTTTTTAATAAAACATCATATTAATTTTATTTTATTTTTTTGTTATTACTTATTTTTTTTATAAAGCATATCCATCCATACATATATAAATGGCATTCTGATATATATATATAATGGAAATAGTTACTACTACATAATTACTTCTACTATACAATAATTTATTTATACTTTTCTTTTTTAAAATAATAAATTTTTTTTTTATAAATACTCATAGAATTACTCATATTTTTTTATTATTATTATCCAAATATCACTTTTTTTTTTTTTTATGCTGCCGTGAATAATGCCGACTATCTGATTATATATGATCCAATCGGCACTCTTAACTATTACTCTAACTATTCTATGTATCTATTAGATAAGATATAAGCACATTACACAAACCAAAAATTAGTATGCGACTGTGTTACTACAGCAAGAGAAGACTGACTGTTACTGTATACATACAAAATTACAAATGATGCAAGAAGCCAAATCCAGCCAAAAGAAAACAACAAACAAAGACCTTCACAACAGCAGCAGCTATGGCGAAGATCTTCTGCTCGACGGGGAGCAGACTTTCCCAAATACCGTTTTCGCAATCGAAAACAGAAACATTACAGCAACCTCAACCTGATCCACACACCTCGTCTTCATCGAAATCTTCCCATGAAATCTGCTGTCCAAACTCGCCTCGATCGTCATCTTCGACGTCCCGCCGACCGCAAAATCTGACTGCACGTCGCAGCCGCAGATTAGATCGCCTCTGTACTTCACAGCCGACAGCCCCAGAGAGGCTCTACGTGACGACGCGAGATAATTCTCGTCGACCCAGCACAGCTCCACATTCGCGCCACAAGTTGCGTCAACGATTCCCGCATTTCCCGTCACCGTTACCCGATCCCCGACTCGAATTTCGTCCCCGAGTTTGATCCCCATCACCTCATTTTCGTCGGTCAAGGCAATCGACATATCGGTTTCCCCCCGCCGAGACGACGATTCACCAAAATGGCAATCCACGGTCGAGAGAGCCGTCGTTTTGTCGTTTATTTGTTTCTTCTTAAGTAGACTCGCAAGATAACGGTACTCGCGAAAATAGGTTGTCCTTTTATCGCAGCTTAGTTTCGTCGATTTCTTCCCGATTCCGACAGGACTTCGAATAGCAGCGACGGAGCTCAGATCGGATAACGTCTTCATCGAGTAACATAAGAGTAGCAGCTGCGACGTCCAATTTTCCTCCCGTTTGCAATGTTCGATCTTTTCGGCAAATCGACGGTTTTCAACTAGACATGCCGGAATAATGTAGTCATGCGCCATCGAAAGAAATTCCCCTACCGAACGACCTATAAGCTGTCGAGCAAAAAACAATTGCTGATCAGCAAACGCCCCGTCGGATCCATCCGGAGGAATCGAATCGGCATGGGTCAAAACAAGAATCGATTTTTGCCATATCGACGAGCCAAGACAAGCCGAAATTAATTTCAGAATCGGCAGGTCATTTACGGCGCTCGCCTGCGAGTCGAGACGATCGACGTATAGGAGGATAACATCAGATTGGGACTTCTGCATCAGCCTCTTAATCGAGAACAATACTTTTCGATTAGCTGATTCATCTTTCAGAGAACTTCTCAGACCCGGGGTGTCGATGATCTTCAGTTTTACTCCGTCTTTCGTACCGAAAATTTCTTTCACATGACCTGTCGCAGGCTCGAAAGCATCGACTGCGGTTTTCGTTTCTCCGAAGATGGAATTTATAGTCGAACTTTTCCCGACTCCGGTTTTTCCAAGAACCAGTATGCACATCGAACAATCTGAATCATCCTCGTTCGAAATTTCAAGTTCCGCGATCGATTTTTCAGTCGAATCGAGATGAGATTCTTGAGAAGCGATCGTCCCCTCTGCAAATCTCAGCTGATGTAAAACATCGGAAGCTACAGAATCGTCGGACGAACAGCGCAGCTGCCGCAGAAGCCACAAGTATTTTGCTCGTATATGCTGTATTTTCTCGAGCTTCTTTTTCTCGGCTTCAGATAGAGTTTCTTCCAATTTACCGCAAATTTCTTCTTTTGAGTACCCGACAATCTGATCATCGAGCATAGCTATTGGACCAGTCGATAGTTTCGAAATTTCGGGACAAGTTTCACTTGAGACTTCCACGACGGATCCAACATCTTGCTTTCTTACATTTTCCGGATCGCAGGTAATACGATCGTCTAAAACGATGTTACTTCCCTTCTCGTCCGCATCATCCATCGATGCTCCCGATTCGGTAACTTCAAGTTCCGTTAGATCAGCCGTTCCGGTAAAGGAAATCGATTCTCTTTGATCAATCGAATTGGCAAACTCCCTTTGATAAAAGATTACGTCTTTATCGAGAATTTCTGTCTTCTCCCCGTCAAACGTCGAATTGTGTTCTCCGTCCTCAGACGGCGATCCGAAATTGCTGCTGCTGCATCTCAATTCAGTGACTTCCGGCTCGACTGTCACACACAGGGAACAACCCTGTTCTGCTTTTCGATAAATCAAATCGGCGCATTCTTTTACGTCATCGATTACGTCGATCTCCCGAATTTCTTTATCCTCTGTTTCGACTTTCGAATTTTCCTCTTCCTCCATGATCGTCGAATGAGGTGTAGCTTCTTCAACTTCGATCGTATCCGACGATATTACAGCATCGATCGGTTCGTCATCTACAATAACATGCTCCATTTCATCCTTAGATTTCAAATCATAATCACTATTCTCTATTTCCTCGACGAACTCCGCATCTGCCGAGGGTCGAGCTTTTGGGGTGCTAATGCTATTAACTCTCAGCAAAGCTTCGATGCTCGGAACTCTAACGACAACGCCGGATAATCCGTCGTCGTCCGATCCGTCGTTTTCCGATGCCAAGCTGTTCTTGGAGTCATCATCGCTGTCTACAGATATCTTAGCTATTGGAATTCGAAACTTTTCTACCAATGAAGGTTTTATATCAACAATTGGCGTAGGCTTACTTACTGAAACTTCTTCATCTGTTACAGCCATGGATGCTGCATTATCGTCTACCTCATTTAAGAATGTTCTAGAAGAATCAGAGTCGTCGTCATCAACATTTGTAACAACCTTAATCAATCTTTCTTCTTTAACAAGAGGCTCAATACTACTGGGAAATGGATACTCGAAATTAGGGCTTTCAGTAGGCCTATCATAATCATAATCACCATCATCTTCAACACTTCCATAGCTACTAGAAATGCTGTTTCTACGGCTAGAATATTCAAAATCAGATTCATCGACAGTGAGGGGAGCTCTAATACCTGACGACGGAGCTCTGGGGGTCGCCGGAGCTGCTGACAATGGGACGCCTTGGAGCCTGGAGTCCATGGAGAATTCAAAAACTTAAAATAGGGTTGTAAATGGAATGAATTCAGTTTTGTTTTGTTGTTTGTTTAATCAATTAAGGATGGAATCTGTTTTTGTTTGTTAGGGTTTTGGATTTGGGGGTTTTATGGAATGGGGGATGGGATTTAGGTTAGGATTTTGTCTGTTTAGGTTAGGTTTGCGGCTGTGCTGCGTTGGGAACGAAGACAAATAAATACAAAGGCAATGGTGTGGTAACAGGAAAGAACAGATGGCATTTCTTGGTTCTTGCAGCTTGTATGGATTTTGGTCGTTGGTTTTCAGATAAGCCTGCTAGGGTTTACCTTATTTACGTCTATTTTTTAAAAAAATATTTTTTATATTGTTCACGTATATTATATTTCATCAATTTTATTTGTAGTCCATGAAAAATATGTATAATTTATATATTTTTTAATTTATGTTCTTTAATATTATATTTATTTATTAATGTGTCATAACTATTTATATATTTAATTTATTTTAAAAAATGTATAATTTTATATTAAAATTATTATTAGAATTAATGAGGAATTTGATTTAAGACTCAAAAGAGTTGTTCTTCTTTAATAAAACATCAAATTAATATATAGTGGTATTATAATTTAGTATATAATTTATTTTTTTTATTTTATATACAATATTCAATATGTAGTTACATATTTTGCAATTGTACTATTTTCTCACATTCAAACCACTTTAAAATAAAAAACTAAAAGAAAACTTCAAAAACACAATTAATTTCAATTTGTTGGAACCCTTCGACTTTACATTTATATATTATTATTTATTAATAGTGGTTTGTTTATTTAATGTGTTAATTTGAATTTTTTATTTTATTTTATTTTTATATAAAATAAGAAAAATTGTGTCCTTAAACATGTAATCCCTTCATCCGAAAAGAGTTGTGTTATTTTTGTTGGGAGAACAAAGCCAACCGCTGAACATATTTTTTGCATGTAATTTTTGGGAAAAAATGGATTCAAAGATTTTAATGTAATATATACATATATATTTAAGCTGCAACCTTTTCTTCAACTTCACAAAATTGAAGCTGTTTATGTGATGATCTCTACTTCAGGAAATAATTATATTGGAGGGTACAAGTACAAACTCCAATTTTCAGCAAAGGAAAAACCAAGCAGCAATATGCCATGCCAATATGGGCATAGTTAAAAAATCATGTAACCATGATCTTATCTTAGTAGACAAACCTCGCCACCCTCGAGAAGACTATCCTGAAAATTTCTAGCAACAGAGCTAGAACTAAACATTAAGAAGAAGACTGCACAAGTTTGACCATGGCCTGAGCATCAATGGCTGCCAAATTTGCCTGGCAAAAACCCTGCCATGTCTCCTGCTTGTCCTCCACACCCTCTGTTGTCGCCTCGTACAGCGAAACAACCATCCCTCTCGCCGCCTCTCTTGCCCCGGGTAGCTTGTCATTCAATAGATTCGATGCTGTTTTGATCAACTTCGCTATTCCAAATTCCTCCATGCCTTTTAAATCCTAAGCAACATCGATAACAAACACGACATTACAATCTGCTAATGCTTCTCGCAAATTAATTCCTCCATGCCTTTTAAACATATATATATATATATGTAAGTATATATGTATATGTATATGTATGTATAAAGACACATAACACACACCATTTTGGAGACACAGTTGGAGATGGAGATTGCAGCTTTGGCTCTGACTCTCAGATTGGAATGGGAAACATAAGAGCTGAGCTTATCGAGCAAAGAAAGAGGGGCAATGGAGTTCACCATTGTTGATAATGCCCTGTCGGCTTCTTCGCATACGAATTTCTTGTCTTGGGAAGCTTTTAGCAGCAGCTGTAATAACTGTTTCAATGGAAACATTAGAATTAGGAACATTTTTTAGAGGTGCGGGATCAGTGAGGATTTGGAAATGGAGTGTTTACCAACTGATTGAAAGCATCGGAAGTGGATTCGAGTAGCTTTCCACCAAAGGCCTTGAATATGTCCGCAGCAGCCATTATTGAAGTTTTGCAGAGAGCACTTCTAGGGTTCTTCATCCCCTTAACAATTACTAGCAGCAGCTTGTCCCTAATTTCAACATTTTATCATGCCTCGGATAGCAACGGAACTAAACCCTAAATTGATGACGTAGAGTAACAAAATCTTACAGAATTGGAAGCAAGAGATGGGAATGATGGATCGCGAAACGCCGTACGTCATTCAATGACTCGCAAACCTTCAACCAATCTTTCGATTCCAATCCTCCAACCAGATCCTGAGAGTATTTTAAGAAATTCGAATGAATCATTCAAAAAATATAAAATTGATGAATTCACAAAGCAATCGACAGAAACCTGAATCTTAGCAGCTGGATCTTGAAATGCTTCGAGCTTTTCAGAAGGAACATAATCAACCGAAGCGTCTGAAGGCACTGTGTTCTCATCATTGACGCCAGGATCCGGCAATTGCTTTTCTTTCGGAGCTGGAGCGACGATCTTCGCTTGCTTTTTGGGTCTTTCTGCAGCGATCGGCAAAGCATTATCCAGAGGCCTCAACGCCATAATTTACTTGCGAAAATTCTTCAAGAAATCAAGAGAAATTTTTGCTCTCAAAATTGAGGGAGAAATTAGGGTTTTTTCTGTGAGTGGAAAAGGGGAATTGGAGAGAACTGATATAAAGAAGAAAGGGTGTGAATGTCGTCAGGATAAAAAAGGTAGGCGAAGAATTACGCAACGGTCACTTCTGAATTTGAATTGTTTTTTAGTTCTCATCATATGCCGCAACGGTCACATTTCCACGTTCTCCACGGTTCTGTTTCCTCCAATTTGAGCAGTTAGTACTAAAGTCGCACAAATAAAATTTAAGAATCGCATTTTGAAATTTCAAAATTTCCCATTAAGTTACTCTCCATAGCATACAAGAATTCCAAAAAAATGGTAGTATTTGGCTGATGCAGACAACCTAAATCAACGACTTCTGTACATACATTGTCTCTTCATCTCATCCTCGTCTCGTCTGCTTCTGTACATACATTGTCTCTTCATCTCATCCTCGTCTCGTCTGCAAGTAAAACGACAAAAACGGATCGAGTCGCAGCTGTAACACAGACCATTTAAAGTTACGATGACATGACGCGCAATGTAAAAAATGCAGCAATACTAATATCGATCATACCTCAAGAGGAGTCGCGACCAACATTTGTTCTGCCATCGACGAATATATTACCATGATCGCAAAGCATGCTGCGACTTTGCTGTCTCCCTTAAGACAGCACCGACAATCGCTGCCTGCTCAAGACATTCAGCCTTATGGAGCGCATCCAAAAGTACGACGCAAGTTTTGGTGTAAATCTTACAGCCCTTCAATCTAGTTTCCTCGAATAACTTATACGCTTCCATCGCCTTGTTCGCCACACTAAAACCTTCGATCATTGTGTTGTAGCAAGCAGAATCGGGTATCCCGCCGCTCGATTTGAATCGATCGAAGAGTTTCTCGGCATCCAGAATGTTTCCTGCTTTAGCAAGCCCCGATATCATCGTCACATACGTGATTACGTTAGGTTTCAAACCTTGCTTCTGCATTTCCTGCCAGAACACGAACGCTTTATTGAATCTTTGAGCTTTGCACAGACCGTTTATGATAATGCTGTAGGTCACGATGTTCGGGCTGCATTTCAAATCTTTCATCGAGTTCCAGCAGACGAACGCTTCTTCAATTTCTCCCGCCTTCACAAGCGCATCAAGCAAGCAATTCCATGTCTGGACATTCGGCGTCAAATTCTTCTGCATCATTTCCTCGATGATGAGATACGCTTCGTCGATTCTCCCAACTTTTCCGAATCCGTCCACCAGGCTACTATAAACGACTACATTTAATTCCACGCCTAGCGATTTTGCTTCCTCGAATAGCATGTACGCTTCATCGAGCCTGTCGATCTTAGCAAGCCCGTCGATAACGGAGCCATAAGTAACTACTGTCGGCTTATGACCTTTCACTTTCATTTCCTCTAAAAGCTGGTAAGCTTTGTTCACTTTACCTGATTTGCAGAATCCGTCGATCACAGTATTATAAGCAAGGGTATCGATTACGCACCCCTGTTCCTTCATTGCGTGGAATAGCTCGTACGTTTCGCGAGAAAAGCCAGCTTTTATTAGGCCGTGAATAAGAATCGAATAGCTTCGTGCATCAGGCGTAAACGACGACTTAATCTCTTCAAACAAAGCTCGGCCTTTTTCTGTTTCGCCCGCTTTCAAAACACAGTCCATGTACGTGTTCATAAGCGTAAGATCTGGCGCAACACCCCTCCGAATCATTTCCTTATAGATCTTATGTCCGTCCTCCTTTCTGCCGGATTTGAAAAAATTCCTTATCAGGGATGTATACACAATCGCATCCGGCGTTTCGTTAGAATCCATCATCTGCTCATACATTCGGTACGCCTCATCCAGCTTTCCATGCCTACCCAAGCCATCTATCAACGAACAAAATGTATATCTATTAGGAGCACATACTTTACGATCCAAGTCCTTAAAGATGGAAAGCGCTTCATCCCGTTTGTCGGCTTTGCACAATCGATCAATCATGATGTTTACAGTCGTGATGTTTGGTACTAATCCCGACATCTTCATCTCCTCTCGTATTTCTAAAGCTGAATCAATTTTCCCTGCCCTACAAAGCATGTCTATGAGAATATTGTACGTAGATTGGCTCGGCATGGCATCTTTTTTCATCCGGTTAAAAAGCTCTAACGCCTCATTCAATTTTCCTTTCTTACCGAGACAAGTGAGAAGGCCATTATAAGCAATCACACTCGGTATGGAACCCTTCAACCTTTGCCTCTCCAACAAGCTATATGCTTCATCGAACCTTCCGACAGATCCATAGCCCATGATCATGGTGTTATATGCGTATGCACACGGAACTGCCCTGTTACGCTCCATCTGCTCAAACAGGTCAACAGCTTCGTCGATTTTATTGGCTTTGCAGAGAACTCCTATCATGCTGGTATAAGAAACTTCATCGGGCATGAGACCATGGGCTTTTATCTCATGAAAGAATTTCCAAGCTATGTCGACTTTACCAACCTTACCAAAGCAGTCGATACACACATTATAGAGAACTATGTCGGCATTGAGGGAATTGCTCTTTACTTCATCTAACAAGGAGAGAGCAGAATCCACACGGCCATCGCGAGCAAATGCACGAATTAAAGTCGTGAACAGATGCACAGTAGCCTCATACCCTAACTCCTGAATCTGGTGAAAGAGGGTAAGCATGAGGTCGGGGTAATCCTGCTCGTGACCAGCAGCCATTGCTCCAATGAGAGTTGTGTATGCTGAAAATGCCGGACGAAATTTGAATTTTCTCATGGTTTGTATAAGCTCAAACGCCTCTCGCAATCTTTGTGCCCTTGCTAAGATGGACACTAACTCCACACTTGTTTCGTAAGAAGGGCTAAATCCAGCAAGGCTCATTTCCTCAAAAATATGTTTGAATTGATCGGATTTCTTGTTTCTAGCCATCACCATGAGCAGCGAATCATACGTTTCCGGAGTATGGACTCGATCGATCACCCTTTCAACCCATCTAAAGTATTTTATAGCTAATTCAGCATCCTTCATTCTCCTCAACACTCCAATAACAAAATCTGCATCAGGTTCATGGTGAAATGAAGTTAGAGCTTTCTCTAATGAAGGCCCCCAAGGACCACTGTTTAAGATCTGACAAACGCTCTCGATATCTCGTTTGACAACTTCATGTTTCCTCCAAGTCTGGCCATCTCCGCCGTTCATGTAAGAAGCAGTCCACCTTCCTTCCCTAAAGGGACCTTCGTTTACCATATGAACATCTACCTCAGAGGATCCGCCATTAGAGAAGGGAAGCTTTTTACAAAAATTCCACAGGTTAGACGATTTGTGCTTATTCCGAAATTTCAATCCTGCAGCAATACTTGTAATCAATCAAAGTAGCACTCGAGAATCACAAGCAATTAAAGCAACCAATTCTCCATCATAAGATACGTAAACCGAAGGCAGGAAACATTCGAAGCAAACAGAATCCAAATTATTTGGTTCAGTACAATACACCCCCACCTAAATGTATTTAAGAGAAACGTTTCTTTCGACACTTTACCTCGTTTGATGGCGAGTGATCTCATTCTTCTGTGTGCCTGAGAAGCTCCGACGGAGGGAAGGGAAAGGGTTTCTGTGAGAATTTGAGCAATAGAGGTGAAGCTAAAGCCTATGGATACTTCTAAGTATCTGATAAGTTGAGGGACTTACTTATAAAAATCAAAATTGCAATTTGATCCTTTCTCGGAGCAATAAATATCCGATTGGGACAATCAGTGCACTGTGACAAGAAATGTCGAAAACGCTCCTTTCTCTCGACTCGCATGGCATGCATCCGAATTGAATCGCCCAATTTTCGCAATCTCAATTGAATTTCCGTCTGTGTATGCTACCAATCGTATTTACGTGCTATGGAACCTCTTCCAGCCCAGCTATTGGCATCATCGCCGCCGCAGCGCTACTCTATGAGGCGATACAATCACCGGAACAACCGCGGGGAGGGCGGGGGACCCGTGGAAATGACGAAAGAGCCTTTGCACTCTGAAGGCGGTGACGGAAGCGCCACCGAAGAGAGGCGAGGAGGAGGCGAGGTGCGCCGCGCAACAATCGATTGCAACCTCGCGTCGCTGTGCGATCACATTCAATTGGAAGGGTTTAATTTTGGAGTCTTCTCCGACGTAGTCTTGAATGCCATGGGGTCGAGTTATTATCTCCATCGCCTTATACTTTCTCGGAGTTCTTACTTCCGGTATGCCCTCTTACTTCGAAAAGACAAATCTTGAATTCAGAAAAATCTAACTTGCTATTTTGTCTAAGTCAGTCTGCGAACTTCATTGGGAACGAGGCATTTACTGTTCTTTGTGTTTTAGATCAAACAGATAGTTATTTTTGGAACTAATCCCCCTTGATCAGGGGTTGAAATGTAAATGTGTCGAATTAAACCTCGTTGTAACACAGATTCATCTTAGGTTTTTATGGATGTTTTATCTCTTCTAATAAGCTTCTTGTTGATTGGGATTTTAGTTCCACCTGTATGATCGTTTGGGCCATGATTAATATCATGGGTGAGATAAAGGCTTAGCGGGGATAATTCGCCCTATTTATTACTTATCAAATAATTTAGTTTATTTAAATAAGAGATATGTGATAATGATTCATGACTTAAAGTTAAGAAAGAGAACATTCTCAAGACTGATTTGAAGTTTGAACCAGTATGTTTGTGGAGGGATGATGCGATGGAAGCATACGGTGCTCAAGGCAAAATTGGCCAGAACATGGCGCCTGTATAGCAAGTTTGTTTGGTTTAAAAGGATAGTTAAATGTGTGGCTGTATGTTGGATACATGGTATGATTTTGAAGGAGTTCACTACAATTCCATTTGTAATGCTGTGGTGTGCAGGAACATGCTTCAGGGGCCATGGAAAGAAGCCAATGCTCCAGTCTTGACCTTGCACGTAGATGATAACAACGTAAATGTTGAAGCAATGAAGATAGCTTTGGCTTATCTTTATGGACATTATCCAAAGCTTAATGATGCTAATGCATTTCGAGTTTTAGCTGCTGCATCTTTTCTTGACCTTCAGGTAGAGTAACTTACAAAACAAAGCCATTTTCAGTTATGGGTTTAATGAATCTAGCTGAAACTATAGTATAATATAGTGGAAACAAACTCCTCCCCCATTCTTCTTTAAAGTAAGTTTGTCAGGTTTGTTTGAATCTAATGTTCTTGCAGGGTTTCATGAACTAGGGCTAGGACAATGTGCTTAATTCTTCAAAAACAGGAAATTTGCTTATTCATTAGCTAATTGAATTTGTTGGCTATGAAACCCTGATGGTTTAATTGGCTAATGTGTTTCAGATTCCATTATCGTGGATATATGGCTGTCATAAGGTTGAATGCAGTTAGGAAATTAACGGATCTATTGCCTATGACCCACATGTTTTTTTCCTTTACTTGTCAACTGAAAGAAGATCCTATATGTGTATGCTCATATCAGTTTATCTCTTATGTGCTTAAAGGATAATCAATATACAGTACTGCACACCATTTATTTATTCAATTATTTATCTCTGCTTGATTAAAGCCAAATCAAACAAAATCAACAGTAAAATTTTGGTGCCTCACTTTGTTTTGGGGGTGATTAGAGAATGCTAATTTATCTGCAACCAAAACCCATTAGAAGCCACTATTATTCTCTAAAATATTTTTTATCGGCATACTTTTGCACCTCATGAATATAGGACTGATCAAATATTTACAAAATATACTGGGGAAAGATGCTTTCCCATGTGAATTTGACTGATCTGGTTGCATTGGTTAAGTTTGGATAGATCACTCTCTCTGGGAGATCAGTCGAGCTCCCCTTTGTGCCTTTGCATATCTAACATTTTACATGCAGGATTTGTGCACGATCTGCACAGACTTCATCATAGCCAACCTGTGGTCTTCAAACTTCTTGACATATCAAGTTAGTGGTTTCTTCAGTAATGAAAAGTTCTGTTCAGTTTGATATAAATCATCAAGTGTTGAATCATGCTCGTCTCAATAAAGGTATTTGCTGAGGGCCAAGATTACGGCACACATGGAGAACGTGTTAGAAATGCTTGCTGGGGATATCTCTGCCAAAGTGGTGCTCGAGAATTGAAAGAGGTGCATCTTTCAGTCTTCTGGCTGTACTGTGCTGTTGGTTTTAAATTTTGTGATAAAATTAATTCATTTCATTTTATTTAAGACTTAATCTGACACCCAGCATATATCAGGTGCTTCCTAAACTTTCTGCCCAAACATTACTAGCTTTACTTACATCTGATGAACTATGGGTACCCAGTGAAGAGAGACGGTGAGAAAGACCTCGTTGATCTGTTCATAATACAGTTGATTGCAAGGCCTACCATCATCTAATGCATAATTTTTACTCTTATTTTTGGTGCTTATGAAGGTTTGAACTCGCACTATACTCTTTTCTTGCAAAATGTGCACTTTACAAAGCAGAAGATCATGAGCAAGGAAGTTCAAGTTGTGAAGATGCATCAAGCAGCCATTCTGATTCTTCCAAAGCAAACAGGAAACATTTGCGAGAAGAAAGCGCGAACAAAACACTAAAAACTGAACAAGGGCACCCAAAATCAAAAGATGAGGTTGAAGGCCATGATACTGCTCGTAATATCTTGATTGAGCTTGCAAACTCTGTTGTGGATTCTCATTCTGATGTTCCCAACATCAACAGAACCCAAAAAACCTGCTGTGAATCCACTTTGGAGTCAAGATACAATTGTAACACTGAAAGATCTTCAGAAAGTCATATGTTTTGCACAGATAACCTTAATGCCTCAGGTTCTCATCATAACGTACATGTTGGTGCTGGAATGAGTGGATTGGAAAACAAAGGTTTCAACTTTGAGGGTCCATCCGATGAGGATTCTTGCTATGAAGTGAACACTAGTTGGCCTTCGGGAGAGCAAATGCACGGCATGTCAGTGAACTCTTCCAGTAATTTCCTAATGTCCACTGAATTTGAAAGAAGCAACACGTCGCCTCCAACATGGGGTGGTAGGATTGTTGGTAGAAGACAGTTGAAAACTTGCCCAACACGGCAATGTGGAATGAGCCGAGAAGAATATGATTCTTTTGTAAATATTTTTGAAGGGGGTTCTCTTCTGTATTGTAACATGACGTTTGAAGCCCTCTTGAATGTTCGAAAACATCTTGAAGAAATGGGCTTCCCCTGCAAAGCAGTGAATGACGGTCTGTGGTTGCAGGTATATTCTGTAATGCTTTAGCAATATTCATATTTGCGCTGATGTTTTGAAAAGCTCATAATTCTAAGCAGATTTGTTATTGTGATTTTCTCTAGCATCATGACTGGTATTATTATTGTTATTTTTGTTGTTGATACCTTGTTTTGTTTTGTAATTGCAACTTAACAAATCACCCATTGTGAATATACATAAATATTTTCTGTTATTTTACTGTATTTTGCATATGGAACTTTTTTTAAATCCATGCAGTTGATTGTTCAGTGATCTCACTATCATATTCTCTTTGCCCATGTTTTACAGATGCTCTTAAGCCAGAGGGTGCAGGAAATCGGTGCAGACACGTGCAAGAACTGCAGTCACATGAATATCGTATGTGTGTGTAGACAGCAATTTGGGTATTCCAATGGAGTTACAGCTGCTGGATACTATGTGGCAGATAACGAACATGGAAGTTTGCCCTCCAATGATATAGGGCATGCTTATGTCACCACTTCTGCTCCACCAGATAGAAATGCCCCCCCTAGGCCAGTTCGTGTCCATGATAGGGGCCCTATTGATGGCCTAGCTGGCATTGGACGTGGGAACACATTCGTACCTACACCTGCATGGCCACCAACTCGTTACGTCTTTTCTCGTGTTCCATTTGGTATTGGGAGCCGAAGCAATCAGCAGCCACCTTCTAATGATGATGCTGAAAACAGAGCTGAAAACAACAGTGACCTTGCAGGGGATGGGTTGACAGCCTTGTTTGGGCTCAGTCAGGGATCAAATGATGCAGCTAATGTGCACGTCGTTGAAATGGGAAGAGAAGATGATTCAGGCCCACAGAGTAGGCTTTCAAGATCCTTCAGTCCTGGATCGAGTGCCATTGGTGTTCCTGTGCAAGTGATAGACTCATCTGAGCAGGCCATGGGTATTGAGTGGCAAAATGCTAACAGCTCTATATCACTGGACCTGAAGACACCTTTGAGTCACTTTCCTCCCTTTCGCTTTGCGTAAGCTATATTCTCTACTGCTAGAGTCATTGCACGTACTAAAAGTTGCTTTTATTTAAAATTTTTCCAGTTTTCGTAATTAAGTTTAGCTTCCACATATAATAAAATTTTCACTAAGGTTGCACTTTTGGTCCCGAGTCCCTATCACTTTGTGTGAAAGTCTACTTTCCTGTTTGAATAAACCCTAGAACATATGCACTGAAGTCAAATTGATTGTTTGATGTCCAATGGTTGGTTTTTTCTGCTCAATGAAGAGCTTAGATGGTGGTTACCTTCTTGATTGGGTATTTAGCAGTTTCAGGGAATAGTGTTCTATAAGTTTCTGACTATACTTTACTGGATTTTCAGGGTTGAGTTTCAGGATGTGCACAGATTGAGCGATGGCCAAGTTAAGCACTCTCCTGAAGCATTTTACGCTGGTTCCTTATGGAAGGTTTGAAAGAAGTGTTTTTCTTTCTGTTGGTCCTATTATTATGACTCTATGATTTCGAATTGAAATTGATGAATAAAATTTGGTGTTTTTGTATGTTGAATCTCATAGGTTACTGTTCAGGCTTTTAGTGATGAAGATCTTCAAGGACGTCGAACTCTTGGTATTTTCCTAAATCTGTTTATCTTATTATAATGCCTTTAATCTTTGCTATCTTGAGTGATCTTCTTGCCATTATCATCGATCATTCAGGGCTGTTTCTTCATAGGCGGAAGGCAGAGATCTGTGATCCACTGAGGAAGGTACTTTAGATTGATATTTTGTTATTCCTAATGCACTTTGCACTGCTAACACAGAATACCTTGATTTTTATAACCCATTTTCACAGAAACTGGTTCTTGATCAGTATTGTAGATAATTTCACCAAATAATGAAGTTATTAAATTTAGCTTCTCACCTTGAAAAGCCATTCTCCTTGATGATTGTGTTGTGATGAAACAGAATTCTTCGTTGAAATATTAAAATCAAAGTTGTCATAATACAAAAAAACGAAAATGGATCAAGACATGGCTGATTTTGAAACTGTATCGGAATCTGTTGTTCTAGTAATTGAGACAACACAAACAAATTTTCTGGGAATCAGTTCTTCATTTCTAAGGGAACAAACTCTTAGCTATATAATGGTGTCTTATACGCCATATGCCTTTCCTTTTCTTGTTTTTTGGTTCATGAAATATCATGTATTCTTATATTCTACCTTTCATTGCAGGTTCAGTATGTCGACTCCAGGGAAAAGGTTACTGCTCGATATCAGGTAAACCTCAATTCCATTGACAATTTGTCAATGTTACCAAATTATCACACCTACGATTTACTAGTCATCACACTAAGTTAACTAATTGCTTTGCTTCCAGTTGATATGTCCATCAAAACGCGAAGTGATGGTTTTCGGAAGCTATAAGCAAACAGGCACACTTCTCCCAAAAGCCCCCAAGGGATGGGGCTGGCGAACAGCCTTGTTATTCGATGAACTTGGCGATCTTCTACAGAATGGTGCCCTTCGAGTTGCTGCTGTCGTTCAGCTTATCTGATCACTTCTCCGAGGTAACCCTTTCAACTCTTCACGCCGTAGCTGTTGCAAATTCACCAAAACATTTATTTATTTCATATTTCATGATTCAGGAATTGAAGCTGAACCTGATTTTTGCTACCTGAGTCATATGAACAGTTAGATCTACCCCCTACCCTACCCCTTAAGTCATATGTTGTGTTTTACATGTTCATCTCAAGTACATACATAATTCCTACTGATTTTGCAATGTTTTCCCAAAGTATGTACATAATCATATTACTCATCAAAATGATTTCTATCCAACACTAGATTTTGGGGAGGCAATTTTATAATTTATTGATGTAATTTATATATCTGCAAAAGAATGAAGGCAGCAGCATTACTGTGCATGACCATAGTCAATCAGTGCAATAACATGTGTAATGATTGTCTAATGATTCATATATCATTGATGTTTAGTAGGATCTTAAAATGTTTTGTCCACATACCATTAGTTGGCCACTTAGATTTGACTTTTCTGGTTTGTTTTTTATTTTGAAATTTTTGTAAGTCCATAACTCGGTCATGATGTTTTGATTTCTGTGTTTTCATTTTCACGGTACAGAAAATATCACATTAAATACTATTTTTAAGTATGACAAACACGAAAGAACGAACGTTATACTTTCTGAAGGCGAAATAGAATTGCTTGCACTTCACTCTTAGTACGACTAATGTTTTCCAATGTTATGATGACATGCGTGGTTTGTCGACTATCATGAGTCGAGACAAAAAAACATGTCTTTATCGAGGGCTAGGCCGGCCAAGGCCATGTAATAAGAAAAACCCAAGATTCTTATGTCCAAAAGAAACCATCCAAGCTAACTATAGCATGGGGCACAAGTATATATGTATATATAGGTACTACCGTGCTGATTAGTCCTAATCAATATTTATAATTAACACACATTAGATTTGATTTCGGTACAAAGTTATATGTCAACAGTCATATGAGTATATGATAATAGTTCATATATCACTTTGATTAATCTGATCATCACCCTAACCATTCCCACGAATATATATATATATATATATAATAATCATAATGAGATGAACAAGACAATAAATGTTGTAAAGAATGGTTCCCATCACAATGCTGCCAAAAATCTTTGCAGTTGCTCTAATAATATATCTATTTTCATCACAATGATGAATGTGTGCCAATCTGTTCTTTATTTTTAAGTCCAAAAATATGATCTTTCCAATGCTTATGGTCTCTCTTCACTCTTTCAGTATGATCATATGAGTTTCTAAGTATATTCTTCACAGATTTCATAGTTTGCTTTGTAGAATTCTTTCTGTTTTTAAGCCTTTCTGTGTTTAGATTCATCTGAATTTCTGAATTCTTGTTCTTTAAACATGGCTTCTTCTGAATTTCTCACCGTCGGTGAATCTCCCGACGATCTAAATTTGGTTGCGCTTATGCTACGCCAGCTCGAATTCATTTTTCTCTCCCCGTGTTCAGAAAGGATTATGTCTTCTGCTATCGACTGTGTTTTTTTATTTACCGTAATTGCGTTTGCGATGAAGAGCGTATGCTCTAGATTCGTTCTTGATCGAAATTCCAGATCTTCGGTCCTTCGCAAGCCCCTCCTTAGCGACGAAAAATCTGGTTTTCGAATCAGTCTATGGTTTAAAGTTTCATTTGGAGTAGTTGCTCTGTTATCTTTTGCATATGTTGTTCTTACCATAGCGGCATTGAGCCGAGGCATAGGATCATTGCAATGGAGTTTAGTCGAGATTTTGTTTCGATTGTTTCGAGCAGCAGCCAATCTGTTAGTTCTGTTTCTTATAGCTCGGGAGAAACGAGTCGGCGCCGTTTCTCATTCGATACCCCTTAGAACGTATTGGGTAGCGAGCTTTGTCGTTGTGTGTTTCTTCTTCAGTGCAGCTCTCTTTCGAGTAATCTCTAACGATCAAAATGTCGTGCCTAATCTGAAAGTTGATGATCTCGTCGCCTTGGCGAGCTTCCCATTGTATGTTTTCCTGTTTATCGTCGCTCTCAAAGGATCTTCGGGGATCAGTTCGATTATCAAAGACAACGGCGACGTTGATTCGAATATCAGTAACTACGCAACGGCGTCGTTATTGTCCCGAGCGACATGGCATTGGATGAATCCGATTCTCCGCAAAGGCTACGAGTCCCCTCTAAAAATCGACGAAGTTCCCTCGCTTCCATCCGATCATCAAGCGAAGCGAATGTCTGAAAGTTTCGAGCTACATTGGCCTAAGCCTTCGGAAAACTCGAAGAACCCTGTAAGAGCGATGCTTCTTCGATGTTTCTGGAAGGATCTCGTCTTCACCGGCGTTCTCGCAGTTGTACGTTTGTCTGTAATGTACATCGGTCCGGTCTTGATCGAAAGCTTCGTCAGTTTCAGCTCCGGCGACAGAAGTAATCTGTACCGAGGCTTTTGTCTGGTTTCGATACTCTTCGTTGCAAAGATCGTCGAAGTTCTTACATCGCATCAGTTCAATTTTTTGTCGCAGAAGCTCGGGATGCTTATTCGATCGACTCTGATCACCGCTCTATACAAGAAAGGCCTCCGATTGTCGTCGTCGTCGAGACAGGCTCATGGATTAGGACAGATTGTGAACTACATGGCCGTAGATTGTCAGCAGCTCGCGGACTTAGTGTATCAGCTGCATACTCTGTGGATGATGCCGTTTCAAGTCGGCATCGCGCTCCTGCTGCTCTACGTGTACCTCGGAGTCTCCGTAATCGTCTCGTTGGCTGCCGTCATCGGCGTAATGTTCTTGACATTGTTGATAACGCGCAAGAATCGATTGTTTCAGTTCAATGTGATGAAGAATCGCGACTCGAGGATGAAGGCGACGACGGAATTTCTCAACAACGTCCGCGTGATCAAGTTCCACGGCTGGGAAGAACATTTCGGGTCGAAAATCCGGGCGGCGCGGCGAATGGAGTTCGATTGGCTCGGGAAATTTATGTACGCGATTTCGGGGAACTTGGTTCTTCTTTGGAGCATCCCTCTTGCGATCGCAGCGCTTACTTTCGGTGTCGCGACGATGATCGGAGTACCTCTTGACGCTGCGACGGTGTTCACGGCGACGTCGGTGTTCAAGATCTTGCAAGAACCGATTCAGAACTTCCCGCAGACGCTCATCGCAATATCGCAGGCTGTCGTGTCCTTGGGACGTTTGGATGGCTATCTAACAAGCTGTGAATTGGACGACGAAGCTGTCGAGAGAGACGACGGGCGCGATGATGGGACCGCGATCGAGTTTAAAGATGGCGTTTTTGCGTGGGGCGACGAAGGGGGACAATGTGTTCTTGAGGGTATAAGTTTCGAGATCAAGAAAGGTGAGCTTGCGGCTGTCGTTGGCACCGTTGGATCGGGGAAATCGTCGTTGCTCGCCGCAATTCTCGGCGAGCTTCACAAAGCTTCGGGAAAGGTACATTGCAATGGCTTTGAATCGATCATTTGTTGGATTGGCTTTTCAAATAAGTTTTAGACAAAAACAACACTTAATACCTGTTTTTATTTGGCAGAAAAATCAGCTTTTGAAACTAAAAAATGCAAAAGCACTATTGGATAGCCTCTAAAAAATTATAAAAATTTGCTTTTATAACGTACAAAATCAAACTGCTTTTGGTTTCTGATATGTTTTTTTGTTGTCTATGAAGGTTAGAGTTTTCGGGACGACGGCGTATGTAGCGCAAGCATCGTGGATACAGAACGCGACGATTCGAGAAAACATCCTCTTTGGTTCGCCGATGGACGAGGAGAAGTACAATGATGTAATAAGAGTGTGTTGTCTCGAGAAGGATTTGGCGATGTTAGAACACGGCGATCGAACAGAAATCGGCGAGCGTGGAATCAACCTCAGCGGCGGACAAAAGCAACGGATACAGCTCGCGAGAGCTGTGTATCAAGACTGCGATATCTATCTTCTCGACGATATCTTTAGCGCAGTCGATGCTCACACTGGGGCTGAAATATTTAAGGTTAGTACAAAACTTTTACATGATCATTACAGTTATACGGCGAAAACCTGTTAACGAGACGGGTTCTTCGCAGGAATGCGTAAGGGGAGCTCTCAAGGATAAAACGATATTACTCGTTACTCATCAAGTCGACTTCCTACACAACGCCGATCTTATATTGGTAAGAAAAGCATTGCAATATCTCCTGCCATATTAAATAATCATCTCACCTAAAAATTTAATCTTAAACGAAAACGCATTGTTTATTTATTTATTTATTACAGAGTCAACAAACACGATAACATGGGACATACTGATACCATGTTAAATGACCGTCTCAACTAAAAAGTTAAATTGTTGAACTTCACTAATGTCTGTGTTGTCTAATACCATGTTATAACCGTCTCAACTAAAAGTTAAAACTTTTAAACTTCACTAATGTATGTGTTGTTTGATACTATATTAAATGACGGTCTCAACTAAAAGTTGAAACTGTTGAACTTCTGTGTTGTTATATGAAAGGTATTGCGCGACGGGAGAATTGTGCAGTCGGGGAAGTACGACGAGCTTCGACAATCAACGATCGACTTCGGCGCACTTGTCGTCGCTCACGAAACCTCCGTGGGACTAGTCGAAACGAGCTCAACTGTTTCGAGCACAGATGCTGGACAAGATGTCGAATCTTCTTACAAACAAGTTCCAACGTCTACGCTGCCAAATGTTTCTGTCCAAAATGAGGTTAATGGCGAGCGAGGCGCATCGAAGAGTAACTCGAAGCTCATCAAAGATGAAGAGAGGGAGACGGGACGAGTCAGTCTTCGCGTGTATAAGGAATACTGCACCGAGTTGTACGGATGGTCGGGAGTCGCAGCCGTTATCATTACGTCGATACTATGGCAGGCGTCGCAAATGTCGAGCGACTATTGGCTGGCTTACGAGACTTCATCCGAGCATAGCTTCGTCGCCTCTCTGTTTATCGGGATTTACTCGGCGATTGCAGCGATATCATGCGTTTTCTTGGCGGTAAGATCGATCCTCGTCGCGTATCTGGGTCTGAAGATAGGCCAAAGCTTCTTCGACCGGATAACGAACAGCATTCTTCGCGCTCCCATGTCGTTTTTTGACACGACGCCTTCTGGAAGAGTGTTAAGCCGCGTAAGCCTCGCCGTCTTGAACTTTTTTTTCTTTCGTCGTTGTGTCTTCATCGGTGTCTCTTTCGTTCACAGGCATCATCAGACCAAGCGAACATCGACATGTTGATCCCGTTGTACCTGAGCATTTCAATCGTGATGTACATTTCGTTGCTCGGAATTTTGATCATGACATGTCAATCGGCGTGGCCTACGATCTTGCTCGTAATCCCGTTGATATGGCTCAACATTTGGTATCAGGTTCGCGAAATCTTTCGAACTTCATTCTGTTTAATCCGAGTCATTTTCGATCACGATCAACTCTGTCGAATGCAGGGATATTACATAGCGACGTCCCGCGAGCTCACGAGGCTCGACCAAATCACGAAAGCTCCGATCATCCATCATTTCTCTGAAACGATATCCGGTGTTACGACAATTCGAGGCTTCGGGAAGGAGGATCGATTCTTTCAGGAGAACATGGTGAAGGTGAACACGAACTTGACGATGAGCTTCCATAACAGCGCCTCGAACGAGTGGTTGGGATTCCGGTTGGAGCTGATCGGGAGCTTCGTCCTGTGCGTCGCCACCGTCTTCTTGATCTTGTTGCCAACGACCGTCATAAAACCAGGTACAAAACTAGACTTTTTCGATCCGTACCTTTCAATTTGATTCGCGATTCTGATGTTATCCAACCTTCCTTCGATGCTAGAATACGTCGGATTGGCACTTTCTTATGGTTTGCCGCTTAACAGTGTGCTCTACTGGACTGTGTATCTTGGCTCCATCCTGGAGAATAAAATGGTGTCTGTGGAGAGAATAAAGCAGTTCATAAACATACCTTCCGAAGCCGAATGGCGCGGAGAAGATTCTCCGGCGGATTGGCCAAGCCGCGGCGCGATTAAGATTAACGACCTGCAGGTTATCTTCGACACTTACTCGAAATCGAATTCATATCCTTGATAATTAACGAACGGTGAAATGAACTAATGTATCTCCGAGCAGGTCAGGTATCGCGAGAACACTCCGTTAGTACTGAAAGGAATGTCGCTGAGCATCGACGGAGGCGAGAAGATCGGTGTCGTTGGCCGGACGGGAAGTGGGAAGTCGACGCTGATCCAAGTGTTCTTCAGGCTGGTGGAGCCATACGCGGGGAGGATAATGATCGACGGGGTCGATATATGCAAGCTCGGGCTTCACGATCTCAGGTCACAGTTTGGAATCATCCCTCAGGAGCCAGTCTTGTTCGAGGGAACGGTGAGGAGCAACATCGATCCGCTTGGGTTGTATTCCGATGATCAAATATGGAAGGTCTGTCCGGATAATCGATGCTATTTCTCGATCCATATATATATACCGTCATTCTTTGTTGATCCGTTTCTGCGCCTTGTAGAGCCTCGACCGGTGCCAGCTGAAAGAAGTCGTGTCTGCGAAGCCGGAGAAACTCAACTCATCAGGTCAGTGTCAAGATCTCATTTTTCATAAGTAAACTCATAAGGTACCTTTTGTATCGATTGTTCGACCATCACAGTTGTCGACTCCGGCGAGAACTGGAGCGTCGGCCAGCGACAACTACTGTGCTTAGGAAGAGTAATGCTGAAAAGCAGCAGGATTCTGTTCATGGACGAAGCAACGGCGTCGGTCGATTCCCAAACGGACGCAGTCATCCAAAAGATCGTCCGGCAAGACTTCCCCGGCTGCACGATAATCACCGTTGCGCACAGAATCCCGTCTGTCATAAACTGCGACCGAGTCCTAGTCATGGATGACGGTCAGTTCAACAAACATCCTTAAAACATACGCGCACACACACATTAGTACCTTAAGGTTGTCTGAATGGTATCTTTCGACAGGATGGGCTGCCGAGTTCGACAGTCCGGCAAGGCTTCTAGCGCGACCGACGCTGTTCGGAGCATTGGTGAAAGAGTATGCCAACAGATCATCAGGCCTGTAAAAGCAGCTCAAAATCTTCTACAAGGAAAGGGAACTACAGAAATATGTATAAAAAGCATATTCATTAATCAACAGGAGATCCTGTTTTTGCTCAAACAAATGAAATATTGCATAGTCCCAAATTCAATGCACAATATTTCCATCATGTGTTTGTTTTTTGTTTTGTTTTTTTTTTTTTTTTCACAAATACAAACTTCACCAGGTAATTCTGTATGTATACTTGGTGATAAAAGTAAGCTACAATAGGTACAGTAAACAAGAAACATTTTATTTTCACTGGCGCATAAAAGTATCGCTTCAGCGGGGTACCCTCTTTCGACTCAGTATTTCCTGCTCTTTGAGCCGATGCTGGAATCTTGCTAGGCGAGCTTGAAGACTAACCAGGCTAGCTGCTTTGCGCGACAGTACAAAACTCAGTTGTGTAACGTAGTTGTCAATGTGGCTGCCTGGTTGATCGACTTCTGCCAATAGTTTCATTTCCTAATAGGTAATACAAACAAGGCAAAACCCGGTAAGATCTATAATGAACTGATGAGCAATGATTACAATAAGGTCGATACTCTTGAGTAAACTTACTTCACGAACTATCTCCATAGTATCTTCAATCTCTTTTCTGTGGGCTGCAATGAGGGCCTCTTCTTCCTAAGAAAATTCAGGGGGGACAAGATCATGTACACCTCAACGGCTAATTAGAAAAGAAACCAGTTATTGAGAAGAGAAGGCACAACTAACCTCGAGAATCTCATTGACACTTCCATCAGGCATTGGCTCAAGTTCATATTGCTTACTGCCACCAGCACTCGATGCAGTAGAATGGCTGACATTTTGCTGCTTATAATTAGTAGTCGGCATGTCCAAAATATCACTATCCTTCCTTGGACCATTTCCCAGTTTTTCAAGTCGATCTTCCCTATAGGCTTTTTGCCGAGGTGGGGATACTTTCTGTGGCTTCTCCTCTATATTGGATGATGAACTCTGATAGTAACCGACTGGGAGAGTCTTTTGACTGGTAGAACCCCTGGTAGCATTTTTAACATCAAGCCTTTCACGTTCGATTCCACCACCAGCGACCCCACTTTCCTCCCGGCCATTAAGGCTATAATTGGAGAAAAAATTTGCAGGTTGTTTCTCATCATCAGTAGGCATCTTGAAAGAAGTTTCCTTCTCCAGAGCCTTTCTGCTTGACTCTGATACTTTAAGTTCTTGAAGGTGTTCATGAACATCCTCTAGCTCAGCAGCAACAGACGTAGTTGTAGCAGACGATGATTCCTTTCCGTTAGGAGGTAAACTATTCTGATCCTTCCTCGGATTCCCACTTTTCGAAAGACTCTTAACCCTGTCAAAGGTAGCAATCTCTTAGATTAGGCGACATAAAGAGCGGAAAAGACAAAAAGAAACTGCTAGAATTAATGTATTTCTACCTATCGGCATATCTCAAAGTATTAAGTGTATGCTCGCATGAACCAGCATTTGGAGAAATGCAAGAGATCATAACAGTCTTTGAATTGCCAACAAAGGAATCACGAAGAACCTCCGTAAGTTTGCTTCCACGGAATGGTATATGAAGTTGATCGTTATCCAGAGCGCGTATACACTCCTTGAGTGCGAGTAGACTTTTGTTGATTTCTGCTCCTTCAATTCTGCACAACCAAAAAAACATTTACATATGAAACTGCTAAAAACAAATAGGCTCATCAAGAGGAAGTCAACGCAAAAAGGCCATTCACTCAAGTAACAAAAAGCTCTACTCAGACAGGGTCTAAGTGGCGAGGAACTGAAGTTGAAATGATTTTTACTGATAAATGGAATAAACCAGGTATTACTTCTAATGCTGTCAGTCGATATCCACCAGGCACAGGGAATATCTACAGGGCAAACTCGAAAATTCCTTTATCCCATGATTCTTTCGAATACAAAAGATAAACTCCAACTCATCAGAATCTTTGAACAGGATATAAGATCAAACCAAGGATCTTTAACTTCAACTTTGATTGGGTGGTTGTTATACTTTCAATTCACGTATCAGAAAACTAAAGTATTTCCTACTCGGATGTAGGGATAGAGATTTCCTCAGGATCTAGTATGCCAGAGTGCAAAATACATACATGATTTGAAACTAACAGCATGAACTGTAATAATGAAGGGTGGCAAGTTGTGGAACAATCAGATTAAGCACATAATGCATCTAAAGCTCAACTGTTCCGACTGTTTTAGGTATAAAATACAGAAACTCCATCTTTTAGAATGTTATATTTAAGTATGAAGTAACTAACAAGTTGTGGGACAATCAAAATTGCTGCATATTCAATTAAAATCCACTCAGCAAAGAATTATTATAACTAATGGAATGTGACAAGGCAACAGAGATAACAGGTAACAAAAATAAATATAATCTTTTTTAACTTTCCTAACCAAACCAAGGCAGTTTGCAAATCATAGAAGCCATTCTCTACAAATAACAGCAAAATTGAATACCGTGTCTGTCGATCATTATCGGTAGTATCAGCACCTCTCTCACTACCTGCCAGATCAATAAAAGATATTTTTCCAACAACCTTCCCACTCCTGGATTCATTTGCATCATTTGCATTATTATTCCTCCGAGATTCTTTCACCTCAGGATGTTTCTTCACAACTAATTGCAATATCGCATGTGATCTTGAAGATTCTTCATTAGCACCAGTAGATCCGGTGCTTCTAGCTGCATTTCCCTTCTCAATATATTCTTTCACAATATGCACATCGGAGACTTCAAATTCCTGCAACCCTACAATACAAACTTGTTGTCTTCCATCTTCTCGCATGCATAGCTTCCTAAACAAGAGAATTCCAACATGAGTTCAGAAGAAATATCGTAATTGATTAATACAAACAAATAGCATATTAATTTTTGCATATCCCATGATAAGATCTAGCATGTGAGAATAATTATGTAAAGAGTTCTTTTGCTAACACAATATGCATTTGATAAACTAAGTTGTTGGATAATAAATATCCAAACATAATGGTTGACAGGCATAACTACTACAATCTTTCAAAGTTCAATACAAAGAAAACAGGTCAGAATATTAACTTTCTGTCGCTGAGAAGATCAAAAAGTTTTCCCCCATATATCTCAAAATAGCTAAGCCATAGCTTGAATCTTTGATTCCGATATGTTGCTTTATTTAAATGTTTGACAAGGTCTTCTGCTGCCCTGAGAGGTAACGGCTGCATGGTGTACGTCTTTCCACTCCCTGGTAATAAAAAAGAAGCAATGTTATTTCAGCTGTGGAAAGCATTTTTTAGGATCTAACACACGTAAACATGCAACAGTCTGTCAAACAAAGTTGTCTCAGTTAAGTACTTTAGGCTGCGTGAGTTAAATAAAACTGCACAAAAAAATTTATTCTTGAGTCACGAACAACCCCATACTTGGATGAGATCATTATGAAAGCTCAAAGATGTTCAGTAGCAGCACTATGACATATGCTTTCTCTCTCTCTTTATACTAGAGAAGAGTATAGACTTGAACGTGGGATCACCCTCCTGGTGCCAAATCATATAAGAATGATCAAATAAGCATATCCCAGTGACTCCCACCTACGCTTGAGCTATTAGCAGCATGCATCATTTTGTAGTGATTATATTTAATTCTTCCAAGTGTTGCATGTGAGATGCTGATGAATTTTGAGGTAGGTGGATTAAAAAATTTCAAATATAGAGAATTAGTGGGAAATAAATACCATGATGCCAATGAAAATGAAATACTGTAGAACAAAATTTTAGTGGTGGACAAAAAGTTATATTAACACATGACACAAGTGTTCCTTGGCTGTTGCATGCAGCTCGTCCCGAGACCATGTGGTAGATCAAATTTATATGACTGCAATGTAACGAAATAATGATTTTAGAAAGTGAAAGGATGGCAAACCTGTCTGCCCGTATGCAAAACATGTTGCCTTGGTACGTTGAAAAATGGTGGGTATAATTGGCTCCACAGTAGTACGATATACCTGATTAGACATGAAGAAAATCTAATAGATGCCGAAAAACAGCAAAGAACAAAGGAATTTTACAATGTCAACACAGTCAATAAAGATAAACTTGAGTGTTTAGAGAGAATTGGAATTATGAATATGAGACTTAGTATGAAATATTGGATGGATACATGAAAGTTCTTGAGCAGAACTTAGAGGAAAGGTATTACCTCATCATTTGTCACATACTCATCTAGAACTGCATCAAAGCAGAACTCATGTTTCTCCACATATGCAGTCAGGTCAACCTTCATCATAATAACCAAATTTGAGTTTTTCAACATTGGAAAATTGAAGGCTATTTGTGAATTAAATATAAGATTTTCATGATGCTAAGATTATTTTATGACCTTCAATTTGGGCTCATGAACAGTCAAGTAGGCATCATTGGAGACGGTCACTATATCATCCTCTTTCCGACCAATTTCTTTCTTGTTCAAAGGCCTCTTCCTCACCTGAAGAAACAGAGATAAACAATTATTTCTCATTTCATTGTTAAATCACTTGAACATCACATATTTGCAAATAATCCACAAGAATAGAAAAATGCAACATACCACAACTTTAATCTTCGCCACATTATTTTCCCTTGCACTGTTTTCTTTATCATTAACCGCCAGTCCAGCAGGTGTTTCAGTATCCGACTGTCCTCTCTGCTGCCTGCCGGTTGGCTCTTCAAGGTCACCTTCAAAGGCTTTGGTCAGAGCAGGCATGAAAGGCGATGGCTCAAACGGTTCTGTGATAACATGCTGAAAATGAAAATTAAATAATTAATTGCTCTCAATGGTAAAATTTCACAAGTTTTTATGTGTAGGTAAGTAAAATTTCCAAGTCATTGGAGATTGTTACGCACATCGGATAAGAGCTCTGTGTCATCCATAGAATGCAAATCCAACAGTCCAGCTCCAAAATCACCCCTAAATTCAGGAGAGTAAAACCCATCCGACGGAGCAAATGCACCAGAACTTTGGGCACTTGGAGTATAAGGCTCGGACACAGCTTCACCATTAAAGTTGAGATTCCTCATTAATTTGAAAAGCCTTTGTTTCTCTTCTGCAGATTGCGGCCCATAACCCTTCACGCATCATCAATTTCCCCGATTAATCATGGATTCAAAGGCCAATAAACAAAAGAAAACAATACAATAGCACTTCCACCGATCCCCCCTCATCGTGCAAAAACGAAAAGCATCAGCATCCAAGTAATATCCTTAACTGGCCATAACATAGTGTTTTAAAAATCAGTTCAAAGCTTATGCTCTTCATCTTCTCCGATCATATATATACAAACTGCCTCTAATCCAACAATAGTTTCAGTAATTGCAATTCACATTCTATATTGTGCATCAATCCTATACTACCTAATCCAAAGCTTATACATAAATCAGAGTGAGGAAACATTTCCAAACAAAAGTTTACCTGCATCAGGAGGTTAGGGAGCATACGATTATCAACAGCATTAGACGCCATTGGAGAGGCCAGATGCTGCAGCCCTGCAGACTGGAGCCACCGCGCCATCACGGCATCCCCCGCATCTCCACCGGACACACCTGGTCCTGCATTCTCGTAGAGAGCGGTTGCCGCAGCCGCGCTGCTCTGCTGCATCTGGCCACCCACGTGGCGCATCGATCTCTTTTGAGGAGCCAACTTCGAGATCTACTTCTTCCACACTTGAACATAAATCACAACATAACAAAACGTTCAATCAATCGACAAAAACTATCCAACAAACCCAACCAACAAACAGAAATCCCAATCACCAACGGAAGAACCCAAAACGGGGCAAAGCTTGCAAAACAAAGAAAACGCACCGAAAGAACACCCAAAAATCCCCAAATCAACACTGCGCATTCAAATCAAAAAAAAAAAATGAAGCAAGCACCGCAAACAAATCCCACCGATAAATTCCAAATTCCCAATTCCTAATTCCACATTACCCTAATAGAACAACCACCCAAACAAATGCCGCCAAAAATTCCCCATCAAACACAAAACAGAAACAAGAAACTCGCATCTCCGTACCTGAATCAAAATCACATAACCCCGAAATGCGGACAGATCTGAGAGATCACCAGAAAACCACGGCCGGCCAAAAGCAAATCCGCAACGTTCTTGAGATTGCTTGAGAGAGTGGATTGGAGCGTGAGGCAATGATGAATATACATGCGCCTGCCTGTATCTATGTATCTATGTGCATATACGAATGAACGCCCATTTTCGCTTTGCTTTGCTTTTTTACACGCAAAATATATTTATTAAATATATATAATCTTATTACCCTTAATAATTAATGGCTGGTGTAATTTTTTGAAAAATAAAACTGATTAAACGGCTCGTATGAAAATTAGCGACATGACATTTCTACCCTTCCATGCTAATTTAAATTAATTATAAATAATATCTAGTTTAAAAAATAAAACTTCCTTGGGAATGAGTGGATAACTGCTTTCCCGTAATTATAAATTTAAACTGAAAATAGGTAAATAAATATTTATTTGGTAATTATTTGGGGGAATTGCTAATTACTAATTAGAAACACTATCCAATCACGAATAAGAAAGGCCAATAATTTAATAACTATTTGAGCCAAACTGCACTTCCTATTTTCCATTATTTGATTTTGACACCGTTTGAGCGTTTTTTTGCTACATAATTATTCTATTTTATTTTAATAAATATTATATTTAATAAATTTTTTTTATTTTTTAATATTGTATATTTTTATGATTAAAAAAGTTAATAGATAGGATAAAATATTTATAGTAATTTTTCTTTACAATAAAATGATATAGAGAAAATTAGATTAGGACAACGGAATAATCCATTTAATTTTGTATAATTTTTTTGGTAATATATATCATAGGGTGTGTTTATTCGGGGGTCTGGATTTTGAATTGAGATTTGAAGAGTAAAAGTTTTGAATTTGAATAATTGTATGATGTAATATAAATAGTTGTTGACGTGATGTTTTGAATGTAAAATTGATTTTTAATATAATATAGAAAATGAAAAATAGATATTTGTTTTAGAGGAAAAAATGAAATGAATAATGTACTTAAAACTCAATTCCCAAACAAACACACCCTTAGCATCAAATACTATTCTTATTAGGTATAAATTTTGTTTTTTTTTTTTTTAAGAAAAAGGGTATCTTTCCTCATTGAAAAGGGGCACCCGAAACGTTAGGTGAAATAAACTCTTATCACTAAAAAAAATATAAATATAAATACATATAAAAGATTACTACATAGTAAAAAGTACTAATAATTAAAACACAACTAATTTAAAGAGTTTTTACTTGCATATATTAATATATATATATATAGTAGTGTTTGGTCTTTAATAAGATAATGATTGAATATGATTTTAAATATAAATATAAATATATGTGAAAATTGAATAGTAAGATTATTGAACATATATATATATAAGATAAAATAATGCATTTGATTTTATATTTGTATTTTAAATAATAAATTGATGTTGACATTATTAAGGATTCCTATAGAAATAGTAGAAACTACACAGTAAAGATCAAAAATAAAAAATTAATCCAAAAGTGAACGAAGTTAAAAAGAAAAAATAAATGTTAATGCATTATTTATATTATAAAAATTTTATTATATAAATTGGAAAGAAAGAAGGGAAAAAAAAAAAAAAAAAAAAAGAATGCTGCTTTTGCATAGTGGGGAGGCGGCAATATAACCATGAAATGACATTTATACCCTTGTGACTGTCATAATATAATTAAGGCGGCAATATTACCCGTGAAATGACATTTATACCCCTTGTGACTGTACATAATGTCATTAAATCAATGGGTCGGGTTATAATTCAGATCATCTTCCAAATGGCAGTACAGAGCGTAGAGAATTCTTGGGAGCTCCATGGAGCACAGGTCTCAGATGATGGCACAACATTGATCGTAGGTTTTGGTCTGGAATGGGGAGGAGTTGAGGTCCCGGGATCTCCGCCGCGAAATTGGGGTGTCTAGCAGAGGTGACAAGAATGCTTGTCCAATGTGCACAGAAATTCTTGAATTGCATTGGATTCTGCTACTGCTGCTGCTGATTGAGACACAAAATGAACAGATTCTGGATTCTTTTGCTGGATATGATATGTTTGTTAAGTGGGCTGACTTATCTTTAAAAAAAAAAAAACAAAAATGGATTTGATTGATTCCATGTGGGCAGTGGTGAAAAATCAAGAATGAGGTCAAGTGCCCTTTAGCAAAAGGATCATCCTCTTGTTCATGAATCCTGCATCACACATTCCTTGTTCTTGGATCATATACATAATACATATACATATATATATATATATGCATTTATTGAGGGTAGGGTAGAGAGAGAGAGGGGGGGGAGAGAGAGACTAGAAGGCCCTCCTTATTATTGCTTGAAAGATACATAAAACCATCTTCACATTGTCATGACAGTTAGCAAACATTTAGGATGGAGAAATTTTGTCACCATTCTACTATACACTTGCACTTGATAGTAGGGTAGAAAATAAGTTCATCACCTAGTCATTTGTCGGAAATAAGGTATGAGATCCCGTCCTAATTGTCATTCATTTGATCGATCTTGTTAATTCAATAATGATCAAGAACGACGTGTAACAAAAATGTGCCTTTGTTTCTAATCGAACCATTATAATCTAGGATACTAATTAGTCTAATTTGCCTATCATGTATAAAATGACAATATATGTTAACAGTCTATATGTGGCAAAATATTAAATAAATGTAATGTATGATCCATCAAAAGATTGTATAAGACTGTTGTTATTGGATTGATTTAAAAAATTTAATGTAATATTGACAACAATAAACAACACATAAGGTCTTAAATAAAAATACCTAATTGTGTCTTAAATATATTGAATTTCACGTGTTGAAATCAATTGTAAATTGTGTTGTTTTGACTATGCAAATATTATTTGTTTTATATTAATATAATACAAATATTATATATATATATGTGATATATTCACACACATCATATTATATATAAATAACACAAAATATAAATACAAAAAAAACATAGAATGTTAAATAAAAATAAATAATGTATTGTATAATGCAATTCATAAATTGAAATCAATTTTGGATTATATTATTATCCATTCTATTCTATGTTAATATAATATAAATGTAATATATGCCATAAATGTAATAGCAAAAGATGCTACCATCTTCAATTCATTTTAAGACATGAAATACATTGATATAACTACTTATTTTTAATTAATATATCATGTTCATAAAAATTTGTAGTATTATTATTTTGTTAGAGATTACTTAAAAATTGAAAATTTCAGTTATGTTTAGATAGAAAGTTTTTTGAAATTTTAATTATTTTTTAAAAAATTTAAAATTATATTAACTTTAATATTTTTAAGTAAAAAAAATTATATTTGATGTGATATTTTTACAAAAATTAATAGTATTGAAAAATAATTTTGTAAACAAAGCCTCCATTCAAAACCTAATTCCAACTTTATCCTAATAAATTCCCAATCATTAGCTTTAATTAGGAATATCGGAATTAAAAACTAATAAAAGATAAGTGAAACGACAGCGTTTCAACTGGGTTTGAATTTTAAAGCGGGAGAATGACAAAATTGAATGGCTGCCTGTCTCCATTTCCGTTTCCCATCGACTCGCCGTCGCCGAGAAGAATCGCCTCCCTCGGTTCAACCATGGACGAAATTGTGGCTCGAATTGTTTCAGATCTCGAAGCTCAGGTACCGCTATCGTTGTCTTTTTTTGAAGATTTTGAATCTTTGTTGGATTACAGTCGCAGGACTTGTGACCCAATTGATCTGGAAAATCTCTACAATGAACTATCTGCGAGGAATCTTTCACTCATTTCACTCGTCAATGCAATTTCTTCAAGCATGGATTCTAGCCTCAGCTGTAGAAATCCTATTTTGGCGTCGAAAGTATATCAATTGCTTCTTTTGTCTCCAAATTCCCCTGTTTTCACTTTGTTTACTCCCATGGCTTTTCTCAACCTTCATCGCGTAATACGTTTGGCCGTTAAACACCGTTCTTTGGTTTCGAAAGATGGGAGTCGACCTAAGAAAGCAAGGAGGAATGTTGGTGGAAAAGACAAAAGGGTGGGGAATGTAGAAACGGTGGACAACGATGGGGAAGAGGGAAGTTATGATGTCAAAGATTTGTTCTGTTTGCTCGAGCTATTGGAACAGGTGCTGCATTTAGTGCATTTAGACCGCTTTTCGGATTGCTTAAAGGCTTTGGTTCAGACAATATCCGAGATTACAATGAATGCTGCAGAGCTTTGGGAAAATTTGGGGAATTTCAATAAGTTATGTAGGTTGTGTTCACAGATTTTGCTTGAAATATTGAAAGCTGAGCATGGAATCCAGGGTGATACTGCTGCTGAGGTTTTGAAGGCATTGGCACCCCTTATCTTGTCGTCTAAACAGCCTTTAAGAAGCTTTGCTTTAGATTTTGTTAGGAATTGTGTAGTTGGGATTGGTAAAAGTTCTGATGACATTATGAAAGCGGTTGCAAACATGCCAAAGTATTTGGTTTGGAAGGCTCCAGAAAAGGCTGAACACAGGGCTTTTTCAGTTAACTCCATCATGGAGATTGTTAAGGCTTTGGATTTTGAGTATCAGGCAGAGTTTGCTGATTATGTCGTAAAGTTGAGCCAAGGAAAGGGTCAAGTTAGGCTTTTATCAGTGGATTTGATTGTTGCTTTCTTGACAACTCTTAGCGGTCCTTTTGGATTTGAGATGGTTGATGGAGATGAAAATCCATGGGGTTTCAGGTTGTTAAAGGCGCTTATTCAACGTTGCTCGGATTACACAGCAGTGGTTAGAGCTAGAGCTTTATCAAATTTAGCTCAGGCGGTGACACATTTGTCTGAGAATGATAAAAGTAGAACTGTAGTGAAAGAAATCATTGAAGTTGGGATTGAGGATATTGGTGGTGTTAACAAATTTCTTAAGCTACGGTGTATGGATGAGAAGGCTGCTGTCAGAAAAGCCGCACTTTTTCTTATATCAAAGTTAACATCGCTTTTAGGAGGTGAACTCGATGAAGAACTGTTAAAGACTGTTGGCATGTGTGGCTCTGATCCACTTGTTAGCATTAGGAAAGTGGCAATCTCAGCTCTATCTGAGGTGAAATCTATTTAGTATACACTACTTATATTGAGTTATTTCCTTCTTGCATTCTAGTTTTGCTTATATTCCTTATTTAGTTTTCCTGTAGTGTAACTGAATTTTTCTGTGGTTTCATTCACCAAAGTCAAGCTGCTTGTGAACTGCAGGCCTTTAGGAAGCATTCAAGTCAAGCTGTGATCAAGGAGTGGATGCACTCCATTCCACGTTTAATAACTGATAACGAAACTAGCATCCAAGAAGAATGTGAGAACCTCTTTCTAGAATTGGTACTTGACCGTGTATCGCAGGCTGGATCTAGATCAGGACATTATGATTCTTTTCCTGGTGATATGCATAGCAAGAGCAGTGATTCAGATTTGCGATGTGAGCTATACCCTGAAGGAGTTCTAGGACTGCTTAAAGAGATTTTTCATGAAGAGGTATCACCTTGGGTGAAGAAAATCTGCTCAAGCCTAGGGAAAAAGAAGAAGCTCAAGACAAAAATTGCTACAGCACTTCAGAATATCATCAGAACATCTGAATCTCAGTGGCTGAACCATTCCATGGCCATAGAGAAGTGGACAGCACCTCCTGGTGCCTGGTTTTTGCTGTCAGAGGTATCTGCATTCCTTTCAAAATCCATCGATTGGGAGTTCCTCCATCATCATTGGCAGCTTCTTGACAAGTATAAACCCCCTGGCGATCATCCAACTGCTTCTGGAAAGGGGTATATTGATGACGAAATGGTTGATGCAGAATTTAGTTCTGTTGCTTGGGTTACTGATCGTGTATATCTCCTACAAACAATTTCTAATGTTTCCATGGTGCTACCTCCTGAACCAGCAGCCGAGCTAGCCCAAAACTTCCTTTCACGACTTGAAGCATTCAACATGCATTCGACCGAGGTACATATATAGATGTTGGAGTTCATATTGTGTAGCCAATCATTGTTTACGTTAATAAAGCATCGTAATTTGTTTTATGCTCATGATTTTGAATTTTCCTTGCACCAGGTTAATGCTCATGTAAAAGCACTCAAAACCTTATGCATGCGAAAGGCCTTAAATCCGGAGGAGGCTGATATGCTCGTCATGAGATGGGTGAATCAACTTCTTTCTAAAGCTTCCCAAGTCTTGGAAGCGTACATGTCGAAAATCTCCGATGCTAGTAAGGACAGGTCTCTTTTTACACCACAGACAGCTCCAAGTTGTATAGAATCAAAATTGTTAGCACAAGCAATTAGTGCCGTGTACACAATTGGGTCACTAGTTATTGCCTGTCAATCGATAAATTTGAATACTGTGGTTCCAGCCATACATGCCATCATCACTTCAGGAAGTTCTAACCGAAAGTCAACTAAAATATCTGGGCCTGTAGTGCCTGTAAAGCAGGTTGCTCCGCCCCTGTATATACAAGCATGGCTAACTATGGGTAAGATTTGCCTATCTGATGGGAAACTAGCAAAGCGATACCTTCCTCTTTTTGTGCAGGTACTTTTCAAACTCGCCGTCATTTTCCTCTGGAAATTTACTTGATCATAACTAGTAGCCATCAATGCTTCCATCACAATGTTTCACAGATAAGAACAAGTCATTAAACACATTGACCATTGTTATTTGTTCAATTATTAACAGAAGATATCTATTGTGCAGGAGCTCGAAACGAGCAGCTGTGCTGCCCTTCGAAACAATATTGTTGTAATGATGCAAGATTTCTGTGTGAGATACACTGCCATGGTTGACTGGTGAGCCCAGAGAATGGTGAAACTAGTAGTAAATTCATTTGTTCTTTGTAGGATCTTAACATCTACTTTTGATGATGCCCTACAGTTATCTGCCAAAGATCACAAAATGCCTCCAGGATCCATGTGAACCTGTACGAAGGCAGACGTTTATACAACTGTCCAGGTTATTACAGGTACATTTTTGTTGACCAGAAAGCAGTTTACAGTTATTACAGAGGATCAGTGATATGGTGTCATCAGATTTGACTCTGTTTCTTCTGCAGCGTGACTATGTGAAGTGGAGAGGAGTGCTTTTCTTCAGGTTTCTAATATGTTTAGTCGATGAATCCGAGAAAATTCGTCAATTGGCTGATTTTGTCTTTGGAAATATCTTAAAAGGTTCAAACTTGAACATGCAAGTGTTGTTTGCCTATCATTGATCTTCCGTAACTTTTGTTCTCTGTGAAATTTTCTGCAGCAAAGGCTCCACTTTTAGCTTACAACAGCTTTGTGGAATCCATTTTCGTTCTGAATGACTGCAATGCACATACAGGACGGAGTAACTCCAATAGCTCACGAAGTGAAAACCGTCTTTTTACATTAAGGTTTGCTTGATTCCTTTGTCTGCCATGGCTCTAACATAACTACATTACTACAGCTCATCATACATGAAATTGGGCGTGTCTTTCACAGAGGAAACAACGAGAAATCAAGGTCGCAAAGAATGCACATCTACTCGACTTTGCTGAAAGAAATGGCTCCTGAGCACCTGCTGACTACCTTTGCAAAAGTATGCACCGAAGTTCTTGGTGCTGCATCCGATGGCATGCTCTCTATTGAGGACACCACTGGACAATCAGTTCTTCAGGTAACTTTATTCCCATTGCGCTTTGTTTTTATTGAACTTTTTGTATTGAATTTTTGTGTACTTGTTTCTTTATATGTTACATCCTTGGTGAATTGCTGGGTTATATATAATGAATATACTCAAATAGTAACCATCTGATTTAATCTAATAATGTATAGTAGCAAATATATCTCAACAATAGCACTGATTTATTGTTGAGCATAATGAACTTAAAAGGGATGTGTGAAGCTTAACTTGTGAGATGAAACTAGTATATTTTTATAAAAAATTGTAAACATATTTGAAGAATTGAATAGTAGAAGAAAATAAAAAAAGGTTGTCAAATAAACACACCCGGAAGTTGGCATGAATAGATTATATGCTGTTGGCAGTTGGATAGACATGTTATTGAACAATTTAGTTACTTTGGTAGATGTCAATATGCTGTTGTATAAACTAATTATATCCCAAGTTTAGTAACAACATTCACATATGCAAGATTAGATAAAAGGTTTGAAGTTATTAGTGTTTTGGAAAATATAGGGAAAGAAAAAAATTGAGAATGTGATATGCTTATCTTGTGAGAGCGAAAAAAATATTTAATGTGATATTTTTTAAAAAAGATTATTTTTATGAATAAAGTCAAAAGTTTAAAAATGTCTATTTAGTCGGCCGATTGATATGAAAGTATAAATGAATCAGGATACGTTAAAAGTTTCAAAAGTGTTTACATGATCAACAGACTGACACTGAAAGTTTGAATGAATCAGGATGCGTTCCTCGTCTTATCAAGCAAAGAGATGCGAATTCAATCCAGCAATGGCTCATCATCATCTGAGCCAGCAGATGTGGAAGAAGATGGAGGAGGAGGAGCCATGCTTACATCTGCTGCCTCGAAAGGCAGAGCCATCACACAAGCTCTTCGGAAAGGGCTAATACAGAGCGCCATTCCCACCATCATCGAGCTCAAGCGTCTCCTAGAGAGCAAGAACAGTCCCCTCATCGGCTCCCTCATGGACTGCCTCAGAATCCTCCTCAAGGACTACAAGAACGAGATCGATGATTTCTTGGTTGCAGATCGACAGCTCCACAAAGAACTCGTCTACGACATGCAGAAATACGAATCCATGAAAGCCAAGACTGCAGCCTCCGATGCTGTTGCAAGCATGAAGAGATCAGAGGCCTTCTGGTCGCCCCTCCCCAACAATGCTAAGAAGATTCCTAACAACTCCAAAGTGGCTTCTGCCATGGCTGATGCTCGAGCTGCTGCAACTGCCAGGTCTGTGCTGCGTGAAGTAAACAATGGCGTGTCAACGCCTCTCAGCGCAATGAGCGTCCCGAAGCTCAAGTCTCGTGTCCGAGAAGGCGGCGACGGAGCTGCAGGTCAGGTGCTGGAATCTTTGAGGAGAAGACAAACATTTGATTCTGATGGTGAGAACTAACTAATCTGTTGTCTATCATTGTGAAAAGCTAATCTTTACACTGTACATACAATAAAACATATTACGTAGATTGCCTCGTAAAGGTTAGTCGAGTTGGTGTGGTGGGTAAGTATCTGTATGGCTATGGTTCATAATCCATTGATGCTGTCGTAGTTTGTAGCTTATTACTGTCTTTTAAGATTTAGTTTACATAGTAGACTTATACATGATTTGGTATAGTTTACTTAAAATCAAATTGGTATAACATATATATATATATATATTGATGTTATATTGACAATTGATATATTGAATTGCTTTTAGGTTTCATTTTAGGGCGTGTTTGTTTGGAGGATTGGATTTAGATCCAACTATTCATCCAATTTTTTTTTCCCTCCCAAAACATTAAATCAAACACTTATTTTTCATTTTTTATATTATATTAAAAATCAATTTTACATTCAAAACCGCTTATTTATATCACATCATATAACTATTCAAATTCAAAATTTTTATTATTCAAATGCCAACTCAAAATCCAAACCCCCCAAACAAACACATATACAAAAAATATCAAATTATATATTATTATTTTACCAAAAAAAAAAGTTTGATTTGCATCTTATGCTAATTTTTAATATTTTTTGATATAATTAATATACGTTAGATTTCGATAATTAAATATTGTAAAATAAAATACTTAGGCGGGTTTTGGGGATCTCAATACAGGTAACTTTTGTGTCTTACAATGGAAACACATTTATCATTGCCTCTGAAAACGTGTTTTAGTCATTCAGGTAGAATTTTCTATAATATGGAGTGTATTTGGCAATTGGCAAAATAAAAAATAAAAATATTGAAACTTAGATTTTACAGATGCAAAATTTATAAAATTCAAATTTAGGGAGGCCCCATCCCCATGCTCGATCATTTTGGACTAATGGAAGCTCCATTGATATCACAATATATAACATTGGTCACTGTCTATCACTGTCGAACACATATTGTTTTATTTATTTACCGACGGAGAGAGAGAAGGAGAAGACAATTGAGATTAATTAAATCATTCAAATCAACAAAAAATTTAAAATTGCAATCGAAACATGAAATTTAAAATCTTTTTGCAGATAAATATAAAATTGATTTAGATAACCAAAATATGTATGAACTCGGAATTATACATTATTATTGGATTGCACATGGAAGTATAAGAAGAGTCAACTTTAGGGTTATTTTGGTAATTACACTACCCGCGTCTAAAAATTATACTACTATTATATTGCTAATCTGGCAAATTAATTAATATAGTAAATTACAAAAAAAATCGAGAAAATAATTTTAAATATAATTATAATTCAAATTTCAAATCCATGCACAGTTTCAGAATTCAGATCGAACCGTCAGTCGCCGGAATCTTCATCGCCGCCGAAGATCGAAACTCTGTTGTAGAGAAGCAATAGCACGAGGAGAAGAACCAGCGCGACTCCGACCGGCGATCCGCTGAGGCGGTGGATGGAGTTCGGCTCGCCGAAGGAGAACATGGCGGCCACGAAGGATCCGCGGTCGGAGGAGAGGAATTGGATGGTGAGGAGGAGGATTATAGGGAGGAGGAGCATTCCGATAGGACTGAGCGTGTCGGCGACGAATTCGGTTATAGCTTCGCCTTGATCGCCGAACAATGCAGGCAGAGCGAGCACCAGCACTACGACCACCGCGAGTATGGCGGCGTGAGGAGGTCCGGCGCGGCGGTCTTCTATAACTCCGGCGTTCATAGTTTTATGCCGATCGATAGGATTTATTTCCCTCGATTTGGTCGTCTTCTTCTTCTCAAAAGGTAAATTTAGCAAACGTGAGAAAATTAGGGCTTTTAATTTGATGTTTTTGAAAAGGCGCCCTTCGTTTTCACACTGCACTTTCTATTTTATTCATTTTATACCTTTCATTATTATATAACATATAATATAATATAATATAATAGTATAACATAATAAAATATAATGTAATATGCATACGCGTAGATTTTCATTGATTTTATTTTGGGTGCGTTTTTTACTCTTTCAATTTTTTTTCTTCAAAAAATATTAAATTAATATTTATTTTTTATTTATTATATTTCATTAAAATTAATTTTTACATTTAAAATATTACATCAATATATATATATCACATTAAACAATTTTGAAAATCAAAATCTTACAAGTAAACACACCCTTTATAATTTTAGATGAATGTATTTTTTTTTAATGCAAGATAGTAAAGCCATGATTTATGTAATATAAAAAATAATACTATCTCAGTTCGGCAATTTTGCAAGTAAATTTTTTAATATTAGTATATATTAGTTCGTAGCAAAAAAAAAAAATTATTCATAATATATTATAAATTTTAAAAGTATTTATTATGATGAATAAGTTGTTCGAAAATAATTTCCTTATTTTAAAACGGAAAAAAATATAAAATAATATCTTTGTTATGAGACGGATGAATCTTTTATTTTAAATTATTGATATTTTTTTAATAGATAGAAGATATATTATATAATATGTATAATTATGTATATATATATATATTATATTTTTAAATATAGTAAAAAATGATTGAATTAACATACCTAGTATTGAATTTTGGAAATGGTATTTTGATGTTGATGAAATATGTCTTTTAACTTTTAAACTAAAGTATATATATGTGCTACACCAGGCATCTAAATTTATGTTCATTTTTATCAAAAACGAGTTTTAAAAAAAATAAATAAAAATAATATTTTTTTTCTTTTATAATAAAAAAACTAATTCAAAATTAAATCATTTGAAATTGATCATTAATATGCAATGATTAAATATTCACGTTCTCATGCAACACACCTTACATGTTATTTTTTGAACCCCAATATATGGATATGTTCTTTTTCATTATTATTTTTTTATTATACATTTTAATTATTGTTTATAATAATATACAATAACTAGTATTTAACGTAACACAGACAAACCAAGCTCATCCGATCTATTTCAATATTAACTATTTAAAGTTGACCGATTATATTCTAATATTATGTCTAAATCTCATTAGTTGATTATTGATTGTATTGTAGCTTTTATAAATTGTTCTTAGTTATAGAATATTGCTTCATTTTTTTAAAAAAGAAAGAAATAACTAATAGTTATATATTTATTGATAAAAGGTGATCTAGGCCAGGGAGACATAATAATAGAATCAGCCTTACCTGATGTAGACTCTTGACCAAATATGAAATCATAATTTGTTTTTTTAAATATCACACTAAATATATATTTTTATTCAAAAATAATTATTTTATTATTTCAAAAAAATTTTTCATAATTTTTAGACTAAAGCAAAAGATAAAGGAGTGACTTAATAAAAGTAAAAATAAAGTAAGACTTTGTAGTAAACTAGCAAACTAATTATATACTTATAGCAAATGACTCGTATTAACTTGTTATTAAATTAAAATAAATACAATATTAAATCTTTTTATTTACCCTCCATAGTCACACATAGAATAGGCGCAAGCATAGCTGACGTCACGAGGGCACACCTCAAAGCATGCACCGCAATGCAGAGGATCACTCCTCGTATCCACACACTGCCCGCCGCAGCAAACCCGCCCGAACCCGCAGACCCGGCCGCATGACCCGCAGTGATTCGGGTCATTCCGGATATCCTTGCAGAACCTCCGGAAGCAGCAAGTGGATCCGCCCCATGGGTTCCTGCCCGGATCCGAACACACTCCCGGGTCATGCCCGCACCAGATCATCCCTCTCTGCTGCTTTCTTCTTCCTTTGAGGAAATTAAAGTGTGTGGGGAAGCCGAAGGCTCTGTCGTCGTCCTCCGCCATTTTCGTACCTGCAAAAGCATCGGTGGATTCCGACAACGATACGAGGACGATTATTATTACAATTAGAAAAGGAGTGTGGATTATGTGAGTTGCAGTGAACATGGAAGAACGAAGGAGGGAGGAAATGGATGCATTGGAATATGGTAATGGTGAATGTGATTGAAGAAATTCGAGGTCTAGACATGGCTTTAAAATTAAAAAAAAAATAGAAAATAAAATTGAAATTAGTTGGAGAATTAGGTGACGATAACAATTTCGAGAGATGTAAAATAATTAATTGTTCAAGAGAGATTCCATTACCATGGCATTGATTCCAACTGCTTCTTCTGCATGCGAATTTGTTTAGAAGACGTCTCTGAAGCGTCTCTTTCTCTCTAACAGCTTTGATATTGATAGGGTTTTTAAAGGGAAACGGTGTCGTTTGCACCGCTATCATCTAATGCAAGTAGTATTAATTTATCTTCATTTTTCTTTTTAAATTTGTTCATTAAATTTATTTTATTATTAATTTTGGTAAGCTTAAAAAATTTAACATTAAATTATTATTATTCATTCAATTTTTATTTACAACAAATATCACTAATTTTATTATATATATTTTTTTATTTATTTACTTTAATTTCTAAATTAAATTTTTAAAAATATTTTCAATTACCTACATTTTTTTAATAAATATATTCATTTTTCATCAACTGAAGGAATAATAATAAAAAATAATAATAATAGCTTGCAAATTAAGTTTGACAAAATAAATTATCTAGACGAATTATATATATATATATATTAATTTTTCTTTTTGCAACCGCTACAAAAAAAAAATGCACACTGAATAAACTTTCTGTGAACCTAATATCCCGTAAACTTAAGTTCGACAAACAAGTGCCAAGTATTTGTTGGTTGGTGATCGCGGAGTGTCTTGAGATATTAGTATAATTTAATATTAATAAATAAATAAATAAACCAACCGCTTTTAAGATTTATTGACATTGGGTTTGGAGTATAGCGGGTGGGTTATGTTTTGGCCCATTTTCAAAACTTGGGCCATGGAATTCAAGTATCTCGTTATCCAATCCCACGTGGCATCCAGTTAGTCGTTGAATTTTTATGTACAGTTTTGAGGTATCCAATATATATTTTATATAAAATACTAATTTTCAATTATTTTTAAAAATTTTCAAAATTTCAAAACTTTTAAAATATACTTAAAATATAGGGTGTGTTTACTTATGAATTTGGTTTTCAATTTTACTATTTTTAATTTTTTTTTTTCTCCAAGAACGTTAAATCAAACATTTAATTTTTTATTTATTTTATTATACTAAAATATAATTTTAAATCAAAAATATCATATCAATACATATTTATATCACATTAAACAACTATTTTAATTCAAAATTTACTATTTAAAATCAAAATCCAAAATCAAAATCATATAACTAAACACACCCATAGATATATATATACACACGCGTAAGATGGGCGTAACTTAGCTTGTTTAATAGAGTGAAGACAATAATGGGTTAGTGGCTCATGGGCTTCCCTCTAACTTAATCTTAAATTTTACTATCTCTGTCCCGTATTTTGGTCACCGTAGACACTGAAATTTAGAATGACTATAATTAATAAATAATTAAAAATATATTAATGAAAACAATTAACCTATAATATAAATCATTATAGATTAAAATTAAAATAACTAATTAATTTAATTAAAATTAAAAAAAATAAATTAGAAAATTTAAAAGAGAATCAAAATAGGTAATCATTTTCCAAAAAATAAAAGTAACATGAGATATGAGACGCCCAGAAACGGCAACATGACATGATAAGCGGGTACGGAGGGAGTAATATGAATCCATGTGAAAAAATAGATGATTGATTGAATTTTTCACTAAAGACTAAAGAGGCAAATAATTAATTAAATAATCCCGTTTTGATTTCATTTCATTTTTATGAAAAGATTGGCAAAGTCACATTAAGATGAATCCAATTTGGTCTTTGCGATATAGACGTTTAATTAATGCCCCACTCACACTCACATTCTAGTAGAAATTATAACCCCGTTTCATGGATTGATATATTTGCTCTTCTTTTTTTTTTTTTTTTGTAAAAATTATAATGCGATGTAAAATAACAGTATTTGTGGAAAAATGTGAAGTATTTAATAAAATGTTTACTTTGTAATTTAACGTCCCAAAATAGAAATACGTATACTTTCTAACTGGACGGAGAGAGTATTATATATAATAATCGTTAGAGACAGAAGTATATTAACTTGTATTTTTTTTTTTGGGTACAGATGAAATATTGATGAGCATTCTGATGGGTTTTGGAAGATGTTTTATTTATCTTGTTTTTAATTTGGATCGTGTTTAAATAGGTTTGGACATAGGATGCTATATTTTTCCTTAAAATAATTTCTATACAATATATAGATAAGATGAATTGATAATTTTGAAATTTGTATGAAAATCTTTTATTGCAGAAAATTTTGCAAGGCATCTAACAAGGGCTCAATTATTTTCTTGCAGGCATTTATAACCTTGTTCTGAGGAAATCTGAATTTTTTATTGTTATCATTATTTAAAAAATATATATAATTAATGTGTGTTGTATTTAGACAAAAGTTTGAGGAAGCTTTAGTTCATAGTTGGGTGCCAAAAACATGGAAAAGCCAATTTGTCTTATTCTGCTTTAAGTTATGTATATATTATTATCCACTATTATTCCATGTGAGTTTGGACCAAAATATATAAATAAATAAAAATGGGTCCAGCTCCAAGAATAAATTTGAGTTCCCGTGACAGACAACAATTGCTTCTATCGTCCTTCCACCACAACTTCATAATTATTTTATAGTCCTTCTGTCTAGGCTAAACTGTCCACGTTATTATGAATTTAAATAAAGTATAATTATTAATTAATAAATATAATTATAGGTTAAAATTAAATAATTTAATTAATTTTTTTAAAAAAATAATAAATTATATTTCTAAAAAAATAAAGGATAAAGTATGTGGGACGAATGGAAATGAAAAATACAAATAATTTATGTAGAACGAACGAAAATTAAAAATATAAATAATTTATGTGGAATGAACAAAGTATATGATTTACTTTTCGAGTGTACATTGGAATGGATAACCTTCTAAAAGTGTGTTTGGAGATTGGATTTTAAATACACTATTCATCCAATTTTTTCTCCCCAAAAATATCAAAGCAAACAATTATTTTTTATTTTTTTATATTATACTAAAAATCGATTTTACATTCAAAACATCACATCAATATCTATTTATATTACATCATACAACTATTCAAATTCAAAATTTTACTATTTAAATCCCAATTCAAAATCCAAACCCCGAACAAACACTCCTTAGGGTAATAGATTGCTAGCAAATTCAACCAAAAATGAACTGGCCGGTCTTTTGGACTCATAAATATTAATTAGTTAATAAGCCAACAAGCATACAGTAAAAAATATACATAATAAATATCATAATTAATTTCATCACAACCTACAAGACTATGATGTCCTACAAGACTATGATGTCCCGTAAAAGATGATATGATAATGTAAAAATGGTCTTGTAACTGTGATATTATAGGTTCAAACCCGCTTCGTTAATATGTATATATATATCTATAATGATTTAAGACAAGGGCTTCGGTTACACAAGCGAAAGGATCCAATGGAGGAAGAATCATAAGGGGTTGGGGTTGATGTGTCTTAAGGTCAAGTCCTTTTCATTACAGCCTCCCTCCCTTGTCCATCCATCCTTGCCTTACCCATACAAATTTATACATATATATATATATATATATATATATTTATAATATTAGTTTTTTTTTTTTTTTTTTTTGTCTTGGCACACTCTATCTACAACCTGAGCCCCACTTTCAAATTTTCATGGGATTTTTAGGAACAAATGGCTGTGGGAGCAGAGCAATCAAGAATCTTAGACACAATAACAATAATAATATATAATAATAATAATAATAATAATAATAATATTATTGGGAGTAGTTGTGTGGATCTCTAACACTAATAAATTCCCTTAATACAACATGGGTCCAACCCAACCTTTACTTTCTTTCTTCTTACAGTGACTCTGACACCCAAACTTCTATTGGCCACCATGTGGTTCTAATAATATCTACTACAATTTAATCACTTAAGTAGACAATGATTATGATCATCTAAATGCAAATAGATGTAAAGTGTAGGGAGAGAGAAAGTAAAAGCCCTCCAATTCCAAAAGAAGCCATTGTGCCCATGCCATTTCAAGAAAGGCACCCTTTTTTAAGACCATACTTTTCCATATATTATAGCTAGGCTGCTCCTTAGATTTGATTATATTATCACTAGACAAAACTTATTTGGACTAAAATTTAATAATTTAATACAGTGCTTGCAAATTTAATTTCCATATGGAAATTTTGAAAAAAAAAATATTTAAATAAGTCAATTTCATAGTACGAGATTTTTTTTATAGGAAATCTAAAAATAAATGTGGACAATATCATATTAGTATTGAGTTAACTAAAAAAATATATATTTATATAACGGCTGCGAATCTTGTACTAATTTGACCAACTCAATATGGTGTTAATTTGACTGAATCAAGATATGTTATACACATAACCATCTTATATTTACCTTTAGTATAACAAATGCAGAGTTATAGTAAAATATATGTTTAATTATAATATAAAATATATTATATTATAAATATGTTGAGATCTGTATAACATATGTTCAGTGATTTGACCGGATCACCAATTGACCATGCCTTTATATAACACATTGATATAAAGTACTCCACAGTAGTAGGTGTAAAACTGTTTCTAAAAGATCAAAATGTTCATACTTTTTTATGTAATTATTGTAAAAAAGTAAGAGATAGTTTTATAAAAAAGTGAAAAAGTAGTTAAAAAATAAAAATGAGACTATTAATTTGGAATGAACGAATATGACGATGAAATTATTATTTTGGGAGGGAGGGAGTATTAACTATTAATTAAAATTATGTAATATATGCATTTACCGTGCTAATTTGGGTTTTAATTCATATTTGTTTGTTAGTCTATATGATATGCTTTCAATAGTGTATTGAATTTTAAAATTAGACACCTGGTGCTGTCATTATAGGACAATTATTGCAAGAACTTACTATTTGATTCCATTCCCTAAGGGGTAGCTTTACGCCTTTCTGGATTTTTGGAGCTGTCCCAAAATGGACACTGTTCAGACACACAAACACATATGATACAATTCTGTCTCATTCTTATCTTCCTTACACAACCCTTTTTTCTTCTTCTTCTTCTTCATGAGGTCAGTACAAAAATGTCAACAATGGCTTCAACCCCTTCTGCACCATCGCCAATGGATTCTTCCCACAAACTCGACCTCGAATCCGTCAAGACATTGGTGAGAATCCTCAACCAACATCTGCACTCAATTCTCGACGACAGGGATGCCCAAAGAGCCCTGAAGATGAAATGCAATTCCAGGCTCAAAATCCATGCCCAAGAATTCTTCGAATTCTCCCAACACTCTGTCCTGTCGAATCTCTATTGGGGCATCGACGGCACTCTGGCGGCAACCGACGCCATCTCCGACGAAGACAAGGCCACCAGGCTCGAAACCTCTGAGAAAATGCTGCAGATTCCTGCCTCATTGGACGATCATGGCGCTACCTTAGGAATTCCGAATAATTACCTGGTTTGCTGCGCATACTTCTACTTGTCTGTTGTCGAGCTTCTGAGGAAGAACGAATGGCAAGTGGCTGTCCATTTCCTTCACGCCGTCGCCATTTCGCCTCGCATCATCGCCGCCGAATTCACCCCCGGAATTTGGCCTCTGGTCATTAGGCCTATGATTCGGACATCATTAGACAGGTTCGATGAAATTGATGAGGCTAAGATCGATGAATTGATGAAATGGATGGCAAAAAGGTATAAGCCTTGGTTAATGTACTATCAGATCATGTCGAATGGCGTAGAAGGTTGTCGGAATTTCGACAATGGCAGCCTGTAAGTTTCTTGCAAAAAGAATTGAAGTTGTAAGATTAGATTTTCAAGAATTGTTTATTTGTTGTTTCTAATCAATGTTGTTTGTTGATCAGTTCTAACAATATTCAACGATCTAGAAGCATCGACTCGCAGCAAAATTCAACCGGATTCAGAGCTTCTCAAAGCGTAAAATTCATTAGTCCTTCATTACAAAAAAGAACCATTGTTCTGTTACATTAGTACATCTTTCATTCCTTGTTAGAATTGATGCAGCTCGAGAAGACTGTCGATATTAGTCGACAGACAAATCGCAGCAAATGTACTAAGATCAAGTGTCTGAAAGACATACTGAAAGAATCTCAGCACGATTCTTCGACATCCGAAGATTCAGCTTCAGACGAAGAAGGTGTTCTTCAGGTACTTCCATTAACAAGATCATAGGATTATCTAACAATGAATCACTTCAAAACTGAAATCCAGCTTTGCAATGGATAGAATTCTTCAGAAGACACACTCACTTGTCTGAGAACTGAAAGAATCGATGAAGAAGAGAGTCCAGCAGAAGCTCTAAATCAGTACAAATCACTTTCATGGTAGCTGCAAGAATCTAGACATAACTATATATATCGTTTTCAGTAGGAGTTCGAATGCTGAAACGTCGAACGTACGCAGGATTTCGCAGGCGTCGTCGTATCCAAATCCCGAGAGGACGCTGTCGCTTCTAATGCAAACAAAAGTGAAGGAAACAAACGCCATAGAATCGATTTCCCGGAGCTTTTCGACTTCGTTTTGCGACACCGATGTATCGGCGCTATCGCTAAGAAAAACGGATCGCTACGCTCCGTCGAATGCTTATATCGAAGAAGAGGAGAAGCTGCAAAGGCATCACAGCATCAGCTCAATTTCTATGAACAATTCTCAGTTCATGAAACACATTCGCCGCAGAAGCTCGACGAGGATGAAGAAAAGCCAGAGCTGCCGGACGCCGTTGCCTGAAGCTCCAGAAGATAATCTTTTCGCCGAACAGAATGGATTGCTCGAGAAACTGGTTTCGAAGCTATGCTTCAACGACGAATTCGGAAGCATCGACGACGACTGCACGGTCGAAATCAAGTCGATATACGACATATTGAACACCAAATCAGGACTGAAGTATTCTCTTCTGAAGGACATAATATTAGACCAGCTGCTGATCGCGATTTCAACGTCGAAAGAGGAGAGGGTCGTCCGAACATCGGTTGCGATACTGTCGACTATCATCACAGCAAACAGATCGGTCGTTGACGACATCAAGAGGAAAGGATTGCAGCTGCACGACTTGGCGACGGCCCTGAAACGCAACGTCCACGAGGCCGTCATCCTTATATATCTGATAAATCCGTCCCCGGCGGAGATCAAAACACTCGAGCTTTTGCCGTGCCTCGTCGAGGTCGTCTGCACCTCGAAGAGTTACAAGGTGGACTTTACGTCGCTCCTGCTTACGCCGCCTGCTGCGTCGTTGATGATCATCGAGGTACTTGTGACTGCGTTCGACTACGAGACGAACAGCATGCACTTGGCTGCGATAAGCTCGCCGCGAGTGCTTTCAGGACTCTTGCAAGTTCCGAGGAAAGACAACCTCGACGAGTTCATCTCCTTGGCTGCTATACTCGTCAAGTGCATGAGGTTCGACGCGAAATGTCGAAAATACCTATCCGAATTTTCGCCATTGTCTGCTTTCGTGTCGCTTCTATGGAGTAATCAAAAGCGTGCGACGACTATCGCCTTGGAGTTTTTCAACGAGCTCCACAGAATGCCGCGGTATGAAACAATCCTAGCATTACAGAGCTTTGGCTCGTCGATTCAACTTATATATACATATATATATCTATACATGTTTCATCAGGTCATCATCCATTGGATTGTTGGAGCAGATTCAGAAACAGGGAAGGATGAACAATATGTGTGCTTTATTCCTTCTTACACAGAATTCGGAGCCGGAGTACAAGCTTCTTGCAGCAAATTTGTTACTCCAGCTAGAAGTACTCGTAAGTGTGTAGATCTATTCAACTATCGAGTTCTTTCTTCTTCGCTGATAGTCAAAATCTTTTCAGGAAGATGCATCGGTGAAATGCATATATAGGGAAGAAGCTGCAGAGGCTATCCTCGACTCGTTGAGATGTGAAGAGTCCCCTGCAACACAGGCATTGTCGTCGTTCATACTGGCTAATCTTGGCGGGACTTACTCGTGGACAGGGGAGCCGTATACGGTGGCGTGGCTGGTTAAAAAGACTGGATTGACATCGGCGCATCATAGAAATTTGATCAAGAACTACGACTTCCTTGATCAGTGTCTGCAGGTAAAAGGCTGGGTTGAATTTCGAGGGATTGTAAGAATGTTTCTTATGAATGATGAAATATTGCATCGTAGGACGCCGGATTAGATCTGTGGTGCAGCAAGATTGCGCAGCGAATACTGCATTTAGGGGCACCTTTGTTCCATGCACTCGAAAAGGGACTTAGGAGCAAGATAAAACGAGTGTCGCGTGATTGTTTGATTGCTGCTGCTTGGCTCGGGTGTGAGCTAGTGAAAGGTCCGGATGAGTTGAGGCATGCCGCGGCTGAGATCTTGCTACAAACCATCGAAGAGAATGTGCATCCTGGTTTGGAGCTCGAAGAACGGTTGTTGGCTTGTTTGTGTATCTATAACTACACTTCTGGGAGAGGTAATTGTTAATTCACGATTACTATTGTTAAATTTGTCAAATGATCTGTTCACCTAAAAACTTAAGCTTCAAATACGTGCAAGGTGGATTTACGCCTAAAAGTTTAAACGGCAGAGTATAATATAGTCAACCAATAAGATATAATGTCAAATGATCACTTCACCTAAAAGTTTAAACTGCAGAGGATAATATAATTAACCAGCAAGATAGTCAACTAAGCTATAATATCATGTTAAATGACCACTTCACCTAGAAGCTTAGGATGTGTTTGTTTGTAGGTTTGGGTTATTATATAAATAGACGTTGATGTGGTATTTTAAATGTAAAATAAATTTATAATATAATATAAAAAAAAATATATATATATTGTTTGATTTGATATTTTTACATGACAAAAACATATGAATAATGAAAATATATCGTAAAATACACAAAAGAATACAGCCTTAAGCTTCATACATGTACAAGATGGATTCATGCCACATACGAATCTTCAAACACAGATATATTGGGCTCTGATATCATATTAAATGCTCAAGTCATCTAAAAGTTTAAATTGTCGAAGAAAGTAGTCATTTTTCCTTTTATCGATATAACTTTGAGTTACATGTTTCAGGGATGCGGAAAATAGTTAATCTATCGGAAGGGGTGAGGGAGTCGCTGAGACGGCTGTCGAATGTGACATGGATGGCTGAGGAGCTACTAAAAGTAGCCGACTATTTCCAGCCTAATAAATGGGTGAGTGAAGCGTGGTCGCGAGCTTAATTGCTGTCGAACGATTTATGTTACAGTGATACTAACGACGCAGTAAATGCAGCGAATTTCTTGCATTCATAGTCTGATGATGGAGGTGGGAAATAAGTCGAATGGAGCTGTGACTGCTCTTATTTTCTACAAGGGACAGCTCTGCAGTGGATATGCTGATGGTTCTGTTAAGGTTTGCGACTTAAGACCGAGCTTCGGTTAAGGTTTCTTCGAAAGATATCATACGTTTTTGTCATTTTTCGATTTCAGGTTTGGGACATCAAGGGACAGACAGCTACACTTGTCCAGGAGATGAAAGAACATCGAAAGGCGATAACATGCTTTTCGCTCTATGAGCCCGGGAACTGTCTTTTGAGTGGCTCTGCCGACAAGACGATTAAGGTAGAGACACAGTCTTGTATTTTTCTTTTGTAAGGACAAATATTGGCTGATGCTTCATTCTTCCATAGATGTGGCAAATGCTGCAGAGAAACGTGGAATGTATTGAAGTTATACCGATGAAGGAATCTGTTAGAAGACTAGATTCTTGGGGTGAACTGATTTTTGCAATCACACAAAGTCATAGGTTGATGGTAGCCATTGTAATAACTGAGGCAATACATTACAAGAATCATGTGTGTTGATATTATCTGAGATTTCCAAACTCTGCTCTTCAGGAGGTCGATGCATCGAGGAAAGGTAAAGATACCTTAAAAAACAAGCGCGTAAAATGCATTACAGTGGCACAAGGAAAGGTTTATGCCGGCTGCACGGATTCAAGTATACAAGATTATACAATTACAAATAGTCGACAACAAGAGATCAAAGCAACATCGAAAAGCTGGATGCCAAACAAGCCTATTAACTCAGTTGCCATATACAAAGACTGGTTATACAGTGCAAGCTCAGTCGTCGAAGGTTCAAAGATGAAGGATTGGAGAAGAGGAATTAAACCAAAAATAGCCATTTTGCCGGAGAAGGGAGCAAACATTCTTGCGATGGAAGTAGTCGAGGATTTTATATACTTAAATTGCAGCTCATCGATGAGCAGCCTCCAGGTAAACAAATCCTCCATTTCTTAAAGACATCAACAAAGTATGAATAGAAGTTTATGTTGGTACATACATATTTAGTTTTTTTTCGGAAACAGATATGGCTGAGAGGGACACAGCACAAAGTTGGAAGACTATCCGCGGGAAGCAAGATCACGAGCTTAGTGTCAGCCAATGACATGATCATTTGTGGCACAGAGAAAGGCCTTATCAAGGTATCATCTTGATCATGTCAGTAAATTGACTTTCGAGCTTCAATGTCTGTAAATTTATTTTATTCGAACATGACAGGGATGGATCCCTCTTTAGGCACACGAAACCTGCGCCGATGCTGCGACTGCAGTCTTGCTGATCTTCTTGCAGAATTCAGTGAAGTTTTGTGTAGATATTAGTAGCTATCTTTTTGCAAAGTAATCAGAAATTAATGATTTTTGTTTGCTACAAGGATGTATGTAATAGCTTATATATATATATATATGTATGGATTTCTCTTGACCAGTGTCGTTGGACAGATGCAAGAAAGTAATGATTTTTCTTACATTTTTTTGCAGCCTATTTTGAGTAAATAATTACTGGTGAAGATTAAGAGGTAATAAGTGAAATTATTATTACAATGGACATAAAACAAACCAATCAGTTAAAACTGAAAACAGCAATTTTCACGGTCAGGACAGCCATCATTTTAGATCTCATGTTAGAGTTTCTTCACACACAACACACACACTCCTCTCATTTTGCAAACAAAAGGAGCTAAATACATCTATATTATTTCATCACTGTGGTGTCTTCCACCTGAGTCTTCTTCTTCATTCATTTTATTTCATCTCTGTGTGTTTACAAAATAGGATGAAAATGGACACAGATCAGGAGTCGAGTAAGAATCGAATCAAGACACACCAGAAGAAGTATTTGCCGACGTACATTGTCAAAGAGCAACGATTCGTCTGTCTTCTGATCGGCATTGTCGCTGCATGCCTTGTCTTTAATGCCGTGCCTTCCCATTCTTCGCCGGAAGACTTGTCGACCCCTGACGAGCCTACTCTCAAGGCTCCTCGTCGTGTCGCCTACGAAAGCACTGATTTTTATGGTCACTCCAATGCAGGTAGTGTCGAAAATGGATCTTGTTCAATTTGAAATATATTTAGAAAATATATATTATATTTATGATAGTTATCTTATTTAATGATTAGTAGAATTCTTCTATCCTTATCTATCACTATAAATATATACGTATTCTTATTATTGCAATTGAGAATTTATGTTGTAAGCTAGCGAGTCCTGTTTCCGACTCTAGTTCCTCTGTGGATGAACGGGTCCTATTTCCAACTCTGATGGTGTTGAGTTCCGATTTTGACTATGATCCAATGGACAGCTATACCCCTTTCGGTCAATCTTGGCAAATTTAAATTCGTTCGTGAAAGATATCACCTATCTCTTTTTCGGTCACAAACTTAAATTTATTCGATCATATCTTGAATTTGAGAAAGGGTGTTAAAATATATTTAGAAAATATATATTATATTTATTATAAACGATTTGTATATCAGTATAATATATTCTTATTATTGCAATAGAGAATTTCAATTTTATATTAAAACCAAACCAACACAACAGAGGTTGATTCTTCTTACTAACATATGTCTTTTTACATTTTACAAAAGATATGTACAATGCAGGTGGGAAGATTCCTCTGGGGGTGAAAAGCAAAGCCCTTCGAGTTGTGGTCACAGGAGGAGCTGGTTTTGTCGGGAGCCATTTAGTCGACCGTCTAATAGCCCGTGGCGACAGTGTGATAGTAGTCGACAACTTCTTCACAGGACGCAAGGAGAATCTTCTGCACCATTTTGGGAATCCAAGATTTGAGCTCATCCGGCATGATGTAGTCGAGCCTATCTTGTTAGAAGTCGATCAGATCTACCATTTGGCCTGCCCGGCGTCGCCCGTGCATTACAAGTTCAATCCTGTCAAGACTATTATATCCTTTTCAAAGTTTTCTTAACCAATATTCATAAAGTGAAGTGTTTCTTGATTTTTGGCAAGATTCCTTGACTATGATTGTCTAGAGATCACAAGACAAATGTGATGGGGACATTGAACATGCTCGGCTTGGCGAAGCGAGTTGGCGCACGGTTCTTGCTTACGAGCACCAGCGAAGTCTACGGCGACCCCCTCCAGCATCCGCAGGCCGAGAGCTATTGGGGAAATGTCAATCCCATTGGTAAAAGATTCATCTGGTTTATGTTTGCTTTGCACTTCTTACAGATTCTTGTCTGCATTTTATCTTAACTTGTGGTAATGATCAGGCGTTCGGAGCTGTTACGACGAGGGGAAGCGCACGGCCGAGACTCTCAGCATGGATTACCACAGAGGGCTTAATGTTGAGGTTATTACATGACAGAACAAAACATTACAATCAAGTAATAATAGTACATTCAAACATGTCTTGTAAGCCATCTGCAATTGTGTTTCAGGTAAGAATTGCTCGGATTTTCAATACTTACGGGCCGCGAATGTGCATTGATGATGGCCGTGTTGTCAGCAACTTTGTTGCTCAGGTTAGTTCAATTGCGCTAACGACTGCGTAATAAATTAATGATGCGTATCCTGTTTAAGTAATATTTCGAAAATGTTTTGCAGGCGTTGAGGAAGGAGCCTATGACCGTCTACGGCGATGGAAAACAGACCAGGAGCTTTCAATATGTCTCAGATTTGGTAATAAAAACCTTCCATTGCTCAAAAAAACTCTTCATAATCATCTACAGATTATAGCTATCTTGTGGCATGGCTGATTGCAACTTGTATTCTGACAAAGGTCGAAGGTTTGATGAGATTGATGGAGGGCGATCATGTCGGCCCTTTCAACCTCGGCAACCCCGGCGAATTCACAATGCTCGAGCTTGCCAAGGTAAGTGTTCTTCCGTTACAACAATATTGCCAAACAAACAAGAAGTTAAGACATGGCTGAAAGTTATGTTGTAAACATACAGGTAGTGCAAGACACCATTGATCCAAATGCAAAGATAGAGTTCAGGCCTAACACCGAGGACGATCCTCACAAGCGGCGACCGGACATTTCCAGGGCCAAACGGCTCCTCGGATGGCAGCCGACGATCTCTCTGAGGGAGGGCCTTCCGAAAATGGTCAGCGACTTCCGGCAGCGCATATTCGGGGAAGACAATGAGGGAATGGGCGGCGGCGCCTCTGTAGAATAAAATTCTGACATATACGAATGCATGCTACACGTACACAAATACATACATATACATATATAAACACACAGTTAGAAAAGAAGGAATGTAGCAATAAGTCCAGCATCAATGTAGGTAGATGTTGTTGCAGCAGCAGCACTTTGTTAGGGAATAAATGTTTCCCCTTAATGAACGAGAGGAATGCCAAGATTTTAGAATAATGTCTCAGTTGTTCTTGTTTATATCTAGCTCACTCACAATCACAAACCCTTTATTTGTTTTTTTGAAACATTGTATGTAAGAACGTTTGTAGAGTGGTGGTTCTTGTCTTTGAGATATTTTAGCAGCTGGTATGAATTTTTGTCCCACTTCACAATTGGCAATGGCGATGGCAGTCTGGCACTGATATGAGTTCATGGGTCACAGAATAAATAGTATAATTTTAGGGGCCATTTTGACATTTTTATTGTTCGATAATCTTTCTTCTGAACATTTTTCAGTGTGCTCTGTTCTTGAGGCTCATTCCAATGGCTGTTTTCGGGCGAGTATAAGGTGAGGCCACAAACACTCGTTTCTTTCAGCTTGTTTGAACTATTCAGATTCTTGGGGCCGTTTTTTACCCCTGATAAAGATTTATCTAGAATTTGGGTGATTAGGGTTCATGGGAAAAGAATTGATGAAATGGGAACAATTACGGCAACCTAATTGATTACAAGAATGTGTTTCTGTGTGATGATTTACTGATTCTTCAAGTGACATGCTTGCGCGTAGATTTTGTAAAGCCCTCACAACAAGCAGCCAAAATGTCGAGAAAGAGCAGGGCTTGAGCAAACTGGATGTAGCAAAGTTACATCCCCTCTCACCCGAGGTTATTTCTTGACAATCTACAATTAACGTTGGTAAAACTCTTTAGTCCTATGAATTACATTTAGCTTTCATCTTTTACAAGTTTTTATAGGATTTTCGATGTTGACTGCATAGACCACACACATAAGAACATACGCATTCACCATTTTCATGCTGTGTTCATTGCTCCTTCATGAACCAAAAAAACCATTGGTCATGTGGCTCATGGAAAGTGCTAGATTCGATGCTGTTAAGTTCTTTTTGCCATGGAGAGATTCTAATGTTGAATATGGGATCTATGTAGACAGGGGATATAAGCTGGTATCACTCTCGATGTTCTACCCTGCCTGATATAACCAAATCATTTTGATTCTACACCACAACAGGAGAGTTTGGGAACAGTTTTTGTTCGATGGATGGGAAAAGATTATTTTGAGCTTCGAATACGACAATACCAGTGGTAAATTGTTATTTCCTTGTTATTTTTGGTGGCTTCATTGGCTTTTGGATGTTGAGTTGTTGGCTAACCAATGTTCTATTACAACATTTTAAGTTCTTCATTGTGCTTCAATATTGAATAGAAATGACAGAACAAAATTCAAGTAGTTTTTGCCTCTTGTGGAAATCTTGAAATAATATCACACATACCGTTATAATTGGCTCGAAAAAACTAGAAATGAATAGCATGGGTTGCACTGTATTAGATGAAAGAAAGGTTATACTGCAAATTTATGCTCCAACATACACTTGAAGACAGTAGTTTTGTTTGAATGAATGATCATATAAAGTATCGAGACATTAAACTAGATCCACATGTTCATAAATTCACTCATTCACCAAAATATGTTGCAGTAAATTAGTTCAATTAAATTCCCATTTTATATCCGAGAATCTTTGTGTTTACACTGATTATGTGTGGTTTTTGTTCATTACTAATCCTATCCCGTTCGTTGTGTTCTAGCATTTACTTGCTTAGACACAAATTATATATTCACTATATCACATTGCTTGTATGGTGTTGAAATCCCAGTTTTGTTTTTGTTTTAGTAAATAACAAACTGGTGGACTAATGGTTATGGCGCGACCTTTCATTTGAATTTAACCAATGCTTGTTTTGCTTACCGTTATCCGGCTGGCTGGCTGGCTTGAGCCCCGTCGCCTTTGTCAAGATGCCGAAGGGTTTTCGCTACACCAACACTTGATTGACTGTAAGCCCGGTTATATTTCACTGCTAACTTACCTTCCTACTACTAAAAAGATTGCTATAAGAATAGTTTGCATATAAGAACCCTAAACTAGTACAAATGCTCCATTCATGAATATTGTTTGTTTAGGGTTTTGTGGTATCTAATTAAAGGGCCCCAAGGCATGGATTATCTATCAATCAATCTACCAAAGTGCCCCCTTGTTACTATGAATCACACATATTATCCAAGTTTTTATGTGATCAAAAAGTATGTGTCATCTCTAGCACTTATGATCCCACCTCCATGGCCTATTTGCTTGCATGTCCCTGTCCATATCTGTCACTGTTTACCTGAATCCTCACAAGTCTCCATCTCTTTTCTGCATCATACTTGTAATTATTAGTTTCCATGCACACATGCATCAATATGGCTGTTTTGTGTGTGTAGCCAGTCAAATATGAATTAAAGGTTGGTTATGAGCATACATGTTTTGGGTTGGGGGTAGAAGATCAATCATACAAGTAGAAGTAGCTATCGTTCATGGGGAACCAACAAAATTACAACTGCAGAGGCTGTGCACACCCAAGACCTGTCATAATTCAACAGTGTCTCTGTGGTCCGTGCCTGAAATTGGACAGACACCAGAATCCAATTAGGGCTTGTATTCTTATCCTTTTTCTCACCAAGAATCTACACCCCAAAATCTTTCAACTAAATACATGAATCTAATCCTCATATTCAGTTATCCAGTAGTACTAATTCAGAAAAGTGATTGATTCTTGTGGCTACATACATACATACATAAATTATGTATGTATGTATGTATAATCAGTAGAAGCAGCAGCAGCAGCCAAGAAGAGGGCTAGCTGCAGAAGCCATGGATCTTTATTAAATTTGATAAAATGCATTCTGCTTTTATGGCACTATTAATTGCAGTGTTGAAAAAGTAGCAGATTATGGTTGTGAAAATACCAAAGTTTTCGGTCATCAATAGCTGCCCTCATTAAATAGTATTAGAGTCATCTCTACCACACTAGCCCAAGGATCAATTCAGTTGTGTGCTTCTTTGTGGAAGAGATATGTAGATGCCTTTTATTAGAAGAGCTAATAAGTGAAGGGAGTTGTGACAAGGATGGATCCACCTGGATTGGACCAGATGAGTGTAGATTAGGTGATTAAGACATTTCAAATATTAATGAGTGTCCAGTGTCTAACAAACAAACATGTGCAAAGCATCACTTCTTTTTTGACTCTAAACCTGAGGTTGATTATTTCTCATTTCTTCCTCTTCCTCCTCAGGATTCAAATCTTGAATGATTAGACAAAGGGAAAATATGGGGACATGTAAATCTGCATGCACATGTTGGGCTAGTGACATGTGATGTCAATCTTTATTTAATTCTTGACCTTCCCATCTCTCTCTCTCTCTCTCTCTCTCTCTCTCTCTCTCTCAAGCCTCCTTGATGGAGACATCATCAGCTCATATCTATCTATCTATCACCAACCCCTTTTTTTTGCAACTAAACATAAAAGACATCAATCATGTCAACAATCAAGTGAACAAAACAAAAATAAAAAAGTAGAAGAAGAAGAAGTGGAATATATATATAAATATATATATACACACCAAATTGCAAGTCAAATGATCATCAAGAGTCTCCACATGGCTCAATTTATTCTCCAATCTTTCATCAATCTCATGCAAATGCACATATGACACCACCATTGATTTACAAAGAAGACAGACTGCTACAGTACAAGTACAACCCAGATCAAGATCCTCCTCCTCACTCACCCACTCAATTAAAACTAGCAATAGAATAAGAGTAACAATAATAATAATCATACATATTCAGACCTCAGCAAAACAATTCTTCACATTAACTTAAGCACTGCACCAACATGAACTTAACCAAGAAAGTAAAAAAAAGAAAAATTAAATTAAATAGAAAAAGTATAGTAGTAGTTGCAGTAGCAGTAAAAGTTTCAGGCAATTTACTGAGTCTTTGCTTCAGCCACTAACGGCCAACAATGAAGGAATTGCAGCCAAGTTTGGAGTAGAATTCTTGTTTGCAGCAGCTGCATCCCTTTTCCCTGATGTAGTTTTTCCTAAAGCCCTCATAGGACTTGCCAGTGCCCATCCCCAGCTTCTGCTCCTCCCATGGGAGATACTGTTACTGTTCTTCATTGTTGTTGGCAATGGCTTCCCATTGCCTGCTGACTGTTTGTCCTCTGAAACCAAGTATGAAGAAGATGAGGAAGAACTTGAGGATGATGTGATCATAAAGCCACTGAAAATCCCACCACATTTAACTCTTTCCTTGATGCAGTCTTGTGATGATCCATTTTTGTTGGCTGTTTGGACTTTGGGCTTCCCTTCTCTTTGAGACTCCACTCTGCGGAGAGTGCAGTCGCCGAAGCCATTGGAGATCTTCTCGAACAGGTCGCCGGAGAAGCTCCGGCTGCCGCATCCGACGGATCTGGATCTTGATACCTTTCTGTCGAATGCAGGACTCTCGTCGTTTTCATCCACCACTACGAACTGATCCTCCCTTTTCCTCTCCCTTGTTTCGGGCCTGGCTGTTGATGTGAAGTTGAAGTCTTTTGCACTCTTCTTGGATGCTGTGGAATGCTTTGAGGACGAGGTGTAGAGAAATGACCAGAACCTTCTTCTGTGTGGACTGGTGTCTTCTGTGTAATACTTCCCGTCGAAGAAATGGATGCCTCTTCTTGGAGTTGCAGTGGACTTGCTCCTCTTGAAGACAATGGTGTTGGGTTCAGAGCTCCCCATGGCCATGGCCATGGCGGCTCCTTCCTTTTTCTTCTTTCTGTGGGTTGAGACAAACGGCAATCTTGGCCTCCTGGTAGTGGTGGTGGCGGTGGTGGTGTAGGTGGGGTCATTGGCTTGGGTGGTTCGGGAGTTTACAGATGAGGAGGTAATGTGGTGGCGGGCGGCGGCAGCGCCGCCGCCGCCGAAGTCAGATCTAAAGGAAGGGGAAGAAGATGAAGAGGACGAAGGGAAAAAAGCTACAGAGAAGGATGAAGACACGAGTTTCCCCAATTTTTCTTGAAGGCAGAAAGCGCAGATCCCACCAGGAGTGCTGTTTTTGTATGGATGATTCGTACATTGCATATTGCCTTCCCCCATATCCTCGTGCACCACTTCCATCGCCATTGTCAAAAGCTTCAATCTTTCACAAACATGTACATAAGATTCTAGAGAGAGAAAAGGAAGAAGAAGAAGAAGAAGAAGAAGAAGAAGGTCAAACTCGAAACTCAAACTCTGTGATTGTGCGGCGGCATTGAAGTAAAGAAAGAATGGGTGAGGGAAGAAGATGATGATGAGGGGGGTTGGGTGGGGTGGGGGGGTAGTGTCCCCAGGGGCACGTGGAAACCAGACTGACTCTTGCAATAAAATAAGTGAGGTTAGAAGAGAGAGAGGGGGGCAGTCGCAGAGTCCTATGCTGCTATGGCAATGGATGGCCCATATATGTTTGGCCTGCAAAAAAAAACACAACCATTTTCTGGAATTCAATCGCTACACACCATGGCCTATGGGGTCTCCAACGACTCTTTTCTTTTCAGATATTTTCCCATACATTTCTGAATTTTACAACCAAACACGCCATCGACATGGTGGTTTATCCCTTTCGCCCCATAGATCCACACAATACAATATAAATCAAAGCATCTATCTCAGCCTGACACATTTCACGAAAGAGAAGCAAACACCCATTTTTAAATTATCCTCTCAATTCTTTCGTTGATGATTATGATGATGCATCTCAGCCTGCGCTAGATTTCTTGAAGCTCCCGGGATCCCATCATCCACACCGTTCATTTCAAAGAAGAAATGGAGCCAAGATCTTCTGGCGTTCCGGGTCCCGGGAGCTTCCAAGAACTGCGGTTAATACTGTAATGGAGGAGCTGGAGAAGAAGGAGACAAAACAATATGTTTAGTTTCTGTAAATGTAATTAATATGTAATACTAATAATAATAATATTATAAAATTGCGTATTTGTCCCACTACTTGTGATGGCAAGGCAAGAATTGATTTTTACTCAATTAATGTAAACAATGTAAAAGAGCATCTTCAATATTTGTGTGTGATTCAACGCTTGGTTTGCTTTGCAACAACATGAACATGGGATCGGCAGACTGCATTATCCTGTTTTGTCCTTTTCTTGTTGTCATTATCTATCATGTATGTTTATATAATGTGTATTGATTCTTGTAATAATGATTAACTTAATTAATTACATAGCCGTTTTAAGAAGAAAAATGCAGATAGGCATATGCTTGTTTGGCCAATTAATTTTTTTTTTCTCATTAAAAAATATTAATTTTTTAAGTAGAAGAATATTAATTTTTCTTTACAAAAGAAAAAAAAAAATATTTTAAATCACTTTTATAAATATTTGTACATGATCATATGAAAATAAATTTGAATAATGAAAGTAGTACTAATATATTTATATGATAATTTTTCACAAAATTTACAAATATTATTATTTCCATCCCACTTCAAACTTTGTGGTTTTATAGTATAAAAACTTTGAAGTTTTACAATAAAATAAAAAAATAATAGCATTTTATTTGTTATTGAAAATATATAAGAGTTTAGATTCTATTGTGACATGCTAATTAATTCAGCACAAGGTTTATTTTAATTAGATAAAAATATATTGATTAATTAGCTATTCAAGGCTCAGATTTATTTCAAAATGATAAAATTCAGCATACTATCTATCTTAATAAGATATTTTAATGTGTATTGATGATATATTTTTATTTAAAAATTAAAGATATTTTAATATTAACTTATAGGTAAGTGAATACTTTTGAGTATTTTTTATATTAGTTTTGAATTTAAAAAAAAAATACTTACTAGGCTTTATTTATACAATAATTTTGATATAGTTTCAATTTTTCCAGAACGATAAAATCAAATGCTTTCTTATCTTATAGAAAATTATATCAACTATTAATTTTTCTTTCCAATTTTTTCTTTTTTTTTTTTTTTTTTTTTTTAGATTTGGGTAAAATTTTAATTTGAATATGATATTAAAATAATATACTCCCTCTCGGTCCCATCAAGATATCATTTTGTAATTAACATAATAAATTTTCTTGCAATCACTTTATAACATATCATACCAATATGGATATTTTTGTATTTTTTACTATAAACTAATACAATGGACTACTAATATTAAAAAATCTACGTGTAAAAAGTAAACGGTGCTCTTTTTACGGGACGGAGAAAGTATAATACTCCCTCTGTTCTAATACAATAGTCCTATTTATCATTTTTGTCATTTCCAAAACAATAGTCCCATTTTCATAAATAATACTCCCTCCGTCCCAAGAACTATAATCTGGGTTATGTTCGGCACGGCGGGATTTAAGAAATATTAATATTATATTGGTAGTAGATAAAAAGTAGCCGTAAATATATTAGTGTAAAAAGTAGTGACAATTGTGTAATAATAATGAAAAAGTAGGAATAATTTTATGAAGAGAATATATTATAAAACTATCATTATTTTTATTATTATTATTATTACACAATTATCTGATTTTTACACTAAGCAAAATTTTTTTTGTTTGATCACAATTCACGTACCCGAATTTGAAGGCCCTAAACAAACACATCCTATTATTTTTATATATTTATATATATCATATGTATTTTTCCCGCCAAAATTATTCACCGCCGTTAGGACTGACTTCAGTTCCATCTCCGCTGCGCTTTGCGCCACGGCGCCACCATGAACCTTAAGAGTAATCCGCCGGCGGCCTCCACCGGTACCCACCCCGTTGCGCCACCACTGATAACGGACGGTGACGTTATTTCCCTGGCCAAGCATCACCAGCAAAACCCTGTCTCTTCTCAAGCCCCGGCATTTCTTCTTGCCGAATCTTCGCACGAATTGCTTATCTCATTTCTCCATCGACGCGCCGCCCAGTTTCCTGATGCTTCTTCGGCTGTTTTCGAGTATGTGTCTTCTCTTCTTTCCCTAATCAACGGCCACGCTGCCTCTGGACACTCCTGTCTTATTTCGGCTCTCCTTCAGTCCCATCTCCGCCTCTTCACTTCCGGAGGAATACCACATGATCATAATTCTCTATCAACGCTCCAGCAATTTGTGGGGCTTCTTGACAATGTTGAAATTACTGAAGTTCGTAAGGTAATTGATTTGATTACTTCATATCTCCCTCAGATAAACGAAGTGGAGGATGCTCATATTTTGATTCTCCTTCCGAAGTGTCTTGATTTGGTTAGGATCTCGAATGAAATTGATAAAAGCGCTGAATACGTGAACTCGGTTGTTGATGCTTTGATTAATTGTGAGTGGAGTAAGGCTTTGTTGATCAAATTGGTGGAAATTGTCCGGGATATTTCTTTGTGCATTGATAAAGTTAGGAAGAGGAGTTTTTTGAATAAGTTTTTTCTGCAAATGAGGGATGATGTGGAAGTACAGGATTTGCCTGGTCTGGTCTATCAGTTTTTGGTGTTGGCGACCAAAGGGTTTAGCAAGAAGGAGGTTATTGAAGGGATTTTGATGTATTTTGGGGGTACCAATAAGGGTGGTTCAATTATGAAGCAAGTAGAGGGTACAGTTTTGCTTCATGTGAATTTTGGGGTCAAGCAGGATCCCTCTTTGGGGCAGGAGGTTTTGAGTTTGGTGAAGTTAGATTCAAGGGCTTTTAATCATTTTACTGTTGCAGTTTTGTTATCCATTGCAAGAATTAGGAGGTTCAACGAGAGTGCAATTGGTGTTTTGAAGACTGCATTGCTTAATTCTTATAAGGATTACAAGAGTGCAAAGTAAGTATAATTTCTGTTGATCTTTGTGTATGCGCCTTGTATTTAAATGTTACAATTTATATCTCTTTGCATTCAGGTTTTGGCGATTAATGGTCATATGATATGGTGCTAGTTCTTATTGGTACATGCCTGAATTTAAGGAATATGGCGGTGTTTTAGTGTACTTATGTTTGAAATAGCATGAAAACAACCTTCCAAAATTGATGACTAGTTAAATTGTTATTACGTTAGAGAATAGCATCGGTAGTATGTATGTTACTCATGAATCTATCATTCTTTTACAATAATCTATAAGCTATTGAGTATTGACCTGGTTTGTTAATGGTGATTAATCATGTTCATTGGAAGATTTCATAGTCAAATTACTTAATTGATTCTTATGGTTATAGGATCTGTATGCAAAACCATTACCATTTGTTGTTGCTTCAGAACCTGCAGATGGATATTTGATGAAGTGAAGGTAGAATATCTGGAAAATGCTAAAGTGATAGAAAAGGCTATTCTTAAGGCTGTAAGCTGTTTCCCCTTCTTCTTCTTGATTAATTTGAAAATTTTAATGCTGCGGATGATACAAATTAATTTCAGACCATGTGATTATGGATGATGTTTGTATGAATCTGCTTACATTTGTTCAGCGGCTGAATTATTCATTGTGGCATCGCTAGACTATATATGGCTTATGTCCCACTGCAGGTGAATGCTAATCATTATGGAAGAGAGCACATTATTCCCAGTATAGTGCAGTTAGGATTTAGCCTGCTTGAAGGAGTAGAAGAGGGAAACCAGAAAGAGATTTCGAGGTCTGATGGCCTATTGTGCACAGAAGAGCTAGGCACTCAGGTGCTGAAATGTTTATTTGAAGTACATGATATGTCAAGAAACGAGGTTACTAATTTAGTCAGTATGCTTTCTTAATTGTTAGATATCTCCATTCTGTTTGTGATGCATGGAAATGGCCTCTCTCTACAGAGAGTCTTCTTTACGTACACCACTTCAAGAAATTGCTGCTAGCAATGTTTAAAGCTATTGTTGGTGAATGTGTGGCAGTTTAATCACAACTCCTACAGAATTCAATTCTTGTGGTCTAAGTGTATAATCTTTTGTGCAGATAATTGAGCAATGCAAATTCCGTATCCTCTCTTTGAAGCCTGAAAAGTGCTTTGCTATAACAAGGTTGTATGAAAAGTATTGTTTTCAATATTTTTAGTGTTTTCCTGTATATTGTTGAGCTTATTTTAGTTTGTTAATTTTTTTCTCCAGATTGCTTAGATATCTGATCCAGGTTCATCCTCATCCGTTGTTGGACCTTGCACATCATTTGAAAGAAATGCTGGATTATTTTGCTTTTATGAATGCTAAGGTTTCATATCATCTTGTCATGGTTCTACTCCCTCTCACCAAGTTTAGTCGTGATCTTCAGGTACTATTCTAATTTGTTCATCAGCCAAATACAGCAATGCCAACCTTTTGACATGTTTTACACTTACATCACATAAAAGGGAAATGTTTTTCCCCCTCTTGATAGACCATAATAATCACCTTAACCTGTTTGTTATTTTCAGTAATAATGTCCAACTTTTATTATAATTACATTACCAATGTCCATGTACTTTGTGCAGGATTACATCATATTGGTTCTTCGAAAGTCTATGTTTAAACAACAGAGTTCAGTTCGTCTTGCTGCTGTTAATGTCATTTTTGACCTGATTTTGTCTGAAAAACAATCAAAAAAAGATGGACTTTTCTCTTTTCAAGAATCAAGCAGCCAGGCCAGTTGTAGCCAGCAAGCTGAAGTGCCTCTCCCGAATAGGGCAGACCTTTTCCAAGAGCTTTGTGGTTTACTGCAAAGATGCCTTTATCAGCAGGTGCATCTAATAGTCCAGTGCCTTTTTTATTTAGTCTAACCAGAAATTATATCCTTATGAAGAATTTTGAAGTTCCCCTTAGGTGGCATGATTACTCTATCTCTAAAGCAGTTTGTAGTCTAAAGTTCCAAAGTTGTGTGATATTTACTTTCTTAGGGAATTTAATAGAGTTGCTCAATCATGCATTAAGATCCCTAGAGATATTTTTGTCCATCATCTCACAGCTTATTTTACTTTGCTTGTTTCTTAAGGAAAATATCCGGGAAAATCTGTATCGTGGTTTAATGAGACTTGTCCTGGTGGATCCGCCAGCAGCCAACACAGTTTTCGATTTTCTCCTATCCCACTTTCAGCGATTTTATAAAGAGGTTTCCATCAAGATCTTTGTCAATATTAGCTTTCTACATCTACATGATTTGAAATAAATGTTGTAGTTTATGTTTCTAGGATTTAACCAATCCATTGGTTCTTGATCAATGCGTGAGACTAGAAAATGGAAAGATTTGTATTGAAGAACCACTTGATTGCCTCCTCTTTTGCATCTCCTGGGTTCTTCTTGTTCAGCCACAAAATAAATCTGATCATCTTTCAGATTCATGGGCTTGTTTGGGATTCTCCGCCAGTCAGGAAAATGAGGTAACTGATTTCATTTCATTTAGAATGGATCATATTTTTTGCAAGTATAATTGACATAACCTCTTTTTTTTTAAGGCTGGGAGAACTCTTTCCAGAGAGTTCTTCTCAAATGCTTTAGTGCAGATCCGGGAGCACCTGAGGACTGTGAATTTGGAAGGTAGTCTTTTAAATGCGATATTATCTTTATCCATCACCTAACAATGTATGCATAAAGAAACATAAGTTTCCTTCTGCTTCAGTTATGCTCCTCAAAGTTTATGCCTTATATGGTTGTTTAATTGCATGTTATTAGGCCTTCTGGGTAAAAATCAAGATTCGGTTTCTATATCAATGGATGAAGAAAAAAAGAGGTGCTTTGCTACCCTGCTGTTGGGAATAATTGAAGTTGTTATGAATATAACTGTTTCTGAAATGGAGAAAGCTGGTGCCATGTCAAAATTGGAATTGGAAAGGGAGCTTTCTAATTTTATTGAGATTCATGAGTTGGTGGAGAAATATGTCAAACAAGGCCATGGAGCTAAAAAAGCATATGTGAGACCTAGTGTTAGTGATGCTACTGAAAAACTCGTTTTAGGCGGTAACAAATTGACTCAAGAACGAACTCCTCTTTTGGCAGCTTCAAGCATCCATAGGCTCTTGAAACACGCATTAGAGTTATGGAAACTTGATCACACTAAATGCAGTGCACCTTCCCAGAAAAACAGCCAACATTCCTCAGGCAAGACACAAGCTCAGAACATGAGATTTCTCTCTTCTGTGCTAAATATGTGCTTTCGACAGCTACAATTCTTCTTTGTTACTGAAAATGAAGATACATTAAAGACATTGATTTATGGGGACATCAAGCTTCTTGGGCTTCCGCTGCTTAGAATTGTTTATTCTCTCAAGTCATTGCTAAAGTCTGAGATGGATCTTAGCAAGAAAGAAGCAAAAGGAAAGAAAGATGCTGAAGATAGAAGGGAAAATATTCATTTGGCCTTGCTTTGCCTGAAAAAGTTTATTGAAATAAGTTTGTCTGCCACAAAGTACAAGAGCTTGATTGATGATTTGGCCTCAGCCCAAGGAATAGAGGATGAATCAACTGTTGCTGCGAATGCTGATTGTGATGATGACGGCAAATTAGCTGAAGGTATCGATGACCAGACCACAAGATGCAAAGAAGTATTAATAAAAAGGATCTTAAGGCCTCTCCTCAACGAGTTTCTTGAACTTTCTTTCTTCCGTGAAGCTGAGGTAAATTTCTTGTGCTTTAGATCTCCATTTAAGCAATCCGAATTACTATTGTAATTAATTTTATTCTCTCTGTTGGTTGTGCAATGGTATTTGATTTGTGCTATCATTGTAATGCCATTAAAAATGATGTGCATTCTCAGATTCTTGGTGACATAGTGCTGATGATTGGCAACAAGTTGCCTGAGGAAAGAAGGAATCTTATAGGCTCCTGGATCGTACGATTATGCAAAAGAATTCATATATCAAATTCAAAGGTTGCAAAAATTTTGGTCTTTATTGCTGCTACTTTAAGCACGCCTCCAGAAGATTTGTTCATCACCAAAAGTATTGCTGCAGAACTTCTAAAAGTTGTAGGGTCTGAGAATGCTAGCCCTGTAGATACATCTGAAATCTTCCCCATTATAAACAAATCAACAGATGCTGCGATAGCTTCTACATTATTGCAGTCACTCGAACCCAGCATAGTTGATATGGACTGGATCGTGGCAAGGCTAAAGACATACTATATGGCGTCTCAAAAGGGTGTTTCTTTTGATCAGATCGACAAAGCATCCCCTGAATTACAATTGGAAGAGATATTGTTTTCGAGAGCTGAAGCTGTTGTTAAGGTGCTATCAGATTTTATTTCCATGAATTTAAAGGGTATGAAAAGCTCTATTTATAGTGAATGAACTTGCATTGCTTATCGGTTTCTAGATCATCTAACCCTCTAGACAATGCAGATCCTCAAGCAGAAGTTCTGCTGAGGTTGGCCGCGAAATTCTACAAGAATCTAGCGCGAATATCAAAGCTGCAAATTGCTCCTAAAGGATGTCAGCAAATTTTACCCAGCCTCAAGTACCAGAGGCTTGTGGAAATTACTTGCAGGCAATTAACAACGCCTATTTACAACTTTGTTGCTCAGATGCAGAAGGTATTGGCTTCTTTTCCCTGTTTCAGAATCTACTGTCCTGTTACTGAAAATTTTGATCATCGGAAATTTTATCAATATTTTATTGATTTGAATGGTTCCTGCTTCTAAAATAAATGCTTATTAGAACTCATATGACATCTTGAAGAGCATTTGTTGATTGGTTGCAGAACCAGCAGGAAAGCAACAAGACTAGAGGAATTGCCAGCAAAATCAAGAGGGAAAACAGATGCATCCCTGACTTGATATTCCAGATAGAAGACCACGAAAAGTATCTTATCCAATTGAGCAAGATCACCAGAGTCAATCTGTTGAGACATGCAAAACGCAGCACCTCCAGGGACTTCAAAATACTAGAGTCAGTGAATGAACAAAACCCGAGCCATGATGCAGATCACAACAGCGCAAATGCTACTGAGACTAACTCACCTGAAGGATCTGCTAATGAAAGAGAAGAAAGTAATGATGACCATTTGTCCATAGCTGAAGAGGATACAGAGGATGAGGAGGAAACTGCAGTTCCTCAAGCCAAGAGAGCAAGAACCAGTAGAGTTGTGCAGGACTCTGATGAAGAAGAAGCAGCAGCTGCAGAAGCATAGCAACAAAAGCCATGTGGTATGTTTTCAGTAACATGTTTTGAAGGTCCAGATTATATATACTTGGGTTTAGACACAGGATTTTAGAAATTTTTGGAATTTTGAAAGTTCGAGGAAAGTAAAAAGATAAAAAATAAAAAATAGTCATGTTTGATGTAACTTGCGGAGATGATTTGATGTGATGTTTTTTTTTTATTGGGTTTTGACTTTCTGACCAGTGACCAGACATCATGAGTCAACATATAGACTATTTTCTAGATGGTTTAAACTGAGAATTAAGTGTAGATCACTGTTCAAAATCAAGGATTTCTGAGATGTCAATAAAAAGACACACCTTTACAGATCAGGCGGCACCGCACACATCTCTGCGTCTCTCTCGACCTCGAGCGGGAGATTTGAATTTAGGAAGAAAATAATCGATTTTTATCCTTAATTGAGAACGGGCTGGAAGATTTTTGGCGAGATAATGAGTGAAGAATCGAGAGTGAGTGGTGGCGGAGCCCTGATTGTGCCGGTGGCATCCTCCGACCATCGGAAACCCTCCTCGAGATCAAATCCCGGCAAGAAAGTTACCATAAAGAGTGCGGACATGAAGGAGGACGTGCAGAAAGATGCAGTCGACATTGCCATTGCTGTAATCTTCGTCTCCACTCTTCCTTTTTCCCAATTGATTAATACCCTTCAGGCATTCTTTTCAGATATTACCTTGTGTCCTTGAACATGTAAAACGTTCCTGGTTGGCAGGCTTTTGAAAAGTATAATGTGGAGAAGGATGTGGCGGAGCACATAAAGAAGATGTTTGACAAGAAATACGGTCCGACTTGGCATTGCATTGTGGGCAAGAATTTTGGTAATCATATTTGATCGTTCTTCGATATTTTTAAATTTTCGTTTTGGTTAGCAGCTTCATCATTTATATCCAACCATTACAGTAAATAGTTACAGAAGATTCAGTGAGGAACAATTGTGAGTATTAACTATAATTCATTTTTCTGGAACTTTTAACTTTGTCTCATCTAAGAAGAAAAGTCTGAAAAGCATCGTATGTGATATGCACTACCCAATTTTCATGATTTACGGTTGGCTCTTCCATTGCCAAACTTGTATCTTGGATCCAGGCTTGCACACCCACAGGTGAGTCCTACTAATAGGATTGAATTGAAGTTCCATAGATTGAATGTATAAATTCCTTATAGAGTCTCAGAGTATGAAATAGCTAATGATAAGAGCCAAATTTGCTTCCTTGTATATTAACATGTTTGCCACTTTGAAAAATATATGGGGTTAATCTAAATTCAATAATTGCAAGGTTAATTTTCTTATCACAATTTATTTTTCCATTTTACTTCTCTTTCCAACTTTGGGTGGGAATTTTTCTATGAAAATTATTTCTCTCCATTTTGTACCTTTTCCTTCTCAAACTTCCAAACAAATGAATATTAAGACTTCCTCCCACTTCCCTTCTTTCCCTTGTATTTATGTCAGCCTAAGTGGTTTTTGAGAAATCTACGAAATGGTTGTTCATTTTCTATTATGACAAAACCAATCTCTGTGAAACTTGCATGTGACAAGTTGAAATAAATATTTTGTCAAAGCAAACTATGTCTGTTTTTGTAGTAAACATCCATAAGCACAGCCATACACTGGCTATTTAGGCTTGCTCATTTTCTTGTTCTGACATACTTTCTGCATTTCTTTAATGAGTGCACTTCTAAGAATATGAGGGATGGCCCGGTGGTGTAAGGGTTGGACTTGTGAGCCACATCGATTATCATGTCTTATGTTATTTGAAGTTCACTGCAATCATGTCCAATAGATTGGAAAATGTAGTAAAAGTAGATGCTAGAAGATTAGAGAAAATGTAAATGGATTTAGTTGTATTAGTTGTGATGATCTTTAGCTTATCCACATCTTCAAAAAGTGCCGCCGATTCGGGTCTTGTTGTATATATCTGTAAGCGCATTCTAATCCAAACCTCATTGTTTTTTTTAGGTTCTTACGTGACACATGAAACAAATCATTTTGTCTACTTCTATTTGGATTCCAAAGCAGTACTCTTGTTCAAATCTGGCTGAGCTGTGTGTGGTGACCCAGATGAAGACAGTTGATGATGAAAGACGAAGAAGATAAGATTATGACGATGGCGACAATATAGCCAACCTCCTTTGTATGTAGTGTCTAAAGATGTTTATCTTTGGAAGAGTCCTTGTACTTTATGCAAGAATGTTGTTGTGGGTGTTTGTGATCGATCTTGTGGCAAAATTCTGAAGCATTAATAAAACCATGGTGCAGTGAATTGAGGGCATTGAAGTTTGATGGTCCAAATTCCATTATTTTGGCTCAGTTTGTACTAAATAGACTTATTGTTATTATGACGATGATAGAGGGGACATCGACATACAGTGCAGTGCATTTGCTCTCAATTTTGGAGAATGGAGATGGGCTTGGGAAGTTGGGATATACTATTATTTCCCGTTTGTTGGTTTCTACTTGTATTATCTCACTACCCTAATCTGAAAGACATGATTGAAGCCATGACTTGACCTTCTGATTGTCTGTTTATTACAGCTAATGACTTTGTGGAAGTTCATGCACATTTTGTGAGCTTACAACTTTGTACCAATTCTAACTAGTTGGAATTTTTTTTATTTTTTTTTTCAAGAATATGATCAAAATTTAATAATATTGCTGATGTTGCAACAGCCATTAATTTATTTGTAGAGTTTCCGAGATCCAAGAAAAGATATTTATTATCTCAAGAAGAGAAGATAGGAAGTGGGATCATCTTCTTCACCTTCAATTCTTCATCTTGGTGTTGGATGTGATAGAAATACTTTCTCCCCAAAAAAGAAAAAATCAATCTTGAATTTCTCTGCCAGCAGTTTTGCCACTCAAACTCAAAAAAACCAAAATGCAATGAGGAATGAATTACAACCCTGGCTGGCTTCATTCTAGGAAACATCGAAGGAAAGGATATTTAATTAAAGTTTCATAAACACTATCATTCCTCAGTAGGCAAAGGCGTTCCATCTTCTGCCGCCGGCGCCGGCGACGCTCGGCCCATCAGCCGGACGTGTAGCCGAAGAAGATGGAGGGGACGATGACGTGGCAGCTAGAGAGCAATTGTGGTTGTACTCCCGGGTACAACCACTCTTTGCATCTTCTTCGTCCATTAATATCTGCCTGCATCTGCACTCCTCGCTACAGAAAGCTCTGTCCCCTCTGCCCAAAATCAACAGCACAACCGTGTCTGTAAGTAATTTATTTTAATTAATATGTTATCCAAGACGAAATCGATGCTTACTTGTACATGTAGATGTCCGTTCCGGGCAGCAGCTTGAGGTTGCAGAGGAAGCAATTGTCGAGAAATGAAGGTAAGGGTTTCTTTCTGGAGAATCCGCCATTTGGGGATTTTGGAGACGACGATGAAGATGCTGCTTTTAGAATTCCTTTGCTGATGACTTGCGGGCATGGTTTTGCAGACAGGTCCTCGTAATTTTCCAGGATCACACTTAGTCCCACCATTTCATGTTCTTCTGCGGCGGCGGTGGCGGTGGCGGTGGAGTGGTCTGAGACTGACTGAGAGTGAGTACGTTTACTTAATTTTGAAGGTGATAGAAAATACGATGGCCAAAAATAAATAGAACAGGGGGGTGGGGTGGGGGGGGGGGGGCTTGTTAACTGCCACGTACCCTTGTATAGCTCAATTTGCTTGCACATTTCCAGTTTTATTTTTACTTTTTTTTAAAATATTAATAAGATTAATCATTTCTTGAAATTGGGTTTTGTCGTTTTGTGGTAATGGAGGAGTTGTTTTACTGTTCCTGTTTTCTGTAAGAGCTCTTCACTGCACTTTTCTGATCACAAAAAGATTCAATTTTTTTACTTGTATGCTTTTGTAATTGGGAGGTCCAGGGACCCCAACGCCGGACGGGTGTATTGTCCGCCATCGGTTTTCGTTGGAGTCCTGGAGCTTGGAATTTAATTTAGGGTTTTATGGTATTGGTGGTAAGTTTATTTGTGGGAATAATTATAAAAAAAGATATTTTTTTGGTGGAAGCTAGTTTATAGAATATTAAATTTGATTGGGGATACATTTGAAAGTTAAGGGCTGCGGATTCAATTGAAAAAAAAGACATTATAAGCTTTTATTCAATATGTGTAGTGTGTTTATAAATATAAATATATTGTATATAACTATATCGATTGTAATATGTATTATTTGATTCATTATTTATTAATTTCTTTTGTCCTTGATATCATGAGAATTGGGACAGGGTTGGATCATTGAATTGGTGTGATATTGATTTCATTTTTGAATTTTGTCTATATATTATTGTCTCGAAAACAATCATTGAGTAAAATTTGATTCAATCATGCTCAGATAAATTACAAACAATTTTAAATTAAATTGTAGGCCTGCGTAGCACTTAATTAGTGAACTTAGTACATACATATTCATTAATTTATATATTATATTTTCTTGAGTTGGATTTAGTATGCCATCAATTGTATGTATCAGAGCTTTGACTTGAATATTAAAATTACTTTTAAATAAAATAAATTTATTGAAGTGCATTAATTAATGAACAGTTTAAAATAATAACACTGTTTTAATTTATTATGGTTGATTGGTCTCATATAATGAATTAATTAATAAATAATATTCTCAATATATATGCATACTTACTCAAACTAAAAATATATATATATATATATAATCAGTAGATAATGGGTACTAAAATTATTATGAATTTATTAATGGGATAAGATAGGGTTTGGAGTGGGAAGAATGTCCAATTTAATTTCCTATATGGTAAGTATTTGCATGCTACGTAACAAGATAATGTATTGTATTTCTATAGATAAATATTCACTTTAATTAATTTATATTTGCTCTCTCTTTCTCTGTCTACACATATATTATGATATATATATATATGTATGTATGTATATATAGAAGCTATGTTTAAGTAAAGGACAAATTAAAGTGCATTATGAGATAAAGAATAGAAACCCCACTAATTAATTAATAAAATAATTAAATAAAAAGGTCAACAAATCCATCATTTTTATGGCCATATACCAAGAATAATTGTGATATCGAATATATATGCATAATACTACTACTGCCAACATACATATAAAAGTGACATTCTGGCATTTCTTATTGCTTCTTTTCTCCGTTATGATAATGATATAAATGACCGTCTCACTTAAAAAGTTAGACTATAAACAATGGGAATAAATGTCATCGAACAAAACTTTGATACCATATTAGATAGTGCAGAATGATTGTCTCACCTAAAAAGTTAAACTACGGACAAAGGAGATAAATATCTCCGAATAAAATTTTGATATCATGTTAAATAACGCAGAATGACCATCTCATTTAAAAGTTAAAATTCTTAGATATATGCATCACTAATTTATTTATCTATAATCAACCACCAATATATAGAGATAGATAAATGGTGGTGGTGGAATGATCACTATATATTAAATTGGCAATCAAATAGATGATAGATTTTGCATTATTTAATTGATTAGACAATGGAAGATAATGATAGTGATAAGATATTAATATAACCCTTCTTTTTTTTTTTTTTTTTAACAATCCCTAATTAACCCTTTGTGATATTTCATTTTTCGAAGTTCTATTTTATGGGATTATTTACTTACTGTTTTTATAAAAAAAAGTTTAAATAATAGTATTTTGAATGTAATATTTTTTGTTAGAAGAAATACTACATATTTTTATGGAATTGCGATAAAACCACACTCTAAAAGAAGAAAAGATGTTGAACTTAATCTAGCGTGGCTTTCTCATCGGATCTAATTTACAGGGTATTGGGTTCAGTTGGAGATTTAGCCATTGCGCATTTTCGGGTAACGGCTGCGGATTCCCACGATGTTTGAATTTAAAATCCACGACATTACTGATAGCAAACAATATATGGTACAAAAGCAAATAAACTCTATAATATATCAATCTTGAACATATAATGTCTGAATAAATAACGCTATATATAAATAACAAAAAAAAAAAAAATATGTTGTAGAGACTAACAACAGAGACAGACATCATAATTATATTAACATATATATTACAAATGCATTATTTGTAAATTTTATTCCAACACATGAAGTGTATTTATACAAATATTACACAATTATATGATCTCATTTCAACACATGAAGCATAAACATATACTTCTCCGTCTGAGCAGATAATTCATTTGATTTTTGCATGTAAATTTAAGTATATCATATTTTAATGATATATAGTATAATACAATAGGGTTAAAAAAAAAAAAAAAAAATCTATTTTACTCTTAGCATTAGTGAAATTAAAAGAATAAACATAATAAAATTGTTGATGTCGATTTTCAATAATAAAAAGTAAAATTCGAAAATAGAAATTATCTTCTAATTTGATAGAATAAATGTCTGAGATTAAAAATCTGTAGACACCGTACGATACATAAATAAACTAAAAAAATAAAAACTACAGACTGAAATAAATTTATTTATTCTCTTTAACCATTAATGCACAATATTTTGTTTCATCTATTTTATATTAAAATAAATTTAAAATATCTTATGTTAATTTTATGGTGACACTATTCTCTTGATTGAAAGATTTAAGGGTTAAAACGACTTAAACATATTTAGGAAAGAAATAAATTAAAAATGACAAAAATTATCAATATATTGTTTCTACAATAGAGACATCAATTTGAAATTGAATTAGTGTTGTGATGAATGTAAGCACTTATTGAGTACATATGCATGCATGCCACCCCTAATTAATTTTATAGTGCAATTAATATATAGATATCTATGCACTAATTAAATTAAATTAGCCCAAGAATTTTATTAGATATTGGTATTCAAGAAATGTTTTAAATTTGCATAAAGAAGTAGGGTTGCAACCTAGCTACCTATCTAGCCATTATATCCTCTCTAGCTCTATAAGTAATTTAATAATGTTTTTATGACAACCTATACTATACATTATTATTCATTAATGCCTCAATTAATTTGCAATAAATATCTTCACACGTGTCCTTTGTTTCCTTCATTCTTGTCTTGTCTACCGGTTGCCCAACACACCTACAATTAATATTTACAATTAATATCGATCCATTCAATTTTTTGTTTTTAATTTTTCAACTATAGCAAAAGGTTATTTGTGTTGACTAAAATTAATCCGCATATAAGTATGTATTTCTCCTCCGTCCCAAACATCCTGCAATATTTTTTTTCCCAAATTCACTGCAATATTTTCAAATTTAGAAATAATTAATAGTATTTATATACATATATTGATATATACTCCACTTTATTCCATCATATCACTTAAATAAAAATATAAATAATTATTTCTCTCTCCAATCACATTGATATCCAAATTATCTCAAATTACCGTACTTAATACTCTCCATCTAAATTCCCGTGCCAAACATAAATGTTGCACGGTGTTTGGGACGAAGGGAGTACTATTTATTATTGGCTGATACCATCAATTTATATTACTTTGGTTGTGTTAATTAAATACGTTTGAAAGTATTTTGGAGTTTTAAAAAAATTATAAAATATTAGGGCTGTGTTTGTTTTGTGATATAATTTGAACGGGTATTTTTTGATATGTGATGTATGAAAAATTGTATAGATAATATAAAAATAATGAATGTGTACGATATATATTAATATATTTTTGAAAAATGTATAAAAAAAAAATAAAGAAAACACACATAATAAAAAAAAACAGAGCTTTAATATAATGTAAGTAGGTATTAAATTTTGTATTATTGAATATTGTCCCACATTGGTAAATGCTTGAGAACTCTCCTACCCTACGGACCACTCCACCACCTAGGTTGGAAGCCCTGATCCCTTCTTAATATTTGATATGTCAATAGCACATATTATATTAACCACCAACCTTTATTATATTACTAATACTTTGCTATATTTTTGAGTCATTGCTTTATAGTAATAAAGGTGTAGTCTTAACAAATTCAATTATTAGAAATTTTAAAGTATACATATAATTATAGTAATCACATGCATTTAAAAGTTAATTTTGAAATTATTAATTTATAAAAATATCAAATACCTATTTTTATTTTTTATGTTTACAAAATACAGTATTAATTATTTTAAAACTTCAATTTTTTTTGAAAAATTCTATCGAAACAGATCATTTATTTGGATAGGAGTAGAAATCAATGTACAGTCAGTCATCCATATGGTGGGCTTTTGGATTGGCCCAATATAATATATGAATCTGATTGGGCCTTTTGAGATATTGAGCCGACAAATTTGATTAAAATTATTAGCCCAATTAATCGTTATTCTCGAAAAGGACCTTTCTTCTTCCCGGGCGAATTTTCCGTTCCCCGCCATCTTTTATCTTCGTCTTTCTGGAGGTGGTTTTCAGTTAATTTAATGGCTTCTTCGGCTGGCAACAGATTGGTTCATGGCTGCAATGCTGTCAATTCTGCTGGTTGTCTTGCATCTTCCGAAAGGTTTTTGCATTTATCAATATATTCGCCCCCAAACACAACAATTCATTTGCCTGATTGTGTTTTAGCTTTAAAATACAATTTCACTACTTTGCATTTTTTTTTTTTTTTTTTTTATAATGAAGTAGTTCATATATTTATAGTGTAGGTGGATTTCGTTGTTAGTGATGATGATTTATTCCGCTTTTGTATGATTCATTTGTTTGAAACTATTGCTAGCGAGGCGAGCGTTTGAAGGAAAGCTCTAGATTGATGCATTTCGGTGCAGTTTGATATTGAGACATTTATTTTGCCTCAGATCTTTAGTGATGTGATGTGATATGATATTTCTTTTTAAATAACGGAAGGTGAAGGTTTGTGTGGAAAGTGTGAAACTAGTTATAGTAAGAAGAGGAGAACAGGGAAATAAGTAGGCACTGTATGAAAATCACCAATGAAGACAGTAAAGTTGATTGAATAGGACAGTTGATTGAGCAACTGAGGAAACAACCAAGAGTCACTGCTGGATTATGCTGCACTTTTATCTAGAAGTTAGATTGACAACCTAAACTGGGTACGCACGAGTGCTAATAAGCAAGAAATTTTGATTCATTGTGCGTTCACAATTAAAGCTTTGTAAATCTGTCTTGTTGCAGTCAAGATGTTCGGCGAAATGCCGGTAAAGAATGTTATTCATTTGAATGTGCTACCTTGGTCTAAGTGGTTTCTGGTCTCCTTCTCCGAAGGTTTATCCCAGCAGCATGAATCAAGCATTCTTTTCCCTCGCATTATGGTTTATGGGTTTTGTTTTGGTGTGTTCATCTTCCTTTTTCAGTGCGAGGTTGTTTAACTTCTGGCAGCTATTTCATTGTCTATTGGGACCTTTGATTAACACAGCCATAGTTATTGTTTGGCTAGTCATATCAAGTTTATCATTATTTATTTCTTTCTTCACTTTGGCTTCTTGACTGAATATAACCCCCCATCTTATGTTTTGTCAAATTATCACTTCTTTCACCCTCATCATCATCATCATCATCATTAGATGATATCTCTTTCTTTGTATTATTGATTTATCACTATTTTCATTATCATTTATCAGTTTTCATTTGTTGCATCAATCATTTTTGTTACAATATGCCTTTTGAGCTATTGTGTCATCATTTTCATTCTCATGTTTTTTAAGCATCATCAACTGTTGGTCTTCATTCCCCAGTGCTTCAACCTCATTTTCATAGCCTGGGTTTTGTCCTTTCATGCCATATTGCCATCCGTTTCATCAACTCCACCTTTGGCTTCATCGTCATTCTCATATAGAACTTGTAGGTTTCAATCTTCTTTTGTGTAGCTTTTCTGTCCAAAATGTGCTTGGAAACTCCAGGCATTGCAGGGGAGTGTTGAAATATAATGCTGGAGATGAAATGGATAGGAGTTAAGATCCCTAACTGATTCTGAGATATTGCAGTGGAGGGTGATTTATAGCTGGCATCTTGGAGTTTCTTATAAGTTTGTTAGATTGTTAGATTTCTTATATATATATATATATATATATTCATATATGATATATCTATTTTTACCTCATATAATGGGATTATAAATAGATTCTCTATACTATTTGATATCAAGAACTAATATGGGTGTGTTCGGTTGAGAGATTTAGACAAAATCTCACTATTCATCCAAAATTTTCCCCCCAAAAACATCAAATCAAATACCTATTTTTTATTTTTTATATTATACTAAAAATCAATTTTACATCCAAAACATCACATCATCACCTATTTATATCACATCATACAACTATTCAAATTCAAAATTTTTACTATTCAAATCCCAACTCAAAATCCAAACCCCCAAACAAACACACCCTATGTAGAAACTTGCCTTTATCTTGTTCTTCATCTTTTGTCTATTGTATTGCTTTATTCTTGGTCTTCATCATTTGTGCATCAACTCCAAATCTTAATAGTTAATTGGTCTGTAATGTAATGAACGGACACGGGATAAAAAATATCTGAAAATTCTTAAATTGTCTAGTTTCATTCATTATTGATCTATTTTTAACATTTTAGTTAGTCTGGTTTAGTTTCAGAGGCAATTTTCAATATGATTTTCACTGAGAAAGTTAGTTATGAAGGCCACTATGCCATTCATATGCTTGTCCTTAGGTTGTATTCACTAAGTGGCATGCAGAGCATTGCTTGTCGAAGCAAAGTGAACTGGGTTGGATGCCCGGATCTCTTCTTAACACTGAGTTATCTAAAATGTTTATTCAGTTTTATATCTGCGTACACACATTAATGAGCATATATTCCAGACGGAGGATAGAATAAAGTACATGTGTGCATCATAGAATATTGTTATCTACAGTTATATTTGCCATACACCTAATCAAAGGACAATATAACGAATTCATACTAGTTCAGTTTACATACAAAATAGTAGCGTCACTATTTACTCACAGTTCTACAATAAGTATCCGGGTCATTGTAACCTTCTAATTGGAGAGAGAACAACGTTTTCATCCCCTTGTTGCTCTAATCCTCTTCCACTCTTGCTGCATAATAACATACTTATCTCCTTGTTGCTCTTATCCTCTTCTACTCTTACTGCAGTTCTTTCTTTGGAGTGTTCTCTTTCAATCAATGATTATTACTTCTTCCTCACCCTTCACCAATAGATCTGCATGTATATGTTCACTGCTGTCGCCGACCAAGTTTCTTGCTTTTATATATTCTCTTTCCCAACATGTTCTGTAAACAACTGTTAAAATGGATACTATGCATGCCAGCTGAGCGGCTAAAAGCCCATAACAAAGGCCTGGGAATTTGAGCTCCCAGAAGAAGGCTAAAGAGATTGCCACAGGTGTTCCTATCAAGTAAAACGAGCAAAAGTTTATTCCTGCACCAATGCCAGGCCTGGCGCTTCCGCGCAGGACACCACAACAGGTGGTTTGTGGACAATTAGCCAGTTCACAGATTCCAATAATGGGTAGCACAGCCATTGTCAGCTCAAGAATTTCACTGTCATCCGAGAAAACTCTACTCCATGCTTGTCTTCCTACAGTAGTCAGCAGTAATCCAAACAATGATGTTGAGAAGGCCAGTGCTATGGCCACTGCAGCTGCCAATTGTGCTTTCTGAGGCCTACCTGCACCAAGCTCATTGCCCACTCTTGTAGAAATCGATGCACTTAGTGCTGAAGGCAATGTGTACATGAGAGATGTTGTCTGTATTACTATGGCTGATGTTGCAAGTGCAATGTGGGGTTTGTCGAGATATCCAGCCAGAAGTGTCATGATCTCATACCACCACCATTCTAAACAGATACCCAGGCAACTAGGGATTGCTAGTCGAAATAGCATTCGCCACTCTTCCCACAACGAGGTGGTCAAACCAAGCTTACTTGAAGGTGGTAGAAAGAGTTTAGACAAGTGAATCTTTTCCTTAAGAGAATATTTTAGATATCCCATGAGGAGGAACACCGTGTTAAGGTTTGCAATAAATGTGGAGATTGCAATTCCCTGGATACCAAGATGTTGATAGAAAGTAAAGAAGATGGTGATTGGAAAATGAAACAGAATTGCCAGCAGAGTGCACCAGAGCAGGGGCCATGTTGTTCCTTTGCTACGTATGTAGATACGCAGTGGATGAAGTAGGCTACTGGCAATAAGATCAGGGACAGCACATCGGCAGTAAAGGCTTGCAATATGTACTACTTGGGGTTCTTGGTGTAGCCATAGTAAGAGTGGCTCTAGGTAAATCCAAAGCATTCCAATGGGTATTGATGCAAAAAGTAACATAATGACTGTTCTGTGAAGAGTGAGAGACACCATGCTGAAGTTTTGGGATCCAAATGCTTGGCTGCAGAGTGGTTCCATTCCCATTGCAAGACCGTAAAGAACAGAGTAACCAGTAATGTTGGTGAAACCTATGGCTAGTGCACCTCCTGCTAGGTCCAAGCTCCCCAGCCTTCCCATGCATGCTACAGAAATCATGTTTTTGAGGTAACTTGATATGCCCATAAGAAATATAGGGACACCAATGTCAGTACTAATCTTGAGTTCTTCAATTACCTGGAAATAGAAGAATTGAACTAATCATTAAAACTATCGCTGCACCTAATTATCTAACTTAAGTTTCTGAAGATCATGCTGTTCTTACCTCAAAAATCGACGGCTTTTTTTTGGGATCAGCTTCTGCCATCTTGTCGGTCTTTTTAATTTCCATTTTCATCCTCTTGGTTGTGTTATCTGAGGATCTTAATATCTTACTGCTCGCATTTACTCTTATGCACTTTAAACCTGCAAGGCCACACCATGCACTGAGAGGGCAGTGTAAGTGGTACTTCACAGGATATGATGGTGTTTTATAGGTGCTGATTAGGCTGAGGAGCAAAAGGAGGAATCCGCCTGAGGAGGGGCTTGCGTCTAAGGTGTTGGGTACATGAGTTTGGGAATTTCTCTTTTATCCTTAAACATTTAGTTTTTCTTAATATTAGAACGTACTGTGGTGTTTTCACTCTATCCTCCTATTAGATCAGAGCTAAAACTTCTATTGTCACTTTGCCATATATATAAGAGCATATCTACTTCCCCTACTAAGAGAATCTTACAGGAAGTATTATGGACTCAACTTATTATTGTAGTCGATTTATGCTGGTTCGATAAATCCTTTACCTACATTGTCTTCTCTATATGGATAGAATGACTTTGTAGTTAGCCCACTTGATGCCAAATTAATTATCTACTGCCTGTTCTTATTGATTGCTTGATATGCTTGCTGATCATGTAGTTGATCATTTATGTAGTACCATAGCATCTTCAAACTATGTTTCAACTTCATCAAAACTGGTTATATGGTAAACCTTACCATGTCTTTTATCAAATCATTGACAGAAGAATTTATTTATGATTATAGATGGGATTATTTCAGGTTTATGTCATGTTCTAGCTAGTGTTTTTGGCTAAGTAAAAGCCTTCCTATTTCTGTTTGCCTGATGATGTGTGTCTAGTCCTATTGGAAACCTCCTCCAAATCAGGCTGTAGCACACACCTCGTACGGAATGTTTTTACAGAAAACCCTCTGTTTCTGTATTATTTATATCTTATTTTTTAGTTAGGTTCAAGTAAGGGAAGTACACACACATGCTTACACCTAATTCCAACTATGACCCACTGCACCCTTGCCTTTCCATCATTTATTACCTACCTTTAGCTGTAAAGTGATTTAGTTAGTTATTTTTTGTAGTTATGTTTACAAGTTACTGTCACTTTAAATAGCCTCCATCAAGAGATGCATGTTGACAACGTGAAATAAATTGCAAAACATGGCTATATGCTTCGATCCGTGCATGTCTATGGAGGTTTTACTTGTACATAATTATGAAACTAATGAATCATTTTATGGAGTTTGACATTGTCTAAATAAAGCTTACATTTCATGCAATTTGACTTTATGCTAGCCTTCAACGAACCGTTATCATGTAGCAAAAATTTACCTGCATTGTGTTAATTTTACTCTGCCTCCAAAAGAAACCTTTATCTTCTGGTCGTAAAATTCTACATGTCACTGCTGCTGAAAAGATTGCATACATGCATTTATTTTGTGACATAATAGTTGATAGGAAATATTAGCACTTGCAACATAAATGATCTTGTCGTTCATATATGGAACCATGCATGTGCATATTTGTTGCACCAAATGAGTGGCAAATCAGGACTTCTGTATAATTATTATAATATTGTAGACAAAGTGCATTTGCTAGAAACTTTCTATTCAACCATTCAAGGATGAGATGTCACCCCTGTTTGATCCATAATATGGAACATCTGTTTCTGTTTGCCAGTGTACTTTACTTTTGCTTGATCTCAAAGTTTCATGTGATTTTATTAGTGATAGCCATAAAAACGTGATAATTTGCACTAACAGCTCATATTTCATATCAATTGATTGATAAACTAAAAAAAGCTTTAACCTAATCATTCTTTTCTTTTCTTCTCCATGCTAAGATTCACACAATATATGTTGATGGAATCTTCTTTAGGTACGGCATTATATTAATGCATTACCTGTTCTGAGTATAAATAAATAAAAACCTGATGATAATTTGCACTAACAGCACTAAGTTGTTGAGGATTCAATCATCTTTGGGAAATCTTTAAGCCACTTAAGGACAACTTGCACCAAGCTGACCCCAATCGAATGCTGCTGCTCCTTTGCCCCACATACACTTTGCTTCGTTTTTCTGTTGAGAATCAAAGCTGGGGTTAAGAACCTAAAGTTTGAAAGGAAAACGACACCATCTCAGTGGAATACCGATAACATGAAAAGAGATCATGTGGATCTTAGTGGAATAATGCTATATATGTTGGGGCCAGGTTTGAAATTGCTCACTAGATATGTTGCCTTTGTGACTCAATTCTGTTTAGTCAAAATACTTTCATTAAGTCTAGCGCTGGCTATAGTTTAGCTACATAGGAAAATGATTTAGTGGAGATATATCTTAGTGATAGATTGTCCACGTTGCTTGGTCTTATTTCTTCATGAAACTATAGAAGGTACAGACAAAATATCCCAACAATAGAGGCAAGTGCACGGATTCAAAAACTGAAAATTTCAAGAATTGACCTTTCTTTAATCCTAGTTTTAGAACTTTAGATTAGCATAAATTGTGGTGCTGCTTTATGGGGTGCACACAGTGGAAAAGGTTGGGATTGGGAATTGCCTTTAGGAAATTTCTTTTGCGAAATTGCCTCTTACCTGTATAACAAATATCTGAAAAAGTTTCATGCAAGCATTATTCATTAGAAAATATTCCAAGATGTTTAAAACTTGTATGAGTAATAATATTTTATGAACCAATAATAAGAACCTCCCAGTCTGGCACATTTCACTCATGTGAAGTATTTCTTGATGCGGTAAGAGGAATGAAAGTAGTGTCAAACGTTTATAAATGATTTGTAGCTGCAGGGAGGGTGGACCACACCAAAGTGATTGAGATTCTTTCCTCCAGTTCTACATGTAATGAAAATGATACCAGAGTTTTTTTGTTTCCACATTTTACCTTCATGAATACAAAGTGTCTTCATTTATGTGAAAGCAATTGATATTTAAGAATTCTGTAGCTACGAATATTCTCATCATGACGTCCTTGCATGGACGTGCACCTAATTTTAGGTGCCCCACGTGTTCTAAACTCTCACTTCTCTCTCTCTCTGTCTCTCTCTCTCACACATACACACTCTAACAAAGTATTCTTTACGGTTTTCACGTCATGGAACTTGTATGTTTTATAGGAAATGCCTAAGGTTTGGTTCCTTGTTACTTATCCTTGCCTTAGAGAAAACCTAACACAAAATCTTAATATTGATGGTTTGATCAAACAACCAAGCCAACTCAACGGGAATCAAATGAGATGTAGATTGTAGTTTTAATCTTGGCTTTTAAAGATGCATGGGGGATTTTTTTTTTTTTTTTTTTTTTTGGTGGGGGGTGGGGGGGGGGGGGGGAAGGGAACTTGAGCAATGCAAGTACATTCTCCTTGTTGTTCTTCTGATATTATGCCGGGGAGGTTGCTTTCCAAGGCTGGCCTGTGATTCTTGTGTATGGAGATCTCCATGTGGTAATGATGTAGCATAGATCAATGCTCATGGTCGTAGAAGCAACTTTCTTGTTAGGGCAAAACATGTTTTACAACGTGATTGGAAGACCAAATCACTAAAATAGCTACATGATGCCAAACTTTTATTGTGATAGGGAGGTGGGCTTGGAGGAATTAGGTGTTTTTTTATGTCTTAACATAACATGAGGCTTTCTGTGATGACATTGACATTTCCCTAATCTTCGCTAACCTTCCAGTGAATTCTTTCTAGAACGGGAAAAACAAAGATTAAAGAGTACAAGAAACCCTTAATAGTGATCTGACATAGTTTTGGGGGGCATTGGTAGGTTTCCTACATTGGATTAAAGTTGATTTTAGTTTTGGATTCCAAGTAAGAAAAGAGGTTAAAATGGTGATACTGACTTAGTAATGATTAGGCAAATGTGGATTAGAGTATGGTTTAGAGGGTAAGGAACAAGTTAGGTCACCATCATGTGAGGTGGTTATCAATCATCTCTATGGATCTAGACTTTCCATCAACCTTATTTCTTAGCCATGTGAGTTTATCTTGGTAGATGGATTCAAGCTTTATTCCTTGCCATAATAACTCAAATTATAACTTCATCTATTTTGCAACTTTGGTAGTTGGACTAACAAAAGAAAAAAAGAATTCTTAGTTAATCTCAAGGGTTTATTATTACACAAGGATGGGTCCAAAAGAAATTGATTTGAGATCTCCAATTAGCTCCATCTTCAGTACTTTTACTTTCTTCTCTGTTCATTTAGTAATAGCCGTATATCTACACTCATTAGAAATAAATACAAGAAAGTCTTCATTGTCCGTTTCTTGAAAATACCAAAGCTTTCATTTGAGTGTTGGGCAAGAAGTTCTCTATTTGCTGGAAACAACCAATGAGTTTGCTATGTGGACTGTTACCTAACTTCCAGCCTGACATGAATATTTATTTCTTGCCTCTACTTCAAAACGAAACTTAGAACCCTTTTGATCTGAACGTGTTTGTGAAGATTTCCTGGGATGAATCACAGAATTTTGGCTCACTTGAGTCCAGCCTCCTAAACCTGAGCTATATTGGGCCTGTGTAGGGATTTAATTTCACATTACCCACAATAAATAAGTTCATAATTTCATGCTCCACAGAGCCTTCTAGTCGGTCACAACCTTGAGGAGTTGGAAATAGTGGTATATAAATTAGTTTTTATATATGTATCTGCTACACATAAATATGTGGTTTATAGTTTTTATATTTGTATTATGTTGATCCTGGTTTCAAGTTGATTTATTATTTTGCACTGTATCATTACCAACTCATGCTGATTTCAGGAGTATGTCAGTCATGTGTTGAAGATGAATTTGAGAAAATTTTGAAGCAGTTTGGATCAATTGTGGAATGTAAATCCAAGACAGAGAGTTGAGCTCTCCGTGCCCTATTCGCTGCTCCGGATTTTTAACAGACTTAGCATGCTGGCTTGTGCTGAGGGGGCTGTAGTTTTCTAGTTCAGTGAAAGTGAAAAAATCATGACAAAACAGCCCACAGCAGCTGCAATAGTCTAAGTGTTATAATGAATTGAATTGGTTTGCCAGCGAATAACCATGGGTTGGATTTGAACATTGGTGGTTATGTTCCGAACTACAGGCTAGTCTGGTGTGATACGGTGAAAAGAATTGGTGCTAGGCTTGATTAGAAACACTCTACAAAGAACACAGAACAGTTCTATGGTTGTAATGTGATCTCAGTAAACAGGATTGAGAACATCTTACAAATGATGATGGTGGCAGCGACGGTGTTCTTTAAGTCAAAGTTCTCTCTTCCACACCTCTTATTCCACACAGCGAAGGTCTTATCAATGCAGAGCCATAACATGTTTGCAGCTAATCCATTACCACTCCATTGATCTCTCAGAATTGCTTCAGGAAGTCATAGATATGTTGGCTGATCTCATCTGGCCTTTCTTGGTTTACAAAGTGAGCAGCCCCTTCAATCACAACTACTTCCTCCAACAAGGGCACGTGTTTCTTGAACCCGCCTTTGTGAATGAAGTCTTGGACCCCAGGCCTGTGAATGGTAAGGTCTAGTTCGCCCACAATAAACTTCGTCGGCCCGACAACTTTGAGACCCGACAAACGGTGCATTCAGTTCCCAGCTTCTGTAATGCAAGAAGACATGACAATGGATCCCTTACCCAAATTCAAATTCAAGACTGGTGAAAGAACAAGGGGCATTGAGAAGGTATGTATGCGTTAAGTCAGTGTAGTGGCTTTCTTACAAATCAAGGGCACGATAGTAGTTAACCCCACCAGTGAAGCCACTCTGCTCGTACTTGCTGGCGTAGTAGTCGAGATCCTCCTTAGTTAACCATGGTGGAAGATCAGCAGTGTAGTTGCTATGATTATGAATATGATAATTGTTTTTATTCTTTGGAAAGTAGAGTGGTCCTGGAGTTCGATATGCAAGAACATAATTGAGGACCTTCTTGAAGCCTATGCTCGAAAACTCAGCTTCGATATCGCCAGGTTCCTGCGAGTACAACTGTTAGTTGATCGAGATCGTTTCGGAGATTAGAATAGAACCCTAATTAATCATCATCAATTTTCGATTCCCACCTGAAACCTGCAGATGTAATAATCATCGCCGTACAGTCGGCGAGAACTCTCCACTAAGCTCTTCTGAGGATGAATGGGATTATAAACGACACTCAAATTGACGAGGGCTTTCACTCTGTCGGGCCTGTAGAGGCAGAATCTCCAGGCGATGATGGCCCCCCAATCATGGCCGACCACGAACACCTTATTATCCTTTTACTCGATGGCGTCCAGGAGCAGAATCAGGTCGCCGATCACGTGGAAAATGGTGAACTTGGACGGGTCGTGGAGGGGTGCTCCGGTGGTGTCGCCGTACCCCCTCATGTCCGGCGCCACCGCGCGGTACCCGCGCTCCGCCAGGAAGAGCATCTGGTGGCGCCAGGAGTACCATAGCTCCGGGAAGCCGTGGAGGAGAAGGACTAAGGGGCCTTTGCCGATTTCGGCAACGTGAATATTGAGGCCGTTGATGGGTATATTCCGGTGCTGGATCTTATCCATGGCTGCAATAAAGTGGCAGGAGGGTGAAACGGACGAGGTAAACTAGTCTGATGAGGGTCAACTTGTCCAGGCAGACTGGATCGGCCCAGACCCGCTTGAATCATGCCCGTTTCAGCCATAATCAGGTCAGAAATCAGAATATTTATATATATATAAAAGCTAGTTTGATCTAGTCCGTGGATCCGATTATGTGGCCAATTTTGGGCTCGTTTGGACCGGATTATATAATATTTTTATAATAAAAGAAATTATATAAAATAAAATATAACAACGAGGTGGATCGATTTGGGGCGAGTGGATGTTGAGTTGGTCTTTTGTTGAAGGATCTATTCTCTATAGGGGTCGTATTAAGATCCAAGTTGGGCCATGGCGTTGTGTGAAGTTCTTCCTCATTTTGACAAAATTAGTCACAAATACTCTTGGGACTAGCCAAAGAAGTTGAATTTTAGTCGGATGTAGGTAGGTGTAGATGTAGGTGTAGGTGAATTTAAGTCAGGATTTGTGGCTGAGGTCACAGCAGAGCAGCCATTTTAGACCATCTTTAATAGAGATACCCGCTTTTAGCTATCTCCACTACTTTTTCTTATCCACGTCAGATTCTCTCTCTGTCACATATATTTACAACAAAGATACTCATTCTAATTTTTTAATAAATTTTTATTTTCATATTATATATATATATATTATTTTTTAATTATAATTTTAATTTGTAGTATTAATTATTTATTTAATTGCTTTAAAATTTATAATTATATTTTATTTAATAAATTAAATTTACTAATATTGATTTATTCAATAAAATTATATAATATTTGTATTTATATATTTTAAATTTCAAATTAATAAAATATATTCAATATTGGTATCATTTTGTAGAATACAAAATATTATGAATTATAAAAATACTACAAAATTTAAATATAACAATAAATTTAATATAAATTACAAATACAAAATATATATAATATATATTATATGTATACATATATATATATATATATATATAAATGCTATGTGTCCCAATTTAATTGGGATATATGGCAATGAATCACATTGCAGTGATGCTGGGAAGCACCCTTCTATTTTATTTACTTTTTTTTTAAAAAAACAGATGATGATGTGGCGTATCAGTGTTTTCCGGTTCTTCTTTTCCTGATACACAACAAATCTTCTAGATGTATGTAGCGTAGACATTAAAAATATATGTCTAAAATCAATTAGATATCATACATTTTGGAAGAAAATAAAATTCCAATAATATAAATATATGGTATTTAATTATGCACGTATGTTAATTTTTGTATAATAAATATCAACCATTAATGCAAAAATATGCTTAAAATGGAAGATATCGTACAAATATTACGTGCATAAATAGAGCCATAATAAATTTGGCAGCAAAATAAATTAATTTTGTCAATAAATGAAGTATATAAATTAATATCCTCCAAAAAATGTAATGATATAAAGATCTTGTCAATAAAGAAAAGTACACAATCAAATCCGTCAAAATGGAAAGCAGCATCTGATGGAAAAGGAAAGATTATAAAATCTTTCCATCCACGTGGCACCATCCGAAAAGGAAGCCAAGGCCACCCTCCCCTGTAAATAGGAGCCTTGATCAATTCATTAGACACCGAAGTTCATTTGAAGACTCGCACAAGGGTAAGTCACTTTAGACTCTCTGCAATGTTCTTCATTGTTCTTCGTGTCCTTCGAAGCGTTCTTCGTCGAAAAGTCACCGATGTGGACAAATGATCCAATATTGGTTGGCGAATCGATGAAGTCAACGTTCTTCGTCTTATGTCCTAGCCGGAGGAAGGATCAAAGCTCTAAAAGCCATCTAGGAATCCATCAAAGCCAATGAAGAGCCTCCAAAGCCGCTCTCAAAGCTTCAAGATGTTCGTCGCGTTCTTCATAAAAGGCGCAAACCAGGCCCTCTTCGATCCAAAAGTCAAAGTGACACGCCGTCAAAAGCGTTATGGAGCGCTAAATCCACCTCTTTAAGGATCAAAGCTCTCAAAGCCGTTGAGGAATTCGTCAAAGCCAAGGAAAAGTCTAAGTTCATCCTAAAGCTTCGATGTGTTCATCGCATTCTTCACCAAAGCAACAACTCGGCCCTCTTCGATCTAAAAGTCAAAGGGATACGCCGCCAAAAGCGTTATGGAGCACCAAATCCACCTTCTCAAAGATCAAAGCTGCGGATCGTTTAAAGAGGACATCAAATCCAAAGCTTAGGATCAAATCACCCGCACGGAGACCAAAGCCCTCCAAAAGCGGCAAAGACAAATCAAAGATCAAAGCTGCGGATCGTCTAAAGAAGATATCAAATCCAAAGTTGAGGATCAAATCACCCACGCGGAGACCGAAGCTCTTTAAAAGGCGGAAAAGGCAAACCAAAGATCAAAGTTGCGGATCGTCTAAAGAAGATATCAAATCCAAAGCCGACGATCGAATCGCCCACGCGGAGACCAAAGCCCTCCAAAAGCGGCAAAGACAAATCAAAGATCAAAGCTGCTGATCGTCCAAAGAAGACATCAAATCCAAAGCTAAGGATCAAATCGCCCACGCGGAGACCGAAGCTCTCCAAAAGGCGGAAAAGGCAAACCAAAGATCAAAGTTGCGGATCGTCTAAAGAAGACATCAAATCCAAAACCGACGATCGAATCGCCCACGCGGAGACCAAAGTCCTCCAAAGGCGGCAAAGCCAAAGCAAAGGTCAAAGTCGCGGATCGTCTAAAGAAGACAACAAATCCAAAGACGATGATCAAAATCGCCAACGTGGAGACCAAAGTCCTCCAAACGCGGCAAAGCCAAAACAAATGTCAAAGTCGCGGATCGTCTAAAGAAGACAACAAATTCAAAGACGATGATCAAATCGCCAACACGGAGACCAAACCTTCAAAAGCGGCAAAGCCAAATTAAAGATCAAAGCCTCGGATCGTCTAAAAAAAAGACATCAAATCCAATGCTGCGATCAAATCGCCCGCACGGAGACCAAAACCCTCCAAAAGCCGGCAAAGTCAAACTGAAGACCAAACCTCTTCGGATCAAAGAAGCCATTGAAAATCAAGTTGGAAAATAAATCGACCCGGAAGGAGAATCAAAGGACCCATTTAGAGAATAGGACCCGCTTTAAATTCAATCAAATATAATTTGTACAAATTTTGTGTTTATTAAAAATAACACAATTTTTTGTCCACAGATTTTTGGCACGCCCAGTGGGACCTCTCTACCTTTCATCTCTCTTTCCGACGAACTTTCAACAACCAATGGCTTCCTAAAAGATCAAGACTTCTAACGTTGCGTCAAAAGTTGCTGCTCAAGCCGCCGTCGCCGCCAAAGAAGTTGGCGCACCCATCGTGTCCAAAACCTCAAGCGCTTCGACAAATACTGGAATGACAACACGAAGCATGACCAAAAGAGTATTGTCGTTATCTGAAGACACTTCTCCAAAAATCACAGAGCGAAGTCCACTCTGTGAAGAAGACGACAACTTTAAGAGTACTGCCGCACTGTTCACCCCTCAACAAACTGCAAGTCATTCAACCGCATCAAGCTCTGCTCCGGTGATGATTACCAACGCTTCAAATATTGAGGACCCAAAGATTGTGGATCAAAGTCTTCTCTGCGAGGAATATAAAAGCTTCAAAGGTACTTTCATGCCACCTACTCATCGGCCAATTTCAAGTCATTCAACCGCATCAAGCTCTGCTGCGGTGAGGACTATCAACGCTTCAAATATAGAAGATCAACTTGCAGCAGTGGCCAAAATCATTGAAGGAATGTCTCAACACATGCAACAACAAGACGCCCTTATTGAAAAACTTATGACAAAGCTGGACAAGCCTGAAGAAGCCGGCCATGCAACTGAAAAGCAACAATCTTCCCCAGCGGTCCAAAATAAAGCGGCAACATTTGTGGAGCAACGTCATGGAAAAGAAAAGGTGGCGGAATTAAATCCATATCAAGGATCATCCAACTTCTTCATCCATATATCCCAACTTGACAACTACATCAAGGGGGCAATCAAAAGAGAATTCGAAGGGAGTTCAAGGCCGATGCACACTTACGCCAAGCCTTACACTGCAAGAATTGGCGCCCTCAAAATGCCAACGGGCTATCAACCACCAAAGTTTCAACAATTTGACAGCAAAGACAACCCAAAGCAACATATAGCGCATTTTGTCGAGACATGCAGCGATGCTGAAACATATGGAGACCTTCTAGTCAAACAATTTGTGCGGTCACCAAACGGCAACCCCTTCGACTGGTACATCGACTTAGAGGCTGGTTCCATCGACAATTAGGAACAACTAAAGTACGAGTTCTTGAATAGGTTTACAACACAAAGAGAACCGTTAGCATGACCGAACTCACCAACAGCCGCCAATGGAAAGATGAACCAGTAATTGACTACATCAACCGCTGGAGAAGTCTAAGCCTCAACTGCAAAGACCGTCTGTCCGAAGCTTCCGGCATAGAAATGTGCATTCAAGGGATGCAATGGAGCTTGAAATACATCCTACAAGGGATCCGACCCATACTTTTGAAGAACTCGCCACTCGCGCTCATGATATAGAATTGAGCATGATGTCTAGTGGAATGTATGGACCGCCTACTAAAGATTTCTCAGAAGACGAAAAATACAACACTCCAAACAGTGGTGGCAGTCATACCTTCACCCCTCCTAGAAACGAGGATAAACTTTCTTCAATCTCCTGGAAACGAGGATAAACTTTCTTCAATCTCCTAGAAACGATGATAAACTTTCTACAGCACTCCTGGAAATGAGGATAAACTTTCTCTAATCTCCTGGAAACGAGGATAAACTTTCGTCATTCTCCTAGAAACGAGGATAAACTTTCTACAGCTCTCCTAGAAACGAGGATAAACTTTCTTTAATCTTCTGAAAACGAGGATAAACTTTCTTCAATCTCCTGGAAACAAGGATAAACTTTCTGCAATCTCTTAGGAATGAGGATAAACTTTCTAACAAGACTCCTTAAAACTTTCTAACAAGACTCCTTAACACGAGAATAAACTGTTAACAAAAACAAACAAATTCAATTTGTTTTGAACTACGTTATGATTTGATTCCCTAACCGGATATGTAGGCAACTTGGAATATAACTCCGAGTTCAGTCAATTATGCCAAAAAAAAAAGAAAAGAAAAACCCTAAAAAATAAATTGGGCAAAAAAAAAAAAGTCCAAAAAAAATCGGGCTTAAAAAAAATAATTGAACAAAAAAAATTATCGTCCAAAAAAAAAAAGCCATTTGAAAAAAAATATTGGCTAAAAAAAAATCAAAAAATGATAGCCATAAAAAAAAACAGTCAAAAAATAAATTGACTTATGTTTCGAGACTCATTCAAGCAACGCTTTGCGTCGGCTTAAAAGAGTCTCGATGGGGCATTTTATAGACACTAAAAATATATGTCTAAAATCAATTAGATATCATATATTTTGGAAGAAAATAAAATTCCAATAATATAAATATATGGTATTTAATTATGCACATATGTTAATTTTTGTACAATAAATATCAACCATTAATGCAAAAATATGCTTAAAATGGAAGATATCGTACAAATATTACGTGCATAAATAGAGCCATAATAACTTTGGCAGCAAAATAAATTAATCTTGTCAATAAAGGAAGTATATAAATTAATATCTTCCAAAAAAGGCAATGATATAAAGATCTTGTTAATAAACGAAGGTGCACAATCAAATCCGTCAAGAATGGAAAGCAGCATATGATAGAAAAAGAAATATTATAAAATCTTTCCATCCACGTGGCACCATCCGAAAAGGAAGCCAATGCCACCCTCCCCTATAAATAGGAGCCTTGACCAATTCATTAGACACCGAAGTTCATTTGAAGACTCGCGCAAGGGTAAGTCTCTTTAGACTCTCTGCAATGTTCTTCATTGTTCTTCGTGTCCTTCGAAGCGTTCTTCGTCGAAAAGTCACCGATATGGACAAATGATCCAATATTGGTTGGCGAATCGATGAAGTTAACGTTCTTCGTCGTATGTCCGAGCCGGAGGAAGGATCAAAGCTCTCAAAGCCATCGAGGAATCCATCAAAGCCAATGAAGAGCCTCCAAAGCCGCTTTCAAAGCTTCAAGATGTTCGTCGCGTTCTTCATAAAAGGCGCAAACCAGGCCCTCTTCGATCCAAAAGTCAAAGGGACACGCTGCCAAAAGCGTTATGGAGCAATAAATCCACCTCTTTAATGATCAAAGCTCTCAAAGCCGTTGAGGAATTCGTCAAAGCCAAGGAAAAGTCTCCAAAGTTCATCCTAAAGCTTCGATGTGTTCATCACATTTTTCACCAAAGCAACAACTCGGCCCTTTTCGATCCAAAAGTCAAAAAGGACACGCCGCCAAAAGCGTTATGGAGCACCAAATCCACCTTCTCAAAGATCAAAGCTGCGGATCGTTTAAAGAGGACATCAAATCCGAAGCTTAGGATCAAATCACCCGCACGGAGACCAAAGCCCTCCAAAAGCGGCAAAGACAAATCAAATATCAAAGCTGCGCATCGTCCAAAGAAGACATCAAATCCAAAGCTGAGGATCAAATCGCCCACGCGGAGACCGAAGCTCTCCAAAAGGCGGAAAAGGCAAACCAAAAATCAAAGTTGTGGATCGTTTAAAGAAGACATCAAATCCAAAGCCGACGATCGAATCGCCCACGCGGAGACCAAAGTCCTCCAAAAGCGGCAAAGACAAATCAAAGATCAAAGTTGCGGATCGTCCAAAGAAGACATCAAATCCAAAGTTGAGGATCAAATCGCCCACGCGGAGACGGAAGCTCTCCAAAAGGCGGAAAAGGCAAACCAAAGATCAAAGTTGCGGATCGTCTAAAGAAGACATCAAATCCAAAACCGACGATCGAATCGCCCACGCGGAGACCAAAGTCCTCCAAAGGCGGCAAAGCCAAAGCAAAGGTCAAAGTCGCGGATCGTCTAAAGAAAACAAATCCAAAGACGATGATCAAATCGCCAACACGGAAACCAAAGTCCTCCAAAAGCGGCAAAGCCAAAACAAATGTCAAAGTCGCGGATCGTCCAAAGAAGACAACAAATCCAAAGACGATGATCAAATCGCCAATGCGGAGACCAAACCTCCAAAAGCGGCAAAGCCAAATTTTAGATCAAAGTCTCGGATCGTCTAGAAAAAAAGACATCAAATCCAAAGTTGCAATCAAATCTCCCGCACGGAGACCAAAACCCTCCAAAAGCCGGCAAAGTCAAACTGAAGACCAAACCTCTTCGGATCAAAGAAGCCATCGAAAATCAAGTTGGAAAATAAATCGACCCGGAAGGAGAATCAAATGACCCATTTAGAGAATAGAACCCGCTTTAAATTCAAATCAAATATAATTTGTACAAATTTTGTGTTTATTAAAAATAACACAATTTTTTGTCCACATGTAGTCTTTTAAAATTGTTACAAATCAAACGGTGTGGAGTGGAGGAGTAGTAAGAACTTGCTTTCAACAAATTCTGATTTTCTCCGCTATCATTTTTAGCTACTTCTTGGCTAGTAGATATATATATATATATATAGCAATACTTCATCATCTTTTGCTAAAATTTTGCAATTGGTTCCCATGGATGCATGCATTGAGTGTAATCTTTTTAAGCATGTATTCATTTGCTAATGTCTAAAGAATTTCAAACCACAATAACCGTTTTTATTATTATTCTTCTTATATATGGTTGTTCCATTATCATTCATTCTTCATTTGTATGTATATATATATATATTTCATCAGAATTGGGTGAGGAAGTCGTGGATATGTTGGTTGATATCATCTGCCCTCTCCTGATTGATAAAGTGAGCAGCCCCTTCAATCACCACAACTTCCTTCAACGAGGGCACATGTTTCTGGAACTCTCCTTTGTGGATGAAGTCTTGCACACCTGGCATGTGATAGGTCAGGTCTAGATCTCCCACGATAAACTTTGTTGGCACCACTATTTTTGCTCCAACAAAAGCCCCATGCAGTTCCCAACTTCTGCAAATTTCGAAATGTTAAGAATAATCAAATTAGAACTCATAAATAGTCATAATACAAATTCCGTCGTCTCAAATACTAAACTATAAATTAAACAAGATGAAGATGATTTGCAGATAATAGGAAGCAATTGACAGAGATACACTTACAGATCAAGAGCGCGGTAGTAATTCACTCCGCCGGTGAAGCCGCTCTGCTGGAACTTGCTAGCGTAGTAGCCGAGGTCTTCTTCAGTTAGCCATGGCGGACGATCAGCAGCGTAGTAGCTAGGGTCCGCGTTCTTTGGGAAAAAGAGAGGACCTGGTGTTCGAAATGCGAACACATATTTCAGAATTTCCTTCGCGCCTATCCTCGCGAAATCTGCTTCGATTTCGCCTGGTTCCTGTCATTGTCACTGTCAATGCCTCCGAAACCCTAATTTAATTAATTGGTCAATTAACCTCCGACCTGAAACCTGCTGATGTAGTAATCATCGCCGAAGAGTCTTCGAGAAGCTTCCACAAAGCTCGTCTGCGGATGAATTCGAGGAAAAGCAACGCTCAGATTGACGAGAGCTTTCACTCTGTCTGGCCTGTAGAGGCAGAGCATCCAGGCGATCATGGCGCCCCAATCGTGGCCGACGACGAACACCTTATCATCTTCGTTTCCGATGGCATCCAGGAGCAGAATTAGGTCGCCGACCACGTGGAAAATGGTGAACTTGGAAGGTTCGTGGAGGGGAGCCCCGGTGGTGTCGCCGTATCCTCTCATGTCCGGCGCCACCGCGCGGAACCCGCGCTCCGCCAGGAAGAGCATCTGGTGGCGCCAGGAGTACCATAGCTCCGGGAAGCCGTGGAGGAAGAGGACTAAGGGGCCTTTGCCGATTTCGGCGACGTGCATATTGAGGCCGTTGATGGGTATATTCCGGTGCTCGATTTTATCCATGGCCGCCCCTCTCGACGGAGTTGCAGTTGGAAATAGCAGAGGTAAGGCATGCTACCTCTATTTATTAGTCTTAAATTGTGGCTACGTAACCGTAATTACGAATATGCCCCTAAAAAGACGGTTGGGTTTTGTGAATAGTACAAAACATTGGAAATGATTTTTAAATGAATTTTATGTTTGTTTATCTTTAGAAAATACTGCCCCTACAAAGTATACATATTTTTATTTTGGGACGTGTAATTATAAAGTGATTATTTTATTAAATACATTTTTTTTCACAAATATTTTTATTTTACAGTATATCATTACTTTTATATTATTATACTACTTTTATCTGTCAATTATAATTAAAATACTATTGTTTTTTAAATTATGTGTGAAAGTCCGCAGATGGAGGAAGTATATCATTTACTTTATAATTGAGGTGGGGACAAGTGTGTATAAGAAGATATTTTTGAAACAATACAATTTAATGAAATAGATATTTAGGAAATCGAGGATAAGAAGATATTTTTGAAACAATACAATTTAATGAAATAGATATTTAAGAAACCGAGAAGATCCGGTCAACCTCATTAAAATTAATTTATATGACTATAATAATAATAAAATTTAATTATATAAAATAAAATAATTAAATTTCATGCGTTCAGCTGAACAATTTAATTTAGGATCTGATCTCACTTCTTTAGGAAATATTAGGGTGGTATTTGTTTGTGATTAAATCATGCTAAATGTTCTTTTAGTTTTTTCGAATTTAATATATATAACCAAAAATAAATATAAATAAATATTGAGCTATGATACTTTATTCTGCAATGTGAGAAAAAAAAAATAAAAAAAAATGAAGAGACGTGCATTAATTTTCACGTGTCTTTTAGCGAGACATTTATTGTATGGTACATAAGTAGGTATTTATAAGTATTGTATTAATTGCTCTAATCGACAAATAAAAATATAACTGAATATGTATTGTATGTTTTATTTTATGATTTTATGACATGGAGAATTTGCTGTTACTATGCGTTTGTTTGGATTTTGAGTTGGAATTTGAATAGTAAAAATTTTGAATTAGAATAGTTGTATGATTTGATATAAATAGGTGTTGATGTGATGTTTTGAATGTAAAATTAATTTTTAATATAACATAAAAAAATAAAAAATAAGTGTTTGATTTGATATTTTTTGAGAAAAAAATAGATAAATTTTTACATGAACTTAATAGTTGTATAAAACAAATAACAAACTATATATAACATGCAAAATCTAAGGTCAGAGTTTAAACCCAATTTCCATTATATATATATATATATATATGTTGTTGGCCATGTCAATTATATTGGGGAGTGCTGGTATTCTTAACAGAAGATATTGGTAGGTGATCTACATATTGCTGCGAGTTTTGGATTTCAACCGACTCCTCGACCATCATTACTTGTGCAGTGGGAGGCTTCATCTTAGGGTTGGTTCAAGTTGAATGCGGATGGTGCTTCGCTTGGAGACCCGAAGCTGGCGGGATCCCCAAGCGTCATTTGAGACACTTTCGGAGCGATCGTGCTACATGCGACCAATATTTTTGCGGAGTTGGAGGCAATACGTAGAGGTGTGGACGCCTTCTTTCCCTATGGATCGAGACTGACTCGATGTAGTTTTTCTCAGATACAAGGAAAGGATTCACTTCGAATTCCATTTCTTTGTATTGTATCTGAATCGAATCTTGTCTATTTCAACTTCGACTTTTTCTTCTTTGCAGCATAGCGTTGATTTCGTCTTCATCAGGGCACTGGACCCTACAGACATGCCTTAGCCAATTGCAGTTGCAACTACATGATGTCACTTGGCGAATCTCCCAATATCTATCGAGAGAAAAACCGAGTGGCGGATGCATTGGCAAGTGCAGCTTGTTCCCTTTCGGGGGATCAGACTTTGGAGTCGGGGGATATTCCTTTGTGGATTCGAGGTTTTTACGAGCAGATGCCGAGGGTCGACCGAGATTTTGTTTTCATGGATAGGTAGTCTGGCTTCCCACATGCATAATTGATGACATTTTGACGTGAGGGTCTAGCGCTTGACTTAGGCTTTTAGTTGGTTGATTACTTGTATTGACTACGTTGGTTGTAATTGAAGAATTATATACGATTTGATCTCTATCTATCTGAGGTACCTAGACAATCCATTCTTGAATTTTTAAAGTTAGAAGCTAAGAAGCTCAATTTAAGTATATGTTTTAGAAAACTTTATTTAAAATTTGTAACAATTTTTAAGCTTTATTTATTTAATATATATCAAATTAAATAAATATTTAATTTCTTTACTATTTTAAAAAAATTTCATAACTTTTTTTTATACAAAACAGTGCCATTTATAGTGTTTTTGTGGAGATTTTTTCCAGATATCTCTCACCAAAAATACTTAACAATAAGTAAGTATATAATAATAATAATAATAATAATAATAATAATAATAAATAATAATAACAATAATAAAAGTAAAAGTGTAAAAGGTTCAGAAGCAATACCAATGGAATGCCCACATCAATAAATTCCAACAACTTTCAAAACCAACCATACAACATATGGTAGAATCGGAGGCAATTAATAAGCTGCAAAAATTAGTCCTCCTTCGTACAATATAATTAGATCAGACTTATAAAATCATAAATAATTATTATTGTACTTTTACATTCATACAAAAAATCCATTAATAAATGCAATCATATGTGTTTGTTTATTTCTAGTTTGAAATTAATGTTGGTGGGCCGTTTAAAATTAGTTTTAAAACTAATAAATTTAAATCAGACGTTAGATGTGATGTGATGTGATGTTGAATTTAATTCTTTTTATTTATTTTTCTAACGAGTAAATCACAATTAATGTACAAGCCATAAAATAAAAGTTTCATTCTTGAAGCTCAAGGAAAAGAACACTAATGGAAATTAGAAGAAATCATTCCCAAACCACCATTGAAGTGACCTTGCACTAAAAAAGTCCACATTCTTTTTCTTCCTAAAAAAAAAAAAATGAGTAAAGGTAAAGGAATATAAATATATCAAGAGTGATCGAAATTCTCAGCGACTCCCGGGAGCCGAACTCCCCGAAGTTCCTGCACATCAATGGCGGATTATGTGACGAGATATATGGGCGTAGCCGCGGCGGAGCTAGTCCTACAGTTGCCGTCGGCGAGGCTGACGTAAGGGATGTCGACGACCTCGCCCTTGACGAGCGGGCCGGAGCTCGGCCGGCTGGCGGTCCGGTAGGGGGCGGGCGAACCGCCGGCGATACTGTCAGTAATGTAAAGTGGGCCGGATATGGAGGAGCCGATATTATAATTAATGCGGTTGTCAGGCGGCGGCGACCTTGGAAACCTGAAGAAGAGAAGGGCGTTGCGCCACCAGCGGCGGGTGTTCTTGGTCTTCTTGATCTTCTTTGACAGAGAAGACGAGTCGTCTCTGGAGATGGGTTTCTGGAGCTTGAAGTTCATCATGTCATCGTCTACGCTGGATCTTGCAATCGCCGTCCTCTCCCTCCTGTGGTTCCTTGCTTCTTCCAAAACCTAATTAATAATACATATACCAAGATGAAGACATGATTAATATAGCACAAGACAACATTATTAAGACAAGAATGGGAGATAGCAGAGAAGACGACATGAAAGAAGAAGAAGACCTGGAAGTAATGAAATTGGGGTTCGAAACCATAGTCAGTGAAATGGGGTTCTTGGACAGGGAAGATTGGGGGTTTATTGGACAACATTATATATATATATATATATATATGTTGTGCTTGTAGTTACTAAATCAATATAATTAGTTTGAGGAAGAAAGAAGGGGATCAAGAAAAAGAAAGGAATAGAAACGGCCGGAAGAGAAAGGAAACCCTAGAATGAAAATGCTCTCACTCACTCACTCACTTACTTGTGTGTGTATGTTGGTTTTATTAATTATATTACATTGAAGAAAGTGGCAAGTCTGGGCCAGGCCCCTTTAACAATATTAACAAATTTCCAGATTAATCAGACAGGCCTGCCTGCCTAGTACACTTTGCTCACTCACTCACTCACTCTTGTGTTTGTTGCAACCACGATCACGAATCATCCGTGTCAGTCAGTTAGAAAACCCAATTCTGAATATGAAAGAAAAGAACGATCATCCATGGCGGTTGGATGATTGAATTTGATGGAGATCGATATCTGTGTTGTATAGTATAGTGTAGAGTAGAGTAGAGTAGAGGCAAATGCCAATAATGGGCCATTACTTTAATTAATAAACAGCTTTAATTTAGCATGAAGATGGACATAATAATTGTTGAAGTAAATGTGAAGGCAGATGAAGATGCAGACACGTGGGTTGTTTCTTCTTTCTGGTCTGAACTAAACAGTCAAGACCCGACCCGACCCAATCCATTTAAACATGTCTAGAAACGGATTTCTGGGCCGGCCCAACTAGTACGCTTTGCATTGCATTGGGTTATGGTCCAGATTCCCAAATAAGCGAGAGCATATCTGAACTGAAGGAATTAAGGAATGATCACATCCTCATCCATTCTTACATACATAAAAATAAAATAGAATAAAATTCTCTAATACTATTATATTATATTCTATTCTGTTATGTCCCAATTATCCACGCCTGATTCCCGCGTCAAACTTGGCGTCTACTGGTTAGGTCTGCATAGTTGGACCCAATTCTTGACTCCCTACTCATAGACATAGATATAGAGATATAGACATAGACATGGCAGCTAGCTTTAAGAACACGGGAAACCCGCCCGAAGTTTCCTCCTCCATACAGGGCAGGGCAGCCTACATTTATTTTCCCACTTCTCGCACATATATCTATCTATCTATCTATTCTTACCTATCCATTTCCTCAATCTAATCTCAATTCTCCTTCTTCTTCTTCGTCTTCCTAGGTTTCGATCTGTTCTATGGACGATCATCCCGAATGGAGGGAGGAGGCGGCGCCACAGAAGGGCTACGCTATGAGCGGAAAGATTATGCTCAGCGCCATCGTCGTTCTCTTCACCGTCGTCGTTTTCATGGTGGGCCTTCATCTCTACGCCAGATGGTATCTTCTCCGCGCCCGCCGCCGCCACCTCGAGCGCCGCCGACAGCGCCGCGCCAGCCGCTCCCAGCTCGTGCTCATTTCTGATTCTCGACAGTTACAGGCGGCGGCCGATCGTGGCTTGGATGTCACGGTGCTTAATTCCCTTCCCGTGTTTCTCTACTCCTCCGGCGCGGCGGAGGAGGCGGCGGTGGAGTGCGCCGTCTGCCTGTCGGAGTTCGAAGAAAAAGAAATCGTGCGGCTCTTGCCCAAGTGCAGACATAGATTTCACGTCGAGTGTATCGGCATGTGGTTCCATTCGCACTCCACCTGTCCGCTTTGCCGGTCGCCGGTGGAGAAGGTGGAGGAGAGCCGCTCCAAACCGGCGGAGGAGGGAAACTCCGGCGATCGGGGGAAGGTGGGGATAAGCATCGATGTTCCGGCGAGGGTCGTGCCGGAGAACGAATTAAGCCAGATCTCGCCGGCGAGCCGGCTGTCGGCTCTGAGAAGAATTCTGAGCATGGGACGTAAGTCGCCCGCCGCCGGGGGGTCAACGACTGCGCGTGGGGCGGGGGCCGGGTCGAGCCGAGTAGCCGCCGAGTTGGATTTGGAGAGCGGGCCGGACGAACCGGATCCGGCTCAGGTAGGGAGAGAAAAGGTTGAGATGTGATGTGATGTGAGTCAACGTCGTAGGAAACAACGTGGTAATTTCGTGGCAAAGAAACGACATTATAGTACACATTTTAAATATCCCTTTTTATTTTTTTATATGGAATTTGTACAGTACGAGAATTCGAAATTATTCTTTATATTTTGTTTTTTTTCCCTTATATAAATGTGGTGTTTTTTATTTGTTGGAGGCAGGCCAGCTGATGGAGAGTGGAGTAGTTATGTGTTTTCAATACATCCATTTCTAACAAACTCCACTATTACCCATAAATTAATTAGTAAATATGAACAAGTCAAGTATGAGTGTTAATTGCAACGACTCCCACGTCCACGCGATTGCTTGCTAAGTAAGGTAGTCAAGAATCGAAATCGATCGATTTGAGTCAAATTGATTTGATGTTGATGCCAATTCAATTGGGTCCATTTTCTTATGTGACACGTTGATTAGGTTAGGTAGCTACTTAAGAAATTCATTTTAAATGGCCAAAAAAATATTATTTCTATTTATCATGTGGTCCTTCTTATTACAATGAAAACCCACCCAAAATTTTTCAATCATACAAAAAAACTAATTAACTAAATAAATAAACAGTAACTAATTAATTATATAAATGATGTATCAACTACTACTACGTACAGTTATAACTACAGACAGTTTTACACTTGCATCATGCCGGGAGAATAGGGTACGGCGGCTTTGATGACCCATTCGTCTCCGGCGTACACCTTCGCCGGAGTGAAGCTCTCCGCCAGCTCCGGAGTTATTTTCTGGATCCCCTTCCACGTGACCCGTTTCGAGGTATCCGACCCGGGTCCGCGGTTCTGGTACTCCCCGTAGTACAACGTGTCCAGCGCAAAGTTCCCCATCCACGGCGACCATCCCTCCGGCGCTATGAAGCCGTCGATGAAGCTCTGCATTATGATCGTCCGGGAGAATTCCTTCCATGGCCGCCCCAGGTACGCCTTCGCCGGCGGCTGCAACTGCAGGAACGCCGGGTCGGGGACGATGTCGCAGTTCTGCAGGACGATGACGCCCACGCTCCGGCGGTCCTTCCGCCCCTGGGCGGTCACCATACAACCCTGATTCGCCATGGGCTTCCGGACGACGAGCTTGCACTTCTGGAAGACGGAGGCGGCGTCGCCGAAGATGAAATCGATGGTGCCGGAGATGACGCAGTCGCGGTAGTACTGCCGGTAACTGTGGGCGTACAGTGTGTCTTGGTAACCGTCCATGTGGACGTTGAAGAACACCGCCTTGTCGCCGGAAACCCGCACCGCCACCGCCTGGTGCTTCTCCGCTCCGGCGGTGTTCTCGATTCCGATGTCCTTCGCCATGAATCCGTCAGCATTAATAGCTGCACCAGACAGGATTCAAAATGAATTAATTAGCTGTAACAAGTCTGATAAATTAAACCCTAATTTCATGAATCTGTTACCGAGTACACAAGTGTGGTAAGTGGGGGTCCCGTCGGCGTAATTCTTACTGCCGGAGATTCTCGTCTTCGTCGGACCCTCTCCGATCAAAATGACATTATTGACCTTCTTGGGAACGATGACAGTCTCCTTATAAACGCCGGCCTTGACGTGAATGGTGATGGTCTGATTATTCTTCGGCGGCAACGACGCGATCGACTCATTAATGGTCCTAAAGTCGCCGCTGCCGTCCTGCGCCACAACGATGTTGGTTTTCACCGGCGCCTGAGGCTCCGCCATCAGCTTCCTCTTCACGCCCTCCACGAAAGGCGGCGGCTCATCGCCCTCCGACAGGAGGCGCCGCTGGTTTGTGAGGCTGTCCAAACCCAAGGAAGAAAGTATGCTCGAGAAGCCGCTAACCATGGCGAGGCCATTGCTGAGCATCTCGCCGGAGTTATGCAGCAGCTCCTTCATCTTCTCGCCGGTGTCGCCGGTGGTGTTGTCGAAGGCGTCCTTACAGGCCTCGTGGTGGGCGATGGCGCCGCTCAGCCATGTCTTGACGTCCTCGACGTAATCGTCGAGTTTGCTGACGTCGAATTCTCCGACCTTGTCGAACGACCTCTGCAGATCGTCGACGGAGTCGTTGAGGACTTCCTCGCAGACGTCGAGGGCGCCTTTGGTCCTGGGATCGGAGTCGGCTTCCTTGTAGAGAGAGGAGTCTTTAATGGCGTTCCGGAGGTCGTCGACGGTGGCCTGAAACGCCGCCTTGACGAGCTCCTTGGGATCGGAGGAATTCGTGTTCTGCAATGTCTTCTCGCAGGTTTCTTTGTAGTCCGTCGGCTGGCAAATGGAGTGCATCGACTTCGTCGACGAGTTGATGTCGCCGTCGCTGCTTTTCTTGCTGACGGTCACCGCCACCGCCACCACCATCGCCACCAGGAGGATGGAGGCCAACCCTAACGCTGCCGCCTTCGTCGTCGAATCTCCCATTTTTAATTATGTGTGTATATATATATATATTAAAAATCAATCTATCTGTACATGTGAATGTGATTAAGATAATTGGTGTAACAGTTAGTTACATGGATGTGTGTATTATTGAATTGTTATATTGAACTATTAATTAATTAAGGTAGTTTTGTTTTATTACAAACCCCATGAAACCTGGGATGTATGAATGTATATCGATGTTAATTAAATCTAATAATTGTGTTGAGGATTATATATATATATATATATATCAAATTAAAAACGTAAATAGTTTTTGCTAAAATGAGTGTGTTCTAAGATTGGAAGTGAAGGCTGAGAGAAATGGTAGGAACATTGAGAATGTCGTCCATGGCCTACCTTGTGGACATTAATTAATTATTGTTCAGTAGTTTTCATTACATTACATTTCTTGATTCTATTATAAGTAACAACAACAAAAAATAATTAAAATAAATAATATTTTATCTAATTGAAATACTCTTCAGATTCAGGTCAATAATCTAATAAGGGTTCAACTCAACTCAACTCAACAGTCAACAGTCAACACAAGCAAGATATATGAAGTAAAAAAAATAAAAATAAAAATAAAAATAAAAAAATAAAAAATAAAAATCCTCCAGGACAGGATAGAGAAGAATCACATTCCAGCGGACCTGGAAAGGTTTATTAACAGCATCTTCGTGCATGAAGAATCATTTCATTACATTACATTACATTACATAACCTCTCAACAGCATTGCAACAATATTAATTTGATGCAAAACAGACATGTTAAGATACAATGTAACAGAGTTTGTGAGGCTCTGATCATTCTGTTCAAAACATTTCAGATTATATGCTCTGATCAAACTTTATGAAGAATAAAGTTCACCATCACAATTATTACTTCTTTCCCAGTCAATTGACCGATGTAAGAAACGCGCCAAAAAAAAAAAAAAACAGAATTCTTAGCCGAGCCGAGCCAAGCCAAGCCACTAGTGTGCGGACACATGACACATGAGAGACATCTTTCGATGAATGTGCAGCACAACAACGCTGAGGTTTCTTGGGCCGCGTCGTCATATATTCCCATATTCGACTAGTAGTGTCCGAGGGAGAAAGAACTCCATATAATTATTGCAAATGGAATCACCACATGGTGGAAAACCATTGGTTGCACTAAGATTTCTTGAGTTTGAGCTCCCTATAAATAGGGTGATTGCCTTGTAGATTTTTCAGGCAAAACAAAAAACACACTAGTCTCTTTGCTAGTCCTCTTCTTACATATCATATCATCTAATCTTGTCTGAAGCATAATCAATCATGGGGTCGAAAGAAGATCTCCGGAGAATAGGCAGGGAGGGGTTCTTTATAGTGGAGAAGTTCTTCAACAACAACAACAACAACAGCAACAACAATGGGTATGGGAGGTCTAAACAGCCCCACCACCACCACCACCACCAGTATCAGCCTCCAGTGAACCCTCTTCATCAGGTAAAACCTGTTTCTGCTAAAGAAATGACGGTGCAGTATGGCGAAGTCGGCAATATGGATTACTACTCCCAGAGGAACTCTGCAGTTATGCCGTATTAGACTTGTCATCGTATATTAGTAGCATATATATGGTTCTACTACCTAAGTAAAGTAAAGTAGTCGCGCCTCGGCCAAATCTGCACCATGTATTAGTTAAGAATGCTTGTATCTGCGCAATCTTAATACATGTAGTAAAGTAGCAGCTTGTGTCCTGTAGGCTGCACTCCAACTCTGTAAATCTGTCGATATTTGAATAAAAACAGACGTTGGCTTAATTAAGGTATCACGGCCCGAGCTCCCACAACAAATCTTTCATATAAGGAGCGAACACTACAAGTTTTACCATTATCAGAGAAAATATTTCACAAGTTTTCCAAAGGGTCTTATAAGATCGAATTAGCGAAGACAAATATGGTCTTGCCACGTCGAATGTTTGATTTTCTGTTGCGAAAGAAGAGTTTGGTAAATCAATCAAGAAGAGTATTACTAAGGTAAATATGTTAAGTATAACAAAATAATTACTTGAGATCAAACAGGTAAGAAATGTATTTGGTGAGGAGCAAGTCATTCTTTCGCAAACATCTAAACACCAAACTAAGAGCTGCAAAGTAACAAAAAATATTTGAAGATTCAAGATTAGGTCCACCATGAGAAAATGGTATACTGAAGTTATGCTTTATGATCACTTTAACCGAAAGTAGAGATTATTATTCCTCATCAAGAAGAAATAGAATATTACATGAATGCTACACGCCGTGTTGCCTACTCTGGATCCAGTCCTCCTCTTGACTGCCATGTCCAAAAATTCCAATGGAGACTCACATGGAAGCTGAGAAGGGAGTGGTTGCTACTGTTTTATCGAATCAAATTTCAATCGACTAGGCAATTGTCTAGCTGAAGTATCAGTATTTAGACCAGGTTTCACCGACTGCACCATATCCTTTGAACAAGGAAGAAAAGAACAGTATTGATTCTTAGTCTGATAGAGCATCTTAGATCTTTTCATACATCAGCAGCACACGACATGTTTGGAACCTGTGATGTCATCATATGTGTAGCTGCATAATTTATTCATTGAAGTTTTTTCTTGCATTTGTTTTCAAAACCAAAATATTATCAGATTGGAGTTTGTAGACCAAAGGAAACATATCAATTGCTTGTGATTGACACTTATCATCTGTTAAAACTTCTATATCGAACTAATCTAACTATTATATTGATCTGCCTCTAAATAGAGGAGTTATTAATCAATTATACCGTTGAGTTCTTTACATATCTTAATCATATCCATATCAACATTAGACTTTGTTTCGGCAGATTCATTGAAAGTTGCTATGAACTAAAAACTTTAGTTTTTGTTTGATATATTCTTGTATACTTAAGAAGTGTACCATTGAGTTAATATGTTTTTCGAGTCGCATGATTTCGCTTGCAAGGGGAAGCAATGGCACCAAACACAAACAAGTACTGTTTTTCGAAACAACACTCTCCATAAGTTATACTGATATTCTAGGAATGGATTGAACCGTGTGACAAGTGTTTGAGCCATGTCGACTTAGTTAATGTAGCCAATATGAAGATCAACTTGAAGGGGTACTCTGAAGCATTTTTTTATTATCCTTTTAGAATATTCAACCAAGTCATTCTTATCTGAAAAGAATCATAAAAAGCTAAAGCACCGTCCGGTGTATTGTTTTCTTACACAGCTCCGACATTCTCTGAACAAACCAACTAAACTCTTCAAGCATATCTTGTTCACATGTAGAGAAATGGCTCATCGACATGTAAATGTTGGTGACCTTCTCAAAATAGGCATTGAAGGATTTACAATAATTGATGATCATTTTGTTAGGAAAAGTGGAAAGCCGTATGATCCAAGAAATTGAGCTTCTGACAATCCTGCTCAAGCTGTGCAGAGGAACATTGCACCCAAATTTCATTGATCAATGGAAGGTCAGGTTTATTGTCCTTATAGTATGGCCAAGCTACATTAATCTACTTATAGTTTGTGCTTTAGTTTCTTTTTCCAGTATACGACTTTTACACGGTTCAGCTACATCATCCATCAACAGATATCCATTTAACATCATGGTTAATTCTGATGATAAGGGGTGTTTTGGATTAGATTGTTGGAATCTTTTTCAATCAGATTGGGTGGATGTAATTTTCATGGAACTTGTTTCATATTTTGTTGGAACGATGAAAGGGACACGAATTCGACAATATTCTTATCGGATTGAATGCATTTGTTCCTAACCGAAAGTAAAAGAAGCTGAGCAACAGCCAGACTTGTCATGCATACACTGTCACTTTCCCTGTTTGTTCCATTCTTGACACATGAAAACTGTTGGGTACTTTCTGCACTCAAATGACTTATCCAAACGACAAGAGAATCGGTTTGTTGTCCTAAATGCCCCAAGAAACTCCTTACCTCAATCAGATCATGGTCTTCCTAAAAGTAGTGTTTGGATGAAGGTGAAAGGGACACAATCAATGGATTTCTTACAGTCATCGATCTTCTTGTCCTACTGTTCCAAATCAATCAAAACAGCGTTATAATCACCACGACAAGCATACAAAGCCGTGTCTTCAATCAACAACAAAGAATAACTGTGCTCCCTTCAAAGGAGATCCATTGTGGTACCATAAAGATTAATTTTAATTAGACTTTCCAAATCCTGAAAAGAGATTTTAACATCAAATCTGATACCAATCTAAAACAAGAGCCAATGGCCTAAATTTGGCATGCAAATACTTCTCAATTGTGTCTGTAACCGAGATGATATATTCGAAGTTTTAGAATGCTATAACTAAAAGTCAGTCAGGTTGGAGTAACAGCTACAACAAAAAATTGAGAATTTAACTAACAATTGAACTTGTATCAGATAAAAGTAACATGGTTAAATTCTGGATCGTGTTTCATGTTTTACTCCAAGAATCAGTCAATATATTCCAAGGCAAAGTGGCATCTGCATAATCCGAATGTAATTCAACAAGGAATTAGGTTCTTTCTTTGAATTTCTTCCTCTACCTATATAAACATTTTGGCCTTTAAACAATTTTATCCACAGCCAAATATTCACCAAATACCAAATCTCTATTCCTCCTCAACCATTGAGAAATGGCATGCAAGAAAGATTTGATCTGTATTGGCCAAGAAGGCTATATCCTTTTAGGCCAAATCTTAGAAATGAAGGGAAGATCTCATCCTCCTTTAACTTCATCTTTGCAAAAAGAGAAGCCTTCTATCAAATCAGAGCCGAAAGTACTTTGCCGTTACCCTTACATGCCACAGAAGCCTCTCATCTGCTTCGCGCAGCCGGCTTCTTCCATGGAAGTGAAGGCCATTACATGTCATGAGGCGGCTAAGTTCAACGACACTACAGCCAGCTGAATGTGCTTTTGTACTCTGAAAAAACTTTAAGGCATGAACCTTTATGCATGCCCCTATTCTAGACTAGTTTCACCACAGTCTCTGTAGTTTGCTACTCGAAATAAAAAAAATATGTGGTTGCATGCTCAAATGTATCTCTTTTAGTAATGTATACGATATACCACGTTGCAGAAATTTACGAATATTATTTCAATTGCAGTATCTCCAGCTTAATGAATGAAAGCAAGCTAATTTTCTCACTTTACAGAGAAGTATCAACCATATTGCACTGATAATATATACATATATATATATATATAACCATTTTACACATAAATAGCAACCAGATTGCATAATTTTGATAATATATGTATATATCCATGCCGAGGGTGGTAATTACTGATACATCTACAGGGGCTGCAGTCCCTATTTGGCTAAATTTCTCCTAATTCAACTTACCTCACAGGCTCTAAGCCTACTTAATTCAATCATTAATATCCAATCTGACAAGAATATTCCATGGAACAAGTGCAAGATTTGGTGGGGAAGAGACATTTTCGACTCATTCCAGATTTGGCACATCAAATCCTCAAGAAAAAGCTCATTTGTTATGCATTTGGTTTCTAGTACTTTATTGTTGGTCTTGGTCTGCTGGATAATAAAGAATAATGTTTTACAGTATACACCCCCTTTTTCAAAGAATAAATTGCATAAACTGTTACTCAATTATTGCTATTCCATATCCCGATCTGAACTATTAAAATTTGATCAATAATGTACTTATGCATATTTTTTAAGTTTATCAGCTAGCACAGTGAACAATTGAATAGGAGTTTTGCTTTTTGCAAATTCAAGAGGGGAATCTAAAATCTGAATACCTTTTGTTTTATCTTGTATGTTTTCTACTTTGAAATTACAGTTTACAATCATGATTTTGGTGGTGTTAAATGTAAAAGAACAAGCCAAAGATAGAAGTGATTTTACCAATCTAAAATGCTTCTTCTTTTGCCACAACACCATTTCTATCTCACGTCAAAGTAATATTTCCACACACATACATATATATCCTTAGCTTATATTAAATCTTCTTCTCGATGTTACACCTTCCGGCCAAATATTCGCCTTTGAATTCTACAGCTTTATACTAAGGGGGGCTGTAGTTAGGCCTGTTCTATATATATATATATGAAGATTCCACCAGTGCCTTTCGGCATGCAGATGATTTCTTGTCTATCTGCCTAATCTTGGGGACTCAATTATTTGCCAGAAAGATCTTATTCCTCCATAAACTAATTAAGTAAGAAACACATATTTAAACCAGTTTATTCTAACTATTTAAGATGCTTAATTAGTTCCTCTTATGTTTATGATTATCCAGCTTGAGAACATTCCCCAACTTTATTATCAATAATCATGTTGTTAACATATTGTTTATGCCAAGTGTTTATTCTCTATTAAGCTTTTTTTCATTTATTTAATGAACTTAGTTTGGAATCAAGAAAATATAATATCAAACAGGTGGGTATACTTTTATTTTATTTTGTTTTGGTTTTGAGATTTTAATTTTAATAGTGGTTTGGATGTGATGTTTTGTTAAATGATATAGCGTATTATTGTGAGGGTTATATAGTAAAAGAAAAATCTAAAAATGATCACCGAGTAGAGGTGTAAAAGGAATAAATATGATGTTGTATTCTATTCTGATACTAATCTCTACAGCCACAATGATCCATGCTTTCCCGCAAAACTTAAGATATTCATTCGTGTTGAAGTGTTTTTAAATTTACCGCTTGTAAAGTTAAAAGGTTAAATGATTTTACCGATCATTGGTGAAATGAAGCCTATTTAAAGACCTTTTTTTGCATTAACATTGTCGTAAAGACAACCAAAAAATATCTCTTGCAGTTAATTCTGAGGTGTTCTTTGTTGTCCTATTGTCTATCATGGCACATCAGGAGAAGCTTGGAAAGATTGGAAAGGAAGGTTTTGACATAATAGAGGGGTTTTTCACTCGAACCCGGAGGCCGGACCATCTGCCACAAGAAAATTCTGCTCAGAAACCACATCCAGTTGGGAGGAACTTTCCTGCTCCAAAGAGTACAATCAATTCAAGCCAAGCTGCCAAGAAGTATGGAGGGATAGCAGTACTCGAGGGGCGAAGAAAATATCGAAAATGATTGGGATTAGCTGTGTTTAAAGAGAAAAGCCAAGTAGTTATAAGTTGCAGGCAATCTATGTTTATGTGGTTTTACTTTCATGTAGTCCACTTGTGAATATAATGAAAAGTTACTCTTTTCTTCTTGTGATAATCCTTTTTGTTATTGCAAATTGCAACAAGTCATTAATTTGTGTTGCAGTTATTCTGATTTCTGAAGAAGAAAATTAAAAAAAGAATGAAATAAAACAGCCCTATTCTATAAAATAGCACATTAAATTACATGGCTGAACTGAGAGGCAATCCAGTATTGTCAAAGGGAAGTCAGCCCTTGAACTGAGGTGCCTAATTACAGTTAGTTAGGACAGTCCTCTGAGTAATAGGTTAGTTATGAATCAATGGTTGTCCGAGTAACAGAACGGCCGAGAATTTGATCATTCTAAAACAGATTAAGGACAACCGAAACTCGGTTCAAAGGATGGCAAGTAAGGTCAGCAGCAGCACCATTGCCATCCTCATTCTGAGCTGTGGTCTAATTTCCTGCGATTCAGCGGCAGGTGGCCGCAGGCCAAATAACAGTGGGGCAACGATATTTAACGTGATGAGCTATGGTGCAAAGCCTGGAACAGAAGAAGAAAGCTCCCAGGTTAGTGAAATTTCCAGATGAGAAAGAATAAATTTCTTCAATGACATGATCAGGAAAATATCCATTCCAATTCAGGCTTTCGTTCTGGCGTGGAGAGCTGCTTGTAGCTTCGACAGGAAGGCTATGGTTTTAATCCCACCTGGAGTTTACATCCTAGGGGAGACAACATTCCAGGGGCCCTGTAAGAACCCCACTCCTGTAACAGTTAGGCTGGAAGGAACCCTCAGGGCATTCTCTGATCTCTCTGCTTATCCTGAAAAGGGATGGATTTCATTCGACGAGGTCAGTGGCCTGGTCCTGACAGGTCGAGGCACCATTGATGGACAGGGCCAGAACTTATGGAAATACAATGATTGTGATCAAGATCCAAACTGTAAACACCTGCCGGCTGTAAGTGATTCATTAAATTTCCTCAACAATGGACATGGCGTTTCACAAGTGTATGATGTTCTTTTGATTGCAGAGTATATATATGACCAAAGTGCAAAATGCTTGGATCACTTCACTCAAGCTGATAAACAGCATGGGGTTCCATATGCACGTTACCAACAGCGAGCGAATCGTGCTTCGCGGCTTAACAATCACTGCCCCTCGAGATTCCCCCAACACAGATGGAATCCACATTAGCAAATCTAGAGATGTAAAAGTAATAAGGTGCATTGTCAAGACCGGCGACGACTGCATATCCATAGGCCAGGGATCGAGCAACGTCACTGTTAGCATGGTCACCTGCGGCCCTGGCCACGGTATCAGGTAATGAGTAATCAATCAATCCATTTTATATGAAATTTTATGCAAGTAAGATTAAACCAGACTAATGTGAAATCTAAATTCAGCGTGGGGAGCCTTGGAAAGGTACCGAATGAATTGGATGTTCAGGGGCTGTTAGTTAACAACTGCACCTTAATCAGCACCAACAATGGCGTCCGAATCAAGACTTATCCGGCCTCGGATCCGAGCAAAGCTTCAGGAATCGTGTTTGCCGATATCGTCATGGAAGATGTGGGGAATCCTATTGTCATTAACCAGAACTACGGCTTGAAGTCGACACAGGTTTTTTGTGATCCACATTGCCCAACAGATAATAATTTTGTGTTAAAAACAATAGCACTAATGTCTAAACTGTGTGTCTCTTTTATGCAGCCATCAATGGTGAAAATCAGTGATGTCACATACCACAACATAAGAGGAACTACAACATCACCAGTTGCAGTGAGTTTGATTTGCAGCTCAGGAGCCCCCTGCCTCGACATACGTCTGCACAATATCAATCTGAAGCTCAAAGGAAGTGGGGAGGTTTCATCAGTTTGTTCTAATGCCATAGTGGCTCATGTTGGTGTTCAAATTCCACCGCCATGTGTATCGTTCTAGAAAGACGAATGTATTGTAATTAACTACTAGTTAAGAAGAAACCAAAAAAACACAGGAGCTGTCGCAAATTAAAGATCAAAGTTTATAGATGCTGTCAACGTTTTAAGAAGCAGATGCATCAGACTGGCTGTCAAATTTTTTTTGCAGAAACCACAGATCAAATAGTTTTTTTAATGTTTTTTTTTTTGTTATTGGACTCCCAACAACCATAAATGGTCAAGATGGGCTATGATGGTGGTCATTAAATATCTTGATTGATGCAGGAGAAGAAGCAGCCTGAGGAGTAAATAGTGTGCATACAGATGTGTGGCCAAGATTTTTTCTGTAGCAGTAAACTCATCACATGATGCCACGTCGTGCCACCAATCAAAATCACCTCTTTTCGCCCCCAAGATTGTTCTTTTTGGGCTGCTTTTTGCTGCACAGTTCGCTTTCTTGTTTTTTGTTCCCATCAATTCAAAAAGATAGGATTTTTGCAGAACAGCTTTAATTGCTTCATGCCCGTTTGAAATTTGTGGCCAAGAAGTGCTGTAAACATGTTTTTCATCTCAAGGGAAAAGTTAATTTGAGGTAAAAAAATCAATCTTGTAATCGACTTAAAGTTGAAGAAAAATCTCCAAGTGAATCAATGCAAATGGATTCGAACCTGGTGGGGTTCACCAGTCTCGATTTAGGATCCGACGGCTTATATTCCACAATGGTTCACCGCCCACCGTCGGATCAAAAGGCTCTAAATTAGCATCAGATTTTGTCCTCTTTCTCCAATAGTTGTAACCGTAATTGTCTCTGTCTCTCTCTCTCTATCTCTCTATAAATCAATCGTTTTTGGTGCTCTAGTTTCTGCAAGTCGTGACGCAGAGGTGAAGAAGATGTGTGGGGGTTCGATAATCTCAGATGGACCATTAGCCAAAAGAAGAGGTAAGTTAACCAAACAGGAGCTCTGGGCTGAGCTCGACACCATTTCTCAGTTTTGGCGCTTCGATTGCTCCGATAATGGCAACAAAAATCGGACAAACCAAAACCCTCATCCCTCATCCAAGAAAGGTTGGTTCTGTGCCTAGTACAAACTGTATATCGTTTATGTACATTAGTCTTGTTTTAATTTGATTTCTGTATCTTCAACAAAGGTAGGGATTGATGTTTTAGAAAGCTTTCTTTGTTTGTCATATGTTTTGTTCTTGCGTATGTATGCTTCAAGAAAACAGCTTTTATCTTTCTTATGCATCACGAAAAGATAGAAAGAGTAGCACGCGTTTTATTTGTCGGTTCTATACAAATCTTGTTAGAATATTATCAACAAATGGTTCGAATGAATGCTTGATGATTTTCAAAGGTTCAACGATTCTTCTATGATTAATTATAATGTTTTGAGTTTGATTTTGATGTTGAATGCAACTATGCAAGCAGTGGGTGTTGAGGAGGAGGACAAAAATTCCATTGAGAAAAATAGCAAAGCTGAGAAGGGTAACGGGAGGCCTAGAAAAACTATGTACAGAGGCATAAGGCGAAGGCCATGGGGGAAATGGGCTGCCGAGATCCGGGACCCCCGCAAGGGGGCTCGGGTGTGGCTCGGGACCTTCTCCACAGCCGAGGATGCAGCCAGGGCCTACGATGAAGCTGCCAGGCGCATCCGTGGCTCGAAAGCCAAGCTCAACTTCCCTTATGATCAACTGCCGGCGAAGGATCGGGTGATGGAGAATGGGGTTCAAAGCGTGCCAGAGTCGTCGTTGAATCAGTGCCAGCCGAGCCAGACGAAGAAGAATGAGATGCTGCTGAACTTGGAGACTTTTTTAGGCCTGGAGCCGGAGGCAGCGTGTGTCGATGAATGGATGATCGATGAATTTGGAGGTAATTAGAAAAGATAAATCCAATGAAATTCAGCATATGATCAATGCGTTAAACAAACAATATTATGGTATTTTATATCATCGTGTATGTGTATTGTATTTTAGCCTGTGTACATTGGACAAGAATTTCAATTAAGGGGACATGTGTTTTTTTATTCAAGACCAACTTCACCAAGAAAGACTCATTCTTCGATTTTAGTCATATTCAATGTATGAGTAAACAAGAACAACTGTGTGGCATAATAATGGTATTATTTTATACTAATGTCAACATCATGGGACACGAAGGTAACAATAGTTCATCATCAGCTCAAGTAAAGTAGGGAAAGGCAAATCTAGTCCCAAAAAGATAAAACGACAACCGGATGGTTCTACAATCTACATTAACATTAATAAACAAAAAGCTTGAATAGTGTTGATGATGTATGCATAAATATGAACCAGTACAACAGATACACAAATAATTCACATTATTTAAAACTCCTGAAAGGGGAGAAATATTTAACTCAAAAAGGGCATCAACATTCAGAAGTAGTATGATATTTTATTCCACAATCATCAACTGAATTGAATTGTTCTTGAATTAGTTCCCTGAAAGAAATCCTACGAGCTCGACTTGTGATAGCTCAATTGAATTCCTTAGTAATAAAATATTTATATTTTTTTTATAGTAGTATAATATATTTATATATAATATTTTATTATAATAAATTAGATTTATTTAATTTATTTATTAAAAATATATAAAATTTAAGCCGAACTTGAAATCTAGCTTTACAACCGAGTTCAAGCTTGAATTTGAATATAACAAACCGAGCTCGACCCTTTATTTTAGCTCGAACTCTTAATGGGCCTAGCCAAGCCTGTACCGTTAACAATTTCAAATCGAAAGCTCTAGCTAACTTATGTATTTTTGTCACAACCAATCTGCTTGCTAATTGAAACCAAATGCAAAACACTTATTTTTTGGGGATTCTAGTAGGCAACTACAATGTTCCATCATAGGATTTAGTTGCTATAGATTTAATCCCCAAGTAGTTAGTCCAAAGTACTACCAATATATACATGGCTCTGAGATATTTCTCGTCTTGTTTCTTTCATATGAGATGAAAGATTAATGAAAAACAATTAATCAGTCCAAAAGAATAGAAGGGCCACTTCTGAATCATCCCCAAATACCACAACAATGGATAATTCAATACAGCTCCCTTACAAGCAATCAAAACTTCATGGGCAAGAAAAATGCATCTACAAGGTCCCCAAATACCATTGAGGACTCAATCCTCCATGTTATCTTAGTTCAAACAAGGTCCACAACAATGGTTAACCCAAAACAGCTCCCTTACAAGCAATCAAAACTTTATAGGAAAGAAATGCATCTTTAAAAAAGGAAAAGAAAAACCAATTTATTGGCGTCAACTATAAAGAGGAAGCAATCAACTTTTGGCAAATTGGATTGAACCATACATCGTTGAGAAATAGATTATATATATATACAATGAGTACAATTCACAACACACAGAACCAATCGGGTCCTTATATACAACGAGATCTACACAAATTAACATGCTATGAAACAAACATAATCACCTAATCTTAATTACTTAGAATCACTTCTTCTTCAGGGCAATCAATCATCTTTACCGATCAGCAGACTTGAGTCAACTGCAATGGAACTTTTCCCCTATCACCAAACCCATCCGAAACAAACCTCACGACTCTCTTAAAGGCGAAATGCAAGCAATTTGACATGGCGATCCAGCACAAGATCTCAAAAACGAAATCAAATGCCGGATCAGATATTGTATTATCTGAAGATTCTTCCCAATTACCCCATCCATGCCCACCGAAATTCCATCCCCCACCCCCACCACCGCCCCACGAATTACCACCGCCACTGCTAAAATCCATTCCATCACTAAACACGAAAATTCCGCAATCTTCGCCGCCGTCGTCAATATGAACTTTCCTCTTGACGCGGCGGGTTTTTCGGACGCGCGGTTTCGTGATAGTTCTCGTGGCCGATCTGGATACCGCGGAGATATTAAACGGCAGCGGCGATGGATTTGACTGGTCCGAGGTGTCCATCAGCGAAAAAACGTTGCTTGACCGGTTGAGGATGAAATTCGATAATCCTGACGACTGCGTCGTGTAGGCGATCGATGAAATTGCGTCGGAAATGGCAGAGATTTCCATCGAAAAATTTCGGGATTAGGGTTTGGGAATGACAGAAAGGGAAGAAATTGGGGGAGATATTATTTTCCACTAGAAGCAAATTTGAAATTGTGGAAGGAAATTTTCCTTGACACGTAATTGAATTTGTTGGGAAAAATTATTGGGCTGAAATCGCAGCACAGGCCCAAACTAGATATTGGGCCTTATAAATAAGTTTATATGGCCCACTAAATTAGGGCTGCAATAAATCCTTTTTACAATCCTTTGTTGGGCCGATATCGCAATATAGGCCAAATAGGATATTGGGCCCTAAAAAGAAGTTTCTGTGGCCCACTCAATTAGGGCTGAAAGTAAGCCTTTGTTGGGCCGAAATTGTAATATACGTCACAATTAGATATTGGGCCCTACAAATAAGTTTCTGTGGCCCACTCAATTAGGGCTGCAATCAAATCCTTTCTTCACCGTCTTCATCCGTCAATAGAGCGTGGGACTAAATGGGCTTTTGCTTCTGATGTTTCTCCATTTGGTCGCTTCAACGTGGAATTGAAATGGACTCGCCTGCGATAAGCGCCGGTGAATTGGTGACGCTACAAGAGCTGAATCCGTCTTCACCGCTATTTAAGCAGGGAGCATCATTTAGGGTAACTGGAAAGTATGTGTTCCTCTTCCTGTTTTCATATTGGGTGTTGTAAGTAGTGCAAGCATATCTAAGCTTTAGAAGAATGGGGTTTTCAGATTGAAAGCCAATTATTTTGGAGAACTGAACTTTTATGATCGATTTGAGAAGTATCATCAATCTTGTTTCTAGAACATAAAAGTTTTTGTTCGGTGTTGATTTTGGCGTTAGAAGCTTTGATAAGCACTCCCAACAATGTGTAATCAAAGTTTTCAAATAAGCTTAGGTAGTTTTTGGAATGTGTAAGATAGAAAGGATCAGTTTATGATTTTATTGTGAACTAAGAATATGTGTGGGAAGCTTTATTATATTCGCTGTCCATCAAGTCTTATGCACATAACATTTCACAGTCATATTTGAATGTAGCAAATATGAATTTTTTTTTTTATTTTTTTTTTTTATTTTTTAAGGCTGCAAGAGTATGATCTGGAGACAGCAGTGGTTGCAATTCTCGATGGAGATGCTAGCCTAAAGGTTGATACAAAGCACATACAGCTCAATTTCCGCAAGGGTTCGATGTATCAGTTCATTGGAGAACTGCATGTTGAACCTAATAATGAGGTTTGCATTTATCTTGGTTCTGTTAAATGATCTCTTGTACATGCAAAAATGCTTATAAAGATTAGAGTATGCCTCTGCCTTTCGCCAACATTGCTGCTATAATACTGAATTAGCTGTAAAATTTTCAGGCAATTCTAAAGGCTAGAGTGGGTAGAAATGTTGATGGATTGGACATGAACCTCTACCGGCAATCTCTGAAGCTCTTGAGAGATTTTCAAGCTGAGTCCAGAAGTAATCCTTTAGCTTAGAACACTACTATGACTGCTTAAAGCAAGACTCTTCATATGAATCAGTGTCATCTACCGAGTGCCCAGCCTCCCACAAGTCATACAGTCGCGAGACAGTTGAACCGTTAGCTGAACTTCATAAAAATGTACAACTTCACTTCAATGCTTCCTTCTTGATCTTTTTCTTGAGATTGGCATGGATCCCTCTTTGAGGGATTTTCATTATGTGTGAAGAAACAAGATTGATCAACTAGTCATTCACCAGTGAACAACTTTGTAGCCTGGATTGTCTTTGATATGAGGGTTGGCTTTCATTCCCTATTCAACTGTATATTTTTGTCGTTCTTCAGAATATAATTTTGACATTTGATGTCAGCAGTCAGCTATGCATTTAAAGCCACAAGCCACACAATATTGTTCAACTAATATGGTGTTCACAGGTACAAGAAGACAACATTTGCCTGTGTAGGCCTGCTTTATAAGGAGATTAGGTACTAATTAGGTAAAGCACAAGTGGGAATCTATCTGCTTAATGATGAATTGAGTAAAATAACAATATACATATATAAGATTTCATTTTATGTTCCTTTCACCACCGTTTTCTCTTGATAAAATAAAGTTAACTGATAATATTAAGAATTGTAGATTGTAATAAACTAATGAAGACATGACCGACAATGGTTTACTTGCATTTCCAACCACAATTATATCTTATTTAATTGCAATCGTCATTTTTTAAATATTCCAAGTTCATCATTAGATAGTTACCTGTACAAATTATTGGCCATTATTAACCACATGTATTCAATTCAACGTTGTGCTGCTGTAATCCTTTGACTGTTATTGATCTTTCAATGTTTTATTTTTGTGTCCCGTGTGATGAAACGAGGTTCAATAGAGTATCTTTTTTGGGTGTTTGTGTGTGTGTGTATGCACTTGTCCTCTTCCTTCAAACCTGTATTATGACATCCAATTAAATAAGGCAAGAAAAGAACAAAGATATTAGATCAAATAGAGATTCGTAGCCCTCACTATGTGTCCATTAGAACATTGAATTTCTTCCCAATGCATATATGTTGCAGTAAATGAGGCCCCTACATAGTCCTTGCCTACAAATGGAGTATAAACTCTCTCCTTCACTCTTGCCTTTGCATCTCTATCTGATATTCCCAGGAATTTGGAAGGCCCTGCAACTCAACTCCCGTCCGGAACTTGTGTAGACATACGGAACCGTATCAGAGGTCATTTCTGCATGTTTTTACTCTTTATCATTAGTTTCTTCTATGCATACAACCACTGTTCTGTATGGCAGTTTCTAGTTTTGGTTGCTGCTTTCATTTAAGCCTCTCAGTTTTGTGGAAATAGGTTTCCAAAGTTTTCTTGTCTGTTGTCATTTCTTATGCAGATTGGAGATGGTACAGTTTTCCTCCTTATTCAACACCTTGTCGAAGAACATCCCATATAAGCATGGCAGTAAGAAGACCACAGATATCGGGAGGGAGGCTGCAAGTGTGCTGGCAAAGAGGAATGAGCTGTTGCTGACTTCCTCCGGTGCTGTTGCAGCAAGAAACAACCAAAATCTTGCGGCTGCATACTCCAAGCGCGGCCAGAAAGGGTTTAACCAGGACTGCATAGTCGTGTGGGAGGTACAAGAACCAGCGACTTCGCCTTGACATTGTCAATATTGCAAAATCTGATGTTGTGCATAACATGGTCTGTTTTCAGGAGTTTGGATGCCAAGAGGACATGGTTTTCTGCGGCGTTTTTGACGGGCATGGACCATGGGGACATCATGTGGCGAAAACTGCCAGAAAATTGATGCCGGCAACGCTGCTACGCACTTGGCAGGAAGTTGTTGCACTTAGTGAACCCAATAACTTTGACTGCAGCCCAGGACAAGATCAAATCCAGTTTGATACATGGAAGCAAGCTTATTACAAGGCTTGTGCTGCTGTTGATCAAGAAATCCGATGCCATCCGGGGATTGACTCGTTCTACAGTGGCAGCACAGCTTTGGCACTTACCCGACAGGTAGGCAAATCTTAGGCGTCATAGAATCATCGATGTCTCCATAATCTCCATCAGCGTACTAAGGTCCGGATTGTGTTTTCAGGGTGATGTTTTGACCGTTGCAAATGTCGGAGACTCCCGGGCTGTTCTTGCAAGTGTATCTGATGAGGGAAATCTGGTGGCAACTCAGCTTACAGTAGACCTCAAACCAAATCTACCTCGTTAGTTGTTACTTATCTCTTTGAAGCTTTCTTAGTTCTCATCTGGATCCAATTACAAGAACTCAATATAATCATATGATGACAGATGAGAATAGAAGAATATCAGAGTCAAGAGGGAGGGTATACTCCTGCCCGGACGAGCCGGGCCTGCATCGGGTATGGTTGCCAAACGGGGATACCGTGAAGGGTCCAGGCTTGGCTGTGTCGAGAGCCTTCGGGGACTATTACATTAAAGAGTTTGGCCTCATTTCGGAGCCTGAATTAACTCAGAGAAGCATTACCAGAAGAGATCAGTTCATCATCTTGGCTACCGATGGGGTGCGTATGTGCATAGACATACATATGATCATCGATATTTCCGTTGCTTAATCTGCTGCTTGTGTTAGGTGTGGGATGTAATGTCGAATGAAGAAGCGGTGGGGGTCGTTGCTGCTGCCGCGGCGTCACCGGAAAGGGGAGATTCGGCTAAGAGACTGGTGCAGTGTGCTGTATGCAGATGGAAGCAAACTGGAAGAGCTGCTGTGATGGACGATATATCAGCCATTTGCCTCTTCTTTCATTGTGCAGACACTGCTGATCATCACAAGAAAATATATACATGTTGAGAAGGTTATGTTATGTACAATGGCAAAAAGAACATTATATTCATATATATACTTAATAAAACTCAACAAATTTACACAGAGCAGATGTGTTCTCAAACTTGAACATTAAGGTTAGAACACATTATGCATACAAGACCCTGCCTACAAATAAATAGATCAGTAATAAACACTACAATTTCATAATTGTCCATTTTGACAGCTATAGAGAGTTACTCCCCACATAACAAGAATTTAACTCACCTTCAAGTTGTTTGATCAGTAGTTCCATCATTTTCTTGTACATTGGCATGTAATGATCATTTATCATGGTTTTTGATAACCGGAGCTTGCTGTACAATTCCCTTGGAGTCTCATAGATCCCAACTTGTTCCTCGGCATCCCTGTCATTGTCTGGATCCGAGGAAGATGCAGTAGAAACTATGTGCATAATTCGACCAGGTGGATAGAATTGAAGATTGTCCGAAATATCTGATGAAGAGACGGGTGTGTGGTTTTCCACTGCATCTGCATAAACCTTCTCCTCTTCCGTGATTTCTTTGGCAACAGCCTCTTCTTCTTCTTCTTCCTGAATCCGAGCATCAACGTTGCTCTCCTGTCTCTGAAACTCTTTCTCTAGCTCATACCACAGCTGTCCTTCAGTGATCTCCTCGATGTTTGAGGTTGAAACCACATTGTCCTCTTGAACAAGATCTTCATCTTCATCAGTCTCCTCCCGTCCAGTCTCACTGCTACTTGCAAAATGATACTCTATATTGTTAGCATCTGAATTGCTTGTTCTTACTTCACTTGCAGCAGATTCAGATGCTATCTCAGTGATTAAAGGAGCCTCTTGAAAGTCATCCGTTTTAGAGCTCGATGTTGGGGAAACAATTCTGCGTCGGGGCCCCATACATGTCCACAATGATATGGAAGAACGAGTCTTGACAACTGCCTGAGCTACATACTGTGCACGTTTCATCACAACCTATAATAACAAGTTCACTGGTTAGCGTTTCATCACACCTATTTGCCTGTATTTCAATCGGATATCTTAAAAGAGAACATTCTCTAGTTTTCGAAGGCATGTGTGAGTTGACAAGCAAGAATCAGATTAAACTTCACATCAAGTAAAATCCAAACCGAATTGCAAGCTTCAGAGTTCAAATGAAGCAAGAGATTAATTTCATAGCATTTTACCTGAGTGCTGCTTGACACTGGCCTCAAAAGTGCACCTGCTCCTACAACCCTTGCTTTAGCATTTGAAATTGATGGTAGACGAGACCCAAGAGCATTGGCAGAGCGATAGATGACATTCAAGACTCTATTGCGCTCAACTTGATCCCGAAGATCATTTAACCATGATGATGCAGTTACCTGATGAAAACCAACAGAAGTAGTTTACAGTTATAAATGACTAACAACTTAATATAAATACACCAAAAACTAAAAAGCACTAGCTTTACAAGTTTCTTGGATAAATATGAGAACCAACACACCTCTGAACGAAGATCATCTATAGAAGCAGTGGAAAATGTAGGTACTAAATCAGAGCCATTGATTACAGTGGTGACGAAATGCTTCCCAGACTCTGCCAATTCCCATGTCATGCAGGCAGCTTAAAAGAAGGCGACACACAAATAAAATCAGGACAAGGCACTTGACAACATTTTATGTAAGTAAAGATTTAAGAGCAAGAGAAGAATGAATTTGCAGCATACCTGGTGCAAAAGTAACACAAGTTACTGCCGACAATTCTTTTTGCTCCCTAAGAATGTATGTTAGCAATGCAGCAGTACCACCACCAAGTGAATGGCCAACAATCTGAGGAATTGAAGTTGTGATGTAAAAACACAAATAGAATGTATGTTTAACTAAAAATGACAAAGGTGACAAGCATATCACCAGATGCTAATTGACACTGCAATTTATATTTTTTTAAAAGAAAAAAGCTAATGCTGAATAATCTATTAAAACTGTTTACAACAATGACAATAAGCTTAGAGAGCTGTGTGTGTTCGTATGAGTGAGAGAGAACAACTATTACAAAATAAGGAAGAATTCCTACCTTCACCTCATACTCAGGATTATGTTCAAGAGCCTTGATCAAAGTTGGAGCGCTTAGCTTTGCAATCCACCTAGCAGCAGCAACCATCCCACAATGAGCATAGCCCAACACCAAATTACTTATTCCACCATCATGCAACACCGAAAGGTGAAAAGGGACCACTGCACCAGTTGCTGCAGTTAATGTATCTTTAATGCTATGAGTGCCACGAATCAAGAGAAGGAAGCACTTTGAGCTTTCGTCACGTAGAATTGTGAAGGCCGGCTTCAGAATCTACAAAAAAGATATTAAGAATTATAACCTCCACGCAAACACAAGCAATAGAGCAATATATTATTGTAAATGCAATGACAAACCCCCGCTTTCGGCTTCTGAAGAAGGACATTTGGTTCTGAAAATCCAGCAGTTTCCAGGAAAACCGGAAAGGGCCTCTTGGAGAAGAAAAAACAGAGAGTAAGCAATCTTAAATAGTAATGCAGCTGATCAATAATCTCAGGGCCTTTAAGCTGCTTAGAATTTTCCCCAGCATATACACTTGCGACTTGTAGATTTCCCTGCGATAACGTTACCCACATTACATGTCTGAGCTATTAATGTCAGTCTGATTCATCATTCGTATGCTTGTTAAAAGCTAGATCACATATCAAAGTAGCATCCTTTTAGGCTTTTAGCTAATAACAGAGCCTCCATATGAGAAAAGGAGAATTAACTCAATCGACACAATTGCATTACTGCGCTAACACAAACAATGATTTTGCAGCAACGACACTAACATTTTGCAGTCAGTTACACCTTAATCCGGTAACCAAAAAATATGTCCGGCGTGTTCAACTTCGACACCTGCTAAAAATACTCCGAAAGTAGAACACCACGCTGAGCACAACAAAACTTGGTACCTCAAAGCAGAAATCTAGAAATCCATTAACAACATAGCACCTCAGAGTAACAAATTTCAGCAACCGTAAGCGTTGGAAACTCCAATTAATCCACCATTGGCCTCCCAGGAAAGAGTAGCATACATAAAATACAGAATCAAATGAAATGACTAACAAAAAGAAGAAATCTAGGAGAGGAAGAACTAGCCTAACCTGTCTCCTTATCAAATAATTAATCCCAAAAGCCAAATCACCGATCGGCCATTTCCCCAACGTTTCCCCATACGTAAACCTCAGAGTCTCCGACAGCGTATAGATCGTCTCCAGCCAGGTGGCAGGCGCCTGAGCTGGCCTCCGCGACAACCGCCTCTTAACCAGTCTACTCTTGGACTTCGACAGATCTCCATCGCTCGAATCCTCAACTTCCTCCGCCGCCGACGACATCCGCCGACTGAACACATAGTACAGCAGCACCACCGCCCCCGCCGCCGTCGCCATTGTCGTAGCAGCCATCCGGTACGGCAATTTCCCCCTTCCCAAATTCTACAGTCCAAAATTCACGAGCCACCGAACATAATTATGCTCCGAGACGCGTACACGACAACTGATACGTAATTTCCCAAATTTAAGTGGTGATGCATTCGTCATTAATTCTCGGCAGAGATAAACCCACACGCATAACGATTGAAAATACGATAATGCCCTCCCTCCCCCAACTCGCCGAAAATAATATATTATCTCTAACTTACGGCGCTTAATTCCTAATCTTCGTTTTTATGTTTGATTATAAACTACTAACAAATCGACAATCTAGACATTCCATAATAAAGAAAGCGGTTTTAGACAGAAAAGTGTTGGTGGGCCTACTTTTAATTATCGATTAGAAACTAATTAAATGCAGCCCAATAGTACAAAATTACAGACTACATTGGTGAGGTATGCCCGGCCCAAGCAACAGTGCAACGCTAAGGCGACATACGAAGGCCCAAATAGCAAGCTATTTTAACGGGCCTTCCCCCTAAAAAAATAAATTTAATATCATATGGGCCATTGGCCCACGTATCAGATATTAAACTGATAAGAACAGATACTACACTTGATCTTAGCCAAAAGGCCGAGAAAGGTATGAGTAATACAGCTGCAGAGTGGCCCCTTTTATAGTCAGCGAATGGCCCTCCATGTGGTAACGTATCCGATGTGGGATGGAGACATCCAAACCAACGCAACATACGCTTTATGTGAATATAGATAGATAATTGGGTAGACAAATTGAATAAAACAAACTTTGATTTCTACAGTTCAAAGCAAAATCATGCATGAAACGAAGTTTGAATTTTTTTTATTTTTTTTGATGGATGATAAAATTCAAGCATAAACTAGGGGATTCTCCAAGAGGTAAGTTTCGACAGCTTTGTAAATTCCGACAGCACTTTCTTTGCCGGACTTGATTTCTTCCTGGTTGATTTCATACTGTCCTAAAACATGATATTCACTCATCATCTTGCAAATCGAAGACATGCCGCCATCTCGGCCGTCGAGCTTGACCTCGTACCGGATAAATTCAAGCTTGTCGCTCAAGGGATCGCCTTCGATCATCGTGTACTTGCAAGCAAAACCTTCTTTATCCAGCTCGGTTATGCGATGCTTGGCGTATTTATAATGGCTAGCTGTATTATATTAATATATATATATATATATGAGATGAAAGAAGTGTCTGGGGTGATCAATTAATTAATGTGAACAATTTAATAAACGAACCGATTGATAGATGTGTTGAAGGTATGGCTAGACGACGACGACTACTACTACTTACATTGGGTAAAGTTGACTTGCTCGATGCTTCCGGCTCCACCATCTCCTTCGATCCTATCGATGCTTTTGATGAACTGTGGGAGGAGTTTGGGTAACAGGTCATGTCCTTCCAAGAACAATGCCTTAAAGAGACGATTGGGTGCAATTCCAGGGCTGATGAACTCTTGAGTGATGGTTGTAACACTAACACCCATGGTTTTATTAATTAATTAATTAATTATATATTTCTCTACTAAGAATATAATCAAGATATATAGGGGATCGATCTATGTGTATAGAATGTTATATAGACATACACATATAGGGAAATGGGTTTGGTAAGAAAGCACCTCAATATTGAATCTGGAATGATCCTAACAAGATTTGCTGATGAGAAAATTAACCCAATTCATATTCAATATTTCAAGAGTTGATTGGTCATGCACAAACATTTAATTTTCCACATGGGCGGCAATAATCTCAGTGTAGAATAATAGACTAGTTGATTGAAAAAGTTACACGATGGAATAATTGTTTCAAAGATTGAAAAGCAACCAATTGATTAAATCATAAAAATTTTGTAACTACTTATGATAAAGTGGCTTATGTTTATACAATTAGCTAGATTATTGTTTTATTATATTCAAAATCAATTTTATATATAATTTATAATATTATTTTATAGAAAATAAAAATAAAATAGTCAAAATATATAATTTTTCAAGATGGTGTCTAGGTGCAAATTTAAGTCAAAAAAATTAACAGAAGAACTAATCCTTTATAAGTTTAATATATGAACTTCACTGCTATAAAGTCAACTAATATACAAATCTCATAAATTATAAAACTAAAATGTATTATATGTATCATCATGCATGGTTTGTACGAATACTATAATACTCGATCGAAACCAAGGTACACACCTGACGATTCATGTTTAATTATACGAAAAACAAACAAGAGTCTAGTATTTTTTTTTTTTTATGTTATATAAGTAGTAAATTCTAGTTGTATTCATGAGGATGGGCAAGAAGATAAGCTTCAATAGTCTTAAAGATTGCCTTGGCCTTCTCTTTGCCTGCCTTGATCTTCTCCTCGGTGACGCCTCCGCAGCCTTCTTCTTTGATGTGGTACGTGCTGCTGGTTTTGCAAACCGATCCTCCATAGGGGCGAGGCTCGATCTTCACAACATAGGAGAGGACTCGAGCACGCCCTCCAAAACATCTCCTTCGATAACACAATTAATAGATAATTAAAAATGTATTAGTGAAAATAATTATTCTATAATATAAATAATTATAAATTAAAATTAAGATAATTAATTAGTTTAATTAAAATTAAAAAAAAATTAAAAAATTTAAAATGAGATTAAAGTGTATAATCATTTTTCAAAAAGAAACGGACAGAAACAACAACGTGAATATGGTATATGGGACGGGAGTAATATATATTTCTTGCAAATCCACCAACCTATTTTGCATTTACATCATCGAGAACAAACTACTACTACTCATAGTTACTGAAAAGCAGAACAAATTTGTGGGTTTAGTTCAAAACCACTCATCAAACCACCAATTGCAACTCTTTTCCTAAACATCCTAATGACAATCATAGTACTATCATATGCTACTACTAATGTTACAATCAAGGCAGACAGGCAGGCAGAGAGAGAGAGAGAGAGAGAGAGAGAGTTCATGAAACAACAAAAACAGATAACCTAGTCCAATTCCATAATAATTCATCTTACCCTAAACTAATCTAGTATAATTTGAACCATCTACATTGCTAATTCATCAAAAGCGAAGGCCTGCTAGATGAAGCCAAACAGCAACTGCGCAGGAAGAACACATACAACAACACATCATAGTAGGTTATGCAGTAATATATAATACACACACACAGATGATAAACTATCTTCATAGTTTGTCTTTCTTTATTCACATAATATATATATATATATATAGAGATATAGATATGTATAAGTGTTTGGGATTACATGATTAGAATGTTCCTGTATTCATTCCCTCATCTCACCCCCACCCCCCCCCCCCCCCTTCTTCCCTCCAACCCATTGTCTCCACATGTAATGATGTACTACAATACTTCCCCGCAGCTGCGCAGGCGCTTATAAGTTGTCGTCCAGAAAGGTCGACAGAAGCAGCCCTTGAACAAATTCACATTTCTGTGTCTTCTCCTTCAGATCTTCATCAGACAGCAGAGGAGTTTGGCACGCCACGCTACTGTAAATGGGAATTTAATTAGCATCTTCAGTAAAAGACAGATTTACAAAAGTTTTTAGTCTAACATATTCGTACCCATCAGCCAAATCTTCAACAGAGCCTTTCGCTGCTGAGCCAGCCTCGACAGAAGACAGTGGTTTGATAACGGAGGGTTCATCAGCCACAGGTGGATTGGATATGAACGAGCTCAGCAGTGGATCTGGTTCAGCCCGTGAGGAAGAAACAAACAATGAAGATCCGCCTCCCAGAAGGGAATGCACATTTCCGTCCCTCAACTCTCTTCTTAGATTAGCAAAAGAGAAGTTCGATCCTCCTCGGCGAAGTCTTCTCCTCCGCTGCACGTAATATTCAAGTCAAGGAGAACAAGCATATTGCACAGATCGAAACAATTGAATGTATGTATCGCAATGAAGTAATAAACACGGTCTTTGAAAGGATATTTTAAGAAGGCTCCCATGCTGCACAGTTAAATGGCGAATCAAACCCGAGCCTACTCTTTTTGCACAGACAGGGCACACCTGCATCGGCAAAGAATCCCATGAAAACGAACGGGAATAAGTCATTAAAGCAGATTGATTCAAAGCACGTGTTTACACTATTATGACATCTAGCACATCAGAATAGTTGGAGGTTCTCAGCATTTGGATAAATCCAAAGAGCACGCACGTACGGTTATGAAGTAAGCATATTCAGCACAGAAATATTTACAACTCCCGATGTTTTAATTGGTTATAAAAGTCACATTCTCTCAAATTCAATACATAAAGCCAAAAAGGTATATTCCGAGTTAGATAGCATTAATAGGAAAGAAAAAAGGATAAAGATAAGGCAGCGGTTGTCTAGTAGAAGACAAAAACCATACTAGTAATGTGCAAAAGGATCGATCAGTAACTAACTAGCCAAAAGACGACACATACATCAGACAAATAATAGAAAGAAAACACCCCACCGCGCATATGGAATATATCCGACAACTTAACAGAATCGTAACAAGAGATTAAGTTTTGATAAATGATAACTAAATCAAGGAACTGCTTGCATATGCTGTGTTATCGTTAAATCAAACTGAATCTTTGACTACTTCTCATAACGGCAGCAAGTTGAGTATCTTACTTTTCTAAAGTTAAAAGGAAAGGCAGGGCATGGCACATCATTTGCCACATCGCCAGAACTAAACAGATTACTACATCAAAATTCGCAAGCAGCATGACCTCATCCGGATAATCTTTGTTACTATGCGGTTTCAGGACTTTAAAGCCTTCATTATCGGTTGGATTCCATCGTCATTAAAAACAACACGTAGCCAAAAGTATCAGCCATGTTATTTATCTCATCAGAATCTTTCCATGTAGTTATTAGAGCATGCAAAACAAATTAGTCATCTAAAGTAATCTTCCCCCTATCAACCGGCATACAAGAAAATTAACTAATCATTCATGTATATACAAATCAACAGATCCAATCATTTAAACCAAGGCCAACAAACACAAAGGCAATGCCTGAAACCCAAAACAAAGTACCAAACATAGCCACAAAATGCAGTCCAAACACAAAAGAAGTGGCGAGAATGTACCCCGTTCTTGGCCTCAACGGCGTGCTCTTCATCAATATGGCAACAAAGCCCCACCATATCGTAATCCTCAGCACAAAATGGGCATATATACTCAGGCCTCTGTTCCTCATCTGCTTCGTAATCTTCTCCATGATACACATCTGCAACATTTCCTAAAAAAAAGCACAGATTCCACAAATTCAGTCTCACTATAACTCTAAACCTTTTGCCCATACCACACTCGTACATCTCTGAATAAAGAAACACCTTTCTATATTATCACGCCTAAGATGAAAATGGGTTAACTTAATAATGAAGTTCTTGATCACATACAATGTACAGATCATCAGACGCAAATGCATAAACAGACAATATTCGCAAAACTTTCTCTTCCGTGAATCTCCTATGGCAAACATTTATCTTTGAAAATGTTTTAAGAAACGTGTGTGCGCGTGTGTATATATATATATCCTCCTCGTACTTTCCGACAACCAGCAAGTCTATCAACGCGAACCCTAATTAGCAAAATTTTGCAAACTTGGAGTTTCCTTTAATCAGCGATCTTCGTAAAACATAATCGAAAATTTACATCGATGTGGATGTTAAACTTCCAAATCCCACACGCAGAATGTAAAAGGGAAATTTAAAAACACTCCCACAAAGCTCGTTCGAATCCCCAAAACTTTCCTCGACAGAAATGAAAACCAATTCTTGGAAAAAGCACAATTCCCAAACAATTTAATTTCGTTAAATTTCTCGTATAAGGAATAAATTAGTAGCAAAAGCCCGGAATAATTACAATCAAACCCACAAACCTGATCGGGATTGATAGCGCCTAGAATAAGAAGAAAGTCGAGGCCAAGATTCGGCATCCATTTTTTTTTCTCGAAATTAAAAACAATTAGGTTATCAAAAATGGGATGGCTTTGCAGAGAAAGCACCACCGCAAAGCAAAGCAAAGCCCACTCGCAGCAACGATACAGACACAATATAATCTAAGATTCTACTCCTGACGAGTGAGAGAGAGAGAGAAATGGGAAGTTATTGGAAAAGGAGAAAGGAGGATAAAAGAAAGAGAAGCTTCGGGGAAGGAGGGACAAAGGCCCAAAGCAAAGGACGAAGCTCTCTCTACCAATTTCCTCTACGGTCAGATTTTGGATTTTTATTAGTATTACATTTTCATGTGACTCTGTCCATAATAAATAAAGAGCCTTACATTTAGTTTAATTTACGGAAATACACTGCGGCTAACCGACCTAAAACAAATTCCAGAGAGTCCAACCTGCGATGCGCGAGGTACTACTACGAGTTACACACCTCCAAGTTCGGACACGCGTAGCGCGTGTGACGTGTTTATGAATCGGCTTGAATTTTTAATAAATACTTTTGACGTCTGTAGTGATGAACTAACTATATGTATATTTATAGAAATAAATAAATAAATAGATGTAGGTCGTCGTTAAATTTCTTCCTTTTAATTTAGAATTATTTATAATTATGGCAATTGTCTGCAGTGTGTTGTGACATACTATTTATTGACTATGATCAAATCCATATGTTATGTTTTACTTTTACAACTTCATCAATCTAATTCAATATTCTGTGTGTCTAAATAAACCAATAAGCATACACCTACAGCATACATATATAAATTCATCCAAACAAAGCAACATCAACATCAACATCAAATCAAGGTCGATAATTATATAATTAAAACTATGGAACAAAAAGAATAAATAAATGTAAGTCATCAAAAAAACTCAAACAAAAGAGATATCTGTAGAAAAAAAAAGAAACAAACATCTGATTGATTAGTGTTGAATTAGCAGAGGAGCTGGAGCTGGAGCTGGAATTAGGTTTTGGATGGGGACTTAATATAATGTATCTAATGGAATAATTAATAAAGCAGTCACTTATATTAATCACACAGTTTGCACTATATATCCAAATTAAAAAGAAATAATGGTAATAATCAACATGAAAATTTTATAAACGAAATAATACTATTATGATAGGAATCGTTACCAAATAAAAATGCATCCAAATGAATAAAAAATTAATTACAAAGATTTACAACAAATTAAAACAATAAACATCAAAACCAATTAAGCTAAAACTATTATATGTATGTTTGAGCAATTCAGGTGTTGTATTGAGTATGAATCAATTGTGTAGTATCACTATCCAACTAATTAAGCTTTCTAATACTAATGGTTTGACAAAAGTCAATTCAAAAAAATTTGAATTATTTTATCTTAAATTTTAAGAAAATTTTAATAATACCAAAGTTTTAATTATCTTACAAAAAATATTATATAATAATAATAATCAATGAGTCCATATCAAAAAAAAATGTGATTTGATTTTAATACTAGTATGTATATAGATCAATTAATCAATCTACCATTAATAAAGTAAAGTGGTCCACGTGTGAATAGAGCTTAATTAATTAATTAATGTTGTAATTAAGGGCGTGGGCGTGGGCGTACGTGTATTATTAAACGATTCTTATGTACACTTTTACCTCTAAATATTTTATTACTTTTTCAATCTAAATATACACACTCTCTTAAACACCTCTAGAAATAACAGGTTGGTCTGATCTGGTCTGGTCTGGTCTGGCTATATTAGATATGCAGTTTGATTTTTGATCGTTTTAATTTAAATTGATTATATACATATTCAGTATGATGTATCCTACAATAGTTCTAACTCGGTGACCGATTGATACACAATTCACAGTAATTTGTCCAAAATTCTCGAGTTAGTCAAAATTAAAAGTGAATTGTTTCAAGTTTAGGCAGTGATCACGACTTTTGTTATTTATTCATTTAATTAAGATCTTGTCTTTTTTATTATAGAGAATGATTAACTTATTATTTTATCATTTATTAATTTGACATTGACATGATCATAATATATATGGGTCATTAGAATAATGCCTACGCCCGCCAATTATTCATTCCAACTATCTAAATATCATATAAAATTGAAATATAAAAACTATCCAATCGACTCCACCCCAATACGAAGGCCTACTGCTGGCACTAATTAATGTCTTTGCTATCATATCATAACATAACTTCCTTTATTATCGTGTCCCACTTCCAAGTTCCTTAATAATATTTAAAAGCTAAAATAAAATAAATATGTTGTACTTTTAATTACGTGCAATAATATAGATTATAGCCTCAGGCTCTTTCTACTGATTTCTTTTTCAATTGTACAATTCTTTTAATTTTCTATAAAATACTACTCCATCAATACATTTCACAATTAAATTGATCTTACGCTATATAAAAATATAATTTTAAAAAATAAAAATAGAAACTGTGAAAGTTTTGTTGGGTAGGAGAGAGTCTGAGTGGAGGCAAGTGGGAGAGAGTAATGTACGGCACCACCTAACTGGGGGCCCACCTATGATGAGATCTGGGCCTAGCCCAAGTACTTTCTTTCTCCGCGTTGGCCCATCTACACGCTTACACTTAAAACTCTTATGTACCCACACGGATAGCGACACGTGTCACTTCCCCTCCACCCCCACACAGTACTGATTATCGCGACCCATTTGCACAAGTGAAAACAAATAAATTAAAAATATTAATGAATATCCATTCATTCGAACATTGCTCATGTAATGCTGCTGCTGTTGCTGGGGATGCCATGGAAAGAGCAAGCCAAGAAAACTGCACCGACGAAGGAAGAAGACGACGACGACTGTTGTTTGTGTTTGTCTCTACATAATTAAGATCAAAATCAAAATCCCATGTAGCTACTACCTAGCCAGCTTATAGTTACAGTTACGGTGTAGAGGCAGGTAGGGTAGGGTGCCACGTGGCGTGGGATTCTTCTCTCCAATCTCCTCCTCAGAAACCTACCTTCTTTCTTCTCCTAAACCTTAAAAGCATAGCCAGTCGCCCATATGTAGTGTATAGTTTATTTTATTTGACCCTTTTTGGTCAGGTCATCAAAAGATGCAAACATTGCAACAGCAAATGTCGTTTAAAAATAATATAGCAAATCTCAAAAGCATGAGACAATTATTAAACTAGGTGGGTAAATTAAGAAATGAATATACAGCTGTACATCTGAGCTAGCTAGCTATTAGATGAAATTTTAGGACAGCAAGTGCAAGTGGGGTTTGACCTTTGTTGATTCTTGTTCATTTCATCCTTGATTAATTGAGCTTCTTATTATTAACTCTCCTCCCCCTTCATTCATAGCAATTCTTTTTTTTTTTTTTTTTGTTTTTTACTTGTCTGCATAGTACAGAACTAATGATATTGAAATGTAGCAATATAATATATAATTCTAGCCTTTTGTTTGTTTTCCCATATCTCATCTCCTTTCATCTTCTCTTCTCCTGCGAAAGGTGGATTCATGGGAAAGAGCAAAGTATGGCGTCCTCAATGCAAATGCAGTCATGTGTTCTTTGCACATCAAAATAAGTGAAAAATTACAGAACCCCTTTTTCAGACAGGCCATCATGTGTAGGTGTGTAGTACAAACCTACTACTAATTACAGATTTGCTTGGGAATGGATTGTATTGTATTAGATATAGATTAATTACATTTAGATTATAGACTTTCTCTCTATCCCTTTGTTCTAAAACCAAAAAAGAAGAGCATTTATTTCAAAGTTTTGATTTTTGTGGTAGAAGAAGATGGTTAAATATACATACATACATACATTTAAGTAGGATATAGAATACGAAAAAGGATGTTTGGCTGGCGTGGGGTTTGCTGATTTCATCTATGAGCTGGATCCACATCTCAATGGATCCACCCCCACCCCTCTCTAGCTAGCTAGCTAAGCAGAAAAAGGAAATCCAAAATATTTTATATATATATAATTCCAATAATAAACAAATCGAAAGAAAAAACAAGCTCAAGGAGACAACAAGCCATCCTCAACTCAATGTTATGTCTTTCACTCTCATAAGGTATTTATATTAAAGCGAATAAAAATTTCCCCTTCTTCTTCTTCTTCTCTCTTCTTTATCATTTTCCTCGAAATCTTCTTTCGTGGAAGAAACTGAACAAGTTAGTATATACCCTATTTACATGCTCCGCTTACCCTATGGATTACTGGATTTCGTGGCTTGCTTAAGAGTTCAGTCGGTACTGAAAATAATTTAAGGGCTTTCGATTACCATCTGGGTTTGGCGTTTGCTTGCGAACCAAGGTCAAGTTTAATTGTAGGGTTTGGGAGGGGGGGATTTGATGGATCTTGGAGTGAAACCCCTATCCTTCGCAAGCTCAAGCGCTTCGTGGAGCCCCAAGGATAGAGTTTCGGACCAGTTTCCTGCTGGCCTGAGAGTGCTTGTTGTGGATGACGACCCTACTTGTTTGAGGATCTTGGAGAAGATGCTCAGAAATTGCCATTATGAAGGTATTATTCCATTCCAACCCTCACGTGGCTGTGTTTAACTTCAGTTTTATCCTGATAAGAATTTGTTTGTTTCTTCTTCTTCCTCTTTCTCTTGCCTTGTTTTCTCTGAATTTATTGATGTTTACTAAAGCTAAGAGTTTCCATATGCAGTTTGCCTCGTTATTACATGTGTATGTGCCTGACAGATCTTACCTCAGGATTTGTGGTTTTGGTGTGGAGAAGTAAGGTTTTCTTTGTAGTACAGTAATAACTCTGCAATTGAATAGCTGCAGTGTGGAGTGTTTATAATGTTGTAATGAAACATGAGCTTTATTACAAAGAGTGGTTAGTTTAGTCGACTGCAGATCTCGTGCATAATTCGTACTTTAGACTTAGGAGACTAATTAAACTAACTGTTCTTGGCATTTTGCAGCAACCACGTGCAATCAGGCTGAGCTTGCGTTGAGGTTTCTTAGGGATAACAAGAATGGCTACGACATTGTTATAAGCGACGTGCACATGCCCGACATGGATGGGTTTAAGCTTCTGGAGCATGTCGGACTTGAGATGGATCTGCCAGTTATCAGTAAGTAAACATATACATATATATATATATGTATATATATGTGTGTTCTGTTTGTTGGCATATGAATAATGAAGTGAAATATTTAATTCCTGTTGTTTAGTGATGTCGGCGGATGAAAGCAAACATGTTGTGATGAAGGGCGTTACACACGGTGCTTGTGATTATCTTATAAAACCGGTTCGGATGGAAGCGTTGAAGAACATATGGCAGCATGTGGTTCGCAAGAAGAAGAATGAGTGGAAGGAGAGGGATTGTGAAGTGTCGGGAAGCATAGACGATGGGAGACTGGAACAGAAAGTGCCCGAAGATTTGGACTATTCATCCTCAGCTAATGAAGGAACTTGGAAAAGTTCCAAGAAACGCAAGGACGACGAGGATGAAACTGAAGAAAGGGATGACACTTCCACTTTGAAAAAGCCTCGGGTTGTTTGGTCAGTCGAGCTCCACCAGCAATTTGTCACTGCCGTTAATCAACTTGGGATAGACAGTATGAACCGCCGTTTGTTTTGTTTTGATTCGTTTGCCCTTGTTTAAATTACTAACACCTAATTGCTTGTGCTCCGATGTTTTTCCTAATTGGTTTGCTTCCGCGCATAATTTCAGAGGCTGTTCCGAAGAAAATACTGGAATTGATGAGCGTTCCTGGACTTACAAGAGAGAATGTTGCAAGCCATCTTCAGGTGGGATTGTTTTTTTTGCTATTGTTTTATCCGTAGGTTAATATGGTGAAGAATCACGGTCGAGTTCTCGAAATGAGCTGATTGTGTTTTCTTTTTACCTTTCTGATGTAAAGATAACATCTATGATTCATCCCTGACTTCAAGCAACCAATCTTTTTCAGAAGTATCGTCTGTATCTGAGACGGCTTAGTGGTGTGTCGCAGCATCCAAATGGGCTTGGCGGCGCCTTTTTGGGGCCTCCGGATGTGGCGTTTGGAGCAATGTCTTCGATAAATGATGCTAGGCTTCAAGCTTTTGGTGCTACAGGTCAGCTCCAGCCCCAAAGTCTTGCTACAATCCAGGCGGCTGCGCTCGGCAGGGCTACTTCCAATTCTGCGACACTCGTGGATCAAAGGCATCTTTTCAGCCTCGAGAATCCGAAATTAAGGTTTGTGGAGGAGCAGCAACAACAAAGTGGTAACAGCAAGCAGGCAAGCTTACTTCATGGAATACCGACAAATATGGATTCAAAACAGCTAGCTGCTTTTCAACAATCCTCGCAGACTTTGGGCGATATGAGTATGCAGCAGGTCCACTCCCAGGCAGGCCAAAGTGGCGCTTTGATTACACAGATGGTTCAACCGCAGTCGAGGACTCAAACACTAAACGAAACTGATGGAAATGGAAGACGCGTGCCGGGGTCTGTTGCGCAGCCTATTCATTCGCAGGCAATTCCAAGTGCTGTCTTGGTTTGGAATGGAATCGACAGTGTTCGTGGACCAGTGCATACTTCAGTTTCCCAGGCATCGACTGGATTAGAATTTCCCGCGAGTCTTCCCACAGAATTTCCGAGGAATGGCTTTTCAGTTGCAAGTAATTCAGGAATTTCGAGCCTCCCGCCTAAGCTGCAAGACGAAGTGAACTCAGAAATGAAGGGATCTAGAGGATTTCTTCCAAGTTACAATGTCTTCGATGACCTCAATCAGAATAGAATCCAAGATTGGCGTATACAAAGTGCTGGACCAACCATCGACGCCCCTCAACATTCCAATGCACCGGGAGGCCTGGAAGTTCTGCCGTCCGTTTCAGTTCAGCCGCAAAGATTCTATTCCAATCAGAGGAGGTATACATCTGTTAACAAGACAGCGCACTTGGTTTCCGAGGGGCTAAGCAGCGCTCCAAATATGTGTCCTCCGCAACACTTTTCGTCAGTAGCCGACAATCAATTCAGGGTAAAGGCTGAAAGGCTACCTGATATGGGATTCCAGAATGGCCTCTATCCGGAGCACTTTGTCCAGGAGGACCTCATGAGCGCCCTTCTCAAACAGGTAAGCTTCTTACATCCTGCGCAACTTATGTACTATTTTACTAGATTCTCTCTTGAATATGATTTCTTGTTGTCACTACAGCATGAGGAAGGCGCTGCCGCACCTGTTGAGAATGACCTGGCCTTTGATGGGTACCATTTGGATAATCTACCTGTCTAGCATGCATACCTACGCCTCTTTTCTTCTTCCACGTGCGAGCACCTGTCCTTGTTTTTTAACGTATTTTTTAAGTATGAATTCATTGCCGGGCATCATTCTTTGGTCAAGCAGGTGGATCCCTCGACTCTAGGATTGAAGCTCGAGTAATGTGCTCGATGTTGCAGCATGTTATGCAAAGCAGAACATGCACAGCAAAATTATAATTGCTCTGACTTGGGATATATATCGTTTTCAGTTCCAGCTCTAGCTAGTCGAAATATATATATGCAGTGGAATATATCGATCTGATTGATTGGTTCGTGCTCATCAGATCTACTGCGAGCGATTCATGTAGCTAGCTTGGTCGTCGTTAGGCGTTTGCCTGTGTACATACTCCCGTCCGTCCCGTGTATATTATATATATATATATATATATGCTTATAAGGTCAGTCAGTATATGTTGTTTAACTAAAACTACGGTTTGGTTTTAGCAATTTAAAGATCTGTTTCTTTCCGAATCTGAATCCAGGTAGAAATAATTGAGTTGAGGTGATGACGATGACGATAATGATCCAGTAGTTAATTCTGAAGCTGAAACTATATACTATGATCGATCTCGATCTCATCTCTACTTGCCTGCCTTTATACAAGTTCGGTTTGGTTCGTTTATATCTGATTTTCTCACTGTTTATGTATATGTATATATATATGGGTTGCATTTCTAAAAAGCAGTACATGAATTGTATGTATGTATGTATCAAGATCACACCAGCCTGGAAAGTTTGATTTGGCCGGTGTTATATATATAACTAATTTCTTACATGCAATTTGCAAGGTTTTATGTCGTTTGTAATAATTCCCATTCCCATGTACATGCATTATTATTAGCCCAATTCATACCGAATTATTATTATTATTATTATTATTATTATTAAAAATAACAATAATCGATGTGTTTTCGTACATAAAAAAAAAAAAAAAAAAGCCAACAATTATAAACCCCTTCAAATTCAATTCAATTATTCAACAGCAATGACTTTTGGATGACATACGATACGAAAAAATACTATAGTAAAGTGCACAGCCCGTCGGTGTTAACCTTTTGCCAAATATAGGTACTATTTATTTGTATATAAATTAAATAAAAAAATACACCAAAGAACCCCAAATTCAAAAGGGAAAAAGTAAAAGATGTAAAAATGTAGTATTGTTTAAAGTTTAGCCACTTTACTATTTATTTTTTTGATTAATTAATTATTTATTTATTTATTTAAATTATGGTGAAAGGTTACCCTTTTCAATTAATGCCCATAAAGACACATATAGTGTGGCTTCTAAGCCAAGAGACACAAGCCCCTTTCTCTCTTCTTTTTCTCTCTTCCCATCGCCATTGCCATTGCCATTGCCAATCTCATCATAAATATTGCTTCCGTTTTCGTGAATTCCCCAATCGATTCTGATTTCCATAAATTTTAATTTCGGGCAAGAATGCAGATCAGATGTTGCAGGAGCTTCGTATTAATGGGGATGCTGATGGTGATACTTTGTGCATCGACAACTGTGCCTTCGGTGGTGACTTCGAAGAACAACGAAAGTACTTCTGCGACGTGGGTTGGATCGAAATACAACATTGACTGCACAATGTGCTCCGCTTGTGACAATCCCTGCAACACGCCGCAGCCCCCGCCACCGCCGCCGCCGCCACCGAGCTCCAACGTCAATTGCCCTCCGCCGCCTTCCCCCAGCAGCTCGGGGAACAACTACTACTCCCCACCGCCGCCAGCGCCTTCCACGTATTACTATCCGCCACCGCAGAATCCGTCGTCCGGCGGTGGCTATTTCATACCACCGCCGCAGCAGTATCCGACGGGGCCTACTCCGCCGCCTCCGAACCCGATTGTTCCCTACTTCCCTTACTACTACTACAACCCTCCGCCGTCGTCGTCATCGACATCGTCGGTATCCCCACCGTCCTTCCGCAGAATCCTGACGCCGCCGCTGATCCTGGTGGTCGTCACTTGGCTTTCCAGCTGTGCGGTGGTCTATTGAGAAAACTATTAAATATATATATATATTTATAATACTACTCTGTTTTGGCTTTTGGTGGTAGAAATTTGTTACAAGAGAAATAGATCAAGGAAATAATAATAATAATAATACTATAACAAATAAATAAATAAATTATTTTTGTGGTATTGGGATCGTATCGGCGGATCTCCCCTTGACAACTGGAATTAATGGCAAAAGCAGCAGAATGAGGAAGACGATATTATGATGGAGTGGAGGGCTTTATCTTATCTGGAAGACAGACAACTTTATTCGAAGCTAAGTACTGAAATTCTTCTCTTTCGATCTTTCTTGCTCTGTTACAGTTAAAATTGTGAAAATAATTGAGATCTGCAGCAGCAGCCACATAGCTTATTGATTGATTAGCTTAGGTTGCCCACTGATTTTTTTTTTTTTTTTCCAAAGTTTTTTTTTGTAGATGATGAGATGAGATGAGTGAAATGAGGGTCTCTAATTAATTAATGAATGAATTACTCCCGTCTTGTGAATATCAATAAATCATCATCATCATCATTTGTAGCTGCCTGGTGTTGTAATAATGTTAGGAATTAATGGGATGGAGTCGATCCAAAATGCTTTTTGGAGAAGGCTTTGAAAGTGCTTTTTTCCATAAAGCACTAGTACCACACTGCACTGCACTGGGGACTAAACTACTTTTGATACATGTGTATATATATCAAGCATAGATTCAAGATTGGTTCTCTTTCTTGGTAGCTAGTTTGGGAGAAGTAACAAGTGAATAATGATAGTTAGTTAGTTATGTAGGTGGGTATAATTAATTAGTTGGCACAGCACACAGCACAACACAACACAGATACAAATACAAATACAAATTAATTGCTGCTGCTGCTAATAATTCAGCAGTAGGAGTAGGCAAGGCAGGCAGTAGTAGTGATTCTTGTAATCACTTACAAATTGGTTATAGACATAGTAGTAGTAGTTATACGATACGATACGATGATAGCATATATATATAGATTACAAATGACCGACCGTTGATCTTCTTCACTTTTGGACTCAGCAGCCAGCCAGGCCTACCCCTACCATTATTAATTAATAGAACAGAACAGGACAGGACAGGACAGCAAGATTGATAAATAGATAGATAGATAGATAGATTGATCCCATTGCTATACCTACAAACTCCCTAATCAACGTCAAAGCTCAAACTCCCCCGTCGTAAGAAATAGAAATAAGAAAGTGGTCTGTAATGCATGCGTATAGGTGGTGTAGCCTAGAAAGAAAGAAAGAAAGAAAGAAATTCAAAAGGGATTCAATTTCTAATTTCGTATACCTCTTTTCTCTTTTCTGACTGACTTTGTTCTCCCTCTCTCTACTCTCTTCTTCTTCTGTGCATTGCATCATACTTTTTTATAGATACAATATTATTATTATTATTATTATTATTGACAGCATTTGGGAAGAAAAAAGTTGAAACAATGGAGAATAAAATAAAATGATGAGCTGTATGCATGTACGTATACAGTTGGCACTAGAACTAGAGTGGAGCCTCAGCCTCCCTCATAAACAGCCATATTTTATTTCGTGCCGCATTCTATTCGCGTCACCGTCCTCCATATTTTTTCTATTAATTATTTTTGACAAGAATCGCTCGCTTAGTTGAAGATATGTTGGTAATAATAATAATAATTATAATAATAATAATAATAATAATAGTATTTCACCATACATACCTCTTTGGATTATTATAATAAGTTAACTCAATTGCCTCTGTTTTTTAAATTTCCATAAAAATGTAGTAGTATTACTTAAACTATTATGCATCCATCCTTGTTAATTTGTAGTAGCATTAGTATTGGGCTGGATACAAATCTCAATGCATGACTTGATCTTTGTGAGGTGAATATGACACGTATGGGGCAGTATTATGGACACCAAAACCAAATTAGATATCGACACACACCTTATCCAAGAGACAAGACAAGAGAAGAGAAGAGGACAGATCCTCCATTCCATTGGATGTCGTTAGTAGTAGAAATTAGAAGACGCCAACAGGCTACAGCTTGTGCATCATCATCAACATCATCTACAGCCGCACAGCACACAATTGCTATATCATCAATGACTATATAATATATTACAACTATTATATCCAATCTCATCTGATAAATTGAAATTTAAGGAGACGGACCATGAAAAATAGCACAACACGTGTCATTTCAAGAATTGCTTGCATGAACTAGAGAGAGAACAGAGCAGAGCAAGATTATAAGATACTACTCCCCACTATTATAACAACAATAGCAATAGCACTAAAATTGATTTTCTTTTCTAATAAATGCTGACCAACAGAGTACAACATTTGACCGAGAGAAGCCCATTTAGACCACTCTCTTTGATTTCTTTTCATACTATACTATACTATACTATACTATGCCATCATCATCGTCATCAGAGTACAAACAGCTACAGCAGAGCAGCAAAGTACAGTCAGTAGAGGACCAAAACCCTAATAAGCTAAGCTAAGCTAAGCTATCTATGCATAGACAGAGCCACATGACAAAGCCATTAATAGAAACGCAGCCTGCTCTACCTCCCCCAGCTTTCTCCTCCGGGGAGTGTTCGATCGCGGTCTCTGCAACGCCACGTCTTCCCTCCCCCCGAATGCCCATAGCTTCTTCTTCAACGATGAGCTCTCCCCACTGCTGCTGCTGCTGCTACTGCCGCCGCTGTTACTGCTTGAGTTTTTCCCACTTGTTGACTTCTTGCCCTTCTTCTCTTCTTTCGTCACGCCCAAAAGAGCCCTCCTCTTCTTCCTGCTTCTGATCCCACATGCGTTGCACAGTGACTGCAGGCAAAACGACAACACTCTCGCATCAGATCACAACCGATCCACCTCAGGGAAAGGAAAATTACTTCTTTAAAGAAAACAAAACAAAAAAAAAATTAAAAGGAAAAAGATACATGTACTCCAACAAGATGTAAATCCTCACATCTTGTCTAACAGTAGAAATGTTCACCCGGCTAAAATAGAGACCACTAAAATGCATCTACGGAAATAAGCTAACAGATGCAAAATATATATCATCAAAATGAACTCAAGATCTACATAGACCCAAATGCTGCTGCATCAAGAGTAACGAAATACTACCACAGCCATTGCGTTTAATTTAATTCAGTCATGTGCGTCTTAATATATACCTTCGGGCCATCAGGACCGCCTCTCCATAGGGGGGTTTTGGAGGTTCCGCAATCAGCACAAGTTTTGACAGTAGAGCCGCTAGGGGAAACCCTATCCGGGGGCGGGGACTGGCTACTTACCCCTTCGCAATCCGAGCCCTGTAAAGCGTCAACAATCAAATAACATTAACGCTAAGATCCTGATCGTACTAGTACTTCAGATGAGAATGAAACATTCTGTTTTTCATCAAGCAATGAAAGATGATAAATCAGCATGATCACTCACTTTATCACTCAGATCCATTCGACTGCGGCCTTCTGTTCAAAGATCTAGCACATCCAAAGGAGAGATTCCCGAAAGCCAAGCCTAGAGAGGCCTGATCAACCCAATCAGCGAACTCACAGAGCAAAACGAATCGAGCAATCGGCGAGAATAAACAAAGGAACTCAAGATTTAACTCAAAACAGCGAGGAACAGCACCAAACCCAAAATACGAATCAGCAGTTAACAAACCTAATACCCAAAACCACCACGATCTAGTTGCAGGGGAGAAGAATGCAGCAAGTAAACTCGGGAGGAGTAGAGCCTTATCCCTTGAAATGAATCGGCGATAGCGAAAAGGCAGGCGGCAGTGAAGAGGCGATTGGCTAAGGTTGAGGCGGTAATGTAAAGCGACAAGCAGGAGTAGCAACAGAAATAGTATTTCGGTGAGAGTTGGGGGGCGAATGTGAAAAAAAAATTCTCGGGTGGGTATAAATACAAATTATACGAAAACCCTAAGGCGCGCGGGAGCGTGAAATGACGAGAAAGGGCTTCGATTCCCCCAAATATTTATTTCTCGCGCCGCCAAATTGGAGGTGCAAATGGGCGGGCGCTAATGAACTCATGAAAATTTGATTCATTTTCGGCTCAGGGAGTTTTTCGGGATTTCGTAAAAATGTTTGGGTCTTTGCCGCCATAACAAAAATAGATCTATATTAAAAAAATTTAGGGTTTCTACACCATGCGATGTGATTGAGACTGCGCCACACGGGCACAAGCACACGCAATTATATTTTGTTTTATTTTTATTTTATTTCTAATAATAATAAATGATTGAGAAATAAATCAACAGTTTAATTTTCTCTCTCTCTTTTTTTTTTTTTTGTTTTTTGATTGATTTAAATTAAGCAAGCAATTTTCGTATGATTAGACTGAATGAATAAAAAATCTACAAGGAAAGGAAAGAAAACCCGATGGAAAATGTGTATGTATATACTAGACCTAGTACTACTATTGGGCTCATAAAATTGTGATTATTTTTTTGTTTGTTTATTTATTTATTGTAATATATATATAATAAAAATTGGGAGTTGAATGAATGGCATTGGCATTGGCATTGGCATTGGCAGTGGCAAGTACAGCAGGAAACGTGTCCACATTCCAGACAAACCCCATCACAGGAAAGGTGTCTAATTTAATACCGCTTCCAATATTTGACAGCAGAAAAAAATTCAATTATCATCCAATTATGAAACTACTTTTACATTTAATTTAATGGAAAACTGAAAATTAATTTAATTATCATATTTAATGGTTAAAATTGATATTGTTACTTGTTCTAACAAAAATTGATGATTGCTGAATATGAAATCTGATATGATTATGAATACAGGGTTTAATAAAAATAAATTTGTGTTTGATGAAATACGTGAAATAAAAAGTTGTTTACTTCATGTTTATCTTGCTATTGTCTGTTTTTCGATCTTTGAGTAAGTATTTATTTATTTCTTTGATCATGAATTGAGATATATGGATAATGATGTGCTGTGCTGTGCTGTGCTGTGCTGACTGCTATAGAATCAGACAGTCAATCAGCTCTACTTGATATATTTCAATGCGACTTCATATCCTATATTATTATTATATCTTAAAGTATTCAGTCAAATTACAGTTAATTATTTACGTGAATTGGTACATTTCATATTCAGCCAGTCGGTCAGCCACCCACAGGCGCAGGCACAGGCCCAGCCACAGGCCGCATATATCTTTCCATTATCCCTCACTCCCTCCAGGCTCAGGCTCAGGCTCAGGCTCCAGCTCCAGCTCCATCTATCTATCTTGTAATTGAATTTCTTGTAGTAGTCTGTAATGCAGCAACAGACAGACCAGAACATCTGGCAATTTCAGTTATCTCAAGTCAACTGTTGTAGGTGTTAGTCAGTACTAACAGCACACCTCCACCTCCACCTCCACCTCCACCTCCACCTCCATTGGCCTGGCTGGCTGTTCATTGACAGACAGGTTAGTTAGTCTTAGTCGCGCCAAACTGTTAGTAAAACTGCATAACCAAACCACTACACTAATCTCCCCCATCTTTACCTTTGATCTCACTAGATCTGCTCTTGGGAAATTCTAAAGTACATTACGATAAGCTCCAGCCTCCAGAACAGAAGAATCTTTCTATATATAAATGTCATACACTGGGCTGGCTGGCTTTTGTCAACATAGTATAGATATAATAAGTGTAATCCCCTTATGTAGTACAAGTAGAGCAGAGATTAAAGGATGGCGGGGGGACACTTCACAATTACAAGGCTTTGGTCAAAAAGAAAAGATTGCAACTTTGAGGGGGCTAATACTACTACTGCTAATAATAATAATCATCATCAAACGCACACAAATAAATACACACACTGACACTGCTAACTGCTAATTGAATCCAAGGAGGCTTGCCCACATTTCTCTTGAAGATTAGTTAAACCCAGAAGGCTCAGAATAAATTTTGGTCTTGCTTCAATATGTGGTGGAGAGCAGAGCAGAGCAGGCCATGAGTGAAAATCTGAATAAGAACAGAGTACTTACTACTAGTGTGCCTGTCTTCTTCTTTTTTACCTTTTAATCCATAGCCATGGTTTTAAATAGGAGCTAGCTGCTCACGCATCACATTCGAAACTTGAAGTGGATTGGTTCTAATAGTCGACTCGACTCGACTCTGACTATTTGTTGGTGTTGGTGTTGGTCTTGGGTTGGAGCCTCCAGTTCTCACAACAGAACAGATGGATGCATCATTCATCCATCCATCCATCCTTGTCATAGTCATGGATGTAGTAGTAGGAAAGGAATGTGACAAAACCCCCAAAATGGGAATTCTATTATAATCACTTTCACTAGGAAATGTTGTGTGAAAATCCAGCCTAGCCACCCCACGCATGATGATGACTTCACTTAACACCCATGCGGCCATGCCCATGTGTTGATGTTATCCAGATATATCTATATCTATATATTGCCTGCCAGTGCCAGTGATCTAATCCATGATCCCACATAACAAATTACTACTGTTGCCTGTTGCAGCACATACATACATATATATACAAATTTCATTCATTCGTTCGTTCATCACAGGCTGTCGTGGCGATCGAGTGAGTCGACTTTCATGCTTTCCTCCTCCTACTCCTAGTGCAGGATTTTCTCTCAAGATTTTAATGGTGTCACGATTACTGTGGCTTCACCCACCCCCACATTGTACGTATTGCAAAACCTGACCACGTGAGATCGATGTGATTCTGGGTTGGGTTTGGGTTGCACCATCAAATCCTTGAGCAAATGCAAATTAATGGAAGACAACAAAAGGGCCCCCCCTTTATTTCACTCATACGACTTGTTTTGTTTGTGTGTCATTTAATTCGGACAAACTTTCTATTTGGTTGGGTTTCAGAATATATTGCATCTCAATTGTAAAGAAATCTAGCTAGCTAATGTGCAAAGTAAAGTGATCGATCAATTCAGGACCCCAATACATGATTTATGCTGCAAGTTACGTTGTATCTATCTATCTAACAGTCGCGTCGACGAGTGCAGATTTGGATGGAATTGATCGAAGTGGACAAGATCATACGTGATGCAATAATGGCTGATGATTATGAGACTGTTATCCAATAAAAATCCACTTAATAATAATAATTCAGTGATCGATCGAGTTGACCTCAGTCGGGCAGACAAATCCCATATCAACATATACAACATGCATGCGGTGGAGCACTTTGTACATTAATTAATTAATTCATTTGCAGGAGTTGAACAGGAAGTGACAAAAGCACATATGGATAGGTGGACCATCGCTTTGATTCTGCAATCTTGTGATGTTACTCACTCGTGCTAGCTCACTCCATCGATCTCTTCAATATATAATGAATATATATATGTCGTGACAAAAACAACTTATCTCAAGATATCCCATTTTTCTACTCCGAATTGGGATCTAATAATATACTATAATTCATCTCGTTTGCCAGTAAGTATATATAGTTGGTGCCTGGTGGGGGGTTTCTTTTAACTGTGCATTTTCTTCACTGACACTGTAGGATATACTAGTAATCAATAATGAGCTGAGCACTATATATATATATATATATATATATGTGTGTGTGTGTGTGTGTGTGTGTGTGTGTGTAATGAGCTAGGTAGGAGGGCATTGTTTCTTAACTTAAGTTGACCGACAGTAGAAGGGGGGTTTGGATAAAGGAAATGGTTAATTAGAAGAAGAAGAAGAAGAAGAAGAAGAAGATAGAGTTTGAAGCACTATAAAGTGAAGGAGACAGAGATGAGATGAGATGGGAGATCAGTGGCTATGGTTCGTCAACCTTAAGGTCATATCAGATCTGATCCATCATCGTCATCATCAAGGATAGACAGATGATACATACATGCATACATACAGCTAGGTGGGTAGCAAGCTATTCCTCGGATTAGGCCTTTCTCCACCAGCGTGTGTCTCCCTTGCCTTTGTTGTCGTAATGAAGCAAGAAATGTCGTCTTGTCGACACCCCTGAGGCTGAGGTGCCATCAACAAATCAATTAATTAAAGATGCATGTCCTACTATATATATATTCTGAATCTTAGCTTAATTAGTGGGACAACACACGTACAACTTTGTGTGTGCGTGCACTTTCATTCAATTCTATTCTATTCACACAGATGGATGATCATATATAGATAAATTAAAAGCCTAAAAAGTGCGTGCAGTGGATCACAACAAAGGAAATTAAAGCCATTGCAGGCCAGCCAGTCAGCCACCAATGGGAGATCAGTAGACGACGGGTTAAAGAGAATATATATACATATATATTACTTGTACAAACATGAAAAGTGTCCGCTAAACATGAATGAAGGTAGGTGGGTAGCTATGCAAAGAATCAACAACCGATTAAAAAGATAGAAATATATACACTATTGCAAGGCAGGCAATGGATCATGACAACACCTAATTACTTAGCACCTTCTTGTTATATATATATATATATATATACGTACATACCTTATTAGCCTTCCAAATTTGTACTTGCATTGTGTTGTATTGTATTGTATATCACGATCGATCAGCCAAATCCACATGGGAATGAACCCTGCGTGGGGTGGGGTGAGTTGGGTAGTTTCACATGCTTTAAATACAGGGTTTAGTGTCAACCATCAATAAACTATATATCCTCTAATGACAAGGTATAGTGCAGTGCATGGATGATGAAAACAGTATTCCTCCTGAAGCAAGCAATTGCAAGCTACTTGTCTGTTTGAGATGTTTTCTTGAAGCTAGCTAGTAGAATAAATTAGAAATTAAATCATATGGAGGTGAGATCATCGACGACCACGTCAGATGCAGGAATGTTATACCATACCATATGTATGTTTTGTAAGTAAGACTATTGATCGAGTAAGGTCGGATTTTGCAGGAGATTTGGTCATCATCATCATCATCTGCAGACACCAAGGGCCGACCCGCATGTTTGGTGTCCCTCCTATACATATACATTACATACATGCCTACATATCTATATTATGCTGCTTTTAAATCAAGTCAAATGAAGAAATCAAATCATTCGAGATTGATCATGCTGACATCCATCCGTTTTTACAGCAACTTAACACCTCCTCTATCTGTCTGTCTATCTACCCATCAAAGACAGACCCATAATAGTATTTATATAGTAATAAAAGTTGGACAAAAAACACCATCATATTCTTGTTTTTACCAATTAAGTTTTAACCTTCCTTTGCAGATGAGATGAGATGAGATGTGATGGGATCAAATTTAGTTCTGATGATCACCTCTGACCAACAGTTGGAGCATCATTCCATCAGAGTTGTAATTTTAACTTTTACAAAAGTAGCCACCAAGTGTCTGTCCCATTCTACTACTACTACTACTACTACTACTATTGCTACTGCTACTGCTGCTACTGCTGCTATCACAAAATTTGCATGTCCTATTATTATTATTATTATTACTAGTACTGTTCATTTTATACAGTTTCAATTCAATTCCTCTCTCTCTATATATACACACCAGGCAAAGGCATTACTGATTTGCCTCCAGTTGTGACTGAGTGATAGCTTTCCTCCTCATAAATAAATAAATAAATATCCCTCTCTCTCTCTCTCTCAAGAAAACTAACTTTTTGAATGGGAGAGAATAAATATCCATATCCATATCCATATGATCCATCGTCATCATCCTCTGCAGCAGGTGAGAGTGAGAGTGCAGCAGCAGCAGCAGCAGCAGATTATAACAAGGGTAATAACAGTAAGAAACCAGGTGCAGTGACGATGAGACTGTTTGGGTTCCCAGTCTCAAAAACGGACAGACTGCAGCAGCTGCAGCTCCAGGACGTCGAGTTGGAGAAGAAGAGGTTCGAGTGCCAGCATTGCCACCGCAGATTCGCCAACTCACAAGCACTGGGCGGCCATCAGAATGCCCACAAGAAGGAGCGCCAGCGAGCCAAGCGGGCCCACTTTGCGCCCCCCGATCACCACCATCGACGCCCTGCCCCTGCCCTCATCAATCCACATGGGGCCGTGCAAGGGCCATCATCTAACAACGCCTACGCCGCCGCCAGGTTCCTTCCGCCAGGGCCAGCCCATCATCATCATCATCAGGTCCTGTCCGGGGTGCCTCTCAGTCTCAGGTATGGTGCCGCCGCCGCTGTCGGCTTTCAGGTTGCTGCGCTGCCCCGACGAGGCCGACAGCCGGCAACCAACTCCAACAGCCACGATTTGGATTCGGATTTGGATTTGGATGTGGATGTGGATCTCCATCTGTGACTATATATTATCTAGCTATCAATCAGTTTTGAGTTTTTCCTTCCCTTCCCATCCCAGCTGCATCTTAATAAATTCATATTTATCTACTAGACTTCCATATATCCACGACCAAATCTAGCCAGTGCAGGAGATTGATCGGCAATCGGAAATCGAAATTTATAACTATAATGGCAATTGGCAATGGTGGACATGGCTATGGGAATTGGAATGGGAATGGGGCAACAACAAAAGTACGTACAGTACTTACAAATCATGCGCATCCGTACACTGCCTCTTGTCTCCCCTACACAGGCCCAATGGGCCGCCCAACTCAAGCTGGATCCACCTCATCGAATTATTTGAGTGAGTACGTACAAAAATATATATAAATAAATAAATAAATGTATCCGTCACGTCACTCATTAGTCAAATAAAACACACAAAACTCTTTTCGTTTGTTGCTCAAAGTAATTAGAGTGCGATAAAGCAAGGGCTTATTTAATTAATTGTTTAATAGTGTGATTAAAATTGTGAGGATTTCCATATCAATGCTTTTTCCATATTTTATTGTGCATTATTATATTTTTTCTATGTTGCTACAATTTTATTTTATTTACAAATTTATTCTATGAAGGTGGGTGGTGGGTCCCAATTAACGCTAATAATAAAACTGTGTTCTGTTCTTGGTTTATTCCTTACATTTTGAAATCAAGAAAGCATATATGCATATAAAAGCAAACATATGCAACTTAAATTACTAATAAATACAAACAAACAGGTAAGAAAAATAAATAATAAATGAGTGAGTCCCAACGGATAGTAGCGAGGAGACAACGGAGTTATAACCAATCATAGGAAGGAAGGCTTAGCGTGCACCTTACCGTACCGGATTTCAATTTCAAGGCGGGGCCCAGCATTTCTATTGAATTTGAATGTCACTCCCTCTTGAGTCTTACCAAAAGAGACGTTAGAAGGAAGCTTTTTAACCTTTTGCTGGGGTCAAATTTTAATATTTGTTTTTCCCAAAATGTAATTTAATTCCACAAATGCACGACCCAAAATCTGTAAATTGGTTTTCATTTCTTTAAAATTACTCCTCCATCCATATATTGGATTCCTCTCTCAGTCATCCAATCCAATTCCATCTCTCAAACTTCAAACTTCAAGCACCTGCCCAGCCCAGCCTCATTTACACAACAGCTCAGTTCCAACCTTTAAAATTTGCAGTAGAATTTATTGATGTGAGCAGAGCCTTTCAACCGGAGGGGAAGGAAGAAGCAAGCTCTCTGTTCATTTTCTGTGTGAGTTTCTTGATTCTGCTGGAATTGTGTGTTGAGAGTGCCGCAAAGTTATTTTCTTTTTCAATATTCTGTTATGATCTTCGTATATTACTGTGTCTCAAACTGGATCGGGGTTACTCAAAACAAGGTCAGATATTACTGGCATGTCTTTCCCCAAATGGATATTGAGTTTGCGTTTTAGTTTCGCTTAGATTCTACAGATATGGATTCTGCATTCAGGAATTACAGGTTTCAAGATACCTTTTTTTTTTCTTACTTAAAAATGTCTGTCTAAATCCATCATTTGTGTTAATGTGTTTCTCTGCTGCACTGTATCTGTTGCCTGATGGACATTCCCTGCTGAAAATCTAAACTCAGTTTCATTGGTATTATACAGTGTGTGTTTTGCTTGAGACCATCATCCTTAAAGACAGAATCTTTTTGTTTTGACTCTGGGAAGAAAATGGTCTTCAGGTAATGGTGAATTTACGAGACTTGTTTGTTGAGAATACAAATCTAGAGAAAATTTGAGATGTCTAAGCATTTAATGAATATTGATGAAGCATTTCTGACATATGCTGTAATTTTTACGAGGATATGATTTCTTGAGTTGTGATTCTTGTATCTGTCAAACCTTTGTTCATTAAAAGTGTCAGAGAGTGATATGTAATTTTTCAACAGCAGATGTACCGTATGCAACCCATGTTACTACTCTGAGTATGCCCACAATTCTCTAGTCTGGGAGGAGTAAATCAGTTCAATATCGACTCGAGCGAATGGGGACTGAGAAACAAGGCTCCAAGCGAGGAAAAAATGTCAGTGGCTTCCTCCAACTTTTCGATTGGAATGCAAAATCCCGAAAGAAGTTGTTCTCGGGCAAGTCAGATTTCCCAGGTATGACTGCTTGCCTGTTGTGCTTTGATCGATATTAACTTGCTCAAATTGGTGCATTTAAAAACTATATATTGTGTATAGGGGATTCCAGTGAACAAAAGTTTTGCTGCATCTCAGAATATTTGCACTTTGCTTCCTATAGGCAGCTAATACATAGTTGCTTTCTTCTCATTGTTGTAGAAAAATCGAAACAGAAGAAGAGATGCGATGGAAATTTGCCAATGACTAGGCTTCAAATGGTAATTTTTATTTATTTATTTTTTTATTGTGGAAGCAAATGATGAACACCATCTTTTGTTGATCTGTCAATTAAGAAATTCATTGTTTGTGTGTGTCAAAGCTGGATGATGATGAGTATATTGGTGGCTCTAGCATAAAAGGGAGCAGTGAATATAGTTGTGCTTCATCTGTCACTGATGAAGATTTCCATGGAGCCAAGGCCCCTGGAGTTGTTGCTAGACTTATGGGGTTGGATTCTTTGCCAAGATCCATCGGCTGCGAACCAAACTCTACTCCGCTCTTTGATTGCCGGTCTCTTCCAGGTTCTTGCTGCCAATCTGAGAATCTTGAATATCGTCGAGATTCTCAGATGATGCGTGCCAATAGTTTGCAGGATGTGCCTTCAAGAAATGATGCATCTCAGTATATGCGTGCCAGTAGTTTGCAGGATGTGCCTTCAAGAAATGATGCAGAACCGACGTTTCAGAAGGTACCACACAGGCCACTTGCAAAATTTCAAACGGAAATCTTGCCGCCTAAATCAGCTAAAGCAATTCCGGTTACGCGAAACAGACTCTTGTCTCCCATAAAAAGTGGGAATGTGATCCCACCTGAGAATGCAGCTCACATAATGGAAGCAGCTGCCAGGATTATCGAGCCGGGGCCTCTTGTCTCTATGAAAGCTAAGCTTCCTCTAACAGCTTCCTCTTCTGTGCCTTTCAAAGTAAAGGATCTTAAAGAGAAGGTCCAAGCAGCACAAAAGCCATCGAAGGCGATTTCTGAAGGTTCTCAGAGATCAGGGGGGGCTAGCGCTGTCAAGCAGTTTCGAGGGCACCGTGTAAACAAAAGTGTGAGTAGTCCTGGAGATGCAACAGCATTGAGAATTTTTCAGGATCTAGGAGAATCTCCATCCGGGTCAAAAGGCAACAGAAAATCGATATCACTTGCATTACAGGCTAAGGAAAATGTCCAGAAACGAGAAGGCCTGAACTTGATTGCCAACCGGTCCGTAGCTGTCAACAACCTTAAAGGAACAGATGAGATCAGTCCAAACCAGCCAGTGAAGAGTCAATCAATGGCACAGAAGAATATGCTTAAGAAGCCGCCTTCTTCTGCACACAACAACAGTTCAGTTGTGCTTCGCCAGAACAATCAGAAGCAAAACAACAGTGTCGATGGAGACAAGCAACCTTCCAAGTCTAAGTTATCAGGTGGGAAAGTGTTGAGCGTAGAATCTTCTTCCACAAGGCCACGTAATTCTTGCAAGCTTGTTAGTAGCTCTAAAGTCAGTTCCCGGAAGTCGGGGTCTGAGGTTAGCAATGATAAGAGGCAATTAGGCTCATCTGAGTCAGAAAGAGCAACTAGTAAGAAAAGATCAATTGATGGGAATTGCCACTTTGAAAAAAATGCTGCTGCCAGCATTCGGAAGGATAAATATGGGAAAGTAGTTCGTTCTCGCGAAAACATGATGAATGTGCCAAGTAGTTGCTGGGATCAAGAAAGTGAAGTTGCAGGAACAGATGTTATTTCTTTTACATTCAATGCTCCAATGACACGATCGGGACCTGGTTCAGGGAGATACAATGAGGCTGGAGAAAACTATAAAAGACTTTCAGCCGATTCTCGAAATAAAAGGATACTGCTGAATTCAAATGGCATGAGTGGTGCAGAGTTCCCTGCCCTGGGAATGAATGCTGAAGCGACCGATACATTGAGCGAACTTCTCGAGCAAAAACTCAAGGAATTGGCTCTGACGATAGAGTTTTCCAAACAGAAACATGGAGGGATGCTTCCAGGTCAAAATGATGTCTTAATGAGCTCAAACTTGCAAGAAAGTCTAAGTCATTCGTATAGCCTGGAAGACCAACAAGGCTCTGGTTTATATTCCTCAAGTGATACAATGCCTGATCAGAAAATCAAGGTATGTCTTGAATAGTTTATTAGATAGAATCTGTTCTCTACTGTTTCTTGAAAATTAATCAAATTGTGCCGATGTTTACTCAGTACCTGGTGGAAGAAGAGAGCAGGAAGTTTCTTGATTGCCAGCTTCCGGGTCCGGGTCCTGTTTCTGTTCTTGAACATTCTCCCTTCGCCAGTAGTTGCAGTTCTTCGGACACAGCTGAGAGTATGATCAATACAAGAGGTGGGTTTTGTGTATTTTGTTTTTGTATTCGATTGATGCTGAGATATAATGTAACCATTAGCAATTACAGGCGGAAAACAAAGTTCATCTATGCAAATTCAAGACACCCTCAGTGACTATTCGATGTCGATCAATAATAAATTGATGATTCCATCTGAGAGAGAAGCTGAATTATTGGATTCAGCTTCCTCAATCTCTCCTGGAACTCGAATCTCAGCCAAGTCGGAGGAGATTGCGAAGCCGTCAAGTTGGGAAATAGTGTATGTGAAGGAGATGCTCTGCAACATAGAACAGATGTACAGGAACTATGCATTGGGCAGGGCTTGTGAAATCATAAGCCCTGGTCTGTTTGATCGGCTGGAAAGTCGCAAAAGGCACTTGAACGGTTGCGGGCGAATCGACCAAGTAAGCAGAAGGCTGATGTTCGACTGTGTGAGCGAATGCATGGAGCAGAGATGCAGAAAGTATGTGGGAGGAGGATACAAAATGTGGACCGACGGCGCAAAGGTTGTCAAAAGGAAGGACAAGCTAGTTCAAGACGTGCATAAGGATATTTGTGCGTGGAGCAGTATGGGAAACCTCATGGTAGACGAACTTGTGGATGGCGATATGAGCAGCCGATATGGGAGATGGCTCGACTTTGAGGTTGAAGAGTTCGAGGTCGGAGTACAGATCGAGTCGCGGATTCTAAATTCTTTGATAGATGAACTAGTTGCTGATATTTTGGTGCTCTAGTAGCTTTGTGGTATTCATACACTTTCTGCTTCTTGGGATGTTTTTTTGTGTTTGGGCGGACGTTTCCGTTTCCTTCAAGCTCATGTTTCAAGCTTTCCTGAGATGGATAAATACAAAGATATTAATAACTAAGCAAGTGTTATTTTTTTGGACAACCTGGATGGTATTGCAAGATCATTCATTCATATATTGAATGTCCGTGTCCCAAACATTGCGCACACGATTATATTGAAAAAAATTGAATCATAATAATAACAGCAGCGTCATTGCCACTAAACTATGTCCGGTTAAAATATGGCATCCACCATGGAGCAGGGAAGGGAAGGGAGTCGAAACAAACTTGCAACTTATATTCACAAAAACCTGTACACATTCTTAAAGCTCACCGAAGATCAACTACATCGAACTTCATATTGGGATTCATATAAACATGTGAACAGTGCTCGTAAAGGGGGCTGCCATCCTCAGGCTCCTCGTGAGGATGAAAACCACGTTGTTGACAGTTTCGGATAAGGGAAACACCACCGGGATCAGAGAGATGAAATATTCCATGGGGGCTGCAATTAATTTGGAAATGAATGTCAGCCTTCAGGTCACGTGTAAAATAAACTCAAAATACATAAAAATGATGGTAGAGTTGTTCCACTTTTCACCTTGATGTGTCTGTGGGAGCCATGACAATAGCAATTGCTTCAGGCAACATAACCTAAAAACAAGTTGAAACAATTTTTTTTTTTTAAAAAAAGAGCAAACTAAATGGGAAGGTACAAGTAGAAAAGCATCACTGGAAAGACAAAACAGAATGCAAAATAAAAAATAGACATCCTCAAGCGATTTTATTTCGAGTCTGACTTACTTTCTTCCAACATGAAGCCATCCTATGTTCCTATAACTAACAACTGCATCAAATTCTTATTATTACTAGGAAAAATGGAACAAAATTCAGGCACAAATATTACATATGCTATGGAGATAACACCTCAATATTAGAATATTTTCCCGGTAAATTCAGGTCTACGTTAGATCTTAATCTTTACCCTTTCCTTAATGTTCAACTTTTACAATTATTATTTCCTCTCACAAATCATCACATCAAGATATTGACCAAAACCCAAATACAAAAAAATAAAAAGTAAAAAAATTTGACCACAAACCCTAACTGCGAAATGTGAAATTACTTTATAATCTGAAAAAGATGAAACCTAATACATGCAAACCAATAGAAATTGATTAAGCACCATACCATAGAACTTATTACCTGATAAGAATAATGAGTGTGCAGATCGATTGAAGACATGAAGCATGTTTGTGTGGGATGGGTCTGCACATGAACAATAAATTTGTAAAACTTAAAATTTGGGACCAAAATGCTATTTACTCAAGCCATTATCAGGATAGTTTGCATGGGTGATCAATGTTTCCTTGTAATAAAGATAAAGAAAGTTAAAACAGCATAACAAGAGAATGGAATTACGAAAAACACTATACAGCAGTATATAGATCCCCTAAAAATAACAAATTATATTTCTCGATTAACATTTTGTCTTTTGTAAAGCTCACAATCACAAGAGACATCTTTCTTGTTTCAAAAACCAACTTGTGTAATTAAAATAATAATGATGCTAGAAATGTTATGAAGCGTATAGCTATAGGAAGTTCAATGTGTAACAAGACAAGCTGATAGGATAGAAAGGTGTGTCACCCAAGCTAGTCCAACACTTACATGAATCCACCCAAGTGGGAAAAGGGAACGTTTGTCTTGAACATCAAATATCTCTTCTTCATTCAACGTCTGACACTAAATATAAAAATAGATTAAATTTAAAAAATGCTTCAATAAGATAAGTTTAGTCAGTGTGATAACAAGATAAACTTTCCTCCAAAAGAGCATGTTTGATATTTAAATCAGATATCAATAATCATTAATATTGAAAGAACATTTCATGGAAAATTAAGCAGCGCAACAGGAGACATCTAATACCGAGTCTGAAGTTGACTCCTGCTTTGGGATTATGAGTGTAGTAATGTGAAATACTCTGTTCCGCTGCAAATCAAGGAATGTAACTTATTAATTTGGCATGCTTGAATAACCAGACATATGTTTCCATTAACTATGTCAGTGGAAAGCGAAGACTTACAAGTGAACCAGCAAGAACACCACAAGTTTCCAAATTCTTTGCAGTATTTTCTCGTGCCAATCTCAAAAAATCTTCCATGATTTTCACTGGCTAAAACATTTGATAGTCAGTCACATACACCAAAAAAAGTAAAACTAAATTCAAGGTTAACTTTAAGAAGAAATTACAGTAAAAACACTAAGAGAGGGTGAATCATCCCCCGAAATTATAAAATTGATAACCAAGAGACTCACAATATGAAGATCTTGGTAAGAATTGGAAGTAGGCAGTCCATCCTGCAAGGCCTTTGGTGGTCCAGGCCTTGGATCTGCAACTCGTGATGGGGAGATAGGATGCAGCTCTGGCTGCACTTGTGCAAGGACTGGAGGAGGAGAAGGTTGCCTTATATAATCCAACTGATAATCATTATTCTCCATTTTGTTCCCAGGTGGAAGACTTGATTCCTCAGTAATCCATCTACCGTCATCCAAAGATAAAACAGACTCCATCGAAGACTTCTCCGCCTTTGAATCAATATTATTTATCACAGAAGGTTCTTGTTGCCCAGCCTGATTCAAACTACAAAAGTAGCGATACAAGATTGAAGTGTTACAAGAAATTTCGAGGACCTGAACCTGCATATGTGAGTAAAAGTGACAGCATATAATAATAGATCAATCATTAAATAACGCACACCACCACCATTACCAGGTACCAGCATCTAAGGGTTTGTTATTGTCATAGAAATGAGAAATAAGAATAGAATGTTAGAATATGATTTCAATAGAACTGTTAGATAATGTAAATGACCGCTACAACTAAAAGGTTAAGCAATTAGGGATATCATTTATTTATTATCTACAAACGAGAGTCAACCAACAAGAACAATTTACTGGAATAGGTGAAAATATTGGTCATAATGGAAAAGAGGATAGAGGACTTCAAGTTGGAAGCAATCCATTTAAAAAGTATCCCATTCTTCAAGGCAACAACTGAGCAAACTGAAAATGAATGAAGGAATATATATATATGGGAAATGTACCTTAAAAATTCACTTGAATCTGGCACAACAGTGGTCGGATAGTTGACCTGGGTACAAAAGTATTTAACTAACTAATACCAAAAGCAATGACAAGAAAAAGTAGCCATGTTCATGGAAAGAAATTGATACATAGAATGGCCAGAAATTACCTTAATCTCAGTACCTGGGCCATGCCATTGCCCATGGAGACCACTTGGTCCTAAAAAGGAATGCCTGGACAATGTTTCTTGCTTTGGAAGTGGTAAATTGAGAGATCTGAAAAAAATTTGGAGAAAAAAATTGATTAGAGAGTGCAACTTGATAAAAGGGAATGAACTATCTAGTTCAATCTTTTGAATTAGCACTAGAACTCAGGACAATTTGCAGCAAGATAAAATAAGAGGTAGAAACCAGCAGAGAATAGTGGTCACAGAGAGTAGGAAATGCATCAATACTTTGTAAAGACAAATTCACTAATAATGCAGAGATGAAGCAACAGGAAAATGAAAAATAAAAATTAAAACTTCTTCTGAACTTACGTGATGACAGGTCAATAAGAAAGCACATGCAAATGTGTAAATGTAAAATGCTAACATTATGCATGTAAGCCAGGAATAATCTGTACATAAATTTAATCCATAGAACTGTATTTTCCAGTATATAATTAAATCCATACAAATAGTCCATGTATTCCCAACATCATGTCCTCAACATTTCTTGCAATTTCATGCAGTTTAGAAGAAGCAAGACATCACTTACGTCCTTTGTATTTTGTATAGTTAACGAATATATGTTTTGTAAAAGGCCTATAAGAGATTCAGATTGCAGGAATGAAGTAGAACAAGCAGTGAATATGTTGATACTCGATAGGGTAATTAAACATTAAATCCTACATGTCAGAAATCTTTGACATTATCCTAGGGGAATCAACATGTTGGCATCCATCACAGATACAAGAAAATGAAGCCTGATAGAAAAAAGATGATTTCTCAAACTCAAATGAAGTATCCATTTGATGCATAGAGATTTAATAAGGGTCCTAACAAAACAGGCATACAATGCACATAATACACCAATATATTTAACTAGATGAGGAAATGTACTTGAATGTGTGTAATATGTGACGACGGACAAGTGTGTTTACAACAGCAAACAAATAGAAGAACTTCATATAACACTTACAGCTTCTGGAATTGGGAGTCAATGGAATTTGGTGATGAAAATAAAGTATAATCATTGTTCTGCTTCGCTGAAGAAGAAGGTGGTGCAATGGATTTCCGGATCTAAACAAACATAAGAGGTTAAGGAGATAAGAATTGTGAAATGACAATAAGACAAGGGAGGAAGAATATAAAACACCACTGATAAGATAATCTATTTTAGGGACCAAGATATATCTACATACATTTTATCTTTCCTAAATCTTATGTTGGTTTTCAGGATTCCTTGACAACCGAGATATATCTACATGCATTTTATCTTTCCTAAGAAGCTCTTAACTTACAATCACCAAAATATAAGGTTCATAAGCTTATGTCTCCAATTGTTAGTTTCACCTGAAAAATCAATGAAAACTTTCCACCTTTAAAACAAGGCTATGAAAATGATCGTTTTGATTGGTTACCTGCTTGTTGCTGAAACTTGAGAATGATTTGTTGTTTAGAGGAGATGTATAGGAAATCTTGTTTGGGATATCAACTTGATGCATTTGAGTAGACGTCTTAACTTTTTCCAATTCATCTAGCAGATGTCGCGCTTGTGGCTTTAAGGTTTCTAGCTCATCTAGCAAAGCAAGCAATCTCTGCAATTCATTGAGATAAATTCAAATCCAGTAGGTCATTCACTTCATCAACTGAAAGGACTAATCAATACCTTCCTATGGAAAATTTTCTCTTTTTGACACAGGGCCTGGTAATCTCGATGGTCTGGTATAGTTTCAGACACCAAACTGTTTAAGTACAAAGCAATCTCACCACATAAGCAATGGTTTGTAAATTTGATTGATAAAGTAATAAACCAAAAATTCAGATGTATTAGAATCTTTACGCTGTACCTGGAATATCTTAGCAGTATGACATACAAGTCTAATAAATTATGCTCCTCCCTGTAAATATTTGCCTGCAAAACCAAAGGATCATCATCAGAGTACAAAATTTGATCCTATTTAATTCAACAACTTCTTAATACTAATACTGGAGAAGAACACTCCAATTTAATAGTACGATAAAAACAATCCAAGTCTTCACCCAGACCCAAAATAAAGTAAAATAAAATAAATTTTATTAAATGTAGCAACACAGGAAGAAAGATAGGTTACAGCACCAGTGGACTTGTATGAACAAAGGAGCAACAAAGTGAATCGAGAGTAAAATTCAACTAGAAGATTAGGTTTCTTCAAGAAACAATTTTTTACGCGTGTTGATGAGTGGTGTTTGGTTCCAAACCTTTCAAAAGTAAGAAAGAAACAGATAAGTTGGGTTTAGCGTGTAGGAACCTGCTTTAGAAGATTATCGGCGATGCGATAGTAATTACGTAGAGAGATCCGATTGTCCACGTCGATCTTCCGTGTCATTGAACTGAAATTGATCGCAGACGAAGAGTTCCCCAGCGGCCTCATCTTCCGGCAGTCCTGGGGCAAGCAGCGCAGAGCAGATGAGAAGAAAATTGATTCTCGGCGAGAAGTTCAGAAGAAGGGAGAAGGTAAAAGCGAGTCGTCTTGAGAATGGAATCCGTGTGGGCAATTTGCTGTTCGTATGTGTATGCAGTAAGTACGCCGTATCTTATTGGGCCGGGCCGGGTTGACCCACCTGTCTGCTTTCTTCAAATATATTTTAATTTAATTTATTATTTCAAATAATCATATATTTGTTCACTAGTTACAAGGTGTTCTTAATTTGCTGTTGGCCCTTTCACCAATTAATAAAACTGTGGCCAAAACAAGTAACAAAAGTCTCATCATCATCATTGATATATTAGCATATCAGTATATGTATACAAATATATATATATACATATATATAGCTTTGATAATGAATGCAAGCATTGCATTGTTAAAACAGGAGTCTCCAGGCAGCGATCATAGCCAGCATTGCATAAATCAAATTCCAGGAAGCCTTGGCACCACCATCAGCTTGAAGATGCTCCAGAACATCAAAGTTACCTCTTTCTGGGCCGTAGCCGCATCCAGACTCGAGCGTGTCGCGCACATTATTCAGCGTGGCCCTGTTCAAAAATATGAAGCCTTTGAAGATTCCCTCGATGCAGTCCAGCACATGGTGCGTCTCAGCCAGGCATGGCCCGTCGCAGTATTCGTCTGTGTATTCGTGCGATACGTGCAGCTCCCCGCTTTCTGAGAGCCTGTGGGACTCCTCGCAGCTCTGGTAAATCTACTTGTAGTAGAAAAAAGAGTTTTTTAACCCCAACAAGCAAATTCTTCCAGGAAAGGAACAATCAGTATGTTACTGGAACTGATGCTTACAGATTTTTTGGTGATACATTTCACTGCCCTGTTGAAGAGAAGAGGTGCATTGGTGCCTATGATCCCAGCTTGGGGGAAAAACTGATCGGGCTCACCTTCGACTTCTGCTTGAGGCAAATACTCATTTGCAACTACGCCTGCAGCACCGAGATGGGGATAGTCGTAGGCGCTTCCTGTCCAAGTTAGACATGTTAGAAAGAATGCATTGAATGCTCTGAAATGAATGAATATTAACAGTATGGTTCAACTAAGCGTACCAAATGCGGAAGACAAAGCCAAGAAAATCAGAATAGAAGCTATAAGGGGCAATGGAAATGCCATTTTCGTGAGGCAGCAACACCAGAGAGCAAGGCTTGGGCTAATTATATACGCAAAACTGGAATAAGATACAAAATTGCAAAGATTCAATGGAGAAAGATGCGTGTATCAGGTAGTTGACAAATCTTCTAGCATAAGAATGTAGTCTCAATCAAGAAGAAATGAGGCCTGATCGTTTACAGGAAAGGGAAAAGTAAACTGTAGGTAATCTACTATGGTTGAGGCCTGAGGGGAGAATGGTTGGCTATCTCAACAACTTCACATACCTTTAGTGAAACAGCAAGAAATCATACCTGCAATTAAAAACTTTTAGTACAAGTAATGATTTATAATGAATAAGAAATATGTAAAAGGGAATGGCAATTTTCTCATCTTACTCAACTTCTATGCCAGATGCAAAACTCAACATCCACCCACACTCAGCAATGACAATGGAAAGTTGCAGCATCGATATTCAGAGTCAAAATGCTAAGCTCAAGTTATCCCTACAGCAATGAAAAAGTCAAAAAACCATTGTCCAAGCTTTCACCATTTCATTTACATAGATACAAGTCACAACAAAAACCATCCAGAAGAATTTTATTCAGCCCCTTCTTAACAAGAAAAGAATTTGATACAAATTTGTTTAATTTTACAAATTTTGTTTGCAGCCCATTGCAATAAATAAAAGGCCACTCCAACAGTGACCACAAAATCATCATCCTGTTCAAAGCCAGGGTAGATACAAAAGAGTAGCCCAGGATCGAAAGAAACCGGTACAATAGATAATCTACGAATGTTTTTCTCTACAAAATTTCCTAAGGAGCATACACACTACATATTCTCTTGTGTCATGTGAACTTTGTAGTCACCCATTCACAAAAGAAGTGATAAAGAGACAAAGTTTGCTTCATCCACGGCAGATTTATAGTTGCAGGATTACTAATGGCAATCTACACATGTGAATTGTTGAATGTTGAGCTTTCTGAATTTCACTGCTGAGAAAAAAATTGCAGCTCCACACAACCTCAGTCTAACAGAAAACTTGTGCACAGCTCCGAGCCAGCCTATAAACCATTTGTGTATTGACATCGTGAAAGACCCCACCAAACTATTCAGTGGAAGATCATTGATGCAGGTACCTGATGGATGAAGTTATCAAGCAGAACCTTTTAAGCCCTTGCCGTCACCATTCGCCTCCATGGGCAATTAGGCACAAATGTCCCAAGTCCTGACCACCAATAAAAAATGGATCAGGGCCTTCTAGGAAATACAAAATAAGCACATATTAAGACAATCAAACTTGAAAATAAATAAATAAATATATATATATATATACACATATAAATAAACCAGCATTTGAAGAGACTCAATCAATATGTCAAGAGATACATGGTTTGCTGCCAACATGCAACAAAATAAACTACTTTAGACTTGCAGTTCAGGTTTATATACAGATTTTCTAAACAAAGTTAGTATCCACTACGAAAAAAGTAGGCATGCTCCAGAAAAGAGGAGTAAAATGCTTCAGCAATAATTATCTATTTGGATCAGATCTATCTTTGCTCACTGACAGTGTCTATAACACTTTACACACAAATAACCTAAAGAACAAAATATTGGTACAATTGTTTGGTGGGGGATGAGGAGGGGGGAAATAGAAACCAAGAAAAGACCATTACTGACATGAGGATACTTAACTGCCCAAACAAGCTTTATATTCTACTTCTTTTAAATCCAAATCGTTCAAAATGCAAATATATATATGATAAGAAATTTACCAGAGCACCACATTACATAGGCATGGTCATCCCTTCAAATTTCAACCATGAATAGTCTTGACTTAGGAGCCCACAAATTAACAGCGCAATTGCTGCTAATACTTCATGAAGCAGCTCAAACTTGTGGATCCATTAGATGTATCAATCAGCCAAGGGAAGCAGTATCCTGAACAGGCAGTGGTTTCAACTTCATTCCCATCTCGTTGTATTTCAACCACACATCTCGGGCTTCTTGAAATTCTCCCGACTTAACTAAGCAATCAACGTAAGCATTGCATAAATAAGCATCAGGTGAATATCCATTTGTCTCCATGGAAGTAAACAAAGCTTTCACTTCAGGAAGACTTCCAGACTCACAAAATGCATTCATAAAAGCAGAGTAAGTAAAACAATCAGGACATAAGTCCAGCGCTAACATTCTTTTGAGAAACCTCCGTGCCTTGTCAATTTTGTTAACTTTACAATACATCTGTATTATGGCATTGAATGTATAAACATCAGGTTGTATCCCATTAATCTGCATTTTTCCCAGCAGTTTTGTTGCCATGAATGCATCCCCACAGATGCACAACGCATGGATTAAGCTATTGTAGGTGACAACATTAGGAGAGATTCCCCATTCCATCATTTCTTGGAAACAATCGAAAGCATCAGCAATCTGCTTAGCTTGGCAAAGAACATTAATTATTGAATTGAAAGTGAACACATCTGGTTTTAAACCACGATCAAAGATCATCACTAATATTTCCCGTGCCTTGACAACATCCACATCCTTGCAGCACCCTGAAATAAGGGTGTTGAAGGTAACAATATTCGGGAGAATACCTCTTTTAGACATCAATCTAAGGGTTTCTATTGCTCTATCCATCATCTTAGCTTGGCAGAAGCAATCAATGACCATGTTGTACGAAAAGTCAGTCATGACTAGCCCTTCCGATAGTAACCAACTTATATATAAGTTCCCTTTGTCCTCTCTTCCTGAAATGTACAAGGCTTTAATGAGTGCCAAGCAAACAGTCAAGTTCACCTTCACCCCATGTCCTACAAAATACTCATACACCTGACAAACTTCCTCAAGATCCAATCCCTTGAGTAAACAAGCCACTGCAACGTTAGCTATTGAACTATCAGGTATGTAACCTTGTCTTCCAGCTGTTCTAAAAAATGCAGCTGTGTGCTTTGGTAGAGAATTATTACAAAGGCAATAAGCTATAGTATCATAAACAACTTTAGGAATATTGGGTTCTTTCTTCACCCATCTTGATAGCAATTCAAATGCTTCGTTAGGGGGCAATGAACGAAAAGCTCCATTAACTAACGATCTATATGTCGCATCATTTGTCCTAACATTCCTTGCTTTCATTCTTTCAAGAACTTTGAATGCCTCGTCTACTCTTTTAGCATTGCAGTATCCATCAATCAAAATAGTGTATGTAAATACATTGGGTGAGTGTCCGAGCCCCTCCATCTGTTTAACCAGACGTACGGCCTCATCCATTACACCCGCCTTACAAACTCCATGAATAAGAATGTTATAAGTAAACCTGTCCCTGACACAGTTATCCACCTCCATCTGTTGAAACTTAAGGTAAGCCAAATCAAGTGCATTTGACTTCACTAGTCCATCTATGACAGCATTATACAACCTTGTACTCGGACTAATCCCCAAATAAGAAACTTGCTCAAAAACCTCCGAACAGTATTTTGCCAGCCCCAACCTACCCCAGCTACCAATCAAAGCACAAAGTAAGTTTTCAGTCACACCGCATCCAGAATTGCGGATGTCATGTACCAATTCAGAAGACAACAATATTGGGCCTTCCCTATAAAGCGCATTGCACAGAGCACTCCAAACTGATTGAATTTTGGCAAGTGAAGGATTGGAGTTTGAGAGCCAAGCGTAAAATCGCAGAGAGCACAAGGCGTTGTCTTGGTTCTGCAAAATACTGACCGCAACTCGGGCATTCAAGATCAGCCTTTGAGCCTTAACCTCATCATTCAGAAGCAAACACCAGTCTTTTCTGGAAAGAATCCCCAGCAAGTAATTGTGATCAATGGGTTTAGATTCGAACCTTTGCTCAAGCGTAGAATTGTGTAGTTGCGGAAGGGAATCAGAGGCAAAGTTGGAGTCCTTAAATTGAAGCTTACCAAGTTGAGAATTATTATTCGGATGGGGGAGTCTGGCTTGCGGTTTTTTTTCACCGGCAGTTCTTGTTCTCCTGACGAGGGGGGAAGCCCTAGAAGCGAAAGACGCAGAGCTTCTCATAACTCATAGGGCCTCGGGCAATGGCGGAAGTCACTGATTGCTCGCCTCCAGGTGGAAGACGGAAGTGGCAGATGCCCTCTGCGTCAGCCCAACTCAACTCAAACCTAATTCAACAAGTTTCCCACTTAAAAAAAAATAATAATAATAATAACAATAATAATGGAGTAATTTGTTTTAGGGGCATTTATTTACCCCCAAAACCTTCAGGGTGTGTTTGTCGGTGGATTTGGATTTTTAGGTTTTTATTTTTGAATAATAAAAACTTGGATTTTATTTAGGTGCGTTTATTTACCCCCAAAATGACTGAATGAAAGAACGAATGGGAGGAGAACTTGAAGTTGAAAAGAACCCAATCCAGCCTGCTAACAATATAACAATGTCAGAGAGAGAGAGAGAGAGATTGAGAGATGGAGAGAGAGAGAGAGAGAGAGAGAGATCTTAAACAAAACGCCACACAATCAATCAATCAGTTCTACACTTAGGTCTTCCTTCATCATCCCACTTTTTGTTACATGAAAACAAACAAACAAACAGATAGATATCAGCCACAAAATGGAACATAACCTCTGCCTCCCTCTGGAATTCACTACCAAGAACAGACAAACAAGTTTTTCCTGGTGGACTCGAACACCATAATCATCCATCCATCCCCTACTTACTTAATGTACTGAGACATCCATCTGAACCCCTCACCATATCCCATTTTCCGCACAATGCTGCACATGAAAACCTCGAGTGGCCGAACATTGGTCTCCGCAAGATTAACATTTCCCTTACCAGTGGTGAGACCCGTGAGCCCCATGTAGTACCGCAGCTCATCCTCTGAAGCAGCCGCCGGTATGTCAATCTTGTTCCCCAGAATCAGGAATGGGACATTCGCTAATGACTCGTCCGACAGAAGGGCATCTAGTTCCTTCTTTGATTCAGCAAACCGCTCCTTGTCATAAGCATCAACTAGATACACCACAGCATCAACCTAAATCAAACCATGTAAGAGGGAGAAGGGGATCATTAATACAATTGCTTGCTACACTGTAGTTCAGAAAATATGAGAATTCAATTCCCAAGCAAAAACTAGAATCGAAAGCACGAGCACAACAGGATAACAATCTCCAATTGCATGTGAGCGTTGAAATCATCTACATATGCGCTAAAATAACCAATATCTTTGCAAACTCTACATACAATGTGGACTCTAAAGTTAGGAGACCTCCCGGACTTTACTTCAAGCCAATTTCGACAAAGTCTTGCATATTTCAGACAAATGCAGCATAGAGTAAATATATATATATATGTATGTGTGTATATTAAGCAGGTGTAAGTATTTATTAGAATCCCTAAGGTAGCAACTGAGAAGACGAAACAGAACACGATCTAGGACATTAAGGCAGGATATGCAATAGAAGTTTTCCTCAAATTATATGGAGAGGCATTATTAACCTTGGCGTAGTAGTCTTTCCAGACTCTCCTAGCAATCTGATGGCCTCCCAGATCAAACGCTTTGAACTTGATTTTGCCAATACTCAGTTCCTCTGAGGTAGGGTACTGGGTTGGTTGGTGCTGCACCAGTCTCTGCATCCAAATTCACACACATCATAACAATTAACATATCAGCAATCAATTCAACACAGCCAACATAAGAAGAAAAGTAATATGCTCGTTTGTGTGCATAAGAAAAGCCACTTTGCAGACAAAACTAAGGTATCAAAGATGAAAATAAGCAACCAATCAACTCACTGTGTCAACTCAAGTCATAAAAATCTTCACTGAAAATAAGGCAGCATCAAAGTACATAAATCAGCAAAGTAATGGTATTGCAAGATTCTAGCAGATTTCGATCTAATCTAGATGATTGGCTATGAGGCATTAGATGATCAACAAAAACAATCCACGAGACAATTGCTTGATTGATTCTATAGACGTATAAAAAAGAAACGCGATTGGAAGTTAGAGATGGGCAGTGCTAGAGAAAAAGGGGTATGCAGCAGAACCTCATCTTTCAACATATGAAGCAAGGTTGTCTTCCCGGCATTATCGAGACCCAGAAACAAAATCTTGGCCTCCTTCTGGTACAAACCCAAGGATGCCAAAATCCCGTAAAACCAATCCAAAAGAAACATCTTAATTCTCTTGAACAAGAACAAGAACTGAAAAGCCCTTCAAAAAAATCAAAACCGCTCAGCACCCAAGACCTGTGGGCGAGCAAATAGAAAAAGGCCAAAGCAAAGAATTTTCAGAGAGGATGGAGGCACTGAAGAAGTTTAGGTAGGCAGGCCTCTTTCTTTCTTTCTTTCGGTTTTCTATTTACAGCGGCCGTCTACGTGGAGGCTCCCTCTCACATGGAATCATCCAATTAATGATGTGTTCTGTGCACATGGGACGCTGTGATTGGCTGAGCATCGTCAGAGAGAGAGAGGGTCTTGATGGCGGTGGCGCTACAACTACTACAATCACAATTTACAAGGATGGATGGATTCTACAAAAGTCAACATTGCTGCTGTTGCTGATGCTGTTTGTTCTTTTGTGGATCGTGATACATCTCATCTGTGATCAACGCACTTACTTTAATGGGCCATTTTTTAAATTCTTTTTACAAGCCCAATTAAATTAATGCTAAAAGTGGGCTTGAAGTTCCGTTCCTTATAACCGAGGTAACCGGGTCACCCCCAAAAGAGATTAGGGTTTCAGAGCTTGTACCTTCTCGCACAGATCGTCGCCGCCTGCAAGCGTAAGGTATGTATGGTGGGATGTGAATGTTGATGTATTTTCGCGGGGGATGTGCTTCGATTATTTATTTGAAGCTTTCTTGTTTTAATTAATATTCGGAAACAGAGGTGAGAAGAGGACAAAGGAAAGACCAATGGCGAAATCGAAGAATCACACTGCACACAACCAGTCATTCAAGGCGCACAAGAACGGCATCAAGAAGCCTAAACGGCATCGCCGTACATCTACCAAAGGGGTAAGTTTTATCGATTTAGTTTATGCGTGGGGTGTGTGTTGCTGCAGGGAGCTTATCCTTTTTTTTGGGTGCTGAATCTTATCCAGATGGATCCTAAGTTTCTGAGGAACCAGAGGTATGCAAGGAAGCACAACAACAAGAGCGGTGAGGCTGCCAGTGAGGAAGAGTAGAGATGCATTCACTGCACGCATCATTGTAATTCGTTCAAGGTTGAATTTTTGTGGCTGTTATTCTGTTTTTGTTTCTTGCTTTCATTGGAATTTAATTCGAATTGTGATGAATCTTTGCATCCCTAATCACTTTCATTAGTTTTATAATATGGAACATATACCTTGCGTCTAGGTTTCAGTGGCTGCTGCTGCTTCTTCTTCTTCTTCTTCCATTAATATTTGCCATCACTTTGATGAAACCAAACCCAGCAACATCTTAGGCCGAAACTAAATTGAGCAACGTGAATATATCTATGCAGAAAGTTATTTTGGGGGTGGAAGTTTGTCTGTGATTGTGAAACTTTGATCACCTGGCACCTGCACTGCTTGGTTATAATGAGGTCTTGGATGAACCATGTGTTGAAACTGAACTACTGAAAGCATGCATGCTTGGAGAAGAATGAGCATTGATTTGCAATTGAGAGAAGGAAGCATCGTTTAATTAGGTTATCAGCAGATTGGGGATATGAAAACCTCATCATATGGAGGATGTGAAAAAGTACTGATTTTGATTTAAAGTATATATTTAGTCTGTAGAAAATGCACTCCATAGGCCAAATTTTGCAGCAGTGTTGTTGTGCCAAATATTTCTTCAACCTCTTATCTATTTATTCATCATTTACAATTACATGGGAAAATTTTCTACCCAGAATATGATGAACTTGCGTGAGGGGTATTTCCCATCTTTTATTTGCAGATGACTTGAGTTACTATTACTACTATTTACATTTGCAGATGACTTGAGTTACTATTACTACTATTTACATAAGCAAAATGTGGTCAAATTTGATCGATGAATGAAGCATACATTATGCATGCATATCCTTTGATGGGCTTCAAAGCAAGGTATTGCCTTTACTTGCATGTGGATATGGTCACGGGTTAAATCTTGTCGATGTCTTCTCTGTTTAGCTTGTCATGCAATAAGTTGATGGATTGGATCAATGCTGTGAAGCAGAGACATATATTGTATTTAAAGGGAGAAATGTGTTGCCTATATTTGCTTTCTTACATAATGTAAACAAGAGACATGAGTGCAGACGCATGGGTATAATTATATTAATGGGGAACTAAATGGAAAATGGCAAGATCAATAGGATTTTGTTATCAGCATATTGAAACCCAACTTTCATAGAGGCCAATGTTGAGTATAGTACAAAATAATGCAAAGAAGTTGTAGGCGAACCTGATCACCGAAGAACAGGCTTTCAGATAAACCCACACCATTGGAGTGTCTTCATGGATTGTTTGCACAATTCTTAAATCCTCAAATATTCCACACAACCTGCTCTATACACTATTTAATTTGATAATAGAAGTCCTAGCCTACACAACAACAGGTTCACTTACTGGGTTGGCAGCATGGTAATTCACCTGTTCATAAAAGCAACTAATGTTAGTTTAATTAGCATGTTTGTATCTTCAGACAAAAATTTACTTTAGAACATCGGGTGTCAGAATGACAACATCTCACAAATTGGCAATAAAGATTACCTCAAAAAATGCTGTGACAAATATCAATATCTAAGCATACCTTGGCTGACTTGTAGAGCTCATCAAGAACTTCGGATAAGGTAGGATGTGCATGAACAGCAAACTTTATGTCCTATGAGATAGCATAATTCTTTTTAAAGAGGTATCCTTGGGGAATATTTCTGCATTTCCAATAGGGAGAAAAGGTGCACATTATTGTGTGATTTGCAAGGATCATTCACATACCTGAACTCGTGTGCCTAATGCCATAGCATTAGATGCTTCATGTATGAGGTCTGCAGCGTGCATCCCAAAAATGTGAACCCCAAGAATCTCACCATTGTCAGGTCTGTATATTAACTGCAAGGAAAAGTGAGAATTGAGGAGATTTCTGAACGTTTATTTTGGTATTTCTTCCATAGCATGCATTCAACACTATGCACAACAAACTTTAGTAAATGAGAAATGGGAGAATGTCGGAGAATTTTGCATAAAGGATATGCGGATTACATACGAGCATCCACCATGATATATTATTACATTTAGGAATTTGTATATAATGATGTGCGGCAGAGCTACAAGAGAGTACCTTAGCGAGTCCTTCTCCTTCATTTTCAGCAAGGGCTTTGGTGTTAGCCTTGAAACTTGTTTTGGCGATACTTATCGAAAAACCCTCATTTTTAGCCTTTTCCCTTGCCTGAGGCTGGAGAGAAAACACTGTATGACTGATACATTTTAAATTATGAGCAATTCGTTATAAACGATATTTCTTTCATAAAGCCACGACTCAGTGATCAGTGGAATAAGAAACGACAGTAAAGACGAATAGAAGTCCAATTTTTAGTTGCCAGTATGAATTTCTAGTTGGCAACAACCTATTGCTTCCAAGGACCATGCCATGAGCTGTAGAGAGTTGCTCTCGGTTGGCTGGATGTAAGAAATCTAGTTAACTATATTTCAATGCTGAAAGAAGGTGTGCTGGAACAAGAGTTCAGAAGTACAACAACCTGCTGCCAGGTATGCATAGGTCAAGTTTACCTCAGTCAATCCAACCATACTGATTTCAGGGTGAGTAAAACAAGCTGCAGGAATGCTCAAATGGTTGAGAACGTGATCCTTTCCAGCAAGTTGCTCAACTACTGTAAGGATCAACAAAGAAAAAGGAACCAGAGATATATATGAGAGGAGCCAAGTTTACCTGGGGGGTAAACAGTTTTTATTATATAAAAAACTCACCAGATATTCCTTGAGCACTTGCAGCATGAGCAAGCATCAATTTGCCATTAGCATCACCAATGCAGTATAAGTGTGGCACCTGAATATAAAAGAACGCGTCTAGAACAGTTGGAAACTGAAATTGAATAGTAGTAAGAACGGTCTGATCAACAAACTGATTTTCCAGTCGCATCAATCACTCTCATTCGTTCATCAACAGGAACAAAACCACGTTGAGTCTCCACGTTAATCTGCAAAAGAAGCTGGCTGTTTTTCTTGTATGGAAAGCAAAAACATATATTGGCATAAGAAGGATCAAAAGTATCAAGCAAGGTATTCAAGGCATTGCTGTGAGATTTATTTTTTCACCAATGCCTCAATGCATTATTATCACGACATCCTTAGAGCTGTCTTTGCTTGACAAAAAATGACTTCATTTTGAATTTAAACTATCGAGAGGCGAATCAAGTTTGTGAGATTGAAATATCATACATTCTCCAGTCCTAAACCTTTTGTGAATGGAGCCCTTCCTGTTGCAATTAATGCTGCATCCACCTACAGCAAAATGAAAGGTTCTATTTGTTTATAAACTGTAGATGGAAGATGATTATTGATATAAAAAAATGTAGATTGGGAATTTGAATGAAATTGCGGAATGACACTTTTATTGAGAAAAAAACACACACACACACATATATATAAGTGTGTGTGTTTGTGTGTGTGTGTGTGTGTACCTCCAGCGTATCTTTTAGCCTTTTTGTCTTGGCATCAATAAGCTCAATCATCACTGGTTTTCCACCTTTGGCAGGAGAAATCTTTCAAAATATCAGAATAGTCAGTGATTCTTAAGGAAGGAAACTGTAAACAAGTAGCAATCTTAATTATATACCTTGGATGCAAATACTCCAGTGTAATAATCAATTTTGCGTGGGTTTATGAGAACTCTTTGTGCTAACTTGCTTATCTCAGGATCAAAACCTGGCATTAATTGATCCAGAGCTTCAATAAACGTAACCTGTGTGATAGTTAGGACTTGTTATTACTTTTCCATATCATTTAGCTCTATGAGAGGATATAAAGTTTCGTTCACGAAACACACATACGCAGGAAGCCAGTCATTGAAAGAAAAATCTAAATACTAGTTGATTATAATGCCATTCCTTAAAGAGAAAATGGCATGACAACTTGGAAGTAAAAAATTCATGACATGGATATATTTGTTTGCATGCAAAAAGGAATTACAGAATGAACATGCAACTAATATATGCATAAAAATTTTCTCACTTGGTAAACACAAAAATACAATGTCTGATATCCTACTATGCTAATTGTGATTAGTGCAGGTTTGGTGGGAAAGTGTAACAGAAATCAGCTGAGAAATTTGTGATGGACATCACAATGGAGTATAGAGTTGTTGAGGCTTAGGAAAAGGTAAGTGAGATCCTTTTCTAGCTAATTATTTCATTGTGACCAAATCCTTCGACGAAGGAGTAGGAAAATAAATACCAAATAACTTACTTTGAAATAGAAGATTTAAATGTGGCATAAAAATAAACAGAAGCTAATTTTCCCTTACTTCACTACCAAGAGCAGTATAAACATCACTAAACTCGAGCCCAATATAACCACTTCCAACTATCGCAATCCAGTTGGGAACAAATTCCAGTTTAAGTGCATGATCACTGGTGAATACCGTCTTCCCTGCAGATTAAGATGACTCCATACATTGGGACATGCAAAAGAACACAATAAAAATAACAAAAATTATAGATTGCACACACAAGTGTAGTACACTGTGGAAGAGAAATAAGTGGGTTGGCATGAGAGACAGAGAGAGGGCAATGAATTGTTTGTTTCTTTTAGATTTCTAATTCAATTTCTATCTTTCATGTCCTTTCCTACTATTTTCCTTCATAGATAAGTTGCAAGTAGATAAAGGAGTGTCAAATGACTATGGAACTGTAAGCCAAATACAGATACAATTAGTAAAAATCATGGCACTGTACCGCTTCTTCAAGCTTTGCATTACGATCAATTGAAGTGTAAACCATATACAAATTAAAGCCATATGTCTCAAAAAGTAGAGAGTTAAGACAAAGTTTTGCCCCCATCTCTGTGGAAATCTTGAGTTTGATTTAGATCAATTTAGGTGGCACTACAAGTTGTAGAAAGCGTAATGGATTGGATGGGTCATATGGCTTCATTTATATGGTTTCTAAGAAACATCATTATCATATTTAGAGGGTTTAGACTATGATCAGGCAAAGAAGGATAAACAACAATCATAAAATATGTTATGCTGAGGAATTGGATGTTTAAAATGGAGTTTTCACAAGCAAAACAGATGAATATAAACAAGAATCTAGGAACACATACCATCAATTTCAATTCCTTTGGGAACAAAAGGAACTGAACCTGTGGCAATGATTATGTCTTTTGCAGTGACAGAAAAACCACCCTTCCCATACTTGATCTTGTGTGGACCCTGAAATTATTTGAGAGCCAATTGCATATGAAAAGTGTAATATCCGATACAAAGTTTGAATTAGCATTAACAATAGTAGCTGACATTGAAGCATGAATTTTACTAAAATATTTTATGTGATGAGTTGAGACAATAACATTTCAAACATACCACTATGGTGCCAAATCCTGTCAGAATGTCTACCCCAAGTGCATTCAATGAATTAGTCAGATTACCACGAATTTTCAAAGCAAGATTATTAGCATGGTCAGCCACTGCTTGTCGATCATATCCAGCAGCTGAAACCTGGAGATAGAACAAAAATTATCATAGCACTATGACCAAAAAAATACTGAAAACAAGCGAATTTAGCATGCACCAACAGCAGGGAATTGTTTTATTAGTAATAACACATTATTCCAACAGAACATATCTATATCACAGCCCACAGGCAGCATCAATGAGCAAGAAGCATGTTTGTATTAGTTTATTCAAAGGCCGGGAAAATTTCTGAAACAGAATGGAAGAAAAAATCCTTGGTTCTTGTACTAATAAACCTAAAGCTCCATGATGACTAACAGAATAAAGATATCCCTCTTTATATTTTTCACGACCCTAATAAGGTAAAGAGATCACACACCTGCAAACCCAAAGCTTTCATGTGATGTTCATCCTGTAGTTCACGCATCCTACCGCTCACTGCAAGCAACGCTTTTGAGGGAACACATCCTCTATTTACACAAGTTCCACCCATCACATCTCCCTCGATAATGGCGGTTTTGAAACCCTGAAAACAAACATGTGATTTTGAGTTCTGACAACCTTATTAAGCTATATTGTATTCTTGATCATGTAATAATCTGTTTGAAAGAACATCACTTTTTTTTTTTTTTTTTTTTTTCTCAGAAGGAAATAATGATGTATGTATAACAAATAACATTTATATATTTTCCACACAAGACTTTCATCTAACACAGATTCACCATGAACCATTCATTGATAAACTAACCTGGACCCAAAAAAAAGACCAACCTGGACAAAGTCAAGACTCAATATTTAGAATATTTTGCATCAAGAGGCAAGCTTTATAGAAAAAGAAAGCAAATATCCTCACTCCAAAGCATACAACACAGATATAGAAAACATTATCAGCCAAGAATCTTGTCACACTGAAGTCTCTCACATAAAGAATCAGTATTAGATCACGTGGGCTTGAACTTAGGATCTTGATTCCACGAGTTATATATATAACTTACAGAATCTAAAAAATGTTCTGCTCAGCCTCTGAAACAGGGAACTTTGGTGAATTTGACTATCAATTGAGTTAATAACCTCCAACCTTACACGCAATGAACTAATCACAAGATAAAACCATCAAATTGTAATATTCCTAACCATCCAGTACAATCCTCGTCAATCTTGTCATGATACAGTAAAATGCAGCTCCATACCACAAGTAACCAAGCTACCCACACATCAATATACACTAAAGGTCAAAACCACACTATTACACACGAGTCAGAGGCAATTTTAGCTCAAACATTCTCAACTCCATCAGATTCATCAGCCGTTCATTGAGTCATAAACAACTTCAATCAAATAAGAGTGAGGTCCTACTTTTTCAACGGCATGCAGTGCCGCCCCATGACCTCCAACGCCAGCTCCTATAATAACAAGGTCGTAATCGAAGGACCTCGGAGCACTCTTGGATGTAGCAGAAGCCAGCAGCAAGAGCAAGCGCCGCCTCGGTGGAGGAGATCTCCTTGGAGCAAGGCGAAGTTCCCGACCATGGAGGCGAAGGCCGCATAATCGAAGGTTTGCATTTGGTAGGAGAGTGGAGTGCGGAAAATGAGATGAAAGTGCAGCAGGCTGCATTTGGAAGTTGCGAGGGAATGAATTATGGATCAATGACAGTTCAGTGTTCACGCTTGATAGCCATTGCCATGGTAGGGAGGGAAGGATGAGTTGGAGATATTGATAGAGATAGAGATATCCAGTGCTGACGTGGCAGACAGAGGAGAGAGAGACAGAGGTGTCTCTTCGTTTCATTATTGCGGCAGTTTTGTAATTAGATTATTATTATTATTTTTTTTTTTAAAAAAAAGGTGAGTGGAGAAATGCGGAGTAGAGGAGATGCACGTGCGGAGACGGCGCGTAGCCTTTCTCAGCCGAAACCTCAACCTCTCGGCAAGGGCTATACCGTCATTTTACCGCTGCGTGTTCAAAGGTCGGGCAAAATTGGGAAAACCAGAAAGATAGGGGAAGCGGGGGAGAGAGAGAGAGAGTGATAGGGAAAGAGAGAGAGAGAGAGAGAGAGAGAGAGGGAGGCGCGGGGCTTCTATGCACTGGTGCTGATGATAATGGCGGTTAGGGTTTTCCAATTGATTTACTTGCGTTAACCCTACCGTGTGGATTCCTAATTTCGACACTTCTTCTCGTCGGAGGATTTTTCGCCTTTTGTATCCCCTTTTAACCCTAATTTTTGCATCCCAAGGGTTTGGTGATTTGCGTTCAGCATATTTTACAGCTCCGCGGTTTGGATTCGTCAACTTTGTGATAAGGCTAGGAACCTTGCTTTCTTCAATGGGGTCGCAGGATAAATCGCAAAACTCCAACGATTCCATGCAGGTCAGTGAAGTAAAGATACGCCGAGGGGAGAAAGAGATTGTTCCAACTTACCCCATAATCGGATGGAGCTACTTGATTGTCGCCCTCTTTTTGTGCTTACATTCTTGCTTATAATTTTTTTTTTTGGGTTCACCTTTCTGCTTTTAATGGTTCGAGTTTACAATATTTATTCAACTTTGACTAGAGTTTCTAATCAGTTGTGGTTTTGGTTATCATAATAAGCGCGTTTGAAATGTTCCAGTTCTGCTTGGAAGTTTTATTGACATTATTATTTTTATTATTATTATTATCCGGCTGGGGGGGTGTTATGCTGTTGTGTAATAGATTTGGTGGTTTAGTTGAGCGTGTCTTTAAAGTAAACACTTTCAATATTTCAGACAGGCGAGCCCTTGATTGCTTATTAAGAGTATAAAGAAGATTAGGAATGGGAGGTTCAAACTTTCTTTAGGTCTGCACCAAGCAGTGAAGGATGATTTTATTTCGTTTCGGCCACTTGGTTTTACTACCTCTGAGATTGCATCAGGAATGAGTGTATATAGATATTGAGTTCGCTCTGAATAGCAAACTGAGTTTACTTTAAATATGAATTTTCTTGAACAGCAAGGATGAATTTTACCCCTGTTGTGATTTATACTCTATAAAATTGTGTATATTGCTCAATTTGAGGGGGAGGTAGAAGGCTTCTTCTCTGTTGATATCATATATCTTGGTTGGTTCTATGTTAACTTTTCATTTATGATGTTGTTGAGTTGGTTTTTGTGAGCTTCCGAACCCTGAATTGGAATGCCATAACTGTTCTTGTTGGCATATAGTCCTGCTTTAATGTTGTGGAGGTTATGATGCTACTATTAAGAAATGCATGTCAAAATAAAAAGTGTTCATAGTGTTGATTCGTTAAATCAAATACTTTGTTACACCATTGTGGCCTTGCAGCTGAAGCAGTTGGTGACGCCCCTGATAAGAACTAAATTATAAATTATTATATTGAAATTTCAATATCTGGTCCTACCATGCTCAGCTGTCAGTAATTAGATAATTTGTGGGTTATGAAGTATGGGACCCATTCTGCAAAATTAGAGCATTCCTGGGTCAATGGTGAAACTAATGTAGTGGTTGTTCTTAAGAAGAGTTCAAGCAGCCTTAGGCTCTAGATTGAGTTTCTGTGCGTTGACAGTCTAAAACCATTGTTAGGAGTCCCTGTCTAGTATCTTGCCATGGTATCTACCAATAATTAGAATTAGCAACATTCTGTCTCCTTGCAAATGTGCTGCACTTGATACCTTTCTTAGATATTATTAACATAAAAAGATGGAAACAGTTATATTACTCTTGATAGACAGATGATGCAGATGTTTTAAAGGAAAACCTTATGCACGACAAACCTTTATGAGTTTCGTATCTTATTTGCCTTGCATCCTTCTTCTTTCCCCATCGCATGCTGTTATGGTTCTAGTGATTTTTTATTTTTTTTTTAAATTCTTTTGTTCCTTACATGCTATTTTCCATACATAATACTGCAAAAGCTTGAATTTTTGTTGCCACTTGTTATTTTAGCATTGGAATGTGTTGTTTTTCATGATTTTCACATGCCTTTGTCTTACCCTCAGCATGTTAAAGTGTACCGACTGAATGAGGAGGGACACTGGGATGATCAAGGAACCGGCCATGTCACAGTTTACTATTTGGAGGTTCACAAATATTCATCTTTTTACCAGGCTCTTTTTTTTAATATGTAAATATTGTGATGAAGTGTTGTTTTGTATTTAGTGTGAGAATGAAACAGTGTGTGTTGTGCAGAGATCAGACGACCCTGCCTTGTTTGTCATTGATGATGACCATGAAACAATACTGCTGCACCGCATTAGCTCTGACGACATTTATCGAAAGCAAGAAGGTATATGGTTTTCAATATGTATTGATGCAAGCTTTTGGATCTAATTTTGTTTCTCACAAACAATATGTAATCAGATACAATTATTTCCTGGAGGGACCCTGAGCTGTCAACTGAATTGGCACTTAGCTTCCAAGACAGAGCCGGTTGCTCCTATATATGGCTAGTATCGAAAATATATTGCTGTTCAATTTTCTTTTCCTTGCTTTTTTTATTTGTTCTGAGGGTATATATTTTTGTTATTTCAGGGACCAAATATGTAATCTGCAAAGGAATATGCACATTAGCTCGCTAGCCAGTAAGTTCTTATTGGAATTTTATCTTCCAGGCTACATGTCTATTTAGATATCCCCACAGCCTGCATAGATTTTTGCTACTGAAATTGTTGCCATTTTTGGTCATATTTGTGGAATTTTCTTCAGTTCAGTGTGTTCCTGACTGGAAATTTATCATGATTAGCTGCTCTGAGATGTTTTTATGCATGAACATGTAACTTCTTTGGTTCCCTGTTCAAAATTTCTAGTTGGGACCTTTTGATTACTATTTAGGGCTATTGGCAGCAGCATTTGTCTGGTTAGTTTTCTTTGTTATACTTGAATTTTATGGATTAGTACCTAATATGATTTATTTTTGTAGCAGTATATGTATTTAATATCTGAAATCATGCTAATTGGTTATTTAGTAGGGAGGAACTTCTAGTTGTCAGTTTTTTTAAAAAATAATCTTCTAGTTGTCAGTGAATAACATTAGAAGTACAATGCTGCTTGGGTGTTCCTTAAGGCTATTTTATACTTGTCTGCCTGCCATATACTTGAATTCTAGTTTCTATGTTGACTCCATTATGCTTATGCACCATTTACAGTTTTCTTCATAAACAGATTGTATGTTCATGCAACAAAATAGAATGATGCTAAGTAATAATTCTGTATTCAGTTTTGAATGGTTGGGAGAAAGTGTGTGATAACTGTACTGTTTTTGTATAAAACTGTCCTTTTCTCTGCCTGCTATGCCATCCAGCTATAGTGTTGATGTTTTAGAATTCTGATTCTTCAGATGAAGCATTTAACAATGTCAATAGTGAGTTGAAGGAGTTGCCTTCAGTTGAGCTTTCAACTCTCCCCTTGATACTTAAGGTACAGCTGATTGCACCAAACTTCCTCCATATCAATATTCTTTGTATTATTGTTATTATTATTATTATTATGAAAGTCCTCTTTTCTTTCACTTCATATATTCTGATGGTTTCTTCTCCTCCTTTGTCTCCCCTATAATAAAGCTAATTTATGCTTCTATGCTTTTCAGATTGTTGAAAGTGGTACAACAGATCAGCTACGTGTGACTGAACTTATATTGCATGATGTGAGAACTAAACACACTTTTATTTTTTATCTTATTCTCTTCATACTGGTGTTAGTGAAGCTTTTGGGTGATGCAGCAAGATCTTCTTCGCAAGCTAATGGAGCTATTTAGAATATGTGAAGATTTGGATAATCTAGATGGGCTTCATTTACTTTTCAAAATCGTCAGGGGAATGAGTGAGTAAACTTGCAATCTACTTCAGTATTTTATTATTTTGATATTTGGAATTAATTAGGCATCCTTGTTCCTGTCTGCAGTTTTGCTGAACAATTCTCAGATCATCGAGAAATTATTTGGGGATGACTTAATAATGGATATAATTGGATGTCTAGAATGTAAGTCTTATCCCCAGCCTTCAAGAAAAAGGATTTACTAACTAACCTGTTAATAGGTTCAAAATAATTATAAAGATATCCGATATATTCCTTTTATGAACCAGATTGTGATGGGAATGTTACTTTAAAATGGTAATGATTTTGGGGTTGTTGATTCGGTCATCTTGCTTATCTACTTCTTGGTAATGAAACTAATTCAAACTTTGTTTTCAGATGATCCCGAGGTCCCTCACACTAATCATCGTAACTTTTTGAAAGAGCATGTGGTTTTTAAGGAGGTAAAAGTTTTATCCATGCCTTTTTCCATGCTATAATTTTTGTGATGAAAGGAATCACTTAATAGAATCCATGAATACATGGTTTGTTTCAGGCCATACCTATAAAAGATTCTGAGGTCCTCTCAAGGATTCATCAATCTTACAGAGTTAGTTATCTTAAGGTGAGCTTTTAAGCTCTTAGTTGAAAATCCTTTTATTTCATCAGTTATGAAGAAATAACAGCTGTGTCTGCTTATGACAGGATGTCATGTTACCCAGAGCATTGGACGAGGGCTTAGTTGCAACTTTTAATTCTATTATTCATTCAAATAATGCAATTGTAAGTTTTATTCGATCTGGTTCATAGCTGCTGCTTACTCTATTGTAGTTTTAAATCAATTTTTGTTCCGTTTGTCACAGGTTGTTTCTTTGCTAAAAGATGATAAGACCTTTATCAAGGAGTTGTTTGCGAGGCTGCATTCTCCCTATACATCTGTAGAATCAAAGAAAACTTTGGTACATTTTTTCCTCATTAATCTTTTATGATTAAAAAGGTGCATTGATTTACTTTGTGGATAACTGTCAGAAACAAACAATATTTTACTTCTACAACAGTTGGCTTCTAATTCACTGTATCATTAATGATTTCTTCTGAATTCCCAACCTTGACAGTACGATATACCATAACTCTCCAAGCTTTATCAGTTGGTTTGATTTTTATTCTTCTAGACTCTCTTGTGCTGACACATGTATCTTGAATTTTTTGATATTCTTACAGGATGTGGTAGGCATATCATTATGTGCACAGTGTGACATTCTAAATATCAACTCATGTAAATTTAAATAATTTATTTAGTATTATTTTTTCCCTTTAAGAATGTGGTGAAAAGTCTGCCCGTACTATAAATGCACCTATTCCTATGGCTGTCGCGCTGTATTCATTTTGTTTTTTCTAGAGCCTTATTCTATCTACCTTCCCTTAACCTTGATTACTGAAACAGTGAGTATAATATATGGTGATAGGTGCGGCCTTTTGGGTCTCTCTCTCTCTCTCTCTCTCTCTCTATATATATATATATATGTATATATGCTATATGAGGTTCCCTTAAGTATGTTTATCTATTTTACCCTTTCAATATTTAAACTCAGCATGTGACAAGCTATCATAAACCTACTGTTGTTTTGCTTCTGTGAATCAGGTGCACTTTGTACACGAGTTTTGTACCTTAAGTAAGAGCTTGCAAATGGTGCATCAGGTTCGGCTATTTAGGTATACTCTTTTGGTGTATATGGTTGGTTTATGCCAAACCTATCCACATTTTTGTTCATCTTTTTCACTTCAGAAAGTTTTATACTCATTGAACCCAAATCTTCCTGTGGTTTGTAATGGTGTTTTTTCTGTGTAGGGATCTTGTTAACGAAGGCATTTTTGACATCATAGCAGATGTTTTGCAGAGTGAGGACTATAAGCTTGTTTTGACTGGGTAATGAATTGCACCCTGCACATAGCATACGTATTCATATATATATATATATTTACTACAAATTTGAAATCCAGGGATTCCTATGCAACAACAGTATATTGTTTTTCATGATCATTTGTTGCAATGCTTGCAGGGCAGACATCCTCATGCTTTTCCAAAATCTAGATGCAAATATTCTGCGCTCTCATGTGTCTCGTCAAGATGGTGTTCTTTTTGGACTGTTGGTAGGCAATTTAATTCCTGTAGCTCCATTAATTTACAGCACCCCCTTGGTGCTGCATTTGTTGCAAAGTTCATTCTTTTCAATAAATGAGCATAGTGCCACCTCAAGGCAACTGTAGAAATCCTCTGTGAAGTTAGTTGGTTCGGATCTAATACTAAAATTTTGCCTGTAACTTAGAATAGACTGATAAACTATGTTCTGGATATGGAGTACTTCACCTCAATCCTTTTCCATATATGTTATTGGAAAAATCATTGAGCATTCATAAATTGGTATTTGCAAAAATGAATTTAGGAATCCAATTCAGTCTTGAATATATAACTTTGAGTGGGGCGTAATTCTTAAATCGCTCTTCCCTTGTGTAATTTCATTAGGACTGTTCATTTTCTGATTTTGTAGTTCCAGAAAACATGTTATAATCAGATGTTAGTGTTCCATGGTAAACTGTATTCATTCTTCCCTTACAGGTAAAGAGTATGCTAACAGATTGTGGAGATGACATGCACTGTCAGTTTCTTGAAATCATTCGCAGTCTTTTAGAGTCCACCCCAGGAACGCCGGTATGAGAATGTTACTTAGTTTATTCAATATTGCTGATCTCCCACATAAGTCATCCTTTTAATGATCGGAACTTCTGGTAATTGATGAAGTAGGATATAGGGTTTCATAGCTTTACATGGCAAAGTTTGAGATAAGACTTTTGTTTAGTAGCTCTCGGACATGTAGAAGTCACCATCAAACAGTTTACCAAGACCCATCATCAATGGTGTATTCAATAAGCAGCAGTGGAACAGATTTTTAACTCACTATTAATTCTGTTTTTAGATGCATACCTATCTGCCATTCTCTTCAATTCATACTCTGATTGTCAATTGGTTGCCGAGATTTGTATAATGCTTGTTGTCTTTGTCAAGTGCTTCATCTCCTCTACTTTGTTGCAGAGAGAAGTTATAGTGGAAATTTTTTACGAACAGCACTTGGATCAGTTGATTGATGCAATAGCGTCATCATGTCCACCAAACACTCATGGTGAATCTGACAAGAAGTCCCTGAGCTCAGTTGGAAATTCCAGGAGCAGTGTGAAGCCTGAGATATTATTGAATATTTGTGAACTGCTGTGCTTCTGTGTATTGCAACATCCTTACAGGATAAAGTAATTACTTTGCCCCTTGTTACTAATTTACTTGGAGTTAGTGAATTGTTTTTCATTTAATTGGACTTTTGTCTTTGCCCTTGCAGGTGCAATTTTCTTCTTAACAACGTAATTGAGAAGGTTTTGTATCTGATGAGGAGAAGAGAAAAGTATCTTCTACTTGGTGCGATTAGATTTGTTAGGGTACTTATCTCTCGCAGTGTAAGTTAACATTAACTATTATATGCTTCAAAATGAAATTTCTGTAAAGGCTTTTAGTGGACTCTCATTGAATAGATATAGGTTCACATGACATTCTTCCCTTTGCTATTGATCAGGAGTCTCCCTGTCTGGGTTCAGTTATTATACTTATTTTTTATTTTCCTCCTGGTATCATCATCTCAACTACTGGTCATTAATTTTGCAGGATGAGCACCTGATGAATTATATTGCCAAGAACAACCTTCTCAAACCAATAATCGATGCATTTGTTGCTAATGGGAATCGATACAATCTTCTTAGTTCTGCCATTCTGGAACTCTTTGAATTTATTCGAAAGGTGTTCTTTCTTTTCATTTTTCCCCTGTTTGGGTGCAGCCATTTGGTTTATGATGATCTAAATCATGTGTTCTGCAGGAGAACTTAAAAATATTACTCCGGTATCTAGTCGACACCTTTTGGGATCAGTTGGCAAAATTTGAAACCATGTCCTCTATTCATGCACTAAAACTTAAATATGAACAGGTATTGTTCATTCCTTTATGATATATTCACTTCATATTTGTTTTGCTCAACATGTGACCTGTTATGCATTCAGTCACTAGAAAATACGGATACAAGAAGCACAGGTACTTCTTTAAACCAAAGGAAGCGCCTTGATGATCGTGCTTTGGAGAAGGAGGAGGAGGATTATTTCAATGATAGGTTGGTGTTTGTGCATGCCATGATTTCATTTAAAATTCTACTCCTTGCACATGCCTTTTAAGCTGAAATCTACAAGACCAAAATGATTAGTTATATGAAATCTTTGCTGTGATTTGTTTAACTAATGCATGTATTGGATTTGTTTGGTTCCAATTGAGAACTTTTGAATGGTTTTCCAGTGATGAAGAAGATTCAGCATCTGTTCTTACGAGTGGCACTAAGAAAGCTGAAACAAAGCCTTCTGTATTAGCCAACGGGTCTTTGCCAAATGACACAGCCCCAAGGTATCATTTTACTACTAGCTGGAGTAACATTTGTTTATTTGTCAAATATTTAAACTCAAAATTCACTTGCCCTTGAAGGTCTGACCGGCTTGTTGACTATGATGATGATGATGATGATGAGGATTACAAGCCCCCTCCAAAAAGAGTGCCAGATGCATCAGATGAGGAGGAACTGGCACAGCTGCCCTTGAAACGTAAGTTGGTTTCAAAGGAGCCTGAGGCAAAAAGATTACGCCGATCTCCAAAAGACTTGAAATCAAGAGGTGTTTTTGCTACCTTGTGCTCTACACTAAGTGATGCGGTACTACCCAATAAGAAAGTAGGTAGTGGAGCAGTAAGTATTTCCGGGTCGAATGTAAACCAGAACTCTGACAAGGGGCACACTAACAGCTCCTTATCTGATCAGAGCCAAATTGCAGAAATCGACGGGCACAAAGATGAGAGAGAGGGTTCTCCTAGAAGCTTAAGTGATGAGTTGATAGATTCTGCTGATAATAGGAAGCATGGTGACGAACCCCCTTTGTTGCCACCTAATTCACCGGCAGAAATGGCTGTGAATGGATCATGAGTTGTTTCCAAAAATTAGTAGTAGTTCTGCATTGTGTTATGGTACCACTTCCGGTTGGTGGGCTCGGGCCAAATATGATCACCAAGTATATGAAAGAAGCCGTCAAAGTGGACGACGAGGGCCACCAGCTAGAAAGCCCATTGGATACTGGGATGTCTTGAATGAGGACATACTGTACAGTACAGTTGGCGAAGATGAAGGTGTGTGTAGTCTTTTTATAGTTCATCTAGGTTCATATCTAAATTTCAGTGGAGTAATTGTGGGCAATGCAAGACTTCATCAACTATATAGTGTTCTGTAATTGGCTCCTACCTTGTGTGGGCTGTGTTTCTGTCTGTCTGTCTGTCTGTATGTCTCTCTATGTTTTTTGTTTCTGTATACGACACTGAATTACATGTGATAGCGGGGCGGCAAGCATATATTACTCTGTTGTGGACGGTGTAACTGGGGTGGAATTTTGTGTGTGTATTTGATTTGAGCAGTAGGGGAAATGTACGACTGACTGACTGACTGACTGCTTGGATGAACAAGAACGCCTGCTCCAGCAGTAGCCAGCCAGCCAGACAGCCAGCCGCCATGGAAGTCATTTTTGGAGGTATGAGTCTTGGTTTTGGCGTATGGCGATTGGATTGGATTGGATTGTGCAGATATTTTTTTTGTTGTTGTTATAGCTCGCTTGCCTAGCCTTGTGTCAAAAATATATACTATTAATGCATACAATATGTATGACAGACAGCACTTGTAGCAGTGCAGTGCAGCAGCAGTTGGGCAAATGTACGAGGAATGAATAATGATGGATTTGTTGTGTTCATTCGTCTCTTCTTCTTACCTATTATGTAGGAGGGCTTGCTTGTTTACTAATGCATACACACATACACTAATGAATCAGAATCAAGAATTCGTACACAAGAGAAGAAGAGTGGATGCAGGTGATGGTGATGAGACCATTACCATTTACTTGTGTTTATTTAGGTACAGCAGCAACCTTACCGTAGAAGAGTGGGTTCCTTTTCAGTTGAGATATGAGGGTTTGACTTTTTCGCAATGTGGGCGGATACACGATCATCATCAGTTACTTTTTTGACCAAAAAGCAAATGGTTGACCTCACCAAAAACGGAAAAAAGTTTCTAACTGTGTGATTGGGTTCTAGAAGGAGAGATTTATATGTACGCACACACACATGATTTACTTAACTTGAATTGATACAAATAAAAAAATCGTCACCATTGTTTGACTGACAGAGACAGGCAGACAATGTCAAAATAAGGAAGACAACCACACGGCCATCATCATCATCATCATCATCATCATCCTTGTTGTTTATTGTTATCATCGTAATTATTTGAATGCAGCAGTCAAGACAAAACAAAATCCATGAGAAATAATAACTACTAGTCGTAGTAGTAGTAGTAGCTATTTGAAATGCATGATCCATTCATGAAAAAAAACCTCTCTTTGCATTTACTCCTCCCACCACCACCACCACCACCACCACCATATAGAGAAAGTCTAAGATTACATAGATACATAGTGGGGTAGGGGGTATATTTATTGTATGATTTGAACATGTGATGTAATAAAATGCTAGGTAAGGTACCTCGCCTGTGTTTTTTCTAGACGCATTACATCATCATCATCATCAGCATAATAATAATGGATAACCCAACCCTGCAGCCTGCACAGAACGACACAAGTGCAAGTGGTGGTATGGTATATTCATTGAGTTTGACAGTACGTACCCTTCCCGTTATCCCTCTCATGCTCATTAATTATTGTTAGTTATATGTAGTTGACTTACATGTACAAATATGTCTCCTGTTTTCTTGTTTTTTGGCTTATAGTATTTATTTATTTTTGTCTATAACGACAATGAGGCCTGCTGCTGCTAACTTTTGTGTTGCATGCCTTCAAGTACAAATACAATAATAAGACAAATTGTCCTTTTCTTCTTCCCATCCCATCTTGTAGTAATAATTAAAGAATATTTTGTTTGATACTAGTAATAGTATTCATGTTTTATTATTAGCTAGGGAGTACTACTTACAAAAAAGTAAAGAAAAACAGAGTACCGACTGAGCGAAGGAGCATGCATGTATATATATGTATCTGAGTCAGTCAGTCAGTCAGTCAGTCAGTCAGAGTCAGTTGTCGCAAGCTGCACACCCGGATTATATTTATATTTATATTTATATTTATATTTATTAATCACTACTCAAATCAAACTTCAACTTTTGCTCTGCTGCATCATCAATTGAAGGACCTAAAGCTGGATCCAAGGCATACATACATGCATCATGTGAAATCACATCATCATTTTCAAAGGTCAACCAACACGTGGGCCAATCTTCCCATTCTTCTAATCAATCATTAAATAAAATTGCCTATTCATTGTTATTATTATTATTATTACATCAATCATAAAATTGTCCACGCCTACCCCCACCCCACAAGCTAATCTCCCCAAAGTCAAAGTCAAAGCCAAAGCCAAAGCCAAGTAAAGTAGTAAATTGTTTACATCAAAGTCAGACAAGAACTGGTCAAATGTGCTGCTCGCTGCGCTGCGCTGCACTGCATATATTCTCTACTATAAAATCTCATCTCCTTCTGCAAATGCAAATGCAATGCCAATGGCAACGACAATGGCGTCTCCTCCTCCACAATCACTGCTACGACTGCCACTGCTTCTCTTCCTCCTCACCACTCTCGCTCTCTCTTCTGCTTCTGCTACTGCTAATTCAGTCTACCCCAAAGAAGCCCTTCCCACCAAGTCAGGCTATCTAAGAGTCAACTCCACCACTCGCTCATCCATCTTCTACACTTTCTATGAAGCTCAAAATCCAACCAGCCCCTCCTCTCTTCCCCAAACCCCAATTCTCATCTGGCTCCAAGGCGGCCCCGGCTGCTCCTCCATGCTCGCCAATTTCTTCGAACTCGGGCCCTGGCTGCTCAATCAGGATGCCGTTCTCCACCCCAATCCGGCCTCCTGGAACAAAATGTTCGGCCTGCTCTTTCTAGACAACCCCATCGGCACTGGATTCAGCATTGCCGCTTCCCCGCAGGAGATCCCAAGAAACCAGTTCGATGTCGCCAGGCACCTCTTTACAGCACTGAGGGAGTTCGTTGCCCTCGACAGCTCATTCAGAACCAGGCCAATCTACATCACCGGCGAGAGCTACGCCGGGAAGTACCTTCCGGCCCTCGGGTATTACATTCTGAAGCAGAACCCCCTCCTGCCGAGGGCGAGCAGGATCAATCTGGCCGGCGTGGCCATCGGAAATGGATTGACCGACCCCGAGATCCAAGTGGCCACCCACGCCGTGAACTGCTACAATTTGGGGCTGATCAATGAAAAGCAGATGGCCCAATTGGAGAAGCTTCAGTCGGAGACGATTGGGCTGATCAGAAGGGAGAGATGGGGCGAGGCTGGGGATGCAAGAAATAGAGTGCTGAACACGCTGACCAACATGACTGGGTTGGCCACGCTGTATGATTTCAGGAGGCTGACCCCGTACCCGAACAGGGTGGTGGTGAGGTTCTTGAACAATGCGGAGGTGAAGAGGGCGCTGGGGGTGGAGGAGTCGGCGGTGTTCCAGCTGTGTAGCCCTGAGGTGGGGGATGCACTGCACGATGATGTGATGAAGAGTGTGAGGTTCATGGTGGAGTTCTTGGTGAGGGAGACGAGGGTGCTGCTGTACCAGGGGCAGGCCGACTTGAGGGATGGGGTGATGTCGACGCTATCCTGGGTGAGGATGATGAGGTGGGAGGGGATCCGTGGGTTCCTGGAGGCTGAAAGGAAGGTGTGGAGGGAGGGTGAGGGTGGGGGTCTGGCTGGATATGTGCAGAGATGGGAGAAGTTAAGCCATGTGGTGGTGATGAATGCAGGCCATCTTGTGCCTACTGATCAGCCTGCCAACTCCCAGGCCATGATTCAAGATTGGGTTCTGGAGAAGGGATTGTTTGCAGGAGGAAAAGAATGATGAGGATGACCATCACCATGCCCATTGATTTGCTAGAGGTTTCATTGTGTTGACGTTGGTTCAATTGTCATTGGATTTGATTTGAATTGTTAGTTATTTGCTTTCCAACTCTTGTTGTTGTTGTTGTTGTTTCCTGATGATAGAAAGAAAGAATAAGATTAACAGTAGAGAATGTATTATGTTCTGTGATAGCTGAATAATGACAATGAATCAGATAGCATAGCAACCCCATTGATAGTGTTTTCCCTTTCCCTTTTCCTCGTCTTGTCTTCTGGCCGGTTGCATATCCAGTGCAAGGATTAGTATGCTATGCTATGGTGCCACTCAGTATTCTAATCAAAATCAAAATCAGCAGCAATAAGGTTTGTCCTAGATAGATAGATAGATAGATAGATAGATAGATGATCCCAGAGCAAAGATTGTCTTGCACTGCTTCTTCCATCATCTGTTTCTTTCCTTCCTTCTTCGGAGCTAAAAAGATTGTGATGGATGGTGCCAACAACAGATTTATACCACAAACTTTAGTCGCCTCTCTTACTTATTACATGGATGTTATACTAGAATTCAATAACAAGGGCTTCAGAATTCTAACAAAAACTGCTCAAGCAAACAACTCTGAATTTCATTGGATGCACCTCTTTAACTTTAAGCATCATCGATGGATGCCAACAACTTCTTTCCCACGGAGTATTAAATTATGTTCCATATTGAAACCATTCTTGAAGGTGGTGTTAAGAAACAATTCAAGAATGTTGTAAATCAGGATTACGTCATGTGCAACACACACAAAATAATACTACTACTCTAGTAAGAAATTTAAATGAAGAAACCCACAAGATATTGGCTTATTGTAAATTGGGGATAATAAGCGCAATTGGCATCTTGAGATTCGTATTGTTTTTATTTATTTATTGTTATAGAGACAGACAACTCAATTCTCACGCACTCTCTCTTTCCATCGTCTCTCAAAATTTATACAAGTTCGATTTAGCCGTGACCGCCTTCCTCCTCCTCTTCGCGGATGCGCCGCCTATGACTAAATACGACGTCGTGTTCGTGTATATGACTCTGTACTAACTACTAAACAGACCGACAATTGATTTTCCCATCCTCGTTTTTGTCTTTCCTTTCCTTTCCTTTTCTTTCCTTTCCTTCCAAATTCCTAAATCCCTAATCAAGAAAGACCCTGCACCATGGGGTCGCCTGTGGTAACCCCCGAGGACGTGCTGGAGACTCTCATGAACGACGGCACAATTGACGCCATCCGACTCAAGATCATCAATCAACTCAAAGCCAATGTTGCTTTTCTCTCCCTCCCTCTACCCATTTATTCATTTATTTATTTTTCCAGAAAATCTATGTATTCGTATTATATCTGTGTTTTTTTTTTTCTATAATTTTCGTCTCCGGCCCGTTTTCCTAGTGACGGTTCTATGGAGTATTTGCTCAGCACAATACTTCATGGGCTTTTCTTTTTGATGCGTCCTTTTCTACGGATTCAAGTTCAACTATATTTGCATGCTTTTTGGTTTTGAAAAAAGAAAAAAATGTTGGATGCTTGCAAATGTAAGGATGCTTCAATTGAGTACTGTATCTGGTGCGCATAGTTTTGGTATTACAAGGTGATTGGTTTTGCAATTGAAATTGGGATCGCTGCAGGTTCATCTGTTTTTACTTCATTGCTGTGAAACGTATAGTAGTCATTATCAAGTCGTTTTGCTATGGCTGATCATCCATCTTGACTGTTGGGTTAGGGCTGCATGGATTTTTGCTCTGAAAAGGGATTGAGAAGAACATGGCTGAAGAATTTCCATGGTTCATAGAAAATCTGAAAGATCTAGTGATTCATAGCCTGTAGTGTGGACAGAGTAAAGGCAAAGAAGATATTTCGATACATGTTCTGCTTACAAGTCAGTTTATGTGGGCAGAATTTGGGTGTATAGCATGGCTAGTGTTTTTTTTGTTGAATTTGATCAGATATATGACCCGAAACCCACCCAAACTACTGACATGTTGACTTGGGGTTATAGCTTCAATTTAGTTTATCCTGATATAATATCTTGATCAAGGTCCTAATGTATGAGATAATTAATCACATCATTTGGATAGGATAGTGTCATAATAATCTTATAGGTTTAAGCATGGCCCAGGTGTTTCCTTCAAATTTTAATGTCAATCTACACTATTATATTGTTCGGGAAATTACTTTGCTTTGGAATTCACAAATTTGTTTGGGCAATTACTTTGCTTTGGAATTCACAAATTAACTCCCATATAGTGTACAATCTCATAATTAAAGAGTTTTAGTCTGTGTACCTTGGATCTTATAACCATGGGTAGTTAATGGTAGCATGTATTTGACTTGCCTCTGTATCATTTTGTTTTGTTTTCTGAGGGTTTTTATATGTCCTGTAATTTTCATGGTTGTTTAGAAACTCATACCATTTTGCTGCATGAATATATAATAATTAAAATACCTTGTTTGTCATGCAGGAGGAGCTAAAGAGTAACACAATAAAAATGGTGGAGCAAAGTAAGGTTCTTAGCACTCCTGGTGCTGAAAAACAGACAAAGCGAGAGTTGTTTGATGCACTTCGACAAGAACTTGAGTAAGTGATTGTTATCCTTTCTTTCTTTCGTTTGTGTGTTGTGCTCTTAGTATGATGTCCCTGGTGTTTGTAGTCCACTTTGCATTTTAATGACCAATTCAAATGTTAGTGCAGATAATGAATGCTTCCTTCTCCCCCCTACATTAGGTGCCTAGCATGCTAGCTTGTGTATTTCCTGATAATTAATAAATTGAAGTTTATTCATATCACTCATGTAAATGCATTGAACTTGATTCTAGATTCAACATGCTCTATATTTATTCTAGTCCTTTGCCTATTTGTTGATTGGAATTAAGTTACAATGTCCAAGACTCGTGGTGTTGTGTTATGCATGCAGAACTCCGGTACTGGAGAAAGCTTCTAGATCAGTTTGGGAGTTAATTTTGGACCAGAATGGTTTAGGGAAGGAGATATGTGACACTGTCGAGAGAGTATTTTGTCAACTGAGTGGCCGTGAACCTCCACTCTTTCCTGAATTGAGCAATGAAGCCCAGCTGGGGAAAGAAAGTGAGGTTTCTCCTACCACTTCATCTAAGAAAAGAAGTTTTAGCGAGATGAGCAAGGAAGAAGCCAATGGAGTTGCACAAGAATCATCAGGAGTGGCAGCGATGCCAGACAATATTATTAGAGCGTCATCGCCCAGTTCTAAAAAATAAGATGTAGATTTACTCTATTAAATTGGAAAAATAGATTCTTGCACGAAGCCACCTGTAAACTGGCACAGCAATGCTGCAACAATTTTTGTTTTTTCTTCCCCCTCTTTGAGACATGTCTGACTCCATATACTATTGCTATGTTATATATATGCACACCAATTTATGTATCTGCCTATCTGGCATTATATTAGTAGTAAAAAATACATTTATGTTGAAGCTTGGCTTTCGTCTCATTTTGCCATCTATCAAGTATTACAGTTGTAAGTTTGTCTATGCAAACCAGAGATAATGATGCGTTAATTTCTACTACCTCTTTGTGCTTGCTTGGTCACTAGGCTAGTTAATTTTCATTGTCTGTCTTCTTCAGGTTGGCCCCGCATGGTCTAAACTTGTTAGATTTTCATATAAATAATTCTGAGGGGATAGTTTGGATTGGAGTAAGTGAAGGAAATTGGTGTTTTGAACCCTGCTTAGGTTGCTTGTCGGAAGACGTAACCACTGATGTGTAGGGGCGCAGCAGTAAGGGAACAACGGCTGGAAAGAAACAACTTTTTAAATTCAGTAAATCATCTAGAAGGAATCAAGAAAGATGGGATGGGATGGATGGAGTTAACTAATTTCATGTACTAATAGTCTCCAGTCACTTTTTGATTTCCATACAACCTTATCCACTTTCACATACACACACATATTCATCCATTAGGATTACAGAACAAAAAACAAAAAAAAAAAAAAGTTAAAGTGCACGTTGTGTTGTTGTCTTTCCATCATTATCCACAAAATTCACGTCCGCCTATTCTTACCAAATTCTGCACGCTCTTGGAATCTTCCTTCGTTTTCCATCTCTGACCAGACAGACAGTCTTCCTTATTATGTTATATATACATCCCAGTTCCTATCCCTCTCCTCCTGATCTGATCTCCAAGTCTTCAATTCCTAATTCACCTGTCATTCCTTCTTCCACACGCTACAAGTATAAACCACCCTTTCCTTACAAGATCATTTCAATCCCGTTTGGTTTTGCATAGCCATGATGGGTTTATGGTTTCGATGCAATCTTAACTCCTCCACCTGACACATGAGTGTTCTCATTACGGCATTAATCCTGGGTAGAATTAGAATTAGGCTGCTTCAATCCTTCTCAGTTGTTTTCCTGTATTGGTTTTATGTCTTTTCTTGAGCCCTTTTCTGTTCTGTGTTCATCATCATTTACCCTTAATTGAAAGGCAAGACAAGACAATATATATAGAAAGAAAACTAGTGTGTGCAGTGTTGTATTTGTATTGTATTGTATTGTATTTCCACTACACAAAGTGTTCGTTTACTTTCCGTAACTTACTCAAAAGCATGAAATCTAGAAAGCATAGCAGCTCCAGCTCTTCGGAAGAAGATCATGGCATCCGGCGTGCCATGATTGCGGATGAAAAGAAGAGGAAGAGGATGTTATCCAACCGTGAGTCAGCAAGGCGTTCGAGGATGAAAAAGGAGCAGCACATCAAGGATTTGAACGATAAAGTCGCATACTTTAGGACCAGAAGCAGTGGAATGGTTGAGAAGATCACTGAAATCAGCCGGTGCCACATGGCCGTTGAATCGGAGAACAGAATGCTCCGAACGCATGGGGAAGAGCTCAAGAGAAGATTGGAATTCCTCCAGGGTGTGCTGGCTTCTTACAAGAGTTTTGAACATGCGAATGGTGTAGGAAAATACAGCGAGGAGCATTCTTTAATGAGGATTCTTCAAGAACCATGGGTGCAGCAACCCCATGTTCAGTCCCATACTATTGATGGGATCTACATGTTTTGATGGAGAACTTTGCCACACACACACACACACACAGACACGTGTAATAGACATGCTCCTAGCTAGCTGTTATGCTGACACTTTTATTTATAATAAAGCTGACCTTGTCCATTAGTAGCTAACCATGTATTCCTTCACTTTTAAGTTCATACTTTTTCTTGTTTTTTCTTTTGGTAGCTGCTTCTCTTTATACTAATTAACTCCTTGATTGATCAAGCAACAACGTTCAAGACTGAATCCAAAAGCATGCAGACACACTAAGAATTTTAGAATTCAGCACGAGACTGCAATGCCACGTTGTAATTGAGGAACACTGCCTTTGCATATCCAACTATAGTCAATGAACACTCCATTATTCTATTCTATTTTCGATCATACAAGAGACTGATGCATGTTTGTGCAATGAGTCTTACATGCTTACTTTTCAATGGAAGAAAATATTCTAAGCAGTAAGAAGAGTTATATACATGCTACTGCACAATTGACAGTATAGAGAAATGAGGTAATATAACACATACTGGCATCTCTGCTGGTTGATTCTTGCAGTTATTCATTGATACTGGTTCAGGGATAGAGGATCCTCCTCCTAGCTTGGTTCATGCTGGAACTTCCAGGCAGAGACTGATCGTAGAGGAACTGAATCCCAACCCAGAAGCAAGCATTCCCTATCCAGAGTCATGGTACAGGAGTGCCATAAAGGTGATTCTTGAATCATCAGGCTTGCTTGATGGATGGCTCGCTGGCTAAGCGGAGTTTCCACTAAGCCGAATCTTGACAAGTATTCCCTCCAAAAGTTAATCGTACATTTCCACTGAAAATTCCCTTCATCCCCATTCATAACACCATTTCTTATTATCTCTTGAAAGTAGATCTTCTCGCATAACTCCCTGCATTGGTTGCCACGTTCTAGACAGTGATCGAGGCAATCAAACATTGCACAGCAAATAAATAGTGCCTCATCAAACCTGTCGATGAAAGTAGTAGATCCGCTAGTATATGCTTCTACCTCATTAACAACCATCAAATGAGGACTCAGGGTTTTAATCCCTTGTATCAAGGCTTCTATCTTTTGGGGACCCTCTGACAAAGAAATCAAACAACACTCCAAGTAAACGGCTACCAATTCCCCAGGTTCTAGCTCAAACTGATCTCTCTTAAGGTCATGTGTTTCTGAGTGAAGTGTTTTGTATACAAACGGCAGGCTCATGTACTCAGCAAAAGATGTCAGTAGCTTACCTGTTTCCTCAAAATCTTCTTTTGGTTTGCAGACAACAGTGATCTTCAGCTGCCTCAGAGGATGGCTTTTCCTATTAGCAAGAGCTTGCAATATAGTTATCCAGTGTGAGCCAATCTGTATTCCAAAGTCGATAATATGGATTCTTTCAGATGATTCTGCATGGTCCAGAATCATTTGAATCGCAGTGAAATGTGTAATTTGAATGAGAGGCAACCGCTGTTCAGAAGTATGAATAGCCGACCTCATGTCCACAATTACCTGTTCCACATCCATAAGTACTACTTCTCTTTCCAGATCAAGGTTGTTACTTACTGCATCAATTCGTTCTCTTAGATCTTGAGCAAAACGTGTGATGACTCTCTCAACAGGATGATCAGCATAAGAAGCCGGCAGAATGAACTGGAGCATCATTTCAGCTTCATGATACTGTTGGTTAGAAAACCTTTCAACGGCACCAAGCAGATACATAGCGTGCTTCATATGTTTTTTATGCTCATAAGGTACACTTGAATTGAATCCACATGTGTTTAGAACAAGGTTGGAAGAATCAGACTTCTTTGGAGCTTTAAGCTGGATCAGTTCCATTTTCGCCATTCTCATGAAGCTTGCAGCAGATGGTTCTTGGTTCCTCCAGCTATTGCTTCCAGCTTCTTCAGTCGGCCCTTTGGGTTTTTCCATTTCAAGGCATGGATAATGATGTTTCCCACTTCTCAAACGCTTCATCTGGCTCCCATACTTGTTCAAAATTTCAAACGAAGCATGAAAATTTTGCAAAGGTTGTTTTGTAGCTTCAACATGACTAGCATGGAGGAATTGATCGTCATTCGGAGAAGCTCCTGCAGAGTATGGGGCCATGTCTTGCCAGTATTTTCACCAAAGTTGCACCTGGATTTTCTCCCCAGTAATACAAGTGTGTTTTGTAAATGATCAAAGACAGAATAAGATCACTAACAATAGAATCTCCATTAATATAAAATGAATAGGTCACTATGAATTGGCTGTTTCTGGAAATGAACGAAGAGTGACATAGCCACTTTATATCTTTTCCTTTCACTGTTATGATATTTTACTAGTATCTTGAATACATCCAGAAAATGAATGATTTCTAGTGAGTTTATTAAGCAGCCGCCTGATTCAGAAGAGGAGAGCATCTGTCCAAAAATGTGTGACAGAAAAGAGTGTTTGCCCCCAACTATGAGGTAAAATGCCATGTTCTTGTTAGCTTAGGGTTGTCTGTTCATGGAAGCAAGTGCATTGGTATTGTAAAGGTCAAATACTCTGAAGATATTAAAGGCAACGTAGTATGGGCAAATATGAATAGCCATAATAAGTCAAACCCTTCTCATCAATCTATATGCTGATACAAATTAATCCTCCAGCATGTTAGTTGTTATTAGGTAAGATGTCGCATGCCTGCAGAGGAATAGAGCAAAATGTCAAAACTTTTAATTCTTTTTGGAACAACATATATCAACAAGAGAACCATAAATCTTTTTGGAACAAATTGTGTCTGTTAGTGTTGAAAGTTCATGTCCATTAGAGTTGTAAAGTTGCGTCCATTCATCTTGTAGGATACGAGATGTATTGTATACATATACAGGTCTTTTGAGTAATAAAGTTGTAGCAGTTTGTTTTTGGGCGTAGAAATCTTTTTGATTCCTTTTGCATATCCTGGTCATTGTCAACTTAATTTTCCTACACTTCCAGCCAGAAGCTATTGAGATTAGACTCATAAGAAGCATACAGCATTTTATTAGCAACCTTGAATCATATTTGAGTTCAATCAAATATGCATTGACTCATGGATCCAGTGAAAGACTTCTCATCAATATCAGCAGTGTGCGGAGTGGATGGCATGCTCAGATCAATTTCCATCATTCCCAAGTATGCCACTGCCAAAGTATGCTGTTCATCTCAGCTACCAACAATATATAACTTACTGTAGAAAAGGATAGGTTTTTATTCACCATGCTACTTCATGCAGTTTTATTGTGGACTCAGAGACTAAGAGAAGTGCTTCAACAATAATCCAATGTCTCCGTTTTTCTGTTTCAGTTAAGGGAAGAAGAAGATGGATGGTAGGTTCACAAAAGCAAGGTAGGAAGGAAGTTGAGGGTGAAAGTGGGAGCACCCTCCTCTTCATTTCCAGAATTTCATCTCAAATAATTAAATATCTAATTCTGAACAAAGCAAAATCTAGTGAGCGACTTAGACATGCTTCTGGCTGTCTACCAATCAATGTCTCTTAGTTAAATCTTTATTTCTAGTAATCTGCAGACTGCAGGTGCAAATATTGCACGATATATGCTTGTTACTTTTTCATTGTAGATCAATGATCACTTCTTGTTTCTATTGTTTAGAGCTCAAATATTCAAGAAGCATATGATACAATTTCATCATACAGTTCTCCGATTATAAAGTATCAATAGATCCGTCACAGTTCTTCAAACAGCATCATGCAACTTGAATCACTTCAAAACAAGCGCCTGAAGTATGTGGTACATAATTCAAGGTAGAGGCCAAAACGACGCCCCAGAAAATTCAACGCTAGCAGCATGTGATAATGGATAGAAAAAATATCATTCAATCTATTTTTGCGTAGATCGAAACATCATTTGAATTTCCATACAGAAAGCGAAGTAAGTGGTGTTCCCTTCCAGCCCATAATTAGGCTTTTACCATCTAGCTGTACCGTGCAGGAGCTCCTACTGGAAAATCCTTGAAGCACAACTGTTACCTGATCCAGAGCTGACAAACTAAGTTCCACTTCAACTAATCCGAAGCGCACAAAAAATGCCCTCCACACATTTATATTCACATGTCTAACCTTCCTTTCCTTTCCTTCGGCTGCCAAAATATTATTTATCGAGGACCTGAACATTGTAGATTCAGCAAAGCGTCTATTTGGCTCATCATCCTTCATACACTCAGCCAAGGAATCGAAGTATGCACCAAAGAAAAACAAACTCTCTACGAAGCGCCCTATGAAGGTGGGAGCATTGCAGTTTGCTTCTACTTCAGTGACAACCATAACACAAGGATTGATGTTTCTGATCACTCCCATCACATGGTCAATATGGTCAATCCTTCCAATAAGGCTCATAAGGGAGTAGGCTGCATAGAAGGCAACTGCTTCATCAGCATCCCGCTCAAAGTGATCTTCTCTGAGATCTAAAATATTTTCCACCATGACTAGTTTGAAAATAAATTTCAAGTCCAAGGATTCAGCAAAGGCTGCTAACTGCCGGCCAGTGTCCTCCAGCATCAACCTTCCTTTGGTTCCAACGGCAGTGAGCTTAAGGTAGTGGATGGGGTGTTCAGTTCGAGCTGCAAGAGCTTGCATCAAGATGATCCATTGCACCCCACTCCTGATCTGAAAGTCAACCACATGAACCTTCCTTGCATCCCCCAGATGATCCACAATGGCCTGCATTCCTGCAAACTTGGTGATCTGGGAGTGTGGATGCTCTTTGTGAAATGCAATCAGGATATTCGGGCACAGTAGTGGCTCTAGAGAATCCAAAGGCTTCTCTGAAACCTTTGGTGTAATTCTTCCTGTTTCCCAAGCAATCTTTGAGAAAAGGGCTTCAGTGAAATAAAAAGCCATTCTCTGAATAGGAGTTCCACTAGGGGAGCTGTGTTTCTCACACTCCTTCAAGAACTTGAGCGCACGCTCGTGCTGTTTCTCGTCTACTTTCTCTGCACACGACAACAGATTCTGGACTAGTTGGACCCCTCTAGAATCCTCATCGGAGTGGCTTAACAGTGAACTTGGATAAGGGTGATTGAGAGCAGAGAGTTTACTACGGCCGCTTTGGGGCGCGGACTGGATGAACTTTTCTGCAGCCAGTTGAATGATCATTTCTGTTGGCAACTCTGCAGACTGTGGTTGTTCATTACCTGTGCTCCATGTCTTCCCATCAAACTTGAGACGCCTGCTTCCATGTCTTCTCAGAACTTCAAAAGCAGCAGGTAACACATACTGCTGCTGCTGCTGCTGCTGCTGCTGCTTCTTCTTAGGTCCAGTCCGTGTCTGGCAGTCAATTCCAGCAGCCTTCTCTGCTGTATCATCTTCTTCACATGATGATGGCATTAAAGGGCTAGGGACAGCGTCGTGGTGCAAGTCATCTGAGCTCCCTGTCCCGAACTCATGGGAATTTGGATATCCTCCTGACTTGGAAATTGCAACACCTTCTTCATTGTCATGGACACGAAAGAAATCGACACCAAAACTGAATAATTCCATATCTGAGGTAGGTACCTGGCCTTCAATTCAGTTCAGTTCAGTTCAGTTCAGTTGCATAGAATAGCCTCTTTACCATGAATAACTCGAGTATGACCATCAAATTTACCAGGAACGGTTCAGTTTGCTTATTGATTCAAAACATTAAACATGCAAAAAAGAGGCTCTATATAAAAGTATATATAATTATCTTCCTTGTTGTTGGTGGCCCCAACTTTCCGGTGCTACAAGTATTGTATTATTAGTAATGAGTTGATTCCACCATGTACGGGCGTCAATTTTCGATATCTTCTATGTCCGGCTTGCTAAGAATTTTCCTCTCCCTCCCTCCCTCCCTGCAGCAAAGAAAACACCATAAACAAATCTAACAAAAGACCAGTCAGTCAGTCTACTGCAATTTGCAACTGGATTGATTCCATCCTTTCTTACATGGGTTTTAAGGTTTTCCAAATGAAGACAAGCAAGGTATGTACAAGTATTAAGAAAATGAAGACAAATGCAAGAATAAAATCGATGCATACAAACAGAACCACCAATTGGTGAAACCAAAGAAATGAATAAGTTTAATGTCTCCTACCCTGCTGCTGCTTGCTGTATGCCACCTGTTTCAATAACAGGATTTCACTTGTCTCCATCATACCAGATTTTGATAATGGTGTGAGATTGAGACTGATTCTGTGCCTTGACTTGATCCGGATGAAGTTAACAATAGCATAATTATGCCCTTGCGTGTCATCAGTTTCACATCTTGTGTCACAATTCTGTATCAGAGCAGCGTATTCTTGAATCTTGTTTGAAGCTTGTATGTATGCATCATTTTCCTAGTTTATATTTCTTTTATTATAAAATCCATATCTAGTATAGTATAACTGGTTGTAATGGAAAAGACAAGATTCATATGACACTAGACAGTTTTGTTGATGAGACTGTGTAACATTTACAGACTGATGATAACAGCTAAGAAGATAAGACAGACGAGGCTGATGATGCAGCCCCCTTCATCAGTTTGTTTCCACTATTTCAAACTACAAAACCAACTCCGAAACCAAATGGAAAACTGAATTTTATGATTGGACTTAGTACGTAGTTGAAAAATGCACAAATATACAAGTAGCTTAGCTGCTGAAGTTCTTCCATTTTACAAACAAATATGATCAATCACTGAGGACATTGAAATTTCCATGCAGATAGAGAACATATCGGTGTTCGCTTCCAGCCAATAATCAAACTTCTACCATCCATGTCAAAAGTGAAGCAATCCCCGGAAGTGAAGTTCTTAAGCACAAGATGTGCCTGGTATAACGCGGATGTACTGAGTTCTATCTCCTCAAGGCTGCATTGCATGAAGAAAGCCCTCCAGACATCGATGCCTACATGCCGAATCTTCCTGTCCTCTCCCTCAGCCGCAACCATATTCCTTATTGATGAACTGAAGCATGTTCCTTCAGCCAGGGACCTGTGCTTCTCATCATTCTTCAAACAGTTCGCCATGGACTCAAAATATGCACCGTAGAAAAAGAGAGCTTCAACGAATCGGTCCACAAACATTGGAGAATTGCAGCTAGCCTCAACTTCTGTCACAACCATAACACATGGATTGAGTGATTTGATGACTCCCATTAAATGTTCAAGCTGATTGGGCCTACTGATCATATGTGTCAAAGCGTACGCCACGTACACAGCAATGGCTTCATCATCATCAAGCTGGAAGAGGTTTCCATTGAGGTCTGATATGTCATCTACCATGATTACATCAAAAGAGAAGTTCAAGCCTACGCACTGAGCAAAGCTCATCAATTGTCTACCTGTCTCCTCCATGCTTTGTTTCGATCTCGTCCCAACAGCAGTGATCTTGAGATGATCTATAGGATGGTGACGCCTAGCAGTGGCAAGAGCTTGGATCAACACTATGCATTGTACTCCTTTCCGGATCTCGAAATCAATGAAGTGGACCTTGGTTGCATCAGCTATGTTATCTAATACAGCTTGAATCCCGGCAAATTTGGTGATCTGGGAAAGAGGATGCTCTTTGTGGAACGCAATCTGAGCCGAGTCAGGGCTGTGCAAAGCCTCTAGAGGATCCTGAACCTTCTTCCCCAAGCCCTTTGAAGTGATTCTTCCAGTTTCCCTGTCAATCTTCTCGTGCAGGGCTTCGGAGAAATAGAACACTAATCTCTGGACAGGAGTCCCCTCAGGGGAGCTCTTTCTATCACATTCATGTAAGAGCTTGCAGGCGCTTTCGTACTGCCTCTTGCCCACTTTGTCAGCACAGCAGAGGAGGCTCTGGACAAGCTGAATCCCTTCATAGTCTTCTTTGGAATGGCACAAGATTGAACCTGGATATGGGGGGCTGTGGCTGAGCACACAGAGATCACCACCCTGGCAAGTGGAAGTAGTCTGGATGAAATTCTCTGCAGCCAACTGAATGATCATCTCAATTGACAGCTCGCCAGAACTCAGGCCGGATTTTGTCGAAATATTTGAAAATTCACTGTTTAATCTTCTGCACCTGTTTCCATACTTGTTCAGAATATCAAATGATGCCGAGCCTGAGCTAAACAGGTGAGGCCTCCTCTTCTTCATTGTCTCCATCGCCTCTGGACTTGGGGAATACCTCCACGAAAAAGAATATTGGTGCTGGTGCTGCTGCTGCTGCTGCTGGGGGATTATGTGAGGAGGAGTCTCGGAAATAGGTGCTAATCCAGGATGATCAACTTTGTAATCAAACAACTCCTCCATGTCACAACCCAGCAAATCCAAATCCAAATCCAAATCCCATTCTTCTGGATTGCCCATGTGCATATACTCAGCTTGGTAATCGGTGCTCATCATCTTCAGCAATGCCAAAAGTCTCAGTTACATTACATGACACCTGATACTGCCTGCAACTCCTACTTCTCAACCTTAAATGAAATGAATGTTGTTCTTTGTCTGTCTGTGTATGATACAACAGACAGACAGAGTCTGGGGTGGGGGGGTGGGTTCTTCTTGTTGGCAACGACTGCATTCAACCCTGTTCTGTTTTTTCATTTAAGGAAAGGCGTAAGCTTGGAAGACAAAAAACGTAAAATAAAATAAAAGAGAGAGAATGCGATGCACACAAAGGGGGAGGGCCAAGACTGAATGGAATTGAATTGAATTGAATGTATAATAAATAAATCCCCGACGGCTTTAAGCTTTTTGTCGGCTGCTGTATTATCTCCAGCTGCATCAGGCCATAGGGAAATATCCGACGAAATCAAGACAAAAACATCAATTCTCTCCATTGTTGTTTTTCCCCTCTCCTCCCCTCCCAGGCACAAGGCATAATGTATGAGGAACAGAATTGGGAAATTGGTATCGAGGAAGTGGCTGACACAAGACAAGACAAAACATGCCTTGAACTTGAAGGAAGGATCATTATGAGTTGTTCCTTCAATTTCAGGATGAATGTTCTAAAAAGCACAGCTTCACACCCTCCATCCTATACTGTGGAGGTTCCACCAATATTCATATTCACACCAGATCATATGCAAACTGGTTTAGTCGTCGACAGAGTACTTTAGATGAGAGGTAGAATCTGTATTTAGTGATGAGTGACAGAGAAACATTGAGCGTGTAGTCTGCGCGTAACAATACTTTATGCATACATACAAAAAACATACATAATAGCTTAGTGGCTTACAGTCTTTATGGTAAATGGAGAATGCATGAATCGGCTGTTTTAGCTTACCCATGATTCAATCACAAAAGCTCTACAGCCTTAACTGTCTATCACCCACCCACATTGATCTGTATTTTTATACATGTATTTATGATGTGAAGAATCATGTGATCAAGATCTAACTTGAACAATGGGTTGTTGCACTTGCAGCAGGCCACCCCTTCATCCGGCGATTCAAAAGAGCTCTTCTCTTCGAGGTGCTTCCCATCTTTCGTAGTTTGACTATTGCTACAAGATTCTTGCCTCAAATACATACATACATACATACATTTGTCTGTGAGCAGATTCAGTTTCAGATGAGAGGTGTTGTTTGAGTATGGATGCTCATTGGCATCACCATAGACAGCATTTCTCTTTCCATTTGAAGCTGGGTTGAGAATGCGGAATGTTCAATCTTAAATCTCAAATCTCGAATCTGAAATATGAAATCTAAACTCTCAATCCAATTGAGATATGATTGAAAGGCAATTGCTTGTAACGTTTGTCAACCTCGAAGCAACAGCGGAAAGGGGAGAGTCTTCACGAAAGGATGAGAATCCATCCTCACAGTCTCTCACAGCTGTCATTACCTTGCTCAGCATGGTGTTCATGGTTCCTTTTCCGCTCCTGGGAAATGCAGTGACTGCATTCTGGTAGTTGATCACAGCATCCTCGTAATCATCTGTGCAGCTGCGGAGCAGGGCGTGGCGGTCAGCAGATTTCCCCTGTTCTTGAGTCGCCTTCTTAGCCTCAGACAGGGCATGCTTGGCAAGTTTAGCACCAGCCTTGATGGTCACTTCAAGGACGGATGCCACGGTGGGTGGCTCATCATTCCTGAGGAGGGGAACCGCCGTGGCGAGGCAAAGGGCGGAATGATGTGTGGAACCACATATGCCCTTCACTTTTGGATCGACATTTGCTGAGGGAGAGAGCGTTGTTGGGGAGTCCACTTGGTAAGGGCTATCAATGTTGCCCGATGGTGATGGTGCTGGAGCAGGAGCCGAAGCTGGAGGAACTGAGATTGATGAAGACGGCGAAGGTGAAGGTGACGACACTGGCGCCTGTCCTGGAGATGGAGATGGTGCAGGTGCTAGCCCCGGGGATGGGGATGGAGCTGGTGTTGGCACAGCCGCTGCAGGGCCTGGGGATGGGGATGGGGATGGGGCTGGGGCTGGGGCTCGGCTGGGGGCGGGAGAAGCATCAAGCTGGAATCGAGCAGATGAATGAAAGAAGACGGTTAGACTGGAGGAGAGGAAGAGCAGCTGGAGATGCTGGACTCTGACCACCATTGTTGGGAAGGGAGCTCAGGTGTTGCTAGCAAACAAACAAAAAAAATTCGTGACACGGGAGCTGGAACAGTGCATGGATTGGATGGATACCCCATCTTCATCTTCCTCTTTCTCCTCCTATGTTAGGCGGTGGGTGGTTACAAAATGATGGCTATTATTGTTGCTACTATTCGTTCATTCATTCCATGACATGGTTTGTTGAGAAAGAAAAGAGGACGGCCATATATGCATTTAGGCATGCTTGCTAGATTAAGGGAGTTCTTGTCAAAAGGAGTCACTCACATATACATAACTTTTAAGTGCTCAAGAAGCCCCGTCTCTCTCTCAATTACAGCAAGAATGATCACCATGCGTGCAAATACAGTCATAGACAAGGCAGACAGACACAGTCGACGATACAACAACAACAGCAAACATAAATCATTTATTTTTTATTCTAGTAGAAGAATATCCTGAGCTAGCCAGACAACAGCAGGAATCCTCCTCCTCTTCCTCTTCTTCTTCTTCCTCTTCCTCAACCCAGCCTGGCCTAGTCATGGCTTTTCACGACAGTAACGGGGCACGTAGCATTGTTCACCACAAAGTTGCTTACGCTGCCCATGATGGCCCTGCAACACATCAAATACAGAATTGCCATCACATGGAATCAATCAATAATCTATTGTCCTCCCACCATTTGTTTGATATGTCCAAGTTCACCATTACACTTCAGAGCTGGAAGAAGCAGCAGCAGGAAGCAATAATACCTTTTGATCTTGCCAAGGCCTCTATTCCCAATGACCAGGCAGTCCAGGGGGATGTTGTCAACTGATTCGCAGATCTTCTCTCGGGCATCACCCCAGAAAATTTTCATCAGCACAGTAATCTGCTTTGTGAATCATTGTTTGTTACGACCCCAACAAATGCCAATGTCTGTCCATGAACACACACACACATCCGTATGTACCTCTTTCTGCCTAGATGCCGTGGAGACGATATCAAGTGTTTCAGGATCAGCCTCGACTTCATACTTCTTCTTCATGATGTGGGGATCCGCAAATTCGCTCAGAGGAATCAGGGCTGATATATTAAAAAAAAAAGAAGTCATAAGATTAATACAGCAATTAAGAAGATAAAGCAATTAAGAAGATAAAGCAGACAGACATCTAGAAATACACCCCCTCTCTTTCGTCTTGTCACCAAGGCAAGATGATAATAGTGGGAAATAAATTGCAATCTATCTATCTATCTATCTATCAGTGGGTAATCATTATCATATCGCCCGCCGCCTAGATCAAGATCAAGCTTATAATAGTGATTTTGCAGCCTTACTAAGTCTCCGAGCTATTTCCATATCTTTTCAGGGGACAATTATACTTTGACAGAAAAGCTCAGAGACCAAGCGCAAGTACCAGATTCACAAAAGTAGAGAGCATGATCCAAATACGAAATACCAACTACAAAAAAGCAAAGACCTAACACATAGACATACATTCATATCTATATACTTTCCAAAAATTGAACCGCAAACAAACCCAAGATCATCACCATCATCATCATCATCATCCATCAAATCACGTGCTTGAATAGAAGAGATCGGAGTAAATAAAATAAAATTGAGACATAGAAAGACAAGAAGAGATGCGAAGAAGAAGAAGAAGAGAGAGGAGAGGGCATACGAGAACCGGTGGCCTCCCAAAGCTGCATCTCGCCGGACTCATAGTAACCTTCATGGCGGACGGTGACGAGGATGAGGTGATCCCCGGTGCGCACAAGGTTATCCACAGCCCATTTGAGGGCTTTCCTGCTGCAGGGCGAGAAATCAACTGCCACACCCACTCTCCTGCAGTCAGCCATCACTCGACTCGACACAGATACAAAAATCAAAACTTTTCGGAGAATTGAACAATATTTCTCCTCTCCTCTCTTCTCTTATCTTCTTTAAATTATATATATATATATATATATATAAAACAAGAGCAGCGACACGAGAAATAGTGTAAAGCGAAAGAGGAAGAGAGGGGTGGAGTTATAGATAGCTCTATTAAACTTGGTGGGATGAATCACTGATGTGATGACGACGTAACACAGGCAAGCAGGCACTGGAGCAAGAGAGTGAGTGACCTTTTAGTGCGTGTGCCAACTGCCAGCTGTGTCTGCCCTGCCCTGCCCTGCCCTGCCTCGCTTGCGTTCCTCACCTCTTCATTATTCCCCAGTGTTGAACTTGAATATTGTTCAAATATTATTCCACTTCAACACAAATTAATTTTAAATGAAAATTTCGGATTAATAGTTTCGAGACCTTCTTTCTATCCGTTTCCAACAAGGGAAACTATTCATTTCAAAACAGATTGTTCGTCGATTTAATATAAAGAGATTTAGGACACGAATCATCGATTTAATAGAAAGAGATTGGAATCGAAATACTAAACTACTTTTTGGCAATTTATTCCCAATTAATAATTATTTTTAAAAAAAATGAATTGCGGCGCCCACTATTGGAGGAGTAGAGGGAGGGGGAGAGGATGGGGAATAAAGAGACTAAAAAAAATCAATTATTATCCTCTTTCTTCTTTGTTTAAAACATAAAAATAAAAATCAATTATTATTATTAACATTATCTATCAACTCAGTTAATTGGCAATTGGGAGGCACGAAAGCGATAGATACAGATAGATAGACAACACCATCAGCATGATGAGCATGCACTGCATGCCCTGTGGTGTTTAACACTATAATACCCTAAACTGCACCACTCACACAGAGAGGGGGATTCAAAAGCCAGTGTCAAGTGCAGGTGTGTGATTTACCCATGGCGTGTTTATCCTGTCACTCACACTTGATTGCATACGTGACCTCCCAGTCGGCTCCCACTGCTTCATTGTAGCGATGATGGTCGCCCTGCTCCAGCTCCACGGCTGCCCCACCTTCTTGCTGCTGTCTTTGTCTGCGTCGCGAACTCGCAATTGCTACAATGAACGTTTCATTCTCGAGTGATGCTGGATACATTATCTGCTCTTCCTGCACCAATTTTTCACAAAACAAAACGGTCATTGCCCATCAAAGTACCTCCTTAACCCCCCCCCCCCCCCCCCTCCTTTTTGTCTTCCTACATTTTCTTGGTCACTGGCTGGTCTGGCTAAGGGATTACCCTCTTACCTCAGGCAGTTCATAGAACTCGTCTGGAGATATTTGCAGCAACTCGGTTGCAGTCTGTCCGACACACCAGGCAATCACGTTGGTCGCTGCCGTCTCATCTGCAAGAGCAATTTTTAGGCGGAAGGTGGGCTCCACTTCACCTGTACAGATTTTATGGCAGAACTTGCACTCCATATCTCCACTGGCTGCTTTGTCAGCGAGATGGCCACAATGGGTATGCATCAATCTTGTGTCCACGTAACAGCATTCAACGCGATCCACCCATATTCGACAAACCTGCAGAATGGCTCTCTATAACAATCCAAATAGGATGACATAGGTAAAAGGGACAACCATGTATGCCTGGAAGCCAATCTTGAAAACCAGATGTTAAAAAGAGCATTCACAAGTCAATCTTAGTACAAATCAAATGCGGAGTAGCAGACAAGCAGTACGCTCAGAATCCACAGAAATACAAGAACATATGGGCGTGAAATATAAAGATTAACACCTGAACACAGCTTGCATCGGTGGATAGTCCAGAAAGAGACAGTAATCTTTGAAAGCAAGAACTATTTAAAAAAGCTGGCAGGCAACTCAGATTGAAAAATGATGACCCAGTGCCACTCTGAAACCAGGATAATTCAAGGCTGCAGGCTTGGAAATGTTTAATGTTAGGGAAGATATGAAAATTTATTCAAGGATAAGAGAAGTGTCAAATTTATTAGGCTATCAATAATATGCAATAAGAAGTACCTTTTTCGCGGAGTGAGCGAAGAGCTTAAACCAGATATGTAAATTATGTGACCTACTGCTAATCTCCCCAGCGACCTGAAAGGGCAATCAAATTATAATTTAGGTCAGACCTCTTAGCTTCTCAGGTTGACTGGGGCAAATTGATTCAGTGCTTAATAAACAAGCATACATTAATCATTTGAAAATTTGTATTCTTGAAGCCACAATCTTATTATTTGAAAATGTAAGAGATTTACCACAACCGTGATACCCCCTTGAAGCTTGATGTTATATGGGTATTCTTTTGGGATTATATTCCAGTTCATGTGCACAGCAGCATTTTTACCAAAAGTATATTGTTCAATCAATCATTTTTCAAAAGCATTGTATAGCAGTAAAACAAAGATTTAAAAAATTCTTGTATTTGTACCAATATCTACTAAAATGTAGCTTTGCCCAGACTGCTCCAGTAGTATCTTCAATTTTCAAAGAGAATATGCCTTCTGATGCTCTTATGTCTGTAACAACGCAATAGAGGCTAATGCCAGTCATCTTGTTTCGAAGATCAGCAATATATGACTGCAAGATTATAAACATGGTTACAAATAATAACAAATAATATTTCGCAAATAAGAATGCAAACCAAAGTATGAAACTGGAAAGATGCTAACTGTTGTTGATCTAATAATAGCAATCAAAACCCTCATTAGGTGCAAGCAGAAAAACATTTAAACTTTGCACACTCTGAAACTCCTAAGCTAAGGTATTTAGGAAGATTAAATACTGGAAGGAGTAAATCCATGGTAAAAATCACTAAGCCAAGATAATTTAGGAATAACTGGAGTATAAGAGAAAAGAATATGGGAAAAATAATAAAGAAATGCCTGCATAATTTCATGTACAGGATAGGCGAATATGGTAAATATTTTCACTCTACATCTGCTTATGGACATTCTCAACTTCATATCAACATCTGTTACCTAGGTTCCAGTACATACAAAGCTGGTCATCTGAATAGCAAGATTATTCAATCAAGTGAACAGTAGGTTGGTGAAATTGGTCCATTTAAACTGGTTAATCTAGACTTCCAAAGCACCGAACTTCCAATTTGACGCCTAAAATTTCAAATGCATACCTATGTGATTTTTATTTTTTTTATATCCTTCATTATTATTATTATTATTATTATTATTATTATTGAATTGGCAGATCAATGGAGAGAAAAAAATTTAATCCGCAAGTCATTTGTTAGATCCAACAATTGCTATCAGCATCACTCATGATCAGATGGAGAGAGATCTTACTCTAAAGGGGTAATTGCTGAAGTCAATGGTCCCTTGAGAATCACAAGGTAATGTCACTTGAGAAACTGTGGGTCCCTGGCTTGGATACGAGGCATTCAACAGCTTTGATCCTTGATAAGGGCTCTGTGTCATTGCTACACAAACCTGATAAACAAAAGTTAAGAATAACCTGTCAAATCCTAGGAAAGCATCTTTTCAACAGGACTATCAATGCATTATTTTCATCTTACTTGTTCTTCATGCAGTGTAACTGGCACCATAAATAACTGAGTTGCGCTACCATACTCAAGGCAAATTTCACCAGAAGTTTCAAGAGAACTATCTATAGCACTCGCAATAAAAGGCTTATCAATGGCAAGCATACTTCCCACACTGCATGAAATTAAAATTTATTGTACACCATTAAGAGGAGGGCGATAGCTGGAAAAACAAGAAAGTATATATTGGAAAACAGATAGAAAACTCAAAGCATCGTAAAATAGCTAGCAAGACAGAGTAATCATACCTGAAGAGATTGGCAACCTGAACTTGCTCCCCCCAGAGTAAAAAATTTAACCTCATACCACCCATATCAACAAGAGTAACTTGTTTCCTCTTTACACTGCCATGTTTACCCTGAACTTCCAGTGGTCCAATATAGTCAATTCTGTCCAAGGTTAATTCCCAAAATGTATGATGACAAAAAGCAAAAGAGTATTTGTAACTTGTAATGCTACTGCTTAAGCTTCAGGAATCAAAGTAAATTACCATTATTGGCCAGAATAAAGTGCATATGTTTCATATCAAAAATTTATTTACAAACTTTGATATTTTATAGCACACAGTTGCATGGAAATGTATTCAGCATTTGAGTTATTGAGTACAAAAAAAATTACATAAAAAGTCAGATATCCACTGGGTTAGCTCAATCCCAACAGACATGCATGAAACAGAAACAGTAACAACCTTGCATACAGTGAATATGAAGCCCCTTCCTTCACTGCATCTAGAGAAATTGAAGAAAATGAATCGAAACAAAACTGGGCTCCAAGAAGCATGGCATCATCATCTTCATCCTACGTGTAAGAATCATCTAGAAAGATAAGGGAAGCAAAAGGTGTGCATGATAATGCATTAATTGCAGATACTTAACAAACCAAATCAGAAACCCACTACCAGAAGCTACAAATGCAGATTCCTGTGGAGATATTTTACTGCAGAAAATAAACTTGAACAAGGACCAAGAAGATACTAACAAAAAATAAATTAATAAATTAGTCATTAGAACAGGAACATCAACAATTGTCATAATTGTATTTTTTTTACGGTGCAGCATGGCAAAAGGCACATGGCATGCTCTATAATTATATATTTGCATTGCAGTATATTCCCACAGGATATTTGAATCTTATGATTTCACTTTTAAAAGTATTCTTACAAAAATTACATAGTATGTTGTTTAAATTATTAGAAATCAGAAGTATGCTATATAGTTCCGTGAACAATCCTTTCAATCGATGGCATACTTAGTTCAATGCCAAAAGATATTAAAATAAATAAATAAATAAAAGCAATACATAACATCACAAATACTAGAATTATATAATATCAATCAAACAAACACAGGAGTCAAAGAGTGGGTGGGAGCGGAGTAAACTAGTGAAGTCAGAAACAAGAGAAGAACACATAGGAAACTAACCAAAAGAGAAGCTGTAAGATGATTATAAGGCTAAAAAGTGTGGGAGATTTGAAATTTAAAAAAAAAAAAAAAAAAAGGGCCCGTGGCGCACACCATTACTCCATGGAAAAGAAGCAAAGACAAGAGCCAACATGGCATGTGCCATTGCGCACCTTTCACAACCATGACAGCTATAGTTTTTTAAAAAAAAAAAAAGAAAACCATGGACTTTTAATATTCCCCATTGATGTGAGAGAAGAGCTAACTAGTAGTCACCTCATCCAGCAGTACGACTAGATACTCAGTTGGTAAAATACGAGCAGAGAGCAAACTCCCAGCAGCAATTCGAAGATAGCATCCAGTTAAGAGAATTTCACGTCCCTGTTTTAGAATCCCACTTTTGAGATCAGCAATGTCATAAAACCTGTTCAAAATCAAGTGAGATCATTTGTAGAGGCAGATGTAAAATATGCAGAATCCATACTACATACAGCTATGGCTTAAGTTATCCACTCTTGCTTCCATTTCTTTTCATATATTCTTTATTTTGTGTCATGCTTTTATCAACTGTACTTCTCTAGATTAAGGTCTACTAAGTACACCACAGGCAAATCTAAACTCAGATCCAAGCAACAATTAACAATGCCCATGCTAAATAAACTAAGTTATGTAAAATAGCATCTTTAATCTCTCTCTCTCTATCTTTTTTGATACTCTTGGTTTACGATCAGTAGTGCCATCAATTTTTGCTTCCTTAGCTTTACTATAATAAATTTCCTTACTTTCCATTAACATAAATAAATAAAAACAGAAAAGGACTAACTAAATACGGAGTTACTGAATCAGACTTCTACAGTAACAGACCAGACCAAACACATCAGACATAATGTGAATCATTTGACACTTGGGAGGTCATAAGAACATCCATCCTGATACAAAGGAAAATCACTATTGCACACCACACAATGACAGCAATAACAGTAAATATAAAAGCAGAACAATTCTAGTAGATTTGCTCATGGTTATTCTTTACCGCCTGTGAAGATACAGATCTATAGTATTGGAGCTCCATACATCCCCCAAAGTGAGCATATAGATGTCAGTTCCTGAGACATTTATCATATCAATTAGTTTTTGTGCATAGTTAAATCAGAAACCAGTCAAGCAGTGGAAAGGATGGCAGTTCACAGTAACACTCAGTTCTCAGTATAGAAACATACTAAAGGGTCAGCTCAGCTTCATACCTGGAAGAATATAAGCATTAATAATAACTGCTTCAATAACACTGCTCAATGACAGGAACTTTTTCTCATATATTGAATCTATTGTGATGGTGTTCGGTAGCTTTAATCTATTTCGTTTCTTCTTTAACTTCACAATACAATCCAGCTGTTTTTTAGGAGCTCCACTTCTATTTTGCTCGCTCCAGGCCTAGGCACATGGATCAATGCATAATCATCACATATTCACAAAAAGAAGAAGAAAATGCGAAGGCTGACTCATAAACAACATGTTCTTAACAAGTAGCCCACACAAAATAAAAATTAAAAACTGATGAGCAACAAGAGTATCTATACCTGAAGGCATTAGCAGCTGGATCAGTAGATAACACGAATGATAGAAGATGAACAGTCTTCTATGGTAGCATAAATTGGGATGAAATGCAGTGACGCAAGTATCATAGCAATATAGTTGAACAAAATAGTTGACAATATATATTCCATGAAACTTCAAGTCAAGGAAATTGTATATTTTTAAAGGCACGTGACAGAGAAAGCTGTGATGATCAAGCCTATACACGCAATATATACAACACCCTTGCAAGAACTAAACCAGGAAAAAAAGCAATATCTCGATGCAAATAGCAAAGATAAAGATAGACGGTAGAAGCGCATATAAAAACTTCTGGCAAGACCTCGCTATCAAAGACCCTATCATTCGGATAGCTAAACGATCGTTGAAAGGAAAAGATGTAAGCATAGTTGCCTGGAGACGAAGAGGAGAGGGAGAGGGAGAGAGTACCATGGAAATCTCGGACAGTAGAATAGCAGGGGTGACACCACTAGGGTATGTGGCGCAAGTTTTGAGAAGGCGATTGGCAATCCAGCCCCAGCCCATTCCCGAGCCCGGGGGTTGCAGCGGGTCGTCGTCTAATGCAGGAGGAAGGCCGCAGAGGGTGGATCTTACATTGTGAATGAAAATGAGAAAAGGGTCGTCCTGCTCCTCCCGCCCTTGGGTCACATAGGAGGAATAAGAATAGGAAAGCTGCTGCTTCTTCTGCTGTTGCTGCTCTGTCTCCATTGCGTCGTTTCTGTTATTGTCCGGGAAGTGCATTGGATTTATTTTCTGTTCTTTTCTTCTCTTGGCGCTGGGTTTCAAACCTAGTCGTCAGTCGGAAAGGCGGGGATTTTGGGTGTATCGTTCATGTATGCAAGCAACTAAGCAAGCATGTGATATTGATGCGAGTTGTAAGGGTGTGCGCGCGCGTGTGTATTCTTGACGACCATGACGAGCTCAGTCCACTCCACTCCACTGCAGCCCAACTATATATACGTGTGTGTATATATATATATATATATGTATATGTGAAGTGGGCTTGGCTTCTTAATGGGCAAGCCCAAGCTCAGCAGGACTGTCGTTCCTGCTGCTTCTTCTACTGCCTACTGCTGACAATGATAATAGTAAAGTAGTAGTAGGACTGTAGGGTGGGGTGGCCCAGAAGATATTGACTAAAATATATAGAAGCTGATTAGATAATTGGATTAACGTTGATGACATGAAACCGAGCAGCTTTAATAACTGAAGTGAAGTGGATGGAATTGGAATTGGAATTCAATTCCAGTAAGAGTATGAGTGACTTAAGTGTAACACAAATAACTAAAATGTAGTCCAATTTCGAATTGTATAGGCAGGCAGGTAGGTAGAGCTTAACCTCGCTGGCTAGTAAAAGGGCACAGCCTAAATTATTGAAGAGGCTGTACGCTCATTCAATGCCTCTGCTCGCTCGTTCCCTCTTCCCCTAATTAATTAATTATTCATCTTTGATTTAATTTAAGTTCTAGTCCCTCCTTGGTTAAGTAAGTAATTAATAAGTACCAGTTTTTTTTGTTTTTTTTTTCGGTGCTAAGAAAGTAGTATAATACTAATTTCATCACTTAATTTTATACTCACTTTATTATTATTATTATTATTAAAATATATTAAATTCTTTTTATACTATAAAAGGAAAAAAAAAAAAGTAACAATTATCTTTTATTTTTATTAAAATTTGTTAAACAACAAAGGACTTAATAAGTATAAGGCAATGACATTTCAATGGGAATGGACCGCCTGCCGGCCGCCTGCCTCTTATGGTTTTGGCGGGCCCTTTAATTGTGAATTCGTTCTCGATCGATCCATCCACCTCCACCTCCACCTCCGCTGCGGGTGGTGAATCCGGCCATCTTCAGGAGGCTGTCCTACGACATCAACGCGGGGCCCACCCGCGCCATCACCATCACCAACTCCTTCGTCTACCCCCGGCCCTCGCTCTCAACTCAAGTCCGCGCGCCACTTTTTCCATTGCTAGCTACCTACTTGCTCAATTACATTACATGAATATGTTTATTATGTTGATTGTTAGGACATGTGCTGTCGGAACATACTTCCTCCATCAATACTATAACCGTACGTTCCATTACAAATATATGTTTGTATTTGTGTAAATGATTTGACTTTTTAAGTCAATGTGAGTTGGCTGTAATGCAACTCGTTGTATTTCAAAGTCAACATGCATGTACGCCTCGATCGTTTGTTGCTTGTCAAAGTCGTCGTATTTCCTTCAAACCCATAACTGAGGTGATCTCAATTTTTTTTAGTGATACCGTGTGGCCCATTCCAGTTGGTCAATGAAAAATTATATATATATATATATATATTATTTACCAGATGTTATTTTTATTTTAAAGTGTGTGTTTGTTTGGAGAATTGTATGGGATTTACACTGTTTATCTAATTTTTTTTTTCAAAAACATCCAATCAAACGTCTATTTTTTATTTTTTATATTATATTAAAATCAATTTTACATTCAAAACATCATGTCAACACCTATTTATATCACATCATACAACTATTCAAATTCAAAATTTTTACTATTCCCCCAAACAAACGATTGATTATACATCTTCTCTCCTTGACAAAATCTTTATTTTATTTTTTTTCTTCTTTGTGTTATCTTTTCATTCATGGCACAATGTTTTTTACCAAATTTATTTGTTTTGTTGTCTAAGTTGGTTTTATTTATATATATATATAATATTTATAAAAATAATATTTTATTTTACTATATTTCGTATTTATTGTTGATATTTACTATCTGCAAATAATTATATACTTATTTTATTAAAATTTAATTTTCTTTAAGAACTACGATATTTAATTAACCTTTTAATTTATTTATTTTTAATTTTTATTATTATTTTTAAAATTTATTTTCATTAACTGTTTCCAAGTCCTGGAAGAAATGAGTGAAACCCTCCTAACTTCCAAGGCCGGACATACATCTTACAGGAATAATAACAGCACGTGTATATTTATTTACAAATATTATCATGCTTCACCTTTTCTATTAATTAATTAATTAAAAGCCCACCCCTTTATTTTAATATATCTAACACTTCAAAGCGTGGAATTAATGCCTCCGTGTAAAAAATATATAATAAATAATATTATATAATATATTAGTTTGAATATTTAATTTTTTGTAATAATTCTTTTTAATGTTTATTTTGACTCTTTGATTTTTGTATAAAAAATATATATCTATTATTATTATTATTATTATTATTATTATTATTATTTTGGAATTTCAATTGAAAAATGGAGCAAAATAAATATAAATCAATTCATCGTAACCATACCTTTGTTAGAAGTTTTAATATTTTAATAATATATATATATATCATGTATTCAAACCCGGATTACTAACCTCATAGATTAGAGCATCATCTCCTATCCATAACTTCATTTTTGTAGGATCTACGGTACATTAAAAAATATATATATATATATAAATTAAAAAATTAAAAAAAAGAAACAGATAATATTAAAAAAAAATAGATAACTATATAAATAAATAAATAAATAACTTTATAAAAAAATAGATAATTATATTAAAAAAAAAAGCACCCGCTAGTAGCACCAGCTAATTCGAGCGGATGAATTATGCTAAACTGCGGTGGCTTTGAGCAATTTTTTTCACCCAACCCTGCAAATATAGAAAAAAACTTTATCGGTTGAAGATGGTCTTAAAGAATGTCAACCATTTCGCCGATTGGCCAAAATCGGCCATGCCTTAACAACTTGTCTACTTTGCATTCTACGCAACCTCTTGTGTCGTGGGCCTCGCCTAATAGCAGCTAGAGGGAATTGTAAGTATGAATGCATCCCTACAAAGAAGTTTCACAGATATATGATACTATATATTTTCACTTTTAGTTTTTGGTCGAGGCTTTTTTTTTTTTTTTCCTTCAGTTCGTTAGATTAATTATTCCTTTGTAATTATATATACTAGTATTAAAATGTCGTATCAATCAACTATGGCAGAGAAAGATTTTGTCTTACTGCTGTACAAATTCCGTACTATGCTTTCATTAACAAATTTCTATGAAAGTTTTAAAGATGTTAGGTGGAAAGGCGATACAAACCTCAGTTAACCACCAACTTGAACTGATATCCGATATGTAATAAATTTACAAGCTAGCTAGGAAGGGCTAGCTAATGGAGGCCCTCTAATCACTAGTATCATTCAATTATAATTGCATAGATCATTATAACAGCCAAAATGTGGAGTAGAATTCAGGACCAGGGCTAGATCTAGGTCCGGGTCCTCCTAGAATGGCTGTTAATGGCCTCCCATCACCCATCAGCCATCAGCCAGGCATCCGCCTCATCAAAGTCTGACAGCCAACCGCATTCCCATTCCCTTCCCACCGTGAGATCCACCTAACCCCCTACCCGCTGCCCCACCCTACCTTTCCTCACTTCATTTGAAGCTTTCCGGTTTCCCCATTTCCCAGTTGCAATTAAAAATTGACAGAGCTTCACCACTCACCACCACCCTACCCACCCTGCCCTGCCCTTCCCATGACCATCCATACGTGATCAATATTCCAGGCCCATTTCCATCTTCATGGAATTTCCGTCAGTAAGAAGCATACATTGACGAATTCACTTATGGGGCGGCCATACCAAATTTCCCAATTGATTGCCCCACCATCTCTTGACTAACACTCAATTGCTTCCCCCCCTACACACACAGAGACATATATATATATATATACGGTTTATTAATACTGTTATATATAGTCACTGCCCTACCTTCCTACTCTTCTCCTACAACGTCAGAAGTATTCGTATTGATTTCTCTTGTTTATAACAGAAGAGGGTCATAGATAGGTACCTGCATTTTGTTAGTGCTTTACTGATATAGTTTTAGTTAGGTGTGACGAGTGATTGAATTGTTATCGTTTCGGTTGTGGGTTGGACGGGATTTTGTATGGGGTAGATCTGTTCTTTCAGTCGTTTTGGTTTTGATCCCTCATCGAATCTCCATTTGATCCCTGTATTCCCTTTTGGAATACCCTCTTGATTTGTATTGATTAAGGCTTCAAACAAAGCAGATCTCTGTAGTACCGAGTGCATTTGGTCCGCTTCCTTGAAATGCATTTGCATAATTAGACTGCTACGTACTTTATTTGAATATATATGTTTAAGAGTTCAAGAACCAATGTGAATTCGTTTGATAGTCAAATGGTGTCATGAAAAGCCTCGTTACTGCATAGATATTAGATCTTACCTGTTATGGTTTTTCTGGGGCATTTTTCTTGCTAATGGTTACTTGAGTAAAGTTTGCATGGCCTCTCTTGATTCTTGTTAGTGTTTTCGTGGGGTTTTGTTTATAGTCACGTTTAAAGTTTGCATGGCCTCAAACTTACAACTTTTTATCTTTCAAATGTTAGCAACAAAAAAGAATCAACCATGGTGCCCTTTACCTCCTTTTTAACTTGTAAAGAATGACTTTTTACAGCTTCCTGTCGAGGAATCTCTTCTGCGGAAGCCATTGTATCAATTGATAGAAGTGATTTCTTGTAAGGTTGTATGCTGATGCCATAGTTATCTGCAGGAGCTGCCATGGCGTCTGGACAGCTTTTCTCCAAAACCACTCAAGCATTGTTTTACAATTACAAGCAACTGCCAATTCAACGGATGCTTGATTTTGATTTTCTCTGTGGTAACATATGTCATATGCCAATTGTAATGTTGTGCATCTGTTAACAAGGACAGCCATAATGATGGATTTTTCCATTCTTGCATGACTAATAGTTATCATGTCCTGTTCTTATTACCTTATGTAGGCAGAGAAACACCATCTGTTGCTGGAATTATAAGTCCTGGTTCTGAAGGATTTCAGAAACTATTTTTTGGCCAGGAAGAAATAGCCATCCCTGTCCATTCTACGTGAGTTATTCAAATCCTCTAGCTCAGAGTATCCTGTTTATAGCCTAGGCTTGATTGATAGTTTATGATTTGCATCTGAAGAATGATCATTGTTTTTTATGTGTATAAAAAACCTATTCAGCAAGAAAATTGGCATATTTTTTTGGATGTAACAATTATACAATCCGCGACTTAGATTGGTGCTAATTTTTGGATGGGAAGTTACTCCAATATCAAGGTATAGTAAGTGCACATCGTCATATGTCTATATGGCACGTTCATTGGATAAAGTGATAAACGTTCTATTTAAGATAAACTTGACATGAAAGTGTCCCATATCATTAACTACCAAGGTTTGGCACATGTTGTTACCATAACTTTATCAGTAATATGTTAATAACTTTAATACTTTCAAGAACATGAAAATGGCTAAATTGATTGCAATCCCCTTGATCACAATTTTATGTTCCTCTTGATCATTAGTAATATTACCGTGACTAATCCTCTCTCAATTTGCAGTATTGAAGCTGCTTGTGCTGCACATCCTACAGCTGATGTGTTCATTAACTTTGCATCCTTTAGGAGGTAGGTCTTCTTCTTTATTTCAAAGTTTAATTGTATATCTCATTGAGATCTCTTGCTTCTTGTTTGATAACTTTTTATCATCATCTGCAGTGCTGCAGCTTCGTCCATGTCCGCTCTCAAGCAGGCAACTATTAAAGTTGTCGCCATTATAGCTGAAGGTGTCCCCGAGTTAGACACCAAGCAGCTGATTGCATATGCAAAATCAAACAACAAGGTCACACATGTTACATCTTCTTCTCCTTCTCCTAGGAAACAGCAAGAATGAATATTGATTACAATGTCCAATTTGTTTTAGGTTGTCATTGGTCCAGCTACCGTTGGAGGTATTCAAGCTGGTGCATTTAAGATTGGTGATACTGCTGGAACGCTTGATAATATAATTCACTGCAAACTGTACAGGCCTGGATCTGTTGGCTTTGTCTCTAAATCTGTGAGTGGTTGTTGAGGAGTTTCCTGTTTGCTTTATCTTTTCTGTTTCCATTTGTTTTTAGATTTAGTGCATGCCGCTTATTGGTGCTAACTTAAATGATCAAAATCCCATGCTTGTGGAGCAACTTTGTACTGATGAACGCAAGTAGTTGCCATATTGATTTCATGATCGTCGTTATCTGTTATTGCACCTAATATAGCACGTTAAAGCAATCCGACTTCACAGGTTTTCGTTTAATTTGTAGTATTGAATCTAATTACAGGGTGGTATGTCTAATGAAATGTACAACACAATTGCTCGTGTTTCTGACGGAATCTATGAAGGTTGGATATATGACTTCTGAGCATTCATTCATCTCCTTACTATGCAACTATTTGTACGCAGATGTATAATTCTTATTTCCAATCTCATATATATATATATATATATATATAGGTATTGCAATAGGAGGAGATGTGTTTCCTGGGTCAACACTGTCTGATCATGTCCTCCGCTTTAACAACATCCCTCAGGTATATCAATTTTTCATTCAACTGCGATGTCCTCTTATAGCATTTATGAGTGCTCTGTTCCTAAGGTACATTTTCTATTGTTAGATATGCTGAACTTTCTGTCTTTGGTTGCCCGAGTTTGCGTCCTGGTTTTACCACATTGAATGTATTTTAGACGGAGAATCTTTCATTTCCATTTCTTCAAGTGCTAAGAAAACTAGTCTGTTTTTTGACGTGGTGCTGTACGATGGACGTGTAAAGTTATCTAGAAGTTTCTTCTGCATGGAAGTAGGATGATGATATGCGGTGAGCGCAACCAAAAATTTATTCACGACGAGGGAGGAAAAAGCAAGTGCACTTTGGGCTAATTTTGGCAATGGCTTGAAGCCTGAGTTTATTATTTTTATTATTAATTACCTTAGTTCTTTATTTTATTATTTGATTATTTTGAATAAATTGTTAGGTTGGTCGGGCCTATGCCTGTAGTCGTTTTGTTCTATTGTTTAAGTATTATTTTTAGACATTATTAGCATTTTGATTTTTCTTCAGTTTCACGTCTTCGGCTTGGTCGGGAAGAGTAGTTCTTCCTTGGTTATCAATAAAGTTTAGTCTTTTGGTTCTCTTAAGTTCTAGTGGTATCAAATTGGTCCAATCTGCCGGATCTCAGCGAAGGAGAATGACGCTAACAAATACGCAACGCATTGAAGCTTTGGAGGGAGCCCTGGAGGAACTTCGAACAGGCGTGGAAGCACAACAAGAAGGATTGTCGCGCCTCGAATCGAAGGTGGATCGACAAGTGGATACTCTGAAAACAGAACTATCAGCAGCTATGCGCAATACGATTCTTGGGCTGTTCCCACGTGGGCCGCCCGCCACACCTATTAAGGGCTCCAAGGCGCAGGGAGCTATGGCGGGAGAAGGAGAGGCAACGGATTCGTCGACGAGGGCTGCCGGCATCAGCGGGGCAGCACGTTTGTTTAAGGATGTTGGAGGAACATGGACTGCTCCGACAACTGATTTTAAGCTTAAGGATGTGCAACTCCCTAGCTTTGATGGCCATGGCCCCTTGGATTGGGTTGCTAGGGCCGAACAACACTTCGTATTACACGGAGTTCCCGAGGAGATTAAGGTGAGTCTTGCGCGAGTGTCGATGGAAGATGTGGCGCTGCATTGGTCCCATTGGCATATGATGAAGCATGCTTCTGCCTCCTGGATCGAATTCTCACAGGCATTGGTCACTAGGTTTGACGATCGCGAGTGTCAAGGGAAATGGCTTTGTTACAAGTGCAAACAACCCTATAGTCCACTCCACAAATGCGAAAGTAAATATGTTAATGTTGTGGTGAAGGATGATTTAGGCAACTGGGTTGCGGAGTTAAGAGAGATGAGAGATGGCGAATTTACTGAGGAGGCGGAACCTACCATGCAAGTGCTTCCTTTATACGCCTTGGCTGGATTTTCAGGACCCCGAACCATGCGTCTCCGTGGTAATCTTCTTGGATTTAGGGTAACGGTACTAATCGACAGCGGTGCAAGCCATAATTTTATTTCCCAAAAATTGGTTCTACATGCCAAATTGAACGTAGACACCACACAGGAATTCAACGTGGTATTAGGCGATGGTCGCAAGGTGGCAAGTACGGGAGTATGCTCGAAATTGAGTATACAGATCGATGGAGCAGAAGTGCAGGCAGACTGTCACGTATTTTCTCTTTGTGGGGTGGATATAATATTTGGTGTCGTATGGCTCAGGACATTAGGAAAAATTCAGATGGATTGGGAAGCCTTGGAGATGCAGTACTACTCGGCGGGGCAGCAAGTGACCTTGCGCAGCGATCCAGGGCTGTATCAGGGCCCAAAAACTATTTAGAACTTGCTGGATATTACAGAGGTGGAATTCAGCGCCTTACTTTTACATTCAGACATCGAGAATTACCACAACAGCCCTGAGAAAGGGCCTGCAATGCTGCCGGAAATTGCGCAGATTCTTGATGAATTCCCCAAGGTGTTTGCAGAACCGAATGAGTTGCCACCGACTCGCCGTAGCGACCACCGCATTCCATTGAAACCTGGAGTAGTACCGGCATCTGTACGCCCCTACAGGTACGGACAGATCGAAAAAGATGAGATTTAATGTTTGGTACACGATATGCTTGTTGCAGGAATCATCCGTCCCAGCACTAGCCCTTTTTCAAGCCCCGTTTTACTGGTAAAAAAAAAAGATGGGAGTTGGAGGTTTTGCGTTGACTACCGAGAGCTCAACAAATCCACCGTTGCCGACAAATACCCAATCCCGGTGATTCAAGAGATGTTAGATGAGCTTTCCGGTGCAACAATGTTTTCTAAAATTGATCTTCGCTCAGGCTATCACCAAATTCGAGTGGCCCGGAGGATGTGCATAAAACTATTTTTCGGACTCACAGCGGGCACTATGAATTTTTAGTCATGCCATTTGGACTGACCAATGCTCTTACCACTTTCCAGGCAACCATGAACGATCTCTTTCGACCTTATTTGCGTAAATATATTTTGGTATTCTTTGATGACATACTAATCTATAGTCCAGGTTTAGAGAAGCACTTGCAGCACTTAAATAAAACACTTCAGTTACTGCAAGAGAGTCGTTTTGTGGCAAATTACAAGAAGTGCACATTTGGCAGCCTAAAGGTGGAATATTTGGGGTATATTATCTCTTCCGATGGAGTCTCCATGGACCTGGCTAAGATACAGGTTGTTCGGGACTGGGAAATTCCGCGTTCGACTAAGGCCGTTTGTGGTTTTCTAGGGTTGTCTAGCTATTATCGACGGTTTGTGCAACACTATGGTAGCATCACTCGCCCATTGACTGATCTCCTGCGTAAGGAAGCTGTAGAAAAGAAGTTTTCTTGGCCACCATCAGCACAGGCTGCCTTCGATAAATTAAAGAGGCCCTTATCACAGCTCCTTATCACAGCTCCTGTGCTTGCAATGCCGAATTTTAACAAATCATTCATCGTAGAGTGTGATGCCTTTGGCTCCGGCATAGGTGCGGTACTTATGCAAGTGCATAGGCCTATAGCTTATTTCAGTAAGGCGCTGGGAGATAGAGCTCGGGGGAAATCAGCCTATGAACGATAATTGATGAGTTTAGTGCTTTCCATACAACATTGGCGTCCATATCTGATTGGCCGCCATTTCACGGTGCATACGGATCATCATAGTTTGCGCCATCTACTCTCTCAGAAGATTGGTACTCCCGCTCAGCAGTCTTGGATAGCCAAACTTCTCGGGTATTCCTTCGATGTGGTTTATAAACCAGGTCGTATCAATGCTGCTGCTGATTCCCTTTCCCGCCGGCATGAGCTTTTATTGTTGTCTCCTGATCAGGTGTAGAGGCTGGCTCCCACCGAAACAGCTCAGTTTTCTGCGATTTCTTCGCTGCACTGGCCGGCTGCAGATGAGCTTATGGCCGAGCAAAAATCTGACCCGGCATTGCAGGTGATTATCCAAGATCTTATCTCAGGGAACAAATCGCATCCTTATTATTAATATATCGACAAGGAAATTTATTGTATCGGGGGCGCAACCTCCCCAAGGATAGAAAAATTGTTGGAGGAATTTCATGACACCCCACTTAGTGGTCACGTGGGAGTACACCGCACCTACCGAGGATTGGCGGCTTCTATGTATTGAGCAGGAATGTATCGCCGAGTTCATGAATGTGTTGAACAATGTCTCACTTGCCAGAAGGCTAAATACGAGACGCTTTCTCCTGGAGGACTTTTGCAGCCCCTTCTTATCCCGGAGAGAGTTTGGGAAGATTTAGCAATGGATTTCATCAATGGCCTTCCTCAATCTTTGGGATTCTCTTTTGTCTTGGTAGTCGTCAACCAACTCAGTAAATATGGGCACTTTATTGCACTACGGCGCCATTACACTGCCACCTCCATTGCTGAGATCTTTGTCAAGGAGATAGTTCGTCTACATAGAATACCGCGTACAATAGTGAGCGATCGCGACTGAGTTTTTATGAGTTCCTTATGGCAAGAGATGTTTCGTTTACAGGGCACAAAATTACTTTTCAGCTCGGCGTACCACCCGGAAACTGACGGCCAAACTGAAGTCTTGAACCGCACACTAGAGACATACCTTCGTTGTTTTTGCTCAGAACAGCCCCGAAAATGAGCAGCCTGCCTTCCATGGGCTGAGTTATGGTACAACACCTCCTTCACACTGCCGCTGCCATTACGCCCTTCTCAACCGTCTATGTCCGACCGCCACCCACACTGCATAGCTTCTTGCCAAAGGAATGCCGAGTTGCTGCAGCTTCAAAGTTACTTGGCGGCCGCGAGGCAGTTTTGCGACAGTTGAAACACCACTTGGAGCGTGCTCAACATCGCATGGTGCGTACAGCTAATGCCCATCGCCGTGAGCTCACCTTCCAGGTTGATGACTTGGTATTCTTGAAGGTCAGACCCTATCGCCAAAGCAGCTTGTGCCAGGGCACCCATCACAAGCTCATACCCAAATTTTATGGACCATTCCGCGTCCTTCACTGCGTAGGAAAGGTCGTATATAAGCTGGATTTTTCAGCCACTAGTCGTATCCATCCTGTGTTTCATGTATCTCAACTTCGTCGAGTGATAGGCGATCACCCAGTCGAGCCTCATTTACCCGACAGCCTAGAGGTCGAGCAGCTGCCTGTTTATGATCCTGAAGCTGTTTTGGACAGACGTCCTGCTAGCCTTTCCAACATCTGGTCTACGAATGGGAGAGGGAAATGATCTTTCCGAGTTGCTTCATTTAGCTTTCGGTAGTCAATACACACTCTCCACCCCGTGACAGTTCGTCTTGGAATTTTCTCGTCTTGACTGATCAAACATGCCGGAAGTATTGTTCCTGAAGTCTTGATTCAGTGGCGCGGTCTTCATCTGGATGATGCAACTTGAATCGACAAGGAACAGTTTTGTGCCCAGTTGCCAACTTCCTGCCCGAGGACATGCCTGAGGACAAGGCAGTTCTTAAGAGAGATGCAATTGATATGTGGTTGGCGCAGCCAAAAGTTTATTCACGACGAGGGAGGAAAGAGCAAGTGCGCTTTGGGCTAATTGTGGCAATGGCCTGAAGCCTGAGTTTATTATTAATTACCCTAGTTCTTTATTTTATTACTTGATTGTTTTAAATAAATTGTTAGGTTGGTCGGGCCTAGACCCATAGTCGTTTTGCCCTAGTATTTAAGTATTATTTTTAAACATTATTAGCATTCTGATTTTTCTTCAGTTTCACGGCTTCGGCTTGGGCGGGAAGAAATCTTCCTTGGTTATCAATAAAGTTTAGTCTTTTGGTTCTCTTAAGTTCTAGTGGCATCAGATGACAAGAAAATGTTTATAAATTCACCTGCTTGCGTGAAATCTGGATGACAAGAAGCTACTGTTAACATCATCAATGAATTATTTTCTAGCTTGTTAATCACTTTGTAAGAAAAACTTGTGGCTCAGTGATGAACTTGGTACTCATGTGGATACTGCTCCTGACTTTTGGTTCTGGAAAATGAAGAACGCACGTACAATGCTGGTTGTGATTGTGATTGTGAATGCCAACAGGTAAAAATGATGGTGGTTCTTGGGGAACTCGGTGGACGTGATGAGTATTCCCTAGTTGAGGCCCTAAAACAAGGGAAGATCAACAAGCCTGTTGTTGCTTGGGTTAGTGGGACGTGCGCTCGGCTCTTCAAGTCAGAAGTGCAATTTGGTCATGCAGTGAGCACTACGACGGACCTCATATATATATATATATATATATACATGTTTTATTGGCTTTATTTGTTTTAATTAGTCTCTAGGGATTCTTGATTTGATTTGATTTATAAATCAGATATGTTTGTTTGCATGCATATTGAAAGGGGGCCAAGAGTGGTGGGGAAATGGAATCGGCTCAGGCCAAGAATGAGGCGCTCCGAGAAGCTGGAGCTGTGGTTCCCACTTCTTATGAAGCATTTGAAGGAGCAATCGAAGAGACATTTGCCAAATTGGTAGCTCTATTTAACCAACCAACTAACTTGCTTCCAAATGTGCTCATCTTCTCCTCATCAATGCTTGTTCCTTAGGTGGAGGCTGGCAAAACTACTCCAGTGAAAGAAGTGACACCCCCTCAAATACCAGAGGATCTGAGTGCTGCAATCAAGAGTGGAAAAGTTCGGGCTCCAACACATATAATTTCCACAATCTCTGACGACAGGGGTATGATTCTTCTTCTTCTTCTTCTTCTTATTATTATTATTATTATATGTTGGTTGGTGCTAGTGTACTTACAGCGTGCAGACCTTTTTAAACTCCTTTTTTTTTTTTTTGTTACTACATGGCAGGTGAAGAGCCAACTTATGCCGGGGTGCCAATGTCTTCCATTTTTGAACGGGGATTAGGTGTTGGTGATGTCATTTCTCTGCTGTGGTTCAAACGAAGCCTTCCTCAATACTGCACTCGTTTTATTGAGGTCAGTTTTTTTTTTTTTTTTGTTTTTTCCTGTTCGTTTATCCCCACCCTCGTAATTTGAATATGAACCCTTGCTTGCACTACTACAGTACTTATACCTGTGTCTGTCTGTCTGTCATTCACTCACTTTCAGATCTGCATCATGCTGTGCGCGGACCATGGTCCTTGTGTTTCTGGTGCTCACAACACCATTGTGACAGCTAGGGCTGGAAAAGATCTCGTCTCTAGTCTTGTTTCGGGTAAGCAGCTGCAGCTGCAGACTCAAAACTGTGATCTGAACTAAAAAACATAAACGAACAAACACTTTAAAAAGAGCGAGAGAGAGAGAGAGAGAGAGAGAGAGAGAGAGAGAGAGAGAGAGAGAGCTGTGGGAGGAAAAGAAAAAAGGGGGGTTACCTGATACTCTCAATTTGTTGGTGAATAAATAAAAACAGGTCTATTGACCATTGGTCCTCGATTTGGTGGGGCTATCGATGATGCTGCTAGATACTTCAAGGATGCTTATGATAGGGTGAGCAGTGATTTCATTATAATTATTATATTATCACTCTCTTTCTCTTCTTCTTCTCCATTTTGTGGATTTGAAGCATACTTCATATTTTTATTTCTCATGCCATAATAATCTGGCTGTGATGTGGTAATTGGTGCTTCTTGTCAGGGCCTGACACCGTATGAATTTGTTGAAGGCATGAAAAAGAAGGGCATTCGTGTCCCCGGTATTGGGCACAGGTAAGGGAGAATGAATGTGCACTGCATTCATGATTTTATGATTGTGATGATGATGATGATTGTATTATTATATGAGTTGGATTGATTCATTTGGTGGTACCGGTAATTTTGGTATTTGAACATTAAGAATCAAGAGGGGGGACAACAGAGACAAGAGGGTGGAGCTGCTTCAGCGGTTTGCACGGTCGAGTTTCCCATCGGTGAAGTACATGGAATATGCTGTGGAGGTGGAGAGCTACACCCTGTCAAAGGCGAACAACCTCGTCCTGAATGTTGACGGCGCCATTGGGTCGCTGTTCTTGGACCTGCTGGCGGGCAGCGGCATGTTCAGCAAGCAGGAAATCGACGAGATCGTTGGGATTGGGTACCTGAATGGCCTGTTTGTGTTGGCGCGTTCCATAGGTCTCATCGGGTGAGTGTGCATGCATGCATGTGTGAAGTGATTGATTCATATGCATCATGTGCTCAGTTAATACTGAATATTGATTCAGCTTAATTGCGGATCACCAATCAAGTGTTGATATATGGTTGGTGTTGTCGCCAATGAATTGATTGATTAACTAATAGATGTCCGGTGCAGGCACACGTTCGACCAGAAGAGACTGAAGCAGCCGCTGTACCGGCACCCTTGGGAAGACGTTCTGTACACCAAGTGAATGAAGAATGTGAGTCGAACTGCGTGAGACCGAAGATGCAGGCAAGTGCTGTGTTGTGCTGTTCATCATCATCAATCATCAATCATCATCAGGTTATTATATGTATATAAATTGTTGGGTCGACAGGAAAGAATAGTTAGTAGTTAGTTTTCAGTTACATCGCTGTTGCGTGCGAGGAGGAGGATCAGATCAGATGTGTGTATGCGCTGCCGCGCCATTGTCTTTAGATCTATTACTAGAATTTTATTTGTCTTCCAATTTATACTCGTATATTTTTTTTCTGTCATAAAAACATATGACCATATTTTGAAAGTAGGGAAGAAGTATTAGTTTCGTCTAAGCAATTTAATAAGTTTCGTCTAATGTTACGTTGGTTATTTTGTTATTATTAGATTTATTCGAAGATAAGAAATGTCGTATCGAGCTATTCTTGGGAAGGGTCGGGCGAGGTACGCCCTCGAAAATGCCTATACGATATTAAAAGTTGTAATTTTTCAATTAACAACTTTTGACATTTAAACTGAAAGGTGCATTTTTTCTCTGAATAGACACTTTAATATTTATTATACAAAACTTATCTTTTGACAGAACAAAAAATTATGCAAGATTCTTGTCTGCAGAACTAATTTGTGTGCACAAATAATTTTTCAACCTTTTACTTGCTCGATTTTTCGTATAAAATTCAAGTGTTGCTTTGTTTTATCGTCGTACGATTCGTACAACCCGAGACGTTAATAGGGCCGAAATATCGTATAAGAAAAACGAATCGACACGACTCAAAGTATATCCAAGATTGTGTATACCATGCGAAATTTGATTTCTTCATATTTTCTTTCAATTCAGATTATTTATCGAACATGCTCTCTCTATATATATATATGCTGCTATTCCAAAAATCCAAAATGAAGTGTATTAGTTGATACCGGAGGAGGAGGGTATTATTATAATGTTAATTGGTATTTTATAGTAAAGAATTAATTTAGGTATAAGAATGTGGTGTAGTATATTAGTGTGGTTATTATTATTATTATTATTATTATTATTATTATTATTATTATTATTGTTGTTATTTTTTTGAATGACATGTAAACCCGCAGTCGCTACTCAAATGTGCGCTATGAGCTATAAGTAATTGTTGTTGTTGTTATTATTATGAATGGTGTGCGGACGTGATATTAGAAGCGTACGTGTAAATCATGGAAATAAAATAAAGAGCGGAGGGTGCCACCTCGTGATGCCGTGCGCGTGTATTATCATAAGTATATATGAATAGTAATTAATAAAATGATATTTATATAATGTAACCGTCTAATAACTGTGAAGAAACATACAAATCTACTGGTATTATTGATGGAGGGAGGATATAGTCCTAGACAGATAGAGATGGATAGATAGAGATGGAGCCTGGAGGTTGTGGTCGGCGGGCAGGCAGGCAGGCAGCCGCAGCTCGGACGGACGTTGCGACTATTCTCTCTTCCCTGGTGCAACCAACCTACCGATTAGCTAACTACATGAAATGCGTCATAGCATAGCATGTCACAAGCATAAATAAATTAATTATTCACTTTCATCATTTAATTAATCTATTCTACCAATTCTATTCTCCATGTGTTCGTCCTCTTTTACCTTATAATAATTAATTATTGTCCACTAACATAGGTATATTATCAATATTAAATTCTAACACTTGAATTTATATAAATGATGGAAGAGAAGTTGTGAAGATGATCTTTTTGTATTTCACCAAAGAATTGATTTACTGTACATCACTGTATACTTATATTCTAACATATATAACAAACATAATATAATTTCTAACAAACTATTGTAATTTGGGCTTAAACTAATAGATAATGGGCTACAAATAAAAAAAAACATAATACAAAAGAAGTCCATGAAACAACCCAATTACTTAGCCTTCATTTTCTTTCTCACCTTTTTCCTCACTTCGGTTCCAATTCATTTTGTAGCCTTCAGTTTTTAATGCTTCATTGTTCTTCAATTCTTGACAATGATAACAATTAATTAAGAATATACGCCAATTCAATATGTATATATAGTGTGTGTAGAGAAACACAACACATCACAAGTCCATTGAACAACTGATCAACGAGAAGAGGTATAGAGAGAGAGCTAGCTAGGCTAATGTTGGTTTGTTGTTTGTCCGATCCATCCGTCCATTGATCACCGCTGGGAAGGGATGGGATGGGATGGGAAGGGAAGGGAAGGGATGCGGTCTTGAATATGATATTTATATATATATATATATACACACACACGATACATCTTATTAAGAGGCGACACTCGTCCCGTAAGGAATGATCTGGTGGTTGGTTTAGAGAGAATTTGTGACCATAAAGTCATGAGTTCAAACCCCGACGCTTCAACTTTAAGTTGATAAATATGACAAAAATAGAAGAAATTTCAACGTAGTTGGACCAAAGATTGATAGATTCGACAAAGACATCCGAATGGTACCAGACGATTTGAAAATTATACATCAAGCTTCTGGTTTGACGTGCATGTTGAACAATATTCAAGATGCACATGTATATCACATATCATGTCATAATTTTTTAAATATGACAGGAATAAGGGTACGTCTAATTTTTAAAGTTAAGTAGGTAGAGTGGTAAGTCAAGTTTTTTAAATTGCACTATAAGAAAATAAATTTTTTGTAACAAAATTTTTTTGTTCCTAAATTCATATTTCCGTTAATGAAATTAGAAATCTTAAATTAGCGACGAAATTAGAGATGAAATTGTCCGTTACTAATTCAAACAAAAAATTTGGTCCCAAAATTAGCAACAGAAACAACATGTCACTAATTTAGCGATGAAAAAATGACAAATATTTACGACTAATTATTGAGATTTTGCGACGGACAAGATTCATCGCAAATTTTGTCCCTAATTCTTTGTTGCACGATTTACTAATGCATATCTCAATAAGTACACAAATACGAAACTAACTTTCAAACTACAATCGAATAATCATACTGAATTAACTAAGAATTCATTGTAAACACCTACAATATAAAAAAAAATTACAATCATAGAAACATAAAGCATTCTAACATCACACACAATTCAACATATATAATTAAGTCATAACATCATCAAATCTTAACTGTCCGAAAAATATAAACATCAACAAACCGGTGGCGCACCTAAGTCTCCATCATTGTCGCGCTTGTCTAGACGAGCATTGATAATCTTGAGCTGCTCAATGATGGTCATGTGATTATTCTTGAAATTATCCAAGCGTTGAGAATAAATTTCTTTCTTTTTATCCCGATGAATTGTTATCGTTAAGTAATAAATGATGCTTTCTCTAATTTTGTTCTTATTTACGTTGCTAATAGTGATGGAAATAAATTCCGTCCTTAATTTTTATTACAAATTATTTTTTTATAGTGTTGACTGTGACATATCTATCAAATGTAATTCGGGCAGCATGTGAGATATGATCCAATACAAGCATGTAGGATAAATTCAGGGAAAGATGACAATTCCATATTAATAGTGGTAAATTTAGACGGCCGAATCTAATATTATATTACCGATATTTAAATTTAAAATTTTGATTATTAAATAATATCTTAAATTTTGTTAACAAACTAATAGTATTAGGAATTTGTTACAAAATTACAAAGATGATTTAATTTGAATATTTCTATAAAATCCTAAATTTGGATATAATTAGAAAAATTAAATAAATTAAGTTTTTTAGATTATTCTTGTAGGAATTATGCGTCCTCTCATATTTCTTTGGATTGATTAGTAAAACATAATTTAATTTCTATAAATATGATATCTTGTATTCATTGTAAATTTAGATTTAACATTTTAATACAAAGTTTTTTAAAGAGTAATTTTGATTTTAATACCTGTAATTTATTTATTTTTTAAGTTTTTTTAATTTATCAAATGTCTAAAACAATATTTGGTACGAATTAAAATTTTAATTATTTTAAATCCTCTGGAAAAAAAAAAAGAAAAAAAGAAGAGAGCTTTGGTTATCATTCAATTCAAACTACGGTAACACTGACATATATGGAGTGAGAGTGGGAATGAGGGTAGCTGTGAACGACTAATTCAGAGCATCTCCATTCGTCTCTACGCAGCCTCCATTAATGTTAATGTTATTGGAGTATTATTTGTCAATCAAAGGGGAAAGCAATGAATACATACATAAAATGATGTATGTATGAATGAATACCAGCTAGTATGTACTTTTGTAATGTACTACCACCACTACCACTGCCACTACCACTGCTACTTCGTGCGTGCGAGTACTAGAGAAACTGAGTGATAAGAACGTGGGGTGGGGTGGGGTGGGATAATAATAATAATAATAATAATAATAATAATAAGTGGAAATATATGCCGCCACACCCACATATATAGACGACATATGTTTTCGTATCGGAATGGGATTATTCTCTTATTGAGGAGAGTGGAAAGAATAAAATATAAATTTTTTTTTAGAAAAAAACAAAGTAAAGTGTGGAGGAGAAGCGACTAAGTAGTAGTAGTTGTTGGAATAGTGTCTAACAATTTACTAGTTCGTCGTTGATTTTGCATTTATTATTATTATTATTATTATTATTATTATTGCGGTGGTGGTGGCGGCGGCGGCGGCGGTGGCGGTGGTGTTTGATTCAGCACGGAGCACCCCACCTCTTCTCACTAGAGCCGTCAAAATGGGTTCAGCCAACCAGCCTCGCCTTACTTTTAAAGAGGATTGTGTTGTAATTTTTTAAATTCTTTAACTTGCGGACCTAAATGGACCAACTTGCATGGGCCGCGGGTTGAGGGCGGGTTAGTCCGCAGTGGGGCGAGTTAGTCCGCGGGTCAAGTAAATATAAAAATTAGTACTCATTCGTCTAACTAAATATATTTTTTTACCATTTTTTATTGTCATATTAAAAAATTATAACAAAACTAATCAAATATTAATATAAAAATATATTTTAATTTTTTATAAATTACAAATATACCATTATAAATAAGTTAAGACGAATAAATAAAACTTATATTATCATTAGTTTAAATAAATTATCAATATTGTCTACACGTTATTTTTCTTCTCTAGCTATGTTATTTATGACATTGTTATTTATTTCGATTTTTCATCATTTGTTTTATTCGTCTTCTATTTTATTATTTTATAATTTTACAAATTCATAAAATTAATTATGATTTATTTTTAAAATGAAGTATTTCCTATTATTAATTTTTTTAAATACACCAATAAATAATATTTAGAATTGAGAATTTTAATATTTGTTATTTATTTTAAAATATTTATTATTTAAATTGTATTTAAAACTATTTTTAGCTATTTTTAAATATTAATTACGAAAATATTTATAATATTAATATTCTTTTAATATTTTTAAAAAACCTGTGGGCTAGCCCGCTTAGTTCGCCCACCCGCAGGTGAGTTGAGTTGGGCTAATGAAATTTTGATCCGTCCTTGCCGCGAGTTGGCCCACAAATAACACGTTTATTTACGAAGATTGTGGGTTAATCCGCCCCATTAACCCGCTGTGACATGTGTATTCTCACTTCACCTTGCTTTGTAGTCATTCAGTACAGTGCGCGTGGTGTGCCACCAAACCCGACCAGACCAGCACACTAATCTAATGACTAATCACTTCACCTTGCTTTGTAGTCATTCAGTACAGTGCGCGTGGTGTGCCACCAAACCAAACCAGACCAGCACACTAATCTAATGACTAATCTAATCTAGTTTAGTTTAATTTAATAATCAAATAAGCAGATAATATAATTAACAGAAATAAATATATATAATTTGTTTGTCCAATTGTTTCTTTTTCAACACGATTCTATTATTTCATACAAAAAAGTAATATTCAAAATAAAATAATAATAATAGTAATAATGTTATTGATATACTACTAGTATTATTATATTGGGTGGCGTTCAACTCAAAATAAGGAATGGAAGACAATTGATATGATTATCCATAGAAATTTGAAAATTCATCAAAACAGATCTCTCTGAATGCAGAAATAATAAAAAGAATAACTCATTCAATTCACTGAAAGCAAAATGGGAAAGAAGTGCACGGGATGGGATGGGATGGGGGAAATGTTAATGCTATTATTATTATTATTAGCAGCAGCAGCAGCAGCACGTAGAAGAAGTAATTACTTACACATGCAATGCAACAAAAACATATATACACGACGACACGAGAAAGTTTAACCATTATTATCATCATGATACATATATGTGTTGCGGTGGTGTTGGTGTTTGTTAGAGAGAGAGACAGAGAGAGAGAGAGAGAGAGAGAGAGAGAGAGAGAGAGAGAAGTAGTAGTAGTAGTAGTAGTAGTAGTAAACTGCAAAAGAAAGAAAGGAAGAGAGAAAGAAAAAGGAAGGGGTAGAGTAGAAGGTACTGCGGCCATGCCAGCCAGATCAAGGGGAGGGAGGGCTCGTAGTCGTGATGATGATCATCATTAATGGCGCCATATCATATCATATATATATATATATACACACACATGTATTCTCTGCTCTGCTCTGCTTATATATATATATATATGGCTTGCTTAATTGGCAATTACCACTTAATCATATGTATACATAATATATATATATTTATATATATATACACACACCACGTATGTATCCTCTGCTCGGTCTTACCGCAATTGATAAGTTTGTCTCCTCATCTCACATCACCACCCACATCCATACAAAAAAACAATAATAACAGTCATCGTGTTGAATGGGCGAAAAGAGGGGCGGGTGAAATACATAGATATATATTATAATATATACATATATGAATGAAGAGAGAGGGAGAGAGGGGGAGGGAGAGGAGGTTGCACTTGCACTTGCACGCCTTTTTTGTCTTCTTTTTTGGATATTAAATTAAATAAATGCGTAGTCCACAAGAAAGGAAGGGAGGGAGGATAACAAATAATAATAATGATTTATACGACTAAAAAGTACCCTTGCCTTGGCTTCGGAAAACACCCACCCCCCCCCCCCCCCAGCTGGATTGTTTGTGATCTTTGTCTTTGTCATAGATGAAATCAAGATCATCCATCCATCCAAATTTCAATGGCCCAAAATATTTCTCTCTCTCTCTCTCTCTCTCTCTCTCTCTCTCTCAGTTTGTTTTCTGATTGACTCCTCCGCCTCCTTGTTGTTTGGCGTGCCTTCTTTCTTGGATTGCTGCTGCTGCTGCTGCTGCTGATTGGTGATTGTCGATTGTCGATTCAGTCCAGCTGAGGGAGGGAGGGAGGGAGCAAGGAAAGGAAAGGAAAGGAAGGAGGGCACCGCCAAGCCAAGCCAAGCCAAGCCAAGCAAAGTCTTCTTCTTGCTATTTTTGCACAGTTTCGTTATTCGTTGGTTGTCAGTTACACAAGGAAGGGTTTCTAGAAATTTCCTTCCCCTTTCCCTATATGGAGTCGGAGAAGAAGAAGAAGAATAATAATACTGCTACTACTAATAATAGTCATCACAATAATACCGGGGGCGGGGGATCAGACCCCCAACCCTCCTCCGCCTCCCCGCCGCCCACCGAGGAGCTGCTCAAGAAGATCCACGACCTTGAGCTGGGGCACGCCCACTTGAAGCAAGAGATGTCTAAGCTCATCACTCTATCCGCTACCGAAATTATGGCTGCTGATCGTCAACGCAGGCAGAGGTCTCAATCAATTTCCCCCCAGAGGGCTCCCCGGCGGAGGGCCGCTGCCGCCGGAGATGGCAGCTCTCTCGCCTCCTGGAGAATGGGCTCCGCTTCATTCCGGCATTCGTCTCCGTTGCAGAGGGAGAGTCGCAACAGGGATGCATGTAGCGGCGGCGGCGGCGGGGGCCCTGCGGCGGTGAATCTCACGGACAAGCAGTATTTGAATATACTGCAGTCAATGGGGCAGGCAGTGCATATATTCGATCTGAATTGTCGGATATTTTACTGGTTAGTTTAGTTAGGTGATCTGCACTCCATTTTTCAATTTATATTTAAACAGTCTTGATTCTTGTTCCGGTATTCTTTTCTTTAGCTGCTAAGTCGCTCTTCCTCCTCGTAGTCTCTGTCTGTCAGTCTCTCTCATCTGATTTAGAAAATCTGTATTTATTATTGGGGGGCTGTATCGGTTGCAGCATTTAATCTTTAATAAACTAAGTTCCTATATGGTGTTATTGAAGGGTTTGATTCTTGTGGTAATTTTTTTTTTTTTTTTTCTTCTGTGATAAATTATGCCAAATATAATCGTGGTTTTCTGGTGCAGGAATAGAAGCGCCGAGCATCTTTATGGGTATTCTGCTGCAGAGGCTCTGGAACGTGATGCGATCCAGCTGCTAATTGATTCGCAGGACTATAGTGTGGCTAATAACATCATACATCGTGTGATCATGGGGGAGAGTTGGACTGGGCAAATTCCGGTTAAAAATAAGAATGGGGAGAAGTTTTTAGCCGTTGCAACCAACACCCCTTTCTACGATGATGATGGCACTTTGGTTGGAATTATATGCGTGTCAAGTGATTCCAGGCCTTTTCTCGGCGAAAAAGCTCTAGTGCCCGAGCCGGACAATGATCCACGTCCTAGCAGGCCAAGAAGCATTGCTAACGCCAAACTAGGACTTGATCCTCAGCAACCTCTGCAAGTAGCTATTGCCTCCAAAATATCGAATTTGGTACGTACTCTGGTTTGATTAAAATCTTTCATGTGCAGCAACATTTGGTAACTTCATCGATTTCTTTTTAATAGGCTTCAAAAGTGAGCAATAAAGTCAAGTCAAAAATGAGGCACGGAGATAACCTCTCCGATCGCGAGGGCGGAAGTGGGGATAGTCACCATTCTGATCATGGATTTTCGGATGCTGCCATGTCTGATAACAGGGAGGATGCTGCCTCAAGTGGAGCTAGTACTCCAAGAGGAGATGCCCAACCTCCTCCCTGTGGGGTGTTCTCTCCTGCTAACCAGGACGATGGTTCACCCCGAAAACTATCCAGAGATTCTGGTGATGAGAGTGAAGGAAAAGCTGGTATTTCTAGGATCCTTACCTCGAGGGCGGAGGCTTGGATTAGTAAGAAAGGTTTGTCATGGCCATGGAAAGGAAGCGAATGTGACTTAGCAGAGCCAAAGTCTTCCCGATTTGGCTGGCCATGGTTATATAATGACCAAGAAAATGAGTTTGTTCAGCGAAAGAGTGCCACAGGAAAGACAGAGTATCAAGTTTCTGAAGCCAATCGAACATCTAATAATGATGCACCAGGTTCTTGGTCCTCTTCAGTCAATGTCAACAGCACTAGCAGTGCCAGCAGTTGTGGAAGTACTAGCAGTAGTGCTGTAAATAAAGTTGATATGGACACTGACTGCTTGGATTACGAAATCTTGTGGGAGGACTTGACTATTGGGGAACAAATTGGGCAAGGTGGGTGTGATTTGTGGCACTGATGGTGATAATAGTGTGTTAATTATCTGTCCTTGCACATTTTCTTCTCTATAATATTCTCGAGATCCCTAGGTACTGTCAGGTTAGATATGTGAGGTTTTTGTTAACGTTTACAGTGGCATGGCTGCCTTTTATGTTTTGTTATCTCTTACATTGATGCTGTTGCATTTACATGCAGGTTCTTGTGGAACTGTATATCATGCTCTGTGGTATGGATCAGTATGTACTTTATCTCTTCCTTTCGAGATTTATTGTCTGCCGCTGCTTGTTACAAGAAAGTTACTACATAGTGTTCTAGAGTTCTCATTCAGTTGGTTGAGTTATTTTTAATCCTCATTAATTATGCATTTACAATTGTAGGACGTACCATCTTTTAACTTCATTTTTATTTTTCCCAAACCTTCTCCATGGCTTTACCTATATCTATTCGATCACTTGCTTGCTCTTCATATACTAAAGTCTGATATGATACTATGGAATCTCTATATTATGCAGGATGTTGCCGTCAAGGTATTTTCCAAACAAGATTATTCTGATGATGTCATATTTGCCTTCCGACAGGAGGTCAGTGCAAGTTCCCATTGTAATTGTTTGGAGTAAAGTACTAGTGATTGGAGCAGATTAATAGCGATTTATATGAGCACTATTCCTAAGATGTTCATGCAAACATAATAGGTACATCGGCATTGTGTTTAAATACACACACTCCACTCATAAATCCGAGCATTAATATATTAATTCTATTAAGTTCATATATTACGGGAACTTTAATTAATTAATATATATTATTAGTAGACCAGGTTTATTACTGTAATACTTGTTATACTATGAGTCAGTTTTCGTCAATATTAATTTAGATGGTTATGTTTTCCAGTGATATAGCTGATAAAAGAAAAAATGTTATATACCACCCTCTGAAGAGTATGTTAAGAAAGTTTTAAAATTAAAGGTGTTGTCTATAGTTAATGTAAAGCTTGGATATGTGGAATCTAATCATCCTTCTATTATTATTAGTATTATTTTTCTTCTTCATGAGACCAAGTAAAATCTGAGCAATTGTCTTTAGTCGACCTCATTGCACCTACTCCTTTTTGTTTTTCCTGGTTTTGCAGGTGTCACTTATGAAAAGACTTCGTCATCCGAATATTCTTCTGTTCATGGGTGCAGTTACTTCTCCCCAACGCCTTTGTATTGTTACAGAGTTTCTTCCACGGTATGTAATGTCTTGTGCTTTCTGCCTCCCCCTTGGCGCTTTATCATGAGAGCTCTGTGCTCTAAATGAAAAGCATGTGTTCTACAACTATCTGTGCCTTCCCCTTCCTATTCTGAATTTTACAATTGAGTGTCACTCAATTTCCATGCTTTCATTTGATGCAGTGGGAGTCTGTTCCGGCTGTTGCAGAGGAATACAGCAAAATTAGATTGGAGACGCCGTATTCACATGGCTCTGGATGTTGTAAGTGTCATCTGAGTTACGAAAATTTAGAACCAACCACCACAATTACAGTTATTGTTTCAAGATGGTGTTGTGCCACATTTCCTTGCACTCCTTCTCTGCTGGATTCATGCACTTCGGTAATTTCATTGCAGGCACGGGGAATGAATTACCTTCATCATTGCAACCCGCCTATAGTTCATCGTGATTTGAAATCTTCTAATCTTCTTGTTGACAAGAACTGGACTGTCAAGGTCAGTTGAAGACACCACTCTATGGGTTATTCGCCTTATTTTGCTTTTTGTGCAGATGACATTTTCCATGGCTGATTGCTAAAAGAAAATATGCTCTTTCACCAGGTTGGTGACTTTGGTCTGTCACGTCTTAAACGTGAAACATATTTGACGACAAAGACAGGCAAAGGAACGGTGTGTACTGCCTGCTAAATCTCTGGTTTTATGCATGCACTGCATTCCTGCTGATTGGACTTAACATGTCTCGATAAGATCTGACTTGAGTATTGACTTATATTGCAATGCAGCCTCAGTGGATGGCGCCAGAAGTTCTTCGTAATGAACCTTCTGACGAGAAGTATGGCCAAGCCCATTTTGAAGTTGAATCTGGTTTGAACTATTTATGTTTATTCATGGACTAATCTATCCTAAATATTCTCTTTTGTTTGAGATAATCAGGGCTGATATATATAGCTTCGGAGTGATACTATGGGAGCTTGTTACTCATAAGATTCCTTGGGACAACCTTAATTCAATGCAGGTATTGTTATTGTATTTCATTTTATTGTGACCAAGCATAATGTGGTGTAACTGCACTACATTCTTTGGAGGCCTGAAGTAGGCAAAGAGTTTGTTTGTAATAAACAAAGGATGTGTTTGATGCGCATGACCAATTCATTCTTTCCTGTAGGTGATCGGCGCGGTGGGCTTCATGAACCAGCGGCTGGAGATACCGGATGGTGTTGATCCGCAGTGGGTGTCTATCATAGAGTGTTGCTGGCATAGGTTTGTGTTTAGAATTTACAAGATCTATGCTTCCCTGGTTTTAATGATTGCTGCCGCTGCTTCCATCATATTTATACTCATCAAAGAAAGAACAAAACTCATCATCATCCCATCTTTATATAGTACATGCCCGTTAGGCTAGGCTAGGTTAGGTTCCTGTTTGATAAAGTAGCGGTAACCCTTGAACAAGTGCAGAGTGGTCAGTTGATTTTGTGAATTGGCGTGTTTTTGTTTTCCTATCCAGCGAACCACAATGTCGTCCTTCGTTCCAAGAAATAGTGGAGAAGCTAAAAGATATGCAGAGACAGTGTGCAGTTCAATATCATGCTGGACGTGGTGTCAGTGGCGGCGAGAAGGAAGTTTAGATTGGATTCCAGCAGGGAGCAAGTTGAGTGAACATTGTGCCCGCCTACTGCTGTTTGTGTCGTTTGTTGCGTGATATGCGATGGCAGCAGAAGGTGGGAATGCTATTTTTGTGAAGGGGAGCAAAAGAGAGACAGAGAGAGAGAGATGGAGAGAGCCAGCAGAAGATCAAAACATAATCGTCATCAGCAGCAGCAGAAGAAGAAGAGAGATTAGATTCTTTGTCAGTAACTAACACACACAGGACAGCAACCCGGCTGGCTACAATTGTTTATGTGAATGAAGGTGTAAGGGGTAAGTGAGTAAGTACCCTTGATGGCCTGCCTGTTGTCTGTCTAGAGATAGTGAGTGGTGCACGGAGGAGGAGGAGGAGGAGGAGGAGGAGGAGGAGTTAGCCGTCATTCTTTGTTGTTGGGGGGAAGGAACCCTACACTACACTACACATTCTTTTCTTTACGTACAGTCTGTTTTGTTGTGTTGTGTTCACACACAAATATTGATGATGCTTGCTTGCATTATACTAGTATATGCTATGCCTGTGAAATCATATCATACAAGGCGAGCACCTGGACAGGGTGATAATTGACTCTGCTGCAGGGTGCCAGCCAGCATTGGCAAGCTATGAATGCGAATATGAATATGAATATGAGTGATACTCATCGTCACCCTCCATTTGGCCTTAAATTAATTTGGCAAAGAAATCTAAAGGGATACCACCGGCTGCTGCTGCTGCTTCTTCATCATCATCATCATAATTGTATCAGTGTCACTTGCAGTCACTCATTTGTAGTGCTTAGACGAGACTGGTCACACACACGCATTTTCATGATGACAATTGGCAAGATGATGATGGATAGAGTGGAATGGAGCGGAGTGATCATGCCTCATGGGCATTGCATTGCATTGCACTGGTGCTGTGCTGAGACACACACACATAAACAAATTTGTGTCGCATTCGCATGCCAACTTTCCCTAGAAAGGAGTTGGTGAATTCTGTCTCTCCCTCAAAACACCCATTATCGAAGATCATCATGAGACTCGATAAATGATTACGTAGGAATCGGAATCTGAATCTGAAGCTGGAGCTCAGTGCTGTGCTGCGTCTGCTATTATAGGTTGACATTGGCATCTATTCACAATCACATCAACTCCACTCCAACTTACTCAAAAGAGCAGTAAATGGGAAGGAAAGTACCAAGCAGTCACTCAAGGCTCCAAACATGGAACTAGTCTTCGTCGTCAAGGCAGGCAGGGCAGGGTAACGTAAGGTTAAGGTAAATTGTGAGCAGGGTGGGCATTATTGCATCAATATAATAATAATAATAATAATAATAATAATAATATAAAGAAGTATGTATTCAGTGTAATTAAGCCCATCCCTTCCTTCCTGCAGGTTCTGGTTGATTGCTGTCCTGCCCTGCCCCCACTATCTATCTATCTATATGCATGTATCACGGTACGATACGATACAATCTTCTTTTAACTTATTTGGGGGTCCAATTTCCCATTTGTAGCGAGCAAGCCATAAAAGAGCCACCAGACCAGCTAGCAACATAAAAACCAGAGGGCGGGCAGGAATGCAATGCAATGCAATAAATGGCACGAGCGAGCTTTGTTCAACTTTTGAAGTGGCTGCTGCTGCATCATTGAATTCCACACACACACACACACACACATACATACCATTCCATCATAATCATAATCATCTTCGTCCCGTCTTGTTTCTGAATTCGTAAAGTTGTTGGCAGTGGCAGTTGAAGACATTTACTCAATCCCTTTCCCTGTCCAGTGAGGACTAAGAGGAATTCCTCTACTTCTATTATGTTATTATTATTTCATATACAACTCGGCTCGGCAGCAGCAGTCCATCTCCTCCTATTGGACCATTCTCTGCGCACCCTTCCCTTCCCTTCCCTTCCCTTCACTCAAATCTCAACCAACTCCTCAACTTGCCATTTATAGAATGCAACAAAAAACACACACACTAGAGTGAAAGTGATCATATTCATATTCCTGCATACAACCCAATTCTAATTTACTGTTTGGGGGGAGAGAGAGTGAGAGTGAGAGTGAGAGAGCTGATTAGATCGCTAGTGCGAATATAACCAGCCAATCAATCATCAATCTCGGTTGAATTGGTTTGTAATTCTTCATCACGGGTTCAACCTGATTCTGCTCACCACTCATTTATCCTTTTCCACCACCTCTCTCTCTCTCAAGGCAGATGCACTCTAACTTATTAAGGTTATAAAAGAAACAACAGCAACTCCATCTTAAGGAGTTCTTCTCTACTTGTCTCTCCCCCTCTCTCTACCCATAAATATCTTTTGGTCTGTTTACACCACAGAAATATTCAAGCTGTTTGCTTGCTTGCTTTTGAGCAGGTCTCTTAAGTCTTAGGCACCCAGGCCACCAGCACCATCTCTTCTAGTTTTGTTATATACATCAGTTGAATAAAATCAAGACAAGTAATCAGCGGCCTCATCCACTGCCAACCGATCAATCTCGATCATGGGACACTACAGGCCATTGCATTGCCATTGCTTGATTGTGTTGGCCTTCGATTCATTTATTAGATTGTGCACCAGCAGCACCGCACACACACCAGTAGCCAATTTTGTGTTTGGAGATTCTTTGGTTGATTCAGGCAACAACAACTACATCCTGTCTCTTTCGAAAGCAGATTTTGTACCCAATGGGATTGACTTTGGTGGGCCTACAGGCAGATACACCAATGGAAGAACCATAGTTGACATCATAGGCAAGTATCCAACTCCTCAGTCTCCTCCCTACTACACTACACTACACTACTTACTTACTTACTACTTCATTTCTTTGTGGATTGCAATGCTATTGCTATTGCTTTGCTGCCTGCCACATATAAGTATAACATCCTCCCCTAACCCTAAGCTTATAAGCAGTTAACATTCAAATTCAATTTGGCATGAGACAGGGCAGGAAATAGGTTTAAGTGGGTTTACCCCTCCATACCTGGCACCCACTACAGCAGGACCAGCAATTCTTCAAGGTGTGAACTATGCTTCTGGTGGAGGTGGGATCTTAAATCACACTGGGAAAATCTTTGTAAGCTCTTCCTCCCTTGTCCTTAATTCTTCTACACACTACACATACACAGATATGTATATCCATCCCTTAATTGTGTTTTTCACTTCCATTTCCATTTCCCTTGGGGGGGGGGGGGGGGGGGGGGGCATGGCATGGCATGCATTGATTCAGGGTGGGAGGATCAACCTGGATGCCCAGATGGACAACTTTGCAAACACCAGACAGCAGATTATCTCAACAATCGGGGATGCAGCAGCCGCGAAGCTGTTCCATAGTGCTCTCTTTTCGGTGACCATCGGCTCCAATGACTTTATCAATAATTACCTCACACCGGCTCCTTGTGTTGATAGAGTTGCACAGAAGCAGGTCCCGCCAGAGTCCTTTGTGGCTGCCATGATTTCAAGATTCAGAACTCAGCTAACGGTACACACACACACACACACATACATACTTACTGATCTGACTTACTAAACATGAATGCATATATGCATGCATGCATGGCGATTGGCGATGATACATAAAATACTCCTACTAATAACAACAATAAGAGTAATGTGTCTGGAGATGAATGAGCTAGTTAGGTAAGGTAGCAAGCAACTGATTGGTTTGGTGGGGGTGGTGTTCATGTTTTTTTGTTTCTTGCACAGAGGCTTTACAGGATGGGCGGGAGAAGGATCGTAGTGGCGAATGTAGGGCCAATCGGGTGCATCCCGTTCCAGAGGGAGATCAACAGCGCAGGGGCCGGGGCAGGGCCGGGGTGCGCTGCTTTCCCCAACCAAGTAGCGCAACTGTACAACGGGCAGCTGAGGGGGCTGGTCCAGCAGCTGGGCACGGAGCTGCCAGGATCCCAATTTGTGTACGCAGATGTGTACCGCATCGTGGAGGACATCATACGCAACTACTCCTCCTACGGGTTCCAGAATGCGGCGGCGCCGTGCTGCCAGTTGCTATTATTAAGTGGCGTCCCCGCAGCCCCAGCAGGAGGGCCGGGACCGGGACTGGGGCTGATCGATCATATCAATAGTCTGATCCCGTGCGGGCCGGCGTCGAAGGTGTGCCCGGACCGATCCAAGTACGTGTTCTGGGACCCCTTTCACCCCACCGAGGCCGCCAATGCGATCATAGCCTCCCGCCTCTTCGACGGCCACCATCCCTACATCTTCCCCGTCAACATTCGCCGCTTAACGAATGAATGAATTTATTCATTAATTGATATTGGGACGCCCACGCCCTCATCCACGTCATCGTTGCCTTAATTAATTAATACTCTGTACTGTACTGTACAGTACACACACCCACACCTATTACTACTAAATACCACTATTACACACCTCACCACCCCCACCACTCACCACTATCTATAAATTTCTCCATTTGTTTACATTTTAACGACCAGTCCCGATGATACACCCCTCCCCCTTCCCCGCTAATGCTATAAACAAACTGCACTCAAATAAATACTCCTCCTCGTACCAATTGAAAGACCAGCTGTTACATTTAATTAATTAATTCATCAATCAAATATTAATAATCCTTTTAACATACAGTACAACTATTTTCTTCGCGACATCCATCAACCAACAAATAATTACTACTACATCTGATTAATCTCATCCTCTCTCTTGATCCTCTCTCTTGAAACGTGACTTGGATTTAGCGGTTTATCCGACCCTAAATCAAAGCGAAATGACTGTTTCAATTGGCAGGGTTTCTTTTGGGCTTATCCTAATTGATAACAAATAGGCTTACGGACGGTTTAGGGTGTTTTGGGGTGCTTATAAATAGAAAACTACGGTTCTTAGTCGGATGACACATTGTAAATCTCTGAATCAATATAATAAAATCTCTCCGGTTCCTGTCCGTGGACGTAGGTTGACACACCGTCACCGAACCACGTAAAACCTCTGTGTTCTTTATTTGCTTTCTTTCTCGTTTTCTCATAACAAGTGGTATCAGAGCCATATCTCATTGATTGAAGATGTCCTCGTATAAGTTTGATCTCGAGAAGTTTAATGGGTCGAATGACTTAACGCTCTGGAAGGTCAAGATGAGGGCACTCCTGGTTCAACAAGGATGTGCGGCTGCGTTGGAGAGAGAAGACAAGTTTTCTAAAGACACGAAGGAGGAGGTAAATAAGGAGATTTTGGCAAGGGCTCATTCCGCGATCTGGCTGTCAGTTACTGATGAGGTGTTACGGGAGGTTGTAGATCAGGCAACGGCTTTTGGGTTATGGAATAAACTGTGTGAGAAGTACCAAAACAACTCTCTCACGAACAGGCTATATCAGAAGCAACGTCTTTACACCCTCCGGATGTCCGAAAGTACTCAGGTAAATGATCATCTTGATACCTTTAACCGTATCATTCTTGATCTTCAAGGAGTTGAGGTTAAAGTAGATGATGAAGATCAAGCCCTAATTTTATTGTGTTCACTACCTGGTTCATATGAGAATTTTGTAGATACTATGTTATATGGTAGAACTACAATTTCTGTTAATGATGTGAAAGATGCCCTTGTGTCCAAAGAATTGAAAAGAAAGGTTTCTCTGGAAGAGGGTTCTGGTTCAGGTCTGTTTGCAGGTAGGGGAAGACCACAGGAGAGGGGTAACGGGAATGGGAGGTCGCGTTCAAAATCAAAATCCTCTAGCAAAGTTAAGTGTTATCTTTGCAAGGAGAAAGGGCACATTAAAAGGGATTGTCCACAAAAGAAGGGAAATACAAAAGTTGATTCTAGTAACAGTGGCAGCAGTGCTGCTGTGGTACAAGACAGTTCTGATGATGGGGACTTTGGTGAAGTTCTGACAGAGTGTAGTGCTAGTACTGTTGATTCCTGGATTATGGATACCGGTGCTTCTCACCATATGACGTTCTCTCGTGATCTACTCACTTCTTTTAAGGAGTGGAATGGAACGGTGAAGTTAGGTGATGATGGGATTCTAGCCATAAAAGGGAGCGGGGTAGTGCAGATAAAATTGCATGACGGTACTGTCAGAAAATTTGACTGTTGGTATGTTCCTGAACTCAGAAAGAATTTGATTTCTCTTGGCACCTTAGCCAAGAATGGTTTAAAATATCATGGTGAAGGTGAGTGGGTGAAAGTCCTGAAAGGTGCGCTGGTAATGATGAAGGGAAAACTGCAGCATGGAATTTATTTTCTACAAGGCAGTTCAGTGATGGGAACGGCGGCGGTATCCCAGTCCTTGGATAAACATGATGACAGGACAAATTTGTGGCACCGGCGATTAGGTTACATGAGTGAGCTAGGGTTGTCTGTGTTGAGCAAGCAGGGTTTATTTGGTGGGGATGTGATAGGTAAAATTCAATTATGTGAGGCTTGTGTAAAAGGGAAGCAACGCAGGGTGAGGTTTAGTACCGGTCATCACACTTCAAAACAAATTCTGGAGTATGTTCATTCAGATCTATGGGGTCCCTCTCCGGTGAAATTGCAGGGCGGGTGTTCTTACTTTGTCACTTTCATAGATGATTATTCGAGAAAAGTCTGGTTGTACTTTCTGAAAACTAAAGATGAGGTGTTTGGGAAGTTCAAGGAGTGGAAGACCATGGTTGAAAAACGGACGGGTAAACAAAGACTCTAAGAACTGATAATGGGTTGGAGTTCTGCAACGCTCCATTTGATGATTTCTGCAAGAAAGAAGGTATAGTGAGGCACCGCAATGTACGACACACACCACAGCAAAATGGAGTTACAGAGCGAATGAACCAAACCCTCATGGCGCGTGCTAGGTGTATGCGCATATTTGTTGGCTTGTCTAAGCAATTCTGGGCTGAAGCAGTAAACACTGCTAGCTATCTGGTTAATAGATCTCCATCAACTGCAATTGACTTAAAGACTCCTCAAGAGGTATGGTCCGGTAAACCCTCTGATTACTCTAATCTAAGAATATTTGGATGCCCTGCATACGCTCATGTGAATGATAGTAAGCTGGAGCCGAGGGCGGTAAAATGCATATTTCTAGGGTATGCAACAGGAGTAAAAGGTTATCGATTGTGGTGTACAGAAGGTAAAAATCCTGGTAAATTTCTTATTAGCAGAGATGTAACCTTTGATGAATCTGCTATGCTTGATCAAAGTAGAGGTTGTGAAAGTATTGCAGGTACAAAAGATTGTGGTGCTAACCAGAGACTGGAGTTTGAGACTCCTGACAGAGTTGTGTTAGAGGAAGAGCAGCAGGATAATACTATTGATCAATCCGATCAACCAGATCAGTCAAAACCTCAAGGGAAACCGGTTGAGGGGAAAGCTGATGACGCTGGTACTGGGGTTGAAGATTCCATAGCAGCAAGAAAGGGAAAGAGAAATATTCAGAAATCAGCTAGGTTTGCAGGATGTGTCAATATGTATGACATGGATTCTGTTGCTTATGCACTAGCGGTTGGTGATGATCTTGGCTCTGATGAGCCAAAGACATATAAAGAAGCTGTGGCGAGTAAAGATGCAGAAACCTGGATTATGGCAATGAATGAAGAGATGCAGTCTCTTGAAAAGAACAAGACTTGGGATCTTGTTGCACTACCAAAAGGGGTGAAGCCAGTGGGATGCAAGTGGGTCTTTAAAAGAAAGGAGGGAATTCCTGGTGTTGAACCTGCTAGGTTCAAGGCGATACTGGTGGCAAAAGGGTTTTCACAGAAGGAAGGAATCGATTACTATATAATAATTGTTATCCAATCAATTATAAATGGATCTATATTATCCAATCAATTATTATATATTATAAATTATAAAAATCCATTTATCCATATCCGAGCTATCATGATCGTTCATTTGGATTTCATATTCATTTCATCCGTTGGATGGATATCTATATTATCCAAATATTTCTCATATATTTATATTTTATCTAAAATTTTCATTCTATAAATTAATTGACATTCAACGAAGGTTTATTCATCAAACTTATATTCACTTAACAAAACAATATTATTTCTTCAGCATGAGTAACTCTTCATCGTCAGATGATGAAGAAGTGAGTAGAATTTTCATGGAGTCATTTCAAGAGGATGAAGCAGTAATCTCCATATTCATGCAAAACAATACTTATTTGGAACAGTTACTCAATCCATCTCAATCAACCTATCGAGGCTCTATCCCAGATCATCGAGTAATTAATCGTGATCGTGAAAGTTCAGATCGTAATTTATATAATGATTATTTTTCAAATAATCCTTTATATAATGAACAAATGTTTCGTCGACGATTTCGAATGTCTCGAAGTCTGTTTCTTCGTATTGTTGATGCGGTTAAAGATCATGATCCGTATTTTCAACAACGGAGAGATGGTCTTGGTAGACTTGGCTTGTCAACCTTACAAAAGGTAACTGTTGTTTTTCGGGTGTTAGCATGTGGTGTACCTGCAGATTCAACTGATGAGTACATTAAAATTGGTGAATCAACAACAATTGAAAGTGTTAAGAGATTTTGTTGTGCCGTCGTTGAAATTTTTTCAACTGAATATCTTCGACATCCTAATGCTAATGATATTGCAAGGTTGCTTCATATTAGAGAATCTCGTGGTTTTCCAGGTATGTTGGGCAGTTTAGATTGTATGCATTGGAAGTGGAAAAATTGTCCTACGGCTTTCGCAGGTCAATATGCAGGTCGTAGTGGATCACCAACTATTATTCTCGAAGCTGTGGCTGATTATAATCTTTGGATTTGTTATGCATATTTTGGTATGCCAGGTGCCAATAATGACATTAATGTTTTAGAATCATCGCACTTGTTTTCAAATCTTGCTCTAGGTATTGCTCCTCCTGCACATTATACCCTTCAAGGGAAAGAATACAATATGGGGTATTATCTAGCTGATGGTATTTATCCTAAGTGGACTACTCTTGTGCAAACTATTCGTGATCCACGAGGTCCAAAAAAAAGACTTTTTGCACAGAAACAAGAGTCTTGTAGAAAAGATGTTGAGCGTGCTTTCGGAGTTCTACAATCACGTTGGTATATAATTGCTGGAGCTGTTCGATTTTGGCAAAAAAATATTTTCCATGATATTATCATTGCTTGCATTATTATACATAATATGATAATAGAAGATGAACAAGATCTCAGTGCACCTATCAGAGAAGTTTTAGAAACACCACCCCCATCCGTGGAAATGGCAACCGATGAAACTATCCAACTTCAACTATTTCTTGCCCGACATAGATAAATTAGAGACAAAGATGCTCATTTCGCACTCCGTAATGATTTAATAGAGCATATATGGAGCAATATAGTAAATCCATTGAATAAATATGTCGTATTTTATTTGAACTATTTTGTAATGTATGTTTTTGTAATAAATTGTTATGAAATAATAATATTACGTTATCTTTGTTTAATTATTATGATCATATTTGTCTTGATAACATTTAATTATTTATTTAAAATTATTTTATTTGTAATAGTTATTAATTATAAATGTTAATTTTTATATATATAATTTTTAAATAATTTATAAATTATATGTGTATGAATTTAATGTAAAATTACTATTGTAAAAATGGAGTGGAAAGTTGGAGATGGTCTAAATAATAAAAACCCAATGTATTACATGGGCCGAGATCGGGAAGGCCTGTTCTGTTCCTGTCCAATAGCTTGGCGGCGGCAGGGGTATTTCCGGAATTTCACGCTGACTCTTTCCCTGCATTGCTGTGGGTGGGTGGATTGACTGACTTCTTCTCAGACCAAACGAGAGCGCGCGAGAGGTGACATCGCCTCCGCTGGATTCATCAGCCACCAAGAGGCCGAACGAAGATTACAACAACAAATCACGCGACATTTCCTTTTGATTTGGTTGGATCTCTCTCGAGTATGAAACGGATTGAAATCAGCTACTGCTTCCTGGGACTTTTGTTCTACGTGGTACGTGTAGAACCTGCGCCGCAGGCGTATCGGAGAGATCCCGGGCATCCGGCGTGGCACCATGGGGCATTCCAGGACGTCAAAGATTCTGTTCGATCTGATGTTCGTCAAATGCTCCACTCTCGCGCTGAGGTAAGTAAACTTCACATTCATTCTGTATTTTCCAGCTCTAAAATATGAGAAACAAAAGTTCCTTATTCAAGTTCACCAGTGTTTTTATGTTGTAATATAAATGTTTATATCCAAGTTTGTTTTTCTTTGCGCACTTGTGCTGTTTCTCGCTCCTATTCATTGACCATCTCTTCCCTATCGTTCTGCCTCTCTTAGTTTTTCCCAAATTAGTTTTGAACGCATTAAGAATTCTGAATATTTGATTGTTGAAATTATGCACGGGGCGTCTTTGATCTGAGATGGTTCTTTTTGTTCATCTTTTATGCTGTGATTCTGGCTGTGCGTATACTTATTTCAATTGTAATTCTATGTTAAGTTCTCTTCTTTTCTCTGCGTCTACTTCTAGCTAGTTTGGGAGGAAGTAGTTGAAAAGAAAAGAGAATTACAAAGATAAGAAGTTTTCAGTTGCTTGGGGGACAAAAATAAAAGAGTTTGAAGAGATTCCTTTCTGCCTCTCTATCAATATAATTTTTATCTCAATTGTAGATGGAAAGTTATATTGTTTTATTTCTTACTTGCAGCGTTCTTTCTTTTGCAGGTCCCATTTCAAGTACCACTTGAAGTTAATGTGGTACTTATAGGCTTCAACGGCGATGGAGGCTACAGGTTTAGCGTAGATTCTCAAAAGTTAGAGGATTTCTTGAGAGTTAGCTTTCCATCTCACAGGCCATCATGCTTAGAAACTGGCCAGCCACTTGATATTGAGCATCATGTTGTATTTAATGTGTTCCCGGTAATATTCCTATATTTAGCTCTTGTTGGTTTTTTCTGTTGTTTTATAACCAATATTGCAATGCGTTTTTTCTATTATGTGATTGCTGTGTATGACATTATAAAATAAAAAATGGAACTCATGAATGAGTCATTGGGTGTAAACGTCTGTCTCTCCTGCCCCCTCCAGATGTGCTTGTATGATGTGCTAATATTTTAATTATTCAGGTTGTCAACAAGCATTTTAAATTTTCTGTGAAACCAACTAGTCTCTTTGACGTAGCTTCTGCTGTTTTCATTGGAAGGTGGGATATGCTTAGGAAGTGCAGAACTGCAGATTCCTACTGTTATTTGATTGATGGCCCACCAATGGACTTAGGGACCTTTCAATCTTTCTACTATACAAATATATATACATATATACATATATATATCAATGCTTGGATGTTATGCATATAAACAACATAAGAATTATGACAAGAAAAACTTGGCTAACAGTAGACGAAGGTAGAAGCACCAATATGAAGTGGTTTAACCTGTTCAGGAGAAATTTTGTTGATGGATCCATACCATTGGAAATTGTGGTCTTGATCATTATGTTTTCTCCCTGCAGGCTGGACAGCCTGAATTGATAGCATTGGAGAGAACAGTAAAAGCAGCCATGACTTCAGCTGGCACTACTAGAGAGGTGACACCTATTAATAGAGTTTTGCTCTTCCTGGTGATTGTCATTTTTCTGGAGTTTATAAGAAATTTTGGTTGACTTTTATTACTTACAGTCTGATTTTGGAAGGGAAGTTCCTTTATTTGAAGTTGAAGCAACTGCAGTTGAATCAGAATTTGAGAAGCTTTATTCTTATCTGTTTGACATAAATCATGAGGGTTACCGTGCTGAAGAAGCAGACAGACCCAAGCCTACTGCCATTTTCATGGTTAACTTTGATAAGGTCAGTTGTATGAGTCTTTGATGACTTCTCCAAATGTTTAAGCCCAGAAGTTTGTCTCCTTCTGGAAGTTAATTTAACAATCAAGAACTACGGATAGCGGGGCTAGAATTTGAATCTTGATTACTGAATACCTCTTCTCTCTGCTTCTTTACAGGTGCGGATAGATCCTAGAAACAAGGAAGTTGATCTTGACAGTCTAATGTATGGCAGAATTGCTTCTCTAAATGAAGAGGATATGAAGAAACAAGAGGGAGATTATGTATATCGTTATAGGTATAATCGAGGAGGCGCCTCTCAAGTTTGGCTTGGATCTGGCAGGTACAATGGTACAGGTTTTAATGCCAAAAATAAATGAGTCTCAAATCTGTTGATTGATTGTTTTGTTAGTTTTTGTTATTTTAAATTGTGATATATTATTCTTCTCTATCATTTCGCCCCCTAATTCGTAATTTCATAAATGGAAAAACCAGATTCGTGGTTATTGATCTCTCTGCTGGTCCCTGTACTTATGGGAAAATTGAAACTGAAGAAGGAAGTGTCAATCCCAAAACACTACCTCGATTGCAAAATGTGTTATTTCCTAGATCAGGTTCTGGTGGTGAGAAGTTGGCCCATGACATTTTTATTGGTCAACTTGCTGCTGTTATTGCTACCACGGTTGAGCATGTTATAGCCCCAGATGTGAGGTAAGCTCTTATTGTGCACGATAGAAAAGATGACACATAACGTGGCTTCTATAGCTTTATGTTGGACATCTGAGTTTTGTTTCCCTTGTAAATTGCTCATCATGTTGCCAATGCAGTATATCAGTCCCTAAAATGTATTCAATAATTTATTGTGGTGAAAAGTGCTTTTGAGTTATTGTGTATCAATTACAGGAACCGCCTATGCCTTTGTTGCTTTCCCAGTCACCTTTGTAGGACCCCTTCATGTTACGCCTTAAGTTTTGTCTCTCCAACTATTCACATTTTTCTTCAATGAATTTACTAATATTCAATGATGTAACTGTTTTTCTTGCCCCATGTTTGGTCTTGAGGAGAAAGTTGTATTTAGAAATGATCAGCTAAGTTGGTAAACTTATAATTACAATTTTCACTCTGATTATATTTTATAATTAGTGATGTGGCATAAGCTGATATGTAATGACCTCCAGGTTGAACATTTCATTTTGGTGGTTTGTTTGAAATCCAGAATCCTTAACTACAAACAAATACATATTCATATGGTTTTAATGAGCATGTGATAGTGTAGACTGGTAGTGTTTATAAAAAAGTTTAGTTCAGATGATAGTTTTCCAACATAACTCATACTTCTGTAAACTTGGAAAAATGTTGTGTGAAAGCCACTCATAATATTGCCAATGTTGGAATATATACCTCATTAAAGTACTTAATGTATCCATGATGAATGAAGGAAACCTTGTTAAATTTCTTCATGATGTCAATTTTTCATTTCATTTGATCATGTCTGAGTTCCTAGTTGTATTCAATTTGTCTTTATTAAACTTGAATTTACTTTGCTTTTGTGTTTTAGGTGCTTCTACATGAGTATGAATTGCCTTCTCCCCCGCCCCCGCCCCCGCCCCCACTCCCTTTTTTTTTTTTCTCCTGTCATAACATATATTTTTTTTTTTCATTTTCTTGAACCAGGTATGAAACTGTTGATATGACTACTAGATTACTTGTGCCTATTATTGTCCTTCAGAATCATAATAGGTACAATATCATGGCGAGAGGCCACAATTACAGTATTGATGTTCAAGCGATTGAAGCTGAGGTAGTATATCCTAGCTTGATTATATTGTATTTTGGACAGGTCAAGTAGAATTGAAGATAATTGACTTCCTTTTGGTTTGTTTTATTTATTGACACTGGACAAGTACTACACGTTTACATACTTCTTGTGATTGCTTCATTATCTTCAGGTTAAAAAGATGATTCATGAGGGGCAGGAAGTTGTAATTGTCGGTGGTGCACATGCATTACACCACCATGAAAAGTTGTCCATAGCTGTCTCGAAAGCTATGAGGGGCCATTCCCTTCAAGAAACCAAAAAGGATGGACGTTTTCATGTTCATACCAAGACATATTTGGATGGTGCTATTCTTAAGGAGGTGAGTTGTTCCGTTTTCTCTGGAAGTTTTAGTCAATTTGGTCTTCAATTATGATTATAAAAGAACACTGAGTTTAAAAATCTTACCCCCTAAGATCCGATGTTCAGTGTAATCTTACTTAATGGCAAGTTGCAAGCTTGTTACCGTTTATTATTTACTTAAACCAAAAATTCTTGAGATATATACAATCCTTATATACAATCCTGATCATCAAATACAGGAAATGGAACGATCTGCTGATGTGCTTGCAGCAGGTTTACTAGAGATGTCTGATCCAAATCTTTCTAGTAAATATTTCCTTCGCCAGGTTTTTTTCTTACTTCTATTTTGATCTCGTTCCTTCCCACCTCTTCTATTGTTCTGTCACCTGTCTCTGTCTGTTGCTTGCTTTCTCCTTTTCTTTATATGTTATTCCAGAATTTTGGTTTCTCACAGACCTGGATGGATGACACTGATGGAAGCAGTGATTCTATCCTAAAGCACAAACCTCTCTGGGCTTCCTATGGTTTAAGGCATCAAAAGGGTAAGAAAATGAAATTAGAAAAGAAGAAGGAAGGCGACTTGTTTCGAACTTATGGAACTAGGGTTGTTCCAATGTAAGGAAATTCATCTTTTTGTATTTTCATTATACTTACCTAAAGAGTTGAAGGCACCACTCTAGGATCATTTGATAATATATATACATACATATAATGTGCTCATATATATAAAGGGCTGCTGATAATCTTCCTTACTGCAGCTTTGTTCTATCACTTGCTGATGTAGATGAACATCTCATGATGGAAGATGATAGTCTGGTATGGACAAGTAATGATGTAGTTATCGTGCTTGAACATCAAAGTGAGAAGATACCTTTAAGGTAAAAATATGTTGTCAGCCATGCTTTAGTTGTCCATGTTCATTCTCAATTGTTTTTTAGTAGTTTAACTAGATTTGTATGGAACATGCAAAAGCATGCCATTTATAAACATGTTTTTAGCACACTGTTCATTCTGCATGCCTTTTGTTGTTTCCTTCGGGCATTCTTTTGTTCCATATAGTTGTGATTATCATTTCAAGATAATTCTTTGTATTTTTATTGTCTTTGGAGTGGTTTAACTTTGCTGTTCTTTTCCAACAGTTATGTTTCTGAGTTAGAGAGAAGGTTTGCCGTGCCATCACAAGCTCAGCGGCATATATTGGCTGGGCTAGCTTTTGTTGTGGGTGGATTGAGTGCACCATATGAAAAGGCTTCGCTTGTTCATGAGAGGCCTGTTGTGAATTGGCTGTTGGCAGCTGGTTGTCATCCATTTGGACCATTTTCTAATACTTCTCAAATCAGTCAAATGCTTCGGGATGTAGCACTGGTAAATCTGCCGTGATTCTTCATTGGGTTCCAAAACTTGTGTCCTGTATTAGGCTCAACAAATTTCTTACATAATCGTGTTGTGACTGAACCTTGCTCTTCTACCTATTTTGCAGAGGAACACGATATATGCTCGTGTTGATTCTGCCCTCCGCCGAATCCGAGATGCATCAGAGGTGATATCATTACTATTCATCTGAATTTTAGGTTCAAGAATTTTTTATTGCCTAGTGTTTAACATCATCGCCAGGCTGTTCAAGCATTTGCTGCAGAACACCTGAAGACTCCACTGGGCGAACCAGTGAGAGGTAAAAAGAATAAGACGAGCACTGAGCTTTGGTTGGAGAAGTTCTACAAGAAGAAAACCAATCTGCCGGAACCATTTCCACATGAGCTAGTCGAGCGTTTGGAGAAGTATTTGGATGTGAGTTGGTGCTACTGTAGAGTGCCTTAGATGTTGTGTTGGTTGGTTAGTTAATAATGGTACACCTTTGCCTGCAGAGCCTTGAGGAGCAGCTGGTGGATCTATCTGCTTTATTATATGATCATCGCCTGCAGGAAGCGTATTTGAATAGCTCGGACATCTTCCAAAGCTCAATATTTACTCACCAGTACGAATTCTTGCTCCCTCTTGACTGTTTTCTGTCTCAAACCCTGATTTGTATGTATCATGGAATGTTGGTTGTTAATAACATGCAGGTACGTGGAGCACGTGTTGAACAATGAGAGGGAGAAGATGAGATGTTGTAGCATAGAATACAAATTCCCGACACACACTTCCCAAAACTACATATATGCCGGAATTCTATTAGCTGGATTTTTTGTATATTTTGTAGTGATCTTTTTTGCATCTCCTGCGCACTAATACTTTGTTTAGCTCATTAGCAGCTTGAGGAATACAAACACTCCCCCCACCCCCGCCTGGAACTTTCTTTACATGTCGGACCTCTTGCTCCTACATAGCCTTGTTCCATTAGTGTTGTTGGAATGAAGTGGGGCCCAACAAGGGCAATGTTGTTTTCTACAGTTGGAATTTGTCAGCGCTGCCCTGCCCTAGCCTTGTTGATGATAATCATGTTGTTGGGTTGTAAGAGGTTTCGGATGGCGTTTCTTCAATGATGATGATGGGTCTGGGTCTGGAGAATATGCCTTAAATCATTGACCAAAAAAATAGAAAAAAAAAAGCTGTTGCTTTATACATTACATATGGACGATCTATCTATCTATCTGTACGAAATGAAATATGCAGGGCACACGAACCCGATTGAGTGACTGATGACATGAAGAATGGAAGAACTCCAATTTTATCTGGGCAAAACAGAGCGAGCAAGTGATGGATGCAGGATGGACTGACAGGGCAGACTCCAGTGACCAGTGAGTGTACAGATGATGAAGATTGCAGTCTCAGTCTCAGTCTCAGCTCAGCTTCCTTGTGGTGTTGGTGTTGGTGGTACGGCTATGGCTATGGCTATGGCTATGGCTATGGCTATGGCCTCTCTCATCTGGACGGACACAAGTACAGAAAGCTTCCACAACCCCCCGGTTGATTTTCTTTCATGTCTTGCTCCGCTCAGCTCATACATTCTCATTAACTACAACAAAAACAAACCACCAAACCATCACTCCACACCTTCCACCAAACAAGAAACTAAACTTAGGAGTGGAAGTTGGGGATAGACCCTTCACCTCCTCTGCAAAACATGGTTGGTTGCATCAAATTGGACAATCAGGTCTCAAGGATTAGATTACTGCATTCCAAGGCATTGCATCATCAGATGATTATTAAATCCCCACCCCAAAATCACAGATAAATAAATAAATAAAATGAAGAGTTAAGATGTGGCAGACATATAAGGCAAAGCGACTCGACTCGACTCCTCTCTCTGCCTCAGTGGTTCACATATATGCACGTACTGACAACCGTGCGCATATTACATGATACAATCAAACTCGTATCCACGACCAAAGAGGCATTTAAAAGAAATGATCATAACAATAATAATAATAATAACAATAATAATAAAATTCAAATCTCATAATCATCACCATCTCCATTTAAATCACATTATCCCCGTACATAATTTCATATATATAGTTCAATTAATAAGGTCCACGGAAGACACAATACATCAGGATAATTTTTCACCATATAGACTGGTGGCTAATAAGTATAGTGGCAGCAATTAAACAACATGCATTTTTCGACCTAAAATAAGACCAAAGCTACAATTTATTAGAAAATTTGATCAATAGCCTGCAACCTGAAATTTGGAAAATAATAATAATAATAATAATAATAATAATAATTTTTTTATTATAAAGAAGAAACAGAAGCAGAAGAAATATGATAGCATAGTTCTTTTGTATCTTCAAATCAATTTCTTACTATTCTTTTTTTTTTCAAAAAAATCATTACATGATATATCCATTTTCGATACAATTCACCACATCCAACTCTTATTTTCATCTAAAAAATTTCAAACCAAATTTTTTTTTTAATAAAAAAAAGAAAAGCAAAACCAAAAACACAAAAACATCAAATTTTCTTGTTATTTATATTTTCAATTTTTTTTTCTGTACTATTCAATATTTTATTTTATCTTCAAAAACATTATATTCATACTTATTTTTCATACAAAACATCATGTCAAACAACCATTCCCTTTAAATATATCAAAACAAAAACACAAAATATAAAAGAATATAAATTTAAGAATATACTCTACTTTATATAAGATCAATGAAATTCAATATGCCTAGTATATGAAGTAATACAACAGCACTCAAAGAGGAGAAGCATTTGAACATCTTCATCCGAAAGTAAAAGATGCAAAAGCATAAAAATATCACTGAAGTTGCCACCACTCTAGTAGTGATATTGAATAATCTAAGAAAATACTATTACCGAATAACACACACACCCAGGGGATGCACTACAGGACTTGAACCACAGTACCAAACTAAATTTACAATATAAGATTTAGGGAAAGTTTATAATTTGGGCTAAATAAATAATTATGTCAACAAACACTTTATTGATCAAAGAAAGCAAGCATTATTTTGTTAACACAAATTGCTGTTTGGGGCACAAACATACGAATATAAGTTGAATTGACTACCTCAAACTAGGGCCGGTAAAAATTGACCTGACCTGATAACCCGATCCGAAATAATTGGATTTGGGTTGAAATTTTTGATCCAATTAATAATTGGGTCAAACCCGTTTAACCCATTTAATTAAATAGGTCCAAAATTTCAATCTGAAAATAACTCGTCTAACCTGTTCAATTAATATTATTTTAAATTTAAATATATTTTTTAAATTTTACCAATTCAATTAAAATATTCATAGCCAACTTTATAAAAATAAAATAAAATAAAATAAAATTTAAGCTAAAAATTCTACAAAATTAGAATTAAACAAAGGATTGTATTGTGTATTATTATATAGTGTTTGTTAATTCGACTCTTGAAATCGGTTTTAATGATATGAATAAATATTTTTTGCTTTAATATGTATATATATTATGCATTTGAAAATTTTGTTAGTAGAAATTGAAATTTTAAATTAAAATTTAAAAATTTTAGATTTAAACAGGTTATACAGGTCAGATTCATGTCAGATTCAAGTTGACTCGATTAATAGAAGGTCAGGTTAAGGTTGCATATATCAATCCGTTTAATTAAATGGGTCAGGTTCAGATCAAAGGTTTTCTAACACGTTTATAGTAGACCCGAACCCGAACCCTACCTGATTTGTTTTCTAGCCCTACCTCAAACTATAGATATGAAAATCACCCAAGATGACATTCTTCTCCTATAACATTTACAGTGAGATCACAAACTCACAGTACAGGTATTCTCCTATATATAACTACAGATTTACAGTACAATAAAATTGACCCGGATGATAATTAAGTTGCCTTGGATATCAAACAAAAAATTTAATAGGTGGACTTCTCTTGCCCTAATTTCGTTCTTACTATTATTTGTGAGAGCAACCATGAAAGTTGGCCTTGTAGAAACTGCTACTAAGATTTTAATTACACATATTAACTGGAAAAAGGATTGAAAAAGTTGAACCAAACAATAGCGGAAATGAATTCGCAACAATATCAACCACACACAATTAGTTTGCATGAATTGTATCAAGTGAGATATTGCAGCCATTATTAAATCACAAACGGGGAAGCTATAGAACAAAGTAAATTTGACAAATATAGCTGATGGCGTTCACCATTTAAAGGCTGCCTGAGAGGAAAGTCACAATTGTTTATTACAGGTTATAAAAAAGAAAAGAAAAGCTAATCAATAACTGTTAATAAACAACAAACTTGAAATCAATCGATTCAACAGGGGACCAAATCTCACGCTTCTCAGCTCCAATTTAAAAAGTATTGTCTCTAGAACTATATGCTCCAGTAGAATTCGTATTGATTAATGAGTGAACTGGATTAAAAAATTGTGGCATTTGAAACCATATAAAATCATATCAATAGATAAATATATAGTCAATTGTACAAATTGTAAACCATATTATAAACCAAAACCAAACTCCTCAAAAAAATAACACGGTGCAAAAATGATTCATCTGTGAAAATCGTATCCGACCTGAGAATTCTCAAGCGACGCCGACCGGCTGCGGCTCGACTTTTTTGTGGGACTTGTCCTGAAAATCTTCCATGTTGTAAATTACGGTTATGTAAAGCGAGCAACTAGGGCAGCGCGCAATTTCCTCGCCAATTCGCAGATCCTCCTTCGTGATCTGGAAGAGATCGCCGCAGGGGCACGGGTAAGTGTAAGCCTGGAGCTCCTCGCTCCACTCCATATCCTCGATTTCCACATCATCGTATGACATCGCTACTGCGACCTCCTCGTCCTCGTCCTCAGGCGGCGGTGCGGTTGATATGATTCAAAACCCTAATTTCAGCGCGAAATCAAATCGTGAAACGTAAAAGTCTAAAGAAGGTTGCCTGGGAATTTATGATATAAGTGTATCTGTTTACATTAATGTCAAATATATAATGCATTGATATCTCATTTTGTTATAAAAGATTCTATGTTAAATATCTATATCGTTTCTATTAAGATGTTTAAATATTATTTTTCAAAAATTTTAATTATAAAATTTCAAATTGAATAGTAATGGTTGAAAATTCTAGTCGTTCAATGTTTAATTCAACGAATTTATCGATAATACAATATTTTGTCCATTCCTTAGCTCGAAAGTTTCGAGAGAGTTCTAGTGAGAATTTCGAAGTCTTTTTTTACCAATTCGTTGGCTATCGAAGCTTATAGTAATGTGCCGATCTTCACTTTGAGCTTTGGTTACCTCGGGTTATTCGCACTTTGAGTGAAGCTAAAATCAAAGTCTCAGGTTCCGGTAGGAATGTCAATTCATATTTTCGGATTGTATTTGTGTTTGGTTGAATCATGAAATAACAAAAAAATTGTCTATTCGAGCACAAAAAAAAAAAAAAAAAAAAGTTTGATTAACTATGGATTTCTTGATATTGATTTATAATATTATAATATATTGTTGTCTCTTTGATATTCTCGGTGAATTCTTAGAATTGTTTTGGTTCATGGATTATATTTTGGATGTATTCCTTGAATTATTTTAAGTAATCATAGTCAATTCTTAGATATATTTTGATATTTATAATAAATGTGTATTAGTAAGTGGGAAATGCTTAAAAGAAATGTATAGAATAATAAAAAATAAATGCATATTAGATTACATTCATGTTTTGTATGTTATGGGATTAATTAATTTATTTTTTCTATAAGTTTTTGTGAATAATAAAATGTCAAATATAGAAAGTAAGAATCCACAAGAGAGTAATAAAGAATAGGGCCATTAAAGGCAATGAAACGAATCCTCTTAGACCTGGAAACTAAACTAACCTAGTCTTACCGTTCTTTCTTTTTTTGTCTTGTTGTTTTCGATATGTTGTATGGCTATGAGCACGAATAATGACTCAATAATAGAAAAGCCCATCTCCTGTCCTCCAAGCTTTCTCTCTACTCTGTCGTTAAAAATGATCTTCTTTTCGAATTAAAATTTCGACTAAGAATCGATGGGGGTGTGGTGCAGGTGAGGGGCAATCCCAGCGCCCAGCGCCTGGCTCACTTCTTCTCTCTCTTCTCCTCTCTCTTCTCCCAAATCCAGCATTGGCTCATTCCTTTTCTTCTCCAAATCCAGTTTCATCCGCTCTCCCTTCTCTTCTTCCACAAATCCAGTTGTTCTCCTTCCTCTTCTTCCCCGAATCCAATTTCAATCGCCGCCGACGCTTTTCTTTTTTTCTTCTCCAAATCCAATCGCCGAAGCTCTCCTTCCTCTTCTTCCCCAAATCCAATTTCATCACCGCCGACGTCCTCCTTCCTCTTCTTCTCTAAAGCATAGCGACTGCCGGCCTGCCTCCACCATCCTAGGGTTTTCGGGAGAAGGTTTGCTGATGAGGGAATTGGAATGAAGTTCGGTGATGAGGGAATTGACGAAGGATTTTTTCAGAAAGCCACTGTAAAAAATTCTACCCCCATAGTAGAAAACATCCTTCGACACGCTGGCTTCGGTTGACACGTCGGCGGGAAGGGCTCAATATAATCCTCACTGGCTTGTCAAATTCCAATAAAATTCCGATAATCCATCCCATCCAGCCCTTCGCTACTAGAACCCAACAGAATCCAAATCAGAATCAGTATCAGTATCCATCCCGTGACCATCCAGGCCTTGGCTATGATGGACCTAGCGCCGCGCCCCAAATTATAATTGATACTCTCATTATAACTCGTAAATATATATATATATATAATCTTAATAACTAAGTTAGTAATGTCAAGATATATATGTCTTACATTGCGGCCCGAGAATTCTAGTGTATATATGGATAGAAATATAGCTGAAGTGGGCCCAGGCATGCAGTCGACTGTTGGATCAAACCTGCAACGTGCTCTTCCTTCAGCCCAGCCTAGCCCAGCCCAGCCCAGTAAGGCGTTCAATCATCGCCTCGAACCAGCTAATTAATTCATCAAGCTGTGACTGCTTGCGCGTTCGGTCTGCGCAGGCTGTGTTTTTGTGGCTTTCCTTATATATATATCCTCAACTCAACTCAACTCAACTCTACTCTACTGAAGTGGCGTGGGAATTAAGTAGGATCGATCTGGCTAAATCAGCTATTATTACTGCTCTTCACTCCTCTGCCTCTAATGTTGTTGTTATTATTATATATGCTTGCATCGTACGTTGTTGACCTTCAGACCTTCACCTTATAAATTTAATCAACTAATTATTTAGGTTAGTGTTCCTTTCCCTAGAATTCCGCAATTACTATACTTTGGGAATCTGGCCGGCCGCTCATGTAGCAAAGCCAGTTTTGATTAATTTCCCTAATTAAATAATCCCCCCACTTAAGAAGTTGCCCATAATAGTTAATTACTTCAAGGACGACACTCAATATCTAGGCTTGAAATTGAATTGATCCAACACAAATCAGCTGCTCATATTAGACTAGTTTGAATCATTTATCATCTATTTTAAAAGAACTTCACATATACGGTCTTAATTTTTCTTTCCAGCATTACACCAAATTATTATAAGCTCAGTACAGATTTTCAAAAAATAAACCTTAGCTTAATTAGATAATCCCTCCATTTCATAATTCTTGTTATATTTAGTTTTAACATGTGTTTTTCCGTGACATCATTTTAGTAGTGTTCTTTAAAAACCAATTTATCCTTTTTTAAAAAAATAAAATATATTATTATAAAATTATATTTAGAAAAATCAGTAATGAAGAAAATTAATATAAATAAAGGAAAGTTCCAAAATTTTTGTGACATCTCAAATTAGAAATTATAGCAAAATATGTGCAAAGGAGGGAGTGTTATTTAGGAGTTTTCGAGAACTCTTTAATTGTAAATTTGAAGAGTTCTATATAGGAGTTTTGAGTTATATTTGCTTATTTTTTCTTAGAGTCAATCAAGTTATTCTTCTATGATTTGTAGTATTTATTTATATATCTATATTTTTTCCATCCAGGTCATTAATTTTATTTTATGGAATATGATTAAAAGAATAATAATACTCATTCATAATTAATGTATTCTTTCATGGCTCAGTTCTTATATTCTTTTAGTATTATTTATTCGATCGTTTTTTTTTTCTTTCTTAAAAATAAATTTGTCTAATATTTAATTTCAACGGCTTTTGGTTGGACGCATGGATTGAATTTGCGGAATAATTTAGAAATGGGACTGCGGAATGATAACACACATTACAAATTAATTAAATCAGTAAGGACGAAAGTAAGATTCCTTGTGTTCCATCGTCTTTGTACATGTCCGCACTCTCCCACTCCCGCTTCTGCTTTCTACTTTGCAATAATTACACACTCCCTCCAATAAATTAATTAAATAACGAATCAATAGTAGAATTAAACAATTGAACTATATATATATATGAATGGTTAGATACTTGAATTGGATTACTAAACAAATAGAAATATAATATACAACATATAGTAACACTATATATAATAAATGGTATATATGTTTGTTATGTTTTTTTTTTTTTTTCCTTTAAAAAAAAAAGAAATTTATACGTGACGCCTTAATATATTTTATGTGATAAATTTAATTCTAGCACGTATTATATAATATGTAAAATTGTGAATTATTATTATATTTTTAATTTATGTATTGTATTTTTATATTATATTTATATAAATTTTGTGGATCGATTTATACATTATGTACTATTAATATATATTACATGTATTGTCAATATTATGTGGGACTAATTATATACGTCGGAACACTAATAACCGCCATATATAGAGATATATATATATCAGTTCGGCTGAGCGATGGGATCGATCAAGCCGTTGTAGTTTCTTTAAATAAATAAAGAAACAAACAACTTAGTTGTGTTCGTCCAATCAAAGACAAAGATAGGCGGGGGAGGAGGTAGCTCTATATATAACCAGAACCGGAGGGGAGTGCTGTCAATCTGTCATGCAACACAGGAACCTACCACCAGCCACTAATTAATATATATAAATATTAATTAATTGAGATCATCATGATGAGGAGAGCCAAAAAGAAGGGCTGTAATACAATCTTGGGAGAGCGAGCACTCATTACATATATGTATGGACCACGGAATATTAATTAATTAATACATAATTAATTGTATGTGTTATTGTATATAAACATGGACGAAATCCTTAATTAATTAAATAACCCAGAAAAGGTGCATGCCTGCCTGCCTGCCGGAGACCCGTGTCCAAGTCCAGCCGTATCAATGAAGGAATTTTAAGTCAAGTAATAATAGCTCTTATTATAATGTTATTAGGTTAGGTTAGGACTTTAGACAGCATTATATTATAATGGGTAGCTTCAGCGTATATTTTGCAACAAAACAAACAAACAACCAATCAATCAATCAACCAATTAATTAATTAATTAAAGAATGAATTTTATATAGACAGATAAATAATTATGAACCGTTAATTTGTAAGTACAGAAGTGGCTGGCTGGATGGAGCTACATACCGAGCAGGCACTCGATCATCCACCAGTTCCATCTCTCTCTCTCTCTCTCTCTCTCTCTCTATATATATATATATATATATGTATATATATCTGCGACTGGAACTCATTCTCTTGCAATTGGAGTTGGAGTTGGAAGTCAGTCAGTGAGTCGTCAGTCCTGTCCTAACTCATAATACATATAAGGTGAAACTTCTTAATTTGACGACGATGTCGATATAATATTAATTATCTATCTATCTATCTATCAATCACTTAATTAGTCACACGATGGATTCATGGTCGTCGTCATGATGTATGTAGCCAGCTTCAGGTAGGTAGGTAGCTAGCTAGCTAGGTTTTAATTATGAATATATGTGAATACTAGTTCGTTAGTTAGTTATTATATGCAGATGAGTTTGATGATGAGGTAGCTAGGGGTTGTGTATTAATTAATTCAATGATCGATCTGCAGTGCATGGTTTCTTAATTAATTAACTAATTAAATTGCAGCAGGTTAATAATATATATATGTATGTATGTATGTATGTATTGGCAGATCGATCGAGGAGACAAGCAAGCAACGAAGCTAGCCAGGACAATTAAGGATGACGCAGATGAAGAAGAGGACAAGTGGCGGGGTGGTGGTTATTCTGATGATGACGACGATGATGATAGAGCTACTAGTGGTGCAAGAAGACGCTGCTGCAGGGTACTACTGTAACGGTATGATGATAAGTAGGGCAGCAGCAGCAGCAGGGGGATCCTCGTCGTCGTCGGGTGGCATAGGCATAATTAATGCAGGGTACAATAATAATGAACCCAAGAGAGCAGTTCCAGGAGGGCCAAACGTGTGCAGCGGTAATCATTGCCACTCCTCCTCCTCCTCCTCCTCCTCCTCCTCCTCCTCCTCCTCCTCCTCCTCCGCCCTGAATGATCATGCTGCATATGCTCATCTTCTCGCTGCTGCACCTCCGCCTCACAACCACCACCCATAATCATATATATATATATGTGTGTGTGTGTGTGTGTGTATAAATAGTACTATAAGCTACTAGCTTGCTACCTACACATATATATATATCTATATATATTGCGTACGTGCATAGAGTGGTGTCGATCGGTTTCATAACGTTTGTGTGTGTGGTGATGACCAATTGGCCAAGTTCTTGTGTAGGCGCACGCCATTTCCATTTCCATTTCCATCTCTCCTCCATCTGTCTGTTGCCTGGTTTTAAATAACTATGTACTTGTGCATCCGTGGCTTGAATGAATTATTTTTTTTAGAGAATAATCGAAATGAAATGGAGCTAGGGTTACGTTGTACGTTGTTTAGATAGATATTCATTCTAGATATATAGTAACATTATCATATGCATATATGTAAGTTTAGACTTATGTTCGTGAATTAAGTGATGGGTTCAATATACACACGCATCAGGCTTTAATTAATTAATTTTGGATTATACTGTAACAGTTTCAAAATCCTAGGATATGATATATATGATGCAAAGTTTATGAGCACCTGTCGGCATGGGATCCTCGGCCCCATGAATATCTCTCTACTCCTGTCCCTCCAATAAGATACGGACACGTGTCTTTAGTTATTATTTTATTTTCTTAAATCAAAACAAAATTTGCCGTTTGAAGTAAATTGCACAAAGGTCCTCGCACAATCTACCCGGTGCATCTCTTTGATCAGTCAACTCTTCTCCCATTACCCTGACGTTGCGTTTTCTCTTCACTGGCCGGAAGTTTCCAAGGCAACATTGATGCCAGGCCACAACCTCCTCTTCTCCGTCGTTCCATCCTCGCTGTTCGTTTCTCCGACGATTCGCCCTTCGAGATTAGAGTTTCATCCCGCCGGCCGGGAAACACGTACTGTTTGCCTTCCAAGTCTTCGTCATCGTTTTCTCTATGCTCTTCCTTGTTCAAAAGCGACAGGTGCGTCGAAGAAGATAAAGGCGACGAACTCAGGGATAACGAAAGAGTTTCAGATATCAAATTGTCATTCATTTGAATAACATACGTAGCAGCGTACAACATAATAAACAAAAGTTACAGTTATCATATCCGGTGCTTCAAATAAAGTTAAATAGATTGATTTTTAAACGAGAAAATATAGGGAATAGTAAGAGGAAAAAAATATGACAATAAATTTTTTTAAAAGTTCAAGTAATTTAAAGAATACATTGTTTCGAAATTCCGCTGTATTTTAGCAAGTTTATCACTATACCATCAAGTCATACATTACTTACCAGACATGTTTTCTTCTTGTCTTAATTAATTCTTCTTATTACTACTACTTATTCGTTGAGTTTAATTAAATTAACACCACTTACTTTTCGACCCATCTTTTCTTTTCACATGTGCATTTCTAAATTCCAAAACAACAATACATTGTGACGAGAGAATTCACACACACAAAAAAAGGTGAATTACAAAACAAATATCTCGATCTTTGTTATGGCCTGTTGAATGAAATGAAATGAAATAAACAACGCCGCTAATCAAGGGTGTGTTTGTTCCAGGATTTAGATTTTGAATTGTAATAGTTGAATAATGTGATATAAATAGTATTTGATATAATATTTTGAATATAAAATTAATTTTTAATATAATATAAAAAATAAAAATAAAAAATTAATTTAATATTTTTGAAAAAAATAATAATTTAATGACTAATATAATTTTGGGGAAATTCAATAAACGAACACACCCTAAATTAATATGTCGACGTCTTTCATTGATGTTGAATCAGCTTGATCAGTCCAGTGGTCTGATCGTCTTTCTACCGGTTGCTTGCTTAATTAATTCAATTTTTTTGACTTTATAGCCCTTCAGATTTCTATCTGTCGTCAAGGTACATTAAATATTATAGTCATATAAAACTAGAGATGACAAATGAGACAAGTTAGTCTCGGATTTGTTTTTAATGGGTGAATTCGGATTTAAAATATATGTTTTGAGGTGAGTTGTGAGTCACTACAAAAAAAAAATAGTATATTTGTAACGGAATTCCGTTCCTAAAGTTCACGTAGCTAACGTAATTTCATCTCTAATTCCGTCTCTAATATCATTAGTAACCGAAAAAGTGAATTCGTTACAAAATTGATAATTTCTTATAATGAATTTTAAGTTTCGGTCGGGTTCACGATGAATTACGAGTTTTATAAAATATTCATCTTTCGTACCCGACCCAAAAATTTTAATAATGATTAGAATTGATATACTATATATTTTTATAATATAAATTATATTATTTTAAAAATTGTAAACATAAAACAAAACTCTCATTTTTAAAACAAATTTATCAAATTATTGTTTCTTTAGTCAATTATGGATAATAATTTATGAACATGTGTTGACCTAATTATTTTCATAGTTTTACTGGATTTACAGAGTAGTAAAACTATTAAAATCTCGTTTGATGTGTAAAAATTTCATCAATATATATTAGCAATCTTTGAATTAAAATATCCAAATTACTATTAATTAAAATTACGTGTGCATATGGAAACACTTCATATTATGTATGCAAAATGACATTTGATGAGCTTAAATACACAACTAAGCATTTTTCTATTTGTGTGAAAGCATTTTTAGAATTCAATAAATGACATATTGTTTGACATTTTTTAAATCTAATCTATGCGGGTTTCATAAATTGATATGTAATGAAATTTACAAACCAAAACATGCATATAATTTCTATTGTGAATATGCAAAAAAATACTAACTTTGCTGTCAGATTAAAATGCATAAAAAATTAAAAAGAATCAGTAAGATACTTTTCAAGATTTCAATCCAGAGTATGTTCCTATCTGCTGATTAAGTAAATAACTATCAAGAACGAAGGAATTACTTTTCAATAATATCCCCAAGAAAGTAGAATAGGAACGAAATAAAATCAAAATATGTAATGTACTATCGATTTTTTTTTTTTTTTTTCCGTAATAAAATATCTAAGTGTTATTTCTCTAAAAAATCAACTCCTTTTTAATTTAAGGATAAAGTTATTAAGCAATAAAAAAAAATGAAAATTCCAAAAAAATGAGATTAATTCATAAGCACTATTTTATTCGCAGACATAATTCCATTGGTCTAATTATAGACTTTGAATATTATTTTAACAAAAGAGATACAAATAAAGAAACAATATGAAATCAGATTAAACTGGAATTCATCTAGATAGCAAGATATTAAAGATCAAAATAATGAATTCTAATCATGATACAAAATAATATTGTATCTCTGATTATATTCGATTCGACTGTTTGCAAATTCCACATGGAATGGAAGATGTGAAAAAAATTTAATTAGTTTGATATGAATTTCACTAGACTTTTTGGAATAAGTCAAAAACAAATGCTGCTCAACCCATTCTCAGTAGTGGTATTAGAATTTGATTAGTGGATTGGGTGGCGTAGGTCAAACAGCAGTGCAAGGTGACTCTTTTGAGTTGGACAAATATTTTTGGGTAATCCAATTTTTTAATTCGAATTCGATTGAAACCGTGTTCGCCTCTAATAATCGTGAGTACTTTGGTGGAACGCCTATAGCTACGGCTCTAAAAGTACACATTTTAAAATACACCAAACCAATTTAACCGACCCCAATCGACTCGGTTAGGACCCGAACTACCCGGTCACGAGCACCCACCCCTAAAATACCTCCGCTGGTCGCCGAGGGTTGCTGTCGCCGATACTCTCCCATAATCAGCTGTCCTGATTTGTGTGTTCTCGTCCTTGATCATTCACTGTTCGTTCTGCTCATGGTCTCACTTCTATTCGTTTTTATATTTTCATTCTGAATTTTTGCTTGGTTATGTAATTTGCATACACATTATTCTTCGGAAAATTCTCTCGCGATTCTAGTGTCCAGTTTTATTTAACACGAGAAACTTAACCGATATCCTTTTGGATAAAGTTGTTTTCATGCGATTCACATGGTCACACCTTTCTCGTTTAACTTGCTCCTCTTCTTAAGTTTCAGGAGTTTCGCTAGAAGCAAGAGTGATATCTTTTTGTTTGAAGGTGCATCTCAAATGGTAGGCATTCCCGATTTTTTTTAAAATTTTTTTTTACTGTAATTTCTTCTTTGGAAATGGGCTAAAAAACCCTTCATCTGTAGCGTGAGGTAGTAGAAATTTCGGATGACGAGGATTCTTTCGCGGTAGAAAATGATCTCGGACCCAAAGAAGAGAGCTTCAATTTTGATATACCCGTGACGAATACACACTTGAGGCCTGGGGAGGTATTACTTCCTTTATTATCTACCTGAGATCAATGCTGCAAATTTCTAGGGCTAGTAAAAACGTTAATTTAGGTTCACTATCAGATTATTAAACGTTAATGAAAAGCATTGGTTAAAATTTAGATAATTTTAACTTCTGATATGTTTGTTGTCTCTTTGAGCTATACTACAGGACAATGTGGCAAGCTCATCAGGAATCAGCTTGAGATCATCATTCATAGGAATGGGATTCTCATCATCTCTTGTTGACAAAGCAATTGAGGAAATTGGTTAGTTTAACTCATTCTTGTTGACTATCTTAAGACTTTGTCACTGTAAATGTAACTCTGGCAAGTTCAGTATGTTTTTAAATCACTCACATCTTTTGTACTGTAATATGTGATCACTGTTTTCATCCAACAAACACAAGTAATATATGTTTCATCTTTCATCATAGGTGACGGAAATGCTGAGTTATTACTGGAGTTTCTGTTTAAATATTCAGTAAGTGGATATTTTATCTTAGTCATTTTAATAATGTGGTTTTCATTCCTATACTCAAAGTTCTTCTTCTTGTTAGCCTTTTCAATTACATTACCATCTTAATTTGGTTGCTTGCATCTTTCGTAGGATGATCATATGCAAGTATTTTCTTATGAACTTCTGTCGCTAACCTTCTTGTACACCTATAAATTCATACTTGAATACATTTGCATAAGTTTTTATGGTGGGATGTGATGGCATTCCCGCGATGGTGAAAACTTTATATTGATACCTAGCTGTTGACTTTTGCTATTACATTGTCATAATAGGGTTTACTTGCATCCGTCATACGGTTGTTGTTGGTTTGTTCAAATACATTGTCATCCTAGTTTTCCTTTATCTTATATCCTTCTTTCGTTGAATGATCCTATTACGATAATCTATTTTTCACTATAATCCTTTGTAATTCTCTTGTACATCTATACTCTTATACTTGAATATTTTTGCATAAACACTTATTGCTGAATGTGATGGCATTAATATTTTGCAAATGATGAAATGTTCTTTATGACAGCTGTTCTTAGTTTCCATCCCAACCAATGGAATTTAAATAAATTTAGTATTATTATTACAAAATAATGCTGCACTTCTTCACCTGGACAGGGTCTGCAACAACCAAAGGTAGAAAATTTTGATGCAGGTTTTTTCAATGAAGGTAATGATGATTTAGCTGGAAATCTTCGTGTAAAAGAGGTACTTTATATGTTTGTATAAGAACACCTTCTAGTTATACCTTGTAAAGTGATGCTCTGACTTTGGTGCAATAATGACTCTTACAGGAATTTGAGGTTTGCAGAGGATTAACCGACGAGAAAATGGAAACACTGCTGAAGATGAATTTTTCTTTCCATGAAGTTGGGTTTGCAATGAATAGACTTGGTTTGTGCGAGATTTTAACTCTGGATTTTAGCTACATAATCTGAAGCATTGTTCTTGTTTTTGGAGTTTTGATTGATGATTAAATGCTTCAGTTATTGCTTTTGGATAAGATGTTCAACATGGTACTAGAATAAGACTGAATAAACATAACTAGATGTTAACAACCCATGTATGGAACAGAAACAAATTCTAGTGAGAGGGCATATTTAATCGAATATTAAACGACTTTCCTATGAAGCAATTCAATTTGAACTTTAAAATGGAGTAGTGTTTCAGCATGTCCAAATGAGATGTGTTTTTTGCCCTTAATGAGAAATATTTGAAAAGATGTGCCTATTGCTATTGAATTAATCTCATAGAAGTTCTTATATCTATATCCAAAATTATAATTTGCTTTGAAGAAGCATTTTATACTTTTTGTTGCTCTTTTCCTGGGTTACTACTTAATGTGCTATATTCTGTTTTGTTTTTAATATTTATACAAGTCTATTTACATGGAAAATAGCTTGTTTAAATATTTTATGCATAGTTTCTTCTTTTACTAATTTCTTTTAAAGGATTTTTTTTATTTTTTTTCAGCAGTACGCCCTTTCATTTATTAGTGTGTTACTTCTTGAAATTGTTATAGTCTGATGCAATCCTGATGTTCAACTATAGGTAAATGTGCTTCTATTGGTCAATTGATGGACTTTATTTTTGCTGCACGAATGGCTAAAAAGTATGAAAAAGATGCAAACAATCCGCTTCTTGAAAATGCGGAAAGTGTAAAGGTCTTTGGTGACTTCCTTTTGTTATAAATATATTCATACGATGACTTGTGATGATGTGATGGTTTGCTTGCATGGTCCCTGATATATATATATATATATATATATATATAGAATGATTGTATTTTTCAATCTTCTATATTCTGAAAGAGAATGATTTGATGTGTAAAATTATTGCCTGTGCTCAACTTTGGTGCGGTTTGTAAGCCTAGTGCACACATTATTGATTAATGTACAATCAGTGAAGAGCATTTTCATTGACGATGTCCTTTCATGATTGAGAAGTGGAATCATATAGGACATTCTTATGTTTTATTTATTTATTTATTTCTAATAGGATACGGTTTTCTTCTTTCTTATTGATAAATTGTCTAATCTTGCTGTGTTTTTATTGGAAATGAGTATGTGTTTTCAAATATTCTAGTGATATTGACATCTTTTCAGGTCCAACACATACCTTTCTGGTGCTTTGATTCCTCATTGTGGGCACTAGATATTTGATTTTTGGTCTCTGGAAGACTATGCTTTGATGTTATCTTTAAAAACCATGTTTGAATTATGTTGGTGTGCTAGTATTTTAGCAACTGGAAGCTTCCTAGGGTTGATAGAGGTGCACTTAACCCAGGCTTGAGGATATATGAAGTAAAATGTGGACAAACATTTTACAAGTTTCTACTCTGCCTATTATTTTAGTTTCTGTCATACTTAAATCAATTGCAACTTTTTTCAGGTTTGCAACAATGAGACCTTGTTTTGCATTATGGATAAGACACTTCAATTGCTTGAAATGGGCTTCAGCGAAATTGAAATCTCAGCAGCTTTTGAGAAATGTGGTGCGCTGCTTGTCCATATGTCTTAAAATAATTTATTTTCTAATTTCACTTGGTGCAAGAGAAGCCATGAGCTGCTTTTGTACTCTTCGCTAGAATCTTTAGCTGATCTCTGTAATTCTTGTGTCGAGAGTTGCACGGTTTAACAAGATGTTTTTTTTCTTATTTTGGGTAAAAAGTCTATTTATTGAGTTGGTACTAGGGTGAAAACTGGCAATAAAGAATGGATATTTTTATTGTCTGCATTATAAGAAACTTTTTGGTCTTTGCTCATCTACTACTAGGTAAGATTTTGTAAAAATCATGTTTATTGGTGGGAGTGTCTTGTAATTCGCTTGTGCTACCTTTTTGCTAAACTTGTGATTTCCATTCGGATTAAAACCCACTCCACCAAGTTGGCTTCTAGTTAATCAATTAGACCTTATTTTCCTGGGGTTGCACTCCAGGTTCAGAAGCACTTCTGTCAGAACTTGCTGAGTCGATTGTTGCTGGTGAAGCTTATCCTATAGCAGATCAGGTCTGTTTCCTTATTGTGAATAAATTTCTAATGGCTCTTGCATATATCACAATAATGTTATGTACACGTAGTTATGATCTCACTGGTGTCCTGCAGTGCTCCTCAACATCTTTAAGCAATATCACTGTCCAGAGAAAGTATCAGTCTTTGAAAAGAGATATGGGAAACAGTGTAGCTCATCAACCATTTGACTCCTTCATTTTAAAAACTGAGTACAGTTCAGACGTAGCACCTCAAGTGGGGACTTCTGATTTTCCTGCAAATTTGAAAGGCAAGAGGCCCAGAGAAGAATTGAAAGATGAACCAAGAAATTGGAAGAAGCCAAAGGAAGAATTTGTGGAAGATGCATGCAACTCTGTTGGCCGAAGTCGACTGGAATCAAGAAGTGGACATCTGATCTCAAAAAGGAATCAAACGGCAGCCTTGCAGAGGCAGGTTAGCCTTCTGGGAAATCTTGAAGATGACATAAAGCCCCCAGTGTTCAAACTGAACCCTAGCAGGAGTATGACAAGTGTGGCGACTAAACCCCCTTATTTCGTTTTTGGAAACATCACAAATTTGGCTCATGATTCTTGGATCAAGATATCTAAATATTTGTATTCTGTTCAGCCAGAGTTTGTGAATACAAAATTTTACTCAGCCTTGAGCAGGAATGAGGGCTATGTGCACAATCTCCCTGCTGAGGATAGGTTTCATGTTCTCCCAAAGGGTCCAATGACTATTGAAGAAGCTCTGCCACATACCAGAAAATGGTGGCCGTCATGGGATAATAGGAAGCAGCTAAGTTACATCAATTGTGACACAAGTGGGATATCGCATGTATGTGAGAGGCTGGGGAGAATGCTGGCTGATTGCAAGGGGATACCATCTCCGGAGGAGCAGAGAGAAATTCTCAGGCAGTGTGAGGCAAAGAATCTTGTCTGGGTAGGAAATATTAAGTTGGCTCCAGTGGATCCTGAGCATCTTGAGCGTATCCTGGGCTATCCGTTGCACCACACTCGGGTTGCGGCGATGGGCTTGCCAGAAAGACTCGAAGCACTCAAGTTCTCTTTTCAAACCGATACCTTGGGGTACAGCCTCTCTGTCCTAAGGCCATTGTTCCCTGGAGGTGTAACTGTGCTGTCTTTCTTCAGTGGAATAGGTGGAGCTGAAGTTGCTCTACAGCGGCTGGGCATTCGGCTGAAGGCTGTGGTGTCTGTGGAGCCGAGTGAAACGAAGCGCAGGATCGTGAAACAGTGGTGGGGGAAGAGCCAGCAGAGTGGAGAGCTGATTCAGATTGAGAGTGTTTTCAAATTATCTGGCAACACACTAGAGAATCTGCTTAAAAAGTTTGGTGGTTTTGATATAATGATTTGTCAGAGCCCATGTTCAGGTGATGGGAGCTTAGATTTTTCAACGTTTGTTGAGTGTGTCCGAGTTCTGCAGCGTGTGAGGTCAAGAATGGAGAGTAATGGATGAGTTGTCCGTTTCTTTGATGCGACTCTGAATTTCTTCAGTTCTGTAACTGGTAAATGTAGTACTATATAGTTTCACTGCCACATTTAGCCATTTCGGCAACATGCTTTTGGTATGTAAGAAAACAAATCTTTAATGACGATTGTTTCTTGGAACTTAATCGACACCGAGGATGTATTTGGATTCCATTTCAATGATCACTATGGTTACAACTATGGCTATTTGCATTTAAGTTATTACAATTTGGCTATTCTTGAAATCGATGGTCACTATTATGATAATAGGAGTAAGAGTGGTGGTATATCAACGGTGACTGATTATGATAATAGGAGTACGGGTGGAAGTATATCAACTGAGGGAATGAGCAGAGATGTTTATGTGTGCTCAGATGTAAGAAGTAAGCGAATAAGTGAAACATATATGTATATTACAAAATTAAAAAAAAATATATGTAGACATACTTGTTTATTTAAATCAAATTATTAACTTTATAATTTACAACAAGACTTCAATGATATTTATAAATAAGAAAAACTTCTGTCAAATATTTCTGAGACCAAATAGAATTTTAGAATTTGTTTTATTAGTGAATTTATCCTTTTGATAACTCTTTTGCAATGTCTTTTAAAAGAAAATATGACCTTATTTATATATTTTTTGGATCAACAGTTTAACAGCAATTACTGAGACTATTGTTTTAAAATAAATAAAAATATATTAAAAAGTTAAAAATAGATATTTAATTTAATATATTTATAAAAAAAATTAAAAAAAATAGTAAAATACTAGAAAACGCTCAAAAATTTAATTATTATTATTATTTTTTAAAAAAAGTCACAACTCCAAAAATGACATTTACACCAAATATGGGATGAATGAGAGCATTTCAACTCCATTTAGTACACCAAACTTCAAATATAGAGTCTGCTCTGGATTACATATCTAATATTTAAAATATAAATACATTTTTACATACTAAATAATAAATAAATAAAACTAATCCAAAAATGACTATCTAACTATAGTACTATTTAAGTTCCAAAAAAAATAAAAAATAAAAAATAAAAAATAACGAAAAAAAGCAAGGGAATACGTGGAAGCAGGTGGGGACATACGGGTGTCGGGTGGTGCCATGCAAAGTTTCTGAAAGTTGCCACGACAGCGACCACGTGTTTCCCTCTCTTTCAATCTTTTAAACGCACCCACACGCAAATACACATACATATACGCCTCGCCTCGCGTCGCTAGCTATTATGTATTTTACATATCCATCGCACCGTATCGCATCGGTGAAGTGGCGACACGCTCATCCATCCATCCATCGATAATAAATTAATTGATTAAAATATGCCGGGACTGACCATTGGCGACACGCTCCCCGACCTCGAAGTTGAAACGACGTTGAATGGAGTGATCAGGCTCCACGATTACGTGGGCGATAGCTACACCATCATCTTCTCTCACCCGGCAGATTTCACCCCCGTCTGCACCACGGAGATGGGGGCGATGGCGGCGTACGCCCCCAAGTTCGCCGAGATGGGAGTCAAGCTGCTGGGGCTGTCCTGTGATGACGTCCAATCCCACCGGGACTGGATCAAGGACATCGAGGCCTACGCAGCATGCAAGGTCACCTACCCCATCGCTGCTGATCCGGACCGCAAGGTCATCAAGCAGCTCAACATGGTTGACCCCGATGAGAAGGACCCATCGTCCGGTCAACCGCTTCCCTCTCGGGCTCTGCACATAATTGGTCCGGACAAGAAGGTATATATAAAGATGGATAGATAGATAGATAGATATATATGTGCCTAGTTAATTAATTAATTAGTGTTTTCATATAAAAAATATATGTGTTTGATCGGTCGATCGAGGTTATATACATACACGTTAATTAATTATGGCAGATAAAGTTGAGTTTCCTGTACCCGGCGAGTACGGGGCGCAACATGGATGAAGTGGTGAGGGCGGTGGAGTCCCTGCAGCTGGCGGCCAAGGCCAAGCACAAGATTGCGACGCCCGCCAATTGGAAATCTGGAGAGCCGGTGGTGATATCGTCTAGTGTCTCTGCTCAGGAAGCCCAACAGATGTTTTCCCAGGGGTACCACACCACGCCTCTACCCTCTACCAAGAATTACCTTCGATTCACCAATCCCCAATCTGCAACTTAGCAGCAGTAGTAGCTCTGGATATCCTAAAGGAGTAGCAGGAGTCAGTCTGTCTATTTATTTCTCTTTTTTTTTTTTTAAAGATCGACGCCGCTTTATTTGTACTTTGTACGTCCATTTTAATTTTGTCTAATATCTTTATCCTAAGTGCAATATATCTTTTATAGAGAGCCATTTCCAATATATTTATTGGAGAGTCCATTGGGAACCAATACTGGTACCCTGGAGCCAATACTTAATTTATGTTTATTATTACCATTTTTTAATAATTATATTGTAAAATATATTGGAACAAGAGAGGAATGGCCCGAATAAAGATATTAATGAAAAAAAATTATTAATAGAAGAATTTTATTTTTCTATATTATATTTTAATATAATAACTAATATAAACAACATAATTTGAAGGTACTTTCAGTACTTTCTTTTGAAAAATCAAACGAATTTTGATTCTCGCCCCGGTCTTAACCGGTTCGAACTCCGATCTCAATCCCAACCGGTTCGAACTTCACCGAGTTTTGATTCTCGCCTCGGTCTCAATCCCAACCGGTTCGAACTCCACCGAATTTTGATTCTCGCCTCGGTCTCAATTCCAATCGGTTCGAACTCCACCTTGAGTTCGAATTTAAATATTGCCTTGAGTTCGAATTTAAATATTGCCTACATTGTGATAGCCTCGGCACTTTTGAGACTTGCTATAGCAGGTGGCTATGCTATGTGATAGCCTCGGCACCTTAGGGTTAGGGACTTGCTATAGCAGGAGGCTATGCTATGTTTGAAGATGACACTTGGAGCATCTCATATTTCTGCATGCGACGAGGCTATGCTACATCTCATATTTCCGTATACGAAAAGAAAAAGAAGTATAAATATTTTTATATTTTAACTATTTTCATATACGAAAAGAAGTGTCGGAAACCCTAAAGCATCCATCGAGTTTCCAGCAGTAGGAAACCCTAAGCCCGACCTCGCCGACCTCATCACTGCTGTTCCACCACTTCGTCATTTTCTAATAAAAACTGCAATTAAGCTATCTGTTATCCAACCATTTTTCGGCCACCGCACTACCACTATTGTTTTTCAATTGAGTGGATACTTCTCCCGACATATATTTTTTCGTCGATCAAAAGTCTCATTCGAGCAGATACAGATGGTCTCCCGACTTTCCGTTTCAGGTAGCGGACTTCACCATCTTACTTGTTTTTTGGAACACTTAGTGTTGATATTTCTTAGACTTGATAGGCTTAGTATTGCTTTGTTGGTGTTGATATCTTAGGGTGTGTTTGTTTGGAGGTTTGAATTTTGAGTTAGGATTTGAATAATAAAATATTTGAATTGAAATAGTAGTATGATGTGATATAAATAAATATTGATGTGATATTTTGAATGTAAAATTAATTTTTAGTATAATATGAAAAATGAAAAATAAGTGTTTGATTTGATATTTTGGGGGGCAATTTTGTATGAATAGTGTAAATCCTTCCCAATCCTCCAAACAAACACACCCTTAGGCATGTTGCCTTTGACCTTTGATATTTAGACTACCTAGGCTTGTCTGGTCTGTTTTATTTGACTTGGACTGTAAAGCCTGTATCAGCAGAACTACGTATGGCTTGATCCTGTTTGGGTACGTAGGCAGCCCACTTTAGGTGCAGCCATTGTTAAATAGTTTTTACCAAAAAAATTCTAAACTATAAACCATCCACCGAGTTTTCAACCATCGAAAACCCTAACTCCGACCTCGCCACTGTTTTTCCACCACTTCACCATTTTCTGATCAAAATTGCCATTAAGCTACCTATTGATCCAGTCATTTTCCGGCCACCGCACTACCGCTATCGTCTTCATCAGCCCAAAAAACCGTCAACCTGGTTACTCGCACCGTCGTATCACCGTCGGAGGCGTCGATAATACCCCCAATCAAAATTCGTCCAAAATTGCATAAAATTGCCCCTCTGGCCGGGTTTAGGGTTTAGAGGTACGATTTGACAGATTTCTCATATATATAGGGAAGGGAATCGTGTTGCGGATGCCTTAGTGCTCTGGAAGTTTTTCTTTCGATTGAGCAGACACTTCTCTCGACAGATATCCCTTCGTCGATCAAAATTCTCATTCGAGCGGATGCAGATGGTCTCATGACTTTCCGTTTCTTGTAGCAAGCTTCACCCTTTTACTTGTTTTTTTGAGACATTTAGTGTTAATATTACTTAGACTTGATAGGCTTAGTATTGTTTGGTTGGTGTTGATGCCTTAGGCATGTTGCCTTTGAGCTTTGATACTTAGACTACCTAGGCTTGTCTGGTCTGTTTTGTTTGACTTTGACTGTATAGCCTGTATCAGCAGAACTACGTATGGCTTGATCCTATTTGGGTACGTAGGCAACCCACTTTGGGTGCAGCCATTGCCATATAGCGTTTACTAAAAAAAAAATCCTAAACACTAAACCTAAACCATTCACCGACTTCCAAGCCACTGGAAACCCTAACCCCGACCTCGCCACTGCTGTTTCACCATTTCGCCATTTTATGATCAAAATCGTAATTAAGCTACCCGTTGGTCCAACCATTTTTCGGCCACCACACTACCGCCATTGTCTTTCAATTGAACGGACACTTCTCAAGACAAATATCCCTAAGTCGATGAAAAGTCTTCTTCGAGCGGATGCAGATGGTCTCCCAACCTTCCATTTTAGGTAGCAGGCTTCACTCTTTTACTTGTTTTTTGGGATATTTAGTGTTGACATTATTTAGACTTGATAGACTTAGTATTGCTTGGTTGGTGTTGATGCCTTAGGGATGTTGCCTTTGGCCTTTAATACTTTCACTTCCTAGGCTTGTTTGGTCTGTTTTGTTTGACTTGGATTGTAAAACCTGTATTAGCAGAACTACGTATGACTTGATCTCGTTTGGGTACGTAGGCAGCCCACTTTGGGTGCAACCATTGTTATATAGTTTTTACCAAAAATACCCTAAACCCTAAAACCTAAACCATCCACCGACTTCCCAGCCACCGAAAACCTTAACGCCGATCTTGCCACTGCTGTTCCACCATTTCGCTATTTTTCGATCAAAACTGCGATTAAGTTATTTGTTGATCTAGCCATTTTCCGGCCACCCACTACCGCCATTGTCTTCATCAGCCTCAAAACCCCTCAACCCGGTTACTCGCACCGCTATATCACCGCCGGAAGTGCCGAAAATAATCCCGATCAAAATTCATCCTAAACTGCATCACCGGAAAATTGCCCCTCCGGCCGGGTTTAGGGTTTAGAGATGCAACTTGGTAGATATCACATATATATAGGGAAGAGAATCGTGTCACGGATGCCTTAGCGAATTTGTCGGTTTTTCTTTTGATTGAGCTGATATTTCTCCCAATAGATATCTAGTTGTCGATTGAAAGTCTCATTTGAACGGATGCAGATGGTCTCCCAAATTTCCGTTTTAGGTAGTAGTCTTCACCCATGTACTTATTTTTTAGGACACTTAGTGTTAATATTACTTAGATTTGATAGACTTAGTATTATTTGGTTGGTGTTTATGCCTTAGGCATATTGCCTTTGGCCTTTGATAGTTAGACTACCTAGGCTTATCTGGCTTGTTTTGTTTGACTTGGACTTTATAACATATATTAGAAGAACTACGTATGGCATGATCCATTTTGGGTACGTAGGCAGCCCACTTTGGGTGCAACCATTGCTATATAATTTTTTACCAAAAAAACCGTAAAAGCTAAACCCTAAACCATTCACCGACTTCCCAGCCTTCGGAAACCCTAACCCCGACCTTGCTATTGCTGTTCCATCACTTCGCCATTTTCTCGATCAAAATTGCCATTTCTGGTGATTTTAACGTTTTACCTCTGCTTTGTTTTTGCTGTGTAGACATGGGGAGGAGGAGATGCCACAGTTGTCGTTTTAAGGTTTAGTAACAGCAGATGATGTGGGTCTGAGATCAAATTTGTTTTTCCTGTTTGATTTCTACACCGTCTGATTTCAATAAAATTTCTATGCTAATGAAAAAAAAAACTAAACCCGGTCGGAGAAGCAGTTTTCCGACGATGCAATTTTGGACAAATTTTGATCGGTGGTATTACCGACATCTCCGGCGGTGAGGGTAACCAGGTTAGGATTTTTTTTGGCTGATGAAGACAATGGAAGTAGTGCGGTGACTTAGGGTTTAGGGTTTGGGGTTTGGGGTTTGGGGTTTGGGGTTTGGGGTTTAGGTTTAGGGTTTCGGGTTTCGGGTTTCGGGTTTTGGGTTTCGGGTTTCGGGTTTCGGGTTTCGGGTTTAGGGTTTAGGGTTTAGGGTTTAGGGTTTTTTTTTTTTGGCTGGGCTCAAAGAGCTGCCTACGTACCCAAACGGGATCAAGCCATACGTAGTTTTGCAAAGTTCGGTACAAGTGCTGGAAACGTAAAATAGAGAATATAAGAAATAAAAGCTAACGGAAGCGAAAGCACGGGAGGCCCGCCGCGTCAGCATGGATGAGGCCACGAGTCCTCGCAGGGATGTCCGCCGGCTCAAGAATCCGCGTGTGAGGAAGGGCAACAGAGGTGTTCGCCAAGTTGTCCGCCACTTTATTGCCCTCGCGGTAAATATGAGAGATCCTCCACTCGATGCTGCGAAGCTGTAGGCGCAGGTGGTGGAGACAAGGCTGGAGAGTCCAGTGTCCCGTCGAGGAGGAGATGAGAGAGATACTGCTGGCCGAGTCCGTCTCGATCCAGAGAGGGAGGAGGCCGCGTGCTACCGCCAGGTCCACGCCGGATCGAATCGCTTGCAATTCAGCCAAAGTGTTTGTCGTATCCAAGAGGGGAACTTGGAATGCCACAAGTGGAGCGCCGGTGGCATCCCGAATGACGCCCGCGGCTCCAGCGGCGCCTGGATTCCCGAGCGATGCCCCATCGGTATTGAGTTTGAACCATTCTGGAGACGGAGCTTCCCAACGCACTATGACCGGCGGCCGAAGAACCGGAGGTGGGAGGCGAAGGCCGAGACAAGAGGCTAAGTGCACCTCCCCAGGCCAGTGTTGACGCTGAAGGAGGCCAGCACGGCCTAAGACCTGCAAATGAGAGTGAATACGCCAAATAATCCGGTCAGATGAAATCTGGATACCTCGGTGTTTGGCGTCATTCCGTGCCGTCCAAAGAAACCAAAAGGCCAGAAGTGGGATATAAGTACGGATACTCCGCGCATGAGGGGAGGACAGACGCCAAGCAGAGACCATGAGGTGGGGCGCATGTGTCCGCGGAAGTTGGATGCGAAATAGGTCGGCGAGATGGCGCCACACGCGCTCGGCAACCGCCGACGAGAAGAATAAGTGCTCGATCGTCTCAGACTCCCGACAACACTGGCAGCAAGAGACAATAGGGAGGCCCATCTTCCGTAAGGCCTCATCGACGGGTATCCTACGGCGAAATAAACGCCATAGGAATACTGACACTGTAGGAGTAAGAAACGGCGACCACAAGCTGCAAGAGAGCCAACTCCGTGCTCCAACTGTTCGGCTCATCTCCCATGCTGAAGTTGTAGAGAAAGTACCTGTGGTCGAGGCCTTCCAAATCGGCTGATCCGCAATCTGGGGATCAGAAGGAATCGCCGAGACCTGCTGAACAAGGGTTTCCGGAAGATAAGCTTGAAGGCGCGTCAAGTCCCACGTCCCGTTTACCCACATCTCTTTCACCCGTATCGGCGGAGGGCGGTCCTGGCGGTCAGTGCATAGAGGACGATCTCCACACCAAGTATCATACCAAAAGAAGCAGTCCCCACGCCCCAAATTCCAAGTGATCTGAGTCTGTGCCTCGTCTCGAACCTGGCAGAGGCGTTTCCAAACCGCGCTGTCGTAGCTTCGGCAGGGTGCAAGTCCTGGAAAGGAATTACGAAAATATTTCTGTTGAAGCGCGCGAGCCCAAAGGGAGGAGCCATCTCTGAGTCGCCACCACAGTTTAAAAGAGAAAGCCCGGACCATATCGGCAAGGCGGCGAATGCCAAGTCCACCCTCCTCCTGAGGCCGTGCAATATCCACCCAGGAGATCCAATGGCGGCGACGGTGCCCGTGATAAGAGCCCCAGAAAAAACGAGCAAATAGCTGCTCCACGGAGTGAAGTACCGTCTGGGGAGGGCAAAGTACCTGCAGGAGATAGAGGGGGAGCGAGAACAAGGTGCTCCTGATCAACTGTAATCGACCCCCGTGAGATAGAACCGATCGATCCCAACGCTGCAGATAGCGACGGAGCTTTCCAAGGAGTTCCTCGTAAAGAATATTGCGCCGATTGCCCACATAGAGGGGCGCGCCAAGATACGTGAGGGGATGTTCAGCCGCGCCAAAACCAGTCACCGATTGGAGCAGCCGTTGTACACTCTCCGGGCACTGGCGGCTGAAAACAAGCTGACTCTTCTGACAATTCACCTTCTGACCAGTAATCCGTGCGTAAGTCGTCAGAAAGTCCGTCAGAAGGCTAATGCGATTGCCACATGTATTAGCGAATATGAGGACATCATCCGCGTAGGCTAGGTGCATCAGCCGGAACCGACCACGACACCGATAGTACAGATCCGGAAAACGGCTGTAGAGGCGCTCCAAGCCTCGTGATAAGAGATCTGCAGCCAAGACAAAAAGGGTCGGGGACAAGGGGTCTCCCTGCCTAAGGCCTCGCGAGGAGGGGAAGAAGCCACCCAAATCCCCATTCACAAGGATCGAGTACCAAGCATGCTCAACACAGTTCATAATCAAGGTGATGAAATGAGCCGGGAAACCGAACCTGGAAAGGGCGTGCCGCAAGAACCGCCATGACACCCGATCATATGCCTTGTTAAGGTCCAATTTCAGCAATAAATTGTGCGAGTCCCCTCTCAGATTAAGATCATGGACCATTTCCGATGCTAACAGGATATTGTCCGCAATCGCGCGGCCTTTGACAAAGCCGCTCTGGTGCGGTGACAGGAGCTGCGGCAGTAGAGGGCTAAGGCGCGTGGTAAGAAGCTTTGTGAAGATCTTACTACTGACATTACAGAGGCTGATAGGCCGATAATCAGCCCATGCAAGTGGCCCCTCCTTCTTGGGGATAAGCACAAGAGTCGTCGCTGTATAGAACTTCAGGAGGGGAGCTCCCGAAAAGAATTCCAGGACAGCAGCAAACACATCCTCCCGAATAATCTCCCAACATTTCTGGTAGAAAGCGGCAGAGAAGCCATCGGGGCCAGCCACACTATCCTGATCAATCGAGAAGACCACAGCACGAATCTCCGCAAGTGTAGGCGGCTCAAGCAACCGAGTGCACTCGGCCGGCGGAACCTGGGGCGGTGGGTCCGCCAAGGCATCCATTCCCGAGGTGTCGGCATCATCAGGCTGTCCCAACATCCCAGAGAAATAGGTAATGACTGACTGCTTAATATCAGAGTGATCAGTGAGGGTACGAGCACCATCTGCCATCGAGAAGATTGTCGCCCGCCGGCGTCGTTCCTTCACCATGGAGTGGAACATACGGGAATTCCGTTCTCCCTCAACCGCCCACCGACAGGCGGCTTTTTGTTTCCAGAAAGCCTCCTCCAGTGCAATCGCATGCGTCAAAGCCGCAGCACTACGCTGACGACGGAGGAGGTTGGCATCAGAGGGATCCCGATCGAAGTCCGCTTCGCACTCCTCGGCGTCTTTTTCTGCTGCCGCTGGCACCTGAAAAACATTACGAAATACCTGTTTGTTCCACCACTTCAGAGCCTGCTTGAGGCGTCCGAGTTTCAATCGCAGGTTGAGGAGACCGGTGGTGCCCGTCGGGACAACCCAACTCTGGCGGACGTGGTCCTGAAAAGTGTGGTGTCTAGTCCACATGTTCTGAAACCGGAATGCAGAGGCAAGGCGGTGTCGTTCATGCGAGAACCGGACCAAGAGCGGGGCGTGGTCCGAATGCATCCGCGGTAAGTGCCTGACTCGAGTTGTCTCCGCAAAATCCTCCCAGGCAGAGCTGTAGAGAATGCGATCAAGGCGCTCCCAAACCCGTCGATTGGTCCATGTGTGCGGGGGGCCCTCAAAACCAGCATCAATGAGGTTCGCATCGAGGATTGCGGTCGAGAAATCCTAAATGGAGCGCAATTTAGGCCGACCTGGGCCCTTCCGTTCAGATATATCGGCGATGGCATTAAAGTCACCGCCAATCAGCCAGGGGGATCCCAATGACGAAACCGCGGTGTCATGTAAGAAGGACCAAAGATCGCGGCGCTGGGTGATAGAGCACCTCGCATATATGCCAGATAAAAGGAAAGGCCGGCGAATCTGTGGAGATGATACCTGCACATGAAGACACTGATCGATCTCCGAAATAGGCGCCAGTGTATAAGAATCATCAGCAAGAATCCAGATGGAATTAGCCGTGTTGGTTAGCATCTGGGAGAAACCAAACCGCCGGCAGAAGAAAGTAGTGTCCGCCAGAACCATAGGTTCAAGGATGATGAGAAGGCGGATACGGTGTTGTTTACAAAGCCAATGTACCTCCCGTTGAGCCCTGGGGTTACCAATTCCTCGCACATTCCAGACCAGAATATAGGTGTCTGTCATCGAGAACTAGCAGAAGGGCGACGAGAGGAACTTACTTGCTGACGAGAGATGCTGCGGGTAATCGGTCTAGAGAAGGTCGGCGGCAGAGCCTGTGGCCGGTCATCCGACACTGTCTCCAAAGATCCGCTGAGAGACGGAGGTTCAGCAGCCTGGTTCAAAACGCACACCCCCTGCTCGGATGCGACTCCGTCGACAAAGCGACATTAGGGAGCGGTTCCGATGAAGTCCGCAGGAGGGGTTGGTTCGGACCAAATTCAGGGAGGAGCTCTGTCCCGGTAGTTGCATCAGCAGGTAGCTCACCAGAATGAAGATCAGTGGTACCTCTCGGGGAAAGAGACAGTGAGTCGATGAGGGGCGGTTGGCCATCCTTAATATGGGGCGAGTCACCATCCGAGTCTTCGGCGAAAGTGGCTTGTAGTGCAGAGTCCTCTTCCGGCTGGGTGTCCGAGGAAGGAGAGCCAGTGGCCGATAGGCAAGTGTCCACTGAAAGATCACGTCGATCGCAGATAGGTGATGCAGGGGGGTCAGAGAGCAGCACTGCCTTCCCTTTATCCAGGCCATGACCAGAGGGGAGTCCCCAAATTGCCAAAGACTGAGCAGGAGGAAGCGGCACAGGCTCCGGAGGTACCTGCATATCATCAGCAAGCGGTGGCAAAGGCGGCGAGGGTACCTGAGCGTCCAATGGGGGCTGCGAAAGGAGGCCAAGGGCTGGGGCGGTGGCAGGAGTCGCTGGAGTGGGACTGAGCCGACAGTCGTCCAGCGGGGAGGCAGGGCTGTCAATCGGGGGCTCAGCTGTAGTCTGTCCAGCTAGAGGGCGGGCCGGAGAGGTTTCCGAAGGCACCAGAAATTCCCTAAAGGTAACTCGAACACCAGAAGTAAGCAGCATCGCAGAGGCATCCCCTCGTGAGTGGGCAAAGGTCACCCGAGGAGGAGCGTGGGGGCGATGAGCCTCCGCAGGGCCGCTGAGATGCGCCGGTGTGAGCTGCAGTGACTTCTCGGGCGTCTGTGATGGATTTGGGGCCACCTGTGTCTCCCCAAAGGTCACCCGCACACCAGAGCGAAGACGTCTGGAGCCATTCAACTCCGGGATGTCATCGGAAGGTCGCCGGGTAGAAGGCTGGGGGTCCCGTCGGAGGAGCTGAGAAGGAGCCTGCAAGGAGCCAGAATCATTAGTAATACCAGTAGAAGGCGTACCCCTATTTCGATTGCGGCGCCGACGACAGCGTCGAGCAGTGGGGGGCCGAGATTCCATGATATCACCAGAGGCAGGGGCTGCAGAGATCTCAGAAGGGCCATGCACCGAGTCATGGCGATCAGAAGGCGCAGCAGGAGGATCCTGCGCAGCTGATACGGATGCTGGTACCGGCTGCGAAGAAGGTCTGCGTAAACAAGCATATCTTTATGGAACATGTGGAGAGGAAGTAGAGGAAATGTTACCCACACCGGGGCAAACGGAGGTTCCTCAGTAGTTTTGAAATCCGGAGTCCATTTAAGAAGTCTCATCGGAAATCCCTTGATAAACCAAGTCCCTCTGATCCATAAACGCGTATAGTCTGCCTCCGTAGTTAGGCGAATCACAACATGTCGATGATTCAAATGTTGGGTTTAGGGTTTAGGGTTTAGGGTTTAGGGTTTTTTTTTTTTTTTTTTTTTTTTTTTTTTTTTGGCTGGGCTCAAAGAGCTGCCTACGTACCCCAACGGGATCAAGCCATACGTAGTTCTGCAAAGTTCGGTACAAGTGCTGTAAATGTAAATAAAGATTGTAAGCAACTAAAAGCTAACGGAAGCGAAAGCACGGGAGGCCCGCCGCGTCAGCATGGATGAGGCCACGGGTCCTCGCTGGGATGTCCGCCGGCTCAAGGATCCGCAAATGAGGAAGGGCAACAGAGGTATTCGCCAAGTTGTCCGCCACTTTATTGCCCTCGCGGAAAATATGAGAGATCCTCCACTCGATGCTGCGAAGCTGTAGGCGCAGGTGGTGGAGACAAGGCTGGAGAGTCCAGTGTCCCGTCGAGGAGGAGATGAGAGAGATACTGCTGGCTGAGTCCGTCTCGATCCAGAGAGGGAGGAGGCCGCGGGCAACCGCCAGGTCCACTCCAGATCGAATCGCCTGCAGTTCGGCCAAAGTGTTCGTCGTATTCAAAAGGGGAACTTGGAATGCCACAATTGCGGCGCCGGTGGCATCCCGAATGACGCCCGCGGCTCCAGCGGCGCCTGGATTCCCGAGCGATGCCCCATCAGTGTTGAGTTTGAACCAGCTTGGAGACGGGGCTTCCCAGCGTACCATGACCGGCGGCCGAAGAACCGGAGGTGGGAGGCGAAGACCGAGACTAGAGGCTAGGTGCACCTCCCCAGGCCAGTGCTGACGCTGAAGGAGGCCAGCACGGCCTAAGACCTGCAAATGACAGTGAATACGCCAAATAATCCGGTCAGATGAAATCTGGATACCTCGGTGTTTGGCGTCATTCCTTGCCGTCCAAAGAAACCAGAAGGCCAGGAGCGGTATATAAGTACGGATACTCCGCGCATGTGGGGAGGACAGACGCCAAGCGGAAACCATCAGGTGGGGCACATGTGTCCGCGGGATTTGGGTATGAAATAGATCAGCAAGATGGCGCCACACGCGCTGGGCAACCGCCGACGAGAAGAATAAATGCTCGATCGTCTCAGACTCCCGACAGCACTGGCAGCAAGAGACAATAGGGAGGCCCATCTTCCGTAAGGCCTCATCGACGGGTATCCGACGGCGAAATAAACGCCATAGGAAAACCGACATTGTAGGAGTAAGAAGCGGCGACCACAAGCTGCAAGAGAGCCAGCTCCGTGCTCCAGCAGTTCGGCTCATCTCCCATGCTGAGGATGTAGAGAAAGTACCTGTGGTCGAGGCCTTCCAGATCGGCTGATCCGCAATCTGGAGATCAGAAGGAATCGCCGAGACCTGCTGAACAAGGGTTTCAGGGAGATAAGCTCGGAGACGCGGCAAGTCCCATGTCCCGTTAACCCACATCTCTTTCACCCGTATCGGCGGAGGGCGGTCCTGGCGGTCAGCGCAGAGCGGACGATCTCCACACCAATTATCATACCAGAAGAAGCAGTCCCCACGTCCCAAATTCCAAGTGATCTGAGTCTGTGCCTCGTCTCGAACCTGGCAGAGGCGCTTCCAAACCGGGCTGTCGTAGCTCCTGCAGGGTGCAAATCCTGGAAATGAATTCCGAAAATATTTCTGTTGAAGCGCGCGAGCCCAAAGGGAGGAGCCATCTCTGAGTCGCCACCACAGTTTAAACGAGAAGGCCCGAACCGTATCGGCCAGGCGTCGAATGCCAAGTCCACCTTCTTCCTGTGGCCGTGCAATATCCGCCCAGGAGATCCAATGGCGGCGTCGGTGCCCGTGATAAGAACCCCAGAAAAAACGAGCAAAAAGTTGCTCCACAGAGTGAAGTACCGCCTGGGGGGGGCAAAGTACCTGCAGCAGATATAGGGGGAGCGAGAACAAAGTGCTCCTGATTAACTGTAATCGACCCCCGTGAGATAGAACCGAGCGATCCCAGCGCTGCAGATAACGACGGAGTTTTCCAAGGAGTTCCTCATAAAGAATATTGCGCCGATTGCCCACATAGAGGGGCGCGCCAAGATATGTAAGAGGGAGTTCAGCTGCGCCAAAACCAGTCACCGATTGGAGCTGTCGTTGAACATTCTCCGGGCACTGGCGGCTGAAAACAAGCTGGCTTTTCTGACAGTTCACCTTCTGGCCAGTAATCCGTGCGTAAGTCGTCAGAAAGTCGGTCAGAAGGCTGATGCGATTGCCACAGGTATTAGCGAATATGAGGACATCATCCGCATAAGCAAGGTGCGTCAGCCGGAACCGACCACGACACCGATAGTACAGATCCGGAAAACAGCTGTAGAGGCGCTCCAAGCCGCGTGATAAGAGATCTGCAGCCAAGACAAAAAGGGTCGGGGACAAAGGGTCTCCCTGCCTAAGGCCTCGCGAGGAGGGGAAGAAGCCACCCAGGTCCCCATTCACAAGGATCGAATACCACGCATGCTCAACACAGTTCATAATCAAAGTGATGAAGTGAGCCGGGAAACCGAACCTGGAAAGGGCGTGCCGTAAGAACCGCCATGACACCCGATCGTACGCCTTGTTAAGGTCCAATTTCAGCAATAAATTGTGCGAGCCTCCTCTCAGATTAAGATCATGGACCATCTCCGACGCTAACAGAATATTGTCCGCAATCGCGCGGCCTTTGACAAAGCCGCTCTGATGCGGCGATAGAAGCTGCGGCAGTAGAGGGCTAAGGCGCGTGGTGAGTAGCTTTGTGAAGATCTTACTGCTGACATTACAGAGGCTGATAGGT